TTCCTTTCCTTTACATGCAAAGTCCTGGTTGTATCTTTGATATTTGCTTTATTTATAGCTATGCAAACAGAGCTTACTGGAAGCAGATCAACACCAGGTTAGCCAATCCACTTGCCCTGCGTCAGAGATCTGCACCGAAAGCTTGACCTTCAGGCTTCAGCCAACTCCCAGCTCCAAACGCTTTCTTGGTCTCACTCTCCTAACTGGCTCCAAAGCAGAGTTTCTCTGCCCTGTTCCTCTTGGAGAGGCAGGCACGTTACAGGCCACAATCCAGTGCTGGAGAGGAATTCCCTGGGCTATCCTGGGCTTGGTTATACCTCTGACCAAGATGGACAAACTCAGAAGACCGCTTTGAGGGTATTTACAACATTGCCTATGCTTATTTATTTGCCTCTTCATTTTCCAGTTCCTTTCATCCTTACAATTGGCTAAAACATTCCCGCCCTCTCAAGCTACAAAGTATATCAGAACCTAATGAACAAAGACAGACAACCAATGTTAAATCCTCATTGCAATCAGGCTGTAAATGATATAGTAGTAGTAGTAGTAGTAGTAATAAAATTATTATTATTATTATTATTAATAATAATAATAATAATATAGCTTCTTTTAGCCAAATGTTCTAAAAGGCTTTGGGTATTGGCTTTTCGTTAGCCAATATATTTTAAAATGCTATATACGGCCACCAGTGCACAAAAAAGTGTCCCTTTAACCCTTGGTTATGTGAATCTTTTGCAACAGCTTTTCGGCCAGTGCTTTTTCCCAATTTTTGTTGTGCCATTTTGGAATACTCAGGCCCTTTAAAATATTCCCTAAACCAGCAGATCCCTGCAGGTATCAGAAGAATTTTAATAAAGAAGTTATTTTAATAAAGGTTACAACTCCTGTAACGATGTTGAGCAATACTAACTCTGGAGTTTCAACAACAACCCCCCCCCCGCCCCCAATAAAGTTTGATAGTTCTTTGAAAATGAAACCCTAGCATTGTAAAGAAACCCTCAGCCTCTCCAACATGGTATTGTCCTTAGATGCATTAATGCATGGGATTCTCAGAGCAAGATACCGTATTTGCAAGCTTTTCAATATCATTTCTCTGTACTTTGAGGTTAATTTATGGGAGAAGTTGTGCCCTTCTGCAGTGTCTGTTAATTTGGGGGTTCATACCTGCCTCTCTCCACCTTTAGCCACCACTTTTCTGTCAGCACATTTGGGGAATTTTCAGCTCAGAGCAACTGAAAGCCATTACCCAAGAGTCATCAGCATTCATCTTGAGGTCTGCTGTTGATGTAAGTCAGGAGTGACAGTGAAGGACATCTGATTTCACATTGATGTTGTGGGTGGAATGCAAAGATTTGTACCATCTGTGTACATTTGCTCTTGCAACAAGCTTGCTCTGAAACCTCCTTTAGTAGGTGAGATATGTCAGACCGCCAACATTTTCAGCTTATAAAGTTTCGTATGGGTTTTAATTTTTGTATTTATTGCAAATCACACTGAGTTTATTTCCTGAAAAAAGTGAATAATAAAAGCAGTAAATAATAATAATAATAATAATAATAATTTTTATTTAGGTTGTCCTTTCATTAAAATCACTATTGATTATTTTCATGGGCTTCTTGCATCTTGAGTCCTTTCTGCTAATTAAAAGTTATATAAGCACCCTGTTTTGAAACTATGTAAGTTGAAGCGTTTGTTTAGGACAGAGATGTGGCCCTCCAGATTTTGTTGGACTAGGACTATGTGCTATGAATTGACACATTAAAAGAAGGATTTGCAGGCCAATTTTAGAGCCAACAAACCATCGAAAAAGAAACAAAAGCATTGGATTTGCTCTAGTTACAGTGTATTCTCCAATGTTTGGAAGGAGGTTTTAGTTGATGACATCATGATGGGCTTTGCACCCCACAAGAGCTGCCCAAGGGGTTTTCAAGACCACCTGCTGTTGGCTAGTGTGTCAAGCAGGGTGCAGGACTCGATGGGCCTTTGATCTGATCCAGCTGCAGGGCTCTTCTTACAGTCTTAAATAGAAAGTAGGGACCGAAAGTGGGGGAGCACATTACAAACATGACTGAGCACAGAATCATGTGGGTTTGTTCTTGCTAAGCTTCCAACATTCTTCCATCGTCATGGGAAAGTAAGAGAAACTTGTGGTTTTTCACTGGAGATTTCCACTTGCATCTTAAATTAATTGTTCTGCCAATTCCGAAAGAGCCATTTGGCTTTCGGGCAATGCATTTGTTAATGATTTCACTGCCTTTTTCATTAGCTACTTTTGCATTAGCAGCTGGAGGCATTTGTCCTTACAGCTTCCAGAATTATTTTCTTAACAGTAAGAAAGAGGATGTGGCTTATAGGAGAGCCCTTTGTTAGAATCACGATCCCCAAAATTGCAGGCAATAAGCTTCAGACAGCAGCGCTAGGTAGAAGCACCTTGTTTAGCAGAACATGTTTCACCCATAAGCCGTCTTCCTCACAGGCAAAAGCTTTCCTTGTGACTTATGCTGGTATACCCAGTTAAAACAGCTTATTCAAGTTTCTAGAGATTCTGTCTTCATGTGGTAAATTGCACGTGCAAATACAAGATTGCAGCCTGACTCTTTGGCTTCCTGTCTCTCGCACGCTCAGTATGACAGCGAGGGTCATGATATTGTCTCATGTCTCTTGAAATCAGAGGCAGGGCTTTTAAGGAGAATTTTGAGCAGCACAGCAGTAGAGTGATTGCAGTGTTTGTGCCTCACACATGCCACAACAACACACCTGTGCATTTTGCATGTGTGTGCACAACATACTCTTTCTCAGAGCCACTGTTTATGACATACAGAAGACATCACTCAACAGCAGAACTGGGATTTGACAGCACTAATGCAGAAGCGTCTTGTGTTCAAGCTGTACACAGCAGGTGTCATGAACTCTAAGGAAACTTCATTTGGAGTCAAGGCTATAAGAAGAATGAAGAGCAAGAGAATGGACAATCCAGATGAACCCATACACACACACACACACACAGAGAGAGAGAGAGAGAGAGAGAGAGAGAGAGAGAGAGTACTCAGCATCCCTGTTTATATATATTTTGGCATCACCACCCTCACTGTATCATGGACAACTTCACACAACTTATCAGGAAAGCAGTCCCCATGCAGAATTATTTCATGAATATTGGAAACATTGGTGAACACACTGTGGAAAGTCCATTGCTGGATCAAACACCGTGGAAAGTCTATTGCTGGACCAAACACTTTGGAGGCCCCTAGGCAGTCAAAATCTCCCTTGCAAATTATTTCCTAAGAAAGCTTGATTATAATTTTCTTTTCAAGATCAAATCAATATTATTTTGAACTGGTGTTGCAGGGCCCCTCAGCCGGTGTCCACTCTGCTTATTTGGTAATCTGGCACTGGAAAAGTAGCAGTGTAATCTGTGGGGAATGTCTTTGGCATGGGGAGGAAAAGGAGGACTGCTTGATCAGGGTCCCAGGGAATACTGGAAGACACACATCTCACATTATCCTCCATCACTTCCTTTTTTTGTCAGCTAACATTATACGTGTTTTGTAGAGCTCAGATTTTGAACTGCACAAATGTTTCCCTTTCTAACTGTGCCTGGCCCTGGATCTGCCTGCTTTGGGTCTGGCTGGTGGACACAGCAGCTTCCGAGTCATTCCTCCTAAACCCATCCTAAACTCTGCTTGAAGGGCAGAGCCTAAGGTTTACAACATAACCTGTCCTCCTGCTCCTCCTAAGCTACCCTGCTTCCCACCAGTTCTGTGTTAAAGCAAAACTGAACTGCCAGCCCAGTTAGCTTTTGCATAGAATTGTTTCGAGGGTGGGTGGCTAAGTGGGCTCTTGCCCTTACATGCTCAGTAGCCATTTGCTCCCATCCAAGCTAACACTGCTCAGTGGTTGCTGAACTCCTTGCAACTTCCCTACTGATACTGTCAACCGTTCGGCTTCACATCCACCCACCCAATTCAGCTCTCCTCCAGATATAGCTTGGGGTGATGATGATGATGATGATGCCATAGCAGAAGCACCAGGAGCGTCCCAGTCTTCCTAGCTGCTTCCTGAAGTCACGTCTCAAGTGGGCACAGCTGCACCGCTGCTAGGCCAGGAAGCCAGGGCAGGAGCCAAGCGTCTGCGACTGAAGCTCATTTCTCCTGACCTCTGGGTTAATGAATGCACACAGAGGCAACAGAGGGAACCCTGTTCTCGAGGTGGACAAAGAGGAGCGGCCACTGGCAGCTGCCGGGGTAGTGTTTATTATGCAGCAACTGAACACAAGTGGTAGAGGCGGCACGTATAAAACTTGTCGGCAGAAGACAGGAGCCAACCAGGGTGTGGTGTGTGCACAGCACAGAGGAGCAAGGTGCAACCTGGCACCTGTTGCCTTAGTGGCTTTTGTGTGTGCGGAGCAAAAGCCACCAGCGAGAGCCATCAGGGATTGCTACCTAAGAGGACCCAAAACCAAGGCCTTCTCTACAGCAGGAAGATACAGACCAAAGTGCCCCTGGTCTATGTGTGTGGAAGAACCTGCTGCCTTTTCAACAAGGAAGTGCATGTAGGGCAAGCATACTTTGTTATTTTTATTATTAGATTTATTGCTACCCCTTCACCAGCAGGTCCCAGGGCAGGTGATTTAAAATTGAAACCAGCTAAAACAGATTACAGTCCCAGGAATAGTGTGGTTCCCCAAAAGACCTATCTCAGGCACCAGAGCCCAGACATCCACCCCATTCTTAGCCATCAGCATCACTGGTGGCTTTGCAGGAGACACACAAGGTGGGTGTGGAAGAGAATATTCCCTTTGGCATTATAATTTCCACAAAATGATTAATGCACAACAGATACCTAACTAAAATGGCAATTCTGGGAACAAAATGGGAAAACCCAGAGCTACAGGCAGACATTATCCTATCGAAAACACAACTTTTAAAAAGAAATAGACGCCACAGAAAATTGCTGAAAGCGCACTTGGAGGCAAAATGAGTTCCACGCTTCAAAACCTAAAGGTCAGCACAAATGTTGTGGTTTATTGGCAAGCTGTGAATGTTTTATTTTTTTGGTAGTTCTGCGCATTGAAAATTAATTGGCTTTTCAGTCTTTGCACTTAGGAGATGCACCAATATATTCGGCCCATCAAAGGCACGCTCCGAGAACAGCAGGCTGGCCCTCATCCCCACAGCAAAGCTGGGGTTTCATTTTCTCTTGCTGTTTTAAAGTTTCGGGGTTCAACCGTGTCTGAAGTTCTACTTGTGACCTGGTGCCCCCCTTTTCTTCTTCTTCTTTTTTTGCACATGACTCTGCTTTGCTCCCATCAATGTAAAAGCAGGAGACAGCTTGTTGTGGTTTTAGAATGGAGGGGGAAGAGAAAGTCGGTTTGGATGAAGGGCAGGGCTGGGGGAGACTGCTTGGGTTCAGGCCACAACCCCCACCCCACTACCACAGAGATGTCAACACCCACAGCAGCAAGTTTTACACCAGTGTATGCACAAAATTAGGCTCATTTTGCCAAGTCAGTCAACCTAGATATTGGATGACTTCTGCAACAACAATAGAGGAAGAGGGAAGAGTTGGGGCCAGGACCCCAAGTGAGGATCAGGAGGAAAGAAGCAGATGCTGCCAGGCCTGGCCTGAACACGCGAACCTGGGTGCTCTAAAGAAAGGCAAAATTGTGTGTCTTTTAAACAACAACTATTTGATGTGTTCTGGAGCTCACTTTTCTGGAAATAACATATTCAGGACAAATTGAGCTAGGCTTGAGCAAGGGGCTGAAGAGGGTCTCTCCAAGTAGGGGTGGTTTTGCTTTCTTCATGCAGACAGCCAGGTTTATATGTGGACTCCCACCCACCCACAAAAAACCCCCCAAAATTATGTGCAATTGCTTACGCTGCATCATTAATTCTGCTTCCAAAGCGCCAGGTTTTCAAAAATACATGTAATTATTATTAAAGAGAGAAATAGTGTAGAGATAAGAGGCTAAAAAGCCTATAGGAGGGCAGTGGGCAGGAACAGGGCCTGTGGGGCAACTCCTTGGCATGGGGGTTTCCCTTTTCAGAATCAAGGAGATTGTGTTCCTGTCATTGTAGAGAAGACTGAGGAGGGCAATCATGTTTTAAATACAAATGAGAAAGGGAGGGGGGATGAGAGAGGATTCTCAGTCTGCTCAGCTTCAGAGATTCAGAGAACAGGAAGACAAGCCACAATATGGTGCTAATTTCAAGCATAAAAATATTAATATCTGTAAAGCTGAGAGGAAAACACCTAGAGAAGCCTCAGAAAGGGAAAAGAGCCATTAAATTAGATCTCCAGTGATTAGGGAAGGGGTAGGAGGTTCTTTGCTCTTTGGTCCTCATTACCATTGACAGAAGCAGAATAAATGATCGTACAAGCAGGCCCGCTTAATTTGTATAACATGTACAGGTTACAGAATCCTTCCTATTTACAGTCCAAAGAAATACACCCCAAAATGCTATGTGAAGGCACTTGGAAGTCACAGAAATCTATGTAAATCAATGCAACTTTGCTTCTTTTGCCTGTTGCGACGCAAGGCGGTTGGTAGTTGGAGGCAGAAACTCTGAGGCAAGAGAGTGGCCAAAGAGGAAGGGGGGCAGGCTCCCCCTCAAACATTGGGGCTGCTTGGAAGTGCATCTTGAGAGACCAAGGGAACTATAGCTGTGTTGCAAGGAGTGGTTGCAGAGTCTCTTTGGAAAGAACAAAACCTGTTAGGACAGCAGCCCTAGTGTCCAACTGATCTCAACATAAATCTCTCATGGCCTTGAGCCGAGTTCTGCAACCCTGCATAGGTTTAGTAAGGCCATCCTCCTTGCACCTCCCACTTTCAGGAAAATGCACACTTGCGCAAATTCTGTGGCCAATTTTTCAGGTGAACTGCCTGTGCAAATGTCTCATGCACTCAGTTCACGCAAGGTGAGTGTACATCTCCACCTTCCTTGGGAGAGAGGATATATTCCATGGACAAACTGGTCCTCAGCCTTCCAAAGCCCAGGGGTTATCCTTACACCAGCTCAGGTCCCTCCTCTGAGGAGCTGAATCATCGCCTACTCCAAAGTGATACAGGGGGGCCTCAGAAATCAAGCCACGTGGTCACTCCTCATTCACAGTTACAGCACAACACCCCCAACAGCCTCCAAGGCAGCCCAGGAACCCAAACCCCAGGGCTATGTCTGCATCAAGGCTATTCCACCCAGCAGAGTCTGCTTCCAAGATATGCAGCAAAGACCAGGGCAATGGGAACAAAGAGAAGTAGGAAATGCGGGGGGAGAGGTAGGTAAGGAGCAGTAGTCACATAGTGGGAAGGAGACAGTCACACAGACATGCACACACACAGGGCACCCAAACAGTCCCTTCTCCAAATATTCCTGCGCAATCTCCTCACAGCAGTAGTAGCTCTGGCAATTACAGTAGAAAAGTTTCCCACGTTTTGCTCTGCAAATGAAGAGGCAGGGTGGGACGGGAAGCACCTTTGAAAATAAAAGTCAAGGTTTTCAGGATGTCGGTTACTGAGCCCAAGGGAGAATACATCTGCAGCTATCCATGGGCACACCAACCTGTCCAGGGCAGCCCATTGGCTGGGGATGGGGGAGGACTCAGCGACTTGCCCTGGCAGGCAATGAAGTGTCTCTCCCACCCCCAAGGGGGCGGGGGGCATCAGGTCACAGTTTCTGGAGTACATGCACAGCAGGGGTGGCACAGACACAAATTGGGGAAGCAGGGCCCCCTCCTTCAGACCTGCAAACAGGCCTGGACTGCCATGCGTGTATTAGGTAGACGAGGGGGGACGAGACCCACAGGTTAAGAGAAGGCCACATGCCGCACCCTTTCCAAAGGGCTGTCCGTCACTCGGGCAGGCCAATCAAACAGGGGAGGTCAGTCACACACCCTCCACCTGCCCATGCCTGGGGGGAGGCGGGGTATCCAAGGCTGAGGCACAAAGGTAGGGATGGGGGACCTTCCTGTGAAAAGACTCTGCTGGGAGCCGTGGTCCAGACGAGCCCAGAGACTTCAAGAGCTTCTCCTCCAGAGATGCCCGGGGGAAGACAAGGCAGTTTCCCCACCTGTCCTGTGCTCCAAAGCTCTTGATGGAGCTTGGAGGTGGTGCGGAAGCAGTAGCAGCAGCAGTAGCAGCAGCCAGGTCAGCTGTGGCTTCAGACCCAGTCCTGCAGGGAGCGCTTGCAATAGAGCAGCATGCGTGGGGTGCCCTTCCGCTGCAGCTGCACGATGACGTAGACGAGGCCCAGGATGCAGAGCAGGAGCAGGAGCAGCAGCGTCACCATGATGATGCTCATGGTCAGGGGGTAGTCGTTAATGTGCACCACAATGTCCACATCGCTGCCATGGCCAGGACCCTGCTCCCGGCCGCCTCCAACGCCATCACTATAATCGTCCTCCGCTTCGGTTTCCTTGTCCTTCTCTGCAGGGTGAGTGTCCACGGCATTGTCTTCCTCATCCACCACCACCTCCTCTTCCTTGTCCTGTCCTGGGCCATCGGGGTGGGAGGGGGGCTTGCCCACATCGGGCCACCTGCGGCCGGGGTCGGGGTTTGTGGCCACCTCGTCGTGGCATCCCATGAAGTCCCGCAGGATTGACTTGGGGTACCCGGGTTCTGTTTTCAGCCGCTCATTGTCAAACTTCCAGTACATTCTGCCTTTGTAGAAGTAAGTGTAGGCTGGAAAACAGGAGGTGGTAGGCACTGTTAGTTGGGGTCCCTTTCCACGGCTCACAGCTTTTTCACGTTCTCTTTTTGCCCAGGCTTTCTGTGACTCTTAAGATCTGCTTTATGTGTTTGCTTTTTCCGAATTCCTGCTTAATCCACTTTTATATTGACTTTATATGTATTTATATTACTCTCTAACCGGTTTTGTTTTTGTGATATATTGTTTATTTTTAGACCATAAAACCACCTAGAGATTTTTGAAATAATAAGTTGTATATAAAATGCTTTTAAATGAATGAAAGAAAAAATAAATAATGATATTCTGGTGTATTCTTAGCTGCTTGTATCATTAAGCATTGGCTTCCACTGTTATGAATTATTTAAGGCCCTTTGCGAACTAAATCACCGTACCATTCCTCTGACTCTGGATTATCAATAAATGTATTTAACCCTATTGGTCCTAATACAGATTCTTGCAGGACTCTACTGTTCAGTTAGCTCCATGGTGGAAAAAACCATTCATTCATTCCTCAGCAGAGCGTTGCTGCTGTGATCATGCTTTACAGTCCACATGGGGGACATAATTCAAGCAGATGGGCCAGTAGCTCTCAAGAACTCCTTGGATCATTTTTAAGGAGCTGGCTTTACATTGACTCAGTTCACACATCACAGTAAACCACAGTTAAATCATGGAGTGCAGGGGGTAGCTAATTCCCACTTAGGGGGCCTGATCTGTGCCCTCTCCCCAAGCAAATTTTTCTAGCTTCCCAAAAACTCCCAGTTTGGGCAATGGCAGCAAAAAGAAATAAAAAGTAATTTGGCTCACCAAGGATACACCTGAGAGGACCTGTTCTTTTCCTCCTCTCAGGTTACACAAAGAGGAAAGAAGCCGCCATCCCTGGCTTCAAACAAGGATCGTGAGTTTTGTTTCACGCCCAACAAACCACAATCTGAAGCCAAGTTTTCTTCTTGGTTAACTGGCCGTGGTTTCTCGGGAGCAGAACAAACCACAATCCCTAATTGAAACAGGATGTGAAGCCAGCGATGGTGTCTCGTTCCCTGCTCTGCGTGAGAGTAAGGAGAAGTGAAAGGCTCCTTCAGAGGCATGACTTACTGGGTGACCTGCAAATAGGGCTATCAACTATCCTCCCGTGGAGTAAGGAAGCAGACTTCAACAAGCTGCATATTGTTGCTACAAGACTGGCATTTCCACATTTGAAGGCCAACTTGCTAGTTTTTAGTTTAGCAGGTAGCTCTAAAAAGTTATTTTATTTTAACAACATTTATATACTGCTTGATTGTAAGAAAACCTGGAAACGGTTTACACAAAAAGTTATTTTGCAGATCTCTTTCTTCTCCCCCCTTCCTCACAAAGGGTTTAGATGTGGGTCTCTTTCCAGCATCATCTTCAGCGCAGATGGAAGAACAAGCTTTGCTCTTTCCTGTAACATCTAATGCAAGGATAGCAAATCTGTAAAGGGCACCACAATTCCCATCATCCCTGAACATGCTCACTGGAGCTGATGGGAATTGTAGTCCCCGATGTCCTGTGACCTAATGCCTGCCTTTCTCCTCTCTGGTTTCCTGCTTCCAACAGCACTAACAAAATATTCATTATTAGCATTCATAACTTTAGTAACCTGCTCCTCAAGCTGCTACTTTGCTCACTATACCGAGAGCCCACATTTGTCTTGCCAGGTCAGGGTCCTTTTCTACTTACTGGCATCAGAACTTAAGAAGGCTCCCTTGGGGGCATGAGGGATTCCGGCCCATACGCTGATCTTCCTTGGGTATCCTGGATCCACAGAATGGCTCTCCTCATCAAAGCGCCAGTACCTAGTGTTACAGAATCATAGTGTTGGATCCCTGAGGATCATCTAGTCCAACCCTCCCCCCTCTGCAATGCAGGAATGCGAATCACTGGCCCTTCTTTCACCATTCACACTCCATACTTACTTATCAAACTCTGAGTGCTAGTCTTAATGGGCAGGGGGAAAACATCGTCCCTGAATTGGGGACCTCTTTACAGACCCTGCCCACACCTTTGGTAAATGCCTCAGTCCCTGGGAAGGTTAGGAGGCAAAAATCTTGGGATTCTCCAGCCATCTGAAGATCCTGCCACCAAGTGCTATTACAAAAACTCACCAAGAACGCCTCCCTTGTTCTCTTATAACGACAACGGTGCTGGGCTGAGAGGTGCTGGAACTGAGTTCTGGCTGGGGAAACAGCCCTGCTGCCGCCTTTCACACGCCAGGTACCCACCTGTCCCCTCTGAAGAAGAAGGTGTGCCCTGTAGGCTCCCACCAGATGGCTGCGTCCATCTTGTCGTAAGGAATGCCCTGTCCGTAGCTGGTCAGGGGTTGCGGGTAACCCGCTTCCAAATTTGCCTCACGGAAAAGCCAGTACTGATCCCCTGGAGGAAGGGCAGAAAAGAAAATTAGGCAGAGGCTGGGCCATGAAGCACACAAGAAGCTTATCTTTCTTGTGGGGAAACCCCCCCCCCACCTCCATGCCCAATTCTATGGCATCTATCAAGTCCTGCCTATTTCACCTCAATAATATGTATGGGGCAGGATGGGGTGGGTGGGGCAGGTTGCTGGTTTCAGTGCTGAGTGCAGGCGTCTGTCTGTTTACGCTACTTTTTAATCCTGGTTTCTCACACTTGAGGTGCATATTGTTCAGACCAACCTGATTTCTGTGATTGTCATTTGTTTCAAACTATTTTTTAATAATGTGCTTTAATGCTGGTAACCTGCCCTGGGACCTTAGGCTGAAGGGTGGGTGATTAATTAAATGAATGATGATAATGGTAATACAGAGGGGGCCAGAACACAACACTCAGCTTCCCCACCCACCCTAAAGAGCACAGGAGGGAGTTTTAAGAACAGCTCTTTGGGCTGAACTCCAGGCCCTGAGGTAAAACACAACACATGGACTTTCTGAGGGGTGCCCATGAAACGCCCACCATCCTTCTGCTGGCCCCACAGCAAGGAGAAGAGAAAGGAGTCTGTCAGGAAAACCCACAGGGGCACTTTGGAGTGGGAAGGAGAGGGAGGGGAAGACACACAGAACATTTCTGCTGTCTCAACAGAAGACTCAGGAGACCCTCTACGGGGCCTTTGCTTTAAACTTCTCTCACCTCTAAAGAAGGCGAACCGCCCGTCTTGCCTCTCATATGCAGCATCGATGTTCCCAGGGAGGCCCCTCCAGAAGTGCCCAATGGGCATGGGGTAGTTGTCCAGCACCCGGTTATGACGAACCCGCCAAAACCAGCGACCCTGGATAAAAAAACACAGGGAGCTGCTTAATACCAAGTCAGGCCCAGTGGCCCATCCAGCTCAGTACTGTCTAAAATGGCTGACAGTGTCCATCCCCAAGGTTTCAGGCACATGGAAATGAGGAGCAGTGAACTTGGAACCTCTGGCATGCGAATCAAGTACTTTCTACAGCCTCCCCCCTGCCCTGGGGAAAGGAAGCTCAGGCCTGCTGATTCTGGTCCTGGGGCATGACACCCACACCCTTCTCCTATTCACAGGTTCGCCCACAGGTAGGTGCCACCCATCATCATGGCAAATGAGGCTCATATCCCACTGCTTGCTGCCCACTTCAAGAGCTCCAGGCCTAGGAGCTCCAGCCCTAGGACAAGAGGAGGGAAAGGGGTCTAGGACACTTGAACAAGTCACAAAATCTGGAATTTGAGGCACAGTTATTCCTGAGCTCCCCTCAACACCCCATTGCACAAGCCAGACTCTCGTCTTGAAGCATTGCTCTGGTAACTGCAGAGAGAAACCATGGAGGCAGGACAGAGGAAGCTACAGGTACCTTGAACACAAACATCTCCCCACGGAGCATCGTCACTGTATCAAAGTCCCCGTCGCAGATGTTTGGGCCGTACTGGTCTGGGTTGCCTGGGCTGGGGGGCTGGTCTGGTTTGCCAGGAGGGGGTGGTCTAGGAGGCTTGGGACCTGGCTTTCTGGGTACCACAGTAGGGAGGGGTTTGGTGGGCTGAGGCTGTCCCCCTGGAGGACCTGAGTTGGTGGGCAGGAGGAAGAAAAGAGGGAGAGGGTTTTGTTCATTGCAACTTATATCCAGCCCTTCATCTGGTATAGGAGCTGAGCGTGACAAAAAGCACTAAAATATATAAAAACACAATCAAAACTGTTAAAATATAACAAAATACACAATTCACAGGTAATCTATAACTTGACATGAAGTGAACCCCCAACAGAAGTCACATCAGACAATCAACTAGCTCAGTGTCAGGTCAATTCTCCCCCCAAAAGCCCTGGGGGAATAAACACATTTTTAACTGATGTCAAAAGCTAGCCGAAGATGGCACCAATCACTTCTTAGCAGGAAGGGAATTCCAGAGCCAAGGTCCCATCAAAGAAAAGGCCCAGTCTCAGACCGCTGCCTGGCCCTGCAGAGCTTAATATATCGGCTGATGAATGAAGAAGCTGCCAAACAAACGGGAAGATAACACAGCATCTGTCTATGGCTCAGGCCAATCCTGCAATCTTGTTTACATGCATATGACAGCTGATGGTCAGTCCTTAAACATACAAAGACACACACACCTTGTTTGCCTGGCACTCACCATAGAGCTGCTGGATGCCACGAAGGTCGTCATCTGGCAGCTGGAAGTTTTCTGTGTCCATCCACTGATAGAAAGGAGCCATGATGGCGCTGGGGTTGTTGGAATGCTCCAGGCCCAAGGAATGCCCCAGCTCATGGACGGCCACCAGGAAGAGGTTGTTCCCTGTTGACAACAGGGAAGGATCGTTCCCCAGCTCCACTCACTTCCCCTCGATTCCACAGCTTATTAGGCTGACGTGGAAGAGGAATCCCAGCCAACCCTACCCATGGCCAACCATTAGGGCAGAGCCCAACTGAGGTTCCTGGTATTCTAGGCCAATGTCAATGTCAGATCCCTTTGCCTATGGCAAGAAGAGCACGCCTTCCTTACATCCTTCTCAGGCCCGAGATTCTTCCTTACCAGACACATCGGCATTCTCAAGGGTCCAGGGCTCATCCAAGTCAAAGTGCGTGTCTCCTCCCATACCAGGACCCGGGAAGTAAGCATGCGCCAGAAAGCCCCCGGTGCCATCAAAGGGGGAGCTGTCCCCATGGAATCCGGAGGCAAAGAGCACCATGATGTCTGCTTCCTTCCTCCTCTTGTGCCGGATTTCATCGTATGGGATCTCCTGGAAGATGAGGGGCGTCACTCGTTCCCACACCTGGAAGGCTCGGCGGACGGCATCGTAAGAGTAGTAGAGCCCCAACTTCTCTGTGTAGTTCTGGATGCTGGGAACACAGAAGGACAGGCATTACTGGAAGCGGGTGGGGGAACCATGCAAGGCAAGCCTTCCCCACAGCTGCAACGCCACGTGCCTTTTTAGTCCCAAGGAGCCCTTCAGCAGCAAAGATGCACACCAGCAAAAAGTTACTGAAAGGCAGGTGTAGTGGAAAGGCAAAGACTGGCAGATGAATTCCACAGAGGCTTACAGCAAGAATGAATGGAGAGTGGACTGCCCTGCTCACAGAAGCAACTGGCCCCTGTTTCATATTGTGATTGCTGAGGCTTTGGTGCTCCAGAAAATGCAAGCAGGCAGAGGAGGAGAGGGTGTGTTGAGTGCACATCTGGGCAGGTCACCCTTTTGCTATGAAGGGGCAACTTTGCATTTGATCTCGAGGTCTCACCTGGGTTTTTTTTCCTCCACTGTACCTCAACCCACATGTGGGTTTATATATCGCTGCTGCCACCACCACCCTCGTGCCCAGCGTATGTGGCACAGCTGACGAGGCAGGCCGTTTCCTACAGAGGCTCAGGTCACAAAAAACTGGTCAGCCTTCAATGTCCTAGAGAATCTATAGGGAGAATGCTTTTTTCCCCTTCTGCAGGACCCTGACCCAGCTATTCTAGGCATCTCTGGAAAAGCAGCAGGGACCAAATGAGGGGATTCTCTGTCCACTCACAGCATAATCCATATGAATGCCAGTGCACAATGCAAGGCAAAACTTCCTAGGCTAACTTCAGCTTCCTATTCTTTAGAGATATTGCTAGTCTTTATGGCGGCATAGAAAAGTCAACAAGGGGTGGGGCCTCTGAATTATGCTCCCTCCCCATCTTCCACTTTCCCCCTCCTAATGCTGCCCATCTTTCCTTTGTTTCTCAAAGCATTGTGAATTCTGTAATTCCAGACTCTGCAATCTAAAGATGATTATCAAGCATATTTCTGCAAAATTGCATCATGCACATTTTAAAGCACAAAGACATTTGCAAAGTCTTCAAGCTTCTGTCAACTCTACAGCCAGTTCCTGCCCTGCACCAAAGGTTCCCTCCCCAAACAGTCCTGCTTCATGCCTCAGCAGCTGTGGAACGTACCTGAAGCTCAGGTGAGCCTGGCTCCACCTCCGCCCAGTCAGTGCATAGCGCTTCCGCCGCATGTTGGCCTTGACTTGAGCCCCAATCTTGTCGGCGACACCGCAGCGGGGCCGCTTCATCCACCTGCAAGCGACAGTCAAGCCTAAGCCCTCATGCACGTACACAGGACACCAAGAGCCAGCACCCATGCCCACTTGCTCAAAAGTGATTCTCTTGCAGATATGAATTTGGGAATTCCCACATTAAAAGCTGAAGGAGGCCGCCCCCATCTCCACTTGCCTTGTTCTTGCAAAGTGCTAAGGTGAGCAACTGGGTGCTTGGAAGGATGGGGAGAGAGAGAGAGGAAACTCCCATCTAACAGAAAGATCAGTGGCAAAAGGATGGAGGAAGAGAGGGCTGAGCTGGCAGCAGGAAGGAGCATCCTTCACAACACCCATTGTATCCTCCTGGAGTTTCCCTTGCCTCAGTTCTCCAACAAGGAGAAATCCCTCTTCCCATCACAGGTGACCTGCAGGAGGAAGACCTTCTGAACAGGAAAAAACTTACGCTTTTGTCTCTTCATCCAGAATGCCTGTCACAGGGATGCCATAGAAGCTCTGCATCTCAGAGAGGGCTGAGGAGAGGGTCTGAGCTGAGCGCAAGGTGGACATCTGGCGGTTGGACTGCGGAAGGTAGCCATAGAACTGTAACCAGCCCTGCAAGTGAAGAGGAGCCCTATCATCAGCGTGCAAAAAGCCACACCGCCTGCAACCACACAGCTGGAATATTTCCTTTCTGCTTTAAAACGCCTAAGCCTTTCTTATGTGGGGTATTGTCGAGCACTCCAAAAGTAAAGCAACTTTCAATGTATTTTGAGTCAGACAATTCCTTAAAATAAAATAAAAGAACCTTTCCTGTGTGCCCATGCAAGAGTTAAAACCCGGGACCTCCAGTTTAAGCCCTACTGTCACACTGGCAAACTTTCTACAAATTAATATGTAGCCATTATTAGGTGATGGCTCCCATTTTCAGACTAGAAATTGAAGGGGGAAGGCCCAGCTTCATGAACACATTTCTCAAGCTGGCAACCAAGACTATTCATGAAACAGGAATGGCCTGTAGCCTGCAGGCCAATCTTGGCGCACTAGGCCATTTCCCCCATTAGTGGTGTCAGCTGATGGGCAGCAGGACAGGGTATAATCCTGCCTCATCTAAGAACAGGATTTTGCAGCCTAGGTATCAGGATTTAATCCCCAGTCATCATCTGATGAGCTAGGATTAAAGCCCTTTGTCCTTCTACTTGAAAAGGGTTGGTGGTGGTACCTGTGGAGTTGTGTGGAACTCCCCCATACCCTGCTGACACCCACCCACTGCTCCAAATGACACCTTTGCAAAGGCAAAGCCCATTTCAGACAGCCCCCGCCTCCCCCCTCTGACTACCAGAGCTGCTTCACATAGCCCTTTTGCAAAAGGCAAGACTATTAAGCACCATAATGGCATTGTGTGATTGGCAGGGTGTGGCCCTGCCCACCTGTCCAATTTGGCCCAAGAGGCAGATCCCCACCCCTGGACAGATCAGCTCAGTCTGAGGTGCCCTTATTCCATGTGGGACGTTCCAGCTAGCAACAAATCTTGTGAGTGGGTCGGCTTCTCAGCCAACTGCTGAATAGGACAATTGTCTAGTGAATGAGCAGCTGGTAGTCTTGTTGACCCGTACACTCTGAAGCACAGAAGCATAAGCTGGAGGCAGACAACAGATTTTCATCAGGTTGGAAGTGGTGCAGCAGACGCCTTGTTACATGTGGAGGACCCCCATTCCTTGACTTGGTCCCCCGTCATCCCTAGTTAAACTGGGTTTTAAAAATATGCTTTGCTAACAATAATGCAGAATAAATATATTAATAACAACCATACAAAGAAAACAACCAAACAATAACAGAATCCATTTAGTATTAGTCATACATGAGAAGCACGAGAAAAAAACGTAAATTAAGATTAATTCACTTTTTACTAATTACTAATTTTGTAAAGACAAGGCTACAATCTGCCAGCAACAAATGCATGAGAGAAATCTCCAGAATTACAACAAAGCTAAGTAAAAATAAATAAAATATTAAACAAGAGCCAGTGTTTAGCCTGACTATCTTCACAAGGTCTACAAGTCTACAGTGTACAGCACAAAGTTCCCAAGATCCTGGTCACTGATCTCCATTGTCATGCCTTTTAGCTATCACAGGCTCCATAAATTTGCATGTTTCTGCTGGTATATTTGTTTCCTCTGCTCTATAATTTATATATTTAATAAAGTCAAATGAAACTGGGTAGAAGACCCTTTTCTTGACAGCCCTTTGTGCAGATGAACTTTACATACCAAATTTCCACTGTCAGTTTATCTGTGTACTTTCCAAAGTGTGTGATGGTCAGTTGCTGCCATTAGCAAGTAGCACATTATTTTTATAATCCAAATTTTGGCCATCCCAGATGTTCAAAATCACCAGGGTGGGAATTGCTAGTGTTTCTCGGTGAGTAATATATTGGACTTCTTCAACACGTGACTCCTGAAAATTGTCACTTTAGGGCAATTCCACCATTTATTTAATTACATTTATATCCCACCTTCTTCTCCAAGGAGCTCAAGCTGGCGTACATGGTTCTTCCCCAATCTCATTTAATCATCACAACAACCCTGTGAGGTCGGTTAGGCTGAGAGGTAAGGTCACCAAGTAACTTCACGTCTGAGTGCGATTTGAACCCTGGACTCTCAGGTCCTAGTCTGACACTCTAACCACTACACCACAGAGAGGGACATCAAGGTGGGAGTATGTGCCCTTTCCTTGTCCAACAAATCAGCAAGTCTGTGAAGATGACCAGGAGATGCAAGGCAATTAAACTGATGTAAGATGCCAGCAAAATATGGTTTTAAGCCAGGCATAGGCAAACTCAGCCCTCCAGATGTTTTGGGACTGCAACTCCCATCATCCCTGACCACTGGTCCTGTTAGCTAGGGATGATGGGAGTTGTAGTCCCAAAATATCTGGAGGGCAGTGTTTGCCTATGCCTGTTTTAAGCATTGTTTCCTTGACCCTGAGCCCAAGAGCCTTGCTATTCCAAGTTTCCCTCAAGCTGCACCGTCCACATCAGTGCCAAGACCAAGATTCTTTCAAACTCTGTGCCTTCCCCATGTCCAGTGACAATAAATTTTTGGAAACTTGCCCTTTTAAGACAATACAGCCACCCCCAACCTGGTGCCCTCCAGATGTTGCTGGACTGACTACAACTCCCATCAGCCCCCACCCAACACACCATGCTGATGGTAGCTGCAGGGCACCAGGTTGGCATAGGCAGACTTCACATTTGCCACCTTGCACCATTCCTTCAAAGTCAGCCTAAGTTCTCACTCACGTCTCCATACATTTTGCCTTGCAGGAAATCAACTGCTTCCTTAATACTGAGCCAGCTGCTCTCTAACACACCCAAAGCCTCTTGCAAAGTTCTCTCACCTCTGGTGGGTGGGGGGAGACCTTAGCTTGTATTGCTCTCACAGGCTGTGAAGAGAGCATTTTTAAAAATCCAATTGAATTATTAGAATAGAAATCCGGTCTTGGCACTGATAACATGCAAGTTGTAACTTAGCAAGAGAAGGTTCTGCTGAAAATGCTTCACCACCTCACTAACTGCAAACACAGACACCACAACTACTTATGGCAGGTGTGTGTGCTGTTGCTGCAGCCTGTGAACACATAGACCACTGGGCTCCCTGATGCACATCTCCTCTGAGACAGGAGGTCCTCCCAGCCACTGATTCAAGGGCATCTGCTGCCAACTGTGCCTGTTTTCAGGGCTGCAGCCCAAAGCTCTTCCCACCCCCTATTTATTTCCCCCTAGGAAGGTGTCTTGGGCTTCCTTGCACTTTCCTGACTATGCTGGGTGGTGCCCACTGCAGGCATTCACCTGTCCTTGCAGCACTAGCCCAGATCCTGGGGCTGCCAACTTCTGCCACTCATGTTCAAGTGGGTGAGGACAAAACTAACCAGGATGAGAAGTTTGCAATCTTTTGACAAGAACCCCTTTGGTATCCTCTCCCCCCCCCCTTTTTGTGAACGGCCATTCTGGAAAGTAGAGGTCGCGTTGAGGTTCCCAGCAGCCTTCATCAACCTGGTGCCCACCAGATATTTTGGATCACAATTTCCATCATCCCCGACCTTTGGCACCAACTTGGCAAAGGTTGTCCGGAAGACCGTGGCAGCCCAGCCACGGTCCTGAGTTTATCTAGAACCCAGGGTTCTCCTCTGCCCTTTACACTGCCCAGGCAGGAGGACTTTGCCAAGAAAGCTCTCTCTAGCCTCCCTCTTCCAGTCTTGGATCAAAGCTCTCCAAAGCTTAAGAGCAAAATAAAAGGTGAACACAGCACCCCTCAACCCCATATAATTTGGGCATAGCTGGGCACCTGTCAGGCCATCAAGCCCGAAGCTGAAAGAGACAAGATGAACAAGTGAGCGCTCCTCTTCCCACAAGTTGCTTGTTCCAAGGCCAGGCTCGCTTTCCCCCTATTTGCGGGCCACGATGGAGTCGCCCTTCCGGGGAGCGGGGCGGGAGCAGCCTGGGGCCCCCACGTGGGCCCTCGGCTGCTTGGGTTTTCCCCGGGCCGGCGCGCTGCGACGTTGCACCGCCGACTACCTGCGCTCTCCGGACTGGAGCCCGGGGCGCAGGTGGCAGTCTGGGGAGCGCAAGGCAGGGCTGCTGCCGCTGCCGCCGCCGCCACCTCCTGGACGCCTCCCGCGGGCCCAGTTCGCCCCTTCCCCCCGGAGCGCCGCTCTTTTGTTCGGCCGGCGGGGCAGGCGGGAGACCTTGCCCAGGCGGCCTGCCTGGCCAAGGCGCAACAAGAAGCGCAGCAGAGCGGGGGACCTACCTCGGCGTCCACTTCGCCCGGGACCGGCCCCGCCGAGGCCCGCAGCAGCAGCAGAACCCCCAGCAGCAGCAGCAGCAGCAAGGGCTGCGAACAGCCTTCGCCTCCCATACTGGACGCCGCGCCTGCTCCTCTCTCGGTCCACAGCACGAGCCGCCGCCGTCCTCGCCCCGGGCCTAGCCAGGCCCCCTTCGCTACTTGTCGCCCGCCCGCCTCTGCTGTTGCTGCTGCTGCCGCCGCCGCCGCGCCTCGGCCATTGCCTTTGTGTGGCGGGCTGGCGCTCCAGCCTCGGCGCTACGCCCGTCCCGTCTGCTCGCCGCTCCCTTGCCCGGCTGGCTCAGCGGAATGCTCCAAGCGCCGCCCGCCCGCCCCGTCGCGCCCTGCGCTGGGCTGGGCTTGTGGCGGCCGCCGTCTAACGGCCAGCCGACTCACTGACCGCCCCTCAAGCCCAGGAGCCAGTCCGGAAGGCCCCCGAGGGACGGGCAGCTAGCAGCCCCACGCCTCCAGGCTCAAACCGGAACGAGGCGGCGGCTTGGCGGTCTGGGCTCGGAGTCCACGCTTGTAGCTGTTTCAGACCTGGGGGGCGGGGTCCCTGTGCGTTTCCTTACATAGGATTCGGCGGGGCCCCAAATGCCTCGGAAGCGGCGGGAGGACTGAGACGAGCAAAGGATAGCTCACATGGTGAGCGCATGGTGCTGATAACGCGAAGGTTGCAGGTTCGATCCCCGTATGTGACAGTAGCATATTCCTGCCTTGCAGGGGGTTGGACTAAATGACCTGCAACTCAACCATTCTATGATTCTAAGATATTTCCCCGCACTTGATCAAAGTTGTCGCTATTTAGACGTCAAGACTTACACACAGCACCGTTCTATGGAATCATTTATTTATATTGTTATAATGAAACTTTTCCCTCAAAAGGCAAGGGCAGAAGCGACAGGTGCAATGCCCAGCCTAACCGTGTTTACTCAGAGGGTAAAGCCTGCTGAGTCCAAAAGGGCTCTCTTCCAAGGAAGCGTGCAAATAATTATTGCCTTAGCAACTTTCAAGTTTCAACACTCAAAACAGCTTCTCTTCACCTGCCCCACCCCACTCTTGAAATTGCACAAGTTCACCTTGAATGTGGAGCAGCTTAAAGGCTAGAAAAGCATTCGCCACCCATTCCAAAAAGCTCCCTGCCTGGTTTTGGCACTTCTCTACCCAGTCCCACCAGGACCAGGGTAATCCATAAGTTGTGGATTTGTTGCCAGTTAGCACCTTCCTAATATTTGGCTGCTCAACAACTGTGGCCTTAATTAGACACCAGTTCGGAAGTAAAATTTCACTGAAGACAGTGGGATTTCTTCCAAACAGAGAAGAGGATATGGGCTGTTATTAAGAACAGCTGGGAAATTCTGTTCAATGCAAAACCGAATAACTTGCAGAAAAGGTTTGGCCTTTGCCAACCTGGTGACCTCCAGATGGTCTACAATTCCCATCAGCAGTCCACAACCTCTGGAGGGTGCCAGGTTGCCAAAGGCTGTTCCTAAACAATGATTGGTGAGGAAGGGCCACAGTGGGCAATAGAACTGGCCTGGCAAGAGCAACTCCCAATGCAAATTGAATTCGTATTTTAACTCCTGCCCTTTTGCTTACCTTTGTGACGTTGAGCAGGACTTTGCCTTTTCCCTGGTAAACAGAGTTCAGCAGCAACTGTCAGTGCATAGTTAAGAACTTTTCTCAGTTGGGTGATAAAATTAGGTGTTTTTGTTTTGATCAATTGGGAATCAGCTTTGGCTTGGGTTTATTGCATTTTCTGCCAAAAGATATGGCATCCCTAACACAATCTGACCAGAAGTGCATTAAGGTCAGCACCATCTTTTTTTCACAGAGGTGTTTCCGGGCAACCGATAAGCAGGGCACAGAAGATGACAGCTGCTTCCCGCAACACGTATTCAGAGGAATTCTTCCTGTGATGTCGGACCTTCAGCACATACCCATAGCAAGGAGGAGGGCATAGTTCAGAGACAAAGTTGATGCTCTACTTGTAGAAAAGGCCAGGTTCCATCCTCGCATCTCTAGGTGGGCTAGGAAACACTCCTGACTGAAGCCCCAGAGAGCCAGTGGCCTATAGACAATACTGAGCTGGGTAGGTTATTAGCCTCAATTGATACTTGAGAGAACTGCTTTGTCCCTTATATGCCTGGTGGGTTGCTGTGGTCTGGAGGAGAGCTTCTCCTTTCAAGCCCCCCAAACATCAGAAGTCCACTCCATAGTGGTTTGGAGCAGGGCTCTCAGCCTGGCTGCACCTGTTTTATGCAACAGCATTCCTGTCGAGATACAACAGGCGCTCACTTTTGTGCTTCTGGAAACAACTGAAGGAATTTTCTGTTTTGACAAGCTTTTCCAGCTGGAGGAGAAGAGTCCTAGGGGCTCGTTTTGTGTTTTATTTTTGTACTGTTTAAAAAACTTTTAAAGAGCATTTTTAATGTGTTTTTTTTATCACTTGCTTTGACACAGATGCAGATGAAAAAGGCCGTTCATAAATGAATAATAATGAAGCAGCTTTATCAATTGCTGTCCAAAGATTTGTTAAATGCTCCTTTACAGCCCCATTATTACAACTCGTGGGAGCAAACTCTATAAACTATGTATTGTATGTGGTGGTACAGCCTTCCTTAGCCTGGTGCCCTCTGGATGTTTTGGACTACAACTCCCATTACCTATGCTGGCTGGGGCTTGTGGGAATTGTAGTCCAAAACATCTGAGGGCACTAGGTAAGGGAAGGCTGAGGCAAGACTTTACATGTGTCCTGAATCCACTGCCAATCTATCTCATTAGGTGGGTCCACCTTATAATACTATAAGGGAGAATATTTTTTGGATATGTTGTATAGTTTTATAAACCTTCATTGTATTCTCCTTCCTTGCACAAGCCCCCTCTCCCAGCTAAAAAAACCCCTCAAACCCTTTAGCTTTCCCTTCTTCTGAAAGTACTCTAACTAATTGGTTGCTTGGGTTATTTTTCTGTACCCCTTCCAGCTCTACAATGTATTTTAATTTTATTTTTTTAGTTATGACAACCAGAACTGTACATAGTATTGCAAGTGTGGCCCATGTAACAGATTCATGTACTATGCTGGCTATCTTTGAGGCAGCAATGCTTCTGAATACCAGTTGCTGGAAACTTCAGGAGGGGAAAGGGCTCTTGTGCTCAGGCCCTGCTTTCAGGCTCCCTGTTGGGCATCTGCTTGGCCACTGTGAGAACAGGATGCTGGACTAGATGGGCCATTGGTGTGATCCAGAATGGCTCTTCTTATGTTCTTATTTTCAGCCCATATCCTAATAATCCCTAGCATGGAATTTGCCTGCTCCGAGCATTAGATACAACAGCTGCTCCAACAACAGTAAACTATATTTATTAAAAACTGTTAATATGGTTTCTCATTGAAAATTCCAAGGCAGATTGTAACAGCAATACAAAACTTAATTCAAACCTTTGCAGATTTATTTACGCTTTAAAAAAAAAATTAATACCGTCTTTCAGCTCCAATTGGCACCCCACCCCCCACATCAAGGCTGTTTTTCCTACACTCTTGTTGTAAGTTGGTATACCTGTCCTGTTTTACCCCACAGAACTCTGGTGTGGTGGCCTTTGGGGCAAGCTGAGAATTCCCTGAGAGATACCTTTATAGACCCTTTATGCAGCCCGTACCAACCTGGTGGCCTCCAGAAGTTTTGGACTACAATTCCCATTGGCCCCAACCAGCATGGGATGGGGAGGAAGACAGGGCAATTAAACCTCCATAAGAGCAGACTGTGAAGTGATGGTAAGGAAAGCCAACTCAACACTGCCCCCTGGCGGTTATCTGGCCAATTGACAACAACACTACTATGGTAAAACCCAATGCCCCTTCTCGCAGCTCCATGTACCCCAATATATATGGTAGTTTTGTGGCTTCTGAAACTGTCCACACAAGGGCGGGGGGCAATCTGTACTTCTGTTTCTCATTTGATCCATTTTTAGCTAACAGCTCAGTCTGATTGCCAGGAGGCTTCATGCTCTCAACCAGCAAGGATACTTTCAAGCCAAATGCTTCTTGTGACATCAGCTTTAGGGGGAGGCAGGGATCCTCTCAAACTTGTAATTGGTAATTTCTGTTGTCCTCCAGATCAGGAGAGATTCTACACAGCTGTTGTCCACTTCAAAACTGAGCATCTTTTTCAACTGGCTCTCAGAACTGAATGGCACTTTTGCATGTCACAACTCCCTCAATAATCATGCTGGCACAAAGCTGTGGCTGTTAATGTAGCCTCTGCATTCTTTTGTAGCACTGGACCCTTCACCTCTGTAGCACTGGACCCTTCACCTTAGGCCCATCACTTGCAAGACCCTTAACAATGAGCAATGGGGGCAAGGGGCTACCGCCATCTAACTGCTGAGCCACAAATATCATTTGTGGCTTCTGACCATTCCTTGTGTCCTGGCGAAAAGGTAGGTAAGGTCCATCCTCAGCTGGCGGCTGCTGCGGATTATTCTCCCAGCTCCTACCGTAAAGGGAAGGAGAAGATCTTCTTGCCAGACTTGCAACGGACTTCGGCCCCAGGGATTCGCACAAGGTATGAAGAGTCCTCAAACCCATTCACAATCTCCTGGAAAAGACAAAGGAGGAGAGAGGGGTGGGAATTATGCAGAGCCCAGGAATCTGATTGGCCGCTGAACATTTAACAGGCAGCATGCTGGACATATTGATATGTGAGAAATGTGGGTAGGAGAAGGCTTATACTTCTGAATACCAGTTTCTGGAAACTACAGGAGAGGAGAGCATTCTTGTGCTCAGATCCTGCTTCCAGGGTTTCCCACTGAGGCATCTGGCTGGCCACTGCGAGAACAGGATGCTGGACTAGTTGGGCCATTGGCCTGATCCAACAGATCTCTTCTGATGTTCTTATGGCTTTGTGCTCCCATTTGGGCCTATCTACCTTGGTACTAATTGGCTTTGAGGTCCAGTTCAAGGCTGCTGGTTTTGACTTTTGGAGCCCTTCACAGTGTGGGTCCTGTGTGCAGGAAGGAGCACATTCTCCTACACAGACCTCCCTGTGTGCCTGCTCTGTCTCCCATCAACATTTAAATCAGCCTTCCCCAGATATTTTTTGGAGCAGCACTCACATCAGCCCCGGCCAGCAGGAATTGTAGTCCAAGACATAAGGTTGGGGAAGGCCGATTTAAAGAAGAGGAGATGTAGAGATAGCTTTATAGTTGCAGTACCCTCTCTGTGGAACTCCAGGTTGTTTAATTCCTTAAACATCTATGCTTGTGAATGACATCCGAGGTGGTTACCTGCAACTCCTGAAGACAACTTTCAAGTTCTTCAGAAAGGTTTCCAACACACCACGCGAGGCTGAGATGGAATGAGGGATTCTGTACAGAAGCCAGGAAAAAGCAGGTGCTAAGAATCTGGAGAAGCTGCACTAACCCAGCTAGGTGCCACTACCCCAGAATTCCTGGTAGGAGCTGAGCACCCTTCCATGGAAATGAGACTCCAGGGCAAAGAGGGAGGCTTTGGGTGGGTTGGTTGGTTTCTTCAACAAGTTTATGTTACCGCAGCTAGTTTATACACATATCACATGAGATCTGCAGTCTTATTTGGGAATACTGGTTGGGGCTGATGGCCAAAATATCTGGAGGGCACTCGGTTGGTAATTGTATATATATAATGTAATAAACTATATACAGTGGTAGCTCTGGTTAAGTATTTAATTCGTTCCGGAGGTCCGTTCGTAACCTGAAACTGTTTTTAACCTGAAGCACCACTTTAGCTAATGGGGGCCTCCCGCTGCTACTGCGCCGCTGTTCTCATCTTGAAGCAAAGTTCTTAACCCGAGGTACTATTTCTGGGTTAGCAGAGTCTGTAACCTGAAGCGTATGTAACCTGAAGTGTATGTAACCCGAGGTACCACTGTGTATATATATATAACTATATATATTATATATATAATGTAATAAACTGTTTATTTCCAGGGCCGTGGTCATTCAGCAGCAGCCTCTTTTTGCAGACTCCACTCCCTCTTAGAACAGTGGAAGTCTTACCTTGTAGAAAGAAGGGAGACTGAATTCCTCCATAACTCTGTCCACTTCAGAAACCAACTCCAAGAGCTGAGAATGCCCAGAAGTTACCTCCAAGCCAATGAAGGTCCTGCAGAGAGATATGACAGAATCTTAGAGCAGTTCAGTGTTAATGTTTACTGTGAGTGCCCACTTTGCCCCAGAAGGCAAAGCGCTGAGGAGGCACCAATAGGATGCTGCCCCACTTGAGGCAAATACTGGCCTCCCCCCTCCTCTCTACCAACCTTGTCCTTGTGCAATTATTCTGCTTGTGCCAATCAAGCCACAGGATGGCTGGCAATTTCAGCCTGAGGACATGATGCAAAGCAGCCTATTGCTCTCTGAGGAGTAGCCTCAGTGCCATTCACTCACCTGCTTTTGGGATCATTGGTGTAAATCTTCACTCGATCTGCTCTACAGGTGAACCTGAAATGGGGAAAGAATCCATCTGATTCCTTTGCAAGATGAAGAGAAGAGGAGAAGGAGGACAGGGGAGAAGAAGTAAGGCATACTGAGACCCAGGGGCTGGGGAGTGCATTTTCTGATTTGCCCCTCCCTGGAGCCTTTAAGTCACTCTCTTCCAGCAATTACAGCTCTCCACACTTACCTTTCCCTTTGCTTCCTTTTACTGATCCAGGTTTTGCTGCTGTTCTCTAAAACAGCTCTTGCCGCAGCCATTCAGATGTTTGGACTACAACTCCCATCAGCCCCAGGCAGTGCCAGAATATATAGAGGGCACCAGGCTGTAGCAAAGACTGCTCTAAAGTATAAAAACTGCACACAAATTTTCAAATGGAATAAGGTCAATTGATTTAGTAACCATGTGGAAGGGTGGGTGAGTTCCACGAGTCATTCCACATCACGATTCTGGGGTGAACAGGGAGAGGTGTCTTTTGGTGTGGGTCAGTAATGCCCTGTCTGCTTCCTCACAGAAGAAGCGCGGATTAAGAATATGCGCTAGGTCAAGGGGAGGTGGTGCCAAAAGTGCAAGAGGAAGGCGTGGTCTAAGGGTCCAAAGCATCTTACCTGGGGAAGGAAGCCAGGTGTTCCTTGAGGGACTGGACAACAGGGCTTATCCAGTGGTGGCGCAGGATTACACCCTGAGAAAGGCTGATGTGGAACTCTGCCATAGCCGTCAACGATGGCACGGATGCACGTGCACGCAGGAGGAGAAGCTGGAGCAGGTCGAGGAAGTCCTCCTGAGCCTCATCTGTAAAGAACGGTAGAACAACAGTGAAGGATTGGAGCAGGTGGGTGTGTGGGTGCATCTCTGCTAAGCTGCGGTGGCAACTTGGTGGCAAGTCATACTTTCCAGGCCTCAAATCTCTTCTGTAAAATGTGGATTACAATGGCCTCCTCTACCCTACAGCCACTACCAACCAGTACCTGTGGATGGGTAGAGAAAGATGCTCTTTGTCTACCCCAAGTCTCCCCTAGTCACGATGGCTCTATATTACCTCTGCTATTGGAGGAAGCAGAGCATTATTCTGTATATTGGGTGGGGGAGAGCACAAAGAGCAGGAGAGTGTGATTGAGCTGGTGTTCTGGTTTGGGACAGAACAAGGCAAGAAGCAGAGACCCCACGGAGTGAGTAGGTGAGGTCTGCATCTGGGCCTCCCTCAACACTTGCTGCTCATTTGCTACTGCCCACTGGCTGTGGAATGATTTGAGGTGTGCTTTGTTGGTGGGGAGGAAGGTGGCAATCTGGCAACTTCCAGGAACTTTGGGGTAGGGGGAAAAGGTTTTTTTTTGTGCAGAAAAGAGCAGAGCTGCATGCTCAGAGGTGTCTGTGAAAAAGGTCCATGGTGGTTTTGGAAAGACACCGCAGATATGGCTGTAGCCAAACCCAGGGTGTGGGTGTCATAGATATGGCTTAAGCCACCTGCCAAAACTCAGGGTCACCCATGTAATTGGGGGAATGTTGGTCAGCTCTTATGAAAGGTGTGTGTGTGGTGGTGGTGCTTTACACCGCAACACTTTGTTGCAGTTAAATTATCTGTGGTGCTTCTGATCTGGTTTCCCCCCTCCCACTTCATATTATGAATAGGAACAAAGGAAGCTGCCTTATACAGAGTCATACCAGTAGCCCATCTGGATCAGTATTGTCTACACTGACAGTGGCTCTCCAGGGTTTCAGACAGGGAGAGTCTCTATCATCCCTACCAGGAGATGCTGGCGATTGAACCAGGCACCTTCTACATCAGTTGTGACATTCTATTGGGGTGTTTGAAAAGAGCTATCCTCTTAGACATGTTTAGCCTGGAAAAAAGACTGAGAGGTGATATGATAGCCACCTTCAAATATCTAAAGGGCTGTCCTATGGAAAAGGAGCAAGCTTGTTTTCCGCTGCTCCAGAGGGGAGGGCCCAAACCAATGGATTTAAATGACAAAAGAAAGGGGATTCCAACTAAAGATCAGGAAGAACTTTCTGACTGTAAGAGATGTTCGACAGGAGAACAGACTCCCTAGGAAGGTGGTGGACTGTCCTTCACTTGAGGTTTTTAAACAGAGATTGGATAGCCATCTGTCAGGGATTGGATTAGATGACCCTCTGAGTCCCCTCCAACCCTACAATTCTATGATTCTGTGTCAGTAAGCACAATTCTATTAAGGATGTCTGGTCAGCCACATTAAGTTGTGACTGTGGCTCTGTGGGCACCGTCCTTTTGCCCATTGGAATGGCACTTCTCTGCCGTACAGATCAAACAGCTGGAAGGGCTCTGCTCCTTGGAGAAAAGGTACCATTTCTGGCTGAATCCCAAAGATGTGTGTTTCCAGAGTTTGACTTCCTAGTGACACTGGGGTCGGAGAAGAGGACAAAGAGCAGAAGGGCACTCACAAGGCACATAGACATGTGTTGCCCAGTTGCCTCGCTCATGCGGAAAGGTCCGCAGGCGGCCTCCATGCTTGCTGCTGTCGTCCACCACTGTCTCTGCCTCCTCCTGATCTCTGAACATACTTAGCACGCTGTCCGGCACAGGAAGGCGAGGAGCTGTTGAGCTGCAAGGCAGAGGGAGAAAAGAGAATTCCCAGCCCTTTTAATACTCCATTTGGAGCAAAACAGGCCAAATGACTCTTGGCCCCTGGACACTGCACACGTTTTTCAGTCCATGTCCTACCCACAACTTCAGCACTCAGATGAGTGCAAAAATAAGTTGAGTGACTGGATACTGATGGCTCTGCAATGCTTGGAGAAACAGAGCAACCCCTCATGCCCAGAAAGAGTGTGGTTTGAGGAAAACTGGGCAGAAAAATATTTCAGATGACCACATCCCTACATCAAATTTGTATCTAGCATTGGGTTTTTCCTGCTCTAGGGTAAGTACTGTAACTAAATACATCCTCTCTGCTTTTGTGGAGAAGCAAAAACATTGTTGCCTTGTGAATTAACCGCAGCCCTGTATCTGCTTTATTTCAATTGCTATGCTGTTGATTTCAGTCTGAATTACATTTTAATAATTGTTTTAATTGTTGCAAACCTCTGGGAAACCCAACCCACTCAGCTTTGGGACAGAATAAGGAATGGTGGTAGCTCAGTTGCTGGGGCTTCTGCAGAAGACCCCTGGCTCAGTTGGTGCTTTCTCCTGCCAAAAGGGCCCCAAAGCAGCAAGGCTCAGATCTTGCCTTGAGACACTAAGGGAGGAGTAGACACCAATCTGAGGTGGTTTAAAGGAAAGCAGTTGGCACCAATTGCACCAGGAAGTGCATGGAACTGTTGGGAGGTATCCACCAAAAGGTGCCGGGAGGAGGAAGAAGGGGCAACAGCGGCACAAACCAGTCCATGGGGTGGCAGGGGGAGAGAGAAAGCAAGCAGGACCCAGCCCAACTGTTCCTGCTGCCTCTGAATTGTTCCCAATCTAGATGGTCCTTATAAGAACCTGCCATTTTACAAAAATGTTTACAAAAAATATTTAAGAACTGGTGCCCGAGTTTGCCTTTTTCCTTTTCCCTCCCCACCCCGTCTTCCTTTTGTGCGTGTCTTTTCCGGCAGAAAGGGAAGGGGGGTTTCCGTGTTGGAACTGATACGCCCACCTGTCGCTGGGAGAGCGGCGGCCTTGACGCCCCTCCGCCGAGCTTGCGCCGCCGGCCTCGCCGCCTTCCCCTTGTGCTCCCGAGGATGCGCTCTCATCTTCCGAGTCGGAGCTGCTGTAGCCCACCAGACCCGCGACCGCCGCCACTCTACTCATGGCCGGCACGTCAGGATCTCCACTTCCGCCACCTAGAGAGAAAGAGGGACTACTGCGCAAAAGCGCCTCTTTTGATGAGCGAAGCTTGCAGAAGTCATGCTGGTGCCATCCGGCAGTGGCTATAGACGTTTAGACTCGCGACGCGTAGCGCTGGGAGTCGCTTACGGGTCGCTTCGGGAGAGCCTTTCCCCGCGCGTTCGCGTGTGGGCCGAGCGGTAAGAAGAACGGTGGAAATCTTCATCATGTTTCAGCATCGAATTGGTGTGTTTTTATATTTGACTTCGTAAATCGTATCGTTGTATCGCAACTGTGATAACTTTCTCTTTTTAAAAAACATTTTTTTTCCTGCAACTTGTTTTGTTATTAAAATTCATTACAAATACTTTTGGGGCGCGGGGGTGGGGTGGGGGTGGATAGCAGCAAAGAAGGCAGGTGATGTCCGCTTCCCTAAGGGAAACGAGGGCAAAATAGAAAATAAGTCAGTGGGGCTCATTATTTCTGAGCTGCAAGATTTCTCCCAAATATTTTCTAATTTGGCTAAGTGCGGGAAAGCACCAGGTAAGCATCAAGACTAAGATGCATAGTCTTGTTTATAAAACCAGCTGAATTTTGCAATGAGTCAATTACCACAGCAATAGTATTTTAGAGCATTTTCCTACCATGGAAGGAACATTCTGAGATTGCATGATTAAGATCTCTTTCCTTTCCTTTGAAAGGTGTGAACGTTGACTATCCAATTCCAATATCATGACTTACAACTTTGAGTCTTTTGTTCTTCTAGTAAAGTTCACAAACTCTTCAAAGCATGATCCAGCTCCAATTTAACCAGATTTTAGAATCATAACTTTTTGTAAAGTGGTTGGGTTGCTCCATGAATAAGCAACCTGTCAAACGCATCTTGCAGTTAGTTGGTAGTGAAGCCGTGGAGCATTTTTCAATCACTTCAGGCACAATTTCATTTTTGGAATCGTACACATCAGCTTTTGCTAACCTGATAATCCAACATCTGGAGGGCACCAGCTTGGGTGAAGGTTGATATATATATACTAGCAGTGACCTCAGTAGTTTTATTGCATTTATAACCCACCTTTTTCTCCAAGGACTCAAGGTGGCATGCATGGACCTTCCTGTCCTCACTGAATCCCAACAACCTTGTGAGGTAGATTAGGCTGAGAGGCGGCAAGTGGCCTAAGGTCATCACCCAATGAGCTTCATGGCCAAGTAAGGGGATTTGAACCCTGGTTTCCCAAGTTCTACTCTTACACTCTAACCACTACACCACACTGGTTCTCCAAGGGCTTGCGCTCAATGGAACCAGCAGCCACAAACAAGGTTTGAAGTGGGCGGCGGGGGGGAACACCCCAGGTTGGCATAAGTACAAGAAAAGTTTGGGAAACAAAACCCGTTTGGAGTGGGGAGACAGCAGCCTAATGACTCCTGAGAATGTCAGATGGGCATGGAACTGGCTGGATGACTGTTGAGGCCAAGGCAGGGGACAGAAAGCTTGGCAGAATCATCAAACGGTAAGTTGGGAGGGACCCCCAAGGGTCATCTAGCCCAACCCCCTGCAATGCAACTAAAGAATCCCTGACAGATGGCCATTCAACCTCTACTTAAAAAACTCCCATGAAGGAGACTGCTTCACCTTCTGAGGGAATCCGTTCCACTGTCAAACAGCTCTTACTGGGAGGGGGCGGAGGGGGAGATGAATGGAAATATCCTGGAAGAGGGCCGGAAGCCAGCCATGCTCACCCGCAACAACCCCACTGACACTTGCTCTCCTTGCAGACCCGCTTCTCTCACTCTCTCCCCCTCTGGACCACTTCGTGGCAAGGCCATCCGTTCTGTTCCTCCGCCTCGGGTCTAACGGGCCCGCGGACGCTGCGCAGGAGAACTTCGCCCTCCACGAGGTTTGCCCGCAATAGAGAGAGAGAGAGAGAGGCGAGGACCTACCTCTCTTTCGGGCGCATCGTGTGAACTCTCCTGCCTTGGGGTTATTATTGTTGGGGTTATTATTATTGGATTTGGAGGCCTGGCGGCTTCTGGCGTCGGGGATGCGCAGCTGCAACTGGCTGCTACGGCACAGGCTGGGTGCGAAAGAGGATCCCCGCTTCCCTGCCTGCCTTCCTAATCCTGCTATGGGTGAAGCCCCCAAAGGATCCCAGCAGCAGCAGCAGCATCGGCTACAGTTTTGCCGGTAAGTGACGGAGCGGAGGCCTCTCCCCCCGGTTCTTCCTTTCTCACCCGGCCCGAGCGTAGCGCGCCGCAGTTCTCCGCGCGGTCCGGCAGAGGGCGGCCCCGATCCCACGGCTGGGTCCTTCCCCTGCTGGACGCCGCCCCTTCCTCCTCCTCCTCCTCCTCCTCCTCTGCCTCCTCCTTCCCCTCCTCCGGCTGGCTCGACGCCGCCCCCCCTCCCCTAGCCGCCGCCTTTTCGCCTCTCCTCAGCGCTGGGACTGCTGCTACGCGAGGCCGGGGATCCGACGGGGCGAGCAGGCCGCGAGACACCTCCGGGCCTCGCTCTCCAGGTAGGGGAGAAGGGAGGAAGCTGGGCAGGGCGAAGCTAAAGCGCCTCTTTCCTCGCCCCGGAGCTCCTGCCCCGCCGGCCACACGGAGCCGAGCGGGGTGGCGGTCGCTTTCCCCGCGGGCGGCGGAGGAAGGAGGAGGAAAAAGGCGCTCCTGGCCCCGAGCGGGGCCGCCTGCCCTGCTCCTTGGACGGAGTAGGCCGAGGCCCGGCCAGCGGCACGGGAGACGCCCCGATAACATGTGAAGGCGGCGCTCCCGGGCCGGCGGGGCGAGGCAGCCCTTCGCCTGACCCGGTCGGCCTCGTCGCAACCTCTTGGCCGGCGGCCTGGGGCAACACACGGCCCTCCAGGTGTGTAGATCGCCCCCCCCGCAACTCCAGATGTTTTTGGCTTGCACAGCTGCCTGGGGTTGATGGGAGTTGGCGACCAGCAACATCCGGAGGGCGCCTGCCTGGCCAAAAAAAAGGCTGGCATCTTGGCTGGGGGGGGCGGGGAACCTTTGCGTTCCAGGGTGATGGAGATGAACGATCTCGGTGGGCTGTGCAGTGTGGAGAAGCCCTTAACAACCCAGTCACCCACCAGGGCATTTCTGCGGTCATGGTAGGCAGGATGTGGCCCTGGGCAACCTGAACGGAGAGGACCAGCGAAGCAGCCTTTAGCCCACGCAAGGGCTCTGGACTGTCCAACCTACATCTGGCTTCTTGGGGTGGGTGCTGCTCCCCAAGTCTCTGGCAGAGAAGAGCCATTCTATGCCACCTGGGATCCTTTTTTACCTGGAGGAGGGAATCTGGGACCATCTGTGTGTAAAGTAGATGCTGTGCCACTGAGCTGCAAAACCTGGCAAGGTGAAATTCTCCGTAAGTTGGAAGAGGGCAGATGTATGCAGCTGAGCATCTCTCTAAAGATGGGCTCAAGCAGAGAATCTGGCCAAATTATCATGCCCTTGAGTGAGGAGATGGAGCTGCTTTTAAAAACTTAAGAACAGCCCTCCTTTAAAGCCACCCGAGTTGGTGGCTTTCACTGCCTTCCATGGGAGTGAGTTCCATAGCTTTTAACTATTCACTGCGTGAAGAAGTACTTTTTTTTGTCTGCCTGAATGTCCCAGTCTTTTAAGGTAGTGGAGCAGAGAGTTCACAGTTACGCTGCTGTCTTGTCTTATGCATCTTGAGAGAGTAGATGCATTGGCAACATGGTGCACAGATCATTCCCTGGGCTCAGTAGAGCTGTGATCACTGGAGATGATGGGAGCTATAGTACCAAAACATTTGGAGGGCACCAGTTTGCAGTAAAATTCTTAAGCAGGTCCCCAGATAGACCAATTTCCAGGAAAACTTGTGATAGGTGGCTCTGCTTCACCAAACTGGAAGGTTTCTTTCCTATAGTTTGGCTGTGGATTTGCTTGCTTGAATTCTTGAGCTTTCCCCCTCTTGGATTGTTTCTTTTCCGTGGGACATTTTGCTTCTGCTTCTCCACCACTTGATACCTGGCTGTTGCTAGCTTGCTTACGTGGACAACCATCTTAACACACACACCTGCCCTCATTGTATTGTATTGTCAGATCTTGGCATGAGGACAGTTAAGAAGCTCTTCCCACCCCCTGGGGCAGTTTTGTCATCTGCATGCTTACATCAGCCTTCCCCAACCTGGTGCCCTCCAGAAGATTTGGACTACAACTCCCGTCAGTCCTGACTATAGGTTACTGATGGTTGGGGCTGATGGGAGTTGTAGTCCAAAACATCTGGATGGTACCAGACTGGGGAAGTATAGTTAATTGGTATCCAGCAGACAGAGGGGTTCAAAAGATGGGCTGAAGATGCAGTAGGGTTTTATTTCAGATTTGTATCTTGTGCTTTCCAGATAGCTATGCAGATACTAGATGCAACTTTGATTAGCGTTCAGCTTAGTGTTTGCAGAGCTGATGTCATATTGTCAACAAATGATGTTTGTCTACCTGGCTGCCTCTTTATATTATTTTTAAACTTTTTATTTTCTTTGTGCAAGGGTCTTCAAAGAACGAAAAACAATAATCTTGAGTTCAGTACAAAATGGATTGTCCCCTTTGTGCTATGGCAGGAAACACAGAGGTGAAGGCAGGCAGGTTGGGACGGCCTTGACCCATCCCATGGCAGTCATGGAGAAGGTGAACTTGGCCTTTGAGTTACCCATTTTGTGGCAGGGTGCTTGTACAAGTGCTTGCTGCTGTCCAGAGAGATGCAGCTTGAGCTGTACACACAGTCCCTGGTGACATCCTGCCCTGTTTCTGGATGTTTATTTATAGCCAGCTCTGTTCCATGGACTCTTGATGGTGCAGGTTAGCAAATAACTTAGTAGTGTGGACAATCTTTGGCAAAGGAGAATTGTGATCAGTGGAAAGTGTATTTTGAAGCTCCAGCTCGGGCAGAGTCCAGTTTTCCAGAGTTTTCAATAATAATAATAATAATAATACCCCACCCATCTGGCTGGGTTTCCCCAGTCACTCTGGGGTAAACTGGTTTGGGCTGAAAAACAAAACAAATCTCACAAAACTTTAGATGTGCATTTTTCTGTGTGGATATAAATAGGTCAGCCTTTGGCAACCAGGGATGCTCCAAATGTTCCAGGCTACAGTGGTTGCTGACTGGATAATAATAATAATAATAATAATTTATTTTATTTGTACCCCGGCCAGAGCCGGACTCAGAGCGGCTAACGTCATATACGGTAAATAATACAATATGCATAAAAACCAGCAATCAATTTATTAAAATGCATCCCAAAATTAATTCAAATAAATTAAAGTTAAAGTTAAAACTGGACAAATGACAATCCTCAGGTTAAAATTGAAGTGAATGGGGGTGCCTCAGGTCAGCAAAGGGTGTTCCAAGTTGAACACCTGGGACAACGAGGAGCTATCAGAATGATGGAGATCTGGGCAGGAGGAAGAGGAGGAGAGAGTCGATCCTGGGAGAGCCCCTGGTTGTGCTCCCCAAATCAGCGAGGGGGAAACATGATGGAATGGGTATTCCTTGCTTTGGACATGATGGCCGGGTTGAACATTAGGAACAGAAAATGGATCTTGAAGAATTGATGTGTACTGTTAGTCCAGCAGGAACGAAACTGTAGCCAGAAGGGTGTCTTTCTCTGCATCCCAGCAAGCTGACCAGCTTTTTTCCAGAAGTGCCACTGAGACTAAAATGCCACACAGATCTCTGGGGAAAGGGTCCATTTCAAACTATCAAGTTATTAATAAATAAAAAGAAACGGAGACATCTTGGTTCTGCATCCATCGGTCATTTTCTTCTCTCCCCCTGCCCCCCCCGCAATATATATGCTACCCTAATATGTTTAATAAGCTCATATGGCTGCATCAGGTTCTAGAGGTCAAAGATCCTCAGGTGTGTTTAGCCTGAAGGTTAGGCCATTGCAATATATTGGCTTGCTAGCTTAGCTTGAGTCCAGAGTGTGTTCTCCTTGCTTCCAGGATTCCTCTGCAAGCTCTTTCCTACCCAAGCATATGAGAGGATAGAGAAAATACTCAGTTCTCTTGACATCACAGGCACTGTGTGCCCTATAACCTAAATTAAGTACCAGGGCTACCAGGGCTGATGTTTTTAAAGGAAAACAGGCATGGTAAAGCAATATAAATGCTCCTGGGCAAACTGTAGATTGAAAAGGGTATGAAAAAGGGAACCCTGGCCATACAGACTTACACAAAGGGATTGTTTAGGTCTTTTAAAAAGCATAACAACATTAGATAAACCCTGAATCTGGATTAGGCCGGACACCTCCATCTAGTCTAATATCCTGTTCTCTCAGTGGCCAGCCAGGTGACTATGTTTTAACTGAAACTTTTTATAACATTTTAACTCTTTTAAGATTTTTTAAAAAAAGTAAGTTCATCAAAAGATTCTTGTAGGATGTACAAACAGATAAAATACAAAACAAACCAAACAGGAACAAAACCCTGAACTAAGGCATAACTTAGCCTGGGTATCGCACCCCGCCTCCACAAACTCGTAGCATCACAAATAAAATGAGAAAGTTGGATAGCTTTCTACAGATTCACAATAAAAAATGTAAAGCACATTTCAAGAAGCACATAATGTTTTTGTCTCATTTAACTCTGGTTTTCAAGCCAGTGACCAACAATGTTTGGGAATCTTGTCCAGCTACACAGATTTTTGAGATGCAGGTGAAAGAAATTGACCCTCCTGTTGAGTCACATAAGTTATGAGAGGGGACCCTGTGCCATCAAATGTACTTTTCAGTTTGACCCCTCTCAGACATCAGTTGTTGTTTCTCAGCTCACTTTTCCATTAAAGCCAACCATTGCACTTTGGTGCACCAAACCTTTAAAGCAAAATTGTGTGTGGTGTCCCCATTGATGCACAATAGGATGTTTTGTTCATTTGTTTTTATGTTGTGCATGTGTTTGCCACTCTGGGCTCCTTCAAGGATATAAATTCAATAAATACATATGGGAAGCCCACAAGTTGGACCTAAATGCAGTAGCACTCTCCCTTATTGGGATTCCCAAAGCCATTGTAGCTAGTAGCCACTGAGAGCCTTCTTGTCCGAGTATTCTCTAATTTTTTGTTTCATAAATATCTTGTTCATGTCTATCTATGCTGCTTGCAACTAGTGTGTGTCCCCTAGTGAAAAAGGCCTCCCCTTGGAGTTAAAATGTTAGTGGGGACAGCTGCTTGCTTCCAAGCTTCTTAAAAAAATATATTATCCCAAGTTTTGTGCAGGATGTCTAGAAATGGGTGGATCCTTCAGGAGAGATCTGCTGCCATTCCAGTTGCTCGTTTGGGAGTTCTCGTTTCTTAATTAGTGAGTGTTTTGTTGCTAACTTCAAGACTGCTTTCCTGGCTAGCTTTGGAAGTGTCCATTGATAATTCTCCAGTAGCAATTGCTTCAAGCTGCAGAGCTTTTTTTTAGTATAGTCGTGTATCTGGAACTTGCATGGCAGAGTTGTGAACAATTGTTGTGTAAGTTTTCAATATAAGCTTTCAATATGGAAAAAGGTTTGTCCCTAGTTGGAGAAACACTTCTGCAATCTCCAGCCTGCGGTCTCTGGCCTAAAATTAATTTTTTGTTTGCTTGTTCTCCCCACAGTTGTGGGTGGTGGGGAGGTAGTCGTTAGTAGATTAAATATGCTTTTTAAGTGCGATAAGCAGCTTTTTATCTGAATTGCTGTCTTTCCTTGCAGGTTCCCTTCCTTGATACCCATTCTGGTGCCAGGCAAAAGGCCTCCTGCATCCTTTAGGATGTCCCGTCCGCTGGTGTCTGCTTTGGTTTGAGACGTACCACGGTGGGGAATTGTTGCGCCCAGTGCGACGAGTTTGTCACCTCCAGGTTTGGGAGCAATTGCTGCGAACTCAGATCTCCTTAATTGATTTGCCTCAGTCGAGAAGCTGAAGCCCTTATTGTGGAAACCCCGATTTCTTTTCCCCAGCATGTCAGAAAGCTGGCCGCAGCAGCCCCCACAGCAGCAACCGCCGGCGCCCCACCATGCTGGGACCACTGCCCTCCCGGAGCATCCCATCGCCTCCAGCGCTGTGGTGGAGAATCCCTTGGGCTGTGCCGTCTACGGCATCCTCCTCCAGCCGGAGCCCAGCAGCCTGCAGCACCACACTTCCATCCCGGCTGGCGGCGGAGAGCCCTCCACAAAATGCGGGCTGTGTGGACACGACTTGGGGCACCTCTCAAACCCCCAGGAGCACCAGTGCCTGCAGGGGGGCCACGACCGCTCCTTCCAGTGCACCCAGTGCCTGAAGATCTTCCACCAGGCCACCGATCTCCTGGAGCACCAGTGCCTGCAAGTGGAGCAGAAGCCCTTCGTCTGCGGCGTCTGCAAGATGGGCTTCTCCCTGCTTACCTCCCTGGCCCAGCACCACAACGTCCACAACGGCAGCTCCGCCGTCAAGTGCTCCATCTGTGAGAAGACCTACAAGGCCGCCGCGGCTGCCGTGGCAGCCCCGGAGGAGCCTGCGCCACCGCAGCAGCCAGCCGCGCTCAACCGGACTCCCGTGGAGAAGCCCTACAGCTGCTCCATCTGCCAGAAACCCTTCAAGCACCTCTCAGAGCTGTCGCGGCATGAGCGCGTCCACACCGGGGAGAAGCCGTACAAGTGCAGCCTCTGCGACAAGAGCTTCAGCCAGTCCTCCCACCTGGTGCACCACAAGCGCACGCACAGCGCCGAGCGGCCCTACAAGTGCACCGTCTGCGAGAAGGCCTTCAAGCACCGCTCCCACCTGGTGCGCCACATGTACGCCCACTCCGGGGAGGCCCACCTCTTCCGCTGCAACGTCTGTGAGCTGCACTTCAAGGAGTCCTCCGAGCTGCTGCAGCACCCCTGCACGCCAAGCGGGGAGCGCCCCTTCCGCTGCAGCGCCTGCCACAAGGCCTTCCGGCGCCCCTCGGACCTCCGGCAGCACGAGCGCACCCACAGCACGGAGCGCCCCTTCCAGTGCGACCTCTGCCAGATGAGCTTCAAGCAGCAGTACGCCCTCATGCGCCACCGCCGCACCCATAAGGCGGTTGCGGGCACCGCCGCCACGCCAACGCCTTCCGCCGAGCAGGAGCTGCCGGTGGGGCCGTTCAAGTGCTCCCTGTGCGAGAAGGGCTTTGTGCAGCCGGCCCACCTCCTCTACCACCAGCACGTCCATGGCATCGAGAACCTCTTCAAGTGCAACGCCTGCCAGAAGGGCTTCAGCCAGTCCTCGGAGCTGCTGCGCCACCGCTGCGTGCAGAGTGCCGAGCGGCCCTTCAAGTGCGCGGCCTGCAGCAAGGCCTACAAGCGGGCCTCGGCCCTGCAGAAGCACCAGCTGGCCTCGCACTGCGCCGAGAAGCCCCTCCGCTGCACCCTCTGCGAGCGCCGCTTCTTTTCCTCCTCTGAGTTCGTGCAGCACCGCTGCGACCCAGCCCGCGAGCGGCCCCTCAAGTGCCCAGACTGCCAGAAGCGCTTCAAGTACGCCTCCGACCTGCAGCGCCACCGGCGGGTTCACACTGGGGAGAAGCCCTACAAGTGCCCCGCCTGCGAGAAGGCCTTCAAGCAGCGCGAGCACCTCAACAAGCACCACGGTGTCCATACCCGGGAGCAACATTACAAGTGCATGTGGTGCGGGGAGCGCTTCCTGGACCTGGGCCTCCTGCAGGAGCACAGCGCCCAGCACACCTCCACCGACAGCACGTACCCCGTGACACCCTGCCTGCCCTGAGCATCTCCCCCTACTGGTGGGAAAAGGTTCATGTCATCCTCCATGCCCTGTTAGCGCTGGGCCTAGGCTACGGCGAGCGACTAGGCCATGTGGGACCCTTTCCTTCTCCTTTGCAGACCAACCTGCGAACAGTGGAGGGGGTGGGGAGGGCTAGAGCAAGCAGCGTCGGCCTCTGTGTGAGCACTGAGCTCAGCAATTGTTCAATTCAGCCCATTTGCTCCTATGAATGGGCTGAGTGTACCTTCGGAACCAGCTGTGACTCAGGCTTGCTTTGCTGCTCCAGGCGCAGTGTCTGTTTTTTGGGTCAGGGTGAATGTTCCTTAAGCCTGCCAACCAAATCCAGATCCTCATCTTCCCCCCACCCCTGCCCCTCATGATTCATTAGTGTCTACAGAGGGGAGTGTGATATTCAAATAAATTTGCTGCTTGAAATTTATAGGGCAGGACTCTGCAGCAAGGGAAGCCAGGCAGGTGAAATGGTGAGAGATGGACTTGGTGGGCGCGGCTTCCCTTAAGGTGCCATCCCTAGGGAAATTCTGCTTGTGTGCGTCTGTTCAGTTAAAGTGTACATCCGAGAGAGGGAAACTTCGAAGGGAACCAGCTACTAGATGGTCCAATTAGTCTTTCAGCCTTATACATCCAAGAGAGAAAGCCCCAGAGCAGCCGTCAGGGCTGGAGGCTTTTCATTTCCTCCAAACACCGCAGCTCTCAAGGTGCTGTCTAAGCCAGTGGTGTGAGTGGTCCCAGGGCAGCGACAGAGAGGGAGGGTGTGGTGGAACACAGTTACATATTTAAACGTCTTCTAAAGCCAGAGCAAAGCTTCACACTGTAGGGGGGAAGGTTCTCTGTGTTGTTTCTAGGCTTTATCAAAATGGAAGGAAAGTTTTTTGTTTTGTTTTTTACGTGCAACTAAAAAAAAGAATTTGGTGGAAGGAGCATTCAAAATGCGCTGCTAGATCTGTCCTGGAATTGTGAGCTAGAGGAGCGCCATTTGCTTTAGTGTTATGATTGGCAATAAGATAAGCTACAGCTGGTATCACAGAGACTTTGGAAATGCTTTCCTTTGGGACCGTTCTGTGGGACACTGTGTGTGTGTGGTTTATTGCCCTTTCCACACTCAGCCCCCAAACTGTATTAAATTGGGAGGCTGCTGCAGCAGGTAGAGCAAGAACTGTCGATGGAGCAACCCTCAAAAAAAGCTTTTGTTTGTTTTTTATCTGTTTCACACGGGACACACAGAGTGGCACTGGGGAGGCCATTTTCTAGCCCTGGATCCATCCTGCCAGTTTCCCAGGACATGAAAAGAGGACAGAAGTGGACCATTGGGATGGGTCTGGCCAACTTGCCTCTCAAGACCCAGAGCCGTGTGCCTGTCCACATGCAGGGCCTGCTGACTTGTCTTTCACGACACCTCAACTGTATAGAACTAACTTTTATGGAGTTTGTCTTCATTATTTTTCATATTGCTTTTTTTAAAAAGCAGTTTAATATTCATTAAAAATCTGTGTAGCTCAGTTGGCTGTCCCTTGGAATCCTTAAAAGGTAAAGTCGTTGCATTTTGACATTACTGAATAGTGAGTTCACGATATGCTGCGTAACTACAGGAGTGACACTGGTCATGAAAATTCCTCTTCTGTTCCTTTTCTGGGGAGGAAACTGGTGATCAAGAGGCCAGGAATTGTCTTGCAGAACATCCTGTTGTGCTCTGCAGCAGGCTGAGCAGATTGAATTGAAAAGGCCTGGGTGGGTCACCTCGTCCATCGCCTGCTAAGCAGGATGTTTTGAAAGGAAAGGTCCCCTTCCCTCTGATGTCGGCTCAGGAACTGCTCAAGAAAGCAGGGAGGGTCCTTTTGTGGGCAATTTCTTCTTCTTTTGTCCAAATGAGTTTCCAGGCCTGGTGTCTCCTGTGCTCAGCGGAGGAACCAAGGCAGCATTGACAAGGCTGCAGGCTCTCCCTTCCCAAGGCTCGGCTGCTCAGGAAGCTCTTGCTTGCCAGTGATCTCAGTTCCATACTGGAGGCCTTGTCAGGGGCTATTCCCCCTTATCCCCACCTCCTGCTCAGAGAGGCCAAACACCATGCACAGGGAGAAGGGGTAATAGCTGCATGTTTGGGGGGAGAAGGCCCTGACCTCCCCCTTTTGAAGGAGGTCTTGTCATTAGTCACCAGAAATGTGACTAGGAAAAATAAATCTGCTTGTGGTTGGGGCTCTCTGGGGCTCCAGAGATGAAAGGAAAGATGAAAGGAAACAAACAGTGATTCTCAGAAAAGAATTTGGCCTGTTTAGTTAGCCCAACCTGGTGGAGCTCCACGTTTTGGACTATAACTCCTATCAGTTTCTGTGCCGGTTGGGGCTGATGGGACTTGTAGTCCAAACCATCTGGAAAGAACACCACATTGGGGAAGTCTGAGCTAGCCAGTGGGCCTGTTCTCTGCCTTTAGGACATAGGAAACCAAAACAAGGCTAAATGTGAATGCAGCCCAAGTTGCCTTTCTCTGTATCTTTCTTTATTTGCTGGACAGATTTATCCCACCCTTCCAAATAGCTCAGGGAGGTGCATGTGGTTGTTCTCCCTTCAGCCCCCATCCTGGCCCATCTTTTTCCAATCCTTACAACAACTATGTGAGGTTGAAAAAGTGCAGCTGGCCCAAATGAAGTTTCTGACTGAATTGAGATTTCAACCAAGGTCTACCTAGACGAAGTCCATTGCTAGCCACCAAACCCCACTACCACTGCTGTAGGGCTGGGCATTTGACCTGTAAGATGGTGGCTGGATATTTTAAAAGTATTGATTAGAATCATGGAAACAACATAGGAAGACATCATCATCAACATTTGATTTTATTTCATATAAGTCTGTTACATTTCCAGCAACAAAGTTAAGCTCAAAGTAGCTCCCAACAATAAGCAAAACATTGCAAATAACATCCCAACAATAGTAAAGTATAATAACATAAAAATGCAGTAACATCAGGAAAGCAAGAATTAAGAAACTGCAGTCCAATACCAGTACATAATATGTAGATTTGATACCTTGTGCCAGTGGTTTTCAACCAGTGTGCCCAATGATGGTCAGGGGTGCCGCAGGCAACACTGGCCTCTGTTCCTCTTTCCTTCCCTCCCTCCCTCCTCTGATGCCCTCTCATGTCTCTGCCTCCCAAAGGCTTGCACAGCTGTTTGTTACAGTAGCTCTGATTACAGCTGGCGAATGGTGCCTCTGGAACTGGCCAGGGGGTGCAGGAGCTGAGGCAGTCTCAGAATAAGCAAGCAAGCAGGCAAAGGAGCCTAGCCAGCCAGTCCTCCAGCCCTTGCTGTTGGGAATGGACAGACAAGTCCCAGGCCCCTGTGGGGCAGTGTGAGGAGGTGCCTCTCTTTAGGGCAGGGGCAACAGCAGTGGCTGCCCAGAGGGCTCCAAAGGAGAGGGGAGAGGAGAAGAGGCTGAGGGAAAACTCCACAAGGAAGGGTGTTCAAAAAAGGGTGAGAGGCTGCCAGCTCTGTAGGCAAGGGGTGACATAACTAGGCTCCTGAACCCCACAGGGGTGCCGCAGAAAGAATGTACAGTAGTTAGTCAAGGGAGTCATGGACTCAAAAAGGTTGAAAACCTCTGCCTTATGTTAAAGACAACCTTCTCTGCCCCTTCCCCTAGGGAGGAAGAGGTTGGAAGAGCATCCATAGGGCTCCCATTTCCCACTTTATCCTCTCTACAGCTGCCTCAGCCAACTTGCAGTTGTGGTCCAAACATCTGGAGGCCACCAGGCTGGACAAGTGGCCCTTGCCGCTAATGACTGCTTGCATCTCATTTGGAAGAAACCTGCAGCTGCAGCAGGTAAACGGTGTGAAAGCTTTTGTCCTTGGCTGACGCCAGGCTTGTAACCCTCACTGACTCACCCTTGCTAACAAATGGCACCACCATGACATTAAAAAGGGCAAGTTGCCATCTGCACAACAGCATTCATGGAATATTTATTGTACAGTACATCATTATTGTATTTAAACCCTGCCTTTTCCCCAAACCAGGACTCAAGGCAGCTTACACAAATTAAAAACAACACAGATAAAATACAAAAAGCTAAAAACATATAAAAGATAATTAAGAAGTAATTAAACCATAATAGAATTAAAGCCACGCAAAAACAAACCTATTGAAATACAGTAAAAAACCACACAGCACTATTAAAAGCCCTTTCCTTAAAAAACAGTTCCCAAAAGCTTGTCAGAATAAAAAAGGGCTTCACTTGCCAGATGGACAACAAAGAGAGCCAGTCTGGCTTCTCTAGGAAGGGAGTCCCAAAGTCTGGGAGGAGCCACTGAGAAGGCTTTTCCTGTGTCCCCACCAAGTGTGCCAGTGCGGGTGGTGGGGCTGAGAGAAGGGCCTCCCCTGAAGATCTCAGAGCCTGGGCAGGGTCTTATGGGAGAATATGGTCCTTCAGATAGCCTGGGCCTAAGCCATATTGCTCTGTTTATCCCAGTTTTTGGATGAAGACTGTTTCCCAAAGTGGTATCCATCCGGTCCTGGGCTGATACTTCCTGGGGCAGAGAGGTGCTGCAGTAACCAACAGCCCTTTGCCCCATGGCCAAGGGCAGCAGCCAGAGGATGTTTCACTTCCCTTCTGTGGCCTGAGGGCAATCTTGGTGAAAAGACTAGGCAGGGAGCTGACCAGCATGCCAACTCTACTTGCCGTTAAACAGAAGTGCTTGCGGATCTGTGGCTTATACTGGTATCACTGGTAAGGACATGAAATGTTCTCTGGGAAGGGAGGACGATCACTTTCTGAGGATGCCTCATTCTTCTAGCCTACCATGGCAAAACAAAAACCAGAAGCTCCTGCAGGCCCAATCCAGCACCTGCCTGGGATGTTCTCGCAACACGCAGGCCCCTTGTACTTCCTCCCATTGCAAAATGTTGAACATTCCAAGCCATCCTGGGAACTGGCTGAGGTATGTTTGTAAGTCTAAGCATGCCTCTTAGCCCTGCGGAGGCTGAAGGCATCAGCTGCGGACAGGGGGGTTGGCCTGAGGTCTCCTGCTCCACTCGCATTGCCAGGATAAAGTAAGGGGAGCCAGGAGGAGGAATGAAGGAGCCCTCCTGCTTCCTTCTCCCTCTTGGGAGTGCAGCCAGGCTGCTGCCAAGTCAGCCTGCACCACCTTTTGCTCTGTCTCCCTGTATTTGTCCTTTGGGCACAGGTGAAGGTTAGACTAACTGACTTCATGTGATGGAGCCCTTCAGGGTTGGGCTGTACAGAGGCCAGAAATCGCCTCTCCTCGCTTCCATCATGATCACAACAGAACCACTTCATATAGCACTGAGACTGCAAACTGGGGGATAGGAGCTACAAAGAGACGTTCCCATCTGCTCCCCCTTCCTGTTCTTTACCTCAAAAAATGCATCCCCTACCAGGTAGCAGTGCTCTCTCTGAACCCGAAAGTTCTGTAATCAGAGACTTCAATGGATCACCCATTCTCTGGCCCCTGACAATGCTTTCCCTTTTAAGTCTCACTATTTTGTTGCAGCAATACATTGAAAAGCTCTGGGCCAACAGGTTTGATGGCTGCAAAGAACCAAAGATGGCACCTCCTGAATCTGGTAAGAGATGCTCAGTGAAGGCTGGCCAGCAGTCTCTTCTTTGTGAACCACTTTGCTGTGGCATGCTGGGAAGAAGGCCAAGGCAGTTTTGGGGTGAGGAGAACTAGCTATCCTTGCTGCTCCCCTCCTGTTTCCTCATCCCCCGCTTTGAAGTGTATTTTATTTGACCAGGAAACGCCTTCTCTGCACCTTCCTTGTTGAACCAATAGCATTTATTCCTTGTGGATGTTCAAAAGCTGAAGGAGAAGATTCATGTGGCTTCTTTTTCTGTGGCCTGTCTCCTAGCGCCAGGGTTGGAGATAGTGAGAGCGGCTAGAAAGCAACAGAAGAGACCATTTCATAAATCCACAATCGGTTATTTTGAAATCAGAGTCGCCCAAGGTCAGATCCCTTGAGCTGGGAGCATTGGTGCTGCTTCCTGGGCCATTAGTTGACTTAGGGGTGGTGTACAAAGAGTCTTGTCCAGCCTTGCCCAACTTGGTGTCCACTAGGTGTTTGGGCTACAACTCCCATTGATGGCCATAGTGAATGGGGATTGTGGGAGTTATGATCCAAAGCACCTAGATGGTACCTGGAGGGTATCAGGTTGGGGACGGTTGGCGGTGGTTGGTTTTGTCCATGTGCGAAAGATGAGTGTTCTGAATTCCCACCTTTGAATTCCCGATTCCACTGTCCATCCAGTGTACTAAAATGACTCTTCCCTGCTGAATGAAAATCTAGTGCAAGTTGTACTCTCAGCAACCACTGTCCTTTTATATACATTCATTTACTGTGTCATAAAAGCACCATTCTTTGAGGGGGGTTATTCATACACATTGAAAACCTTTTCCTGTTCCTCTTAAGAGCATAAGAAAAGCCTGCTGGATCAGGCCAATGGCCCATCTAGTTGAGCATCCTGGTCTCACAATGGCCAACCAGATGGCTGTGAGAATCCTTCAAGCAGGACCTGAGAACAAGAGCACTCTTCTCCACTCCTTCCGGCAACTGGTATTCAAAAGCACTACTGTCTCTGACCATGGAGGCAGAGCAGCAGTATGGCTTGTAGCCATCAATAGCATTCTCTTCCATGAAATTGGCTAACCTTCTTTAAAGTCATCTAAGTGGGTGGCCTTCACTGCCTCGTGCGGGAGTGAGTTCCATTGTGGTTCGAGTCACATCCAGTTTGGCCCCCAGATAACAAGGCTCTTCTTAATGAAAGCCATGTGTGAGCCTGAAGGCTTGCTCCAAAAAGAGCAAGATCAAAGTCTGCCCAGTTGACAATGAATTGGTTGTATCTGGCTCATGAGCATTGATGGCTGGCTAGCCTTCATTCAATAGCATGTGACTTTTTCCTCTCTCACACTGAATTGGGTGGGATTTCCCCCCCTTTTGTTCCTTTGGGGCCAGCAGAGCCAGTTACCTGTGTGCTGATCCAAAGCTCCTGTAGGTATTGCTGCAACAAAACAAAAAGACGAGTTATTCAAGTGTTATGGGGGAGGTGATTGTTAACCCTAAGGGGATTTAGGTGCATGTGATGATACTTACACAGTGTTGTAAGGCATGGGCTTTGGTCCATATCTACTCAAACTTGGGTTCTGGTTGAGGCAATACTAGCATGAAACAGGGGAGAAAGATGATGCTTTAAGTTTTGAACTGAATCTTAAATCCAAGGTATGTGGGGGTGGAGTGCAGAACCTAACACAAAATACTGCAGTGTAGAGTGCTTCTGTTCAGAGTACCAGCCACATCCTCTCTGGGGCTGCTCTATTTCATTTTATTCCCTTCCCTACTTAGTTATCCATTCCCCCCCACAACAGACCCTGTGGACTGGACACCCTGGTTGTGAATGTGCCCTTCTTAGAAACATTAGGACTGAGAATCTTTTCCAGCCTCAGGGCCACATTCTCTAGGGAGCAACCCTCTGGGGGCCTGTATGCCAGTAGTGGCCAGAGGCAGCAAGGGGCCAGAGGCAACAGTTGTGACTCTTAACCAGGCATAGACAAACGGCACTCCAGATGTTTTGGGACTACAACTCCCACCATCCCTAGCTATCAGGACCGGTGGTCAGGGATGATGGGAGTTGTAGTCTCAAAACATCTGGGGGGCCAAGTTTGCCTATGCCTGCTCTTGACCTTTGCCCAGCAGGACTTTCTGCCAGCCACACAAACTGAGGTTTCTTTCTACACACACACTGCACTTCTTCTCCCCCCTCCCCCATCTCTCCATTCTGCTTCCAAGCTAACAAAATTCATTTTCAGAGATTCAAGGATGCTTTCCAGCCAGGAAACGACCTGAGAAAGGGGCAGTGAGAGACATAGCTTGCAGAGAATTCCAGGGGCCAGAGAGAGGCAAAGGGGGCTGCATTCAGTCCCTGGTCCTGAGGTCCTCACTCTGCCACCCCAGGTTCAGAAATTCTCTCCAGGGCATCCAGACAAAAGCTGCTTCAGCCACCACCTCTCACTCCTCACCCCAAACATGCACACTAGCGAACAACAGTCTCTTACCCGCCAGGTCTGCGTGACGTCGGGTTTTAAGTACCTCACAGCATAACAGCTGAACCCAAGAACTGTGAAAGAAGCACAGAGGGCTTAATCTCCTGGTCTGCTTTGCCAGCTGTGGCTGATGTGGCTAAGTAGCCACAAGTGCTTCTGGCGTGTTCCTATGCGCAGGCCCAGAGGGAAAGCTGGGAGTGGCAGGGATTTGGCAAGACTTGCTGTGCGAAAAGCAAGTGCCCCAACTCCTTCCTTCTGCACTGAGTGGCTTCAGAATGAGAAAGTAAAGGAAGGTCAGGAGGGAGGGCAGAGTCAGTCCATACAATGCTGGGGATTGCTTTGGGATTCCTGCATTTGACAAAGTTCCTCATTCAGGAAAGAAACTTCACACACTCATAGGAAACCATTTGGCTGTTAGTAGCATGTCTCTGTGGCCAAGCATTGCCCGGGGCTGATGGGAGTTGTGGTGCAAAACTTCTGGAGGGCACTAAATTGGGGATGGCTAATCCTAATCATTTCCACTAAGTGTTGCTGAAAGACACCAGGGATTGGTGCAAAGGCGCTCGTGGTTCTTCTGCCTCCCAGTTCACAGAACCTTCTTTCTAATCACTCCTGGTTTGGGAACATTTTTTCACGACCGTTCTGTGACCTGGCAAAATCACCATGTGGACAAAGCAAGATCACGGGAAGATCACAAGCTGAGAAGCACCTGGAGGAGTTTTAGGGATTGAGCCAAGACCTCGCCGAGGGACGCGGGTGGTGCTGTGGGTTAAAACCACAGAGCCTAGGACTTGCCAATCAGAAGGTCGGCGGTTCGAATCCCTGCGACGGGGTGAGCTCCCGTTGCTCGGTCCCTGCTCCTGCCAACCTAGCAGTTCAAAAGCACGTCAAAGTGGAAGTAGATAAATAGGTACCGCTCCGGCGGGAAGGTAAACGGCGTTTCCGTGCGCTGCTCTGGTTCGCCAGAAGCAGCTTAGTCATGCTGGGCACATGACCTGGGAGCCTCGGCCAATAAAGCAAGATGAGCGCCACAACCCCAAAGTCGGTCACAACTGGGCCTAATGGTCAGGGGTCCCTTTACCTTTACCAAGACCTCACCATGTACTTGGCACCTCCCAAAGGCCACTCCCTAGGGAAGCTCTCACTTTGAGGACCTGATCATGCCAGCAAATGGCTGTGGTGCAACTTCCTGAAAGACAGAAGGATGCTGAAGGCAGCTGTACCTCCTACCTTTTTTGCTAAAGTTGGGCACCTTGAACTCTCCTGCGCTGGATACGAAGCGAGACCAGTCGTCCATAGCCCTGGTGTAGCTGGGCCATTCCTCCTGGTTGGTGCTGGGCAAGAGAGGCGCCATTTTCCCTGCTCGGTACTTTTCAGTCAATGACTTGCCCAGCTCTGTCATACCCTGAGCAATGACAAAGTTACAACAAGGCGCTCCTGCAGTCGGACACAGCGGAGCACAGAAGAGTTTCCTGTGCTCAGTTTAAGGATTGCATGTGGTGATGCCCACCTCAATTTCTGAGGGGGAAATGTGTGCAAATCAGCTTCCCCCAGCCTGGTGGTCTCCAGCCGTTTTGGATTACAAATCCCATAGGGGCTGGTGGGAGTTACAGACAGTCCAAAACAGCCAGAGGGCACTAGGTTGGGAAAGGCTGGCACAGAGCAGACATTGGGTAGTGGCACCAGGTAGTGGCACCAGGTAGATGGGCATTTGTGCCACTTACCCCATGCAACTGCCCCAGGCTTTGTGAGGGATGGTTAAGTGCAGCTGCATGTTTCTAGGAAGAATGTATGAATACACACTTTTTTCTACTTTGAAATGCATGTTCAGAATGCACTGATGTCTCCAAGGAGTAAGTATGACTTTTAGAAGACATCTGAAGGCAGCCCTGTATCGGGAGGTTTTTAATGTTTGATGTTTTAGTATGTTTTGATATATGCCGCCCAGAGTGGCTGGGGAAGCCCTGCCAGATGGGTGGGGTATAAGCAATAAAATTATTATTATTATTATTATTATTATTATTATTACTACTACTACTACTATTTAAAACCTCCTATCTCCCTTCCCCCAAACACACACCTGGATGCAGAGAAGTTGCTTCCTATAAAGAAGCAGCAGCTCATCCAGGCTCATCTTTTAAAAGTGACATGATAGAAGTTTATGCATAGTCTGGGAAAAGTGGACAGAGGAAAGGTTTTTCTCTATTTCTCATAGCACTGGAACTCATGGACATTCAATGAAGCTGTATGTTGGGAGGTTCAGGACAGAGAAAAGAAAGGACTTCCTCAAGCAGCTCATAGTTAAACTATGGAACTCACTTCTACAGGCGGCAGGAATGGTCAACCACTTAGATGACTTTAAAAGAGGATTAAGACTAATTCATGGAGGGAAAGGGCTATCAATGGCTACTAGAATAGCCATGATGTCTGCCTGCACAGCTGAAGGAAGCAATGCTTCTGAAGTTGCTGGAAACCACAGGAGAGGAGAGTGTTCCTATGCTCATTTTCCGCTCACTGGTTTCCCATAGGCATCTGGTTGGCCACCGTGATCCAGCTGAAGGCTCTACTTATGATCTTAAGTTAAGGACTGTGCTTTGTTCAAAAAAGCAAATGGGGTGGGGATGGGCGTAATGCACAGGCCACTGAAGGGGCGGCCAGTTAAGGTGGTCGGATGTAAAACTGTAGAGGGCTCCTGCACCTTTCATAGTTGTGTGGAAGAGGGAATTACAGCAGGTGAAGTATGCCATGCAAGCAGCATCTGCTGGAATCCCTCCTTGATCCAACTATGAGAACTTCAGGAGCCCTCTCCACTTCCTCACCTGGCCACCCAACACTCTGCAGAGATGGATGGACCACAGGATGACAGCAACAGCAACAACAGCAGCAGCATTTGATGGCAGTGACTCACCAGGGATGGGAGGCGCTGGGTGGGCACTCCAGCCAAGGTGAACGTTGCATTTTCAAAATCATCTTGGGGGGAGGGGAAACAAACACAAACAAGAAAGATGAGTCAGAGATGTCAAGATTACCTGCCCCATCCCAGCTGGCCATGGGCCCTGCCTCTCTAAAAATGTCAAGTGAATTGCAGAACGTGCCACTACACCAGAATCCTGGTTTTGGTTTTAGAATACAGTATGCAAGTTCCTGGTCCTCATCACCTTGATGCATAGGTGGACTGAAGGGGAAAGAGAACAGCCTCTGAGGTTTCTAAGTAGATCTCCCACTCAGTGCCTCCTGTGCTTCTCGCCTGCCACCACCTCCATCTCTTCCCTCCAGTGCGGCCGCATCCTCCTACCACCTGCTTCTCTCTGGCCTCTTTCTCCCCCCCTCCTCTGCCACCTTCAGCATGCCAGGGCTTCCTCAGTCTGCTTCCAGATGGTGGCAGCAGCAGAGGTTTTTTGCCGCAAGTGGTGAAACATCCTGGGCCAGCCCTGTACTCACACAACACCACAAGCAGAGCAAACTCAGGTCTGGAGTTCAATGCTCAGTTTGGCTTGGCTGGCTTGGCTCTCAATACCAATGAGCCATCTGCCCCAGTTACCTTTGCAGCAAGTGGTGGTTGTCCTGCAATGCTCGTCTGTGAGCTTGAAGGCTGCGGTGTCCATATCCATCTGCCTTAGCGTCGGCAAGCGGGGGTGATAGATGTGATGCTTCACTCCAGACAGCATGACTTTTCTGGGCTCCAGCGGGATGAGGACCGCCGGAGAGGCGTAGACAGGAGCAGCATCTTGAGGACAGAGGGTCAAATCCAGCATTTGGGCCATTGCTGCAAAATTAGCCAGAGGAAAGGCAAAGGGGAGTTACCACCTTGCCCATGCTGTCCTCCGGGCAAGTGAAGGCACCCTCCGCCCCTCCTGCAGAAACTCTTCCTTGAACTGGAGTTATCGTTGAGTTCACCGTTTGAAGGGGTGGCCTCCTCTTACCAGTGGAAGATGTGGGGGGCAAGATTTTTATTCACCAAAATGTCTTGGGCTAGCCCTGGGCATCCTTCTGAGCAAAGGGCATGCATAAGACTTGTTTGCAAAGATCCTCAGGCTGGGATGTGAGCTATCAAGCTCCCAGAGGACGCTGAACACTAGGAGGATCACAGAAGTCTTCTGACTTGTTCGTAATTCCTTCCCCTTCCATGCAAAATTATGAAGAATAATAATTTTCCAGCACTTAGAAATGGTTTGAATGCATAACTGCTGTGATCAGGCCACTGGAATCCATGCAGATCAGGGGTGACTGACTTCCAGCCCAGGGATCTGATCAAGCACATTTTTCTGGTTCCCCTAAGACCCAGTGGCAAACCTTGAGGTCTCAAATCTTGCTTTCCATTCTATGCAATAGTTGCAGAGCACCTTGCAGCACCTCCAAGGCTCCATGCCCAGTGTAACCAAACAGGTCATGGTCCCCTAAATCTGCCTCTGCAAGACCCCAATTTTGGCAGTCATTGTACAATGGATTTAAAAAATAATAATTAACAGTGTTGGTGTCGGCAGAGAGCTTGAAACCTGGTTAGCAGCTATGGACTATGTCTTCTATCAGCCGGTAGGGTTTAAAGGCACTTAGGCTTCTGGGAATTGTCATCTAGAACTGCTGGGCGGCACCATATTGGAGAAAGCTAGTTTAAATTAAGTTACGTTTCCAAGCTGTGATGAGCCTAAATCAAAAGTGACTGCTTTCCATCTCCTCTGACATGCACAAAGAGAGGAGAGCATGTGAATGTGAGCCTACAGCTTCCCATGGTTCATGGAATGCTAGACGTAGCATGACATCCAAACTGATCCTGTGCTTGCTGTGTCTCAGAGCAGCAGAAGGAACAGAGGTGCAAAGGGCTGTATAGAAATGCTGGAGGTTGCTGGGGGAGGAAGTTCCTCAGGAAACAAAAGAGCTGCCTTAGGAGTGAACTTCCTCTCTACGTTTGCAAGGACTGTAGCGGCTGCAGCTTCCCAGCTCACAGGGACACACGCAAGCAACATGTGTCTTTTATCAAATGTGTCAGAACAAGCAGGGCTCTGCAGGTCCCATTTCCTGCTTCCTGTGGAAGGAATTCAAGGCAGCCTTCAAAAGCAGCATAGAAAATGTCTTTCCTCTGACTCCATGCACTCAGGACCTGCCAGGCGGTTGTCACAGTTGCAGGAGTTGCAGCTCTGCATCACTCTTCCATCCCCGCCTCACAACTGCTATTGTGCTGCCCTTTCCATTGAATTATCGTCATTCCCCACCCCCAATCTGGCAGGCCTACCGGTATTTAAGCAGGCTTATTGATTGCCGATAGACTTGCTTCAAAGAGAGTCTCATGTGCAATGCTAAGCAAGTGCCTCCTGTGTCTTTCACAGAGTTCCAGCGGCAAAAAGGCCCCCATGAGGCCTGCCTCAGGGCTGGAGGGCAAGCAGTGTGGCACACACAGCTCTGCCTTTCAGCACATGTTACTGCCACTCTATCTGCCCCCTGAGGCACCTGCCTCACTCTCCCTAAAGATGAGGGTGAGCTGGCAACCAGAGTGGTTTAGGGAGAAAGCCACTGAGCTCTAGAAGATGAAGATTCCTCCTGGCAGCAGTGCCAGTCTCCTTCAGGTGCCTTCTAAGACATCCTGCCCATGGCTCATGGAGGACAGTCTTTTGTCTGAAGGACTCTCTGACTCAAGTCTGGTTGAAGATAAAGAGCCCTCGGAAGGGAGCAGTGTGTGGGTTTTCCACCAACAGCTAGGACCCCCACTGCAAACTGAGTGGACACAGAGGGCTCCTTGTCTTTCCCCCACACCAAAAGATGCATTTTTATTCAACTTACAGCATTTATTTCTAAATTTGCTTCTATGCATGCCAATTAGCAAATGCAAATATAATGCAAACCTGTCTCTTCTTTGCACAAGGGGCCGCTGAAGCACCCTCACAACCGCAAGTCCGCAAGAAAAGGGAAAGGAATACCTCATCCAAGGGGAGACCTGCTTTCTTCTCTCAACTTGTTTCCCGTTCCAGGGCTGAGGGCTCACTTGCCCCTCCAGACATTCTTTGTATTGACCCCCAATTCTCCATGGCAACGGGAAGCCAATACCCCATGGAACAGTTGGGTGATGAGGGCAAGGTTGCTAGGTGACTAGAGCGATGTCACTGGAGTTACCTGGTAACGGGTGATCTCCCCCATTCACCAGGGCTAAAAGAAGGAAGTGTCGTGCCTGAGGTTTTAGTATCTGCTGTGGCCGCTAGCCGGCATGTGCAGGAAAAGGCCAAAGAGAAGTTTTTACACAAACATACACCCGCCCCCTGCCCCCCGTGCTGGTCCGGGAAGAAAGGAATTAAGAAAAGAATTGAAAATAAAACTGCCAACGTAATAATGCCATTAGAAAAACCTATGATGTGACCACTTTTGGAATACTGTGTACAGTTCTGGTTAGCTTACCTCAAAAAGGATGTTGTAGAGTTGGAAAAGGTTCAGAAAAGGGCAACTAAAATGATCAAGGGGGTGGAAAGGTGATGATAGAAGCTTATAAAGTTATACATGGCATGAAGAAAGTGGGTAGAACTCGTGGGTGGCTGGTAAAGCTGGCTGTTGGAAGATTCAGGACACAGTGCATAGTTAAACTGTGGAACTCACTCTCACAGGAGGCAGTGATGGTCACTGATGTAGATGGCTTTAAAAGAGGATTAGACAAATTCATGGAGGAGAGGGCTTTCAGCAATTACCACCCATGACAGCTGTTCTCAGGCTCCATGGTTGGAAGCAGCAATGCTTCTGAATACCAGTTGGTGGAATCCCTGCGACGGGGTGAGCTCCCGTTGCTTGGTCCCTGCTCCTGCCAACCTAGCAGTTTGAAAGCACATCAAAGTGCAAGTAGATAAATAAGATAAATAGGTACCACTCCGGTGGGAAGGTAAACGGCGTTTCCGTGTGCTGCTCTGGTTCGCCAGAAGCGGCTTAGTCATGCTGGCCACATGACCCGGAAGCTGTACGCCGGCTCCCTCGGCCAATAAAGCGAGATGAGCACCGCAACCCCAGGGTCAGTCACAACTGGACCTAATGGTCAGGGGTCCCTTTACCTTTATATGAGGGAAAACAGGATGCTGGACTAGATGGGCCATTGGCCTCATCCAGAAGGCTCTTCTTACATCCTTAAGGGCCATAGCAGTTCAATGTTTCAATCCCCAATTGATTTAGTGCACCCTTCTTATGTTGTTATGTAGGAGGCTGGGCAGTCAGAAATTGCTGTGTGGTGTCCACTTCCTACCCACAAACAGCAATAAAGAAAGCAGAGCACACCCACACTCCTAACCTGTCAACTGCAGCCATTATTTGGAGACCCCCCCACCCCACCCCACTGCCACATCAGCCTCCACCAGCTCAGTGGTGGTTGGTATCCAACAGAACTGGTGGGGCAGAAGGCAAGGAGGCTAACAGCAGGGGGCACCAGAGCCAATGACAGGCAAAGCCAAAGTGAATGACAGGCAGCAAACTAATTCTGACATTGCTCCCAATCCCCTCCCTGATTAGCTCTACAAGAGATTAGGGAGGAAGAAGCTGACAGTCAGGGCTGCCCCCTGGACTGGTTGTAGGAAGGCAGGCAAGTGGGGACTGGCTGAGGGCTGACAGAAGACAGTTGTTATTACTGGTGGTAGTAGTAGTACCCCACCCATCTGACTGGGTTGTCCCAGCCACTCTGGGCAGCTTTCAACAAATATAAAAGCATAATAAAGGGACCAGCCCAAGGGACCAGCCTCCACCACACCAGACAGGAGGGCTCTGGCTTTCTGGTGCCTCCTTTTCACCCTCTTCCATCTCTACCAATCCCAGAGTGATTGCCTGCCCGCCAGCACAGCATGATGGAAGTTGTAGTGCAACCACATTTGGAGGGCACTACATTGGCAAAGTCTAAGTTAGGGGTTAAGTCAGGGGTCATCAAACTGTTTCAGTAGTGGGCTGGTCCACTGTCCCTCAGACCTTGTGGGGGGCCAGACTATATTTTTTGGGGGAGGGGGGAATGAACGAATTCCTATGCCCACAAATAACCCAGAGGTGCATTTAAATAAAAGGGCACATTCTACTCATGTAAAAACACGCTGATTCCCGGACCATCCATGCGCCGGATTGAGAAGGCAATTGGGCAATATCTGGCCCCCGGGCCTTAGTTTGCCTACCCATTAAGTGGATGGAAAATCAGCACAAGTACCCTTTACAATAGCAGTGACAGCACATAAATAGATTTATGCTTAACTCTAAGCCATAACAAAACACAAGGGATATTCAGAGCTAAGGTACAATTTTAGTCCTTAGTTTTCTGAGGGCCAACGCAGATAAGGGAAAACACAATGTAATAACACTCCGTTTGTTCTAAAAAATTGTCCTCTTCTTCTCTGGTGATCATTTGTAGCTGGGTAAGATTGTCTTCCATGACCGCGGTCTTAACAGTGAGTCCACAAGTGACTGTGGAGGCCAATTCTGGATCCACACATCCTTCCACAGTGGGGACATACATTTCTGGGTAGGAGTTGATCATGGTGAAGGTTTGCCAAACGTGCCTTCCTCTTAGCATGTTCTCCCTTTCCTCCTGAGTTTGAGTGTCTTCAAAGCCCATGACACCTTTGGTAAAGGCTGTTCTCCCATTGGAGCGCTCGCAGGCCAGTGTTTCCCAGTTCTCAGTGTTGGTTACTCATATGGCTGATCTCAGCAACCCTGAACAACTCTGGAACGGCTGATTAAGGGGGAGGAGGGAGAAATTCTACTAATCCAGCACAACTTGTTGGTGAATGCTAGACAGGGGTCAGCATACTTTTTCAGACCTTGTGGGGGACTGGACTATATTTTGGAAAAAAAACGAATGAATGCCTATGCCCCACAAATAACCCAGAGATGCATTTTAAATTCTACTCATAAAAACATGTGGGCTGGATCTAGAAGGTGATTGGGCCAGATTTGGCCCCCGGGCCTTAGTTTGCCTACCCATGTGCTAGAGCAATAGTTTCCTAGCAACCAAGGTGTTAGCTGGTGAAAGGACATTTGGATGATCCAGGAAGAGACTTGCTACTACGGAATAACGTCATCTACACCATTCTTCCACATATGAGCAAGCCTATTCAAAGAGATTAGGGGCAGTAGAAAATCCTGTTAGCAGCACCGAGTCAGTGGGAAAGGGATCATCCTTTAATTGACAGCATCTGCAATGACACAATTAACTTGACTGGCCTCTGGCTCCCGCAGATTGGTCCTGAAGATTGAGAATCCACTCCATCTGCTTTGGGCAGTGGCGTGTGAATGTTCAGTATTCTCTTTGTCCAGTGCTAGTAAGCCGTGAACGAGTCATATATGGAGCTTTGCCTGCAAAAGTGTGAATGTGGCTACATACACATTAGTATCTTGGACTGCAGCGAGGTCATTCCCAGCCCCACACTGCTGGGCTTCAAGTCACATTTGTACATTGCGGTGCACACCAAAGAGATGTCTTCGCCTGATGCTCATTACCTGAGTTGTTTCCCTGCAAATGCAGCACCCTCTGGGCTCCAGTTCACTGAAGTTGTCATCTGAGCATGTGCAACAACAGCTGTCTGAAATGTATACACCTCATCCGAACTACAACTTCCGTTCTCAAATGAGATGGAAGCAAGTGTGAGGGAAGACACTTCAAACTGCAGTATTTCTCAAGAAGCAACAGGATAGATATGGGTTGTGGCCAATGTCATGTGTGCTCACCTTTAAACACTAGCAGTGGGAGTGTGCTAGAGTTAGGAGTCAACAGTAATGTGTACACAACCTCTTGCTAGCTAAGCTCTTTCTGCTCCAGGGCAGATGTTCTCTCATTTGGGTGGTGCCTCGGGTTGGGCTGCTTTTCTCTCCTGGTTTTTAGAACAACTCAGCCTCCCTAATCCAATTTGTTTACTGTGTTATCAGCTAATCCCTTTCCCAGCTTCTCAGAGGGTTGCATTGTAGCAGGATAGCCAAGGACCTTGTTCTAACTAGCAGCGACAATAGATGACAAGGGAAGCCTGCAACTCTTTCTGCTCTACCTACCTGCCCTCGGAGGAAGAACCACCCCCAGCATAAGAGGCAACAGGACCATGATGGCATCCATGACTCTTTAGCCTTTCTGCAGGTAATTTCAGTTTTCTGTGGGGTAGACTGAGTGGTTCAAAGTGGTTCTGTAAAGAACCGTGGTAGAGGACCTTCTTAGTATGTCAAATTTTCCTGAGTTAGTCCCCTAGCATCTCCAGGTAGGAGGCGGGGGAACATGTTTGGAAACCCAGAAAGCCACAGCAAGCCAGTTCTAGACAATCGGCAAGATGTTCCTGCAGATAAGGCAGCTTCCTATTGAATTAGAGAGCTAGGAGAGAATTTGCAGTAAGGCTTTGTTGCCTATTGAGGGTGCTATATGCTCAAAATGCTTAATAACTGCCGGCTTGTGTTTGTGTTTGGCACTGCTTGAATTGTTACTGTTGATGAAGTAAGGTGAGCTGGTTTGGGGAGAGGAGCCATAAAGCCATGTGCGTGTCTTTTTGTTGAAGCCCTGGAATCCATTCAATACATCAAAACAAGTGTTATTTCACACTTTCCAGTGCATTTTCACTTTCCCCTTCACTTATCACAAAAAGTTTGATCTTCTGGGGGAAGTGGGTTTGTGGAGCAAGATCTCCCCATCAACTCTCATTGTGCAGCTTAAACGTGTGAATTAGAAGCTGCCCAGAAATGTCCACAGACTCCCCCAGTGGTATCTTTTTGGGCTTTTTTTTCCTGGCAAGAAGCAGTAATGAAATTCTGCCTTCTGCAGGTGGCAGGATGCTGGGCTGGATTGAGAAAGTCATACCGCAACCTCCTGTCAGCTCCCCCATCGCTGTAGTAGTGGGGAAAGACACACAGGCTGACCAAATAGCTGTAGAATCTGGGCCTATATCTGCAAGGCAGGTGAGTGGACATCTCAAAGGCATGCTGAGGGTGGGGTGGGGGCTTTGTACCAGGGCCGGCCCGCTCATGAGGCAAGATGGGGAGACTGCCTCAGGTGGCAGGATTCATGGGGGCAGCAGATCCTGATGTAGATCTTCCTTCCTCACTCATTTCTTCCCTGGTGGGGATGGGTGGGAGGTGCAATTTTGGCATGCACCTCAGGTGCCAAAATGTATTGGGCCAGTCCTGGACCATACTAATTCCATGGACTTTTGACATGTCACATTCTACCCTGGCAAACACAGGCTTGATCTTAAGGGTCAGCAGTGGGAATGGTGTGGTGAGAATGAGGTGAGGATTACTACAGGACAGCTGAGAATGGATCAGCAGCAGAGATGATCACACGTTGGGATGTGGTTTCAAGTGGGAGCTGATGTGCTTTATGAAAACAAGAACAGCAACAACTATCCTTAATTTATAGAACAAAAGTGTTTGGCCACTGGCCATTGGTGAGAAAATAACTCAGAATTGAAAAGTGATAAAAGGAATAGGGAAAAAAAAACACAGGACAAATCTTTTACCACGTGGCAATTTATTCAATACACAAATGATAATGGTCTTAAAGAAAAGCTCTCCAGAGCATTGTTGCAGATATGGTTAGTGTGAACAGTACGGTCTGAACTACACTCTTTTTTAAAAAAATTGTTTGCTATCTGTGTTAGATGAGACGATTTATGTGCTGTCCCCTCACATAAGGTTTGGATAATCTGTGTGGGTTGATAAAGAAACAGTTGCATTAATGTATAACCTGGTAGTTGATGAGAGGTGTAGCAGAGAAGGATTAGAGATGTTATGCTATATGCTTGTAATACAAAATTATTACATTTATTGTAATAAATGAAAATTATTTAAAGAATAAAATTAAAACAAGAGCACACAACTGGAGTGTGCTATGCTCACCTTCTGCTCCATTTATAAAATGAGCTTAACTCACCCTGCTGTGCTTTGGCTTTTCAACCAATCTAATTGTGTACACGAATGCAGCAGGTGGCAGAGTTGAGTCTTCCACAGCACGCAGTGTAGATTGGAGGCTGTGTGTGTGTTTGGCAGAGATGCTTAGGAGGATGGTGTTACAAGCATGTCCCTGTTTACAACTGAGAAAATGTTGGAAGGTCTGCAGAGGGTTGAAGAGCTGATGTTGCTTCCAGGCTACTTTTAGTTTTGTTAAGGCAGCTGCAGCTTTTGCAGCAAATGCAATTGTCCAAGGCAGCCTTCCTTCCCCAACGTGGTGCACTCCAGAGGTTTCGGACTCTACAACTCTCACCAACCCCAGCCAGCACAGCTGTATGATGCTTGGGCTGGTGGAAGTTTGGCTTTGCTGGCTGGGGCTGATGGGAGTTGTAGCTTGAAACCTCTGGAGGGGAATGGCTGAGCTAATGTGATACACCTGGCTGCAGTGTAATATGCTGCCAGCCCTTAAGACTATGATAAGAGCCTGCTGGATCAGACCAATAGCCCACCAAGTCTAGTAAGCTGTGCTCACCGTGGCCAATCTTAGGACAGCCCTCCCCTCTCTCATCCCTGAGTCCATCATTTACACAGCAACACAGTGAAAGAAATTACAGAAAGGTGTGTGGAGGGCTTTGAGCCCTAGTCCAAAGGCTGATATTTAAGATTAGATGGTCTGCTCATCAAGTAGGCAGAGGAGAACTAACTGGTTGGGCTTGAGCAAGATGCTTCTGGCTGATCTTCTCTACCACCCTGTGGGTGCTATTTCACTGCCTGAGAGTTGTTTTCTGATTGTGGTTTCCTCTCTCTTGTGAATCCTCAAGCTAACAGAAAGGAGTCCCGGGAGTGTTGCAGAAGGTAAGAATTGGGGGTGATGGGGAGGGGAAAGAAGAGTACGTGTGTATAAGTCCTGGAGACAAGGCAGGGTTTGGATTACAAATTCTCAATGCTCCTTCAGACAGCCTCTTTATTCAGCATTCATTTTGATTTGCTAGTGCAAAGCTCATGCAGATGTCCTGCCCTTACTGGGTATTCATTCTGATTTGCTTCCAGGGCAGTTATATGACAAGGAGCATTCAGCCTGGTTCACTTGCAGGGTGTTTACCTATCTTCCCATTAATAATTTGCTGGCCGCATACTTCAATGAATGTCCCTGGCACTTCCCAAACTGCAAGAAGTCCTGTTTTGTTAGTAGATTTGTCGTGGGAGGGTGATGGAGAGCTCTAATCCACTAGGATTGCACAAATCTATGTTTCCGGTATGCGTTTGAATCCCTCTTGCAAATTACTGACAGGTGACCCACAGGTGGGTTCAGGCAGCTACTGCTTTTGGATGACATCTCTGCAAATGAAGCTGCAAATGCATTGCCTTGTTCGCTTACTATCTACCTTGGTGGCCTGACTCTGCCTCCAGAAGGCTTGCAAAGTGGGAGGGAGTTAGAATGAGTCTGGGGCACCCACACTATTTTTTGGGTTGTCACCTTCTCCTTGACCATACACCCCTTCACAATTCTGCACTGTTAGCCATCGTAACCACCTGTTGTGTCGCCAACGTTTTCAGACGCATCCTTGAACATTAAAAGTATGGGCAGTGTGCAAGGATGGCAGTAGAGGAGAGAGGTGCTGTGGAACCTCCATGCACATTTCCAAACTTCAGGATCTCCTTTGAAAAGTTGCAAAAATGCAACCCTGTCCCTTAAGGAGGTGTCATGGGGGCATCACCAAAAAAGCTTCTGTGGCTGTAAATGTGATCCAGAGAAATCTTATATGCTCCTGGAAATGCAAGTAGCACCCAAGGATAATTTTAGCTTAAAGCTTGGCTTTTCCTCCATTTAGGGTTCAAAGAACATGCTCGTGATTCTATCTCAACAACAGACAGGTACCTGCCATTCTTTGTTTCTCTCCCCCTTATTTTACACATGTACCCTGTTTCCATCTGGGTTCCTTATTCTGAATTGCGGCTAAAAGGAATAGTAGGGGAAGGAGTCATCTGTTTGAAACTTTCTAGCACACACCGAAAGGCTCCTTTTTGAGGTGGTTTACTCAGAGGATGGTGGCAAACTGTACAAAGTGAGGCCTTCAGGGATCTCCAGAACTGCCCCCTTGTAGAGATGCGTTGATTTTAGACCCTCAAGTCACCACTTTGGGCAAGACGAGGAGGACTGTTAAGGCAGAAGACAAACCAAAGACAAGTTTCATATCTGCATTACAGGCCAAAATGCCCCTAGTATTTGTTACAGAACCATAGTTCCAGGAGACAGCAGTTAAGATCCACATGCTGAGTTTGTGGATCTGGCTATATTCACATATGTTGGGAACTTTAGCATGGGTGAGAAGCCAGATCTGGGAACGATGGGATGGGGAGCTTAATTCCTTTCGCAGCCTTTTCAACACCTGCCCTCCTTCCCATGTGGCAGCTGAATCAAAGGCCCTGCTTTCTGCAATTCAGGGTGTGCTCATCTGAGTAGCACCCTTAAATGACTGGGTGGTTCTGTGTATATGTTTGGGGTGATAATAGGGAGGGGGACCCAATTCTTTGCAGCTAGCTGCCTTCTGGGTGGGGAAAGGTCTTGGCTCTGCTTCTGCTGTTAAGGTCTGGAAGGAAGGAAGCTTCTTTGTCTACCCCAGTCCTCCTCCTCCTCCTCCTCCTCCTTTGCAGCCCTGGCCGAGGAGTCCTCTCCTGGATATCTCAGGGCCTAGAGAAGGTGATGCCACAGCCGGCACAGAACTCTCCTGTCATGCTGCAAGAGGCTGCCAAGAGCTTTGAAGCTAGCATTGATATCCCAGATGTGGTGAGTAAGGGTGATCCAGTTTGATGGTAGTCTTGCTTTCATCCTGAAATGTTTCTGATGGTGAAATTTATTTTTTTGGTCTGTGTTCAGACAGAAGTCCAGAGCATAGAGGAGGAGAAAGAGGAAGAGGAAGAAATAGGTAAAGTGCTTGTGTGTGTTTGTGTGTCCCCCGCCTGTGAGTGGGCACTGAAGTGTGTTCCCTGACATGATGTATAGAGGGGTAAAGGTAAAGGTAAAGGGACCCCTGACAGTTAAGTCCAGTCGCAGACGACTCTGGGGTTGCGGTGCTCATCTCGCTTTACAGGCCGAGGGAGCTGGCATTTGTTCGCAGACAGTTTTCTGGGTCATGTGGCCAGCATGACTAAGCCGCTTCTGGTGCAAAGGAACACCGAAACCAGAGCAGCACACGGAAACGCTGTTTACCTTCCCACTGGAGTGGTACCTATTTATCTACTTGCACTTTTTGGCATGTTCTCAAACTGCTAGGTTGGCAGGAGCTGGGACCAAGCAATGGGAGCTCACCCCTTCGCGGGGATTTGAACCGCCGACCTTCTGATCGGCAGGCCCAAGGGGCTCAGTGGTTTAGACCACAGTGCCACCAGCCCCCATAGAGGGGTAAGTTGCCTGTAAATAATTGACCAGCATGAGGGGCCCCCTATTCAATCATAGCTGTGCAGTTTCTCATATCTTTAATACTCCGCAGAGTTCCTCTTATCTGTCCCTCAGGTATTCACAGCAGCTCCTGCCATTAAGTCAACGATTTAAGAATCCTCCTTAAACTGGACACTGGGTAGGATTGCAGCAACAGGAAAGGGAATGTTTAATCACACACACACACCCCACACACTGAATGTCATGATGAATGTCTTCCCCTAACATTAAGGACCAGGGAAAGGGGGACTTATTATTTTTAATTTTGCTTTATTTGTTTCTATAGTAAGATGCGAATAAAAATATATCTATGCAGTGTACAAACATAATTTAAATCCAATAGCAACAACAACAAAACACAGCAAAATACATTGATGGAAGAGAAGTGCAAAATGAGTTATCTGATATGAAGGTTATAGAAATTATAATCTGGCCCTTTCCAGCAGACGGCGCGAAAGTATCTTCTTTTCCAATCCCCTGTTCTCTCTCTCATTTCCCCTACTTCCACCAGTATCTGTGATTGATGAAGAAGAGGAGCAGAATGAACTGTACTACAGCTCAGACAACAACGCCCCGGATAAAATGTAAGTTTTCCCAAACCCACCAGGTATTTTGAACTTCGCCTGTGCTTGAATCCTAAAAACATTATACAGAAGTAGAAATTTCAAGGTGGAGAGTCTGAAGATGAAGCTTCTTAGTAGGAACCCCTCCCTGAAGGAGCAGTTTGGAGTGCCATTTATGCACCTTTAGCTATGCTGCCACTTTGCTGGGAATGCAAAGAAATGCTCTATGATCTTAACCTATATACTAACTAGCACTTGTGCAATGTTTGACTGCAATTTCCCACAGAAACAGGATGAAGGGAACCACAGGGGGGAATCTTCTTTGTGTATTCCTTTTAGTTCTATAATGTGGACACACACACAAACACTCTCAACATGTGTCTTGCTATAGCTGTGATGACAGTTTTATTGTGGACTAGTAAGATGAACAATCGTAATAATGTGTTCCTTTTCTCTTTATCTCTTTCTTTGAAGTGGTGGGAAAAAAGTGATCACTTGGATTTGGGAAGGATTTGGGAAAATGATGCCTCAACCTGAAAACATGAAAAAGATGGAGGTAAGTGCAGACAAGGCAGAGAACCAATAAGAAAACAAATAAAAGGCAACGGTATTTCATTTAAACAAAATTCACGGAGACTGCAAAATAATACTTTGCTGGGACCACCCAAGGCTCACAAGGTGGTGTGTGAGATTTTGGCGTACACAAAACTCTTCCTCAGGTTGGTGTGTGTGAGAGAGTGTTTTTTTAAAAAAATAGAATATAATGAAGTTTGCTTTCAGTCTCTTGGGCTGCACAAAATAACTAAGCTGGGCTGAATTGTTGCAGAAGCTCCCAAATGCTGTAGAATTCATTCATTCGTTTGAATTTAGGTTTTAAACTGCTGACTTCCGGGGTGGCGCCATCGGCAATGGCCGACTCCTTCTGAACTGGAGGGACTAGCTCCGCGTGAAACGGGTCTTTTCCGCTACGGCGAAGCGGGGACCCTTTTAAAAATCACAGGCGGATGAAGCCTGTGACCATGGGACTCGGCAGGCACCCTTAGCGCCCCCCCCAACCTGCAAAGGAACCCATTAACGGGCTCCGAAGTGAAGAGGGGGAAGTGGCGCGGTGCTGTGAGTCAACTGCTATTTCCGTGGAGCGAAGCCGCATAGCCGTTGCCGGAGAGCGCTGCCTTTTTCCTGGGACAATTTGGCTTCTAAAATAAGCACCCATGAGTACTTAAACTTTGAACAATCGGACTTTAAATAAAGACTTGCGAGCAGAAAGGAATTGGACTTAAAAATTTACTTCAATTTGGTACTGAAACGGGAAGGTTTAAACAGGAAGTCAGCCTTCCGTTTCTTTGTAGACAGAATAAAGCAAAGACAACGTAAACTAGAGCTCAGAAAATCGCTTCTAAAGGATTGGCTTTCATCATTTAAAATTGTTGAACCCCCCTTCGGCAGCAGGAGAAGAAGGGGATCTTTTTTGGACTGTTTAAACCTGCAGAAGTGAGTTTAAAGTAAAGTAACTTTCCACCGTCCTGATCCTGGAGCGGGGTGTCAGGACTGACGTTTGAAGCTCATTGACCAGAGACAAACGTTTTTGACAGATAGCTAAAAGAAGAGAAACATAGTGATTCCACTGTTTCCTTTCGCATTTTAAAGGAACAAATATTGACAAAATATCTCAAAAAGGATACTTTGTTGCAAGAACAAATAGAAGTCTTCCCCCTAGAGGGAGACTGTGAAACTGTAACTAATTCCAGGGAGCTTGCAGCTGTCACAGATTACAATCGTGGGAATGGACTTGTGACCTTGTAGGACAATGTATTCAGAGGCTCTGTTGTGTGCTCTCTGTAAAACAAGTGCCCTACTGGAACAGTTAAATGAGAAGACGGATTTGATGACTAATGCGGTCAGAATTTTTGAACAGGCAGTGGGAAACTATGTGGAGCCCACCCAGGAATTAGATCAGGAGTGTGTCCTGACAGAGCAGATGAGAGAAGAGGATGTTGCTGAATCTTGGGCGCCAGAGATGGAGGGAGCTGCGGCCTTGCAGGAACATGAGCTTTTGGATTTGACAAATGAACTTGGAAACAGCCAGATTTGGAAAGATAAAGTTTGGATTGGTTTGGAAATGGGGGGTTGGATAGACCTCCCTATGCAGGGATGTTTGGACTTTCCGAGTCTGGCAATGGGCCGTGAGATTAAGGTAATGTAATGACAGAATATTATGAAATATGGAAAGGATTTGCTGCGATAATTATTAACTAGGATACAAAAAAGGGAGGGGGAGGAGGTCAAAGAAAGAAGGTAATGAGAGTTGAGGATTTGAGAATGATGGATTTATTTTTGTCTGTTTGTGGTGTATTTTTGCTTTTTGAATTTGTTTTGTTTGATGTGGTTTGTTTTTTCTTTTTTCTTTTTCTGCTTTGTTTTTTCCCCTGTAATTTTAAAAACATTTCAATAAATATCATTTAAAAAAAATAAATGAATTTAGGTTTTAAATTTTATAGGGAGGCTCTCCTGGTACCTTCATTACATATCTTTAGATGCCAGGCAAAAACATTTCTCTATAACAAGGTTTTTGCCTGATAAACATTCAATGGACTTTCAAATGTGTTTGTGGGAAGGTGGCTATTGGCTTGTTTTTGTTTTATGTATTTGGGGTTCTCATTTTGTCTTTTTACGTTGTGAACTGACCTGTGATCTTTGGATGAAGGATGCTTTTCTCTGAACTGCAGGCTCCTCCCTACCTGCCACTTGCTGCCCTTTTCTACTCCTTTGCAAAAGCCTGTGAGGGAGCAGAGCTGGCATTCATAATACAGGTACCTCTTTTTGCTTTCTCTCCATTTGTGCTACCAGGAAGGGACCCCAGGAAACCAAGCAGCACAACGGGGTGAGTGACTGGCTTTGGGGTGCCCTTGTGATTTGGCTGCAGGCTCTTGCAGGAAGGATGCTAACTTCATTCTCCAACTCTCCTCTTCCCACCCCCTCACAGCACAGAAAGGGAGTTTACCTGCCAGCCCTCTCAGTGAACCAGGGATGAAGCACCGGGCCTCGACTGACAACCAGTCCACTCGGAGCCTCTCTCTCTTTCCTCGAACACTTGGCGGTGATGGGACCAGGTCAGTGTGCAGAGCAGCCTTGCTTGGCCAGTTGGATCCAGCAATTCAGGTGCTTCTAAATGCTTTGCATGGCAATGGAGAACAGCAACCAGATATTGTAGAGTTGGAAAAGGTTCGGGAAAAGGCAACCAAAATAATCAAAGAGGATGGAGCAACTCCCCTATGAAGAAAAGTTGCAGTGTTTGGGGCTTTCTACTTTAGAGGAAGAGGTGACATGGTAGAAGTTTAGAAAATGATGTACAACCTGGAGCAAGTAGATAGAGGGAAGTTTTCCTCCTTCTCTCATAACTCTAGAATTATGTGAAGCTGAATGTTTGAAAATTCAGGGCAGATAAAAGAAAGTGCTTCTTCACACAACACACAGTTAAACTATGGAACTCACTTCCACAGGGGGCAGTGATGGCCACCAATTTGGATGGCTTTAAATTCATGGAGGATAAGGCTACTTACCTACTGTCAGAGGCAGTATATCTTTCTGAATACCAGTTGCTGGAAACCCAGGAGAGTGCCTGTGTGCTCATGTCCTGCTTGAGGGTTTCTCACAGGCATCTGATGGACCACTGTGAGATCAGGATGCTGGACTAGATGGGCCATTGGTCTCATCCAGCAGACTCATTTTATGCTCTTATGTTTCGGCTTTGTCGGGTCACCTCACTGAAGAAGAGAAGACTTCATGACTTGAGGCCCTGAGATTCTGGACTTGGATGTGTCTCCTACTGGCTGAGTGTCAGATGACGCATTCCTCGGAGGTGTTGGGTCTGTTGCAAGGGCTCTTCAGAGAGCTGTTGGTCCCCCCCAAATTTTGAGTGTGGTTCTAATAAGGATCTTCTTCTGACCAACAGTGTTATTGACTGGTTTGTTCAGGGACTGGAGAAAGTGATGCCACAGCCTGTGACCAAAGGGAAGGAAGATGGACAGGTGAGGAAGGGTCTATTGGGTACCCTTTTTAATGTTCCAGTGGTGGGCCGGTTTATTCTTTTGCTGCTCCAGTGCTGTGTCCCAAATCATTCTGGGTAGGTAAGATGAAATGGGGGTGGAATTAAATTCAGTGGTGATCTGAGATACTGAGTAGGATATCAATTTTGGAGATTGAATTAATTTAGGATGACTTTTTATAGAGATGATTTAGGGGGTAATGGGTTCTGCCCCTCCCAATTTTACCCTCTTAATCACTTATGAAGCAGATTATGCTGAGAGGTGGTGACTGGCCCAAGGTCACCCAGTGAGCTTTACAACTCAGTGGAGCTTTCAGCCCTGGTCTCTCAATGTTGTAGTCTGACACACTACACCACACTTGAGAGAGGATGGTTTTGAACCTCTTTTAGGAGCTAATGGAGCAGGCAGATACGAGAGAGCAGAACTTGCCCCTTGACGTCACACTTTGTTTTCTCTTCCCAACAGAGTGCAGAAGCTGCAGACCTGAGCCCAGGGCAAGCAAGTAAGTCATAATGAGTCATTTCCCATGATGCTGTTCAGGAGGCTTTTCTTAGCCATTTCTTCTCAGAGGGTTGGTCACGGGTGGGCTTCTACCCCTCAGATCCAAACAGCTTCTTTTATGATGCACCTTCACACAGCTGAGGGTGGGCAGTTAAACTTGCCTTTGCAGATAGCAGAGGGAATGAAGTTGAGAAGTTCCTTTGAATGCTCCCTTATTATGTGTGAGGCAGATCTTTGCCAACCTGGTGCCCTCTGGATGTTTTGGGCCACATCTTTCCATCATACCCAGCATCATACAGCCATGCCCTCTGTGGGAATGTTCAGGGTGGCAGGAGAGGATATACTGTTTATTAATCTCCTTCCTAACTTGTGCTAGCAAGTTCCTTTACTTAGCAGAGTTTACATTTCCCTTCTCATGCACAGCAGAAAACTAGCTGCAAACTCATGTGAGTTTCTTAAGACAATAAGCAATTCAACCTGGCTTGTCCAGATTGAAATGTGTTCTAATATTTTCCTGGTGAGACCCCTTGAATCCCTCCTAAAAGAATAAAGACACCACAGTTGTTCATAAGCAATAAAAAGAAAGTTTACTCATGATCAGGCAGAGCATAGTGTGATCCCTGAAGGCAGGCTTAAGGCTTAAAGTTACAAACTTATACAAACATCTTTATCCCATAAGGGAGATGACCTGAGGGACTGATTGGCTGGCAGCCAGCAGTTCATTCCAGGAAGTTTGCAGGATGAAAAGAAGATGGAAAAGAGAGAGAGTGGCAGCATGCCTTGTCCTTTAGGTCACTCTCACCCACTAGTCACATGCAAGGAAGGATGCTCCAGCCCAGCAGGAACAGGAAGTTTCGACTGGCTGGACCAAACATTCCCTTGCATGTCCACTCTAGGAAAACAAGGAATGTTGTATTTGGCTGCTGCCAGTGGATTACATCCCATACCCTCAATGAGTGATGGGAGTTGTAGTTCAAAAGAACTGAAGAACACCAGGTTGAAGAAGGCTACTGTAATGACATTTGATGAGTGCTGAATGAATGTTTCTGAATGTATGAGGAAGTTCAGTTAGCATCCCGGGGACTTAGCGGTGGGCGTGTGCCTTTCCATGCTGCTGATAACTGCAGTTCTTGATGTTTGCCGTGGATAATTGTTTGCTCACCACCTCTCCCAGTTTATTTCTATGACCAGGTTGGAAGGGGGCATGCAATTGTATGGCTTGAATCAAATATTATACTACCTCTCCAGCCCTCTGCAGGACGACAAGCCTTCTGTGCTTCGCAGGTCAGGGACTGGAGGATCCAAACCAATTTCAGTGGCTGTTTAGCAAGCATCCTGTTAATCTGACTTTAGCGTGTTGCTCACTGGCCTGGGTGCTGAGCTCCAGTGCATTTCTGTGGGCATGGAGAAGGGTAATACCATATATCTATATATGTATAAATTGTTCTCAAGTTTAGGGAACCAAGGGACACAATATTTGTTGGTCACCTTCCAGGGGCCACATTCTAATGGTGGATGAGGCCAGAGGCAAAACTAGGTGAAAAGTCAGGTTTCTCTACTCCCCCACACACATCTCTCCATCCTCTGTACAGGCAAACAAGAGGCATTTTCACAGGTGAAGAAAACAAGTGAGTTAGTGAAAAGCACTTGGGAAGAGAGGGTAGCAGAGCCTGGGGAAGGGGGTACAGGTAACCCACCAAGAACTGGAATTGCTCTGGGGGGTGGGGAAGCTGAGGGTTTTTGTTTTGTTTTGCTTTGAAGCATTTCAAATGGGTTTATGTTCCCAGTGAGGCTGTGAAAACACCAGACCCCTTCCACTCCCCCAGTCCAAACTCTTTCCTTTAACTTCTTCTCCTTTTGTTTCAGGGAGCAAAGGGGCTTAAGTGCCTCTGAAACAAAGGGACACTGAAGATTTGAAGAGCTCCTTTTCCAAAAAATGAAACCAGCCTGAATTTATAATGCATCAGGAAGAAAAGACTTTGCACGTTTTAATTTTTTTTCTAAATTAAATAAAGGCTAGCTTTTAAAAGAGCAATCTGAACATGAGGTGGAGGTAGCCTTATTGCTTAGCTGGTCATGAAAGAAAAAGCAGTGTCCTATGTGAAAATCATAGAAAACATTGAATTGTAGAGTTGGAAGGGACCCTGAGGGTCATCTAAATCCAACCCCCTGCAAAGCCGCAATCTCAACTAAAGCATCCATGTCAGATGGCCGTCCAATGTCTGCTTAAAAACTTCCAATGAAGGAGAGTCCACCGCCTTCCATGGGTGTCTGTTCCACAGTCAAACAGCTCTTACTGCCAGAAAGTTCTTCCTGATGTTTAGTTGGAATCCCCTTTCTTGCAACTTCAGTTCATTGGTTTGGGTCCTACCATCCGGAGCAGGAGAAAATAAGCTTGCTTTATGGGAGGGACCTGACAGTATCCTTAGTTTCCAGGTCCAGGACAACATTCCTGATGGAAGAATTTTAACCAAATAGGCTTCACTAGTCAGTAAGAACTGCTCCCATGTTGCCTTCCTCAACTTGGTGCCCTCTAGATGTTTTGGACCACAATGCCCTTCAGCCCCAACCAGTGTGCACACTGTCTGCGGCTGATGGCTGTTGTAGGCCAAGCACCAGGTTGGGGAAGGCAGGACTGGTTAATTCATAGGTAGGAGAAAAGTAAAGGATGGCAATACATTTTGGATTTGGCATTGGGAGGTCGGAGACTTGGACTGGGGAGGCCTGTTTTTGATATTTTGTATTCCCCATGTCCTTCACCCACTTTGTTTCTTGATCCAGTAGTGTTTCTCCTCCAAAATAGTCAGAAAATAGTCTTTTATTGCATTCAGGAATATATATGGCAAAGCTGGGAAATGAGAAAAGCTACAACTCACCCAATATTATTTTTCTTTGAGTAGCTCTCTCATGTAGACAAAGTATTTCTGTCTCTTCTATCAGGACATTATAGCTTTACTAGTTTGGGTTTTTTAGATCACCTTTTGGTCAATTTACAAAGCTAAAACTATTATTTAAAACACAATCCAACCATAACATCTTAATTAATGTACAAAGTATTAATAGAAACACCACAAAACCCATCAGATTAATATCAAACAGAAGCAGCAGAGGCCAGCCATCTCCTAAGGCTGCTTTCATGCTGGGTGTTTCATGTGAAATTGATTGTTCAAGTCATGTTTTATTGGGGCCCAGTGGATGATGTGAACAACAATTTGCAATCAGCCTTTTCCCAACGCTGCTTCCATCTCTTTTCTTTCTTACTTACTACTTGCTTACTTACATAGAAAATTGGATGTTTATAAGAATGGAAGCCCAGCACAATCTCCACAGGTGTTTATGCCCTCAGCCCTACAATCAGAAAAAGTGCAATATCCCTCAAAATCAATTGCAATCCCACCTGGAGCTTACAGCAGAGAAGCAATCAGTGTTTGGATGCTTCTCAGGAGGAAGCAGCCTTAATGGAAGTTTTCACCAGTACTCTGAACTTTGATGAAGAGGTCAATAGAACAGAGAAAGCTACCATGAAAGTTTAGGCTTTCAGCCCCCTACCTAGCGATCTAGATTTTACTTTCAGGACCACACATGTCAATGGTTTCAACATGCACCATGACCTCCCCAGGGCTATCTACTAGACTATCCAAACAATCTGTCACAAATTAAAAGCAGAAAAATGCTCCCTTTGTAGATGAGTAACTCAAGACAGTTCATCAAGCCCACATGATGTACATATCCCTGACTTTAATACAACAACCTGGTTTCTCTTTCCGAATTCCAGATGAATTCCAGACTAGCAACAGGTGAAAACTATTGTCCTTCTGAACTTAGTAGAAACTACACAAGATATTATTTATTAAATTTCTATATCCTCCCCCTTAATCCAAAGATCACAGGGTGGTTTACAATATAAAAACACAAAAATACATACCATAACAGGAAACAAAAACAATACTGCCCCCAACAGTCATTCCTCAAGGCATTCAGAGCAGTGCACATGGTTTACCCTTGTGTTCATTTTGCCCTCCTCACAACAACCCAATATGTGGGTTAGGCTGCAAGGGAGTAACTGGCTCACTATGGCCCAGTAAACTTCATGGTTCCTCACAATGAGATTAGTTGCAGTTGCTGACCTCTCTCCCTTTGCCCCCATCTGGTGGGAAGAGCTGCTGCTTTTCTTCTTTGCTTGAGGGGTAGGAATCCTCACGTCCAGGGGCCAAAAGTGCTCTCAAATCCTCTCTCATCCAATTCATAGGACTCCATGTGTGTGTTTTTCACCAGGTTGCAAAATGTCATTGAACAACAATCATGCCTCTTGCCTGTCTGTGTGGAGGATTGAGAGGTCTGTGCAGAAAGAGTAGAAACCAGACTGCTATTCGAAGACAAAATTTACATACATTACTGTGTCATCTTTTGCCTCTGTTCTTGTCCACCATTGACATGTGGGCCCCAGAAGGGATTATGGCCAGCCCTGTTTTACCTACAGAGCCCAGGGCAAATGAAGATGTCTGGTGGCACTAGTCTGGTCTCACTAGTGCTACAGTCACTTTTCTCCCAGGATGCAAGTCCACCTTAAAATTACAAGAATAGCCCACCCCCACCCCAGGCTCCCTCCTTTCACAATCCAAAGCAAAGCAGAAACAAACTCTCTGATCTCCCCATGTGGCTTTATCTGACTGTCCTGCTTGGGGACCCGGTAAGCGACATGCCAGATGCCTCTTCTTCAAGGGGAACAAGGAATGGATTAATCTGTCAGTTTCTGTTTCTCATTTTTCCAGTCTTAAATTCAGTTTGCCACATTTTCACATCAGTTTATGTTTTTTGTTTAGTTTTTAAAGTCATCACGAAAATTAATCAGTGCATTTCTCATATTATATGCCTTCCTCAGTGGAAGCTGGTCCATTAGGACAAATGGGGCACTGCCCCACCAATAGCACTATGCTCTCAGCCAGACCCCACTTGCTAACCTTCTTACTTGCAACTGGTCCAAGGGGTGCTGCCGCCTATCAGCTTCCACCTCTTTCATCTCAGTTTTGCCTTTATAGACCCCAGCAGGAAGGAGGACAAAACTAGAATTAGATCAGTCTGTCACTGGCTCTGGCGCCACCTACTGTTGGTCTCCCTGCCTTCTTTCCCTATCAGTCCCAAAGGGTACCAGCTGCCACCACTGACACTCCTGTGGGCAATTTTGCTTAATATTTCTGCAAGCAGTTTCCCCTGCTACATTATTTTCACAAATATACACGTTTTTATGCACACTTTGCCCTGAGATACCCAGTTTTGTATGCCAATTTTGCCACCCACCCAGCTGCTGACTTCCTTCTGGCTTTGGAGTCCTGCTTGGGGCACAGGGGATAACTTAAAATTATCTGGGGGTGACGTTTGCCAGAACCAAGCCAGCAACTTGAGAGGTTTTGTGTCTGAAGAGGACAGAATCGCTGCCTGCCGAAGCGGGACACAATGAATAGTAGCAAGGTGATCCCATTTGGGCTTTGCCACATAGCATCTGTGCCTATAAATAATTAGATAAATCTTCTTGCCCAGTGGTCCCTAACCTGATGCCTTCACCATTTTATTTCAGCCTGCACCTTTCCCACAAGACAGAGCCATGTGGAATTCTTGGTGGAAGACCATGAAATCCAAGAGGAAGCAATGTGTTGGTGTGGCACAGCTGAGTGGACTGTCGGGGCACCTCCCAGCCCCCCAAAGCAGAGGTAGGAAGCCAAAGCAGGGAAATTAGGAGGAAGAAAATCTGTTGCTTGTATAACTTGGCAACTAGGGTTACCATATTTCAAAAAGTGAAAATTTGAACTATTTTTAAGGGAATTCGCTGACATGAGTTGCCATACACCAGAGATTTCCTGAACATGTTAACACTGGTAACAGAATAGAGATGTTAAGGCACTCAGAGGACCTCTCTCTGCCACAAAGGTCCTGACTTCAAACAAAGGCCGTGGATTCTTCATTGCCCTTCCTCTAAACACAAAGGTACAGCTTGCTTTGTCTCTGAACTGCCCTTTAGATTGTGATTTGCTACATTGCTCTGTGGAGAAGACAGCATGTTCAAAGCTCTGCTTTGTTATTTCTTTCAATGTGCAGACCCTCCCCATAACCGATGTTTCCTTTGTGATGAGGAAAGAGACAGGACCAGTTCAGTATATTTTCTTGAGGCAAAAGATAAAATGGTGCCTCTCCTGTTTCCTACACAAAAGTGAAACAAGGCTTCACTTCTTCATACTTCAGTGCTGGAGACAGGACAGCATCTTCTGCTGTCTCCTCTCAGATGTTGTTGGACTACAACTCCCATCACCCTTATCCACTGGCCATGTTGGTTGCGGTTGATGGGAGTTGGAGTCTAACAGTACCTGGAGGACAGCATGACCTCCATCCCTCTGTTAAAACATAAACACAGGGGTTTTCATTCACTTGATCCATCCCTTTATGCTCATATAATGAGCATGCAGATGTGGTCAGATCGCTCAATCAAAACCTGTCTCTATGTTCAGAGTTGGCAACCAAAAACTCTGGCCTGTTCCTGAGCATGGAGATCATGGTTGCGTACACACTATAGCTTTAAAGCCCATTCCAAGCACATCCTTTCCCTCAAATAATTATGGGCACTGTAGTTTGCTGGGAATTGTAGCTCTGTGAGGGGTAAGCTACCATGCCCAGAATTAGTTCAGGGAAAGAATGTGCTTGGAATGGGCTTTGTAGGTACAGAGTGCACATAGCCCATGTCAGTCATGAAATTGACCAGATTTTTTTTCTAAAGGAAGGAAAAGCTGCTGTACCAGATTGATTGATTGATAGGTAGGTAGCTTTTCCTTCTTTAGCAGAACCCTGCTAAAAGGTAACTATCAGTGCTCAAATTAAAAGGTCAAATTCTGACAGAAGGATACATTTTATTTATTAAATTTATATCCTTTCCTCTGCACAACAACCCTGTAAGGTGGAGTAGGTTGACTGGCAATGAGATTCATGGCAGAGTGGGGATTTGAACCCTGGTCTCCCCGGTCCTAGCCCAACACTCTAGCTGCTATGCCACACTGGCATTCATCTCATGATGAATGCTAGATTTATCATGTGTGGACTGGACAATAAAATAATTAGTCTTTAAGCAGCCTTAGATCTGCAACAAACTTGAAAGGCTTATTTTTCTGCGCTCCCTCCTCAGATGGAGGCTTCTGTTAGCAAAGTACATTCAAGGGCTTGCCTATTATGTGTGGTGCCTAGTAACCAGGCTGTGACCCGTTTTCCTCCCTGGCAACTGCTCAGCTTCTCCTAGCAACAGCATCCCTTTGGTCCCTCAATGTTCCTCTGTTGAAGCAGGGAGGGGGGATATCTTAGGGAGCGGGCTATGACAGCTCAGTGTAGTTAACAGGAAATAGGATCTGCATCTAAACTGAAGGCAAAGCAGACACAGGAAAGAGTCAAAAGTCTCAATCTTGGAGCGGTTGCCGATTATTTGAAAAATACATTCATTAAGAGAAGGCTTTCAAGATTAGCAGAGCATCACAGGGCTGAATATAAGCATGGCTTGACGTGCTATCCGCTCAGGGGAAACATGGTTTGAAAAGGTGAGTTTTGGGTTTGTTTTTTTCTTTTGCAAAATATTTCTGAGGGGTCCAAAGGCAAAAAATGAGGGAATAAGTTAAAGATTTTTAGAAAGGTCGCTGTGTTTGCCTGTTGTTGCAAAACCAACAAGGAATCTTTTGGCACTTTAGGCGCCAACAAAATTATTATGGCACAAGCTTTCGGTGTATACTACATTCCACTTCATCAGTTGCATGAGGTATTATATTGAGTTGCAGGTGCCTCTATACATGCTCGTGGAGGAAGCAATTGCAAACAGTGAATGAGGGATAGTACATTAATGAACGCAACTGTAAACCTCAGTGTTTTGTTTGAGCAAATTTGATTTAATGTGTTTTGTTGGTGCAATCAGACCCTGTGGCAAGGAATGATGTTTTGGCTGAAGGAGTCAGCAGGGTGCTTGTTTTGTTTACTAGCAATGTGCCTGCTTTGTGAGGGGTGGGGATACGCCGAGAAAGAGCTTGCATATTCTTTGGACTGCTGAGTGTGTGCAATGAGCCTCTGTATATGCTGTGGACAGAGACACATTGCAGCCCATGGAGAGTGGGCAGGTTTTGTCCTCACTACAGCAGTGTCAACAAATGCTATGGGCTAAGGTTACCAGATTTTTTTCAATGAATCCGGGGACACTTTTCAACTTCAATTGATTTTTGTATGGGGGCTGATTTGTAAATCTGGGGGCTGTCCCTGGGAAATGGGGACGTCTGGTAACCTTACTATGGGCTGCATCCTCCAAAGCTATCTCTACTCAGAGCAGACCCATTGAAATGAACAAACCTGACTAACTTAGCTCCATTAATTTTTTTGAACGTGTTGACTACTCTGAGTAAAACTTAGTTGGAAACGACCTCTTGCTGTTCTTCTCCCCATAGGAATGAGCAGCACCAATTCATTTAAATAGAAGAGAGAATGGGGTGTGCAATCATGGACAAAGGAGGAGGCAAAGGCCAGGCTTGATCTGCTTTGCTAGGCCTGTCTTGGGTTCAGTTTCTTTGTCATGCTGGTGTGTGACACAGTGTTGAGGGGGACAGGCACATTCACACCATACATCTGAAGCACCATGCTACAAATTTAAATAGTATTGAGGCGCCTAGTCCCCTCACTGAACAGTTCCCAGAGTGGTTTAATAGGTAGTCCTTCTACCCAGAGAACTCTGGGAACTGTAGCTCTGTGAGGGGAAGTCAGTCCTCCTAACAAGTCCAAGCACCCTGAACAAACTACACTTCCCAGAATTCTTTGGGGGAAGCCATGATGGTTGGTAACATACTGCTTTAAGTATATTGTATGAACATAGCCTGAGAAGGTGAGAGAGTCATCCTTGTTAGTAGGAATGCCAAGAACCAGGCACTGGCCACCTTTGCTGTGGGCCTATATAGTCGATAGTCAGATGGAAAGCTGCTCTGTAAATCTCCTTATTCTTCCAGGGCATTTCTAACACACATTAACTTCAATATGACAAGAAGATCCCTGGGACTTCAGGGTTTGTTAATCATTGCTGTCTGACTGTCTCTCTTTTGTCCCTTATAGGGGTGCCTCTGATAGCTGCACCTTCATGGTAGCTGCTTCAGGCAAAGTCAAGGGGTTTGATGCCAACTTAGGCCCTTTACCACAGGTAGGTTGGTTGGTTATTTATTTATAAAAGCTATTTTATACCCAGTCTTTTGTCCCCTAAAATGGCCCCATAAGATGGCTTTATAAAATAGGGAAGGGGCACACTGTCACAACATAACAAAAGTCTGTTTAAAGACAGAACCTGAGTTTTCAAAACAGGAAATGTTCTTCAGAATAATGTTGTGGGTTTTTTGTTTTTGTTTTTAAATTAAGGTAGAAGAGGAAGAAACTGAAGCAGCCTTAGTTGCACCTCAAGGTACTGTATATAGACTGCGCCTGGTCCAATTCTGTGCAGGCCTGCAATGTGGACACAAAGCTCTGAGCAGGCAAGAGCTGTCCTGTTCTCTTCCAGTGAGCATACACAGAGTGTTTGGCCTAAGGCAGCCTTCACCAGCCTGATGCCCTCCAGATGTTTAGGGCTACAACTCCTGTCAACTGCAGCCAGTATGGCCAGTGGCCAGGGATGATGGGACTTGTGGTCCAAAACATCTGGGTGACACTGGGCTGGTGAAGGTTGGTATTGGACAATTTTTGAAAGCATATGACTCTTGAGTGTGCAGACACAGACGTGAATGTTGAATTATAAACCAAAAAGGTTGCATCATGGTCATGAAATCTCCAGCTGTTGCAAAGCTGGTCACAGAGACCAAGAAGTCCAACAGGGCAATAAGGAACATTTTAGGGGATTGAGTTTGTAAAACAGCATGAAGCTGCACAAGCTCTTTGGGGAATGAGTGGTGGTGTAACCGCCACATCAGAATTTGCCCCTGAAGTGACTCTATTTGCATGTTTGTGCACCTTCAAAATACAAAAATACAAAAATACAAACAAAATATTGTTACAGGCTACCTCAATCCCTGTCAAGCTGTGCACAGGATTCCAGGGGTCTTGGCCCTCAACCAGGGCCTATGCTCCTTTGGAGAATTGAAGACGTGTTGGAAGCTGCTGTAGCTTTAAGAAATAAGATTTATCCACAAATTTGTACCTTCAGTACAAATGGAGTCCAGATGTTACAGCATGATCATCTCAAGAGGAACTTGTTCCTCACAGCAGTGCAGTGCTGGAATCCAAGGCCCAGTTACCCTGACAATTTTCCAAATCTCCTGTCTGTCTTCATACCTTCAGGTGGGGGGGAGGACAGTTCTCTTGCACTGCCAATGTCCCTCAATGGCACTTTATTGTTTCTTAATGACCCTAGCTTGGCCAGGTCATTTTCCTAGCCCAGGAATTCCTCTGCAGGTTGTATATACCCTTCATATCCCAAATAAACAAAATCTTACCATTTATTAATTTCTAGGGTTTAGGGTGGTCTCGACCCCAACTTATAACCATATAATCACATCTTACATATTGGTTCAGTTCTAAGGGTTTCAGATGTATATGAAAACTAGTATACTCAAACATCCCCTGTGTGAGCATCCCTAGCCTTCCAGAGCAGCATACTGAGCAGTCCTTGCCCCCTCCAAAGTGGAAGCCTTAAAAGCTCTTCCCATGCTAGGAAAAGTTCTCCACCTTGCATGAATTTAACTTGCAGAATTTCAACCAACTGACCTTCAACCACGTATCATTGAAGTTGCACGAGTTAAATGAGATCATACTGTGGTCAATGATGATTGTGTATAACACACACACACACACACACACACACACACGAGAAATGGCTGGTTTGGAACTGAGCAACACCATTTTTCTCATGTGATTTTATGTTTGCTTTGTTGCAGCTTCAGATCCCCTTGGCCCTTGCTTGGAGCCTCTAGCTGCCTAGCCCCACCATGTCCAAGCAAAACCGCGACGTTGAGTTAGCCCGCCTGGTGCATGACAAGCCACTCAGTCATCCTAGCTCCTCCCCCTCCCGTCGCAGCCTAGCCGAGCAGCTGCCCAATGTCCCCAGCTACCGCTCCACCACTGCCGCTACCTCCCGCATCCCTGTCCTTGTCGCCAGAAAGCAAAAGGCTGGTGTGACGAACCCCAGTTTTTTGAAGGAAGAAGGGTCGTCTTCTCGCACCCAGGGTAATGTAGCATTTGCCATGGCTTTGTGCGTGCAGCTTTGTGTGTCAGGCTTCCTTCGTTTCGTCTGCCTGTGTGTGTCTCTCTTGTGTCTGCTTCAATACATGTACATCCAGTAGCCATAACTTCCAGATGTGTATCTGTGATGCAGTTTTGCATCAAAAGAGAAAAGGCCAAGAGTTGCTCTGCTGTGCTGAAGGTTGCAAATGGCCTTGCTTCACAAATTGCTCTATTGAAGGTGGCAGGCAAGACCTGTCCCTTTTGGGTATACTTTTTAGAGTAGGAGTGGAGAACCATTTCTGCCCAGCAAGCCAGATGCTTATGTGCCAACTCTGGAGCCCCCCCGATTTAAAAATACATATCTTTATTTTAAAAAATAAAAAGCAAATGTAAACCAAACACAACTGGGCAGTTGTTCCATTACCATTGAAAACAGTCCCAAATGAATTGAAGGAGCATTAATATGTATAGCATGGTGAATGCAGTTTTGAGAGGTAGATGGGTGGGGCTGTCCACCTGTCAATCCCCTAAAGCCATAGTGACATCAGGTGACACTGTGCTTTGAAGTCCCATTGTTGGGACTTCAAAGCACAGTGCGGAGGATGTTTGAAAGCCCTTTTGCAAATAGTCCTGTGCTGCTTTTTGAAGAAGCTAAGTTAATTAATTTTGAAGAAATAATAATTCACAGTATATTTAAAAATATTGCATAAAAGCTTGCTTGGAGTTTGCACTAAGTTATTATCTCTGAAAAGTAATATGTGCTTCCTATCACTACAGGAAGGAATAATCAAACCTCTTGGTGTTTGAAACAACTTGTCATATTTGAATAATGTGCCTAACTTTTCATAGCAATAATTGTACATCTGAATGCATTTATACCTTCCAGTTAATTATTCCTGTTAGTTCTACAAGATAGTTATCTAAATACAAAAGGGTATCAATATGAATCTATGACACAGTTTAACATGATAACACAGAATCAACAAGATGATATAAACATTTACTTTATCAGGGTATTATAACTAGAATTTTTACTCCAAATATTAAATATATTTTATTTATTTTATTTCAGCCAATTATATACTATGTAATTACAATCAGTATACAAGAACAGTGTACAATCAACACAATCACTTGAAAGTATTAAAAATTAAAATATTTTGAATTGGTTCATGAAAAATAATAACACAAAAACTTTGTTTTAATTTTTTTTAAAAACCCACAAAATTTATTATATACTTTGGCCATAGTATAATTTGAATTGCATGGAAAAGAAACTGTATAAACCTGGGATAGGACATTTAAGAGGTGGCTATGTTTACTGAAGGTGTCTGAAAATACAGTTGGGAATTAGGAGGTTGTAGTTTCAGGTGTCTTTTGATCAGTAAAGGACCTACATCTTGAACATTTTGGTATGAGGAGCCTCTGCTAGTGATGTATCCACTGGTTTTATCTGTCTTCTTGTTTTCTTCTGGCTCATTTCATATATTTTCTTGCCAAAGGACGGCCATCAGGGAGATACCCCACTGTGAACATCAAGAATAGGAATCCCAAGAATGGCTCTTCAGGACTGCCAGTATTTGCCGGCCATGCTCAGACCTCACCACCAAAGAAACCCCAAACCCTCGCTGTACCGGTTATAGCCAAGGCTCCCAAGAGGTATGCACCCATAATGTTTTAGAACCTAAAGTCCAAAAACCTGTCATTTAGCATCCATGCAGATTCTTGATTTATCGAGGAGCATTGACTTGTAACTGGGATACAAACCTGGGATAAGCATTTCCATACCTTTGGGTACACAGCTGGGGTGCATAAATGGGTTTAAAGCTTATGTCAGAGCTGATCCAATATCTTCCCACTGGCTGAGGCTGATGGGAGTTGTAAATCTGCAATGTCTAGAGGGCAACAGGCCAGCAAAGGCTGAATTACCCTATGGGCCAACAACTAGTTGCTAACTTCTTTGTTTGTTATTTATTTTGTTTTTCTGTCAAGTGTCCTAAATCTGTCTGCCACTCTGTTAAAGTGGTTTCTTTCTAAAGACTCGGGGTGCCTTTTATGGGCAACCTTTAATCTGCTTGCACCTTATTAGTTCTCCGAATCTTAATTTTTTGTCGTCCAAATAACATTAGTTTGTGATCACAGCTGAGCTACCAGGGCCAAGGACAATCTCACAGCTGAAGCTGCTGTTTCAAGGCAGCAACAGCAAGACATTGATACTATCAGTGTGGACTAAATTTAGGACTCACTTTTTTAAATGGAGAGAATGTTCTGATCGTGTGTACCAAAAAATACCTGACCTCTTTCTTTCCCCCCATTTCAGGAGGAAACGCTCTTCCCAGGAGGAGAGTGTGGAGGAGCTGAAAGTGCCATCTACAAGCCCCTCACCAGTCAAAGCTTGGCCGGACCTTTCCAGTCCACAGAGAGAAGGATCACTTTGGTACAACACTAGAGACTTTCATTTATACATGGCATTTATATTCTACCCTTTCTCCAAGAAAGTCAGGGCAGCAAACATGGGGTTCTTACATGTTATCTTTGCAGTATGTTTACATCAAACAAGAGCTAGTTTGACCTCACTGCATCTTTAGCATGTAGTAGCTTAGTTTGTTTGGTCTGCAGACCATAAACATCAGATACATTGTAGGGTTAGCAAGACAAGCGCAGCGTTTTTAGAAAAAGTGCAAGATATGCTTTCCCTTGTAAGTGTCCAGCAGTTCCTAAGAACATAAGAAGAGCCTGCTGGATGAGGCCAATGGCCCATCTAGTCCAGGATCCTGTTTTCTCACAGTGGCCAATCAGATGCCTCTGTGAGAAACAGGCAAACAGGACCTGACCTCCAGAACACTCTGCCCTCCTGTAGCTTCCAGCAGCTGATATTCGGAGGCATAGCAATCATGGCTACTAGTCATTGATAGCCATATCCTCCTTATTTTATAATAGGCTGCAGGAGAAGGCTGCATGACAGACTTTGCTAGAGTGTACTCCAGCCCTCCAGGCTGCAAAGCAAAGAATGTAATGAATGAAAGTCAAGCCACACTGAAAAGCTACCCACCAGTCAGTAAGAAACCTATAATTCATCTGCCTATAGCCTCCATCCCAACTTGGTGGTGCCCTTCAGATATTTTGAACTACAGCTGCTATTGGTCCTAGCTAGCCACCCCAGTCATATGATGCTGAAGTTGATGGGAGCATAGCCACACTGGCCGGGGCTGATGGGAGTTGTAGTCTAAAACATCTGGAGGGCACCAAGATGGAGAAGACCTACAGCTTGGCATGTGGGAGAAATTAGGTTTCAGTTCACAATTTATGTACCTAATTCGTGATTCCCAAAATAATCCACAATTTGAAACGAGGTGAACCTTCTAAATCCGCACTTCTCTGAATTTTGCAAAACTATCAAAATATGAGTATGTACAAAATGTGTATATTAGAGCATAGTGCGTAAAATGCATATATTATTGAAAACAACATACGAAACTGTATTATATTAGAGAAAATTGCTTGCAAATATTTGTATATTAGGCACAATTGCATTTAAAAAATGTGTATATGAGGAGAAATGGTCCCTCCTTCACTACAACTTGCTAAAATTGGGCCTAGAATTAATTAATATAGCATTGTTCAATGAAAAGGTTTTCATTCATAATATCACTTCTGGTGATTATAGCATTAAGCAATGGGAAAGTTTTCATTCATAATATCTGGCCTGGTTTTACTATAGTTTGCCAGATCGCAGCAGCTCAACAGCAAGCCAAAACAGTGCAGTTATCAATGACCGTCTGCAAGAACTGGTGCGTCTCTTTAAAGACCGAACAGAGAAAGTGAAAGAGAAATTGATTGACCCAGATGCTTCTTCTGACGAGGAAACCCCTGTGGCGTGTAAGTGAGACCAGCACCATCTATTACAAAACTCGAAGGCTCTCCTTTTTCGGGGGGGGGGGTCCTGTGTCTAGCGGGGGGTTAAAGATATTCAACCTATTTCTGAAACATCTCTCTGCTTCTTGTCACCTTCTGACAAGCTCCTTTTCAAGGGTTGCCAATTGCTTATTGCAACATGACTTTTGAGGTTTCTGAAGCCATAGAGCACTTACTTAACTGAAGCATAAATAAGCTTTGCAAAGCTTGGACTCAATCAAACTAGCACTTTGCAGCAGGGGTTTAGCTTCTCTTCAGCTTCCTTAGGATGGGCAGCATAAGCTTTGCTGGACCCTGATAGCTGACCCCGATGGCTGCTATGTCAAAGGTCTTGCTGATTAGCAAATGGGCGTAGCAACTTTCCAGACACACACTCTCTCTCCATCCTTTGATACCAGGTTCTTCTAGATGAAGCAGAAATCAGCTGTATGTAAAAATTGACACTCGGTGTGAGTTGGGGGGGGGGGCATGACCATCACCAGAGGATGGGTAACTTGAGCACCAAAGTACATGAAGGAAAACAACCCAGGCCTTCTGTGTCTAATGATTAAAGACTCAGAAGCAGCATTTCCCAACCTGATGCCCTCCAGACATTTTGGACTCTTGGTCCTATCTACCCCAGTTGGCTTGAGCTGAGGGGAGTTGCAGTCCAAAACATCTGGAGGGCACCAGGTTGGCACCACAGTGCCCAAGCATGTGCAGAGATTTTTTATTCTCGCTGTTGAATAACTGCAGCCTCTGCACACCTAGTATCAATTAAGATGGTCAAAGGCTGGCTAAAAACAATGGTTTTGATTCCAAAGTTTGCCTGGTTTTCACTTGTTCCCATAGCACCTTCCAAAGAAAAGCCTCCAGAAGAAAAAGAAGGAGTGAGTGAGAAGGGTGGAAAGAAGAAAAGTCCCCCACGTGCAAGAAAATGCCAGTTCCCTAGCAGCATTGACCCACTCACCAGTGAGTACCTGGAATGGGCTTTTGACCGAAGAGCCTGCTGTAGAATATTAAGCAGGAGGGGGGATGGCCATGTCAGTAGCTCGTCCTACTCTCGAGTAGGACCCTAGCAGAGACACATGCCCGACTGACATGTTCTCTCCCTCCTGGTCTTTCATTTGGGAGCTTCAACAGCTTTCTTCTGCCCAAACATTACAGCGACCGATGCCAACAGACATCGGCACACTTAGGGATCCACAGAGTCTTCGCAGCTTGCGTAACAGACCTCAGCAACTCAGCATTTTGGCTAATCTACTTTATTTACATATAAACACACCCGGAGCACTGCAACATGGCTCCCTCTCTCTCTAGCATCAGACAGCAGAGAGAGTGAACAAAGGACAAAAGTCCCACTTCACGGAACACAGTAACACAAACATCCTGTCTCCGTCACTTCCCACTTTGTGGAGTCAAAACAGACACCCTCATGTGATAGACAAAAATCCCATGTGACTGCAATCATGGAGCAGGAATTCTAACAGGAACAGGCGAGAGGCTGATGGGCAGGTTGCTTGATGCTGAGCATCTCTTTTTGGAAACAGGCACTGAAGAGGGATAAAGCAGTGAACTCCATTTTTAAGTCAGCCAACTTCATTCAAACCTCCTGAATGATCCTTTGGATAAGTCCACACTCCTTCAAATTGCATTATAAAGTGCTCAGCTAAAAAATAAAATACCAAAATGCATTTAAAAGGTGCATTTTAGTACAAAATACATTTAGAAATTCACAAATATTCTATATGTGCTTTGTGACATAACACATGTGTTTGTATTATAATACAAATTTACATACCTCTTTTAAAATATTGGAGGTTAATAAGGAAATGGGATGGAGTGGAATTGTGAAGATGCATTCAAAATTGACAGAGACCAGAAATAGACTGTTTCATCCATTCCAAACAATTCAAATGCGAACAGAATCAAATTCCTGCTCCATCCCTACCTGGAATCCCTAGGCCAGTGTGTAGATGTCCCCAGATTTTCAGATGGAGACCTAAGGCTGAGAGATAAATGCTTGTCTAAGGCCACCCAGTGAGTTCACGATTAAACTGAGAGGTGGGTGCTGGAATGGCTCCATCTCTTAATCAACTTTATTCATAGCAAAAAAAGCACTATAGTGGAGAACATTCATGGAGCACATTTATGGTTGAGAACTACTAATTCATCTTGCACAAAGTTCTCATTCTCTGATCCCACAGGAACTGGTTTGCCTTCTATTTTGAGGTCCTGTTATTTTGGACCCCGATGCTGCTGTGCTCAGTTCCTATAGTTCCACTGAGTTACCCTAAACAAGAGAAGCAGGATAAGTTCTTGGCAACTAGCAGAGCTCCTGAGTCTGTTCTGGGTTTTCCCCTCCCACTCTAGATCTGATGTACATCTTGTGGCTCTTCATTGTGGTTTTGGCATGGAATTGGAACTGCTGGCTGATTCCAGTCCGCTGGGCTTTCCCGTTCCAAACACCTGCAAATGTTTATTACTGGATGGCTGTGGACTATTTCTGTGACCTCATCTACATTTTGGATATCAGCATCTTTCAGGTCCGCCTGCAATTTGTCCAAAGAGGAGACATCATAGTAAGTGACACCCATAAGGCCTTTGTTCTATTGGATTAGCCCCTGACGTTTTGGGACGCGGGTGGCACTGTGGGTTAAACCACAGAGCCTAGGACTTGCCAATCAGAAGGTCGGCGGTTTGAATCCCTGCGACAGGGTGAGCTTCTATTTCTCGGTCCCTGCTACTGCCAACCTAGCAGTTCGAAAGCATGTCAAAATACAAGTAGATAAATAGGTACCACTCCGGCGGGAAGGTAAACGGCGTTTCCATGTGCTGCTCTGGTTCGCCAGAAGCGGCTTAGTCATGCTGGCCACATGACGCCGGCTCCCTTGGCCAATAAAGCAAGATGAGTGCTGCAACCCCAGAGTCGTCTGCGACTGGACCTAATGGTCAGGGGTCCCTTTACCTTTTAGTCCTTGAGAAAGCCAAGCATTATGAGGAAACCAGGCCTTATGGGGAACAGTTGAGGGAGCTGGGAATGTTTAGCCTGGATAAGAGAAGACTGAGGGCCTTTCACACTTCTACTTGTCCTGTGCATGGGAAGCATGGGTCTGAACACTTTCCTGCTTGTCCCATTCCTTTGCTCCACCGCTTTCCCCGAGAAAACACACTCCTTAGCACTAAATTGGAGCAGACAGCAATCCGCAGAAAACCTGATTGCAGTTTGTTCTGATTCAGTGCTAAACCAAAGGTTTCCCCAGGGGAAAGCTATATGAGATTATAGCCATATTCAAATATCTAAAGGGCTGTGACACAGAAAATGGAGCAAGCTTGTTTTCTGCTGCTTGAACAAATAGATTCAAATTACAAGAAAGGAGATTACCAACTAAACAGTAGGAAGAATTTTATGATGGTGAGAGCTGTTGCACAATGGACTGGACTACCTCAGAAGGTGGTGGGCTTTCCTTCATTTGAGTTTTTTAAACCAAGGTAGGATGGCCATCCTTCAGGGATTCTCTAGTTGAGACTCCTGCTTTGCAGGAGGTTGGGCTAGAGCACCCTTTGGGAACCATCCAGTGCTACAATCCTATGTGCTTATCCACACTTCCTCTTGTCCCACTGCTTCCCCCTAGGGAAACGATTCTTTCGTGCTCATTAGGAACAAACAGCAATTTGGGTTTTCTATGGATTGATGTTGGTTTCCAATTTATCACTAAAGAACAGGTTTTCCCTGGGAATATAGTGGGGCAAGGGGGAAATTGTTCAGACCCATGCTTTCTAGGCACAGGCCAATGTGGATGAGCCCTGTGGATCTGTGAAAACCCTGTGTGGCTAAAGATCACAAACCATAAATGAAGAACCTGTGGCTCTCCAGATGTTGTTGAACTCTCTGCTTCCAACAGCCAGCACACCCGATAGTCAGTGATGATGAGAGTTAGGCTCCAACAATGTCTGGAGGGCCACAGGTTCCCAAGCCCTGCCATTGGGCAAGCTTGTTTATCTTCACCGTCCAAGGACCTCTCTTAGCTGTGGACACTTTGGATCTGACAGAAACAGCCAGTGTGGGGGTACCCATAATATATTTTAAATTTTGGTTGGTGGACAGGCTTTCATTCCTTGCTTCTTTCCTGGCTGTGTGGCTGCCCATTATTTGCAAATCTCTGATGGATGCATCTCTTCTTCCACTATGAAACAAGTGGTGATGCCCCCTCTCCTTTTGCCTCCTCTTCCAGACTGATAAAAAGGCCATGAGGAAGAACTATCTGAAGTCAGGCCGCTTCAAGGTCTGTACCATTTTCCTTACTTGTTTTAATTCAGCATTCTGCCAGCTGGCACCTTCCAGATGTTTTGGACTACAACTTCCATTGCGCCCCCTCCCCCAGCTGGTTAGGGGCACCTGTTTGGGGAAGGCTGTCGTATGTAAAATGATCAGTGGCTAGAAATTAAGAGTTGCATCATTTTAGTTCAACTACAGCAATTTTAGTTATATGAAGTGCTCATCCATGCCACAATCAAATATTAAAATGGTAGTTTTGTTTTTGATATAATTCACTTATGTAAACAAATGTGCTTTGCAAAGTTGCAAACAGTCCTACTTTGAGGAGACTTTTAAGTTCAAGGTCTGGACAGGGCTGAACCTGACAAATATCTGGAATCTCCTGATGAAGGATCTCAGTACAGCAGAAACCACCTGGGGCTCTGAGCCCCTGGTGGTTTCTCCTGATGGGGACCTTACTCAAAGAGTTTGGCTGGCCTCTTTCATCACAGGATGCCACTGTGTTTTGTTTTACATGCAACATTGTCCCTCCTGCTGTCTTTTCTCCCATCTTCCTGTTTCCCAGGCTCTTGCCTTGAATATCTTTCCTCTCCGCTGTCCCTTTGCACTGTTTCATCTCCTGCTTGCTGCTTTTCACCCCCTCCCTCTTTCCGGCTCACCTCTGGGGCTAAGAGCCCCAGGCCCTTCCATCTTTTTCCTCTTCCTATTTTTCCCTCCTCCTTGTTGTCCTCGCAGAGACAGCAGAAATGTCCCTTTATAACTTGCCTCTTTCCCTTCTAGTTTCATTTATTTATTATTACATTTCTATCCCACCTTTCCTTAATGTAGCTCAGAGTGGTGTGGTCTTCCCCCTTCCCATTTAATCCCCACAACAGCCCTGTGAAGGAAGTCAGGCTGAGAGACAGTGACTGGCTTAAGGTTACCCAGTGAGCTTCATGGCCAAGTGAGGATTTGAGCTCTGGTCTCCCAGGTCCTATCCTGGCACTCTAACCACTACACCACACCTGGCCTCTACCTCACCCCTCTGTTCCCCTTGCATCTCTTCCCTTGCCCTTCAAAACCACCCTGGTTTCTTAGCTCCTGCACGGTGGCCTTTTAACAGGTGCTGAATGCTCTCTTTGTGCCTCTGATGGGAAGCATTCGCCCCAGCTGGATTGCCTGACACCATTATGTGGTCAGAGGCAAGTCACTGTCTCCTAGCTCCAGTTCCGCACATGAAAAGCAGAGATGCTGAGATGACAAACACAATCAGTATTATAAAGCCATTTAAAGGTGCCATCAAATTACATGCAGTGATAGTGTTGGCAGATCAAGTTGCTAATATCTTTTTTTGGGGTGGGCTGTGTGCCTCTTTCCAGATGGATGTGATCTGCCTTCTTCCACTGGATTTTCTTTACCTCAAAGTGGGTTTCCATCCTCTCTTGCGCTTGCCTCGCTGTTTAAAGGTGAGTCAGGGCGAGTTACGCTCCTACAACCTATTTTCAAAACTCTTTTTGTTGTGTTTTAGTAGATGTGCAAAACAGGGAGGGGGAGGAAGAACATTTTCCCTTTTTTGCTGGGCTTGCTGAAAGTGGGAAATGCACTTGAGGTATTTATTGAAACCTTTAAATATTTGAAGGGCTGTCACTTTGGGCTCATCCAGAGATCCTAAATTTGCAGATCCTTCCATTGCTACCATAGACTGCCTTGGAAGGTGGCAGACTCTCCTTTCTTAATAAATTAAAAAATTGTCCAGTAGCACCTTAGAGACCAACTAAGTATGGGGTGGGGTTTTTCTCAGAAGGGTAGTAGGAGATGGGTGATTGACTCAATGGGTATGGTAAACCTGTTGACGACTGCATTTGTCCTACAGGAAAAAGCATGGGATAGTATGCAGATGACCAAAAATAGCTTTAGCATGTGTAAGAAAAACCCCACCCCACCTTCTCACTATATATAAGGGTCTGGTGACTTCTGTTTCAGTGTATCTGAAGAAGTGTGCATGCACATGAAAGCTTATACCCAGAACAAACTTAGTTGGTCTCTAAGGTGCTACTGGACAATTTTTTAATTTTTTAATTTATTTCGACTGCATCAGACCAACACGGCTACCTACCTGAATCTCCTTTCTTAGACATTTTAAAACAGAAGCTGGATAGCCTCCTGCTAGGAATTCTGTGGCAGTGGATTTCTAGCATCAGGAGGTGGGTTGATCTTGATGACCTTTCAGGTACCTTCCCTTCAAAGCACTTTCAAGGAATTTGATTCAGGTGCTGCTGAAGGGACACCCACCAAATCATTATTTCAGTAATTAAGAAAAAGTGCTGAGAGCTTTTCCAGCTAATTTTATTGTGAAATATTTCTCCATTTGTCCCTGAACTGCTCTTGGTGCTCATTTGTACTTTTCATTCTGTCCCACAGTACATGGCCTTCTTTGAGTTTAACAATCGGCTTGAAGCTATTCTGAGCAAGGCATATGTTTACAGGTGAGGTAAGCTTTTGATGCTGACCCTCTTCACTCTTGAATGCAGCTGCTATAGGAAGAGGGGAGACTCAGGAGCATTGCAGCATTTTAGTTCCTTTCATAACTTTCTCTTTGTACAGTGGTACCTCGGGTTAAGTACTTAATTCGTTCCGGAGGTCCGTGCTTAACCTGAAACTGTTCTTAACCTGAAGCACCACTTTAGCTAATGGGGCCTCCTGCTGCCGCACGATTTCTGTTCTCAACCTGAAGCAAAGTTCTTAACCTGAAGCACTATTTCTGGGTTAGCGAAGTCTGTAACCTGAAGCGTATGTAACCCGAGGTACCACTGTACTGATTCCCCCCCCCCCCCGAAACTGAGGGATCACCTACCCTTGACTTGTCTTGTCCCTAGAAAGCATGGATCCAAGTGTTTTTCCATTTGCCCCACCGCTTTCCTCAATAAAACCCACTCTTTAGTGTGGAAAACAGAGCAAGCATCATTAAGAGGAAAACCAAATTTGCACTATCAGGCTTCCCTGGGTGAAAGCAGTGGGATGAGCAGAAGCCTGGATGAGCCCTGAGACCTTCTGAAGAGAAAAGCTGCATGTTGATCTACATAGTCTAATGTAATTCCATTATTTCCAGAATTCACAGCATGCGACGTTTTTTCAGAGGGCAGCAGTTGTGTTGGGCTGTTGAGGTGAAAACAACCAAGCATCTCGTAGCACTTTAAAGCCTAACCAATCTGTTATGGTATAAACTGGGTGGGGGTTAGACAAATTTTTAGATAAGGCCAATGCCTTTTTCCCCTAGAACTCACTAGGTTCATGGCAATCTGCCTTCTGCCCCGACTACATTTTCACAGGGAGACCTCCAGCGACCATCATTGATTGACCCCTGGCCCCTTCTCACCTCTGCACGTTTTAAAACTATTTTTGAAGTTGCACATAGATGATGCTCCTAAAAGAAAATCTGTATGAAGGCAAACTTATGGAACAGGAGGGCCAAAGTGCCTACTTTCCATTGGCATATCCAGTGTAACTACCATATAACAATCACTATAATATAAGCTATTTTTTCCTAAGACCTTACATAAGTACAATTGACCACTAGTGGCTCTATAGGTTGCAAATGGGAATGCAGACATGAAAAGTGAGATTGTTTTAGAGAACAACTTAAAGAGTATTTTGTTAACATTGTCGTCTTTCTTCACCCTCTTTGTAGAGTGGTAAGGATCACAGCCTACCTGCTCTTCAGCTTACATGTGAACTCATGTTTATATTACTGGGCATCCTCCTCTCAGGGGTTGGGCTCAACTGCCTGGGTCTACAATGGGGAAGGAAACAGGTACTCATTATATATTTCATTTCTGCATTGCTATAATCCAACCACCCCCAACACGGTGCCTTCCAGATGTTTTGGACTACAATTCCCATCAGCCCCGGCATCATAGAGCCAAAAAACTAGAAGGCACTAGGTTGGGGAAGGCTGGTATAATTCATTGTTAGAGGATAAAAGCAGTAGTAGATCAGTTGCTTGGGCATTCTTATCCTCTCATATCTTTTTTTTATAAGCTATATCCGCTGTTATTACTGGGCTGTCAAGACTTTGATAACAATTGGAGGACTGCCAGACCCAGAGACCCTCTTTGAGATCATCTTTCAGCTGCTCAATTACTTCACAGGTGTCTTTGCTTTCTCTGTCATGATAGGTCAGGTAAGAAAACAATCCATGCCTTTTCAGTACACAACAATCCTTGTTCCTCCCCCTGCCCTGATTCTGCCAACCTAGAGGGGGTTAGGATGCAGTGAAGGTTTAGGATGCAGTGGACTCTGCAGACAGGGTGCCTCTGCCACTGCAGAGGTCCCCACTGTGCCCACCAAAAGCTGCGGGCAGAAGCTACCATTGGCAGTACCAGCAATAAACCCCTGAAACAGAGCATTTTAGAGGGTGGGGAGGAGTCCAGCTATTGGCAATGGGTGCTATTCACGCATCTCTGCTACACCAGTCTGGAGGCAGCAGAGTAAAAATTTGCAGTTTGACTTGCCCACTTTCTGCCCTGGCTGGCATGAGTTGAGGAGTATTCACATTTTAAAAGTCTTTTAAAACAATGCTGGGGAAGGGGAAACTCTTTAAGAATGTAAGCAGATGCTTAGAAAGTGTTGGGCTTTGTTGTGTGGAAACTGGGACTTTCCCCAGCCTATTCATGGATAAAGTTAACATCAAGGCATTCCCAGGCTCTCGACTCTACAAAGTGAATGGCCACCATTCAGGTATCATGTTCCAGTTGAAAGAGAGAAAGAAAGAAAGAAAGAAAGAAAGAAAGAAAGAAAGAAAGAAATTACCCTACAATCTCATACAATAAAACATCTCAACATGAGTTCTGGTTTTATTTCAGGACTGAAGAAATTTGTGGCTACTTGCCTAGCCGTTTTTTTAATTCAGGCCACATTCACTCTATACATTCAAAGCACAATTATACTGCTTTGAACAGTCATGGCTTCCCCCAAAGAATCCTGGGAATTGTAGTTTGTTAAGAGTGCTGAGAGTTGTTAGGAGGCCCCTATTCCCCTCACAGTGTTACAATTTCCACAGTGGCTTAACAGTCAGTCCCTCTTTACAGGGGACTCTGGGAACTATAACTTACTCCCATTAGTAACTCAGCCCTCTGTGAACTGGTGCTCCTCAACCCCCCACTGCCCCATGATCAACTTCCATCAGCACAGCCACCTGAAGCTTGGAAGCTTTAGTTTGAAGGCATTAGGTTGGGGAAGGCAGAGACAGTTCAATGGTGTAGGTAAGCAATGCTGAACAAAAATTCCCTGAATGGTTTTCTCTTTATCTCACACAGATGAGAGATGTTGTTGGGGCTGCCACCGCTGGACAGACATACTATCGGAGCTGTATGGACAACACAATTAGATACATGGCTTTGTACAAAATCCCCCGATCTGTTCAGAATAGAGTCAAAACGTGGTATGAGTACACTTGGCACTCTCAAGGCATGCTGGGTAAGACTGAACTAGGGCTTTGAATATTGGCTTCGTAAGGTGTTCCTCTGGTTGTTCAATACGGCTTAGGTCAAGGCTAGCCAAAATGGCGCTCTCTGGATGTTGCTTGGCCCCAGTTCCCAGCATCCCTGTCCACTACGTATTGGCTGGCTGCAGGGGCTGCTGGGATGGGGTGTCCAACAACCACTGGAGGGTGCCATGTTGGCTACCCCAGTTTAGGGCCAAACTAGCCATAATATTGAATGCATATTTACATTTCCGGTGAATTGAATGACACAAGTAGCAGCCACAGGGGTGGGGGTGGGGAGGAAGAGACTGATAATTACAAGCAGGGTGAGAAATTTAACCTTTTCCTTCCCTGCTATGGTTTCATTGATGCCAATAGGACCTTTTTCTCCTATGAAAATAGCAGCTTTGGAGGAGTGATTTTTTTGTTGGTGTCTGGACTACTGCAGGGGAGAAAAGGTTTAATCCTTCCTCCCTGACTCCTGAGATCCTGCTAGTTACCAGTCATCCACTCTAAGCAGCTGCTATTTGAGTTTTTAAATATGTGCGCTGGCTATTCTCTAATCCGCGGTTTCAAGAAAGGCAAACTCTTCCTTACACTTCCTTTGCTGCAGACGAATCGGAATTGCTGATGCAGCTGCCAGACAAGATGAAGTTGGACATTGCAGTAGATGTGAACTATGACATTGTTAGCAAGGTGCCTCTTTTTCAGGTATGGTCCACACCCCCTCAGGGTTTCGCTTACTTAAATCCAGACATGCTTGTACAAGCCAACTGATTCTTCCTTCCTTTGCATTCAGGGTTGTGACCGGCAGATGATTTTTGACATGCTGAAAAGGCTCAGATCTGTGGTGTACCTGCCCAATGACTATGTCTGCAAGAAGGTAACCAGCTTTGTCTAAGAAGTGAAAAGTAGGGTTGAGCTGAACTGTGGAATGAGGGGTGAGGTGTGGGAATACTTGCAGGACATTTTAAGTACCCAATTTTCAGTGACTTTGGATTCAGTGACTATGAAAATGTTTGTAGTGGTTGGCGGTCCTTTCTGCACCATGCCTTAATAGTACTGTTCTCCATCATTCAGAGTCATGGCTTCCTCTCACCCCCTCCCCCAAAAAATCCTGGGAATGGTAGTTTGTTATGGGTGATACCCCTTACAGAGCTAACAATTCCCAGCACCCTCAACAAATTACAGTTGTTGTTGTTGTTTTATTCTGATAGCTCAGTTGGTAGAGCATGAGACAATCTCAGGGACAGGGGCTTGGACTAGATGACCCCCGTGATACCTTCCAACTCTACAATTCTATGATTCTATGACATGAAAGCAGCAATAAAAAATAAATAGAACAACATTTAAAACTCGGGTAGTCAGTCTGAAACCTGAAGGGCAAAGGATCCCTGGTGCTGCAAAGAACACTTTTCCTCCTTGTTACTTCAGGGGGAAATTGGCAGAGAGATGTACATCATTCAAGTCGGGCAAGTCAAGGTGCTCGGAGGACCTGATGGGAAAACGGTGCTTGTGACTTTGAAAGCTGGATCTGTGTTTGGAGAAATAAGGTCAGACAGATGGAGAATGTCGATGTGGGGAGGAAACTGGGCTTGGCAACAGGAAGGAGAAGAAAGGGGCTCAGAAAGATAAAAGTATAGTCATGTACAGTCTTGCTTACTTTTCATCCAAAATGAGATCGGCAGATTTTTCAGGTACTGTAATTTTTTTCCTTCAACTGAAAAAGATTTCCCTGATGATAAGAGAAGTCCTGATAACAAAGAAATATAGGTACTTTGACTATCCTTTCCACCTTTGAATCTTGAAACTGAATGGCTATAAAGAGATGTACATGGCAACTATCTGATTTTGTTCTAGATTTCAACTACAGAGGGGGCTAAATATACTTTGGCTAACAAATACACTCCTAATCAATCAGGATTGTATGAAGTCGTCCCCCCCCCCCCAAAAAAAAATTGGACAAATGACTGGAGGGTCTATAATAATAGGAGAAATTCAGTGGAGTTATTGCACATTAAAGTAGATAAATCATCTAATAAAAAAGGAAAGTATGAGATCATTCTAACTGAACAATTGAAGCTCTCTCTTGGAGACATAGAAATCCGCATGAAATAGGCTATACTTATTATTCAATTGTCCATGAGTCATATTCCTGCAGAGTTTTTACTTCTCCTGAATTAATACAGAAAGAGAAATCTGTATCTATAAAGACGGTAACAACAGGGTTTTTAAAACTCTGAAGAATTCCATCACCTAATGAGGAACGCAGAATGCACAGTGCAGAACCCAGAAAGCAAATTATGATGCCTTGAAAAATGACACCTGAAAAATTATACAGTTTACCAATAATCTGTACCCATTTCCCATGCCTCCTTCTGCCAAACTCTCATTATGGAAATGCAGAAGAGCAATTTGGTTCAGGGGCAGCCCACCCATGAGGCAAGGTGAGGTGACTGCCTCAAGCAGCAGAAGCCCATGAGGTGGTGTTCCACACAGGCATCTCGCCACCTCTGCTGCCAGTGGAGAAGCGGTGCTGGCAGGGGCACCGGTTTCTGGTGAGATCTCACCAGATCTTGTGGAGTGTGCAGTCATACAAGATCTTGCTGGAAGCTAGATATTTCATTGATGCTGAATGAGGTCCTCAGGAGACGCTGAGAAAAAAGGCACAGGAGCCAAGCTTAGTGCCCCAATGTATTCAATAGTAGATGTTGAGTTATGGAAACCAGATTGAGTCCCCAGTTGATGTCTTTTTCTTTTTCTTAGCTTACTAGCTGTGGGAGGTGGAAATCGACGCACAGCGAATGTTGTGGCTCATGGATTTACTAACCTTTTCATCTTGGAAAAGAAAGATTTGAATGAAATTTTAGTGCATTATCCAGAGTCTCAGAAGTTGCTGCGGAAGAAGGCCAGGTGAGCTGCAGGATAGCCAGGTGCTGGTATGTTTGTGCACAGCCATACTCTCTATCAAGTCCGAAATTTCATGAGTCCAAGCTGAAATTTAGGCTCAGCAGCTCATTGGCTCCTAATATTCCCAACACCTGAACAATGTGTGAAAATACCTGTTTTCCCTTTCTGTTCTTAGGAGAATGCTGAAAAACAACAGCAAAACTAAGGATGACAAAAGCAAAGGCATCATCATTCCTCCAAGAGCTGGGACTCCTAAGCTCTTCCAAGCCGCCTTATTCGCTGCAGGAAAGATGGGAGGCAAAGGGCGGTTGGCTCATATCAGATGGAAATTGAAAGAGCTGAAAGCTATGCAGGTAAATGCACAGAAAAAGTAGCTGCAAATGTCAACAGTGAGTTCTCTCCGGAAATGGGGTAGAAGAACCTAACAAGTTAGGAAGTTCCATGGTGTTTTTACAGCTGGGACCCCACAGGGGAAGAGCAACTGAAGGAGGGGTGTTTTTGAGCTGAAAAACAATATAATGAGCAGCAGGGAAATGGTTAAACACTTATCTCCCTGCCCTGCCACCATTCCACTCAGTAGCACCAGCATCCCAAAGCCACTTCTCATTTAGAGATGTTGGGACTTTGTTACCTTTGGCTCAATGTGTCTGATTTCCCTAGCTTTTTAAAACAAAACAAACCTTTCCCGTAGGCAAGACTTAATCTATGCAAGAGCTCTGGACTGGCATGTTTTCAAAGCTCAGACTGAAACTAGAGCATATAAATAAATAGGGTGCTTCCTATTTATTTATAGCTTCCTCTAACAGCAAGCTCGGTGCCCCAGTGTCAACAGGGATGGTAGCAAAACAAGGTCACTGAAGTAGTGATGGGCTCGAGTGAACCTAAATGTTTGCCAAAATACACACATTTTTTGAAAAACACAAAAAGGAAGCAACTAAAACCCCTACCTCCCCAAGAGCTCAGTGGACACCAGGAGCACAGAATTTTCCTGAATTGTTATGCGGAACGGTGGGTGTCGAGAGGGAGAGCTGCGTCAGCCCTGAACAACAACTAGTTTCCTGCCTGTATCCCAACTGGCTGGCTAGCACCAAAAGCACTTTGGCTATGGGGTGAGAATATACTTTTGTTCTCTGAATACTACTGAGAGTCTCTACACATCAGGGACTAGAAAGATAGATTATTTTTGGATCGGTGAGGGTTGTTTCCATACAGACTTGTGCCAGACAGTTCCCTGCTCCAGATACTAAGCATGCCCCTTATTCAAGTAACCACTAGCATGATACCTTTGTCTTTCAGGAGGCCAGTGCCACTCCAGTTCCACCTAAATCACCCGCCAGTCATAGATCGCCAGCCGGCTCCCAGAAATCAGTTCCACCTAAATCATCAGCCAGTCATAGATCACCTGCCGGCTCCCAAAGATCAGTTCTACCTAAATCACCAGCCATTCATAGCTCACCAGCTGGTCCCCAAAAATCAGATGACTGCAGCAGAACAGAGAAGATTGTCTCAAAATCTTCAGATCACTCTGTTACGGTTTGCATAACTCCAGCACCTAAAGGTGATGAAGAGATTCTCTCCGTAGAGATTCTAGACAAGGACGAAATTAAGTAGAAAGTCCAACTAGCTGACTGTCTTGCTTCTCATAGAAGGACACTACCATAGGCCATAGCCTGGGGAAGGCACTTTAGTGACTATGGATCACTGCAAAATACGGATAGGCTTGGGCTCTTCCAACGTTCAGAATGTAGCCTCCAACGTTGTGCTATTAGATGAAAAGATGGCTGGAAATCCATCTCTTTTAAAATAAGGTCTAGAATTATTTGCACCCCCAAGGTATGGGGGTTCGTCCATACCTTGGCAGAATGTGGATTTTGCACCCCTTGTGCTCTCTTTAATTCACCCTCATCTATGTGACATCCTACTGTTCTCCCACACTTTCCCCATCGTGAACCAGGACTTTCACAAGGCACTCCCACAACCTCACCGGGCAACTTCATCAAGTGCAGATAGGAGGTTAATAATGCCAGTCTACTTTCCTGGGGTTTCAAAGCCATTGCCTTTTGTTCTAGCCTTGATGGACGTGGTGAAAATTGTTCCTCTGCCTCTGTTTGATCTCCCTGCCCTGCTTACAAACATTTGAAGAAAAATATGATATGCTTTAATGCCCAAATCTATATTGATCTGGTGGATTGTCATATTTCCACATCTAACTGATGCATTGCAGTCCCTGGAGTGTACATGCATAACTTGCTTAGCCCAGCCTTGGCCATCCTGATGCCTCACAGGAGTTCCGGACTCCCATCATCCCCAGCCAGCATGCCCCAGGCAGTAGCAAGAGCTGTGCACTAGCCTTGACCTAATAAACCGGCATTCTTTCCCCTAGTCTCTTCCTTATTTCTTGTAACCTGTTACCAGTGTCCAAATGACTATTGTCATTTCTGTGTTTTGGGGAATTCATTAATGTCCTTTCCCTTGCAATGTAAGCTGAGGGGCAAAGAACACAGCGCAGCAATAATTATTTAAAATTTTAGCAGCATTGTAACAAACAGCATATGTAAAGTAGCAGTGTCTGCAGGAAGGTTAATTACATTCCAAATGCCTGGGTAAACAGAAAAGCAAACCATTAGCAGAAGGGTGTTTTTGTTGTTAAGCTTTTGCAAATTAACTCATGCACCAAAACATCTAGTTAACATGCCTCCCTTGGTAACATCTGCCCCATGTAAGCAAGTGAACACTATTGTCTTGCAATAGGAATCATAGGCAAAAAATGGGCAAATGGAATGGAAAATGAGCAAGTGGATTTAGGCTGAGCGCACATTACCCTTTATTCCAGCTCCTGTGTGCTTCCAAGTCTGATGTTCGAAGCTGTGTACTCATTATGTCAGCCCCAATCCATATCTATCATGTAGTTTCTCAATAAATACTCCTGTTTGAAGCGTTTCCCCTCAAAGCAGCTTCGATTAGATTTGAAAATGCAAGCTGAAGTCAAGGTGAGGTGTGTACAGCTCAGACAGCCATTGCACATGTGCAGATGACAACACATACGCAGATGACTGCTTCACTTAATTGGAATTTAGGGGGGTTGCGGAAACAAATCAGGTAATGTGATCAGTTGAGGACATTTCTACATCACAAATGCAAATGTGGCTTGAAATGGCACTGAGGGGAACAGGAATGTGTTTTAAGACACTCAGTAGCGTTACTGAGCCAATCATTTAGCTATCCAGTAGGTGGCAGCAAGAGAGCCTAAATTGGTACACCATAAAAGAAAAAGACCTCTTGCACTGTAGTAAAGCATTTGCATCAGGGCCCAGGTCCAAATCCTGGTATCTCCAGTAAGAAACGAGGTAGCATGGGAAAGGTGAAAGAGAGATGAACATAGCTGGAGAGATTTGTAACCTTCCACTTAACATTGTCCCTAGAAGCTCCAGTGCTGGGAAACTGCAGAAGGGCTTTCTGAATGGAGAAGCGAGTACTGTGACATAATAACTGGGCAAAATACCAATTGGATCCCTCTTATAGCCATTCTGAAAAGCATTCTGCTTGCTCCTTAGCAGCAAGCTAGGCTTACCCATGGGTGAAGGAAAGACGTGTCGGAGGAGAGTCCTCAAAGGCTCAAAGTTCCTGGAGGAATCTCCCATGAACACGTCACAACTCTGCCCTTTGGACACTCCTGCGACACTTGGAACTGTGTCCAGCACACAAGGAGAGGTGAGACGTCTGGAGAGACAATGGAGGTGGGATGTGGGTGAGGGGGGCTGATGATGACCCACCACAATTTTCCTGACTCTTTCTCCTCATGGAACACAGTCAAGCAAAATCCAGCCTAACTATTACACACTGGCAATGAGTTCCTTGGGGAAAATTGAGGTATCCTGAGTTTTATCAGGCAATGGGGAAAACACCCTCCCCAAACAAAATCTGCTAAGCTTCCCATCCCTAAGCTGCATCCCCAGACATTCCAGGAGGGATGGAGGAGAAAGCCACAACTGTGAGCTACGGCAGAGTTCGGCCAAAGGGAAGTGGGCAGCAGGGCAGCAAACACACGTGGCTTAGGAAAGCTGAACTGGGAGGAAGGATGAAGGAAAGAGGTGCCATGGCGAACTCTGCAGACAAGGAAGGGAAACTGAAAATGTAGTACACATTTTTCCTAATAATACACATTTTAAATTCCAAATTTCACTATTTACACCCCGAAGTGGCTAACAACACTACAATACAGTATACAAAATTTAAAACCTGAATAAAATTCAGTATTTTAGAAAGTAAAGCATTTGAGAAGCATTCAGGGTGTAAGGTTTGACCAGGTGCCTGAAACTCATTTGAGGTGGTGCCTTTATAACTTTGTGGGAGGGAGTTCCCTAGAGTTGGGCCCATCACGCTGAAGGCATGACTCACTGTGGACATGAGTTGAGCTTCTGGCCTATAGGGAACCATTAATAGTGCTTTCCCAATGATCTCAGTGATTGACTTGGGCTGTACGTAATATACATGTCATATGATCACATCTGGCTGTAAATACAAATTGGGCAATCGGGAACAGGGCATTTAAACAAATGAAACTAAAAAAGAAGCTCAGGGACACAAATCCTCCAACAGTTTGAAACCAGCAAGGGATTGGAGGAAGGAGCTGGTGATATGGATAAATTCTGTTTGGCTGCTATGGCTGGGCTCTTCCTCTCCTAACTACTTGAAATCATAGAATTGTAGAAATGGAAGGTACCCAAAGGGTCATCTAGTTCAATCCCCTGCAATGCAGGAATCACAACTAATGAATCTATGAGAGATGGCCATCCAACCTCTGCTTAAAACCTCCAAGGAAGGACAGCCCATCAACTTCCAAGGTTGCTGTTCCACCGGGGGTGGGTGTTTGTGTGTGTATGTGTTTGTGTGTGTTTTTGCACCTGAGACAAACAACAAAATGCTCCCACTCTAAGGAAGAAGGGGTGGGTGAAGATCTACATCAGGAACAAGCAGGGAATGAAGAAGAAGAAGAAGAAGAAGAAGAAGAAGAAGAAGAAGAAGAAGAGGAGGAGGAGGAAACAGAGGAGGAGGAGGAGGAGGAGTTTGGATTTGATATCCTGCTTTATCCCTACCCGAAGGAATCTCAAAGCAGCTAACATTCTCCTTTCCCTTCCTCCCCCACAACAAACACTCTGTGAGGTGAGTGGGGCTGAGAGACTTCAAAGAAGTGTGACTAGCCCAAGGTCACCCAGCAGCTGCATGTGGAGGAGCGGAGACACAAACCCGGTTCACCAGATTACAAGACTACCGCTCTTAACCACTACACCACACACACAGAAGACACATGGGCAGCGTTGTACTTTGAGATTGGCTGTCTTGGTTGATAGAAGCAGCTCTTATTGTCAGAAAGTTCTTCCCAATGTTTAGTCTGAATCTCCTTTCTTGTAATTTGAATCTACCTTCTGGAGCAGGAGTAAACAAGCTTCCACATTACAGCCCTTCAGATATTTGAAGTTGACTATCATAATCACCTCTCAGTTTCCTCTTCTCCAAGGTGGAACATACATCGTTAGAAGGGGGAAGAGAAGGGAAAACAATATTTCTGAGCACCAACTAGAGACCAGAGTTGTGGATTTCCTGCCCTTTGAGATTTTTCTTCTTCACCGCCTTTATTTCAGCCTGGTTACCTCATGGCAAATTCTATTCCAAGGAGCTCAGTAAGTAAACATGGGGTGGGTGGGGAGTCAGGGATCCATCACAGCTCTGCAATGTACATGGAACTTCCATGCAGGAGCCCTCCTGCTTTGTATGTTCACCTGTCGATTTATGGGGGGCAATAGGAATGCAGGCAGCAAGCAGCAGGGAAGGAGGGGAATTCAGGTCACATTTTAATTGTAGCCTTCCTAATTCCCAGAACATTACATAAGCAGAAATGCAGTTACCCTTCAGACTTCTCTGAATTTTCCAATTCTGAAAAATGTATACAAATACGCATAGTGAAAATAATGGGAAAATGCATTATATAAGGAGAGATGCCATGCAAAAATGTGTCCATTAGCTCATTAAAAATGAGCACTAAAGCTCTGACAAAATGATGCAAAAATATGAACTGAACTTACAATTGGAATATTCAGAAACTGAGTGAGACCAAAATTTACAGATTGGCTGATTTAGCGCACCAATGCCTGAACAGGGCTTTTATTTATTATTTTTTTGCTTTAAGCATGGCTTGTTTTAGGCTGAAACATAACTTATTTGGCATAAGAGGCTTTTGTCACATTCGCTTTGTGGTCTTTTGGGGCAGTTGGAGACATTCTCCAATGCCAAGCCTGATTATTAAGCTCTCTTTCAGAATGGATGGTTCGCTATGATTCTAGCTCAGTTAATGAATCCCTTCATCTGTCAGAGAATAAATCGGAAGTGTCACCTAGTGCTCCTGCCACTGTGACTGTCCCAGGCTCATTCAAGCATCTTAGACTTCTTCTGGACACAGCACAAGGCCTGAGGGTGTCTCTGGAGCACTTTTAATAGTTGCTTCCACACAATGTCTCAAATGCATGTGGGGGGTAGTGGAGGGTGAAGGAAATCTTAAGCAGCAAGGAATCCTTGTATCTCAATTTGCTTTGGGCTTAAAAGGAAAGATACAAATCCCTGCTAATGAGATTGTGCTGCTGCTATTTTCTTCACTATCCTGAAGGAGGTAATAGCCTCTGGTCATCTGGTTTCATTGGCTTAATTCTTTAGGGCAGCCTTCCCCAACCTGGTGCCCTCCAGATGTTTTGGTCTACCATGACACAGCTGACACGGCTGCTATGGGGTGGGTATTTATAAGCAATGAGGAAAATGTCTGAGATTATTACTCTCAATTCTGTTATGAGCAGTGACAACTGTCAGCACTGATGAACTCATTTGCCACTTCATATTCTGGGTGTCACCCTTCCTTAGTCCCCCTTGCATAGCAGGAAGCTCCTCTGGACTCAAATTTTCCCCATCAGAATTCCTGTCAGGGCTGCCCCTACCCCTCAATTTAATTCACAGCTGCCAAGCAGTGCCTGTTCACATAGTGTGCTTAGAAGAAATGAACTTATCTAGACTTTCTCCTGTATGGTATAACTAAATTTAATTGGGTGGACAGGGCACCTGAGTCTCTAGTCTCAGTAAAATTGTGACCAGCGCAGCACAGCTCAAATGTAGCTTGTTCTTTCTGGAATAGACACAAGGGATCAATTTAAATGAAAAACCATTATGGAATAGAATGCTATTATGCCTAGGAAATGAAAAGGATATTTATTAGGTGGAACAGATAGAGTGCCCCAAGGGGTGGGTGGATGTGTCCATTTCAGCTTCTCATTTTTCCATCCTTAAGGTCAGCTTGTCCCATTACACCATCTATTTGCAATTTTTTATTTTAAAAGTCCACATTTTGAAAATGGTATGAATTTGTATGCATGTTTCTCCTAACATATGCATTTTTTTGCACACAATTTGGCCTAGTGTGCACTTTTTTGCAAGCACATTTCCCTAATACAAATACAGTTTTATAGTTACTTTCACTAATGTATGCCCTTTTGTGTGGACTTTTATGGTAGGAAAACTGCATCATTAAAAAAATTCAGATGTGCAGATTATGAAGGGTAACTGTGTTCAGGTTCACTTATTGCTTCAGGAAGTTAGAATCAGGAAGGTTTCTCATTTTAGTGAACCAAATGAATTTCTACTCCATTCCTTCCCATAGCTGTCAACTTACAGATTTGAAAATAAGGGACCAGCAGCCAAAATAAGGGACCTGCAGCCTCACCTGTTCCAGGCACTCCATTCTTCCTGTCCTCCTGCAGTCTGGTCAAACTCATGCTGGTAGCTTCGAGAACACTGTCCAACCAACTTTGTAACCAGAGGTTCAACTGAATAGAATCTGAATCACATGCACCACAAGGCCTATGGAGCCTCAACTTAAGATGGCTCCCCGGCCTGGCTTTGCACTGCAAAGTTTGCAGCAGCACGTGCAACAAAATGGCGTCCAGCATTCAAAAACCTCCTCAGCTTGCATTAACTAGCCACACACAAGGCATGCAAGCTCCACCCCCCAGTCGTTCTTAGACTTCTTATTGGGTGAGCAACACAGCCAAGCAACACAGTTGGAGCCTCCCTCCACCCTGGCTGGCAGGGAGGGAGGGAGGGAGAGGAGCTGCTCCCTTTGAAATTTAAGGGACATCATTTAAGGGACATTTAAGGGACATCCATCAATAAGGGACAGCAGCGGGACATGGCGCTGGAATAAGGGACACTTGACAGCTATGTTCCTTCCAGCTATTGATATTCATTCTGTTCCCTCAGTGGCCTGAACTACAGAGAGAGGGAGGGAAACATAATAATATATGAGCAGTGAAAAGTCCCTCTTTCACTCTGCTGTAAGTACTTTAAAAAAAATTAAAATAAAAGGGCATTATTTATATTCTGCTGGAGTAAGGGGAGTTATCTGGCAAAGGCGAGGAAACCAGAAGTGGGTTTGTTGCAGAGGCACTTGACAGCGGGCCCACACTCAACTTTTTCCTGAATGAGGGGGGTGAGAGAAAGAGATTGCAGTTGCTCAGTAGTGTCAGAAAGGCACTTGGCACATGCTGGGATGTACTTTTCTTCCCATGCTCCAGGACTCAGCGCCAGTGCTCAAGTCAAGGTGCATGGGCTGAGGCCTGGTAAGTCTTGGTGCAAATTGGGTCGATTGCAGAGTGCTTGTTCAGAGAGGAGAGAGTCATGAGAAAAAGAAGCTGCTTTGTTTTGAAGCGTTGCTGCAAAAAGGGGGGGGGGCTAGGAATCAGCTGGTATGTGGAAGAAAACAGAATGCCTGTGTTCTGTGGCTAAGTTTCCTGGCAACAGAAGGGGGAATCAGTGCTTAATTTCTAGAAAATTCCTTGGGCTTTCACATAAGATCTGCTTCTGGGAAGGAGAAAGGCTGCAGTTGAAGGAGAAGCACTCTGCATATGGCAAAAGGTACTTGTATCATTAAAATGCAACTGTTATTTCTGCTTAAGAATTCTCAGCTAGGAAGTCAAGATCAGTCACTGAATCATTGGGCAGAATTCTTAAAGGGAAATATATTGTGCTCTTGCAGTGCCTTGGCTTTCCTCAGTTCAAATATGGGACTAGTATATATTAAATAGTATAAATGCATACAGTGGTACCTCAGGTTAAGTACTTAATTCGTTCTGGAGGTCTGTTCTTAACCGGAAACTGTTCTTAACCTGAAGCACCACTTTAGCTAATGTGGCCTCCTGCTGCTGCTGCGCCGCTGGAGCACAATTTCTGTTCTCATCCTGAAGCAAAGTTCTTAACCTGAAGCACTATTTCTGGGTTAGCGGAGTCTGTAACCTGAAGTGTATGTAACCTGAGGTACCACTGTAATTCATTGTTCCAGCACATACATGTATCTGGAGCATTGTAGTCTGGGAGTTGCCTCACTGCTTTTGCCTTCTGTCTTCATGGACTTAGTCTATTTCAGTGGTAGGCTGAAGGTAGACTGAGATCTAGATTGGTTGATCTGGGGCTGATTTGCTGCAAATCATCTGAGTTTACAATTAGCAGCAACAAAAATGCTTCCCTCCTTCTTTAAATTAAGCTGCTGGGATGTAGGGGGTGGGGAGGAAACCAGGAGTGGATTTTGTGTAACAAGTCATGAGTTATGGTACTAAAAATCAAGTTATTGCATTGATCATGTGCTCAGAGGCATGGTCTCTTCTTTAACCCTATGCTGCTTGACTCCGCCCCCCCCCCCCCGCCACCACTTTATATCCAGCTCTGGTTCATGGACCTTGAGCTTCTAGGACAAAGTAAAGTACAGTAGATCATGTAAGCCTGGAGTTTGCCTACCTCCTAATCTATGGCATTCACCCACTTCTAAAGATCCTGTTTGCTGCTTGCAGCATGTTAAGAGTCTCAATTGTCTGAACTGTGTTGGCCCCACCATGCCATTACTGCTCATGCTTTTCTTATCATCTGTGAAATGTTGACAGGGAAATAGCAATATAAATAACCAAGGTGCTTATATCATGATCATATATTGAACTCAATTAAACACTTATTTGAACCTTAATTCCCCCCCAATCATATTGAATTGTTGTTGATCTGTTTTAGTCTGTATTTAGTTGATATTCCTCAATTGCTAACTTCTTGTAGTTGATTCTTTTCATTCAAGACAATACATTTCTTTCAACAAAAAAGAAATTGTGTGGCTAATCGCTGGAGAGTCTCTTGGAAATGCTGTCAAGGCGGTAGAGGATTGTCCACTCCAGTTCATGTTGGTTTTGTGTTCATTTAAAATGAAACTGATACATGCCTTAGTGGTGAAGACTCTTAAAAGAAAAGATGACTCATATGAAGACCGTTTCATGCTATTGAAGTCTCTAGAAAAACAAAAACGAAAACCTTTCTGAACCTTCTGAGTTCAGGAGAGCCAGTTCATATTTTATTTGCACAGCAGAGTGCAATGGAGACAGAAATCAAAACATGTCTATATTTAGTGTGCCTTCTGCATTAGCTAGTTACTGCCTCAGGCAAATGTTTAACCTATATTTGTAAAACTACCCCATAACTGCCAGTGAAGCAGGGAATCTACTGCTCCAAATCCAAACACAGTCACACAGAAAGCTTTTCTGTTGAACAGACCCATTACTACTAGAAAGAGGTGGAGGGAAAGTCTGGCCTGTACAGTATCAGTCCATCTAAGCATCTCAACATGCTACTCTACTGCCCTTTTCAGGTAATCAGGTTTCAGTGCAGTGGTGATTCTCATCTGTCACTGTTAATTGCAAAGCCAGTAGTGAGGGAGTGTATCAGGCATCCATAATCCTACCCAGAATTAAGCTGCTGCCCTTGCTTTTAGACTCTCCTAGATGAAATGCATGTGTTGATTCAAATATATCCATCTGAGTGCAACCTTCGCCAGCCCGGTGCCCTCCATTTAGGACTATAACTTTTATCAGTCCCAGCCAGCTGGGCTGGTGAAGACTACAGTAAGAATTCAAAATGTGCATTCGTGTATGGCAATTATCTGCAAAACAGTGTGGCTTACATAAGACAACTAGCACCCATCTTTCATATGAGGATTCTGCTTATGTGTCACACTCAGCATGGAAGACGCCATGGCCAAATCTGAGGAAATGGTTTGTGACATGGTACAAGAATATCTCGATTTTTGTTTTGAGGAATGTCTACCTATGCAAATCATGGTTATGGACCATGTGTTTTCAATGGCCTTTTCTGTGGTGGGACCTTTATTTTGGAGGTGCAAATGGTATAAACTTGACTTGACATTCTGGAGCCAATCTAAGGCCCACCTTTTTACCTGGGCTCTTATGAGTAGCTATATGCCTATGCAGCTATAATGTGGTTATAATGTACTGCTGATTATCTGTTACAACTGATTGTTTCATTGGGTTTGTTAGATGTTTCTTTCTTTTATTGTTTATCACTGTTGGTTTTTTTAATGGTCGTACCTTGGTTTTCGAACAGAATGCATTCCAGAAGTCTGTTCGACTTCTGAAATGTTCAGAAACCAAGGTGCGGCTTCCGATTGGCTGCAGGAGTGTCCTGCAGCCAATAGGAAGCTGCAGAAGTTGCGCTGGACGTTCGGCTTCCAAGACAAAGTTCGTAAACTGGAACACCTACTTCCGGGTTTGCAATGTTTGAGTTCCAAGTTGTTCATGAACTAAGCTGTTTGAAAACCAAGGTACAACTCTTATTATTACCAACTCTGGGATTCACACGAAAGGCAGGATATTATTAACTAAATACATGCAATGTCTATAGTCTATTTCATATAGTCTATTTCTAAAAACAGGCAGGCAGGAGACAGGTTAAAGCAGAAGTTTTGCTCTGGCTTCAGATCAGGTGAGCTAATGATAAGGGAGGTTGTGCTCACGCTGTTTGCCAAGGTCTAGCTCTTAACTTTCTGAAGGTGTACCTAACCTTCAAGAAAACCATTCTCCTTGGGGAGGAAGACTACAGCTCTTTTTGTACTGTGATAACTTGGCCACAGTAGTTTACAGACCCTCCATGTGCCCCTATTTTCCAGGGATGTTTCTGATTTAGATAAGCCATCCCAGTTTCTGATTTCATCCTGGAATGTCCCACTTTTTTAGGATGTCCCTATTTTCATTGGAGAAATGCTGGAGGGTATGGAGTTATCCAACCTCTGCGCCGTCTGAAGAAAATCTTGTACAGGGAAGGTTTTTAATATTTTTTTAATGTTTTATTATGTTTTGATATATGTTGAAAACTGCCGAGAGTGGCTGGGGCAACCCAGTAAGATGTATAGGGTATAAACAGTAAAATGATCATTATGGAATGGGACGTCCCTATTTTCATTGGAGAAATATTGGAGGGTATGAGTTTATGCTCTGATAAACTCTTGCCTGAATTAGTGCCATGCGCTCTACATTGGACTTCCCTAGAAAACACTTCAGAAGTTGCAACTAGTGCAGAATACTGGGATCACGTTACAGTCAAACCTCGGCTCCCGAAGGCCTCCGTTATTGTACTTTTCGGCTCCTGAACGTCAAAAACCTGGAAGTGTGTGTTCTGGTTTTTGAACGTTTTTCGGAAGCCAAACAGACTTCCAGAACGGTTTAAGTTTGACAACTGAGGTTTGACTGTATAATAATCCTGAAAGCACTGCTCTGGCTGCCAGTGACTGGTGGTGCCAGTACAAAGCCCTAAATAAGGCCTAAGCCACATTCCTTCAAGGACTGCCTTCCCCACAACCAGCCAACCCAAGTTTTGCCAACTGCAGGGGTGGGGGACCTGTTGGGAGCTGTGAGATGAAGCCTTCTTACTGGTAGCACCCTGGATCTACTTTTGTTTTTAATGCTGTGTTTTTGCCAGCTGCCCTAGGCTCTCAGGAGGAGGGAGTGCTTAAGAAATAAAATAATGGTGGTGGTGATTAAAGGGCTTATCATTGTTTTTAATTATCTTTTGAATGCTATAGCTTTGAATAAAACAGCAGTTTTAAACTGATAATTTTACTGCTTTATTCTTTTTGCTAATCCTTTTGGGTATTTTGCTTTGCATTTTTTACAATTAACATTTTTATGAAACAAATAAAATCATACAATAAACATGTCCCTCCGAACATTCCACCGCACTCCCAAGGTGGCTAATAGAGGTCAGGATTTGCCCAGGAAAGTAAAAGCACCGCTGTTGGGGTGGGGGAAAGAACAGCGGGAGCTCCTCACTCCCACTGAGGCAAATGAATACCGTTACAGTATTTACTGGTGGCGCGGGGGAAACCAAAGTACCCTTGCCTTGGCTGGCTTTCGCCGCGCCCAACCCACTTACAGGGGAAAATTGCAGGTTTCTTTTCCCAAAAAAACCACCCCACCCCACGCCCGTGTGCTCGTTCCCGGCGCTTCCTCGGGAAGGCCGGAGCAGGCGGGGTTGCCATGGCAACCAGCTGCAAGTAGGCGCTCGTTCCTTGCGAAGGGGGCGGCGGCGGTGGCTCCCGCTCTCGCTCTGTCGGGAGCGCGCGCGCGCGGCAGCATGGGCTGCCTAGACAGCAATGCCTCTGCCATCGGAATCTCTCCCTGAGGCGCCTGTCCCGGGCCGGGCCTTTTTCTCCTCCTTTTTCTAACTGACAGGGTGAAGGTGGGCCTAGGAGGGAGGTCGCTCGGGGACGCTGTTTCTCGGCTGGCAGACAAGCCAACGACGACAACGTCTTCTGAGGGGGTGGGAGGGGCGGCCACGTGCGCGCGAAGGATCCTGACGAGACGCGAGTCAGCCGCGGCCACGCCTGCCTCGGAGCTCCGAGCGAGGCGGGCGGCGGCTCAAGAGAGCGTTAGCTTTTCCTTCTCGGCCAGGGCGAAGCTCCTGACTCGTCAGCGGCCGGACGCAACGCCAGGGACTAGCGCCGTGGCCAGTTTGAACCGGCCCGCCGAGGAGGAGTTTCCGCGCGCATTCGCAGCCGCCGCCGCCGCCGCAGCAACAACGAAGGAATTGGGGAGGTGCTTCTCGCCGGGCCTCTGGGCGCCGCCCGCGTTCGGGGCGTGCTGGCTCTCCTCCGGCGTTGGTGACCGCGGCGGCCGGCCAGCCGGTCAAGCTTCTTAGCACGTCTGAACCGGGCATCTCCCGATTACCTTGTCTGCAGACCTTTATAAGCTGCACCCTTGTTGCCCATTTCGGGGCGCGGCTTGCTGTTGGAATGTGAGAGGGAGGGCGGCGGGGGAGCTTGACCCGAAACCCAGGAGGGGTTCAGCTGTCTCCGAGTCGAAGCAGGCTCCTGTTTTCGGAAGTCTCCGTCGACATCTCCTTCTGTCACGGTAAATGTCAGGTTGGGAGGCTGGCAGGACAGCCCCTTCCCTCCTTTAGTCAAACTCCCAGGAGCCGGCCCGAAAATTGCCCTGCTTAAAGAGACAGAGGGCTGCCTGTGCCTTCTGGCAGGAGCTGATCCTCCTCTTGTGCTTGTCACAGGGAATCGGCACATCTAGACCCCAGGTTTGCGTTTCTGATCCCGAATGTGCTAGTCAATGGAGTAATTCTGCAGAGGAGAGAATCAGCAATCCTAGGGCCACCAATGAATTGCAAATGGAAAAGAACGTCAGGGAAGCCTCTGCACGACTGGTATTCTAAATTGAACTTGTTAAGGTGCCCTTGCTGATTACTCCCAGTCCCAGTAGGTGGGCAGAATGGGCACAGAGGGCAGCGACCTACGGTTCCGATGAGTGTTTTTTAAGCCTCCTGTTCAACCACTGACTTTGCTCACTGGAGTGACATCTCAAGCACCTTTGTGGTCAGACACCGCAGAGTGAACAAAGGCTGCAACCAGCATCCCGCCCCGAAACATAGGTTGCTAGCTACATTTTTCAGGTGGGGAAACAGCCTTACTCATTTGCAAGTACAAAAGTGTCTAGTGGCAGGCATTGAGTGCTAAAAATGCATCTTTTGCAATCTACAAAAAAAGTAGCACTTAATTCTGGAGCAGCCGAGACATCTGTGCATCTTGTCTTTGTTTACTAACTTCTGGGATTTTGGAACTGTGCCTCCTGTTGAAATACCTGTTCTGTTTTCTTGCAGATGCCTGCCTTAGAATCCCACGTCATGACCTGGGACCTGCCTGAGTGAGAAACTTGCGGGGGAAGGCACCTCCTACCAAACACAGTGTGAGTGTTGCCTTTTGGATCATCCTCCATGCCTCCTCCACCCTTTTTCTCACTGCTGCTGCTGCTGCCAGGAGCGACTCAGTAACCAGCACTGCTGCATTTCTGGCATTCCATTCTAGATGCCACAGATGAGTGGAGGGTTTCGGAGGAAGAGAGACTAAAACAGACACCAACAATTAGGCAACTCCAGGGCTTGGCAGACAAAGGTGCTACTGCCAGGCTGGAGGACGAAGACTTTTGTCCCTACTCTTTCCTCCAGAGAAAAGTTACATTTTAACAGCATTGGAAAAACAAATCATTGGCTTACATTGGAGAAAAGCACGTGGCCTCACTTTGTCCTTGTGGTTTTGTTATCTCTGGCAGCAGATAAAGCTGGGTAAGTGCATTTGATTTGATACATTTTTAAAGGGACTGGCTCCTATTGAACTGATGGTGGCTGTTTAGCTTGCCGTCTACACGGTGAGTCAGAACAGCATCCTTTTTCTGGTTCCTCTCTACCATTGGGATTACTCTAGGGCAGACTTCTGTAACTTGATGTGCTCCAGAGGTTTTGGACTTACTTACATCTGCCTCACCTATATTGTCTACTCCAGCAGAGCTGGTGCTGTGAGAGTTGTAACCCAAAATATCTGGGGCGTGTATCAGGGTTTGGGAAGGCTGCTCTAGGGCTAGATGCTGAAGCTTAGTTGAGAGAGAAATAAGCAAACAGGGTGTCTAGAATTTTCACATGTATATTTCAACCTCTAACTCTTATGTTCCATATTCTCTCCTGTTCCCTCTCTTAAGTATTAAAAACGTATCATATACAGCAAGGATGACAATCCGCTAATGTCACAATATGTCGGAAATTCTGGCAAAGAGGAATGTACAATTGGACCAGAAGAAAATATAGGATTACACTTGAGCTGTGCAATTACCTATATCTTTTTCCATCCTAGTTCTGTGCAGGGCTTAAGCTAGAGTTCTCCAGAGCTTAGCACCAAAATCAAGTTTCAATGCCAGAACTCAGTCCTGAAACATGTGAAGCTGTAAAGGTTAGAATGCCTCTGAGCGTACACAGAGGGTCTTTGGTCACTAATGAGTAAACACATTTTGTCTGTGGACATTTGGGATTGGGGCAAAAGGCTTCAAGGTCAGAGACTGTACCTTTCAGGCAGGTTTAGGGATGGCGCGCTATGGTTGTGCATTTCTTCACTGCCCCCATTACAGACTCAGGAGAGATCTGTGGGATCACTTATCTGTCTTTCATGGAGAAGCAGGGAGGAACAGAAGGCATTGCAAGTGTGTTCACTTTTTCTTAACTAGTCACATTCTTTTTCCCCTCCTTGAGGAAACTGAGTAAGATGCATAGGACCAACATGTGTCTGACTGGTATGTGTGGAAATAGTTGAATGATCTGACATTGGGTTGGCTGTGTTTTCCTAACAGAAAGGTCAAAGATTGTCTGTACCTTTATGGAATATAAAAAATTCTTACTTTTTTACAATTAAAGCATGCTTCAAGCAACTAAACTAAAATAATACATAGCAAAGCATTAATTCCATTCCTACTGGCATTAGAAACAAGAATTTTTGGTCATACACCTTTATAGTAATGCTATCGTTTTTATCTGTATTTCTAGCTTGCAGCACAAACTGTTTTTCATCCTCACAACAGCCCTGGGAAAGGGAATTGTTTAATAGGTAGAGAGTGTCTGTCCCCTTGTTATGTCCCTACATGGCATGTTAGATTCCACCGTATAATAGGATTGCCTACTTTAATTGATTTAATCAGTACAATTAACTGACTAAACTTTAACTGCAGATTGAAAATTGACTTCCTGTTAATCACTGGGAATAACAATGAGCAAATATTACTGAATTCACAGCAGTGAAAAGCCATTCAGCCATGGATGCCCCACAAACTTGTTCTCCCATCCCACTCTTTGTAATCTCATGAATTTTCCTTCCAGTTTGTATCCAAAGCTAGCAAAGAGGGACACTTTTAGAGTGGCATCACAAAGGCTTATGTTCTTAGTAGCATTGAAGGCAACTGAAGATTGCAGTCAATGTCAAGGTGCCTTTAAACCTGAATATTTCATAATGCTGATAGTTCTTGACCTCGTTTAGTTCTCGAAACCATTGTGATTCTGGTATGCAACTGTTGTGGGAAGTATCCCATTTCCCTCAGAGTTTGATGAAAATTAATAGTTTGCTTCTGTCAAGATCCCTCAAAGGCAGTTTCATTAAGGTTTTATTAATATAGATATACTTTTAACCAGTTAAACAGCCAGGTGATTAACAATGCTAATAAGTTGGCAGTTCTACCTGATAACATGCAGCATTGATGGCAGTCACTGATGTCTGCACTAGTTTGTTCCAGCCTCCTATTCCAGTACCTTTCAGTGTTCTTTGAAAGCTGCAGATTGGTTTGTTGATAGTGATTCTTGGCCTCTGCACTAATTTAATTGATTAATGCTGGCATCTCTGCTGATATATGGTTGCAAAAGCTGTGATGATTATTTGGCAGGATGGCCTTTCTGCCATATTCATGTGCTTCAATAAATAGTTTGTCAGGGTGTTTCTCCTATAGCTTCCAGTGGCACATGCACACATTGTCCATCGTAAAAGTAGTAATTTGATTTCCAGTTTGGTTTCCCACCTATCCCATACAAGTGGAATCTTACTGGGCGGGGTCACTAATTCCTGGATTTCTCTGTGGAAAAATGCAGAATAGCAGACCTTCATAATACAGAATAGCAGACCATTTATTTCAATTGCTTTTCCCTTTTAAGTTTGCCCTACAGATCTAGTAGTGTCCATTGTGTATAATATATCACTCTTCACAGGAGCAAGGAGGAATTATATCTGAGACTGATGGGCCTCTCTGTCTCCTCTCATAAGAACATAAAGAGGAGCACTGTTAAACCAAGTCCAAACATTATTTACACCTCATTTTCCATTGTGGCCAAGCAGAACTCTAAGAGAAGCCAAGCAGGAGTATGATAGCCCTCTCCCATTGTTGCTCCTTAAAGACTGATATACAGAGGCCCTTCCTTCACTTTCCATGCCCCACCCAAACAGCCATATCAGTGTGTGTGTGTGTGTGTGTGTGTGTGTGTGTGTTTGCGCATGCACACTGGGTGCCTAACACAGAGACATTTTGTAAAAATTCTATGATCTCCCAGAAATTCTCTCTCTCTCTCTCTCTCTCTCTCTCTCTTCCCAAGAAGGATAGAAGTAATATTTGAGTCCTATCAATTCTGCAAACATGTATTTATTTTATACAATTATAGCTTCAATGACTTCTCTAAAGCAATGTGGGGCAATGTCATTTGGAAAAAACGGTGATAATTACCTATTAGCCGCATTCCCTTGCATGAGTCTTAAACCAATGTAGGTTTGTTGTGCCTCAGAAGCATGAGCAGCTTTTTCCTCTCAACAATGGAAAAGGTACCTTTAAAGCCTTTGATTATATAGAAAATAGGTTTCTCCTGTAGCTAGCACCACACATAACTAATACCATTAAACCCTCTTACCAACCCTCTACAGCTAAGTTTAGAATTAATGGCTATGAATTCAAATTCATTAAAAAAATCTAGAGGTACTAAGAAGGCATGCCCCACTGCCCTATTATTATTTGTCCTCACTTTGGGACCTTTGGCAGCAGTGATAATAGTTAATGCCATTATTAAAGGTCTTAAAATAAAGGGGAAAGAACACCTAATTAATTTATGGTTATGGAAATTATGGTTATTATGCTGTTTGACCCATTAGCTACAGCTCCCCACTTAAAACAACTATTTGGAAATTATCAAAAAGTGGCAGGTTTGCAAATTATAATAAAACTGCATTTTATAGCATTCCTCCACTTAAAATACACAATATAATAAATCAGGGATTAAAAGTTCAAATCACCTGAAACATCTTTGGTTTTAGAGGTCAATATACACTTAGTATACAACTCTTATAATGAAAATAAGGGTAGGGGGAGGTATGATGTGGGAGGTAAGGGGCACACTACACGGGCAGTTAGTGACTGTAAGAAAACTAAAATATTTTTAAAGGTAGCAAAATTTCAACCTGACTGTGAAAATCCCCCCCCCCACTTCCCTTGGCCCAACTGATTTGCTAATAATTGGGCTTGTTCTGGATGTAGTGGAGTCTACTCAGACTGCTTGTCTAAGGTCAGTGGTAGTTCTCATCCTGAGCCTAGGGGAGTTAGTGCAAACACACAGTCCCTCGTCTTGTCTTGGGCCCTGGTGCTGCTAGGATTAAGAGTACGCCATATGTCTTGGTGAAAATGGACACGGCTGCCAAGATGAGCAAGCACTGGAAGTACGGAGGCTGGTGTGAGGCCTTTCCATTTCTGCTGTCTCTGGGTGCCAGCCAGCCAGAGTCTTACGAGCCTTCCAAATGATAGCTTCCTTCCTCTCAAGTGTTGGGACCATCCCATTCTCCTGCCTGCTGTGCTTTCTTTGGGGATCTGGCACAGGTGCCTTGACTTACACAATCTTGGACTGGTTGGGCTTCTTTCCTTGCCAGTATTTCTTCTGACTCTTCGGTCTGCTGTTGGATGACTCCTGATTGCAGCAACCTGTCTTGTCAGCATTATTGAGATCAGACACAACAAAAAATAAAGTTCTTCAAAGAGATTTTCTTTTCTGTATCTAGTTTCGCATCTGATTTGCTGCAGCCTTTTGCTTTATTTATTCAGAACCCTGTAAACTTGCTTTGCTTCTAATTAAAATGCATCCTGATGCACATAAAATGTTTACTGTAAATTAATACTGAAATTCTTCAGTCTTCCCCAGGTGCTTGATGCGACATCTTTATAGAGTGATCACTTCATTTGCTGCTATTTTGGGTTGTGCTTTCAGTGAGCCTCATAGAAGCAGCTACTCTCACAGCCTTAGTAGTTGAGATAGATAGGTGGGGGCATGGAGTCAGGACAGCTGTTGAAGCTTGGGTGGGTGTGGCAAACCAGGTGCTGAATTAAGTAGAGGATCAGGAGAGACAAAGACACAGGCTGGTTCTGTGTATAGTTTATGGTCATAGCGCTCTTCGCTGTCATGCATGCCTCAGTGACCTCCAGATTAGATTCTGTGGTGCATTTTCTGTGGGACTGTGTTGCAGATAGTCTATAGACTTTGGTCTGCAGTGCACCTTCTTTATTAGCTGGTGTTAGGTGGTCCAAATGCAAACTACAGAGCCCTATGCTCTCTGGTTTACAAGCCCCAAGCCTAGTGTTAGTAAAGCTCCTTTCTGCAGGTATCTGCTGGGCGATTGAGTTCCTCTTTGGAAACTAGGTTGCATAGCCAATCCTGCAGGCTTAATATTCAGTCCTGCTTTTTGCAGGGATTGGCTGCGTGATCCAAATTTCTCACAGGGAACTAGGTTGTGCAGCCAATCCAGTAGACTTGAACTCACCACCTATCAGCTCATAGGTTGTGATTTCAACCCTTCTTTTTGTAGGGATTACCTGCACGATCAAGTTCGCCATGCAGTCAATCCAGCTGCATTTCTACATGATTTCACATAGGACGTGAACCAAAGGTTCCTCAATCCTACTATAAAACTCAGAAAGTGAGGTGGACATTTGGGTTAAAATATGTGTTTGAAAAGGCAAGTTCCAGTTCATTTTATAACTTCTTATTTTATATATTCCGTCTACCCTTTCATTATATTTCACCAGATATGTCAATTTCACAATAAGCAACACTTTCCATATTTCATTTAACCATTCAGCAATGTATGTTCTTTCATATGCTAGTCCCTTTGATTCTTGCAGCTATTAAGTTAATTAGAAAGTTCTTGGAAATCTTTTATTACAGTGCATCTTATTACAATGACACCAGTTGAGATGATAAATGATAGAATGAATGACTTGGAATTTGTTCTTCCGTCTTATAAAATACTCTTGCTGTCTTACTGCTGTCTGTGGATTTTTTTAATCACCTTTTCTCATCTTAAAACATTTAATCTGTGAACTGCCATTAAATCTTTGGGTGCAGGGCAGCATACAATTATTATTATTATTAATAATAATTATAATTATTATTATAATTAATAATAATAATAATAAACCAAACAAAAATAATACTCAGAGGAGTCCAATTGAAATTGACCTAAGATAGTCATTAATTTTAATTGCTCTACTCCAAGTGGAACTTATATTGGATACAACCCAATGCTAAGTATGAGCGGTATCTTCACAGCTGCTATTCTTGCTTTCCATGACATTTAAATATTCTATTAGCTTCTATTTTTTATTCACAAGCAAGTACTTTCACCTGTATAAATCTCCCAGTTTTATCACTAGATATTTATTTTCTTTTTTCTGTGGTGCTTGTATCATGTCTGACATAATGTTGCACATTTGACTCCTAATATTATGCCCCAGAAGATTTCTTTTCATTCAGCTTATAACCAGGGCATTTTTCATAACATTTAACTTTCTGTAAACTTGAGCCTTGCAGCTGAGTTCATGTGCATGTGGTATCATCCACATATATTGCGAATTTACAGTATTGTGAAATATTGTGACAGGGCCTTCTCAGTGGTGGTTTCCCATTTGTGGAATGCTCTCCCTGGTGAGGTGTGTTGTTGACTTTTAGGAAGAAGTTAAATGAATTCTTGTTTCCCCATACAACCCTGAAATTACTGGTAAAACTGTGTTTTCTAAATGTTCTTAGAAAAACATGTTTAACTGTTTTTAAAATGCTTTTATACTACTCCAGGCTTCCTCAGACTCTGCCCTCCAGATGTTTTTGGCCTACAGCTCCCATGATCCCTGGCTAGCAGGACCATTGGTCAGGGATGATGGGAATTGTAGTCTTGAAACATCTGGAGGGCCGAGTTTGAGGAAGCCTGTACTACTCTGTTTTGTTCTTAGGTTTGCTGCCTGGGGCTTGTTGAGGAGAAAGAGCAAGATATAAGTTGTATAAATAATAGAAAGGATACGTGTGAACTTTAGAATGGTTTCTGAAAATTTACAACACACTGTTTTTTCCTGTGACAGAAATTTGTATTGTGCTTCTCCATGCATTATTCATGCATCCTCTTGTGTCTTGAAATCCGAGAACTTATTCCGTGGAGTTTCCTAAAGTTAGTGCCTACATTTGAAACTGGGCCTGGTGTGTCCTTGCTGGGTCAGTAGAGAGACAAAAGACTTGTTGAATCTCTTCTTCTCTTCAGCTCATGAGAGATGCCTGTGTCTTGGGTTTCAATGGGAAACTTGCCATTCTTCCACTGACCTGGACTATTTTGAGCCACAGGATTTGCAAACTTCAGAGAAATGTTGGCAGATTGCCAGAAAGAGGAGGGGCTTGCATGCCAGCTTCAGATACTAGAAAACATGGAAGGAGGTAGCTTTTTGACACTAACTATACTGTCTTTGGTGAGATTTAGTCAGATGTGCCTCTGAGATATATATTATTTTTAAAAATCTGTTGTGAAACAACAGGCAGGACTTGCTGTCTTCTGAGCAAAGAATCTTCTGAGGTTGCTATTTTGCTACTGTATGCCCATCTTCTGTGTGTGCAGCAGGTATATTTGGAAACCTGACCATGCAAGTGAGGATGACCTTGAAGGATTTCAAAGTCAGAGATGAAAGAACAAGACTACCTGTCAGGGAACTACCTTTTCTTAAAAATGTAGCAGGGTATTGTTTTTCCTCTACGGGATCGCACGCACCAGCTCTTAATGGAGCTTCCAGCAAGTATATACTTTATATTATTGTTTAAGAGGAAGTCTAGCTAAAGCGTTCTTCCAAGGAGTCAGTGGAAACATTGCTTGTAATTTTTTTCTGTGCCATTCTGAGTGATGCACTGTCCATTCAGGAACGGAATTATAAAACACATGGGGAAAGTCTGCACACCCACACTCACACACCATCAATCATTGGTAGATTGGGAATGTAATAAGTGATATAAGTGGATTCTTGCACTGGTTTTTATTGTAGTGTAGTAGCCTGTAGATAGCAGTGGGAGAGGAACTGCATTGCCACAGTAGCTGTAGGAACTTGAGTGCTCTTCACTTCTGACAGTAGCAACATCCTGGAACAGATGGCAGTGAGAGTGAACAGACAGCAGTGGACACAATGGCTGAAGTAATACTTCTCTTCACGTGGTGGAGGAATTTGCTCCTCATGGTCAATGTCATAATCATTCTACTTCAAAAAAGGTGAAATGGCACAATCTGGTATCAGTGTTCTGCTGCCCACTTCATTGGCATGGGGGCTGGCAGGCAAGGGAATGTGCTTGTGAAGAGAAACAACGTTTTGGGTAACTGGGCCTGTGTCTCTAGATTGCTGCATGCAGTTTGGCCCTTGGTTTGTGGGAAGAGGTTGTAAGAAGCAGGAGTTGCAGTAGGAAAAGTGCAGGGGGAGGGGGAATAAAAAGAAGAATGTGGAAGCTGAAGTTGGGCATGTTTCTTGCAAGGGTGTTAAGCTGATTTTCCATCCATCCATCAAATTATTCTAACGCAGTGCATAGAAAATTATCCTGTACACCCCCTTCACTGGGCTATGGTAGCAAAGGGAGTGATAGGAAGAACACATCTGGATTCCCCGTAATCCAATGGATAGTGGTGGTGGTTTTTAAAAGTGGTGAGAAGTTCAATATGACTTTATCAGAGTCAGTTTTTCCATCTTTATAGACCATCTTTAAAGTGTTCAGCAACTGATCTGCTTGTGTGGTGGGTTTCCAGATTGTAGCGGGCAAAGTAAAAGACAATTCGCCCTGGCAGTGCTTTCCTCAGTGCCCATCATGTCCTTTTGCCCAGCTTCAGCGGCTGCTTCTATCAACCAAGACAGCCAATCTCAAAGTGCAATGCTGCCCATGTGTCTCCTGTGTGTGTGTGTGTGTGGTGTAGTGGTTAAGAGCAGTAGTCTTGCAATCTGGGGAACCGGGTTCGCGTCTCCGCTCCTCCACATGCAGCTGCTGGGTGACCTTGGGCTAGTCACACTTCTTTGAAGTCTCTCAGCCCCACTCACCTCACAGAGTGTTTGTTGTGGGGGAGGAAGGGAAAGGAGAATGTTAGCCGCTTTGAGACTCCTTTGGGTAGTGATAAAGCGGGATATCAAATCCAAACTCTTTTTCTTCTTGGCACAAAAAACCTCGCAGAGGAAGTTGTAGCTATGCAGATAAATGTGGGTTGCTCTTGTTAATAAGCAGGCACCTCCCTGGGAAGTTTTAGACTTCAAGGGATGGGAGTTCATTTCACAATGTGCATGTGGCAGAATTGGATGTGCCAAAGTGTTTCTTTCGGTGCTGACAAATGGCAAGTTAAGAAAATAGTTCACACTTATTGACGTTGTAGCTAGTGTTCTACTCTGAGTAGACCCATTAAAAACAATTGATAACCAACATGGATTTCCATTAATTTCTATAGAAATAATTTAGCTTGGGGCAAGCCTTAATCCCCCCCCCCCCATTAAACAAATAACACTCCGGACCTAAGCAAGGGCTGTCAACTATAGTAGCATAATAACTATGCTAACATAGTATTTTTTTTTACTGTGGATCTAATAGAGAAAACCCCCAGCAACCATTATCATATTTGTCAGGCAGAGAAGATGTAAGATATCATCAACAACTTTAATTGATGACAATTCCCCAGGCACTTGAATCATGAATTATTTGCAAATAGTTCCGTATTGGGTTGGGAGTGTCTTAGTGCTGTTGGTATTATTAGCATGCCTCCCATACAAGGGTTTTTATCTTCCCAGCAGGCTCTACAAGCCAAGGTGTGAAAGGCCAGTTGCCAGGTGAAGACTGAGGGAAGCGTTGGCTCCATCGCCAAGCTGGGCACAAGACAGAGGCTGGCAGCTGTTGACAGCTGCTGCGACATCCTGGAGCAGGAAGCTGACGTCAACATGGATAACTCAGGTACAGCAGATGCACAAAATCTGCTCCCATCTTGGTTATTTGGGAAAGACAGTCCAGGAGCCGATGAGGCGTAGTGACTGGAGTGTTGGATTTGGACTGGGGAGGCCTGGGAGCAGATCTGTTTGGCCAGGAAGCATACTTGGCACCTTGGGGCAAGTCAGGAATTTTCCATTTAAGCTCCCTGGCAGAATAAAACAGGATTGCTGCCATGTGTGCTATCCTAAACCCCAAAGAGGGAGACAGATTGGAACCCAATGGGTTAGTTAAGTAGGTATTTAAAATGTAAATGTATTTAATTTGTAATCACTTTTTGATTGGAGTCCCCAAAGCACCATTAATAAAATATGACTTTTAAAAAAATAATGGATCCATATGGATATTGGAAACAGAATGCTAAAATAATTAATTCAAAGAGGAAGCAAAACACAGAAACCAAGAGAGGCAAACACACCTTCCACATGTGGAAACTGGAGACTGTTTAGTCGCTTGGAACGTGGGTGGGGAGGACAAAGTGGGTGGAGTTTTGAGCGGGGCAGGACCTGAGCAGACCTGTGATGGTGTCTGTCTGCCTCCTCCTCCTCCTGGTTCTATCTTGTGAGGCTTGCTATGGGGTTTATTTGGAGGCAGGGGTCTGTATGGAAAGGGACAGTTCAGCTGAAGTAGGATTAGTTGTACAGTATAGCAATGTCTTTGTCTGCTTGCCTCTCTCTGATCATTAACATACACATCCCGGTTGATAGGATAGGATAAAAGCAGGGGGTGTCTTCATGTAGATACTAATGCTGAGCCAGTGACTTATTGCAGGATTTGTCATAATAAGGGTTTAGTGTCAAGTTGGCAAAATCTGTTCCTCCTTTTGCTGTGAATCCTCACATAGGGTGTGGTGATCATCCCCCTCCCTCCCTGTCTCCTTAGCTTTTGGTTTTATGTTCATTGTCCCTTGATGGTGTATGTTGATTAGGAGGCAAGTGAGAACTGAGAGTGCTTAGAGGCTGTTTAGTTCTGCTACTCTTTTGCAGGAACTATGTGTTTGGTCCTAATGTTGTTACAATCCAGATGAAGACAGTAGGAATGGTAAAACCCCTAACAGTGCTGTCTTTGAATTCTGGAAGTAAGTATTTTGCAGTAGTGTAACTGGCCATAATATTATTTTAAGATGTTACTTTAAAAAGTACTCTGTTTATCATATGAAAGAGAAAGAGACTACATGTATTTGAATGAGAGTTGATGTTGTTGCTTTTAAAAAGCCTTTTTAACAACCCCGAAATTTCCACATTTTCCACAGTATTTTTTTGGGGGGGGGGAGGTGTCAACAGAGCAACTGGCTTTCTCTCCCCATGCCCTCTCATCTGAAAGGAAGTCCATCATTGCCCTATGAATTCTGTTGAAAGTTCCATGCCGTGCACTTGATATGCAGCTGCTTATTCTTTGGAAAAGCCCATGTGCAAAAGGCAAAGGACATTCCATGTGAAGTTTGCAGTGGAAACTTGAACTCCAAACTATGTCAGCAGTTCACTAGCAAAAACTAGTCTGAAACTGTGTCCCTTTGCTGGAGGGATTCAAAATGGTGTATGTGTGCAGACTTTGAGTCCCTTCTTTCAGGTTGAGCCATTGACCTTGTTCACACACCGTGTAAAGCCATAAGCCATGGTTTGCTGTGCGTAAGCAAATCACTCCTTCTCTCAGCATACACTGAGAGGAAACAAACCATGATCACTGGCTTAACTATGGGATACTGTGATGTGTGGGCTTCCTCCACCTATTTCACTCCTATTTTTGCTCCTCTGTTTTCTTTCAATGCTGAACTTGTGGTTTACTGGCCAAGGACTTTTTTAAAGTAGAGTTTCCAGCTGCACAAATTCCCTGTCAGACATGCCACACCATAAAAGAAAAGCCAAATGAACACAAAGCATTCTTTTCTCCTATGTGCTGTGTTAGTAGTGGTTTCTCCCCAGGAGTCATTATTGATTATTCATTTATGAATTTGCCTTAGTGTAGTAACTAACAGATGCAAAACCAGGAGTACTTTAAGGGGATTTACAAGCATATAATGTAGTGTTGTTTGCCCAAAGATGAAGGGGAAGAAGAATAGGAGGTTCTGGCCAAAAAGAAGGTGTTTTAATATGGTTTGGCTAATTTTATTTTAAGTATAGAAACAGAGTGCATTCCATCCTTATACAATTTGTATACATGCTGCTCCTGACATAACTTATCATATAAGTGCCTAATAAACACATATGCACATTGTCAGTTTTCCATTGGCACATTTCCCCCACATGTTGTGCCTTACTGCACCCTAAGTACCCCTTGTTATTGACCTCCCTCCAAAAAGGAAGAATTGATGCCAGGAGAGAGTTACAGTTCAGCTCTTCTGGCTTCCCTTTCTCTGGTCTTCTGAGCCTTAATTGCCTGAGCTTGCCCAGACATATCAGAGTGAGGAGGTGCTCCCTGTTTTGTGCTGATTTGGAAGTTGCAGTGAGTCCCATTTCTCCCCTTTGTGAGGCCTCACAACAAAGTGCGTCAGTGAAGGAGTGTGAGGAGAGAGTTTGCACGGAAGAGAGAGCATTAAAGCAAGATGGCAACACGGCTATGACCAGGAGGGGAGAAGAGCACTGCAGACAGAAAAGAGTGAGTGAGGGGCACAGGGTGGAGGGGGAAAGAATAAGTAAGCAGAAAATGAGTTCCGCACAGAAGCTTAGAAAGTGGAACTGGGTGGCATCTTCAGAAGATCCTTTGACTGAGGCCAGATTGGTGGGGGTTGCTTGTCTGTTTCCTTATCAGACAGGATAGTAGTGAGAATGCCAGATGTGGACACGGGAAGCCTCCATTCAAGTCTCCACCTATTATGCAAGCAGCTTGCTTCTTGACTTTGGGCTAGCCGCTTTCTCTCTTACTGTAGCCTGTAGGGTGGTTGACAGGGGAAAGGCAGCATAGAAATAAAAAGGTAGAATAAATGGTGTATGAGCATCAGAAAGAGTGTTGGATGAGCAGCTGGACATATTGAAATAGTTTATCCTTCTGCAGACATTGGCTTAAAAATATTGTAGGAAAGAAAAGAATGTTTTAACAAGCCAGCTACACCTGCTGCTTGATGTTTGTAGTGGGACTGCTCATCCTTTTCCTTTTAATAGAACCACACAAGTGTAACATTTGCAAGGAGTTATTAAGTATATTGGGTGCAGGACATACAATTAGGTGATGTGGAATGATGACTATGAGATGACCCTTCTAAAAAAGGCTGGCACACCAGTTGACAGCTCTGAATGTTGGCCTTGTTAGAGCCCTTTCATTTTTATCCTTGGAGGTCTGAAATGGACTTTAGATCCAGGTCAGGGTTGGTAAGACATGCATCTGTTTCCTCCCAGGTATTAGTTCCCAGGTTTTTCTCAGGTGTCTCTTCTAGGCTCAGCACAGCCTATGGGAAATCATGAAGTGATGGGTGGGTATGTCACCTGCTTGAGACATGTGCAGGGAAAGCAGCACAGGGTAATTATAATCTGCTGTTACTATTTTGACTGGTTTTTAATTGGTGTGATTTTATCTTGATATTATTTGACTACCTGTCAGAAACTGCAGCGTCGTTATTGTTGCTGTTTTTAATCACCTTTCACATCTCTCAGAGTGATATATAATCCTACAATATACTGAATCAGACCCATGGATCCACCTGACTCCATACTGTCTGCACTGACTGGTAGTCATGCTCCATGGTTTCACACAGGGATATTCCTTGGCTATTTCAGACTGGATGTGATGGCTGTTAATGAAGCGCCTGCAAGTGTAGTGCATGCATTGCAGAGATGAAGGTCTTGCCCTTGTCTATCTATTTTCTGTTCTATAAGCATGTAAAAATATATCTGTACCAACAGAAGGCATACACTAAATGCCTTATCAATTAATACTCAAGCCATGGTCCTGTGATTACCTTAAGTCAGTCAATAAATAAATAAAATTTTGTAATTCCAACCCTCCATAACAGTTCAATATTGATTCACCTGAATGTTCCACTTCTGTTTCTTTTACCAAACAACAACATGATCACTTTCAGGATGTTTTTATATGTACTATGTATATATGTAACCACCTAGACTTTCTGCCCTTTCTGCCCTATTTTATATAGAAAGTCAGGGCAGAATGTCAGAAATAAATACGAGTATGAGCTGTACCAAAATGTTGCAGTGTCCCCTTAGCGTTTGTCTGGTGTACAGTGCAAAGCCAGAAGTTCCTCTTCCAGGCATTAACTTTTGTTGCTTTATTATTTTTTCCTTGTCTTTAGGCCATCAATATTCTGAAGCTCCCAGGGCTTTTAAAGTTGGGTGCTTGCATACTTTTTATTCTCTGGTGTCCCAGTTTTACCTGTAAAGCAATTAGCACTTGACCATCCAAGTTTGTTCTTTGAGAGTATGATGATTCATTTGGGATTGAATGGCATTTTGGTTGGCTGTATTGAGACAAATGTTAAATTAACAAAAATTAAACAACTTTCCCTAGCATAAGGATTCAGAAGTGTAAAAAACTTCATCTATGTCTATCTGTCATACAGCTGTTAACAGCTCAGTAGCTCTCCTTGGAAGCAAAGGAATGACCCTGCCTATAATGCGCATTCACACACAAACCCCAGTTTAGAAGAGGGTATTAAGATAAATCCCTCCTCTGAAAGAGTACTATGTGTGCCTCATTTCAAACAGTCAAGGGCAGATTTGATGCTTTCCTCTTTTGGCCATTGCCTCTATTGTTAGGAGGCTGACACAGATCTTTTGTCTCCAATCTTGAGTGTGGTATGGCTGCAGAAGTAATGGAGGAAGTTATGTAAGGTAATCTAAGGAATTCTCCCTGCCCAAGCCTGCAAGGCAAGGCCAGCTGCTCAGCATTGCTGCTTTTTGCCCTCTGACAAAACGGCTCCCTCTGGAGCTGCTGAACCTCTGGAGCAGCCTGGCTATCTGGCAGTGGGGTCTGGGAGCTCTTTCCAGAGCCATGTGCCTGGTCCAGACACGAGTAGTATCTAGCACTAGCAGAAGAGACTTTAAGGGAACCCTGCAATGCCAACTTCTTTTGAACAGCTGGTGCCAATAATATGTGGTGTAGTGATGCTATCCTAAAGTTGTTGATCATATAACTATTTCTTAGATAGATATTTCTTCATCTGTCATTAGCTGTTTATTTCTCATATGTAGTGACCCCTTTTTGCTCTCCATTCTCTGCTCCTTTCACAAACCAACCAGCTGTTGGGTGGAGGGAGGGAGATAGTATTTATTTTTAGTTGCCCACAGAACAACTTGGGTATTTTCGACTTTGCGGAATCATAGGTTCTGTCTTCTGTGTGTTCTTCTTTCTTCTTGCTTATGGTGACAGGAATTCAGACTGCTGTGAGTGAAGAGCTCCTCCACCTGGGGCACAGAGGCAGTGTGGTATTTATCTCTTCTCCATGCTTGTGTGGTCATTGTGTGCGTCCCACTTGCCAAACTTCTTCAGGGAGTTTTGGGCAGCAGGAAGTGGTGATGTGGCATCTCTGTCTTTTCTGTCTTACTATGCCATCTCCCCGAGATGCGTACTTACGTCGCTGTGCTTGGAAAGCTGTTTCTCTGTGCTTTTTTGTAAGATCGGAGGCCATTATTTCCGTGTGCGAATGAATAATGCTTTCTTAAAATACCAAACGACCCAGGTTTCACTCAGACATACTCATTTTTGTTAGGTAAAGATGGGAAGGTACAGTAGCTGTGCCTGTCCATTAAAATAATTCTAAAATAAAAACATTAGGGTAACAATTTTCATTATGTCCCAACTAAAAAGTCACAAAACAGTAATCATATTTTTACATTCTGCAGAGCTAGATATTCAGTAAAAGGGAAATAAGCTATTTTGCGGAGCATGGGGAGAGAGAAAAACATATGTCCCCTAGGGCATGTGGAAAATGTTGTGAAGTCTGAATTTTGTAAAAGTTCATTTGAAGTACAGTCGTACCTTGGATCCTAAACGCCCTGGAAATGGCTCCAGAACGTTGGAAACCTGGAAGTGATTGTTCCAGTTTGCGAATGTTCTTTTGGAACCCAAACGTCTGACGGGGTTTCGAACGTTTTGGAAGTCAAATGGACTTCCGGAACGGATTCTGTTCGACTTCTAAGGTACGACCATACATGAGCGGTTATGCAGACTTTGACAACAATCCTAACTAACTGTGCTTATCTGGGAGTAATCTCCATTGCAATTAGTAGGGCTTACTTTTGAGTAGACACGCATAGGGTTGCACAACATTAGGTGACTATTAGGGGCAAAGCAGATTTCAAGTTGCCCCATGGGCTGTAAGGCCAAAGAGAGGACAATTTACCATTTGAGAATATAAATTTGGACCAACCTCTTAGCAACTGCTGAGGGTAAATATCTAACATGCAAGGTAAATTTTCTTTGACTTCAGCAGCATCACAGTACTCCTTTCTTTGGTCAACATGCTAATGTTGGGCTTTGTTGGCTGATGGCTCTGCCCAGAGTTTTGGTGGGAGAAATAGCCCGTGGCCAACACACACCCACCAACAATCCTTCCTGCAATAATGCTTGGCAGGTGCATTTCATCTTGCATCAGAAGATCTTGCTTTGCAGTTTGTACTGTTCACGACCCTTTATGGTGTAGCACTCCGCTTCATCACATGCTAATCTTCCCCTCATCTCATCCCTGCCTGGCACCTGCTCTGCTTGATAATAATTTCCCGCTTTGTTGCAGAGGGAAGATTCTTCAGTGGGAAACGGCCCAGCTTGCCGGGGGCACGTCAGCTTCCCATGGTACAGAAGTTGGTGGACTCTTTGGCCCAGCTACAAGAGGAAAAGTTGCAGCTGCAGCAAGAGTTGTTGCTGCTGCAGGAAAAGCTTTCTGCGCAAGAGAGCAGCCAACTCAGTCAGACTGTACAGCTGCAGAACCAGGTATGTTGTCATTCAGGCTCCTTGTAGCGGGACAACATGCATCTCTGCTAGCTATTTTTCTGGGAGCAGCTTGTGGAATCCTTGCCTCATCCTGGATGGCATCCTAGACTAGTCATCCCATCCCAGGATTTGTCTCAGTAAAGTAATTGTGTCATTATAGGGACCCCCCCCCAAAAAAAAATAATACATGGAAAGACCATGCTGTGTGCTTGTGATAGTTTTTTCTGCAAAAGCAATACCTGTGTGTAGTACTTTTTTGAATTCCCTAGTAAGAAACTTTAGAATGGGCCTTTAAGAGCACTTCACAATCTGCTCAGTATTTTACCATCCTGAATAAGTTCATGCCATCTACAAATTTGGATACTTGCAGTTTTAGAACAAGAATAAGAAGGATTAATCTTACCCTACCCCACTAAAAGGTAAACACCAAAACAGGCCAGAATCTTTCCACATCATGATTAAATTAAGATCCTTAAACAGTGAAAAGTAATGTTTCCACCCAGTGAGCTGACAGTGTTGGCTGCAGGAGGGTTTCTCTGGGGAAAACATTCCACAATTGGGGAATCACCACTGAAAATGCCTTTTGAACTTGTGTTTCAAAAAAGACCCTTAGCATTCACTTTTTCAGTGTGGTTTTAAATAAGCCTTTCTCTTTCCCTCCCTCTCTCTTTTAGTGTGGTTTAAAGCTAACCTGCAAACTGCTTTGTACTGTTTCTGCTATGGAAAAATACTGTATTTATTCTTAATTATTCTATTATTTTAAATAAGCCACCTGTATAGTTTTATTGATGGTCAGTCTTATAAATTTAAGAAACTTAACTGTCAAGTACATCTCTGTTTTCCTTCCAACGTGGAAGTGATATGTATTTAAAGCTACCTTTCTGCATTGGTAGACAGAAAGTCTGAAGGACCAACTCCTGGAGCAAGCACAGGAAATGAACAGGCTCCATTCCGTGTTGGTGAGCTACATAAGCTTCTTTGCACTGCTAACATCTCCGAAAGACTTTCTTCCATAATACATGTATCATGAAAACATTTACATGTAGGCTAAACTATAAACAGAGGAAGTAACTGCTGTTGAACTCCTTTCTGAGTAGGAATGCATGTTACGGCAGCAATACTTGTGTGTGTGTGTGTGTGTGTGTGTGTGTGTACACGTGTGTACAGCTTTGGATTTCTTTACCGCAACTAGGGGATGGTGCTCATGTATGTGACTAAAATTGTACTGAATGAGCAACTTGGCTTTTGCAATTATATGTGAAGCAAAACCCTGAAGGTGGCTTAGCACAGGGTTACAAGTTTTGCAAGTTAAATGTGGTGAATTTGACCCACATTGACCTCCATTTTTCCTGAGGTCTCCCCAAAAAAGCATTGCAAGCAGCCTGTTTGCTGGTGTTTGTGGAAATTCAACATGCTCCTGTAAACAGCTGAGTTCATCACACTTTGCTTATTGATTTGGCCTAGGCAGGAAGGACTGTGGATTCTCCCACTCTTGAGTTACTTTGCTGAAATCCCCCTCCTTCCCATTGGAAAGGTTAATCCTGTTATCATGCAGATTTTCCCTTAGTGTTTATAATCCTTGCTTTATGCTACTGTTGTTGTTGTTTAACAAACCGTTCCCTTAACATTGCTGAGGGCTTAGCTCTAAATTGGTCCATCTCATCTGAGGAGATGACACTTATTTCCAGTAGTGATATGCTCCCCATCATAAAGACAGGACTTGTTTCTGTGCAAGTTCAGTTCTTTTCGCCTGATAAGAATTTCTTCTTGATGCTGGGGGTGGGGAAGCGCAGGGCCACTCCATTTGAAAACACCTGTGGGAGAAGTATAAGCTTAGAGACCCTGCCTGGTGTCTGCTTTTCTGAAGGAAAAAAGAGCTGAAGAGGAGTTGCCCATAAACAGCAGGATCCAAAATGCACCCAGCATTGAAAAACACATGCAGGAAACAAAATGAATATGTAATAAGTACACTACAGATATGTTAATAATTGAATCACAAAAGCAATAGTCCACACAATGCAAAATGCCAAGTGTACAAATTATAAGGGTGTTACCAGCACTGGTGGGTGTGAAGGAAAATGGCAATTAACCCACCTACACACAGTACTGCTAGATCAATTCAGCTAAATTTATTGAGAGAGTTTGCAAACAAAGTGTAGCCGGTGAGTCATTTTTCTGGGAACGTAGGGAGATGCCTTATGCCACAACAGCCCATTGGTCTATCTAGCTCAGTGTTGTCCACACTGACTGGCCGTGGATTTCTGCAAGAAAAGCATGCGCTTTGCCTCTGAGCCATATTCCTTCCACTCATATATATATTGCCTGTTTGTTCTGCTCAAACAAATGGCATGTTTTTGAACATAGATACCTTTGGGAGTTGGTGGGATGGAAACTTTTAAATAAATAAATAAATAAATAAATAAATAATTTCCACTGTTAATTTTTTCAGTGGGAAACTTTCAAGCTTTTCTTGTGATTTCCCTCAGGTCCAGTAGGTGACTTGGTAGTTAAAGTAGTAAAATTGCTCATAATGCATAGGTTCCTCTAACACCCTGCCTGCCTCCCATGCCCTTTTTTTAGGGTGGCACAGATCTGGAGAAGCACCGGGACCTTTTGGTTGCAGAAAATGTGCGTCTGAAACAAGAGATGAAGATGTGTGAGGCACAACTGCAGGAGCTCAAGAAGAAGCATCCTGTGAAATGCGTGAACTGCGAGCACAGCCAGGTAAAAAGAGTTGCTGCTTCTTTCTGCTGGGGTGGGGCTGCAGGCCGCTCAGCTGAAGTCATGTTCATTATATGCTATATTCATTCCTCCCTGTTTACTACTTAGGAGAATGTGAAGTTGCAGGAAAAGCTGGCCCAACTAAAGCAAGAAGCAGAAGAGGTGAAAGGGCGCCTGTCGGAGCTGGACCTAGAAGTGGAGCAGAAAACCAATCGCCTGGCTGAGGTGGAGCTCCGGCTGAAAGACTCCCTAGCAGAGAAGGCAGAGGAGGAGGAAAGGCTCAGCCGCAGACTGAGGGATAGCCAGGAGACAATAGCCAGCCTCAAAGCCCAGCCTCAGCAAATTAAGGTGAGGCAGAATAGCTTGCTGTGAAGGCTTTAGTCCATGAGTTTCCTGAAAGTGAAACTGCTTAAAGAGTCATCAGTCCCCAGAAGAGCTTCAGTCAGAGATCCAGAGTATCTCTTATTTTCATAAGCTGCCCTCAAGTAGAGTTGTAGAGTTGGAAAGGATCCTTAAGGTCACCTATAATGAACTGTGGCCGTGTCTCACTTCTGTAGCTGTGTTTCTTGCTTTTCCTCCCCCAGTATGTAATCAAGACCGTGGAAGTCGAGTCCTCAAAGACCAAGCAGGCCCTCTGTGAAGCCCAGTCCCGGAACCAGTACTTGCAAGACCAAGTTGGGATGCAGAGACAGGTGCTGAAAGAGATGGAACAGCAACTGCAGAACTCTCAGAAAGCAGCAGTGCAGCTCAGAGCTCAGGTGAGCACTTTCTGAGTGTGGAAAAAGAGAGAGAAGCAGAGCTCAGGCAACTTGTTCAAAATGATGCAGGTGGAAAGAACAGGAAGCGCTAAGGGTGCTTCTTCATTTGTTGGTGCTTTCTTCTCTGCTTTTGGTCCCTTGCAAGAGAGTTATGCATTCTTTAGCTTCTAGGTCCCCCTCTTGCTACACTTCTGCAGCAGTATCCTCTTCCTCCTCTCTGGGCTCTACCTGCTGCTCCAGGGCCCTCTTTCCAGTTCTCTCTCTCAAGCCTCACTGGTGTGCAACCTGTCCCTGGATCCTAATGCCTTCCTATCGGCAGCAGAAGGCACTCTTTTGATGGATGTTAGAGGAGGGATGGGGGAGAAATTCCATTAAGTTTGCATTTAAAGGCAAACCTACCACATTCATGCTTCCTGAAACCATACATGAACTGAAACAGTTGTCCTTTGAAATTCACAATTCTTATATTTTTAGTATGGTTCTCTAGCCAAGTAATGTGTACAAAAATTCATATACTAGGATAATGTTTGCACACAAATGCATATATCTGTGAAAATAACATACAAATATAATTTTATTAGGGGAAATTGCACACAAAAATGTGTGTCATAAGAAGAAATTCAGGTTAAAATGCTGGTGAATGTTCATAAGATTATTACAGTGGTACCTCGGGTTACATACGCTTCAGGTTACATTCGCTTCAGGTTACAGACTCCGCTAACCCAGAAATATTACCTCGGGTTAAGAACTTTGCTTCAGGATGAAATCGTGCAGCAGTGGCGCAGCGGCAGCAAGAGACCCCTTAGCTAAAGTGGTGCTTCAGGTTAAGAACAGTTTCAGGTTAAGAACAGACCTCCAGAACGAATTAAGTTCTTAACCTGAGGTACCACTGTATTATTTTAAAAAAAACTGCAAACCCATGTAGAAATGTGGGTAACTGAACATAAGATTGAAAAAATGAGAAACAGAGAGGAACTGATTGGAGAGATTTGCCTGCCCTAGAGGAGAGGGAAAGTGGTAGCCTGGCCTCTTCACCCTGACAGGTTCCTTTGCTGTGTTTCCTAGGTTACATTGTATGAGTCTGAGTTGGAGCGGGCCCACGAGCAGATGCTGGAGGAGATGCAGAACATGGAGGAGGACAAGAATCGAGCCATTGAAGAAGCATTTGCTCGAGCCCAGGTAGAAATGAAAGCTGTCCACGAGAACCTAGCAGGTGAGTATCTTCAAGCTGGCCAAACATTTCTCTCAAGGGCCTGGTTTGGCTTTTGAAGAAGCAGCTGCCTTTCAGTTCAGAGATCATTTGAACCAGCATCTGCCTTATGGAGGTTTTGTTTAAGGAGGAGAAATGCTTTTTGCAAATGAAAATGGGGAAATGTATGAGTCTGTAGCGTTGCCTTAATGTACATTTATTCATCTCCGTAGGAGTGAGGACAAATCTCCTGACTCTCCAGCCAGCTCTTCGAACCCTTACAAATGATTACAATAGCCTGAAGCGGCAGGTCAAAGAATTTCCTGTTCTTCTCCAAGAAGCCCTACAGAGTGCCAAGGCTGAGGTCAGTCCAGCAGCAAGACTGTCCTACTTCCAAATCTCAGGGCTGATTCCCGCCCTCTGAATGGTGTGGTGCTGCACCTTCCCTGTTGGTTGTAAAGTTCCTTTTTAATTATGAGTGGCTCAGTTGAGATGGGAAGATCTGGATGAGATGAGGAGGAGTAAGATTCTCCACCTCACAGAGTGTGACATATTCCCCCTAACTCTTTTGTCCTCTCTTCAAAGATTGGCCAAGCCATTGAAGAGGTCAACAGTACAAATCAGGAGCTCCTGAGGAAATACCGCAGAGAACTGCAGCTCCGGAAGAAATGTCACAATGAACTTGTGCGGTTGAAAGGTCTGTGAGTCCCTATGTATGGGTTCCTTGAGGGCATGGCATAGATGCCACTTGACGACTGAGGCTACCTGATAGGAAGTTGAGGTGGTGTTTTCTGGGGTTCCCAGCTTCAGAGTTGGGGGAGCCTTTGCGGTGGAAACATCTTCCTATCTCTTATGCACGGGGTGTTCATTGTGGCTCAGGTGGTTTTGCTGATGGCTGTCTGGCAGGCAAAGTGTGGATTTGCACACATTCTGCTTCACCAAAAACAAGGTTCTGAACCTTGGCCTGCCCCTAAATGCCATTTGGAAAGATGGTTCTTTTGGAATATAGCCTAGTGGTTGAGATAACCATCAGCCACTGTGATTCTCTGTGGGGTGGCCTAGGAGCCAGCTGTTCTCAGATTTATAAAGCTATAATTTCCCTTTAAGGCAATATCCGTGTGTTTGGCCGTGTTCGGCCAGTATGTAAAGAGGATGGCGATGGGCCAGAGGCTGCCAGTGCGGTGACATTTGACCCTGATGATGATGCCATCTTGTATCTGATGCATAGAGGGAAGCTGGTATCATTTGAACTTGACAAGGTTTTTCCTCCTGAAGCAACACAGGAAGATGTAAGTATAGTCACGGTGTTCTCCTGTTAAGTTAGCAAGAATGTCTGCTGGGTGAGAGAAGGAGGAACTTAGCTTGAAGGGAAACGTCTCATTTGTTGAGTTACTTAACTAGGTAGGAATGTGTTTACCAGCAGGCAAATTAGACATGTTGCTGTTGCTGCAGTATCTCATCTTCCTCCTTTACTCTATATGTAAAGAGGTTGTGATTCATTTAGTTTGGACTTAGTAGTCTCATGGATATGTATGAGCCTGATGGCAGCGGAGCAAAGTACTCTGCCAATGCCTTACGCAAACTTTGTTTTTTAAAGGTCTTCCGGGAAGTTCAAGCCCTGATCACATCCTGCATTGATGGTTACAATGTTTGCATTTTCGCCTATGGCCAGACAGGTGCCGGCAAGACATACACAATGGAGGTGAGCTGCTTTTCAGTTCCTTTTTAAACGATTTGCCGATTCTGCAGTTTCCATAGCCCTGTTGTGGGGTTGTTCAGCTAGTGCTAAATGCCTATCTATTTGGGGGGTGGGGACTGAATATAAAGCCCATATTGCATGCCTGCGAGTGTGTTTCCAAGTTCAGTTCAAGGTGGTGGCTCTCACCTTTTAAAGGTATCCTTGGGCCCACATATCTTGGGGAGCACCTTTTCCCTTATGAACGTCCCGTTATTCACACCATCCCAGGAGGTCTTGCCCCATGGGATATTCATTTGGTAAGTCCCTAAAATGTGGCCCTGCAGCTGCTCAATGCTCTTCCAAAGGTTTTTCAGGCTGCATTGTTGTGCAGTTTTAGGTTCCAAAAGAAAACACTCCTTCCTGCTCGTACTCATTACAGGGGTGGAGTATACACGAAAGGGTTACCTCTTCTTTTGGAAGGCAGTGTCAAAACTAGGAGTAAATAAATCTGGTTACCTGTGGTCAACTGGAAAAGGAGGGAATCTTCTCACCAGTCTTGATTCCTCCTTCACTGGAAGAGCACGGTTAATCCTTTCTCCCACCTGCTGTGCCTCAAGGGGTAGGAGTGGTCCAATTTCCTTTATTTCTTTTGAAAACACCACTTGCTATTTAGGCTTTCTGGCTGCTGTTTGGGGCAGACTGTGTTGTATAGTGTTTCCATGTTTGCTGAGGGGGATTTGTGGTATTAGAGTTCAAAATACTACCTTTTAGCCTTTATAAGGTTTTACTATTTTTTCATTTTTACAGAAAAACTGTGTGCCCCCACTACTGGGGATGGCAGGGAGATGGATAGAGGGAAGGGAAATTGATGAGTGAGTCAGTGATGGTGTGCTGGACTGCCTGGCATGAGCGCGCGCGCACACGCACTCTTTCTGGTGTTCCTTTCTTCTTATGTAATGTTAATACATTGAAGGAACATGATGTCCTTCCTTCCATTTTCCTCACTAGGGAACTCCCGAAAACCCAGGAATCAACCAGCGGGCACTGCAGCTTCTCTTCTCAGAAGTGCAGGCAAAAGCCTCCGACTGGAACTACCAGATCACTGTCAGTGTGGCTGAGATCTACAATGAAGCCCTCAGGTAACCACAGGATGCCAAAGACCTCTCAGTCCCTAGATTCAAAACCCTAGGGTTTGGAATGTCCCAGAAAACAATTTCAGTGGTGGTGGTGGAACAGCTTGTGCTTTCTGCAGGAGAAGCGACCCCGCCCCATATAACAAGGCAATATCCCTATTCAGGTGCTCTGGAAACTAGTTCTGGTGTTGAAGCAAGTTTCAGAACTGAGCCCCGAGACAGAATTAGCTCTTGGCAGTGGCAACTCTGTTCACCTGTTTTCAGAATTTAGTTCCTCTTGGGTAGTGGCACTCTTAGCCAAGGCAGTTCATTGTGACTTGTTAGAGTTTGTTCAACTAAAAAATTTCCTTTGACTGAGGAATACTTGTTCCATGGTTCTTCCCTCCTTCCCTCCATTAGCCGTTTTCTGCCTCTGTTCAAAGCACTTGGAATGGTGTTGGTATTGGACACTCTCAGGTTGAAGAACACTGTCCACCTGCAATTTGTAACTTGGGAAGGATGAAACAGCTCTTTAGGCAAGGGACCTGATCCTGCTGCAAGAGAACCAATGTGGGGTTTTTCTTTTAGCAATCAAATATTGGGTGTCTATTTGTTACTGATTCTTCGGCAACTGTCTCTCACCTACTGCATCCCTAACCCATCTTTCTGTGCTGGAAAAGTGTCCTTTTGGAGCACATAGCCTTACAAAGATCTTGCTTGCCTCTCTCTTTCAGAGACCTGCTTGGAAAGGAGCCCCAGGAGAAGTTGGACATCAAACTGTGCCCGGATGGTAGTGGACAGCTCTATGTGCCAGGCCTGACAGAGTTCCCTGTGCACTGTGTAGAAGACATCAACCAGGTTAGAAAACGGGCAAGGAGGCTTCATTTTGAATAGCAAGTCAACCACCACCCCCCAGTCTAGGTCCAGGCAAGGGAAGTTCAGAAAGGCTCACTTCTGTAAATGAGATTTACAGGAAGAATAAATGAAGAATTTTAATGAGTATTTTATGACACAAGTACCAGAAACTGCTTTGATTTTTAGGATTATATAAAAATGTGATGTGGGCAGGTATTGTGCACGTTGCACTGTGAAGCTGAGTTTACTGTGCAGCCTGCATCTTTTTTCCTGTTTCTTGGACTTTGAGTTTTCAGCTGTTTTCATGTGTAGCAAATCTTAAGGACTTCCACTGACTATGTGGTGCCAGGGAAGTTCTGCAAAGGCACTCTCTGCTGCTCAGAGATTCTGCTGCCCTCTGAATGGGCGCCAAGTGCCTGGGATGATGGTCAGAGAGGGAGGCCTATGTGAGAACTGGCTGCTGAAGGCAGGTGTGGCTTGACTGTCTCTCTCTCTCTCTGTGCACTTATTCTAGGTCTTTGAATTTGGTCATATCAACCGAGTGACTGAAAGCACCTACTTGAACGAGCACAGCTCCCGATCTCACGCCCTCCTGATTATCACAGTGAGGGGAATTGATTACAGCACAGGAATACGAACCACAGGTTGGTAGAAATTTACTCCTAGTTGTTGTCAACCATGAAGGAAACATGGTCTCCTAACCTAGGTTGTAAGTGAATCACATAGGAAACAGATCATTGAGGAATGTCAATTAATTTTGTAGATGATAGCCAAATTACAATGTAGCTCAGGCCGGTTGATACTTGAGACAAGGTCCAGGAGAGGTCCATGCAATGAGCCACCAGGTTTAATTGAGCAGAATAAATTGTAAGAAACATTATTGGGCATCACTTTGGCTGGTAGCTAGGGATAGTTCCTTTGCATTGTGTTTCCCACCGACAAACCAGTAGCTGAACCCTTGGGTTCTTGATCACCAGTTTCTACATACATCCAAGCTCTTTGGTTTCTTGGTGAACTTAGAAGGGTGCTTGATCATTGATAGCTCTGGCTGTTGTTTGCCGAGGCCCAAAGTCTTGTTGAATACTAATAGCTCAGTCCTAAACATATTTATTCGCAAGTAAGTATGCTCAGGATTGTAGTTCAGGTGTGCCTGACTTCTTTCCTCCTAGGGAAGCTGAATTTGGTTGATCTGGCAGGATCTGAGCGTGTGGGGAGGTCTGGTGCAGAGGGGAGCAGGCTGCGTGAGGCCCAGTACATCAACAAATCGCTCTCAGCTTTGGGAGATGTGATCTATGCCCTGCGTTCCCGCCAGGGCCATGTGCCATTCCGCAACTCCAAGCTGACCTACCTACTTCAAGACTCTCTCAGTGGTGACAGCAAGACCCTCATGATGGTCCAGGTGGGTGCTTCCATAAGAGCTATAATGGGGGGGGGGTGGCTTTCAAGTGACACATAATGAATTGCATATTCGGTGTATTTGGTGCAGTGTGATGCGCCTACTTCTCCTTGAGAGCTATGCCATTCCTGGGTGTTTTCTTTTGCTATATTGTTTTTTTATTAATAATAATAATAATAAAATTTATTTATATCCCGCCCTCCCCAGCCGAAGCCGGGCTCAGGGCGGCTAACAACACTAAAATAGTTCAACATTATAAAAACATTATAAAAATTAATTAAAATCAAAATTGATGGCAACCATAAACTAAAGTTTTGTAAAGATTGCCAAAGGAGGGAGTCAGGCTGCGCCCTGACCAAAGGCCTGGTGGAACAGCTCTGTCTTGCAGGCCCTGCGGAAAGATGTCAAGTCCTGCAGGGCCCTAGTCTCTTGTGACAGAGCGTTCCACCAGGTTGGAGCCGCAGCCGAAAAAGCCCTGGCTCTAGTTGAGGCCAGCCTAACCTCTCTGTGGCCTGGGACCTTCAAGATGTTTTTATTTGAAGACCGTAAGTTCTTCTGTGGGGCATACCAGGAGAGGTGCTCCCATAGGTACGAGGGTCCTAGGCCGTATAGGGCTTTGAAGGTTAAAGCCAGCACCTTAAACCTGATCCTGTACTCCACCGGGAGCCAGTGCAGCTGGTATAGCACCGGATGAATGTGATCTCGCAGCGAAAACCCCGTAAGGAGTCTCGCTGCGGCATTCTGCACCCGCTGGAGTTTCTGGGTCAGTCTCAAGGGCAGCCCCATGTAGAGCGAGTTACAATAATCCAGTCTGGAGGTGACCGTCGCGTGGATCACAGTGGCTAGGTCAGGGCGAGAGAGGTAAGGAGCCAACTGCTTAGCTTGGCGGAGATGAAAAAATGCTGCCTTTGTTATAGCTGCAATCTGCGCCTCCATGGAGAGGGAGGTATCGAAGATTACACCCAAACTCTTAACGGACGGTGCTGGCACTAATTGCACCCCGCAAGAGATGGGAGTTGCCCCCTCAATCCCATATCGTCCTGTCCCAGCCAGAGGACCTCTGTCTTTGAAGGATTTAACTTCAACCGGCTCCCACGTAACCATCCAGCCACAGCTTCCAAGCATCTGATCAGTGTGTCTGGGGCCAAGTTAGGATGGCCATCCATCAACAGATAGAGTTGGGTGTCATCAGCATACTGATGGCAGCCCAGCCCAAAACTCCGGACAAGCTGGGCGAGGGGGCTCATAAAGATGTTATTTTCAATAATATCTGTATACAGAATAAAAAAAACGTATTCAGCAGTCCAGTCGCTTGTTATTTTAAAGTTAGTAACGGTTATTGCAAAAGATTGACAAATGCAATACATCAAGTAACAATAGAACAAATAATTATTTCCAGCCCCCACCCCAAATAAAATTCTTTCTTGTTAGCAATCTACACACAGTGTATTGTATTGTATTGTATTGTATTCTGTATTGTCCAGAATAACACTTTAGCAAAAAGGCCATTCCTGTTTTGATTGCCATGTGCAGTTGTGCATGCAACAACTGGTGTAAGTCCCCTGCCTGCACTGTTTGGATATGAAAAAAATGTTTTATGTGCTTGGCTGTGTAATCCCAGCCCTGGAGCATCCCACACCCCCACCTAAGAAAGAAAAACCCAGCGTAATCCAAAGTTGCAAAGGGCAGCAAGACTCCCTCTGTTTCTCTCCCTGCTTCTCATCTCATGCACCTTTGGGGAAAGGGACAAACAGCATAGATCTATAAGCGGGAGGCATCAGCAGGAGCTCACCACTTCTCCCTCGGTTCTTTCAGCTTTAAATATGGATAATCATGAATGTTCCCTTTTCCCTCCCTGGTCAGGTCTCTCCTGTGGAGAAAAATACAAGTGAGACACTTTGTTCCCTTAAGTTTGCTGAGAGGGTTCGCTCTGTTGAACTGGGCTGTGGCTCTCGGAGGACAGAATTGGGCTCCTGGACCAGTCAGGAGCACTTAGAGGTAACTGGCCCTCATTCGTTTCATCCTGCTTTCTTATGCAGGAGTGTATCTTTGGGCTTATTCTTGCTTCATACTTTGCCTACAGGGAAGCGCTTTTGGTATAATCTGGACACCAAGCAGGTGGTGGTTGGGTGATCTAGTGTAAAGAATAACCTACAAGGCCTTTTTCACTTCAGATTTCATATTTTTTAGGTAAACAAGAAATAGATCTGAGGGGAAATCAGCCAAAACAAATGTATCATGATGTAGTATATGATACTTTTAGTTTGATAAGTTTGTTGTATTCTCATGACTTTGTATGTCATATTGAGGGTCGGCCCACCCATGAGACAAGGTGAGGCAACCGCATCAGGCAGTAGGATCCACAGGGGCAAACCCCAATGCTGATCTTCCTTACCCCCTTGTTCCTGATGTAGATCTCCCCTTACCCCTTCTTCCCTGGCGCCATTTGGGGTCTACCTCAGGTGCCAAAATGTCTTGGGTGGGCCCTGGTTATATTGGCTTAACACCAAATCAGTTATTGTGTATGTTACTACTATGCAAATTCCAATTTTGGTGTTTTAGAGCTTCTATTTTGGAAATGTGTATGTACTGCTAAAATCATTCTCATTTAAAATAAAACCACAAACCTCCACAAAGTTAATATAAAATGTTGCAAACTCTTCTTCTGTGGCTCTTCTTTTAGGCAGACTCATCATCGGTCACAGCACAGCCCTGCATCCGAAGTCAGTCTTCTCCTCGGACTCGGCGAGCGAGTTCACTCCGGGCAAGACTCCAGACGTCAGGTAAGACTTGCATAGAAGCCGGCTTTTCCTTTTGCTCCTCAGGGCACTCTGACAATCCCAGAGATTCTGAGACACAGTGCTGCTCTCTGAGTTTTCATGTAGAGTTGAGCTGAATTCCACAACTGGTGCCTCTGGTCGCTCAGAGTGTGTGTGCATGTGCATTGGCCTAACTATTTCAAAACGAATTTGAAGATGAGGCCTGCAGCAGGGCAAGCCCTCTCCTCACTGCTGCTGTGTAATCACCCAGGGGTAGGAGGAAGGAAGGAGAAGCATGATAGAGGTATCAGGAAGGGTGCAGTAAACAGGAGGCTGATGTCTCATTTACCATATGATGTCAAGACACACAAATAGGCCTTGAGACGTCCCTCAAGGAAGCAGATCAGACAACCTTCCTGTTCCAGCCACCCCTCCATTCTGTATATACTGTAGGTAGGGGTGGCAGTAGAGAGGGGGATTGATTTGGACCAGGATGGATGCTAGGTGCTTAAAAAATCTTCTGGCTGCTCATGTTCATGAGTAGTGGCTTTCTGCTCTTCCCGGGGCAAATCAGGTCACAATGGCAGGGGAGGGATGGGTGCATAGAACGTCAAGTGTATTCCAGGAGAAGCACAGAGTGTAGGGAGCCCTCTAGACAACATTCATCTCCATGCACCTTTGCTTTGACATCAGCTATCCTCATTTACTATTAGAGCAGAGATAGTCCTTTTGCCTCCAGCCTCAAATCCATCATTTGCCAGGCACACTCCATGTTCACAAACTTTTCTAGGAAGTTCAAGGATTAGAATTGCTCTTGTTGGATCACATCAAAGGTTCCAGCAGCCATGGTGGGCAGCCAGATGCTGTGAGTAAACTCATCAAAACATGATGGTGTCACCCAGCACCAAGCAGCTAATTGTTCATTAATGCAGTACATGCCCGGCTGCTTTTTCTCTTAATTTATAAGTGTGGGGATGCAAAACAAACCTGTTGTCCCATTTGATTTCAGCCTGGAATTAAGAGAAGCTCTGTCTGCCTCCAGGTGAGTGTGGACAGGTGCTGGGTGCTGGAGACTAAGCTGCTTAGCAAGGTGAAGGGCTCTGCTTTGGCCAGGGCGGCAGGGAATGGGCACAACCTCTCCTGCTTTCTTGGGGGTCAGGGCTTGTAGTTAATGGCATTTTCACATCTGTAGAATCTGGGAAGTGGCACTGAACCTTGAGAACTTAAGTTTCCACCTTTATTTTACTTTTTAAAGCATATTTTGATTGCTTGTAACCATGGAGGTGCATTACGAAACCTCCAGCATTCTAGGGATGGAGCCTCTGGGCATTGTATGATAACTCTTCTTTGATCTAATTGTATACTGTACTTAAAGTGCCTGCATAACTGCCTGCTCCTTCATAGATTCCTTTTCTGCTTCAGATCTCAAATCAGATCTCCAAATCTGTCGCCAGAGGTGGCTTTCTGCCCTACCCCTGACCAGCTTCTCCTTTCTGTTGCTTTAAGAAAGTGCTCCATATTCTGAAACTCTTCCTGTGCAAGAATCAATAACGCAGTAATCATAACTTGAAGGATCATTTGCCATTAGATTATAGAACACAATTTGTAAATTCTTTTAGTTTTGGATTTTTTAAACTTAATTAGCATGACACATGACATTCTGCACAGAGGTTTTGGCTGGAGCCTGGCCAGATGCCACTCATGGGTGACCTGTTATGCATGTAGCAAAGAGGTGGTTGGCACTCACCATGGATGCAGTGTAGGAGTAGAAAGCAAAGTGCCCTAATATTTTCCCTTGTGTTGTTTGTTTTTTAGGGAAACTGAGGCCAATCCCTGTGTGAAGCAGCTGATTTGAGGAACATGCTTTTTTAAAAGGAGTTTCAGAAACGATGAATCCTTTTTAAAGAGACTACTCGTTTTCCTGCCCACCTCAGAGGCTAATGGACACTGATTTGGGAGACACAAAGAAAGGGAAGCCACAGCAAAAAGAAGGGTGGTGCCATCTGCCAGCCCTTGAATTGCGAAGGGTCTCTCCATCAGACACACTCCCATCCTGAGAGAAGGTGACATGCCAGCCCCCTCTTGTACCTCATCCGTTGCTGGCAATGGATGGACTTGGGCTTGGATGCAACTGGACTTCAGGAGATGGTTCATCTGCCTATTTGACATGAGGTGAATTTTACTATATTTTTAAAGGGAGAATGGAGGTCCTAGACCCATTCCCATCCTTTTGGCCCTCTGCATTGATTTTTTAATTTAATAAACTCTTTGCACCAAGATGTGGCTTCCAAGCACCATGTGTTTCTGCTTTTTATAAAACGAACAACTCAGCAGTCTTCCTTGTAACAGAAAAGCAATATTGGAAGCAAAATTCAGCTGGACTAGGGCAGAGCTTAACCTGCAACAGTAGTACTCACTTCACACAATGAGTAGTTGGCTAGGCCAGAGCAGCTATGAGAATAGCTGGGACTAAAGGCATTTTCTCTGAATTTCATCTTTCCTCCCCCATACTCCAGGTGATTAGAAATCCTCCAATGAGCTCCACAGAAGGGATGATTGTCCCTGTAACATACAGAATTACTTATTTGCTCCTATTTGTTTTTATTATAGTATTTAAGGATATATCTGTTTATTTTCAGTCCATGTCACTTTTGTCTATGTTCCTTCTGTTTTCTCTCATTTTTCTATGTGTATTTTTTTAGAAGTCTCAAGTATTCATTTCTCTGCAAATTTAATTGTTATGAGGTGATCTATGGTCTGCCTTTTTTAAAAAAGGGGGGGGGGACACCTTGGGTCTCCAAGGATCCCACCCATGATGTGTACCAAGTGAATTCACTCTGGAATATATACATCAAATTCCTTGAGTATCCCTAGTTTTCTCACTTTCAAATAATAAACTTACTCCAAATGTAAGCTCACACCACTCAACAATTCAATACAGTGTTAGTGCTGAGCACTTTATAGAATTAAATGACATGCAGACATGCCATCAGGCGTATAAAATTAAATAGACAAAACACACAAAGGAAGTAGCATGTAGGGAGATCAGACTAAAATGGCAAGTTGTAAACTGGCATTTACTAAGGGTGTTCACGAGCCAAAAGATTCAATTTGGATATGTATCTGTTGCTTTGTTCATCAGCCCAATCTGTTCTGAGTCAATCTGTGGTCTATCTGATGCAACTTAATTCAGATTCAAATCATTTTTAACAAAGCTGTTTCCTCCCATCTGCTTTCATAAACAGCTATAACATTTTCCTTTTGACACAAGTGGATAAAATTTGCCTCGGGTGGATTTAGTCTACAAATTGGACTTAACTTTGTCATTAGCAGACATCCAACACCAGAGGGCGTTCACCCCCTCCGTACTTGACTCCACAAACCAGGAGAAAAACCTCTGGGTATGTCTGTGGGCTGCTACCCGCTTCCTCTCTGCTTTTTCCTAGGTCACTTTGGGGGCCAAGGGTCACTTTCATTTTAAAGAAAAAATGGGCATAAAATATAAAGTAAAGCATTGTAAGACTTTCCTCTTGTGGGAGTCAGAATATGAATCTGTAACCTAAACAAAATTATGGGCTACGGAAGGGGAAAGACACAAAACTACTGTTTTTCAAAATAAAGTTACAAATGTTTTAATGAAATTCATCATAACTTATCAGTTTATGAACAGCAGACTGCAGCGTATTAACAAGAGATGAAGGGGAAAGAGCAGGCCATTCCTCAGTATCGAGCCTTTCCACCATGGAGCAAAACAAGAGGGGGGGCAGCAATGTGGGGCTCAACTCCTCCAGCCCAAGAGACTAAGCTGCACAGGCAGGTGGTCCAGTCCCACCCACTCCTGCCTCAAGTCCCACCACAGTGAGGATGGAAAGGAAGCAGGGCCAGGCTCATCACTAGGGAGTTGGTCCCAAGCACTGTTGGTTGCCAGGGTCTAGAGATGCTGTCCATGGTTGGATTCTAACACAGCATTCCCATTTGCTGCCCCCCCGCCCAAGGCAGCTATGTACACAGAAAGGCAGGGGGGCTGTGCCACAGCAGGACAGTCCGGTTTGCAATGTAGCCTGTAAGGCACTGAACATGGAGCACCCAACCCTTACCTCCTGGAGAACTGTGGAGAGATGGACACCAAACAAAACTACCCGAAGTGGCTGGAGTGAGAGGCCATGGAGGGAAGACGAGCCTCAGGCGGTATGTGTGGATGGATGAAGGGCACCACCCCATCACTCAAGGACAGCCATCAGGAGGTGCAGCTCACGGAAGGCACTGCCATGGCGGCCACTGAGTCCAGATTTGTTCTTGATGATGTTGCTGATGTTTTTCAGCTGTTTGTAGCACAGGCGGCATTTGTGAAGCCTGTCAATGGGAAAGAGAGACTGGGATGAAGGAACGGAGGGGCTACCATGACTGATCAACATCCACCAATATTTTATTAATATTATTTAGATGCCCTGCTCTTCTGCATTTCCCAACAAGAAAAATACCAAACTGTTAAATTCAGAACATGCTCTTGAAGCAGCAGCAGCTAAACAAAAGTAAAGAGCATGATAGATAAACAAACAAAAGGGTTCTTGGAAAACAGAGAAGGCATGTGATCAAGTTTGGCCCAACGGGAATATTAAACCCACACCACAACTAAAAAGGTCCAGCTTTCAGTGCATACCTGCTGATTGCTAGCCAGTGCAAGGCAGCAGCAAGGCATACAGGCTTTACTGGCAGAAGTCAAATGAGATTTTCCCCTTCTGCACCCCCCCAGTAGATAGAGGCAGTTGTGTGGGAGGGAGCCCAGATATTTCCAGCCTAAAAGCAACAAACTGGAACTGTTCAAGATTCTGTGGGCAAGTGTGACCGAGCTAGCTGTGGGATTCAGGTTTGCAAGGAGGCTAAATTGGTACTGGGGACGGTTCTGATAGGATTTGCAACATAGGAACAGAAACAACAGGGATGCCACCCTACCTCTCTTCTCTGCTAATGTCCACCCCCACGGATGGCGGCGCAGCAAGGATGTCTGTGATCAGGGGCAGAAACCTCTGCAGGATCAACTTCAGAGAAGTGCAGCCTGTCTGGACGTAACTGACAAGAGAACAAGGAGAATCAGAATAGGACAAACGTTTTCACAGCTAAACCTAAAATGCAAGTGGAGAAGCAGGTGAAGGAGGAAGGGCAGAGCCACAGCAAAATCAGTTGTCCTTCCAGTTTCTTTTCTTGTAAATCTGGATGCAGGAAGGCTTTTCTGCTGGGCAGCCTGCATCTGCCCAGCAGGCTGCTGTTAAAAGCAATTGATATTCACATGAACTGCTTCTCACCCAGTTCCTTCTTCAAAATGCAACCACACTGCTGCAGGGATTTCTGAATCACTTCCAAAAAACAAAACAAAACACCGGGGCAGAATTTGTGTGTGTAGACGCACCCCTGGAGGGGGTGACACAATTGTATATAAGCGTCAACACAAAGTGATGTACACATAGATGCTGCAACTACTCAGGTTTTGAAGTGGTTTTAATATCGGGGCAGAGGAATCACTCCCTGAAAACCACAGCTTGGTGGTTAGTAAAGCAAAAGAGGAAAAAACTCAACATCCAACAGTCTTAGGAAACTCCTGCTTGAACTGCAAACTTCTCATGTTGGATGGTGGGGCAGCCTACTTTAGGATGGGCCCTTCTCAGTGCTTATTTCTTCTGGTGACATCCCCTCATGATTTAAAGCTTCAAACATGACACCAAATTTGGGCAGAGGGGGAACCCTGCCCAATATAAAAGTGTGCTGGGACCATGTTGACAGCAAAGTGGGCAATGGTCCCCTTCTGTTCAGCACCTGCAAAGTGAAGTTGTGATAACCCCAAAGCTGTCAGGCCTGCTTCCCTGCTGGCCCACCTCCAGGCCTGCAGAGATGCTTGGGCAAGTCACAACCCCACTCCCTCCAAGAATAAGAAAACCCCACTCCCTCCAAGAATAAGAAAAATGTACAAGACATTAACACACAGGTGTGCAGCAGCTACTGCCACTTCATCAGGACCATCATCAAATACAAGTTGACAAAACTCTCAAAAGCTGCTGGCTACAGCTAGCCAATAAAGCACTTGACTGATCAGGCACTCTTCTTACTCAAGGACGTACATTTGTCAGAAGACTCACCTTTCATATTTGCTTTGCAGAAGTTTCTCTATCTGAGGCAAGATGACTGTGCACAGATCCAGCTTCCAAAGAGACCTGGAAAGAGAATACAGGCTCCAGAGAGATACCAAAACCCCTGCCCTACAACAGCAAACCCCTCTGACCTGCAGAACACTCCAGAGACCTTAGCCAGAGAGCAGCTGCTGGTCTCGGGCTAGATGGACCTCATTCAGGACAAAGAAGCTTCATTTGCTCACCCCAAGGCAGAAAGGAGCCAAAGGATGAGACAGCGGATGACTCTCGGCGCAGGGAGTCCTCATGAGGGATCTGAGTTATGCCATGGTTCCAAGCTCAGCACAGGGCTAGCAGGTGTAAGCACCAGGTGGCACCACCAAGTCCCACACAAGTTTTCATGGGGCAGGACATGGGGGCTGCCAAGAAAAAGGCCTGGGATCCTGTGGGTAACTGTTGGCCACAACCTCCACTCAAGAAGTGAAGAGGCACTTGTAGGTTACCCAAGAAGAGAAAAGGATCCTGACCCACATGGCAGAAAGCATTCCCTTGAGGCAGGAAAGCAAACTGGAACTCACGCCTTCTGGTTGACGATGTTCAGGAGGTCCACCATAACAGAGAGGTCGTTGATGGCCACTGCGGAGTCCACAGATGTCTGAGAAAAGGCAAGAGAGGCAAATCAGGATGAGGGCAAGTCTCCTAGAGATAGACATCATGAAGGCAAGCCAAATGGTGGTAAAGCAGAACGTCTTCCAAGGCTTTCAGCTACATCTATACACAGCCTTTGGCAGAGGGGATCAGCCATGCAGGTTTCAGCCCTTCCATCGGACAAAAGTGTCTCTTTATACACAGCAGGCTATATTTTGTCAAGCAAATAGGAACAGGGTCACCTGCCATGATGATGCTCTCTTAGGCAGGAATAATTCAACCCAGGAATGATCCTGCCTCAGGGGCTGTAAGAGCCATTTCTCATCCCAAAGCTCATCTCCAGACTAAGACAAGCACTGGCTGAGAAGCTGCCAGAACACACCAAGGCCCCCCAGGGGGCAGCCAGCAGACATCTTGAGAGGGAGCATCCCCTAAAGGCCACTGAGGCACTTGACAGACCACCAAAAATTAGCACAATTCTTTATGGGACTTCAAGGCTCAGGCAAGTGACAGGGATAATGTGGCCATGGAAATGCTCCTTCTGAGTGGAGAGCAAGCAGGCAGCCTCCTCTAGTAGGAATGGCATCCACAAGAGAGAATGTGAATGCCTATTCTGAGCCTGTGTCACATCTTGAGTTACGGGGTCTCCTTGCAGGTCACAGTCCTGCCACCCACCCCACTGCTGAGAATGGTTCTGGGCTACTTCCTTGTCAGGTAGAGCAAGACTGTGTGGAAGCCCTCTCCTTCCAGCATGGGAAGGTGAGATGCTGCTGATTACACCATCATAACCAACTTGTGGAATGTATTCCTACTGCAGACTCCCCATCCCCACCCTGAGTTTCAAATATTTTGGCCTGAATAAAGGGATGTGTTGGCTGCCCAAGGTCAGCAGGAAGAACAGGAGCCTTCTTAAAAGGCACAGGGCCTGCTCCCAAAGCAGCCCCTCTCCCCAGCTGGAGCAAAAGATGCTCATTCATCATCTGCATCTCTCTTGGTCAACTGATAACAATGAAACTTCAAGCTTTTTGTATCCAAGCTGACAGCGGTGGGAGGTTTGAGATCTGGACCTGCTAAGCCCAAAGCCCCTGGCACTGTGCTGCTTAACAAAGGCAACAAAAAGGCCACTTGCCTTGATGTCTCCAGTGCTCCACACGGCCCTCACGGTGTCCAAGTTCTTGTGGCGGCTGGTAAGCACCACGCACATGGTCTCGTGTCCCTTCCGGATTTGGGACATGGCCTCTTCATCCACAATCTCCGCCAGGTTTTGGTTGTTCACAGCCTGCAAGGACAGAAAGGAAAGGGAACTTGGCATTGATGGTCTAATTTGTAATGTATTACACACACAAACACATAAATTATACCTTTTTGTATAGTTTATTACAGTTTTACTTAACACAACTAGAGGCAGAAACATTACTGTTAAAAGAATAGAACATATTAGGTCTATCACTACAATTGGAAAGATGGGGATGCTGGGCTGTGAATTCTTTTCTACTGTCTCCTTGATAAGATTACCTTTGATTTGTCCAGAATGGCTGGCTGGCTCTACTTTTTGTCTTGATTCAATCATACTATTTACTACCCAACCAAATCACTAGCCATACAATTAAATTATTTGTACCCTAGCTGAGAAATATCTAAAGTGTTTAGCCAGGGAGGGGATCTGCTACCATCCATGCTCTTGCTAAAGGCTAGTTTCTGATGTCCTTCCATCTAAACATTATCCCTTCTTTTGTGGACCAGTTTACCTGCGGGATTGCCTTACCCCATCTGTGAACTTTTGACCACTTTAATCTGTGGAACTGGCACTGTTACAAGGGCCACAATACAAAATTGCTACTTTAGTGCAGCAGCACCCACACTTTGGAACTCCCTGCCTATTGACATAAAGAAGGCACCTTCACTGTCCCCTTTTTGACACCTGCTAAAAACTTCTGAAGCAGCCAAAGAGCAGGGTATGCAGGACAGGCAAATCACTAGACTTTCCTCCCTGCCCAGGTGACAGCCACTTGTCGTTCCCAATCCCTCTTCTACAGGGAAGAAACTTACTGGCAAAAAGTCAGAGGCCTTCAGCCCGATAGGCTCATTCCTGGCTGCAGGGATCACAGATGGCTCAACCTTGGTCTTGGGGGTCGAGGATGCTATTGGCGACCTCTGAATAGGGTCAGGCTGCTGTGGGAAGTGGAGATGGAGTCAGGGCAGACACACCTAGGCTGTAAGCTTTGATACCATATTTGCAACCACCTGGCTATACTGAGCACCACATACTGAGCACCACTGATCCTCCATGGCATGTCAACAAAGGACTTGATGCATTCCTCCTTCATTTTCTAAGAAGACCCACTGGAGGCTATTGGCAACTTCTGAGTGGTCAGCTCCAAGGCACCTGGAGCACTTCAAATGAAGTTAAGGATCAGGTGCAAGATAGGATCTGCTCAGGAAATCCCTGGGTCTCATCTTGCCCCCCACCCCACCTCCACCACATTTGGGTGTAAGAAAGAAGCTTGCAGGGAATTCCAGCCACCAGAATCAAGATCTGCAGGGGAAGGCCTTTCAAAACCACTTAGAGGTTTTGGCAATTAAGTGGTGTGTAATTTTTTTAATAAAAAAAAAATTATAGTAATTAAAAATTCCTCCACTGAGCCCAGCCTTTCCCAATCTGGAGCCCTCCAGATGTTTTGGACTACAACTCCTTTACAAATAATGGGAGTCGTAGTCCAACACACCTGGAGGTTGGCAATGGCTGGTCTGGACTTCCTTGCTTAGAACACAGTGACAGGCCACTGCCTCTTTTTCATGCTGCTAGAGCAGGGTTTCCCAAACTTCGGCCTCCAGCTGTTTTTGGACTACATTTCCCATCATCCCTGACCACTGGGCCTGCAGGCTAGGGATGATGGGAGTTGTAATCCCAAAAGAGCTGGAGACCCAAGTCTGCGAAATCCTGGGATAGAGGCACCATTATTTCTGGAGCCAGGGTGGGGGAAAGCAGGAAGAGGAGAGGGCACACCAATGGATGCAAGGCACTTACATTCTCTTGGCTTGGCAACGGAGTCGGAATATCTGCCACTTGACTGAGCCTTGAGGCTTCTTTGGCAACCATGGGCTCTGAAGGGAAGAAAAACTATGTTTTCTTACTATCAAGACTGCACAAATAATGGCAGCAGGCGAGAGCTCTGCCCTAGAAGTCAAAGACCCTGGGCTCTATGGCCCTGGGCTCAAAGGCTCCTGCCACTCCCACCCAAGACAGTCCACGGCTCTTTTGCCCCAAGGGCGACACGCTGCCCTTTGGAGGCAAAGCTGAAGAATCCGAACTCGAGAAAAAGATAACTCATAACTTCCCCCAGCAACGTAGACATTGTAAATGTCCATGTGAAGCCAGCAATACAGTAGCTGTATGGAGATCTTCTCTGGTTCTTTCTCAATACTTGAAAAAGAAATTCCAACTCACCATCCTCTGGAGGTGCAGGAAAAGGTTCACTCTTGTTAGGTGGAGTTCGAGCTGAAAAAGACAAAAAAATAAAGCGCCCAACCTTGCACTCCATTTAAGTTACACAAGAAATTAGAGGATCCTGTGGTGTCACCTTCATGAGTCTACAGCTTGTTTCCACTATGGCAGTAACACTTCTGCATTACAGGTAAAGGGATTAATAAATATTTCTCCCTCTGAGGAAGAAGTGGGTACAGTTATGCCTCTTCACTCCTTCCCACATTTCTTTTCAAGAGACAGCAACAACCATTCCATGTGCTAAAGATGCATCCTGGGAATATTGGGTAGGATTCAGACTAAACTAGTTGTACTTAGGTTCCACTGAAATCAATGGGACAAGTTAATAATGACTTCAATGTGACTTATGTTCAGCTAGTTAAGTATGGCTCCAAATCGCAGTGTTTTGGTGTGGGGCTTTTTGCTGGTGGGGGTGGGGGCAGTGTAAGTTATATTTTCAGATGTAAATTCTCGCTGTGGACTGCCCTCAGATGTATTTGTACAAAAGATGGTGTGCAAATACTTTAACAAATACATGTTGAAAACTTAGATGCTAGTACTCTACCTCTAAATGACTGACCATGCCAGAACACAATATTCAGTAGCAAGTTGTGAACCTAAGATTGCCCCTTGAAAGTCTTTGGAGGCAACGGTAAATTAAAACAACTGTGGGAGAGTCACATGCTTGTTCACAACTGCCACACAAAGATTGAATATTACAAAATGGGGAAAACAGCACAAGACACCTTGGTTTGCTTTGTGGCATCACACAAATTACTTCAGCAGCACTCACTTATGGGATTCTTTGGCTGGAAGATCTCATTGTAGTCTTCTGTGTTCTGGATCTCCGCTGTGGATTCCTTATCTTCCCTGTCGTCCTCACTGCTTGGACTGCGCCTCTCGCTCTCTGAGTTGTGTTTCATTCTGTCATTAAACCACAGATATAAGAATACCAGAACAGCCCTGAAGCCAATGGGGGCTAATAATAATAATAATACCCCGCCCATCTGGCTGGGTTTCCCCAGCCATTCTGGGAGGCTTCCAGTACATATAAAAATGTCAAACATTAAAAACTAGCCAATGATGGCTGAATGATGGAGGTGGAGATGCTCCTTCAGCTATATCTGAAACCCAGCGTCCTATTTTCCCCTGAATGGCCAACTGGATGTCCACAAGCAGGACCCAAGAGCAAGAGCAGCCCTCTCCCCTCTTAGGATTCCCAGCAGCAGGTATTCAGAGGCATTCTGCCACCAACAACATTGCCACCATGGCTAGTAGCCACTGATGGCTTTATCTTCCATGAATTTGGCTAATCCTCTTTTAAAGCCATGCACAAAAAAATAGGCAAACAAGTTTTTCTTAGAAAAATCCCCCAGAACCAATGGAGGGGACCACACAGAAACCACTGAGAACATCCCTTTGCTTTCAGTTTCCATCTCTAAATCCTTTGGCATACAGGGGCTGCCACCTCTAAGAGGAGTCTTCCTTCCTTGCCTTTGGGGTTTGCTGCATGTCGTCGTTGGCCTGTCGTAGATGCGTCGAAGGGAAGAGCCTGCAGGCAAGGGCTGAGTGAGAGGCTTGTCATCCCGGATCAGTCCACGGGTGCCAGGCCCACATTTTGTGACTCGGCTGAGGTCCACCACAAAGGAAGAGACTGTGCTTTGTGTGAAAGAAACACCAATCTGTGAAGAACAGAAAAGAAGTCATGTTCTGTGCAAGTCAACTTTACATTAGGTTTGCAGCCAAAGTGCTCTGGGAAGTCAACAAGAATCCACCTTGGCAACCATGTGAGGGGAACGGGAAGCAAACTCAAAATGAAAACTACCAAAAGACATGAGGAGGAGATGACTCGGGGTCCATTTGCAAGAGTCAGGGGCCAAGTGTGCACTAGGAATGGCCCTGCCATGCTACTGCCAGTGTCAGAAGCACAACTTGTGGCATGTCCACTTGTTGCACCCACGAGCAGAGCAGGAAACCCAAGTCCCTTCCTGCCCCTTCAGTCACTCACCAGTTGATTGTTACAGATAGACAAATCAGCCACCTTGCCCCAATTCACCAAGACCACATCAAAACAGCGCTCAGGCTCCCAGCCATACACTCTCAGGGTATCATGGCAGCCAGCATATAAGCAGCAGCCATCGGGGTTAAACAGCACACACCTGAAGGGGAGAGGGGAAAAGTGAATGTGCAGGTCATCCAGACACGGGTGCAAAACAAGATGTGCCACTGATATTCTATGTCAGGAGATGGTCACAATCTCTGCTAGCCTTTAACTGCATGCATTCCTCGCTTCGGCCGCGTGGCCAAACCAGAGCTTGGAACTGAAAGAGCATTAAGAGTCTGGGATCCCCACAGCAAAGTCACACAAAGCAAGAACATGCCCTCATGCCTCTTGACACAAATCACGGCCCAAGTCCGATGTACCTGACAGGAGTGGCCTCCTCTTCAACGCAGCTCACCACCTGGAACTTCTCCAAGTCCCAGAACCTGACCGTTCTGCAAGACAGGGGGGAAAAACACCTGTGTGATCTCCTAGGCCCAAGGCAAGCAGGAGTTAATCCAACACTTCATTATTTGTTGGTCTTTGTTTCTAGCAACAGTCTGTGGCCCTAATAAAAATAAGGATGGAGCGCAAAAAACAAACAGGTGTAGATGAGTGTCTGGGATTCCAGGCAAGGAACAGAGCACTCCGTTACTCTCGTCTGTGCCCAGCAGAGAAACCAAGTGGGCTGCCAGAGGAGGGAAGCCCCCATGTCTGTAGGTTGGGGGAAGAGGAAAAGAGCTCTCTGTTCCTCTTTTGACAGCCCTTAGCATGCTAGGAAAAATTAGCAGGCTAGTAGCTTTAACTGGGCTAACACACAAGCTTGCTCTAGCCATGACCAGCCAATAGATCTGTGACAATGATGGCAACCTCATCAGAAACTCCTCAGACGTTCTTAAAATCACATGGCAGGACCTAAGAGCAAAGGTGTCCAGAGGCTAGGGCACTTTGGGATTTAAAAGGAAAACACAGCACTCTGAAGTGCCCAGAAACCAACTGGTAACCAGGGCAGCTCTGTAACAACCACTCTCTAAGGTCAGTCCCAGCTGCTGTGTTCTAAACCAAATAGTTTGTGAGCTATGTAAAACACTTTCCTGCAATGACCGAGACCAAATATTTTATCTTACACAAGATGGTGCAGCAAATATATCTGGTGCAGTTGGGAAAAGGCACAGCTGCAGCAGTAGTACTGAGTCAAATATCACCCCTGAGCAGCAAACCTGTTCCTTCAGAAGGGGCGGCAAGGCCATTCAGACAGATTTTACACCTACTCTCAACTCATCAGGCCCACTGTTCCTCTACACCCCCATTTGAACCTGCTTCAGTTCATCCAGCCCATTTATCCAGCATCATTTCAGAGACTCTATAGTCTCACCAAGGTTCAAGGAAGAGAAAGAAGATTGAGAGCCATCAGCATATACCAAACTCCAAAATCTAGCATGCTGACATCTACCAAAAGCTTTGTCATAATTCAAACAACACGAAAGACTGAATTTTGGGCAAAGCATGGGCAATATTATGACCTTGTTCTAGGTTCCAGAAGAGGATAATGAAGAGACCAGAAGGGCCTCCCTAGACAGGAAATTCCAAAGGTAAGCTGTTCCAATCATCACCAACAATTATTCCAATTCCACAAATGAAAATATAAATATCTGCAGGAAATAATTGCAAGTTGCAGATGAGTCACATCACATGCTATTGTCCACCACTTATTTCCCAACAAGATTTTACCTGTCAGAGCTACCAGAGGCCAACAGGTATTCATTGGGATGGAATTCTACAACGTTGACTGGCCCCGTGTGTCCTGTGAACTCGAACATGATCTTCCCAGCAGCCAGGTCCCACAACTAGATAGAGAGAGAACTTTAAAGTCTTGAGGTTGCCCAACCCCATTCCTGATTGTTTGGCACAAAAGAGCGCCTCTTGGTGTGGCAAGCAGCCAAAACTGCCACAAGAAGGAAGGTGAATGCCAAAGGGGTCTGGCAAAATCAGGCCAGTACCTTCACGGTGTGATCGTCTGCAGACGACGCCAGCCATTTGCCGTCAGGACTGAATCGGAGACAGCGGACAGCTTGAGTATGGCCCTGTAAAGGCAAAACAGACCCAGTTCATTCCTAGCAGAGCTTGGCACTCCCAGGATTAAATAATGGGTCACACACGGGAAACATGAAGGCTGAGCATGTCTCACAACAGCTGTGATGTTGTGAAATTACAATATAGCAAGAGAGAAAATACAATCCCTTTGACTGCCTTTGCCAACCTGGTGCCCTCCAGATGTGTTGGACTGCAACTCCCATCAGCTCCAGCCAGAATGCAAAACATCTGAAGGGCACCAGGTTGGTGAAAGCTACATTTTAGACATAGCCAATATACAGCCTCAAACATTTCTAGTAAGGAAGCAAAATGAGATTGGATAGGGAAGAGCTTAATGATTTGCCAAGTACTTGGGCTCCTTTTGGAGGGAGGGGAGCCTTTCTCAACAGCTGTGAGGGACAGCTGGCATGTTAGAGACCAGATGAGGGCTCCATCAACAGTGGAAAGAAATCATGAACTTTGGAGGATAGGAGTTGAGCACAGAAAAAGGGTTTCCCTGGAAACGAGTCAGAGACAGCTAGAAAGACAGGAGGAGGAGAGGTTGTATTTTGGGAAGAGGTGCAGGGGGTGCTATAGTTCAGTGAGTGAGTGCATGCTTTTCAATTGGAGGGCCCTATTTTAAAAAATAATGCAAGGTGGATGTGAAGGTCAGTACCAAAGTACAAAAGAGATGAGAAGATATTAACTTGCAAGATTAATGGCATCAAGCCTCTCTGGGCACCTTCAAGAAGCAGTACCCAATGGACCCCTCTCCCCACTGGCCCTTCCTTTGGTTGGGTGGGGCCTGAGGGCTGGCAGCCAAAAAATGTAGACCCTGTTTATGTAATAGACGCTGCAAATTTTGTAAACTGCCCAGAACCTGTGGGTGGGATTGCCTCAATGAGCTCTCCAAACTGAAACACTGTAGCAACTGGACATGGAATAACTTCCAGAGGCAGAAGGAGATTTGAGGGGTGCCCTGCAGACAAAATAATATGCTTTCCTTCTTACCTTGTACCTGAAGACGCAGCCCTTCCTCCTCACGTCCCAAAGCTGCATGAAGAAAATGGACAAAAGCTTTACAATGGCAACTTGGAAGTGTCTTGAAGATCTTCAATTAAAAAAGTCTTGGGGTTGAGGGACATTTTCTTAAGAGTATGCAACTATTTGAATTTCAAAAACAGGATGTCAGCTGAATTGCAGAATACACACAAATGAGGTCTTGGGTGCACTATCGGTTCATAGTTCAAGGGCTGGGAAGAGCTCTGCCCACACCACTGGAAAGCGGCTTCTGGTCCATGAGAATATTGCTGGGCTGCATGAACAACTGTTGTTCTTTAGTCATGTCCAACTCTTTGTGACCCCATGGCCAGAGCACGCCAACAACTACTCTGACTTAATACAAAACAGCTCCTTACATCCACTGATATGCAGTCCTCTGGGTATCCTGCTGTTCTGAAATACACATGCAGGGAGTGAGGGAGACTCAAAAGTCTTACCTTAATGTTGGTGTCCATGGATCCTGAAGCTACAAAGCCTCCAAAAGGATGGAAGTCTAGGCTGCAGATATTTGCTTTGTGGCCCATTAATGTACGGAGAACTGGATGGGAAAGGGAGGGCAGGGAATTGAGATGCAAGCATGGTCTAAGAAGATGCAGGATTGATAGTTTTTCAGTTCAAATCAGATTTGCTATTTCAATGGTTCAGTAAAATTCTTTTTTAAAAAAATAATCGAGTTTAGAATGAAATCAGAAAATCATACAAATGTTTTAACGTTTCCCTGTAGAGTCTCTTAAAATAGAAATCACAAGCATCTACCAAACACATCAAATTAAAACCTGTTTTTCTATGAAAGTAATGGAGGAAAGATTGTTGACTGCTGAGGTTAAGCATTGTAAACATAACACAAATGGATAAATATTATTAGGGGAAATTATAAAGATCTGAGTGCAAACAAAACAGCTCTTCTTATTCATAGGGCTGGCATCTGAACAGTACCAACACCTCCCCCACCTAGGTGGAGGAAGAGGTGCCCCTGCAGTTTTCAAAGTTGAGCATATCGTCCTTCCTTGTGTGCTTGCGCTCTCTCATTCTCTGCTCTTTGCTAAGTAAGGGGCTGCTGGGCAACCTGAAAAGTGGTAGAAGAATTGGCTCTGAACCTACTTTTGGCAGCTTCCAGATCCCAGATCCGAATGGAGCCTGACTGGGACCCCGCAACAATCAGCTCTTCATTCGTATTAATCTTCACACTCTCCACGGGTGTGGTGTGACCTGTTAGACTCTGGGCAAAATGAAAAAGCAGCAGTGAATCATCTGAATGTGGCCCACTCCACAGGAAGGCATGCAACAACAAGGACAGCTAGGATATTTACACTCATCACACCACAAGTAGTGAAATGATTAGGTGAAAGCCACGTTCAAAGCCGTCGACAGACACTGAAGTTTCAGTATTCCAGCAAGAGCAGAAATTTGATTCCTTCCTATGTTCACCAGAGGCCCTCCTTCAAGTGTCTCTTTCTCACACACATGTCACCTGGTGTCAAACTGGACCTCCTTTATACACCCAGTGAAGACTTATTCATGTTACAACAACTGGTCATTAATTGACTAATAAAATCCAGCAGAATATACACTCAGAAGCACCTTCCCCACAGAGCTTTGCTGCAATAGTGGGAATCCCCATGCCCCATTGCAGGAAGGTTGAGGCAAAGGCCAAGAGCCATATAGAGCTTGGCCACCACATTAAGTGCTTCTTAATGGTGCACTAAGCACATCACCCAGAAATGCAGGTTTATGGCTAGATGTCTACCTGCACAAAAGTAAATTCCACTGAGTTCAGCAACTTACTCCTAGATATGTATATAATGAATTGCAGCTCCATCAGCTAGCATGAAATGAAGCTGCATCACAAACTTCCCACAAACTATGCAGTAGTACAAAGAACATTACTCTCTGTACTGCAACAGTCGAAATGCCCACTCTAGATTCAATTCTGCAGCACTAGTAAGTTACCGTACAAAAAACGAGGGGCAGGAGTGGAAGAGGAGAGAAATGCCCTTTTCAAAAAGTGCAGGGGTTGGATCGGAACAAAAATCATTCAAAAGAAAAACTATTTCAAGCTGGCCATTGCTGTGGAAAGGGATACCATTGCAGCTTTTTGGCCCTTCCAAGTCAAAGGATTACACATATATTGGGTTCTACAGCCACAGCTCCTAAGGCAGCCACTCATACAAGTCTCAATAGCTCAACTTAGCTCCTCATAGGTCAAAATACAGGGGGCAAGGTGGTGGTAGAGAAAATGTCTCCAGATCTGCATGAAAAACAAAGGAAGGACACTTGACTGAAGCCCTGCTAATGTCAGATCCAACTACTTCCTGGTTTTTGAAGAGACCAGAATGTCATATTTAGGCCTGGGCGATGTATTGATACATCACCCAGGACCATTTCAAGGGCCAGAGTGCAATGGCGCCTTTACCTGGTAGTACAGTGGTGCCTCTAGTTACGAACTTAATTCATTCCGGAAGTCCATTCTTAACCTGAAACTGTTCTTAACTAGAGGTGTGCTTTCACTAATGGGGCCTCTCGCTGCTGCTGTGCCGCCGGCACATGATTTCCGTTCTCATCTTGGGGCAAAGTTCTCAACTCGAGGTAACTCTTCCAGGTTAGCGGAGTTTGTAATGTGAAGTGTTTGTAACCTGAGGCATTTGTAACTCGAGGTATTACTGTATATCCTGAGCAGCAGTGCCTGCAATATACTGCTGGGTGAAGGTGCCATCATGCTCTGTCCCTCAAACTGAGGGAGGAACAATCCACGAGGCGCCAGTCAATGCAACTTGTTCTTCTCTCAGCACTTTGGCCTTAACTGCACTGTACTTTGGCTCACTTAGGTGTATTTAGCCAAATTACTGAAAGCACAGATTAAAATAAACCTCCCTTCTCATGTTTGATCCTGTATAGAAAGGAGGGTGGCTAAAGCTAATGCCAGAGGTTGCTCCCTGACTCACATTGCCCACAAGCAAAGAGAAATTAGCCAATCCTTACCATAATGCAGTTCGGCTTGTTAATTGACCAGATATTAACTCGACAATCATCTCCACCAGTTGCAAGGAGCCGACCTGAGCTTTTGCCCAACACAAGTGAAGAAACATTGCTGCTGTGAGCAGTGATTTCCTCTATACAAAAAAAGCAAACGCAGACATGAGCACATTTCATCACCACATCTCTCCCATTACAGCCCCACACAAAAATCAATACATTTAAGCTGGCATTTACTGATGAGGTATACGTGAACAGGTACACATATCTGGTATGTATTGTAGCTTTTTAAGCTAATTATTCTATGTCCACTTGCCTGAATGTAAGCCCTTCTGGCCATAGTAAGATCTTTTAAATATAATTCCACACAAGACACTAAGTCATCAGCTAAGCAGCTGGACCAGGTACCTGACTCCAAGTCTGATGCTAGTGATCAGGAGAACACTGAAACCCAAGCTGTCAAGCAGGAGTGGAAGACAAAATTGCAGGCACTGAACACATCCCGTTTATAAACGCAGAAGAGTGGACTTCACTTACGCAGCTTCCAAGCTGTCTTGGTGGCAACTGCAGCTGCCATTGCAGTGATTCTCACACAGCTACAGAAAGCAGTCTTCTTTTTTCTCCCAAAGCTCTGTTTTCATCAGCATGTGTGGGGCTCAACCCCCCAGATACAAGGTTCAAGTTTCTGAACTGTCCTGCAGCAGTCAAGGTGATGGCACTTTTATTTTTAAAATATAAATATGTCTCCTAGGCTTATTCAGTGGCCTATTTCTTCCAGAATGCAAGCAAAATCCCAGGAAGCAGTCATTAAAGTTACCTAGGAGGAAAGTGTTCATTTTAACCAGTTCAGCTAACACAGCAGAAAAACAAACTACATTAAAATAGAGCTTAGCAGGTTTCTTCATTTATCTTTTTTTTTATAACAATAACTTAGAACAGGTACAGTTGTACCTCGGAAGTTGAACGGAATCCGTTTGACTTCCAAAACATCTGGAAACCAAGAAGCTCCTGCAGCCAATCAGAACCCACGGAACCCACGTTGGATGCAAACCGAAATACTCACGTCCGGGTTTGCGGCATTTTGGAGCCAAAACGTTCAACTGGTAAGAAGTTCGACTTCCAAGGTATGACTGTATTTCCAGAATTGGGCTGCATACAGTATTAGTCCTCCTCAGAGTATACCTACTGAAATTGATGAACATGACTAAGTTAGGTACGTTAATTGTACTGGATATATTCCAAGTAGTACTTGGCTGGATACAACCCAATTATGTTTTTTAACATGGAATGTAAGTGATCAGGAACTCCTACGGTACTTTTCTGTGTATCTTCCAATAACAATAAAAGGTACTTTTGTCATTACATCAATGATCAATAAATTAGAGCAGACTTTGACAACTTGGTGTTATTCAGTTGCTTTGGGATACAACTAGCACATCTATTGGGAGTAGTTGCAGAGACAGACAGTGGGGCACAGAATTGATCCTGAAAGCAGGATCCCTAAAACTGACAGGTAGCCTTCAAAAATACACTTTGTTCACAGCCTCCCTCCAGGAGGGAGTTAACTCTTGTCTGCATGCTCCACTCCTCAATTTACTGTCAAATTTCCACCCACACATGTAATTTCTAGACTGAGGATTACTACCCCATTGTACAGAACTGATGAACTGGCTCTGTTACAGGTGGCATATAATACTTATTCCACATTGGTAAGAAATCAATATTTTAGTGTGGTAGGGCCCACACTTTCACAGTACTGTTTTTGGCACCTGCTAATAACATGTCTGCTTAAGCAAGCCTACCCATGTACGCATGATGCCGACACATATTTTAATTATTATTTTTTGTTTTTGCTTACTGCCAACCTTAATTACTTTTCAATGTTTTAAAATATTGCCTCTGTTTACTAATAACTGCAATGCTTTATTCTTTTTGTAGAACACTTCGAGCTTTTGCTTTTATAATCAAGCAGCACATAAATTTTATGAACAAATGCGTGTGTGCTGCATCCCTACAGGTGTTAGGCAGGATGGAGTTTTTATGGGTGACATAGGCGAGGTGATCTCAGCAGCTTCTCAGAAGAGCCTTGTTAACTGGATCAGGCTAAAGGCCTATTTAAGACCCAGAAACCAGATCTCGCCCCCCCTCCCCCAGAACCCCACAAAGCAGGGCACGAGGGCAGCGGCCCTCTCCCAGTCAGCACCTCCTAGCCACCCGTGTTTAGAGGAAGTGACTCGAATCCGAGGGAGCCAGCCGAGCTTGTGAACATTCCCACCCCCACCCCGCAAAGTGCTGTGGGCAGCAGATCCCATTCAGCCCCCAGGAAACCCCTTCTCATAGATCAGCCAAGTCTTCCCTGGGAGAGAAAGATCCCACCCATCCACCTCATGCGCTGCCCGGAGGAGAAGCAGCCCTCTCCCCTCCGGCGAGGCCTGGCCGGGACCTCCGAGGCACACACCGCCGGACAGGCGAGCACCTGCTCGGGGGAGGGAATGTAAACAGGCCGCCGCGGCCCCGGGAGGCAGCCCGAAGGCCTTCCCGGGCCAGCCGCCGCTCCAGGGAGATTTCGGGTGGGGGCTGCTGCGGCTACCCACGGCCTACCCGACGTGAGGCCCGTCTCGGCCGGCCTTGCTTGTCTCCTACCCGCGCGCTCCTCCGTCTGAACGGCTCTCAGTGCTCTCCGCCTCCACCACCCGCTCCCATCCCCCACCCTGATTGGCTGCCGCTTGACAACCGGAGCCCTGGCAACTCACCTTAACGTGGCCCCGCCCACCTTTCGCACCCCTGACCAATCACGTCCGCCCCTCGAGCCTTCCGGCTCGCCAATCAGCCCAAAGCCCGCCTTCCCAACACAACCGAGGCCCCGCCGTCGTAATTTGTTTTCAGAGCCCGCCTCCACCGGCCCGACTGGCCAATTGCTACGAAGGCTTCGAAGAACGGCGGGGAGAGGGAGGGAGTTCCTCTGATACGTATACTATAGATTGAAGGAAGGATGTAGAGTCGCGCGCACTGCGCAGCTCCCGGGTCAACTTGAGATTTTTCGTTGCAGGCTTTGCTAGTCGGAGAAGCCGCGTCTGTGCTGCGAGTGAGCGCCGACTTGGGAAGAGAGTGGCGAGCAGGCCCCTTAATTAGCACGGTCTTTGCTGCAGCCTGACGTGATGTAAACTCACAAAATTATGCTTAGGGCGGAGAAAGTAAAGTTTTCCTCCCTCTTCCGTCACGCTAGAAATTGATTGGCACACTCTTCTCTCTCATATACACACATAAATTCTTTCACTGTAGTCTAACCCGTTTAACTGGCCGGAATTTTAAAAACTCGGAAGTTTCTTAGTCACACCGGGATATGGACTACTCTACATTTAATGTACGGGAGCTTCCGAGGCCGCACAGGGGCAGCCAATCGGTGCAAAGTATTGGTCCTTTTGCTCCCATCAACCTTTGCGTCGCGGCCCACTTTTCGCGTGAGGATTAGAAGCCGCTGCTGCCGCTCCCTCCGCTGGCATGTCGGTGGTTTTCGTGCCGGAGAAACTCCGAGGCAAGGCGGAGGTGAACCAAGAGACGCTGCAACGGGTGAGCGAAAGGGGCGGGCGCCACAGAGAGAGCGGAGGGGAGCGTCGCTCACGCAGCCCTCTTTTTAACTCCCGTACGCCGCCATAGGAAAGGCAAGAACGTCGGGAGGCGTCAGAGCGCCGCTCTACCTTCCTCTCTCTCTGTTTTCCTGGCCAGGTTCTTTGTATTGGGTTAGTTCGTCGGTTAGAACCGGAAGTGTCTGTGCCATTTCATTCCCCGCCTCTTGCAGGCTGCGTGAAGATGGTCCGGGCTGCTTAAAAGCTGAGAGCGTGACGTCAGTGACCCTGGGCAGTGCACTCTGTACATTCTCAGGGTTGGCCGAAATCAGTGGCTCTGCGCAGGTCGGCTCCTTCACTCTCCTCGATCGTGATTGCTTAGCGAAAGGCCATAACCAAGTACAATAAAAAGCGGTACACCGCCAGAAAGATAACTAAAACAAATGAATAGCATAGTCTGCTACAATATCCTATATCTTTTGCAGTAACAGTAAACTCTTAACGTTACCAAAAAGAAAACTCGCCCTTTAATATTTAAGTCTTTAGTTGAGGACTGAAGTTGACATTCTTTTAGTACCGGATATTCTTCATCCACCACTTTAATAATCTGAAATCAGGGGTCATCAGTAGGCCACCTGTGGGCACCATGGTGCTCTTAAAATTGCTCCCTGGTGCCTTTGAAGCCTCTGACCACCCACCCACACTGCCTCATTGATCGTGAGATGGTAGTTCACAGTACCTATGCTATAAATCATCCTCAAAATTATCCAGTGTAATTGTTAAGTAGTTGTTCTTGAACAAGTTTCAGTAATATGCAGTTGATCCAGTGCTGTTGTAACTTTCAGTTGCTTGAAGAAAATGACCAGCTGATTCGATGTATTGTAGAATATCAGAATAAAGGAAGAGCTGAAGAATGTGTGCAGTAAGTAAATTCAATCTAAGAGTCGCCTATTATACATTTTTCAGGACTTCATTTTTGTATTTGCTTGATTAAAGCAAACAATCAAGTAATTGTTTAGAGAGCTTGCGTGTCTCATTGCGAGATGTGGGTTTGAATAAATCTCATTGGTCCTGAGCAAATTTACAGGGGAGGTGAAGGAGAATTGAAATCAGGCACATTGTTGCTGAAATAAATGCAGTTAGTCTGTAAAACACAACCAGACTGTGCAGGGCATTAATGAAAATCTTGTTTATTTCGCTGAATTTAATGTGGGAGGTAATAGCTTACAGATGTACCAACCCCTTCTTCTTGGCAGCCCTAGACTTCTGAAAGGCCATTGTAATAGTGGCTGTTTTATTTTAAATTTATTTCCTAATAATCCCTAACATTTTCCCCTTTTGCTGCCACTGCACAAGCTTGATGATTTTATAGAGCTGTGTACCACAACAGCAAGATCTTCCCTGGTTAGACACTGCTAGTTCAGACTTCATCAGTGTGAATGTAAAGTTAGAATGATGTGCTCCAGTGTGCAATATTGCCCACTCATCTATGCCTTTGCAGTAATTAAGTGAGCATTAAACATCATTAAACAAGGGCAGTGTTCTCGAAGCTACCAACATGAGTTTGACCAAACTGCGGGAGGCAATGGAAGACAGGAGTGCCTGACGTGCTCTGGTCCATGGGGTCATGAAGAGTCGGACACGACTAAACGACTAAACAATTGACTTAATTAGTATTTTTTAAAAAAAAAACATTTCCTTCAATTTAAAAATAAAATACTATCAGGAACAGGGGAAAGAAGCTAAGAGGATTCAAAAATATTATTGGCTTCATATTAATTAACAACTCTTCCCTTCCCCCTGCTTTCTCAAGTATAAAGTGAGCAAAATAGAGACCTAAATCCTACTGTCACTTATATGCTGGCTGCTAGAGCAATTCTGTTATTTCAGTTGCCCTAAGGAATCTCATTCTTCTGTTTCTCTGTTACAGACACCAGCACACACTGCACAGAAACTTGATTTATTTAGCTACTATTGCGGATGCATCTCCCTCTCCGAATGCAGGGAAGACTGTTGCAGACTGATACTATGCTCCTTGGCACACTTGTGAATCCTTGAAGGAAATGGGGAGTGAATCTGGAAGATCCATTAGTCCCCTCCTCTTTAACGGAGAGGAATAAATCCAGCACCTGATGGAAAGCCAGCTGAATTGTGCTTCCTTAACAGAACACATTCCTGCCTTCATTTCATCCTCTTTGCCATCAACTAGTAAATGCCATTTGCTTTACCCCCACCTTGGGTGCAAAAGGAAAAATGACATAGTGCACTGCATATTCCTTCAGCTACAATGTCGCTGCTTAAAAGGTCAAGGTTGATGGGTATTATTAACAACATTTGCCATTGCCTCAGAGCATCAGTTCTCGAGGTGACATTACAATCTAGCCCAGTGACCCATGAAGAAGGTTGGTAAAGAAGGGGTACTTAACATTTTTACATTAAAATCTTATTCCGGATATGGTGAAAAGAGCAAGAGATTATAACAATGTGGTGGTGTATGCAGTTACCTGTTAGCGCTTGGAAGAGAGAATTGTCACATGCCTACTGACAAAACACCTCCTTTTGCCTCTTATTTGTATGGAATTAAACATTATCACTCATAAAGGGCACTGCTAAGCTTTGATTACTTTAATGTGTATTCCTTTTCTGTAGTAAAAACCATATTGATCCTGATACATACATGCAGTAGAGGAAAAAATAAAGATATTTCAACTGGCTGTTTTGAACCACTTAATATTTTCAGATCAATCCATATCTCCATAGTTCTCAGTGTGCTTTTATGAAATATTTTCTTTCCCTCCTGGACTGCTAAGGTTCTAGCAATGTTTTAAATGTTTCTTGCTAGTACTTACTGAAAGATTCTAGGCAGTGAACTGAGGTTTTCCCATGGATTCTTAGGGAAAGGATAGCTGGTTTTGTAGCTTAGCATGAGTTGTTTTCCCCAGCCAATGCCCTCCAGGTGTTTTGGACTAAAACTCAACGGCTCCAGACAATATAGCTGTGCTATCCAGGGTTCATGGGAGTTGAAGTTCAAACTGTCTGAAAGGCTGCAGGTTGGGTAAGATTGCCTCAGTAATAACACTTTATGAATGAGTGACGAAAGAGCACCACAGCTGCTTTGGAATGCAGAGGAGCTAGTGCATTGCTGCTTTTCACTTAGAATCATAGAATTGTAGAGTTGGAAGGGACCTCAAGGGTCATCAAGTCCAACCCCCTGCAATGCAGGAATCTCAACTAAAGCATCCCTAACAGATGGTCATCCAACCTCTGCTTAAAAACATCCAAGGAAGGAGAGCCCACAACCTCCTGAGGGAGTCTATTCCTCTCAAAACAGCTTACTGTCAGAAACACCCAGAGTTTGCTTGCTCAGTTTATAGCTCCCTTTTATTATTGCTTAAAACTACTTTCCTTGTTTGCTGTAGCCCCAGCTATCTCCCCTGACTAGGCAAAGTAGCTGCTGCCAGAGCACACTTAATTGTAAAAGAGGACTGGTGGCATGGGGGATTTCTCTTCTTTTAAAAAAGAAAAAAGAAACCTAAAGCTATACAATGTAAAAGGAGCATAGTGAGTTGATGTGAAGTAGCAACAGCAGCTCATTCTATCACTGAAGCTGGTGATGCAAAGCCTCTCCTACTACATTTGCAGTGCTGGTGGAATGGACTCCTGCCCCCCTGGACCAGGAGTAGTATAAAATGGGAGCTCTCCCCCAACCATGCTTATTAACTAAAAGTTTCTAAGTTATGTTTCCAGTCTATGGTAACAAATGAAAGCATATTGAAACAAAGGGGTTTCATGTTAGAAATTGTTTTTACTCCCAACTTACAATGAAGGCCACTACACAACACACTCGAGCCAGAGGCAAAGCACCTGTTAATCTTCCCCGAGATGAAGGGAGGCATTCTCTAGCCTCCGCCACTGGCCTCGGGGCCCTGGGAGGCTGTCCATGGCAGCTGTGCAGTTCTTTGCAGCACAGCTGTAGGATACAGCCATACAACAGCTGCATCTAGAATGAATGTACTCTTCAGCAATTCCGTATCATTTGGTATCCTGCAAGTGGAGCAGATCCAGGTATTGTAACTTAAAACATACATTTTCAATGTTCTTTAAACATTACATTCTGGAACTGCTGCTAAATTCACATCGATTGCACCTGATAATGCAGTGAGGTACCCCAGGCAGAATGCTGTATTGTAGCTGGGCAATCAGACCTGTTCTAAAGCAGAGTGCGGCAAGAAGACAATAGTACCTAACTAGTTAAGGCAGTGGGATCAAATAACATTCTGCCATTTTGAATCATGAATTTTCTAATAATAAAACCAAAACTATTTGTCGCAAGTCTGTTAAGCCTGTTAAATTTGGATGAGAACAAGGGCAGAAAGATGGTGGAAAGTGAAGACTTAAATGAACAGAATAGTTGGCGAGGTAAGACAATTTACTGCTTACATGGTATGGAACTTAAGTGCTATAGATGCCCACATACTTAAGTGAAACATCAGTACAAGATGCTACACAGGACAGATTGGATAGGTTTTGAGGATATAGAATGCCCATATCAAGCCTTGAATGAGGCAGTGAGACTTCAAAGTGACAACAGGAGTTCTAGATACTCATCAATGCTGGTCAAAAATTTCCTTCCTGAAGCAGAGACTTATCCTTCCTGCTCCAGGTCCGACATCTGAAAAAGCTTTGCCACACTATTTATAGACAGCTGTTCTTGCAAACATCTATATTTCTGTCCCTCACCACTTGTGCTGTTGCATTATGGGACCAGCTATAGTTCTGGTACCAACCACACTAGTTACCAGTGCCTAAGGGGCAGCCTTTCAACTGAATGCCATCCTATCAGTCCCAGCCAGCCCATGTGAGCTGGCTGGAGTTGAGAGTTCTAGTCCAAAACATCTGGATGAGACAGGCTGAGTGAGACCTATAGACAATATACACAATGTCTGCTAGGTAGTAAAGCTTGGGTTAGGAATCCAGATACATTTCCTTTCAGAAAATGTGTCCACATAGCATGTGTTTCATACCCTACACTCGGTAGTATTAAGACTGTGAGCCAGGCATGGCCAAACTTTGGCCCTCCAGATGTTTTGGGACTACAATTCCCATCATCCCTGATCACTGGTCCTGTTAGCTAGGGATGATGGGAGTTGTTTGGCCATGCCTGCTGTAAGCATAGAGGATGCTAGGGACTGAGGCTGGCTTGGCCTAGGTACCAAGTCTAAGGGCTAGCTCAACAAAGAAAATTGATTTTGGAATGGTGTAGGTGAGGTTTCCAACGACGTCTGCAAATGATCCCACATCAGTTCTACACCCACATCAGAGCAGGAGCTACGGGACTTTTGGTTTCATGTGGCATTGTGAATACATACTCCTTGCCTATTACTTCATACTTGGTAAGTTAACACTGAAAGAGGCACCTGAATGAAAATCACTGGTATCAAAGTTACACTATGATAGCAGGCTGGAACCCACATGCTTGTGAGAAATTCAAGCAAGTACTTAATCCTTAATGACACAGGGAGGGGAGAAAACAGTTGTGTGTCAAGCAGAGGGAACTTCACAAATGCAGCAATGTTTTAAGGCACAAGAGCCTCATTTTTGTAAATAAGTAAAAGAATGAGGGATCAAAAGTGAGATAATATAAGTCTTTATGAGGGGATTCTGCCCCCCCCAATCTAGACCGTGTTCTCTATCATGCTGTCTTGGCAGTAGTGGGAAAAGAGCTGGAGAGAACTCTGTTCCTGCCCTGGAGGCATCTAGGAGCAAGGGATGGTGCCTGCTTTTGCAAGGCCAGGATTCAACAGTTCCTTGCAAGGGGCCTGCCTCTGTCCAATAAGACTTTGGATTTTATTTCCCTACCACCACACACACAAGACCCTCATATACCAACCGCGATCCAGCTGCATCTAGAGTGAATGTGCCATCTTTTCAGTAATTCCACAATCATGCCTTATCCTCAAAGTGGGACAGACCTAGGGGTATTTCAGCTCGTATCTATTTGTGTCAATGTTGTAATTTGGGGGCTAGCAAGGAAAGCTCCACTGAAATTAACTTGCAGCTTGATGGTGCTCATTATCTTCAGCAGAAACCTTATTTTAACAAGATATAACCTACTATTAAAGGTATATCTTTAATAAAGCAAATAAGGTTATTTTTACTTACAGGAGCTTTAAAATTAAAATACAAAATGTACAATTCCAGTTCCAAAGCATTAGCTATTCACAGAAGTACTGCAATAAGGGTAAGTTAACTAAGCACCAAACCCCATGCACTTGGCAGTGTGAAACATCACATGGCAACATTTGGTTGCCAAGTGCAAACAACTTGGGAAAATTACCAGTGTTCAGCATAATTGGAAGCAGAGGATGATGTAGCACCTACTAGACAGAAACTGACACACCTGTATTTCCACAATTCACTCCAATTTTAGAAACTGCCAGTGCTTGTATTTACCACTCATTTGCAACTGCAGTTTAGATGCTCTGTAGGGAACGTCAACGCAACAAACATCTGTACTTTGACCTGAAATCATTGTGGCATACAACTGCAATAGATTGTAGGGTCCATTGTAAGTTTTCAATGGTGTACTTCAGGAAACTAAAAAAACCAAACAAAAAAAAACCCCACTTGTTAAATTCACCAACATTTTTAGCAGAAGGTACAAAACATTAACAATTTACAGACAGAAGCCACACTGATTGTGCAAAGCACATGACTAAAGTTATGCACAGCAAACAACTCTGTAAACATGGTAAGGGTGGGTTTTGAGGAAACATGGTGACAATATCATAAATACAGGCAACATTGGCATCTTCAACCAGCACAAATAGTAACATTCTGGGCCTGCCAAGATGGCCCATCACCACACAAGCAGAAGGCGGGGGAGGGGTTCCTCGACTCTGCCCACCCCAACGTTTAGTGTTGTGTATTTTATTTATATATATTTATATATAATTTGGTATCTTTAATATACACATGTACTTCGTTTGTAGAAAATGGGAACTTAAATGTGCTTTTATCTTCATCAAAAAACTATATGCATTTATAACTAATAACCCATTTTACTTGTCAATGTATTAGAATGATATGACTTAAGAAAATATAAAAATAATATTAATACTGTCAAAAACCTTTATACCAGAAAATATTGTGGTTTATAATTACTCTTTCAAAGATGAAATATGAAAATTTAAATAGGCTTTTATAAAGACTTCTCTCACCTCAATTAATATACAATGGGATAACTATACATATTTACCTTTTTTTTCAATTTAAGCACCAGTCATTCCCCCAGATCCACTTTGGTTGGAAGGTTATTTCCTAATTCCACAGGTTCATTTATTTAATGGCACATATTGACTGAAAGTAGTTACTTTAATCGTTAGCACTACAAAAAAATAGTGTTTTTAAGTTCTCTCTCTTCTGAGCCAGCTCATGTTTTTACACACTAAGTCTAGCATTGAAATAAGACTTTAAATATTTGCAAGTAGTCTTAACTATTCTTTCATACATTTAAGGAGCACTGTATGGATAATGCCTTTGGCCAAATGTAAAAGTATCAAATTGTGTATTCTAATGTAGTGTCAGCCACAGATGAACACAATCCACCCCAAACTACTTTATGGATCTTGAGCTCAGGTTACAGGTGGATTATGCCCATTAAGTTATGTCACAAGTTACCTGGGCTGGAGTGGTTCCAGCTATTTTTGCATGAAGCAAATAACTGGAAAAAGCTTTTTGCAGTTGTCTGTGCACCACTATTGTGACCAGGAGCTTGTGTGGCACGTTAACAACTGATGCATTAAAAAAGCTACAGCAGCCGATGTCACCGGAGTGAAGACTTTTTACCTTGTCAATTAGAAATCTAAAGAAAAGGAGTGTTGAGCAAAACTGCTAGATTTGCTTAAAAATGTACTCAAATTTGTTTTAGCAAGAAATGGTAACTATAAATCTATATGAAAAAATAGCTATAAAATACAGTGTTTTCTGTGGTAATAATGTAGCAGTTTGTTAGCAGGGTAGTCCATATACGCTTTGAAAGCATCACAGTTTAGGGCTGTTGTGTGTACATGTAACACCTTGGCACCATTTGCTCAGCACTCTACAGAGAGAGAGAGAATCACCACTAGAAGCTGTCACTCCACAGAACCACCAGAAGAGACAGCCACCACCGCACAACTGTAAAACAAAGCAAATGTTTGTCACATCAAAGACTTTGGTCCTCTGCGGCATTTCTTGCTAGAAAAAGCCGTCAGTACTGATGCATGTAAGATGGCCTGCGTTCGTGCTTGACTGGAAAAGGTTTAAAGCCCTTATTCATCGGTTTGTGCTGAGATGGCGGCGGCGGCGATTGCTGCTGCTGCTGCGCATAGGCAAAAGTGGAGGAAATCCCTGTTGATGGTGTGCAATCGTTGGCTGTGGACCAAACGGGTGACTGCAGGATCTGCATGGTGTCATTCCACTGGCTGGCAGGGCTACTCATCTGGTACAAAGACATGTTTTGACTGGGCAGTGTGTGCTGCCAAGGAGCTTTCGGAGGCCAGGTTTTGGTTTTGTTGTCCTGCAAGAGACCAATGACAACATCTGAGCTTCCTTCCTGCACATCCAGTGCCAGGAACCATTTCTGGCCCTGCTGCAAATGTTCCTTAGTATACCACTTTCTTCCAAACGAGTGAATGACAGTCACACAGAAACATTATCAGAGTGCAAGGTAACCTGTCCCACTGATGACTTGAACTCCTGGGGCATCTACAGAAATCTTGCCCACTGGAGCAGTTTAACTCTGTCCCATGTAAACCACTACGTCCTGGAGCAACAGCACACATAAGGGGCCCACTTATAGCCCCACCTCCAGTACCTTCCCTCGAGAGCACTAAAGCGACAGAATCCAGGAACAGGAAGAGCCAATATTCTTGTCTCTTACAGATGGGAGGGGAGCAATGAAGAAGAAACTCTCCCACAGTTCTTTCTCCGACGCTGGTTAGAACTTGGACTATTATTGCAGTTAGTGCCACCTCTTTGCCATTTCTGCAACACTCCAAAAGCACTCCCTTGGGAAGGAGGAAGAGCCACCCAGCCATGTTGCTTGGCAGCCTGTTGGAGTCAAAGCCCTCCTAGATCAATCACCACACAGAGCAATACCGTTCACCTGGGAAGTTCTCCCAGCAGCCCAATATATTATCTGGCTTTCAGAGAAGGGGAGGGAGAAATGCATCTCCAATGGATCTATACCCCCTAAGATCAAAGTAAAAGTGAAACATTTTGGAGTCTCCAATAAATTCCATGGAGCATATTCAGTTGTCTATAATAAAAAATGAAGCAGTGCAGTTTTGTTGGCCTGAAAATCTGGAAGTATAGTGAAATTGACTATTTAAAACTGGGCTGAATTCAGGGAGCATTTTTACTGAGGGATTCTTTAAAAAAGAAAAGCCACCTAGAATCCCATCAAAGAGGCCCCCTCCACCATTAGCCACCCAAAAAGAGGCACTATTGAGCCCGATACTTGCCTGACTATGATCATCCACTGTAGAAAGGAGTGGTGGGGAAGGAAGTGTGCTCGGGTCTTGCTCCCCACTGCTGTGTTTCCTGTGGAAATATTTATCCAATGAGAGAAAATGATCTGTTAGTGTCATGGCAGGGTCTTAAATGAGAAAATATTTTTCAGTTCTGATAACACTTTATGCTGTATTTCCGTGGTCAAACTAGAGGGCAACTGGAGTCTTATAACTGAAACTGAAGTACACTTGTACTAAGGGCCTTTGCATCTAACCCGCTACTTTCATGGCAATTAAAGGTTTATGGATTAAAGTAAACTTTCAGACACCTAGCCAACAAGGCAGATAGTCTGTGGCACAGCAGCAGCTAGGCCATACTGCAGCCAATAAAAACTGTGGACCAGTGCTTCTGATATTGCACCAAAGCAGGGTTTTGTACTTTTGCAATACTTAATATTTAATTGTCCAGTCCTGCTCAAATAGCTGTAGGATGGTCACAATCACTATTCATTAGGGACCACAGGGTTCTTGTCCCTAAGAATAGCTTGGTTTATGCCTTGGTGAAGCCTTCAAGCAGGACACCAAGGCTACAGACCTCCCTTGGCAGTAGCAGTTCTGCCTCAGCAGCATCTGGTTTTCAGAGGAATAATAATAATAATAATAATAATAATAATAATAATTTATTATTTATACCCCGCCCATCTGGCTGGGCTTCCCCGGCCACTCTGGGCGGCTTCCAAAAGAATATTAAAATACTATAATACATCAAACATTAAAAGCTTCCCGAAACAGGGCTGCCTTCAGATGTCTTCTAAAAGCCTGGTAGTTGTTGTTCTCTTTGACATCTGGTGGGAGGGTGTTCCACAGGGAAGGCGCCACTACCGAGAAGGCCCTCTGCCTGGTTCCCTGTAACTTGGCTTCTCGCAGTGAGGGAACCGCCAGAAGGCCCTCAGTGCTGGACCTCAGTGTCCGGGTAGAACGATGGGGGTGGAGACGCTCCTTCAGATATACTGGACCAAGGCCGTTTAGGGCTTTAAAGGTCAGCACCAACACTTTGAATTGTGCTCGGAAACGTACTGGGAGCCAATGTAGGTCTTTCAAGACCGGTGTTATGTGGTCTCTGCGGCCGCTCCCATAGTATTTATGAACATGGACTCAGCACCAGGCATGCTGTTGTCAAAACTGTGTGACATTGGCCTTGTTGAGAGAAGTCTGCCTTCTCTATTCAACATCAGCTTTCTTGTTCTTCAATCAGCAGGACTGATTAACTGGACTTTCAATTGTGGATCCTCTTTTCTGTCACTGGGCACTTTTATTAGCTTCATGGTTATTTCACAGCCACAAATCTGGTGCTTGCTGCTGGGTGTGCTCAAGAGGGAGCCACAGCCAATCCACATTTGCATTTTCAAACACCTGTTTGCCACATGTCTATTATTATTCCTAATAATAATAATAATAATAATAATAGAGCACGCCTGTCACTATAGCAGAGAATTAACACATGCAGTACGTCCATGTGGCTTTCCTAGCTTCCACCAATGCAGGCACATACTAATGAGAAGGAATAAATCCCACAAGACAAATTAAGGGAAAAGTAGTCAGAACCACAACCAGAAATGGAAGATTATAGCATATTCCCCAAACCCTCTGGGTGCTGGTTTCCTTTCTTGCTTCTTTCAAAGGGCTGAGACAACTGCAAGCTCAGGCAACATTAAAGGAGAAACAAAACATAGGTGGCAAGACAGCCAAGAGTAGTTCAGATTTCTTTCTTATTTCCAGACCTAACTTGGCCTTGTGACTCACACTTGGCACAGGAAAGTTTTGGAACAGCCTGACCCTTGCAAGTTAAGGTGGCAAAATCTTTATCCACTAACAAAACCAAAGATTCAGCCTACTGCTTTGACAAGAATTCAACTCACCTTCTTTGCTTGACTGCAGCAACAATATCTGGCCCTGAGAACATGGAAAACAGACTGTCTCCATTGGCAGAGGAAGTCTCATCACTGGAGCTGGCAGAGTCGCCCTGAGTACCTGACCAGCTGCTTGCCATCTCCCTGAGATGAGAGCAGGGAAGTAATCAAGAGAAAGAGACAAACAGTAGAGATGTGAGTGGTGGCCGGGAGGCTCACCACCCTAGTTGCTCTTAAACATTACTGAACCTTCACAGGGCAAGAAGAAAAATCTCCATGAACGCTAACACTAAAATAAGACTAAACTGACAAATTCAGCATCATCTTACAGCATTTATCCCATGGCTTGTTCAGGCACTGCATATGGAATCCTTATCCCCTCTAAAGACCCAGTATATATTCACTTAACAACCCTTTAAAACTGGCATTACTGCAGCAGCAGCCAAGGTGGTGTCCTGCAGATGTTGTGGACTCCAGCTCCCATCAGCTCCAGCCTGCACAGTTAATGGCTAGGAATGATGGGACCTGGAGTCCAACCACATCAGAAAGGTGCTACCTTACATTACGGCCCCAGAACCAAAGCAGAAAATATCCACAGGCTCCACAGAAATGCAATCCTGAACTTGGAAGAGCTGCAGTATAAATATTATAAACAGGCAACTCCCTGTTTGCACAGGGGTTCCGTTCTGGGTCACTGTGCGTATCAGAAGTCACACGTAAGCTCATTCTGCCCCCGCAACAACCCCTTCTGGGAATGAAAGCAGCACACGTGTTGGCAGCTGCATGTCAACTGGACTCACGCAAAGTGGTCATGCATACACACACTAAAATTTATACGCTACTTGATTGTAAAAAAATCCCCTCAAAGTGGTTTACAAAAAGTTAAAACAATAAAATTGAGAAAAAATCACAACTATACTTTAAAACATATAAAAGTTTGAATACTAAAACAGATTAAAATTGCCTCAACTTTCTAAGCATATGGGTAGGTATGTCTAAACAAGATATATAACTGATGCAGCAAAAATCCCTAATTTTACAGCTGCTTGCAAAGCTGGATGTACACAAGGGTGCCACAGGTAGCTCCTTACCCTTCTGTGAAATACTCTGGGAAAGGCCAGGTTCTGTGTGGGTCGTCAGGATGAGGCCAGTTGCTACGTGTGTTGCTGGGGCGACGGAAGTGCTGTGCTTGCCTTTTTTGTTGCATGGCCTGACTGACCCCAGCCACATAACGAGCAAACTCTGGATCAGAGCCAACTGGGAGTAAAAAAAAGAAACCTGACAGTCAACTATTGACACACTTGGCTATTTCCATTGCAATGATCCGCCATCTACCCCTCAGACAGACAAACAGAGAGAATATGAGAATGTGTACACATGCATACAAACACAATGGAAGCTAGTCAGTGGTTGGGAATGCCTGTTGAAGTGCTGAAAATTAAGAACTTCACCAGGGAGCGATTTATGTGGGGGCAGGCAAAATATGCTACATAAATCCCCAACATTGTAGCCACCAGCAGATTAGAGAGGTGGTGGTGACATCATGCGCAGTGGAAGCCCAAGAAATGCTTTGTCTGTGTGCATGGCTATCTATCTATCTATCTATCTATCTATCTATCTATTTAGAAGCTTAGATCCTATTTTAGAATGCACATCAATAGGAAGACAGATCAATACTACTGAAATCCATTCAGTACGCTTAAATCAAGAGGAGGATCAAACAAATGAAGAATACAAGTAAGGGAGACAACCCAAAGGAAGAGTCAGGCCCTACCTCTGCTACCCTGTCGGGTCAGTCATTGCCTCCAACAACATTGTCTCCAACAACATGGAGCCAAAAAGCTGCCCATGTATATTCACATGTAAGTCCATCATCTCCACATATCATACTGCTATGGAACTTGGCAGCCCATCAGACCTTTGGGGAAACTAATTTCAGAAAGCCATTGCTATTGTAATACTTAGCATTGCTATTGCTAAGAGAGCCTGATCTGCATCATAAAGATGGAACAGACTAAAGAATGTCTGAAGGAAGCAGATCCAAGAAATTAAGAGGCACAAAAATCCTGCTGTTAAGATGACTTTGTCCAAAGGAATGTTCCCCCTCTACCCAACATACTCTGAAAAACCTCAGCAAGGCAAATCTGTTCAATCCTACTAAGTTGAACAAAACTTGACTAGCAGGATGGCTAAATTGTGCTACCTTGGGAACAGGAATTGGTTGCCACAGACTTAAGTGAGCTAGAAAGCAGCAAGTGGCAGTGAGAGGAGGTGTAGGGAGCACACTTTCCCTTTTTACCCACCCCACAGAACACATCTGGGAGGTCAGGGTAAGATGCAGTAGGGAAATTCCTAGTGACTCGTCAACTGTTTGAAGATGTGGACATGGGTCCCACCCACTAAATTAAGATATTTGTGTATTTCATAAAATTTATACACCACTTGATTGTAGAAAACTTTCAAAAATAATAAAACAGTAAGATTCTCAGTAAGATGACATTTTCAAAAATTACTGCCCTCAAAAACTATCTTTCCTCACCCAATATTTGGCAGACTTTTTTAAAGGTAACCCCTGCTGTTGTTTTTGCTCTTGTAATCCTATAATCTTCCCCATCACCTGCAGAAGACACAAATGGTTTGTGTCTACAGATGGGCAACATTCAATACGTTCAAACACATTACTCAATGAACATGTGGTAGTAGAAGGTTGCATTTACTTAACATGCACACACCTGCAGGATCAAAAGGTAGAAATTCTCCCAACATCCCAAAGATTCCATCACTTTGGTCACGGTTTGGCCACGTGTTGTTTCTAGGTCCTTGCTGCTTCTGCCCCAGCATCTCCGACATCACATTGTCCATGTAACTGTTCACAAGACCCAAACTATACAGGTCAGAGCTCAGGTCAGGAAAGGCATGACTGCTCCACTGAGGCATATGAGACAACCCCGGACCAACAGTCTGGGCTGACGGCTGGCTGGAATTGGTTGGCCACTTGCCAGGTGGACGCTGCTGCTGCTGCTGCTGGGACCCAATGGGCTGCAGCAGGTGCTGATAGTAATGCATTTGCTGCTGCTGCTGCTGCTGCTGCTGCTGCTGCTGGGGCTTTTGTGGCTGCTGCTGTTGCTGTGGCAACCCTTGCTGGAGATGGTGCAAAGGTGTGTGAGACGAAGACTGGGACTGCTGTGGCACGGTGGCTGGCTTCTGCTCTGCTGCTGCCGAAGACGATGCAACCGAGTTTCTTCTTTTCACCAGCGGAGAGGTCTGCTGGGACTTGCCCATGTTGAAACCAGAGAGGAAATCTATGACCTCCTGCATTTCTTGGTCAGTTGGTAAATTCATGCCTTTGGCATCCTTGCTGTCATCTGCTTTGCTGCCATTACGCCTGTCAAGGAGGAACCCATTAACAACCTGATGGCTTCCACTCTGTGCCGTTGCCTGGGCCGACTCAACAGCCCTGGGGAAGTTACCAATGTTCAGAATACTTTGCAATCGGGCATCCATATTGTTGGGCATTTTTGCTTTATCCTCTGAGTTGTTAGCTATGAAAAGGTTTTTGGAAGGTGTACTAGGAATGGAGTAACTTCCACTGCTGCTTGAACTGGAACAGGATGTTTTCTTTGTAAATCGTGAAGTCAGCTTCGAGAAAGTCCTTTGCAATCCACCCGTTGATTTGCTTCCATTTCCAGATGGTAAGTCAATGTGACCCCCAAAGTCACAGATCTCACGTTGAAGCTGGATCTGAATACACGGCAAAGCCTGCTCTCTGTTTAACAAAAAGAACCCTCTATTTCAGGCAAAAAAAGCAACATTCACCAACTTCAAAACAACTTTACAGTAATTAGGACTAAGGCGTGCAATCTGGAGGTATTGAAAAGTATGATAATGTATAAAACAGGGGTGCCTAACTATTTTTGAGTTGGGAGTTGCACTGATCCATGGTTAACACTCCGAGGTCTGTTTATCAAAGTGGGAGTGAACAAAGGAGTCATTCTGTTTTTTGAAAAAGGTCACAAGACTTTTGATATTACAAAAACACAGCAGGGCTTACAAGAGTGGCCAGTAAGATGATTTTTAATATGACAAATTTTAGCAGGGGGACCCAACAAAACACCTTTTGACATCACAGTGGGGTACCTATGGAAGCAGTCATTAAACATTTTTTTTTTTTAAAAAAAGCAGCAACAACATCATCATCAATAACTTTTTTTAAAAAAAAATTGGCATAGAGGTAGTGGGGGTCTTTGAGTGCATCATTGGCTGGCATTCAAGTAAGTTGTACTCAGCTTAGACGTACTGAAAATAATGGACCTCATTAATTTCCATGGGTCTACTGTGAGTAAAACTTAGTTGAATACCATCCATTAAATCAAAGCAGGGGACCTATGGAAGTGGTAATGTAGGAAAAAATGTTTATTTTTTGAAATGGAAAAATTTGGGATCTTAGAAGATGCATCACGTGAGGTAAAGGAGGTGAGGCAACAGCAGGGAATACAGGCAGCTCCCCTATGCATAGGGGTGAGATTATTATGTTTTTGATTAGTTCCCAGCAAAGATTGTTGCTTGGAGAGGGGAGTTCCCTCAGTTTTCTATTGGGAGAGGGTGTTGCTTGCTTGGATTCAACATTATGAGAGGTGATGGGCGATCAAGAATGGGGTGGCAAAGAGCAGCAAATGTTTAGTCAAAGCTGGCTTTGTGGGCAAGATGATAGTGAAGGAATTTAACAGAAGCAGAAGGGAGCAAGACAAGCAGTGCTTGCCCCATTATCCTGCTCCACTGTTTTAGACAATTGTGTTTTTAAAAAAATGACAAAACGTTTGCTGTTGTTGCTGAAGTTTGTAAAGTATGGTGGTAAATAAAATGCTGTTTCCTCTTACATGGCCACCAGAATTTCCTGTTTTACTGATAACTGTCTGGATAAGGTATTCTTGGACATTTGGTATCACTGGGTATTGAGCTATGCCTCAGCCTAGGACTGAAGGCTAGAGAGGTGGTAATCTAAAAAGGTGTGTCTGGTGAGAATGTTGCTATATGGTGTTGGAGATCAGTGTATTCTGCTAGAGTACTAGCAATCAGGTTATCCTGAAAATAGCAGTATCTCCCAATTTTTCATTTTTTGTGTAACCTTCAGTATTTTATGTAAGTAATTAATGGTATTTAACATTGCCTCTTTCCAGTTTATGACTGGATGCTGCCTTTCAAGCAAGTTGTGTACCTAGTCTCACCAATTATTTTACAGGCCACATTTCTCAATTACATAAAGAGCTTGCATCAAAGTCCACTGAACTCACTACATGCTGATGGTCAAGTCTTAAGATCTGAGCTTAAACGCATCTAGGTATGGACTGACCTCATTTTCCTCCAGGTGCTTATAATTTATTTGGCAATCTGATGGAACCTATTTCCAGCCACTGATCTGCCTAAATTTTCCAATTCCCCTGATCTGCCTTCCTTCCTTTGAAAAAGAGAAGGTCGGGGAATTATCCTTTAAAAAGGAAAGAGAACTGCACTATGCTTACTCATCTTTGCCCTACTCAGTCTAATAACAAGGCAAATTTCTCAGGTTTGCTCTGGCCTTCTGCTCACATTATAGCTGCTTTTTGTGAGCACATACTAACAAGAAGCAGCATTTCACCATTACAAAGTTTTGCAGCAGCTTTGCTCTGTACCCACAAGTAAGGTGGGGTGCCATCCAGTTCCTGGTGCCATCTGAATCTCACGAGGCCTCCCCTTTGCAGCCTTATCAGTGGTGGCAATCTGCTTCTCTCTCTCTCTCTTTTTTTTTTTTTGCTCCCACAGTGCCCAACAATATGTCACGCTGGGGAATTGTGTGAATGTCAAAATGGCAGCTTCCTATCTACCCACTGGGGCTGGGGCTGCCCCAGCTCAGTCCTCTTGAGGCAGTGGGGCTTCAGCAGATGCCCAGCCATGCCCAGGTACTACTACCAGTACATTCCCACTAGTAAAGGTAAAGGGACCCCTGACCATTAGGTCCAACCGTGGCCGACTCTGGGGTTGCGGCGCTCATCTTGCTTTATTGGCTGAGGGAGCCGGCTTACAGCTTCCAGGTCATGTGGCCAGCATGACTAAGCCGCTTCTGGTGAACCAGAGCAGCGCACGGAAACGCTGTTTACCTTCCCGCCAGAGTGGTACCTATTTATCTACTTGCACTTTGACATGCTTTCGAACTGCTAGGTTAGCAGGAGTAGGGACCGAGCAACGGGAGCTCACCCCGTCACGGGGATTCGAACCGCTGACCTTCTGATCGGCAATTCCTAGGCTCTGTGGTTTAACCCACAGCGCCACCCGCGTCCCTTTTACATTCCCACTACTTAGCCTTCAACATTAAGACCTGGTAGCCTTGGCTGAAACTTGTTATTGCCATCTTCTCTTGTCACATGTGATCGAGCGTTCCTGAATGAGGCATCATCTGTGCATAACCCTTATGTGGTAAGAGTGCAGAACAAATCATACCTACCTTCCCTCCTTCCAACGATTTAAGTCAAACACTGCAGTATAAAGCACATCCACTAGTCCCAAAGTCTTCTCTGGATCCAGGCTTCTCTGCAGCAGAGACATTGTTGCAGGATCTTCTTTCAGGCACCTAAGGAAACAATTTTTAATAACAAATCTCCTGTCAACAACACTCACTTTCATTCCAAAAATTAATGTCCCTATTTATTTGTTTATTTAAAGCTTGCCCGAGTTTTCCAAAGTAGTAAGTCATAATTACCATGTTGATGGGACTTGAACCACAATTCTGGAACCTTCTAAACTGATTTGTGGTGCATATGCTTCTTTGTTTTCAATCTGTGCTGTATCCACAACGACCTATTCAAGAAGAAAAAAGCAGTAAGCGATAGAGTAAGATGTCACTCCCTAAAACTAGCGAAAGCACCACCCCACTGCTACAGGGGCTGGACATCAGTCTACTGCATTCAACCACTAGGCAAGCAAGAGGGGCACGTGTAGGGAATTTTAATTGGGGTGCGTGGGTGTAGAAGAATCGTTTCACATTTACTCTGATAAATCCTACAGTGTAACATCTGAAAAGGCCACTGTTAACTAAAAAGAGGAAGGCTTATCTAAAGATTTTTCAGCTGCACATGATCTGGGCCTTTCCTTTTGTCCTCCTTTTGGGAGGCTGCAACTACTTGATATCTAGTAAACCATTTTATAGTTCTACCCTCTCAATTTACTATCTATGATTATAAAACAAGTTTTCACAATAAGATTATCCTGCAGTCTATCTGGACAGTTAAGGTGCTGCAAAATTTGGAATGTTATAAAAAGGAACAGCTTCCTTGCTATCAGCATAGGACAGGGAGACTGAGGTCTCATAAAGAACAATAGAGAAATGCCCAGTTCAGAAGTCCTATTCTATGATCTAGTGGAAACACTGCCTGCACAATGCCCAGGCTCTCCTGGGCTCTCCTCCATACCCAATGAAGCCTTGAGATCTTAAAGTTCAATTGTGGGAGTGTATGTATCAGTGGTATTTATTTTCCATATTTTCAGGTAGTTATATACCACTCAATATTCAGGATTTCTAAGTGGCGTTGTAGTATATGCCAACAGCATTTCAACGGATGAGGAAGCACGTTACCAACTCCTTGTGTTTCATTTATCTAAACAAGCTAATCTCACAGTACAGCCATTTCTCACGCCCAGCCTGGGAAATGACTCCCGACTTCCATTGTTCTGGCTTTACAGATGTTTCCTCCATAACACCCACCTAGAGGACAATCTAAACAACGGAAGATAATGTCTCATCGGTACACCAAATTAGAAGCAATGCAAGTAGAACATAAACATGCAGATATCACTGCTTCTATCCAGCAAAAAGAGAGGAGTCTGTGGCAGTTTCTGTCCATCTAATTGAAGTCACTGCTCTAGTCACATTATCACATGACTTGGGCCAACATCACATATCAAAAATGTGAATGAGAAGACTGATGGCAAGAGCAGATTTCTTAAGAGTCTGCACAGGCAGTGTTTTCAAAATGGGAAATTCCAGTTTAAAAGAAATCATAATTGTTGCACAGTACAAGACCACAAAATAGAAGCAGCAGCACTATTTGGGGGGCCAATTCCTCGACTTCCCATCAACATGGATTTCTTCTCAGAAAGACAGCAAAAGAACACACTGCAATGATTTCTGCAGGTGAAGCAGCTAACTTTCTTGGCTTGGTACCCCTGGAGGCAAACCACCCCTTACCCCCGCTACTACAACTAAGGCCCTATTGCACTTATTCCTTCTTTTCAACCAAGCACTGGTACTTCTCATTTTCTTCTACACAAAGGCAACAATTTCAAATCTCAAACACTTGTTTTATTGCTTATGTTATACCTTCCTCCAAGGAGCTCTGAGTGGCATTTCCCCCCTGAATCTAAACCTAACACTCCAGTTGCTACAACAACTCAGCTCTTGGTTACAGTGACCAGAGTTACTTTGAGACTGAGCAGACAAAGAAAAACTACCCAAACCTTGCAATGCCTCTTATTCACTGGAGTCAAGGATCTTGTGCAATAAGGTAGATGGAGATAGCGATTCGTGTGATTCCACACAGGCAAATATGCAAACAATGAACTTCAGGTTGGGAATATTTTACTCTGTGGAATATAAGTTCCCCAAAACAAAAGGGATAACGGAGAAGCTGGTCAATTAATAGCATCATCTTATATACAAATATTGAGTGTGGATCTGTATGGAGCCAAATCTGCACCATCCATGCACAAGAGGAAGGAATCAGCAGGCTGGGGCAAACCCCAAGGTTTGTAGAGGTACAAAAGCCTATTGGGGATGGGGATGAAAAACGCCCAACATGAGTTGGTTGTGCTCAGTGGCCATGGGATACTGACTGTTAGGAGGAAGAAAACAGATGGGGAAGGAGGAGGTATGGAATGGGGTATCCTGGAAAAGGACACAGGTGACTGACTGGCATACAAAACAAAGCACTCTACACTGCAACCATCAGCTACAGGTTCCAACATACAGATGATGACCCATACATTTTTCAGAACTAAATTATATTTGCCGCATGTCAGCTGTCCCCTTTTTACTCTTCTCACATAGCTGTTCAGCCTGACTCCCTTGCCTCAGAAGACCTTCTGCCTGGAAACTGCTAGCAAAGGAAGATGGTTTCCATCCATGAGCTGAGTATGCTCCAACTGCTCAGTACCATTACCTGGCTCTAGAGGTCCTCAATTGGAGCTGCCACCTTGCAACTACCTGCTGCCAGCAAAGGAGACATGCCCCCTCACCATAATGGGCTGAGTGAGCTCCAGGTGCTTGACCTGACTGCCTTGCCTCAGAGCACCAAAGCAGACTCACTACCTGGCAGCACCAGAGAAGACCAAGAATGAGGGCAGGAAAGGCTACCTGAACAATCTTGGCACCAAATCGATAAACACACTATTTTATTTCTTAAATTATGCTTGAAGGAGATTATATTGGGCAAATATTTTGGAAGCTGCCCTGAGATATCTTTGGAGCTGTAAAGAACGATTTAAGTATTCTAAAATCAACACTTGTGCACTCATGGCTACTTACCAGCCCAGCTTGGCCAAACAACAACTGTACAGCCGTCTTACATGCGCCCCGCCATGTAGAAGGGCAAACTTGGTTCAGCACTTCAGTCACAGGAGAGTCATCCCTTGGGGTCACTCCATTATGGCAGCCAGCTTCTTTAATTAGTTGTATCATCGTGTGCTGCAAAAACAAGAACACAAAACAAGATTGCTATGCAGGAAGCAAGCAAGTCATGATACCCTTTCCCCACTCCCCCACCATGCATGCAGGCACTTTGGTAATTAAGCCATATATAAACACCTTACATAAATACTGACGACTGCAGTTATTACTTAAATCAATGTTCAAATTATGATGGTTCTAGCCCAACACTTCCCCCCGTGCCTGCTGTTTCCAGTGGTCACCAGCACCCTCATTCCAATGGTGATATCTGTGTAGATTCCCTGAATTCAGGAGGAAACACACAGCAACCAGGGCTGGGTTCCAATGGCTTATTAGAAGTAGCATGAGATTATGTGGAATGATAATAAAGGGAAGGCTGCTGAAGATCTATTATTTCAAAGAGTGCTGTGGCACTCTAAAACATTTTTTTTAAATTATAGAATAGGTTTTCATGGATTATTGTCCACTTCACTGGATGCATGGATTCTCTAAGATGCATGGTACGTGCCACATATTGGAGAATGGAGGCTTAGATGTTCACAGTGTTAAAATATGTATGTGTATTTTTAAAACTTCATATTAGAACCAAATAAAGTCTTAACCCAACTACCAGCTTGCTCAAGAATTTCAGATTTGAAGGCAACACACTCTGGCCACTGCCATTGGCCTAGGCCCTTGGGAGGTTGCTTCTCCGCAACTCCCAGAAAGGACATCATTATAAGGAGGAGTGTAGCCTGGTCTCATCCAGTGCGGAGAAAAAGTTTGTGTCTTCCTCCCTGCCAGACAGAATATTTGGGTCCCGCTGCCAATTGTCCTGGGACTGCAGAAGCAAATGCAAAGGACACTCTGGTCCCAACCATCGGCCAAAGGAACAAGAGTCACCAACTGCTATTCAAGAGAAGAAGAACAAGGGAAGGTCATCCTGGCCCCAACTGGATTATAAATAGCTCACCCACTTCCTTCTGGCCTTAAAAGAACTGGCCTCCCTCCTACTCTATCTCTCCACTTCCCTTCCATTGAGTGTGCCTTTGTAAGCCCAATAAGACATCCCAGCTGTTTTTAAAACCAATATAAGTCATTTTGGAAGACAACTGTCTGAAAAGAGGGATAAAATGATAGTAAAAAAAAAATATTAAAAAAAATATCCAGACGTGATGCAAAAGATACAAAATTAGGACAATCCTATTTGAAGCTAACTTTTTATGAAACAATTCACCATGCTGAAGGTTCAAAACATATCTTTGCAGAAAACCTCTTGCACCAAATAGTGGCCCAAATCCTCTATCATGAATCATAGTTCCCTTTTTTCAAGCCACTGAGCTGTGGCCGATTTCTTTCCATACTAAACCAGGCCAATCCATTCCATACACTGCAAAAAATGTGGCTGCCAAAGAACTAGATGCTCTGGAACAGGTAACTCCAGTGCAGCAAGACTGTGCCAACATCATCATCATAGTTACAGCAGCTTAGAACTTTGCAGGGAGAGACTTTGCTCTTGGTTGTGGCCATATGTGAGGATCTGTCTTCTGTCTCTCTTCACCTCTTCAGACAGAAGTGAGGAGGCACTTCATGTCAAGCAGAGTCAACATGTATACAGTCATACCTCATGTTATGTCCGCTTCAGGTTACGTTCTTTCAGGTTACATCCAGCAGCGACCCGGAAGTACCGGAAAGGGCTACTTCTGGGTTTCGCCGCTCATGCATGTGCAGAAGTGCAAAATGACATCCCACGCATGCACAGAAGCACTGCGGGTTGCACTCTTTTCATGTTGCGAACGGGCCTCCGGAATGGATCCCGTTCGCAACCAGAGGTACCACTGTACACAAAACAAGTCAGCACGTGGAGTGGAAGGAGGAGCATTTAAGAAAACCGCCTCTAACTTTTGGAGAATGCTACCAGTAAGCTTTAAGGAAACAAGACACAAAGCAGAAAAGATGCATCACCGGGCTTGTTAGTCCCTTCAACCAGAAGGGCTACAATTGGCCGGATGTGACCATTAGCTTTGGAACACAGTTTCGCTTGCAATCCAGTATCTTTTAAATACCAAAACACTAAATATTTCCTGAATAAACTTGCTAAAGTGGGACAAGGTTTAAAATGCTTGCTTTGCAGGTAATCTATCCACACGGAGCGTGCTACCAACAAAGAACATATTATTGGGTTTGATACAGATTTGGGGTACTTACCGTTTTGAGCTTCAGGTTATCTGCCGCCGACTCATTAAAGGATATTCCTTTTAGGAAGTGGGCACCTATCTGAACAGGAACTGTGGGGAGCTCACACTGAATGGGTTGAGAAGGGGTCTGTCTCCGGCCAGTCTGCTGGGCTTCAGCATCACTGCAACACCCCTTTAGAGACAGAACACCAAAGCAATGTGTCAGGGAGAAATCCATATGCAAGCAATTCAGCTTTATCTACAGTAAACATATTTGCCAGGAAAAGATGGGGGGGGGGTTTTACCTGCAAACTGGCTTCAATAGATTTTGGGTTCAAGTGGAAGCCAGCCTTCATCGCATATTCACAGTGACCCAAACTTTCCAATGCAGCTTTATACGCCTGGTATTAAATAGATATATGTTTAATGCATCACATACCTGAATTTAAAACCACCACCACCCAATATCATCACAAAACCTTGCTAACCTAAAAGAGAAAATAACATATTCCCCATGGTCAATCACACCCTCCCTTAACTGAGGGGGCAGCTAAAGCTTCCAGAATGTCAGCAGTCTCTGCTGTTGGCACGGAAGCTCTCATTAAAAAGGACTTGCTCAGCAGCAACCCTGCTTAAGTCCTCAGACTGCCCTACATATTTTATTCCAAACCCAAATGGTGATATAAAGATATAACTAACCTGCAAAGCGCTGTCTATTTTCAAGTTCAATTCTTTTAGCTGGTGCTCAGGAATTGCCACACTCTGGGAGCAGAAGAGTTGCTGGACCTCGATTCCAGCCAAACAGCCATCACAACCCCTTTCTCGTAGCCGTGATGTGGCCTTCAAAGAGAACACAAAAAATGGATAAGACTAAATAGCTGTGGCTCAAAAGTGGCAAAATAAACTTTTGAGCCCCACAGTTACTATGGTGAAAGCAAACAGGAAGGGAAGTGGATTATTTAATCTAGCTTCAGAATTTAGTTAAAGTTCTCAATTTAATCATCAGATTTATATGACTGATTTTTTTATTGCAGGGGGAGACAGAGCAGGGGGACTGCAATCTTTTAAACAAACTCATTAACAAACCCTCATTATGGGAGCCAGCACTACTGTTGAGGTGGGAGGGAGAACTGTCTGTGTGTGTGTGTGTGTGTGTGTGTGTGTGGATTACTTTAATTAAATTAACAAATAATTACAAATACTAACACATTAAAAATACATATAAATGTTAAGATGAGTGTAAGCTGGGAATTATGCATGAAGGTAAGAGAATGTACAAAATTCAACCAATATATGCACATTCCCTAATGCAGCTAGAAATACCACTTGACTTTACGGAGTACACTATACTCCCAACCTCATGGTGGCTTGCTGGAACCTATAGCTTATCATTCTGTGGCCAAAGGCCTAATTTTCTGTAGAATTCTTCAGTCTTTTAGTAGTTTTAGAAACCAAAAGATTACCAACGCACAAGATGCAAGTTACCACCACTATGAAAAGTAAAACCACTTTGCCAGAACTAAATGTATGTTACCACTTTCAAGCCCTTGAGGTTTTTTTAAAGCTGCTTTGATGTTTTTTCTTACAATCAAGCAGTATACATTTTTTATGAAATATAAATAAATAGGCTACGCTTGGGAGCTACCTAGCAGCACTTGGGTGGAGACAGAACACTGAATTTTGGACTGTTGACCAGATCCAGCAACACAACAATTACATCTTTACCTCAGCCGCTCCTCTCCATGACCGCACAGCTTCTTCTAGCTCAATTGTGGGACTTGCACTGGATGTCTCCGCCATATTAGAATTCTTTCTTTCCTGAGCTACAGCTTCCGTAAAACATGAATGAGCCACTGGTTGGACCTTCTGCAATGCTTGGGATAAAAACTGAAAATGAACCTGCATCACTGTCAAGAAACATCGTCCAAGTACCTATGAAAATGAAAAAAACAAAAACAAAAGGATATTCTTCCATTCAGTTATTTGTAAGTGTATTCTGGTGTTTGAACTAAATTTTCCTATGTGAAAATATCTGATTGACATTCATACAAATACATTATTACCCTACATCTAATCTAAAAATTAATAAAAGCACAAAATGAAGCACTGGTTACTTACACTGAAGGCTCCATCCTGTGTGGCATATTGAGGGATCTAACTGAGTTGCCACTCCTTCCACACAATGACCTAAGTTAGTCATGTCCATTAATTTCAATGGGTCTACTCTGAGTAGAACTTAGTTGGCTACAACCCAGTATTTTGAGGATTCTGTGGTTAAATGCACTAGACACAATAACTGCAGTAAAGTACATTTGCTTGCCTCATTTTTGGAGTATGTAGCATGCACAAGCAGCCGTTCAGTCAGGCTATAAGAGAGGGAGACATGGGCCTCCACGGCCCCTTCCATCTAAAAGACCAGTAAATTACAGTTCTCTGTAACTAAGAGCTTGTTTCCCCACCCCTACCAATTCCTTTTCCTTTTGTGCCTTTTAGATTGTATAACCAAGGACAGAGACTGTATTATCACTGATAACTGTAACTTGCTCTGCAGCCTGTTTCAGCTGAAGAGGGGGATAAAAATGCTTTAAATAAATTTAAATAAGTATTTCAATAAGGCAAATAGATATACGACTTCTTTTTAGAATACGTTTCCCCTTTTAATAAATTCATTTACTGGCTGAGTTTGTCAAAATGCTAACAGCTAATTCTACTTAAGCAGAACTGCTGGTGGTAGTGGCTCCCCCTCCCTGCCCATTCCATCTAGTCTCCCTTCAACATTCCTTTATGATTCGATCATTTCCCCTCTTTGTACAAAGTTTAAACTGAACAGTTTAGGTATGCCGACTGGCCTCTCCAGTGCAGTTTCCTTATTTTAAGAAGTATTCAGCTAGCATACACACACACATACATAAAAAAAATAAATTGCAATGGTTAAGCCTGTCAATACGATTCTTATGGAAAGAATGACGCTCTGATTCTGGGTTCTTACAGAATTCAGTTTATTTAGGCCAAGGGCTACTTGTCTCAAATTATTAGTAAAGCTTATTTTAAAAGTTGAAACTGATGAGACTCCAGAGCACACTCCAACAGAAAAGCTCCTTTCTTCTGGGGGCCACTGGTTAAGGCAAACAGCAAGAACACATTTTGCAGTACTGCAGACTATTTTGCAAGATTGCAGAAAGTACAACTCTAAAAAGTGATACAAATACAAATCTACTGTGTTGGTTCCCTTTCTAAAACATTATAATTAAAGGGGGGGTGGCAGCGGTGGTGTAGACTGGGATGGCTTAAGAGCCAGCCTCTGTGCTCACCATCCACACCTAACACAGGTGAAGGGAGTTGTTCTCACATTTGCACAAAAGCCTGGATAACATAATCAACAAATGGAAGAAATTGCTGCTGCTTCTCACCTCCACCAAACTGCAGCACAAGCAAGAACTCAGGGGCAGGGATGTAGGGCTAGGAGTCTCCCCTGTCTAAAATGTTGGGAAGCTGCTCTCAGTAGTAGAATACTGAGCTAAATGCAATGGTCTGACTCAGTACCAGGCAGATTTCTGTGTTCCTGTGCTGCTGAACAAAGCAGATTTGTGGACACCAGCTAAAGTGTCCATTGAGTGTTTTATAATATAAGAATATAGAACTAGGATGAAATTCTCTCTGCTTCTTTTCCATCTCAGGGCCAATTTTATTATCTGTTACACAATCTGAATTGTGACACATGTGTGTTCACATACATTTTTGGCTCCATATGTAAGCAATGGATGTATCCTGGGGCCTGGATTCCTGCAGCATACTGGTATAGTGCTTGCCTCAAACTTTGTGCTGTGCATTCTGGGAACAGGCAGTACTGATACTGTGTACCTGAAAATTTTATAACATGTCATGCAGCCCCAATTTAAAAAGACAACCCTGTAAGGGCTTTTGAATGTCATCATCTTGCTTACAACATGCTACCAAGAGAAAATAATAGGGAAGTAGGTGAACACTCTTGGGGGCAGCTTTAGACATCATGCAGGGTCAGAAGTATGAATCACTTGCACTCGTGACTGTCATTCAAAGCTGCAAGATGCACGTCTCCCCGTATTTTGCAACACTACTTTCCCCCTCCAGGGGGTGGAGACAGACAGGGACGGAAAGAAAAACATACACATCTCCAGGCTTTGGACAAGTCATGGAAATGTTGTGATACAAGCGAGTACAAATGAGATACTTCTGCCTCATGCCACATTGAAATACACCCTAAGAAACAACAGAGGCGTACCAGGACAAAAACTGCTTTTAACAGTGTTTATCACTTCTCTCTAGTTGAGAAATGAGTGTGCCAATGTGGTGACTGGAGTGCTGAAGACCCATATTCAAAACCCCACTCAGACATGAAGCTGTTAGTGAACTCTACAGTGTTCTCTAACAGCAAAAGCCCACCATCAGGTTGAAAAACTTGTATGTATATTTAGTTGAGCCAAAAGAATGTCCTGCATCTGACTACTTATGCATGTCCTGTACAGATGGCAAAGTAGCACATGTGACACAAGCAACTGCAGCTATGCAACCAAAATAAAGTGACACCTGTCTTTTTTACTTACTGCAGAAATACTTAAAGGCAAGACGATGTGACAGGAACACACACACAAAACCCCTCAAGATGTAGCTAACAATGGCAATCCTACTGGATAATTCAGCTAAGATCACTTTCTTAAAAACACAAAATCCTTTTTCAAAACACATCAGCCAGAGCACAAGTCGGCTGATATGGGAGAAAGTGCTCTGAGATATCTAGGTTCAAACTGTTTGGGGCTTTAAAACGAAACACTAGCGCCCTAAATTTGGCTCAGAGGTGGACATGTAGCAAGTGATCCCCTTCTAAAACTTTGCAGATATGATTGGAATGATCTTCCCCAATTAAATTCCTAGCAGCTGTATTCTGAGCTGACTGTTGCTTCTAGGCAGTTTTCAAAGGCTGCCTCCAAAGGCATCCTGGCACCCTACTCTTCTAGAGGATTATGACTCTATCAATAACAGGTTGAATCCACACACACCCCGCCCTGAACAAAAAAAACCCACATACCCAAAACATCTCTATCTTGTTGGGACTGAGCTGCAGCTTATTAACACTCAATTGCAAATTCTAGACAACAGCTCAGCACTTCCACTACCTCACCTGACTAGGAGAAACACAGCATACTGAAAGCACTCTATTCCAAATTCCCAGATGGCTTTCCCCAATGGCTTCATATAGATATCAAACAGCGTAGGAGACAAGATGGAATCCTGCAGGACAAAGCCAGCCATGCTAACTAGAAACTTCCCAAGGGCATTCAGGAATACATTGGATTGCGTAAGCCTCCAAAAGTGTGTCATGTTCCTGAATCTCCATCCTGAATCTCCATGTTCCTGAATCTCCATGCTTGTATTTTTAAACTCATTGCTCCTTTGAATGCCTAAGCTATCCATTAAGTGAATGGACTCTGCAGTACCATAGTTACATTTAGCTATACTCACCATGGTGCTTCAAAGATTAGATATTGGTTAAATGGGTTTTCACACCACTCTTCAATAAAGGCTTTCCAATCAGAACACAATAATCAATAGTGGTTTTTGAACGGTACCTGTGCTTATTTTATATACATTTAAGCTGCAATGTAATTCTCAAATATTCCCTCCGAACTTACTGTTTACATTTTTCTTTACACCTATGTGTGTGTATACCTTGCCAACAAAAGATCACACTCCAGTCATCTGATGAAGTGGACTCTAGTCCACAGTTGTGTTTAAGATTCCACAAAACACTGTACATTTAAACGGCTGCTTCTCTTGTGTATATGAGGATTTTTTTCTCAGATTATTAGATAAGATATTGCAATATGCCATATCAATTCAATTTTTTGTTTTAAAAATATACAGCTGTCACTGTCATTTTAAGACACCAGGCAGACAATAAGTCAGGTGCAGATGTATAATTAATACTTTTTCTATCTTCACTAAAACAGCACAAAAATGGAATGGGCTCCTCCGGTTGGACATCTATAATACAGTTGAACCTCTGTTTACCTAACCCTCTGGTTACATAAACTTCGGGATCCACGCATGGCAAACCTGGAAGTATTTTACCAGGTTTCGCCACGCGTGCATGTGCAGAAGCAGTCCTCGGGTTGCAGAAACCTTGGGATCCGACCGGACTTCCGGAACGAATCCTATCCGCAACCAGAGGTACCACTGTACTTGTCCACTGGCTGTGCTCACTGAAGCTGACAGGAAGTGGAGTCCAACAGCATCTGGGAGGACCACATGTTCCCTATCCCTGGCTTAAACCTTCTCTGCAGGTCTTGCAGATATCAGGCAATTTAAGGAGATGGATAGAAAATCTGTGATATCAGTGTTAACTCACCTCAATGTCCTGTAGGCTGAATTCCTTTTGATCTTTAAAGTTCGCTGCTCCAGCACTCAGTTCCATGAGCATTTTTGCTATTTCTGGTTTTATTGCTGCTGTGAGTCGACTTGCTGCTTCCATGACATGTTCCTGCACGTCTTTCAGTTGCATAGCTGCCTTAGAATAGTGCGAGTTCCGAAATACACTGCTGAAAAGATCTGTAAGGAACGCACTTGCACGGCAAAATACATTGAGTGCATCCAGATATTTGGAGATTCCCTGCTGGATGTCTGCAATTGGAGTCGCATGGTTGCAGCCGCCAGCAGCAGCCGGAGAAATCAGAGGGGATGTTGTGGCTGGAGATGCTAAAGGTGCACTCAGAGTCTTGCCTAGTTCTGGCACTTGATACTGCTGGTGTTGCTGCACCTTTTGCTTGGACCCGCCAAGCAAAAAGCGCCGCTTGTAGTCCATTTTACTTTCTTGTGCACTGCAGCAATACATAAGGAAGTACTTGACCAAAGGTTCCTTGAATTAACAATCCCTCCTCTTGAATTGCTCCCTTAGAAATAGATCTATGTGTAGCAGTAGTAGAGTATGCACATAATTTTCATAGGAGGCATTTCAAAAACAAAAAAGATAGGTAATTTGTGTCAGCAGTGAGAAAGGCAGCAGGTTTACTGTCTTTGTATTATTCAGTGTTCAAATGCAGCACTGCTGCTATTACAAACTATAATTGTAAAAGCTAGCTATGATAGTTTTTTAAAAATACTTTATTTTCCACTTAGCATTCTATTGTGTGCACTCAAGATACAATTTCAAAGCAGGGGGCAAAACAAAACAAAAAAACCAAAACAATCTGTTGCAGCTTTCCTGCCAACACATATTTGACACCTGACGTTAACATTAATTTACACTGAAGGAACTTAATTTTTTCCAAAGTAATATAATAGTTAGAAACTGCTTCAAATAGTATTAGGAGGGGATGAGCAAAATCACTGTTCAACAGTGATTGTTAACAGAGACGTCTTTCTTTGAAGAACCACTGAGCCTTCACATCAGCAGATCTAACAGCTTCTTCGTTTGACAGAGCCCGTCAGTCAAATCCGTTTGAGTTTCCCATCTTAATACTGAAAAAAAATATGGAAATTTGTTTCCTGGAGACTTTGCAAGTACACATTATTCAGAAAAACTGTTTTGTTTTTATTGCAAGTCTTTCCACCTTTCCTTCCGTGTGCTGAGGTAGTTTCCTTTTAACATTAATGAGTAGTGCTTTCAGGGAGCTTCTCTCGATTGTAGAGCCCAAAGGATGCAGAAATGTATTTAAGGCCTCTAGGTCATTCCTAAGCAGGGGAAAAAACAGGAAAAGATTATAGGTAAGTGAGCTGTTTTATTTAAGTGCTAAGTCCCAACTCTCTGGGAATAATTCTTTGGAAGTAAACTATAAGGAACACATCTGAACATGTTTATTTTCTCTGTGCTTTCATGCAGTCCCTTTCACTTACAAACCAATCCATAGCTTATTTATTAAACCATTCATCTACTTGTAATATATTTAGTATATTTAAATGGGATGCTATAATAATGGATGTTAAAACAAAATACTGTACAGTTGTCTATTGTACTGTTAAGTACACAACCACTGCATAGTTTCAGTCCTTCTTGGATGGTCGCTCCCAGAGGGTAATACTTGGGGAGTGCTTTTCAACTCTGTGAAGCCTTCAGTGTGGAGTTTCTCAGGGCTCAATTTTATCCCCGATGCTATTTAACATTTACATGAAAATGCTGAGTGAGGTCATCCAGACCCCAGTGGGCTGTCAGCAATATGTTGATGACACACAACTCTATTACTCCTTACATCTGCGGGTAAAGCAGCGGATGTGCTGAACTGATGTCTTGCCTTGGTAAGGGACTGGATGAGAGCCAACAATTGAAGCTTAACCCAGATAAGATTGAAGTACTGTTGGTGGGTGGTTCCTCAGACCAGATGGCAGGGAGGTTGCCTGCTCTAGATGGGGTTACATTCCCTCTGAAGGAGCAGGTATATAGCTTGGGGGTACTCCTGGATCCTCTGCTGTCTCTTGAGGAACAGGTGGCCTCAGTGGTTCAGAGAGCCTTCCATCAGCTTCGGCTGGTGGCCCAGCTGCATCCCTATCTGGACCTGGATAGCCTAACTTCTGTTATCTATGCTCTGGTAACCTCTAGGTTGGATTACTGCAACACATTATAAGTAGGGCTGCCTCTGAAGATGGTTCAAAAGTTTCAGCTAGTTCACAGTGCAGCAGCCAGGTTGCTCACAGTGACAAGACAATCTGAGCATATTGCACCGACTGCATTGGCTGCCAATTAGTTTCTGGGCCCGATTGAAAGTGCTGGTTTTGACCTATAAATCCTTAAATGGTTCAGGACCGCAATACCTTAAGTACCGTCTCTCCCCATAGAAACCGGTCCCAGACACGGCGTTCATCATTGGAGGCCCTTCTTTGTGCGCCTCCTCCATTTGAGGTCTGGAGGGGGGCAACACGAGAACAGGCCTTTTTTGCAGTGGCTTCCCTTTGTGGAATGTTCTCCCCAGGGAGGTTCGCCTGGCACCTTCATTATATATTTTTAGGTGCCCAGTAAAAACAACCCTCTTCAAAAAGGCCTTTGGCTTATTAATATTCTACAGCATTTAAAATGTGTCTATGGGAGGGAAGTATTGTGCTGCTGTTTTGTTTTATTTATTTTCATGTTTTTATCCTGTATTTTATTCTGTGAACCGCCCTGGGATCTTATAAAAAAGGGTGGTATATCAAACAAACAAACAAACAAACAAACAAAACTAACTAAATGAGTAGAATTAGATTAAGGATACAAGGAAGGGTGGAGGTGCTGGTGCAGGCCAATATTTGGCCACTCTGTGATCAGCAGAATGCTTTATTTATTTACTGAATTTATATCTTGCCCTTCCTCCCAAAGGAGCCCAAGTTGACAAACAGATCCACAATTTAAAAACAAAAACAAAGCAAATACTGGTGGTTTTTTGTTGTTTTTTAAAATTACCCCTGCAGTTCAATTAAAGAAAGAGGAGGTGAAAGAAGGCTAAATTACTTCCAATAATGCAAAATATGTATTTCTCCCTCTTCAGCTGGGGTTTTGGTTTTAAAGAAGGGAACTCCAATAATGAATTTTATAGACAGTTAAATATGTGTGATAAAAAGCTGCTTCTTTTGCTGGCTTGCCATGCTCACAACAAATAATCAAAGGCTTCTCTTTTATGAAGATTTTTCAACAGCACTACTGACATTAGTCTTTCGAAACCAGTTTAACGGAAAGGTATGAACTCTTCCCTTTCCCATCTATAATATACTCCACCCCAGCTTGAATTTAATTTAATGAATTTATACTCAGCTTTTTGAGAAAATCCTCAATAAAGTGGCTTACAATATTTTAAAATACAAATCCATTTCATGCAACCTTTTAACACAGTCAGTACAGTAGATGCTTGGGTTGCGAATGTGATCCATGCAGGATGCACGTTCACAACCCGCAGCGGGGCGTCTGCGCAGGTTGCAATTCGGTGCTTCTGCGCATGTGCGACCGCCAAAACCCAGAAGTAACCTGTTCTGGTACTTCCGGGTTTTGGCAGGTCCGTAACCTGAAAAAACGCAACCTGAAGCGTCTGTAACCCGAGGTATGACTGTAATAAATATTAAAATTATCAAAATCAGGATAAAATAAATTAGGCATACCCACCCTAATCAAAAGCTTTTGAAAAAATATAGGCTTTTAAAGCCTTCTTAAATACTGAGAGAAATGGTGCCTTCAGGCTCTTTGTATTTGTTCTCCATAACTTCAGAACCACCATCAGAAGGTCCAATCAACCCTCATCAGTCTAATTGCCTTTACTGGCAGGCACTAAAGCAAGGAAGCCCTTCTAGATCTTAAGGTATGGGTCAAACAATACAAGATGATGATGTCTCTCTGCAATACATACAGTGGAATATACACATAATTTGGAAACAAATTATTTAAGTAGTGTGCTTCCCAAAGTAATCACTATAAGAGAACCCCTATTGCAAACTGACAACATTTTGGAATAGCATCGCTTCATAACATCTTTCAACAAATAGCATGTTACTAAGCATCTCATTACATCACATCATCACAGCTGATCAGTCTAGGGGTTTCTACTATTGTTGATGCATTATCTTAAAAATGAACCAGTTATTTTTATTTCTTCGTTTTCATGCAATTCTTCAGCCCACATATATTTCTGTTTCACATTTACAATTGTTAGCCTTTTATACCAAGCCAACTTCCTTTGATTGTGTTGATGCAAATGGGTTTTTCTAACACTAGCTACTGTAATAAAATATATGTAACTTGGAATAATTTAGAAAAATCAAACAAAAACACAAATCACAAAAATCTAGAATGCATCACACAACTTTTGTAGTATTTTCTGCATGTACTTGCAAGGTTAGGAATGAAATAGCAGTAAGTAAATAAATAAAGTATGAATACGAGCATAGCAGTGCTTAATAGGTCTTATCTGCAACGACCACAAACAAAATGCTTAGAAACAACCATACAAAACAAATAGACAAAAAGTTGGGACAGGACTTATATGCATGTGGCTGTAATAGATAAACTTCATGACAAATATTAAAAGGTAGCTGCCAACATCAATCACATCATTACAAGTCAAAAAGGAAGGCATCAACATCAAGGTTTCCCAAATGTGATGAAGAATGCCCATCTATTTGTAAATCATCCTGGGATTTTGTTCAGACAGGATAGCAATCTCTACACAAGATCGCAATTGATCTTCCCTTCTAAATTATATAGCAGATTTGTCAGAGTATTCATTTCAGCTACATTCAAATCCCTCAATTGTTCTTACATATAAAGTGAACCTTTAGATTTTGCTGTTCAGCAAATTTTTTTTTTGCTGCTAATAATAAATTATAAATAAGTGCTTTATGCTTCACCAAGATGGTTCATTTAGACTTCTACTAAGAACCATTTCCAGGTTTTACTAAATTTAGGCATGCCCTATCCACCATCCCTATTCCCTGTTTCTGGATATTATTATCCACCCAGACTGGCTGGGGCAACCCAGTCAGATTGTTGTTGTTACTGCTGCTGCTGCAGCAGCAGACTGCTCTTTCGTTATTACCGTATGTACAAGACTCCTCAATATGGAAGGTTATGCCTCAGGATATGGACTCTAAACATCTCAGGTCCAAGCCATGATTCAATTCCACAATGTGTTTGCTTGGTGAAAACTCGGTTTCTGTATAAGAAGTTCCAGTTTAAGAAATACACGTTACACACAACCTTAACTATTTCTTCTCTGCTAGGACAACAAAGGGTTCTCAAACACTACGACAAAGCAAAATCAACACTTGCTTATCCTCAGCCCTGAAGACAGCAGACACACATGCCTAGGGTAGGCTTTAAAATTGCCAAAGAAAAGTCTTCTGTGAAGCGAAGAGCCTAAAAAGTCAAGGTTGCTGGGCGACAGCACTGCGTTCTATAACAAGTAGTCAACACAAGGCAAATAAAACCACTGCTTTAGATTTTAATCACAAAGATTTAAAACCAAACTTCTAATTTTCTAATTCATAGTTTTACTGATAAACTATGCATGGTAATTGGGTGCTGTAACAACAAAAACAGATACAATTTCAATCTGACTTTTATAACTGAAAGAATATTTGTGGGCAGGAGAATCTGCTTTGATTTAATGCCATGGACAGATCACTATATGCTTAGGTTGGGACTCGCAAAGTCAGAAACCTCTGCAGAAAACTCTCAAACCTCTGCAGAAGAGGGGGAACAATCAACATATTTTATCCCCAAAAGCTTATGGATCCTGGTGTATTCCAGATGTCTTACAGAGGATTTTCCATTGACATGTCCAGCAGTCCAGAACAGTAAAAAAGAAAAAAAAACATGCAGAAGAATATGCTCTACCAATTTCAAATCCTTCATAAGATTACAAATGATGAAGAATGCAAGGGAATACTGGCTGCATCTATTCTAAGAATCCAAGCTGCACCATTTTTTTTATAATGGGGAAAGGAGGAAACGACAAAAAGAGGTGGAAAAGCACAATTTCCAAACCCACCCAGCCAAGTGTACTATGGTAAAAATGATTTTCTCTGTCTGTGAACCATTTGGAGCTGCTGAGACCTCCCCTGGGCACTGGTATCACCTGAACATGCCTAGGGAAGATGGGTGTAGGAGATGCTCTCAGGACGAACAGCTTCCCACACACGTGTTATGAAAAGCCACCTGCCAGTGCAGTTTGAACCCCCTCCTTGATCAAGCTATACAAAGACATCCCTGCCTTGGGTCTGCAGACATGACAGAAAACAGCATGCAGAATGAATGCTCTGCAAACAAGACAAAGAGCCATTTTCTTTTCCTGTACATTCGCCAAAATAAATGGGAGCTGTACAAGCGTTGTGTTATGCACTCATAAAGTTCCTATGAGGCATTGACTTGGGCTGGATCCCAACTTGTTTGAGCAGAACCCCCCACCTCCAGCCAACATTATCTGGGCCACATGAACTGGGTCTAAAATAAGATCTCGAAGTCAAAACACTTTGGATCCTACATCACCTGAACCAGGCACTTCATGGATTGGTTTCTCCAGTAACAGCTGGGCAGAGCAAGTCTCAACTCCTGCCATCCAATGTTCTGTGCTGCTAGCACAGGGTGGTCCGATGTGTGGCCCTCAAGGCTTTTTTGTGGCCCTCAGCAACATTTGATATACCCCCACTCCAAAGCAGGGTTGAGGACTCTGACAGGGTCCTAGGGTCTTCCATCCTCCTTACCAAAGCATAGTTAGTGCTTTCCCAGCTTTGGGAAGGAGGTTGGAGGGATCTAGGATCCTGCAAGAGCCTCATGCCTCCTTCCCCAAACTCAGCACCTCACTTAGCTGGCTTGGGAAGCCAGTGGGAAGACATGGGGAAGCACCAAATTTTGGCCTCGTTCTCTGCCCCCACACGACAAAGCAGTGTGTCAAAGTACTCTTGCAGCCCACTTGGTATGAAAAGTTGGGCTGCCCTGTGCTAGCACAAAGGCTGAGGCAGTTAGGAAAGATGTAATTGCCCATTTAAGAGTTATTCTAGCCTGATATTCTGATCCATTTAGGTCTGGTAAGAAGCAGAGAATGAAATTACGTATTTGCATATATTTTTCTTTATTGAAAGTCCCTTGGAGACAGTTGGGTGACAAGTGACTAATAAGTTTAATAAACTAATTAATATAAAAATCAGTAGTTCCATGCAGGCTACCAAGTAAAAAAGCAAGTCATTGCTGGCATAAACTATTGCCAAAAGTCCAGTCCTCCAACCGCTATGTCTTGATTTTCCAAGCAGCCACATCCCATTCCTATCTCCAAACAGACCACAACAGAAGATCCTACTCTGGTGCTGCTGTAATATACTGCCCAGAAAAAAATGCTTTTAATTCTGTCTGAGGACTCATGACTCCAGCAGCCTCAATGCCTGGGCCTTATGAAAAACCCCAGAACTATCAGGATCAAGATCATCAGATGCAGAAACAACTATAGTCAATATCCTGCACACAAGCTTTCTGATACCCACTTCGTTAAGGGTACTAAAATACTCTTTTATGTATAATTAATGCTTGAATTAGCTCCCTCCCTGTACCCTCCCCAGCCATTGACTTTTGTATTGTGTCTGTTAGACTATAAACCCACTAGGACTTAAAAAAAACAACAACTTTGTAGAGCATCTATAAAATTTTCGAACACATTCAAAACTCCAAATTTCTCCCTTTAGCAGAAGGCTCTCACAATACCCCATGTAGTGCTAACATCCTACCCTCATGTTATGGACAGCAAGAGCTTTACTTTCAGGGTGGAGTAATATTCATGCTCTCTTGTTAACAAGCTGCACAGCACCCCTGGAGAAACAGAATACTCACTTTTGCTGCAGGAAAAAAGGGCAGCTTTATTGTTTGGAACTCTGAAAAATGCATAGCATGTATGAGCACTCTGGTAATTGAAAAGTGCAATGCAATGGCACTCAGCCTTTATACAGAGATTTTTTAAAAATCTGAACATAAAGATGCAAATAAAAATGAATGTCGACTCTCCACCATTAAGTTTCTTCTGAGTTCTTTCAACCATATTTTGTATATAAAACCATATACAGGGGACACAATGTTCAATTTTTCTGGAACTTCACAAAAAATTGAATGAGGAGAGAAAGGCTAGTAATAGACAAGCTTCCTTGTCTGACACCATGAATATATGTGTAAAAAATGACAAATTTCATTTGCAAAAAATGAAATTTTTGAGCAGCTTAGGTGAGGTGAACACATTAGCTTACTAGGACTTGCATTCCACTCATTTAGAAGGCTGAGTAACATTCTGAACAGAGCACAAGGCTCTCTCAAAGCACTCCATTATACTCTCAGTCGTGGGGAATGCCAGTCATAACTCATTTGGAGAAAATTTCAAGAGCCTGGCAACACAAGTTGAAGTTGGAAAATGTCTTGGAAGGCCTTGGTTTTTCATACTATTCTGACCTGTTTCTCCACCTAATAAAAGAATCCACACTCAAAACACATATCGGAAGAAAGCTTCCCATAAGAATCAGCATGGCTTAAAAAAGGGAACGTGAGAAAAGCTTCATATGCAAGGTCTAAAAATCACCAGCTTACTAAACTATAGCCAAAGAGTGACTTAGCTGATGTCCAAAAAATTCTTTAAGATTTCAGTAATATTCCAAATCTAGAAGAGAGCAAGCTTTTCTGCCAGTTTCAACAGTGTGGCATTATGAATGAGATTTAAAGGCAGGGAGAAAGAGTGGGAAGGCAAAATAATGCTACTTGTGCCTGTGTCCCTCAACAGATTGCAATCATAGTTGAATCAAACTTCAAGTAGTCAGCAGCCAGGACTCAAGAACATTCTGAACTCATATCAAGAACACATTCATCAAGCGCCACTTGACAGCCATCAGGCTTCCCCATTTATAGTCCCTGGTCCTAATCCCCCTAATCATACACCTTAACTGGTTTCTTCTGTGTGAACTGGAAACACAAGCAGAGGGCTTATGCACTGAAGCTGCTCATAACTAATCATGTTATATTAACTGTTTGACTGTACTAGTGCAGAGCAGGAACTAAATATTGAACAAAAACTCCCTGCACACTCTTAACTAGCATGTGAGGGAAAAGGCAAGGGGACTAAATACTTCTGCCTGACACGTTAGTTTTGTATGTGTACTAGCTTTGAGGGGGCTTGTTTCATAGAATTGTAGAGTTGGAAGGGACCACAAGGTCATCTAGTCAACTCTCTGCAAAGCAGGATTTTTTTTGCCCAGCATGGGCTTTGAACCCATGACCCTATGAGCCTCATTTTTGTGCATGTAATTTATTTATTTTTTTAATGTGGGGAAGCATTCAGTCCTGACCCTACAATCTGACATTGTATATAGCCCAGAAACTGATACATCACAAGGGGTTGCTGATCATGTGCTTTGCCACTCAAAGCAAAGCAGCTGAAGTGCATAAGAATGGAGGGTGGGGGGAAGCTCTGCAAAAACTCTTCACTAGGCAGGGCATGGGAAAGAGATACCTGCCCATGTTTCAACAGTTGTATGCAGAATAAGGAGAAAACTCTGCCCAAGTCACACTCAGAGAGGGGGAAAAGGGTGTAGCATCCTTTGCCTGCATCTCTGACTGTGCAGCAAGTGTTAGTGTACAGAGACAATGTTGTCAACCCTTCAGCTGTTGTCTAATTCAAAAATACAGCTCCTTTCTAAAATTAGTTGCCAACCAAGTAAGACACTGAGCTTTGGGGTTTCAATTACACTGATGCACTTTAAACAAGGCTGCATCTATTCTGCATTTCCCCACTCTTCCAAATTCTGCACCAAAACAATCCAAATTCTACAATCATATTCAAATTAGTGTGCTCACATGATACAGACATTTATAATTTTTCCAACAACAAAAAAAATAATGGTACAGGCTAAGAGAAGGGTTAACGAAAAAGGTTTGATTAGGAGGGATAAGAGGGTCTCAAATTAGCAGCCATTACTGGACAAAGGAATGAAGTCCCATCCACTTTATAGCTATGAAACTCAGTTCATTCTGGCTTCTGGTTTTTCTTTTGCATCAGACTCTGCCAGGCCTCCTTAAGCCTCTCTGCAACCATAAAGGCTAGTCACCTGCTTTGTAAGTAGCAGATACCAAGATTTCACACTTGCTCAGCACTTCAAATTGTGGAAACCACAGGACACCATAACTAGTGACTTGAGTGAAAGGAAACAAGGAAAATTAGGAGCCATTGCTTGGATTATATACTTTGTACAGGCAGTGGACATTTTGTGCACATCCAATTGACATGCGACCACCAACATGTGTGGTGCTTTTGGCCCCGGAAGGCCCCGGAACAGGGCAGGGGCAGAACGGGCTTAAGCACAACCACTGACACACGCAATGGCCCTGCATATGTTGCTGAACTGTAACTTTCATTGTCCATGGCCACTGATCATGCTTGCCAGAGTTGATGGGAGTTGTAGTTCAGCAACATCTGGAAAACCAATGATTCCCCAGCCCTGCTATTCCTGTGACTCAAGGGCAAACTTGATGATATGGAACAGCAAAATGTCTAACCCCCAAGTTGCCTTGTTTCCAATATCATCAAAGATGCTCTCTAACTTTTGTGCAAGCAACTCTGCACAGGTTGTGAAACCCAAAACTGCTCAGGCAGTTAAACCATAACTAGTCAAATTAGATTTTTTTTTTTTTGCAAATCTGATTTGTTGCCTTCCCCAAATAAATATACATATGCTTTGACATTTTATTTCATTGGCTAAAAAAATTGTCCAGAATCTCTCACTAAAATTGTTTGCTAGACAGCATGTCTGAGCTTTTTAAACTGATTGTGGAGGAGAAAAGCTATTCGCAGGGTATTACAGTGGTGCCTCGCAAGACGAAATTAATCCGTTCCGCAAGAGTCTTCGTCTAGCGGTTTTTTCGTCTTGCGAAGCAAGCCCATTGACGGATTAGCGCTATTAGCGCTATCAGCTGTTTAGCGGCTATTAAAGGCTTAAAGGCTTAGGGGATTAGCTGCTAAAAGGCTATTAAAGGCTATTAAAGGCTTAGCAGATTAGATAAAGGGGAAAAGCGAAAAAAAAATCTCAAGACTCGCAAGGTATTTTCGTCTTGCGAAGCAAGCCCATAGAGGAATTCGTCCTGCGAAGCAACTTCAAAACGGAAAACCCTTTCGTCTAGCGGTTTTTCCGTCTTGCGAGGCATTCGTCTTGCGGGGCACCACTGTACTACTACTACTACTAACCTGCTGCCACAAGAGGCACTGGTGGCCATCCAACTTGGAAGGCTTTAAAAGATTAGACAAATTCATAGAGGACAAGGCTATCAGCAGCTACTAGTAGGTTTCCCCACAGGAATATGGTTTGTTGCTCTGAGAATAGGATGCTGGGCTAGATGGGCCATTGGCCTGATCCAGCAGCTCTTCTTTTGATTAAGACACTTGCTAAAATGCACTAGGGAATTCAAATGTATCAAATTCGCGTTTGACACTGGCTTGAAAGCATAATGACAAAGGATGTGGGAGATCCATTAATGGTTCTCCTATTGTGCTCCCACTCTGCAAGAATGAGAGCCCTTTCCTGGCCTGCTTTATATTCGAGCACCAGCATCAGGGTGTGTTCCTCCACCCCCATGTGTTTTCCTTTATCCCCCACCACAGTTTCTGTTTGCTCTACAGGAAGGAAAATATAGGTGACAGCTACTGTATTTCTCCTCACTATGATCAAACAAGAGTTTCAGAGTCGTTAGAATTAAATGCCCCCTTTCTCCAGTATCACTGCTCTAATCAAAATCAGAGATTAATTTGGCCCCTAGGACTCAACCTTTCTTGGTTTTTGCCCCCCTCCCCTCCTATTTTATTTACACACAACTGAAAAAATAGGCCAAAGTAGTCCTAATTAACAATAGTTACTTCTAAGTAGCTATACTTAGGGTCAGGTGGTTAATCTTTTAGACATATCCCTAGAACACAGTGTACTTTTAAAAGTACCTGTTGGTATTAAAATTCTGTATTTCAATTTGGCTTTGATATGTTATTGCACAACTGGCTTATTATTTTTTATCCTCTTTAAACTACAATATGCACATTGTTCCACAGTTCTACAGCTACGGTTGGAGTCTCAGTCTTGTTTACATGCTCCATTATCCTCAAATAGCCACCCCTTAATTTTTTATTGGGTTGGTCAATCAAATGTTGGAGACAGACACTAGTTTTTTGAGAAAGCTGAAAGAAATTCCAAAGAGGGATCACTGCATCTATGTCCCGCTTTCACCTTGGGTTAACAGACACTGTGCTTTTCAATTGTTTCCAAAACTTGCCCAATAACGTCTGAGTAGAGGCAGTGGTGGGATAAAATAAATGTGTACACACATCATGGGAATCAATGGCCACATGTGCACAAGCCCTGGCTTAATAAACCATAGTGCACACAAATGCATGTTAGTGCACACAGACTGATCACTCTCACTTTGCTCCACCCCTAGCATGAATGAGTTATCAAACCATGAAACAAATGAGTTAACAAACCATCATGTTGCATTTGAACCCTGGATTGTGGTTCACCCTGCCCCAACAAACCAGGAGTGGTAAGCCAACAGCAAATCATATGTTAAGGTGATCCGTAATCTCAGTTCAGATCCAACATTGAGCTATATCAATTCTGGTTTGTTTAGCCATTCACACAGGGGAGGAGTGAAGCAGCATTCAGGATGTGTGCATCAGCAGAGTTCATGCCTTACTGTTACATGCAAATGCAGCTAGAGTTCTCTCTCAAGCCACTTTCAGCTCTTTAAAGACTATGATGTCTCATGTCAAGAGACAGGAGTTGAAAGAGAACACATGGGAAAACCAGAGATTCTAGACTCAATCTCTCCTATCTCTCCATGGGATCAACAGAAATGGGTTTACCTCTGTTCTAGAGAGAACAGTGAAGTATATCCTCCAACATGCAGTGACCTCTGAAAGACAGGCAACGGTAAGGGTTTAGCTGAAATACACTAGATACCCACCCCTGCTCTACGCTGCAGGTTTCAAAGTGGAATCTGAAAATGAAACCGCAAAGAGCTAACAAGCTGTTTTCTACCTATGCATTCTTCTGGCACTAACTTGGTGAGAGGATGTCACTTCAATAGCCTACTTGTGGCACACAATGTTCTTTTACTTACTGAGGACAGGGGTCAGAGTCACACTAACCCCAAGCCTTCCTTGGCAAGACCAAAAGTATCCAGAGCAACAAGAAAACTCCAAAACAAGGTACTCATTGACTACAGTATACAGTGGTGCCTCGCAAGACGAAATTAATTCGTTCCGCAAGTCTCTTCGTCTTGCGAGTTTTTCGTCTTGCGATGCACGGTTTCCCATAGGAATGCATTGAAAATCAGTTAATGCGTTCCTAGGAAACCGCCTTCAGACCAGGTCCGGGGACAGTCTGTCCCCGGACCTCTTCTGAAGGCTGGGGGAGCAAGGGCTTTCTTCCCACCCCCAGCATTTTAAAAACCCGGGACAGCGGAGGACTTCTCCGCTGTCCGGGCGATCTTAAAATGCTGGCGGGCGGCATTTAAAATCACCCCGGGACAGCGGAGGACTTCTCCGCTGTCCGGGGCAATTAAAAGCCCCTGGGAAGGCAGGCAGGGGGACAAAGACTTTGCCCCCGCCAGCCTTCAGAAGAGGTCCTGGACCTCTTCTGAAGGCGGGCGGGGGCGAGTCTTGCTCCCCGCCTTCAAAAGCCCTCCGGGACAGGCAGGCAGGGGAGCAAGACTTTCGCCCCCGCCCGCCTTCAGAAGGTCTTCCCTCCCCCGCCCGGCTCGGAGCACCGTTCCGAGCCGGGCGGCGGCGGAGGTCTTCCCTCCCCCGCCCGGCTCGGAGCACCGTTCCGAGCCGGGCGGCGGCGGCAGGTGTTCCCTCCCCCCGCCCGGCCCGGAGCACCGTTCCGAGCCGGGCGGCGGGAGGTCTTCCTCCCCACCGCCCGGCTCGGAGCACCGTTCCCGAGCCGGGCGGCGGCGGCAGGTGTTCCCTCCCCCGCCCGGCCCGGAGCACCGTTCCGAGCCGGGCGGCGGCGGCAGGTGTTCCCTCCCCCCGCCCGGCTTCGGAGGAGCCTTCCGAGCCCGGCGGCGGCGGGAGGAGGTGTCCCCGCCCCGCCGCCAGGCTTCGGAGGAGGTCCGAGGACAGTGGGGAAGACGCGCTGCGCTTCCCCGCTGTCCCTGAGATTTCCCTATGGGCTGTCGTCTTGCGAAGCAAGCCCATAGGAAATTGCGTTTATGAGCGCCTCCAAAACGGAAAACCCTTTCGTCTAGCGGGTTTTCCGTCTTGCGAGGCGTTCGTCTTGCGGGGTACCACTGTATAGGGAGAAAATATGAGGTTAGGAAAAGGAAAATGTTTCCTTTGATGAGTGGGTATCTTTAAATCTACAGACTGCCCTATCTCAAGAACTTATTACAGTAACATCACTTCAACTGTCTAAGCTTTAATGAGTTCATGAATTGATCACTGGGATTCCTTTCTGGCAGAAAGCCCAGTACAAAAAAGACCATACAATAAAATGCATCACAGGACTATGCCATGTTCCAGCTTCTTTTTTAACCCAAAGGACTTTGCATTGCATTCTGAAATGAACTTGCATCTGTGCTCATGTGTGCTGGTTTATCTGCTATTCCTAATGCCTCACAAATGTTGGGTGCCTGGTAATAAACTTTGCACTATACATTTTATTATATATTTAGCTTCTTGAACAAGTCTGTTAAGTAAATCCAATCAAGTGAGTTATTCTTGCTCAACATTTGTGTACTACACAATTACATGAGTTTACCTCCCCTCACTTTACTTGCTTCCTTTCAGTTTGCCAAGAAACCTCTGCAGCACGTGCAAGCACAGGTACTTTTATCTTGTACTTCCTCCTATACTATTTGCCCAGTATGGTCTGTTCCAATCAATATTCCTTAACTGGGACTCATTTAAAGGTACACTACTTGATCACTCATATACTTTTGGATGATTATCAGTTAAATTTGCATATAAAATAAATATTTATGAAGTAAAAAAACATTGTTTTGAAGTCATAATTAGTGAACATAGTTATTAATCAACAGTCAAAGGTTATGGTACATTCTGCCTCTTCTATTTCACTTTGATTAATTTATTTAAAAATAAATGCAAGTTTGTATTTTAAAACATATATAGGGAAAAATAAAGCCAAAACCACACTTTGTTTAGAGAATATATGTGTACATTGTAGAAGGTTCTTAGAACAAACATTCACTAAGAGGAGGGAGAAAAGGGGAGTGCCTCTTAAGAGTATACAGTCGTACCTCGGAAGTCAAACGGAATCTGTTCCGGAAGTCCGTTTGACTTCCAAAACGTTGGGAAACCAAGGCATGGCTTCCGATTGGCTACAGGAACCTCCTGCAGCCAATTGGATGCCGCCTAAGCCGTGTTGGATGTTCGGGTTCCAAAGAACGTTCGCAAACCAGAACACTCACTTCCACGTTTGCGGCATTCGGGAGTAAAAATGTTAGAGTCGCAAGGCATTCGTCAACCAAGGTACGGCTGTACTTACAACCTATATGTTTACAAGTGCCGGTATGGGGAGGCGGGGAGAGAGAAGAGGTTTGCAGTCTAATTAACTGGGTATACCTTTTTAATCTGTCTTTAACTGATTAGATCAATCAAATAAACATCAGAGCACTAATACAGAATGATTTATTTTTCTTTCTTTAATGAGATTATTTTCAAATTCATGCGGTTCTTGTCCTATTGCTTGAGCATCAAACATATAAGAGTTGAGGAACTGCCAAAGAGCAGGGCACACCAAGGCAATACCTGCAGACAAGGTTTATTTAACTGAACACATTTATTTCTAATATTCAGCACAAAGAAACAGAAGAAGCATTGAAGAGTATAAATTAAGATTTTCATTTATTTATTTGTAAAAAGAAAACCAGGAAATACAGCACCATCAACAAGTATAGTGCTATAGTGAAAAATGAATTACAACCCTACAATATAACTGCATCTGTTCCAGCTCAGAGACGAGCAACTTAAGGATTTATTTCAGGTATTTTAGTCTACAACACTTCACCAAATGACCTTAAACACAGACTAGTATCCAGGAATAACCGAAGGAGACACAGAACATGACTAGACACCAAAGCACCCAGCTAAAAATCTTTCCAGCACGTCAATGAGCTACACCATATCCTGGACAATGACACTTTCCATTCACAGGCCTTGAGTGTTAGGCCTGTCCATCCCCTAACCTTGGGTGGGTGGGTGTTGTCTGTCTGCTGTGTGTGTATACACAAGAAAGTGTGGGATGGGCACACCCACTATTGGCATGCAGTCCTCTAAGGGTTTTGACAACACTGAATGTGGTGCTGAGGCTGCAAAATGTTAACCACTCTTACAACGAAGTAGGGGTGTATGGGGTGCTAAGGGAGGGGTAGAAGCTTTGGTGGGGGGCACGTCGTGCTTCTTCTGGGGTAGTTTGTCCACCTTTGGTCCCTACCCTGCACTCAGCTCTTACCTGTGGCTCCTAGAAGCTGTCAGCATGTGACAATGGTCACACCCCAGAAACGACTTCAGCTGGCCAGTTAAACCAGGTGAGGGTAGCTGATGGGTCTAAAACCCTCAGTGAGTTAGGGACTTCCCCTGCATACGAAGACAGGCTACAGCAGATTGAGCGAATAAGATCAATAGTGGGTCCAACTGTCAAGAAGGTAGTTCCTTGCATGTGCTGAAGAGGGAAGTGAAAACTCTGGTCCTAAGCCTCCACTGCCTTGCAGGATATTTTTGGGAGAAGGGCTACACAAATCCAGAGTTTATTTGGCCTTACGATGATTGGATGGTGCCTTGTATGCTTACTTTCGGCAACTTCTACAGCCAAGCTAGTGCCAAATGTATTGCTCTGCTTTTCTTTGGACCACATCAGTGAGGCTAAGAGAGGGTTTTGTCATCTCTGCAGCCCAAGACCTCAATACACACTGCCAGGCTCACTACCTGGGGAAGTCACTTCAAAGCTGCTAACAAAGCAGTTTGGCTTCACTCCATATTGTCCTCCTATCCTCTTAAATGTTTCCTATAATAAAGGAATTGTACCACTACCAATATAACATTAAGGAAATTCTGATTGTTCATTCCAAGATGATAGCACAGGATGATCAGCATTGGACCCTGAGCCTGAAGAGGAGTTATCACTTCTAGAATTATTGCCATCATCTGTAGACCATGGAATATGCGCAGAATAAACAAAAGAAACAAAAAAAAGCTGGTATTGTGTCATCATGGACTGATGCAGACTGGTGCAACCAGAGGTGATATCTTTAACAACACAGAAAAGAGAGACAAGGGCAATTAAAAGTCTACTGAATGTGATTGCAGAGGCAGAGAATCCATGTTGACTATAAAATTGCCTTGGTGGAAAACCGGCAGCACCAGCAAACAGCACAGATTCCCTTGGGAGGTTGTGGACTCTCCTTCACTGGAGGTTTGTAAGCAGAGGTTGGGTGGTCATCTGTCAGGGATGCTTCAGCTGAGATTCCTGCATTGCAGGGCGTTGGACTAGATGACCTTCCAACTCTATAATTCTATGATTCTTCTCCAAGAGTGATAGAGCAGTTGACACTGGTGGAAGAGTGGTGAGCAGTGTCAAAACTAGATCAACCAAAGCTGGCTTTGGTGGCAAGATTAAAGGTGGACAAGACAATACCAAGTATCTGATAACAAAGCTAAAAAGCATGATGCAACTACAGGAATGGAATTGTTTTCTTACTCTAAGGGAAATTTTACTGCTGAGGCAGTAGACTATGGTAGCTACTCCTGGATTAGAACCTAGAGGATTCAAGGAAGGAGATGTCTTCTAGTCATGAAGTAGACTGCTATGTTATGAACTTTGAGACAAAGAAAATCCTCTGTGTTACAACACGAAACAATCTGATCAACAAAAGGCTGACTCTAGATTTAATCCTTCGAATGCCACTAGGTTCACGAGTGAGTAAAGCATTTCATCACAATCAGATGTCAATGAACGACATTCAACTTTACACCCCCTTCCCCATAGACAGAGTGCCATGCATGATATACAGGATTTTCGAATGGACAGACATCCCCGCCAAAGAAAGAAATATTAATAGTAGACAATTACATGGCTTTTGTTTATGAATTAAGAAAGAATTGATAATGTTTCATAAATATTGCCAATACATTATTAGCCCATGTGTTGCCTTATGTTATGAACTTTGACAGACCCATCAACATGGAAAATTTCTATAGATGTAAAGATTGCCCTCCATAACCTTGAGTGAAGTGTATTCTTCCAAAGCAGATATAGTCAATGAAGAAGGCATTTGAAACAATTATGAGAAGAAAAATGGGATTTTCTACACCTTTACTTTGAGGATCAGATAATGTGTTCCTCGGAGGCTCTATCAATATTGGGGGGAAGCAAAGATGTGGGGAATTTCTAGTGCTGCATAGTATCAATTCAGAAGTGGAGCTACTGGAGTTATCAAAAGTAGTAGTCAACCAATATGGGTCAGAATAGAAACTTACGTTGCTGGTGGAACAGAAGTCTTGACAATCATGTAGCATTTTGACTCATATACTGTTAACTTGTATTGTCAGTGGTGTAGAGTAAGTGGTCTCATTTTCCATTCAATCTGGTGTACACTGTTATTGATGTCTGGACCCCTTAAAGTCCAATATCTTCTAAGAAGTGTTGCATCCAGACAGCTTCAAGTCCCTCCAGGAGAAGATGTCGATGATTCTCTCCAGGTTTGGCAAAACAAATATAGTAGTGTGAGCTTTCCAGCAATGCCTGTGAAGTTCTACTAGTGTCTGGGCTGACCTGAGATGACCTCAAAGCAAGAAGCTTGAAACCATATGTCTCCATTGTGCCCTTATTGCTTAGTAAAGCACAAAATATGCTGACAGGATTAAACTTTTTGAACTTCCAAGCAAAACAAGGCTGTTTAAGCCCATGACACTGGCACCTTTAAAAACAACAGCCTATGAGCCATATGCAGATGACAAAAATTGAGGGGGGAAGTTTTTGGCAAGACAGACCTGCCAGTAACAATACCCAATAGTATCTCTTAGAGTGCTGAATGGCACTATTTAGTGGGAAGAAATCCCAATGAAAATCCTTGTCATTATATATTTTACATGGCTATTTGTACATATTTAAATTTTTTATATATGGATGTTTTATGATGGCCTATACAGTGGTACCTCTGGTTGTGGACGGGATCCGTTCTGGAGCTCCGGTCAGATCCCGAGGTTTTCACAACCAGAGGGACCGCTTTTGTGCATGCGTGCGCAATGACAGACCACTTCTGTGCATGCGCTGAAGCGGTAGAGCGCTTCTGCGCAAGCAGCGAAACACTTCCGGGTTTGCCGCTTTCGGAACCAGAAGTAGCCGAGGTGCTACTGTACTTGTAATACCTAACAAAGGTTTGGCGAAGTAAAAAAAGAAGAGTAATATACAAGATTTCAACCTTGTACCGCTCAACTTCTTAACCAATCAGAAGAGCAGAAACTTCTGCAACGTTTCAGGTTTCCTAGTAACTACAATTCTTCTCCCTTTAAGTTTCAGTTTCCTAGGCTATCTTTTGAACCACTTTGCCAAGAACAGACTCTGCACAGAATACAACCATATTATAAATTATAAAATAAACACAAGACAGCTGGACTGGTCTATTCAATCACACAAAGTTATTTTGAAACTAGAACAGTTTGTGCTTAAAAAAAAAATCACAGATAAATAATAGTTACAAACCCTTCATAACATGTTGCTGAAAGTATGCATTTCAAAGCCACCAGTTCAGTAACTTGGCTTTGATAGCTTGGGTAGTTTCCCCAATGCAATTCCTAGTTAAACTTAGCCTTACAAAAAAGTCACAAAAACAGACAAAAGCTGTGAACTTTCCCTTAATAACAGTGTTGCTACAGTGCTTATCTTGCTTACAAGGAATTCATCATGCATCATTTACTGTGGAGTGGTTTTTTAAAACTGTTTTAATGCACACAGCTTTGAGTATCATGGAGAGGAATATAAATATTTTAATTTAAGTTTGTATGCTTGGGTAGTTGCCAATTATTATGTTGGTGCAATACAGTGATTGAAACAATGACTTACAGCAACAGTAGGATAAGTATACATTAAAAAAATGAACATGAAGCAAAATGAAGTGACTTGCCCAACATATCAATTACAGTGGTACCTCTAGATGCGAACGGGATCTGTTCTGGAGCCCCGTTCGCATCTAGAAGCAAACGTAACCAGCGACGGCACGTCTGCGCATGCACGCATCACTTTTCGCCACTTCTGTGCATGACGTCATTTTGAGCGTCTGCGCATGTGCAAGCGGCGAAACCCGGAAGTAACGCGCTCCGTTACTTCCGGGTTGCCATGGAGCGCAACTCAAACGCACTCATCCCGAAGAACATTCAACCCGAGGTAAGACTGTACCTTTATTGGGGGTCTTATGCCTGGCTCTTCATAAGTCCCCCCCCCCCAAGTGTTCATCTTTGTAAAGAACATTGACACTGTGGGGAGAGCATTGCACAGATTAGGGGGGTGCATTACGGGAAAAGGCCTGTTCTCCTGTTGCTATCTTGGCAGCTGCTACAAACATTTCATTCCTCAGTGGCTGCCACCTTAGAATTCCATGCACTCACCTGCGTACATTTCTTTGTCACCTATGACTACCAGACAACTACTTGAATATAGGGTGAATTTAAGCTTAACTCAGGGGTCCTTGCCCTTTTTGGTCCCAAAAGCACTTTTGGAAATCTAAGGAACTATAATGGGCACAACATAATATCCATCTCATGGAAGAAAAACTGGTATGATCACAATACATGCAAACATGCAAAATACTTAACACAGCTACCAAAACAAAAACACAGTCAAAAAAAGCAGGCAGCACCTCCCAATAAACAGGCAACATACTAAAAAAAACCCCTAAGACCTCAGTTTTGAGAGACTGGGAAGGACAGGGAGCTTTGGCAGGGGCCAAAGGGAATGTCTCTAAGAGTACAATATTAGGCACCCAAGGCTTAACAAAACAGCCTTATAATGTGCAATTTCAGTCAAACTCTAAAAATGGGAAAGAATCTTCAAAATAAGCAAACATAAATTAGGTTCTGTACATCAAATTAGGGTTGCCATTTCAAAGCTTATAACGAATGAACTGAAGCGAAAATATTATGTTCATTTTTCACATGGTCTAGTCTTTCCCCTGCCCCCCCCATATTCTTAAGAGGGTCTCTTATCCAGTCTTCAGAGAGTAGCTGGAACTGGGGGGGCAGAAAAGGGTCCTCCTTTCCTTCTACTCTGCAGGTTTAATCTGAAATCTTAGGCGCAGCACTGCACCCAGAGCTCAGAAAATGCTTGCGCTAATGAAATTCCCTGTTGCAAAATGTGCCTAGAACAATGGAAGTTTTGAACACCACCTCACAGTGATGTTGAGGATATAAAATTAAATAACCACTGCATGGCACTCCCAAGTTCCTTAAGAGCAAAGGTTGTATATGAAACGAAATTCATCAGATGGAACTTTCCCCATAGCAGTGATGTAACGTCAGAGAACACTTCATCTGATGGATTTCTGCCTAGTGTGAAAATGTTAAATGCATGGGAACAAAGGTGGCAACACTACATAATCTGTTCAACAGGTACTATTCTGGTGTTAATGCGCACAAGATGTTGGACATAACATAATGATGGCTGACTGGGAACAGTTATGGACCACAGGTATGAAGTTTACGGCATATAATGCCTTAAGAGAGAATATTATGAAAATGATATACAGGTGGTACATGACACCAGTCAAGCTTGCAAAAATCTATCATTTGCCCGATAATAAATGTTGGAAATGTAAAGAAACAGAAGGCACATTCTTTCACCTTTGGTGGACGTGCCCAAGGATTAAGGGTTTTTGGGAGATGATCTATAATGAAATGAAAAAGGTATTTAAATATACCTTCCTGAAGAAACCAGAGGCCTTTCTCCTGGGCATGGTTGGCCAATTGGTGCCAAAGAAGGATAGAACTTTTTTTATGTATGCTACAACAGCAGCAAGAATACTTATTGCAAAGTATTGGAAGACACAAGATCTACCCACCCTGGAAGAATGGCAGATGAAGGTGATGGACTATATGGAACTGGCGGAAATGACTGCCAGAATCCGAGACCAGGGAGAAGAGTTGGTGGAAGAAGATTGGAAGAAATTTAAAGACTATTTACAGAAATACTGTAAAATTAATGAATGTTAGAATGATGTCAGAATGAAGTTACGTGGTTTTAGCAGCAATATTACAAAGGAGTATGTAAAAATGGATTGTTAACAGGTGAGAATCTAAAGTTACAATATATTAAGTTAAAGGATTAGGATAAAAACAAAGAGGGAAAGGATTTGCTGAATTAGCTAACTGGATTGGAATACAAAAAGGGAGGTGTGAGGAGGTCAGGGAAACAAGTAAATGAAAGACAAGACATGGAAAGATTGATTTGTTTTTAAGTGCTTTTACTTTTCTGTATTTTGTATTTTTTCTTTTTTTTCCCTTTTCTTTTTCCTATTTTTGTAACTTTTTTTTGAAACTTCAATAAATATCATTTTTTTAAAAAAGTAAAAAATATTCTGGTGTTAATGCATGCAAGAATACAAATGACCTGCACACCTTTGCTCCAAGCACGATGCAATTACTTCTCCAGATGACAGAATGCCAAGTATTTTATTTTGTTTCAGCATTAAAACATGCCTATTGTGCCACCTCCCACTGTGATCAAGCAGATGAGTCACTTAATGCAGCCTCCATGTTGTCCTGATGAAGTTCCCCAGGCATGGCTTGGAAAGACCCATCTGGAGAGATGCTGCCAGTCAGTGTAGAGACACTACTAAGATTGGCATAAGATAGCTTCCTAGGTACATATGCTAACAAATGCAGCCAGACATGGCCTCCTCTTTCTCAGCAATGTTGCCTATGCTCAAGTACCAGCCAGGGTCTTTTTGCTCTACAGGCAATGGGGAAACGTCGTCAAAGCACTATGACTAATAGCATGATCCTGTGCACACCTTTCTTGGCAATGAGCCTCACTGAACTTAGTGGGACTGTCTTCCAAATCAGTATGCATATAAGTCTGAAAAAAATGTTTATTAAACCAAGCACCTCCCAGTCTAGATTGATAGGGATGTGCTGGCAGGGTCAACACCCACTCAACCCCACAGCCTCCTCTGTTCAAAGTAACTGTGAAGGGCAAGTTCCTGCAGCTATTCTCTTGCGAGCTCTACAGATTTGAGTTGAGCCAAAAGAATGTGAAATGTTACGTTTCCAATTTGCTGAAACATTAGAACTGTGGCAGGATGCCTATGCAGGGACTTTAAAATGGCACTGCCATACCCTCTCTCTCCCACATCTTTTTCTGATTCATGAACCTCTGGCCAGCATAGACAATAGGTCAAAATAGTAGCAAATGAAAGCCCCTAAGAGCTTGGTCTGTTTGAAATATCAATTACTAACAGCATGGAAATCACAGGTGTAGAAAGAACACTGACTGCATGGCTTGTGCCAGTGTCGAAACTGAAACCACACATAGCTATATACATACATGTGCTCAAAGGGAAGTTAACACAATACTTAAGAAATTGAGATAACTGAAAAGCAGTCATTTTCCTGGTATGGGTTGAGAAAACTGGATTTGGCTTGACAAAATATAATCCAACCTACAATACCCTCTTTCATCTCTCTGGACTCTGTAGCAAATATGGACACTTTATTAAAGTCTACATTCCCATGTCTACATTTTGAATAATCTAGACGTCATTTTCTGGCAAGTATCCATTCTCCAGTTCCAACAAAATGAAAGTACCGGTATGTAGCTAATGCTTACAATACACAACTACTGGAAATGAGTAAAAGTTGTGTGCTTTCTTCTTACAAAGCAGGAGGAGAATCCGGTAAAACCATCACTATTTGCATCACATAATATTCTAAGCAATTTATTGTGCAACTCTGAAATGTGCTGGCACAGGATCAAACACATACAGCCCTGTGGGAATGTTAATAAGCAAAATAAAAATAATCCATTGCTCAGAAGAGACCACCCCACTTTCTCCTGTTCACCCCACAGGATTCCACTGCGCAAAGAACTGGGAACAACTCATGTGAACCATGCTTTCCTATTTCAGGTCAAAATGGAAGCATGCTACCATTTTAGCACAAACGTGCCCCATTTTAAGTAATTGGCTAGGGACGCAAAACTGCACATGCATGCACACGCACACACTTCCTGTTCAATCTATGGCACAGCTTGATAGTTTGAAACACAGAACATAGCAAGATGTCTTATACAAAGTCAGACCACTGTTCATCTTGCAGAAGACAATCTACTCCAGTGGTCGGCAAGGTTTACCTCACCTGAGCTAGTTCACTCCAGCGGAGTTCCCTCCGTGCTCCGGATCACGCGCACCCCCGTGATTTCCGACGTCTGCGTCTGCACAGATGCAATTTCCAGCGCAGGGGAAGCAAGTTCCCGCGCTGGTTTAGCGCAGCACGCAGGGACTCACCAAGAGGGTGGCTCGGTTTGGGGGCGGCTCGTGGGCCAGTTAAACGACCCCTGTGGGCTGCTTGTGGTTGCCTACCCTCTGATCTACTCTGACTGCTGGGAGATCTCCAGGTTTTAAGACAGAGGACATTCCCACTCCTGTCTGGAGAAGTTGAGTTGAACCTGGGACCTTCTGTATGCAAAACAGGTGCTCATCAATCTACGTCTGGAGGGACAAGAGTTCTCCATCCTTAACATAGCATGTATGTACTACCAGTGTCTCATTCTTATGCAGGGAGAGGGGACGGATGTTGGTGGAGTCCAGTTCCAAAAGGCTGCAGCTATCATGACTGGCAGCCAATGATGAGAAGTAGGTCTGGGGTGTTTGGGATATTTTGTTAGCAGGGGGAGGGTTGTTTCTGTTAGGTTTTTGTATCTTTATTTTAGTTCTTGTTTGTGGTTACAAGATCTCAAGCAGTGTCCAAATGCACAGCAAAAAGTCAAAAACTTTTCAAAAATATGTAATGTGAAATCACCGAATGGCATCAAACATCTAAAACAAGACTTGCTGCATCCTTCCTAGGCAATGCTAATAGTGCAACTCTATGCATGTATACTGAAAAGCAAGCACCAGTGAGTTCCAAGGGACTTACTTTCAGGTAAGGGTGTACAGGAATACAGCCACAAACAATATGAAAAGTGAAACTAGACAAAAACAACGGCATAACTTTATAAACCTCTGCCATGACTCCCCTTGAAGCGAAACAACCAAAGAGAGGAGAGACCAAGCGACCCATAAAATCTGGACTAGCCTTGTATTTTCAAGCAAAAGGCACATCATTTCCAGAACTAAATTGGAAAGTATTTTTCTTTGCTCAGTCTTCAAAGAAGAAACACTGTGCATCCCTCCCAAACTGCCAATGTGTTGACTACAGATTTACTCCATCATACCAATCCTTCACCACAAGAATGCAACATTCTTTTAACAGCAAAAAAATTAATAATTAGTGGCTAGACTAGATTTCATATACAGCAACATCTGCAAATCACAGTGTTTCACTTAGCAGATCAAAACCTTTTTAAAACCACAAAACCAAGCACCGGTTTTATTTCAAAACAGCAGAGGTCAAGTATTTTACCTTCCCACACAGATAAGGATTTGTGACTCATCATGTTTGCCTTATCACCATACCCAACAGTGCAGTTTGACTCAGGTTTACTAAGTAAGAGAGAAACTGGAGTTTTATTTTCTTATCCTGATGTTTCCATTCTAGTTAGGGACAGGAAAAATGCCTGAACTACTGGGAAGGCCTGAATTTGAGTATCAAGCTGCAAGAATGACCTTCCTTTCTTATTTACAAATTAACAAATTACCAGGTCTGCATTGTATTGTATCCACTCAATTGTTTTTAATAAACTTAAATAAGAAATTACTGTACTAGTCTTCTAAAAACAAAACAAAACAAAACAAAACAAAACAAAACAAAAAGCAAAACTTAACTTTTTACTATAACCAGCCTATGTACCAGGAGACTAGAAACAGGTAACGTAAAACCATTTTTAAAAAATGATTTGGGGGTTGGGGCGATGTTCCAGAAAGTGACAGGCCAGTTAATTTCAACTTAGTTCTGGGGAAATTGGTGGACAGCATGATTATCAAGCATACAAAATAATGTGAAGGATTAACACAGGTTCAGCAGAGGTAAATTCTGTCTCACTAACCCTGTATAAAGGTAAAGGGACCCCTGACCATTAGGTCCAGTCGTGGACGACTCTGGGGTTGAGGTGCTCATCTTGCTTTATTGGCCAAGGGAGCCGGTGTACAGCTTCCAGGTCATGTGGCCAGCATGACCAAGCCACTTCTGATGAACCAGTGCAGCGCACGGAAACGCCGTTTACCTTCCCGCTGGAGTGGTACCTAGTTATCTATTTGCACTTTGACGTTCTTTCAAACTGCTAGGTTGGCAGGAGCAGGGACCGAGCAACAGGAGCTCACCCTGTCACAGGGATTTTAACCGCCAACCTTCTGATCGGCAAGCCCTAGGCTCTGTGGTTTAGAGTGTATAGAGTTCTACAAAAGCACATAGATTGGGGTGATCCAACACTGTATACTTGAACTTCCAAAAAACTTTTAAGAAAGTCCATCATGAAAGCCTCCTGAGTAAACTTACAAGTTATGGATATGGCTTGGTACCTGGTTAAAGAACATGAAGCAAAGCATAGAAATAAATAAACACAAAGTTCTCACAATAAAGTGGTGTAAATTGAGCTATCCCAAGGACCTACCCTAGAACTAGTGATTTTTAACTAGGTTGCAAATGGTCCAGGAATGGCAGTGATATAGCCAAATTTACAGATACTGTACAAAATTATTCAGGGTAGTATAAAGTATAACAGGTTGCAAAGAACTCCAAGAGTACCTCCCAAAACTGCGCATGGGCAACAAATGGCATATGAGGTTCAATGCAAACAAGTGTAAAGTGATGTACATTGAAGATAACAATCTTAGCTTTTCCTAAGATGGGGTATGAATGATTGATTGGGAACGAGATTTTTGGTCACGGTAGATAACTCAATGTAAATGTCAAACCAGTATGCAGAAACTGTGAAAAAAGGCAAATTCTAGATCACTACAAAAGGCATCAAAAATAAAACTGCCAAAAACGTAATGCCTTTATACACACCTGTGGTGTAAGCAAACCTGGAATACTGTGACTGTCCACATACTTGCAGAGCTACTCCATGCAAGAAACTGTCTAACACCCAATAATCATAGCTTGCAGCACAAGTCAGTCAGCAGAGGCAGTGAGTTTGCATCCCCCTGGCAGAAGTGGTTTCTGTAGATCCCCTCTGACACCTGTGATTCTATGACCTTCTGGGTTGTATTCAATATTAGTTCTACTCAGAGTAGACTCATTGAAATTAATGGACATACAACTCAAATACATCAATTTCAGTGGATCTATTATGAGAAAAATTTATCTCAATATAAAATCAACTGCTTCCATAAAGGCACAAAAGAGACTGGGTTCGATGAGAAGTCATAGTTTTGCTGCAGTAACCTGATACCCTACAGATGGGACTGGCCAGTTCTGGATAAAACATTTTCATTAGTACTGATTGTATATACTGGAGTAAGCAATAAATGCAACCAAGGTAAAATCAGTACCGCTTGGAATATTAGGCTATTTTCTGTTATAGTATACAATCTTTCTAACAAAACTTACTTGTTTAAATAACATTCTTAGTAGTGTATCAAACTTGAAAAAAGAATTTTTAAACTTGAGCTGCAAGGAAAAATAAATAAAGCAAAGTTGAAGTCAGACTGGAAGAATGATCACTACTTGTGGTATGTGCACACATCACTTTTCAGGTTTTTAGACTTCTTTACCATTTCAAAAACTTGCAAATCCTGTTAGACAGTTACAATGAGACAAGAGAGTGTACAACATGCCATGGAATCTAAATTTCTCTTTTAAATCTTAAAATAATTGTTTGTCTCCATCTGTGTCTTGGAAGCAAACAAAATTCAATTACAACTAGACTTGCGAGGTGTAGCTCCTTGAGAATGTCTGTACATTTAATCTCAGTTACTGCTTTTAAAAAGCCCAGAAAGGTTAATTAACCATCCTTAAATTTCCCACCTTCTCAATCTTGATCTAAAGATAAAGCATCACAGTTTGATGTATGAAACCAATTTGACCATCACATCAGAAATTTGTTGTCTAACAAGAATAAGCATTCCCCAGTACCAGAGAAAGTATACAAGGTGACCACACCACACTCTCATGCACACACATTGCACTCACCATATACATGCAGACTATAGATATACATGCATTTCACCCTCACATCTACACAGCCACACACAACTTGCCTCTGCCCAACTGCATCTCTCCCTCATCCAAACACATTGCATAAAAATCTATCCTATGTAACAGAAACCACACATATACACCTTCCCCTCCACCCTCTCACACACAAAAAGACCACACATACATGCAGTGAAGGATATGCCTGCCACCAGCCCCATGGCTGGCAGCAATAAACAGACCTGTTCACTCATCCCTTTCCCTTCCTGTGCAACTTTTTTTAAAGCCCCTCAGAGATAAAGGAAGTGCCCACTCCTAGCTCAAAATGGTTGCAGCAACTTCAAGCAAATTGAAGAAATGTGGTTCTTCCCCCACCTGGCATTTGTTTTAAAGAGGTCCCTCCAACAGGGAAAGGAAGTGCCAGCCACCAGTGAAATGAGGCTGGCCAGCAACAGCACACTAACTTGAGTGAACAGGACTATTCCTGATGTACCCTCCTTCCCCCCACACACCAATTTTTGTTTAGTTAGGTTTTTTTGCCTCCGCATGGAACAAAAGAAGTGCCCACCACATGTGGCTGAAAGGCAAGGTCACTCACTCTTCCCCAACATTTTTTTAAACAGGCCTTCCATGTAAGGAAGCATCCACTGTCAGCTCCATGTGGTTGGTGGGTGGCAACAGCTCAGTGAATGTCTGGATCAATGCTTCACATTGCCTCATGGACTGCAAGGGCGGCCTTCTTGGCACTATGGTACCCACAAGTGCTAAGCTGAAAGCCCCTGAAATACAGTTATTTAATAAAGGGATTGCAAACCAATGGGAAACATTTCCTGCCTAAGCTGCATCAGATCTAACAGCAGTTCTGGGGCATCTGCACTTGCTTTAAACTAGACTTGCCTAGGTACCATTCCTCATATGAACAAAACAGGCAGAACTGAGAACCAATAAAAGAAAAATCCTGCATCTGTAAGAACTTGAATATGTTGGTATTACACAATACGTAAACTACATATATCCAGCCAGTCACATAAAGACAAAATGCAGATGCAAATATTGAGAATGTCAAAGCAGTTTCTTTTTCAGGACACGGATCAACAAATCAGGAGTTGTTTATCGTAAGTGGTAAGCCAGGAATAAACCATTGGCTACCACTTGTAGCCCACCCATTGGAATTAATGAAGTAAAATGCTTAGGGGAATGACTATATGAACAGCTCCCACAGGGATTTTTATATATAGTTAATAGAGGAATAACTGATTCATGTTGCAGCTGTATGTACACTGAAGGAGACGAAAGTATGAATCATGCTAATGAGGTATACAATGGAAAGAAAAGGTCACAGGGTTCCTACTATATGCATCTGTATTCACACTATGAGGGCAGGGGGAGAATTATGTCATCTGGACAATTTCTGACATTTAACATTTGGAGCTCAGAGAAACTGTCGATGCAGTGCCCAGGTATCAGCTCTATATTAAGTCCATGTACAATTCGTCCCAAATGAACTCTGAGCACACAGATGCAAAAGGAAGTGAAGGAGTTCGATCTTACGAAGACATGGGTACCTGGTTTCACTACACACACACAGTCACACACAGCTCTCAATCACAACAGCCAACCATTCTGCCCAGATGATGCATTCTCACTCAGCAGGCTGAAATGGATTCTTGTTACAATCTCTAAAGAGGAAAAGCTTCAATCTGAAATCATGCCAGAGGCAATATAGACCCATGAGTTGTTTCCTAGTATACCTGTTGTGGGATTAATGAAAACCTAAATTACGATCACTGTCTATAGCTGTGAACCCAGACACCTCCATCACATACATACTCCTCTCTGTAAGCTACAGCACACACTTTTGACGGGATGCACACCTCACAGGGGCAGGGGAGCACACCTAACAAATCCCCTAACTGAGGAGGAGGAGCAGATAGGGCACAGGAACAGATAGGGCACAGCAGTCAAAGGGTGAACTCACCTGTACCTAGTGCTGCCTCCTAAATCTACTAGAATTTGAACCATGATCTCCTTGATACAACTATCTTGAATGCTAATCTATCTTTACATCAAGTTGGGATTACTTCCTTTGGCCTCACTCTTGCCATTTTCTAGCAGCGAGTTTGCCTAACTAGATCAACTGCATTAAGAACTAACCCCAGCGTACTTTTAGAAGTGAACCACAATGTCATGCAACATGCAATAAAGGCTTATGGTAAACTTTGTGGCAGCTTTTGTAATTAGAATCTAGAATCAGGATCCAGCTATCATAAAATTACCCCATTACAGAAGACAGGGGTTTCTCTCATTACAAGCATATGGTACAACTTTAAATTTTTACCAACTGTACAAAGATTTTCTTGGACTAGATGCCCAATTATTACCACATATAAAAGTACTTGAGATCCTTCAGTACAAAAACTTCCTCCAATGTTCAATGCTCATTACCTTCAAATAACTGCATGGAAGAAGAAAAGAAGAAAAGAAAAGCAATGCCATTGGTCTGTTTTGCTTCCCTTTCCCCTCTCAGTTGTGAGGGGGAAGAGCAAGGAAAAATAGTCCCATGTGAAACCTATCCCTATGCTCATTTCCTCAAAAGTATGCCTCAAGACTTATGAGACTTGCTTCCAAGTGCCTAGTCTGCAACTATAAACATACAATGCCTCATTTAGAAGCTAATGTAAGAACCAGATCCCATTATAGACAAAAAAACTACCGTAATTCCTTAGAGCTAAACTCAACAGCCACTTGCTCTACTGCCATTATAATCTGTTGAACTGCTACCATTCATTTCTTAAAACTGTTCCAAGAGCATACCTTATCTGCCAAACAAGTATATATTTACAATCTGTTTCCACACTTCTTTAAATTAGCATTATGCATTTGCATAACACTTTGGTTATTGTAAGATACAGTGTGGCGACTATCCATCTGGAAAAGCAGAATACTTAGTACTGTATGTTATCAGAAACCAATGACTTCAGAAGCACTACAAAAATGATATGGGGAAGCAAATTCACAACCATAACTCTATAAAATTTTGTATTATAGACAATTTTTAAAATTGAAAATGCATTAACACAAAGAAATTAAAGCCCCTCACAAGTGAGGGAGGGGGAGTACTCAGTAATGTGTTAGGTTTGCAAGCTGGAGAATCTGATGTCATGTGCATTTCAGTACTTTTATTCAATAAAGAACAAAGTGAGATTACATATTTTACAACTATGGAGTATACCATTCAGAACTCTACAGTGATAGCCTTCCAGTTTAATGGCAAGAATTACTATGTTACGGGGCTTCTCAACGTTCAACAACACAAATTTTGCTAAAAGTAGTCTGAACTACATCTCGCTTATTGATATACTTGAAGGAAATTAATGAAAATACAACCACATTCTAAAAAGCTGTTATTACTAATATGGTTCTCTCTCTAAAGAGAACTTTAAAAAACTTTAATGTCAACAAAGCAGCTTTATTGGTTCATATTTTTGTGATTAGGTAAAAGAAGCTTTTACCATTCTAACAAAACATATATTTCACCCTTGTACCTCAAACAACAAATCATTCACCAAGGGTATTGTGTTAGTGAGGAAATCGCAGCTGAAGACAGTTTACCAGGCATTGATAAGATGCTACAACAAACAAAACCTTCAGGGATGTCCCCAGCTTTAGAATAAGCCAAAACCACCCAGCAGTATTACAATCAGCATCATCCCCACACCAACCAATTAAAGAGATATCTCTACATCACACCTAAATAAGATCACCCTAGAATTGCTAAAACCCACAGATTCAGAAGTAGTTCCAAATCTACCAACGTAGGTTCAGTCTTCCCACCCTTTTAAGATCCCCCCCCCTTTAGGCTAAACATGCATTGGGGCGTTTGTTTATTTTACCATCTGTAATGTGGCAATGCCGCAAGGGTCAGGCTGCAACCCAGCCAACCAGCTCTGAAGACCAAGGGATTAGACTTCGACAATGCATGTCAACTTTAAAAGCGCGGGGGGCGGGGGTGAGGAGGCTTCTGCCAGCGTTGGACAAAAAGGGGTTTGCGGGCTAACATTTCCAGTTCCCAGCTTTCCAAAAATGATCACAAGCGTCAGGGAGAAATAAGAGGGAGAGCGCTTGTAAGGCAGAGAAGAGGGTGTCCTCACCCAAGCCAGGAATCCCGGGGCCCTTTTCTTGGCCTGTGTGACGGTGTCATGTTTTGCTCTGGGAGGCTGGCTCCAGGGAGCGAGAGAGAGATTAGAGCAGGCCTCCCCTCCCTCCCTCTCTCTCCGAGGGCCTGGCACACTAGTATCCAGCCTGCCGGCCTGCCCTCACACGCACTGGCTTTTCTCCCTCCTAAAGAGAGCTGCTGCCCGGAGAGGAGCCTTCTTCGCAGGGCTGGGTCACTTATTCTGCACAGGAAGATGCATTGGAATTCGCGCAGGCGCAGTCCCGCTCGGAATTAGCCCACCTTAAAATAAATAAATAAGAGAAAAAGGGCCGGGAGACCGCGGGGGTGGGAGGGTCGCTCCAGAAACTCCTCGACACCCCCTTGCCCCCCCACCACGGATTGCAGAGCTTTCCCCTCTCTCTGAAACCCCCCAAAGCGAGGGGGGAGGAGGATAGGTGTGGGGGGTCTAGGCTCCCACAGCGCCCCCTCCCAGGGACTGCCTAAAGGTTTCCCCCACCTCCCCATTCGCTTCCTCCTCCTGCTGCTGCAGCCCCCTCTCCTCAGCCGCTGCCCCCCCCCGAAGAGGGAAACACCCGCCCCCCCCGACAAACACGGGGCCTTTTTGCCGCGCGCCTCCCCTTCCCCCCCCCCCTCACAGGGGACAGCGTGGTTCGTGCGCCTCCCCCCCCCCACCGCACCCCGGCCTCCCCTCATTCCCTCACGACGACGGCGCCCTCTCGCCCGCCCGCCCGGCCTCCGTGAGGCAGCTCCAGGCCCGGAGAAGGAGGAAGGCGGAGGCTCCCCGCTCGGTCCGCTCACCTGCCCGCCGCGGCTGACAAGCCTCCCCCAGGCCGAGCGACGAGAGCCGGCCGCGAGCAGCAGCCCTTTCCCCCGCCCCGGCCGGGCTACGCTTCGCTCGGGGAGCGTCGTCGACGGCGGTGGCGGCAGCAGCAGGCGGTTGGAGGCGGCGGCAGTCCGGAAACGCCAACAGCAGGAGCGGCGGTGGCGGCGGCTCCTCAGCCGGGCGCCGAGGGGGAGAGGCTTGGGCGGGGAATGACAGGCTCGGGGGCGGGACCGAGAGGAGGAATGCGGGGGGAGGGGCCGAGCAGTGCTGCATTATTTATTAGTCCTAATACGTAGTCTTGTTTATTAGTAGTATTAGTGCTGCATTATTCATTAGTAACAAGTATTTTTTATTTTATTTTAATTAGGTATTCGTCTTCCGGAGGTGTGGCCGTGCTTATCTCATGAGGCAAAGAACAGCGAGTCTTCTGTCAAGTTAAGAGCGCAGTCCTAAGCATACCTACTCAGGGGTAAGTCTTACTGCATTTCAGCGGGGCTTACTCCCAGGTTAATGGGGTAGGATGCCTAACACATTTATTCAGGCATAAGAATATTGTTATTATTCCCTTCCAGAGGCGTGGCCGCGTTACGTTCTTGCAGCTGAAAACAACAAGTGGTGTGACATTTTAAAGGTGCCGGCCTAACTATGTCTGCTAAGAAGGGTAAGTCCTATTGCATTTAATAGGGCTTACTCTCAGATAAGGCTGCACAACACATTTACTCAGGCATAAGGTTATTATTATTGCCAACCACCGTTTTATTGTGTTTACATTAGTAACCCTGTTCCACAGTAGTTATTCATTAAAAACATGTAATATAAACATTAAAACAGATTAAATGTGACAACTCCCACACCCAGATGATTATGATTTATTGATTCGGCTTGCATCCCACTCTTCCATTTGAGAGCTCAGAACATCTTCAGTGAATATTATCATTACTCATCTTCCAGAGGTGTAGCCATGATAAGTGATTGCAGCCCAAAATGGGTCTTGTGGCAACTAAAAAGTGTTGTCTTAACCATGCCTACTCAGAAGTTAGTCTTATTGCTTTCAATGGGACTTATTCCCAGTTAAGTGGTTAGGATGCCTATTGCATTTATTACGGCATAAGCTCTGCCTCATTTATATGTATGATGTGGGCGTTGTTAACAGGAAGAACAGAAGTATCTGAAATGCTGACAATCACGTTATTGACAGTGGCCATTCACACATGCAAAGCAACAGTTCCTCTTGATAACACAGACATCTTTTTGGCATTGGTGTCAATGAACAGCTAGTACAATTAAAAAGCAAAACATTGTGTTGATTCAGTCCGCAAGTGACGGCACTGAATCTGCAGCGGTTTCAAGGTGCAGTCTCTTTTTGAAGTTCAAGGGTTTCTGCCTTAAGTTCAGTTGCCTTTCACAGCATCCTGGGAGGTTGAAATATTTTTGCGCTGGGGAAACAAGGCCTAGGGAATTAACTGGTCCCACAGGTTCTTTGGGTAGCAGGGCTTCTGGGACCAGCCCACCTTCCCGTCCCCTCCTGCATATGCCCTTTCCCTTATAAATCAGGGTCCTTGGCTCATCACCTGTGTAATGTTTCTGGGTCAACAACAGATATAAAAAGGAGATATAAAGATATAATTAGGAGTAGTTTTTATAAACAAGCTTTATTCAGAGTAGTCTCCAAGACCCTCTGCTGGAACTGAAACTCAAGGCCTAAGGAACGGCCCGGTGTCCTGTGACTCCAGAGTAAGTCATCAGATTGCCAAGCCTTTAACCTTGAATAAGTTATAAAATGTGAACAAAAAATGAAATGATTTTTTAAAGAACCCATAAGATTATTACTATAGACATATATGTTGTTTCTGCTGCATGAACTGCATAGACACAGATGTATCTACTATGGAACTCCAGTTGCTTTCACTAGTCTTTCTTGCTTTTGCTACATCAACATACAACTCATGTGAAATATCTTCAACAGTGTGCACCTGATTTTTCTTTCTTTCTCTGGCTTGGTAACACATTGCAAAATTATTCCCACAGTTAAAACAGCTCCCCCCCCCCCATGCTCAACGGTTTAGGACCATGCGGCATTCCACATTTTTTTGCATGGTTCTTTCTTTTGTATTCTTATTATATTTTAATTTATACCCTGCCTTTTTCCCTGACAGAATTTTAGGTGGCCTCTTCTCACAGTGAGAGAAGCTATTTCCACTTTTGAAACTAGCTTCCTTATACTCTGCTCCTTAATATGCAGAGTATGGACAATATTTCTGGCCTGTGCTTTTACAGTTCCTGAGGACCTGCAAATCTGAATAGTTTTGTCCAGGGGCAGATCCCTCTCATGCAACAGCTGCTCTCGGAGGACATTGTCTTTGATGCCACAGATTTATTTATGTTTATTACATTTATATGCCACCTTTATATTCTAAGCATATCAACATGGTGCACATGGTTCTCCTCCTCCCATCCTCACAACAACCCTGTGAGGCAGGTTAGGCTAAGATGATAACTGGCCCAAGGTCACCCAGTGAGCTTCATGGCTGAGTGGGGATTTAAACCCTAGTTTCACAGGTCATAGTCCAGCACTTTAACCATTGCGTCAGTTCCCTTCATTGGTCATTTTGTACCTTACAGCTTTGGCCAAATCAATCACTGTTTTGGGAAATGTAAAGCTAGGCACTGTAACATCAACATAGCTTCCTTACATTGTCATAACTTGGAGTTATTCTGGCATATGGGGCTCAGCAGCAATCATATCCTGCCAATATAACTTGGGGATAGAATTGCCCCATACATAGGAGCCAACTCCTAGGGGCTGAGGTCCCTTCCCCCCATAAAATATTTGAGGGCCCCCACAAAGTTAATGGGCATTGTCATTCAAATAGTGTGTGTGTTGCATCATGTGATCGATTATGCAGGGCTTACCTGTCCCCACCCTCATGTTTTATCCAAGTTGGCACCCCTGGTTCCATATATTAGTTAAACCATACTGGGTGCAAAACAGATTGCAGATTGCACCCAGGGCTGTTGGGACGAAAAACAAATTGTGTCTGTTCCCCCATTTAAAAATAAAAGCCAGAGTTGTTTGGGAAAGCAAGTCCCCTATGCAGCAGAGAGCAGAAGTAAAGAGATATGTGGTAGTCGTTATATTGGCAGAGATGAGGTATAAATTTAGCTGCTGCCCTAGTCAAGAGAAGCCAAATTGCCTAGCGAGTCTTAGTGTTTAACCCACCTAACCTGCAGAACCTGGATCCCATCTTTATATAACAAAAAAATCATCTCCTACCTCACCCCCGTGGCACACACCTAACTCTGCATAGGACCAGAAAGCACACTGATTTCAATTAAAGACTTACATGTATGTTTCTGACTCCCATCTTCTCTGCACGCTTACCTGGGATGAGCCTCATTAAGCTCAAGTAAACATGCCTAAGCTTGGGCTATTCTTTCTCACACTGAAATCCATTGAGCACTAGAAGTGCTCTGCTTTGGCCTTTAAAGATGGAGAAAGGACTGGCCATGCCATTTCAGAAATAAAACATGCACATTCCTTCATTTCTTAACATGTGTTCGTGTGGAAAGGAGTGAGGCCCAGGTTGTGAATTTGTGAGGAGCCCCGCAAAATACTCATTGGGTCCTGCATAGGCCTGTAGCTGGGGGCGGGGGGGTAACCCCCTGAATAATTAAATTTGTTACAGAAAAATTAAAAACAAACAGGAAATCCTTTGTTTTAGTTCTCAAGGGCACAAATGCTAATATTTTGGGGTGGGTTGGCAATGGAATCTGCCTAGTATGAAAACATCACATGAGAAGGGCCAGGAGGCAGAGCTTAAAATGGAAGGAATTTTGACAAGTCTGGTCAATTTGTTTTTAAGTATCTAAATTCACTGTTGAGGAACTCAGAAGGTAGGCAGAATTTCCTTGCCTGACAAATGAGATGGCAAACAAACACCTGCTATATGACTATGACATCCATTCAAAAGCTATTATTCTTCAAGGAGGTGGGATTCTGGGAGTTTCTGCTTGCTGGGCTGAGGAACTATTGGCCATGGGGGTGTATTTTTTATGTCTTGTCAGGTGGGGGTGCAAAGGATATGAAGCTATATTTTCCCCTGGGGGGAGGAAATGCAGGCCCCCAATTCATCACCACCATTATTACCATTGTAACTTCAAAGCAAACATTCATCATAAGTTTGTTTGCTGGAAGTAAACAGCAACTCTTCTGTGGAAGGCAAGGTGGTGGCACCATCCTTCCCTGATGAAGAGAACACTGGATCTAACCCTTTGTCTACTATCAGTAGACTGCTGTTTTGGAAGGAGAATGTACCACTGAGAAGTCAGCAAGAAATTCAACTAACTTGCACCAACAGAAGATAAAACCTATCCACTCTTAAGGAAATCAGCCCTGAGTGCTCACTGGAAGGACAGATCCTGAAGCTGAGACTCCAATACTCATGAGAATACGCCACCTCATGAGAAGAGAAGACTCCCTGGAAAAGACCCTGATGTTGGGAAAGATGGAGGGCACAAGGAGAAGGACGACAAAGGACGAGATGGTTGATAGTGTTCTCAAAGCTACCAACATGAGTTTGACCAAACTGCGGGAGGCAGTGGAAGACAGGAGTGCCTGGCGTGCTCTGGTCCATGGGGTCACGAAGAGTCGGACACGATTAAACAACAACAACAACAGCAAACCTGCACAGCCTCAAATTTCATCATACCCAGGGGTCTACAATGTTTGGCCATACATGGAAGTTCCAGTGTTCCTGTCTTAAATCTTAGGAGTGGCTGGAGTACTTCTTCATTATAGAAAAAAATCCTGTTGCAAACTCTGACTCAGCATTTGTAAATGCAGGAGACTCTGAAGGGAAGCAGGCAAATGTTTTCCAGGCACACAAAGTAAATTACCCATAAAAGTGCAATGGATAATTTTCAGAAGCAACAAAAGCGAGGATCAACAGGAGAAACTATTCAGAGGAAAAAATGTGTAGCCAAGTGGTGGAAAATAACAGATACTATGTGAAATGTATTGCTGGAGTAACTCAGTTTGCAGTGGTCAATCAGTTGTCTTTCAGGGGTGATTCAGGGTATGAACAATTAGGAGTAGATGCAGGTGGTTAGCTGAATTTTCTATGAGAAAATATTTTTAAAATTGCAACAAATTGTGAAAATGATTCCTGCAAGTGCTAAATATACTAGCCCTGAAATCCAAAATGAAATCCACAGCACAACTCAAACAGTTGTAGATTTTTTTCTGGAGCAAATGGTTTAAAGTACTTGTGTTGTGTTGTTGGTTGATGAGACTAGGGACAAACAAGGCGTTGAAGATACAGGGTTATTCCTGATTTTTTAACAACCTTTTTTTGTGTTAATTGTTGGCAAGATAATTAAGAATTGTTGAAGTTGCTTAGTGAAAATGTTTGAATGTGCCTAAGTTGCAGGACAACTCCAAAAATAAGGGTTAATGAAAAACATTTCACAGTTTTGTCTTTAAAAGGACCTGCCAGATTTTGATGTGTTTTTAATCTTTGTTGGAAGCCACCCAGAGTGGCTGGGGAAACCCAGCCAGATGGGCAGGGTACAAATTATAAATTATTATTATTATTATTATTATTATTATTATTATTATTATTAACTGTCCCCTTAAACTGCTCCATTACTTTTTGTCCATCCCTTCCCCCGCCCCCAAACTTTTAAACTGGCTTCAAGCCCAGTCCTGCACCAGGATGTTCCCAATAGACCGTGCCAAAAATGTACTTGGATATTCTGTTACGTTATATTGAAAAAGGAGAAACAGTCGTGTGTTAGTAACTAGATGATAAGATGCAATGTTGAGATAATACAAAGGGGTGTGAAGCAGTGGTACATATTATACTTTTGTGGACTCATCCTTCCAACACAGTGTTTCCCAAACTTCCAGTAGCTAAGAGCAGGATCCATTATGGAGATGTGGCAGAATCACCTACCACCAGCAGATAGGTGCAAGCCCAGAGCAGCATAATCACTCAGGGAGGCAGCGGACAGCTTCCTCTGGGGTTGGATGCTTTGGGAGTGATTTCTTTCTTGCAGTTTGGGAGTTCTCGATCTCATGAATGGATGCCTAACTTGCTATCGCTGAACAATGCTGTTTGACAATGCTGCTGCACAAGCCAGCTGGTCTGTTAAAAGTAAATGTCAGAAATAATCTTTTCCAGCCATCAGGGCAGGAAGTGTGCCATTGTTCTGCTATCCTGGCCAGCTAAAGCCCTTTTTTTTTCAGAGAAGTGGTTTAAAGTTATTTGTTGCTAGATGAAACTGCTGACCCACACTTGTGTCCCTAGGGGTATGAATAACAAACTATTCATCAAGTATTGTCCTGGTCAGCTTTACTGTAGGAAAATGTTTGAGGAGGCGGTGATGGCTGGCAGCCTAGAAACCCACATCACTCTCCAAACAGGGCTGCTAGCCATGGCCATAGGCAGGCCCCTCTCCATATATCTCTGGAATGGCAAGTAGGGGCTGGATTTGGCCCTGGGTGTTAGTTTATTAATATATGGCCTGGGGTTCCACTGAAAAATGATTGCCTCTTAATTCCTTTCCACCAAACAACAGAATAAACACCTGGTTGATAGAACTGGAAGGCATCCAACAGGACGTTTAGTTGATCCCATGCTCCGAGGCAAAACATCCTCTACTTAAAAGCATCCCTCGTAAATATTTGTCCAACCATACTGAAAACCTCTCAGTTTATTTCAGGGCTGAACCACTCCTAAAAGCAGGAAGCTTTAAGTGACATTTCATTTAAATCTGACCTCCTTCCGCTGATTTTCTTGCCTTATCCACTGGAGTTGACCTTTTTCCTTTTTCACCTATTATTTGCAAACTGTCAACATACATCCAACATTCATATTCTTTCTCTTGTCTGAACATGCCCAGTTACTCCATCCCTTCTCAGTGTAGTTTGCTGTTTTATCACCAAGCAGGTCTCCAGGACTTGACCTCTGCAGCATACGTCCCCCAGCCATCTTCTCCAGTGCCATCCCCTCTCACCTTTAGAGATGGACTGACACAAAGAAATGGAGCATGCGCATGATCTAAGACAGGAGGGAGGGCCACATGTCTCTGCACAGAGGGACGCATACGGCACACCCCACCCAAACAGTCCAAACACATGCCCACACTGCATATCAACAACTCACAAATTCACACACTTTGCATGGAAACACACCAAACTCTCACACTCCTGCCCTCTCAGGCACTCAAATGCAGGCACACACACATAGCTCTCTGTCGCACGTGCGCGCTCCCTCCACCTGTGAAGTCTGCAATTGGTTAAGAATAAAATACATATTTTCTCCCCACTCCCTGCCTCCAATCACAGTGCTGCAATGGGGAGGTATGCACCTGCTAAAGATAAAGGTAAAGGGACCCCTGACCATTAGGTCCAGTCGTGACTGACTCTGGGGTTGCGGCGCTCTTCTCGCTTTATTGGCCGAGGGAGCCAGCGTACAGCTTCCAGGTCATGTGGCCAGCATGACTAAGCTGCTTCTGGCGAAACCAGAGCAGCGCACGGAAACTCCATTTACCTTCCCGCTGCAGCGGTACCTGTTTATCTACTTGCACTTGACGTGCTTTCGAACTGCTAGGTTGGCAGGAGCAGGGACCGAGCAACGGGAGCTCACCCTGTCGCGGGGATTCAAACCGCCGACCTTCTGATCGGCAAGTCCTAGGCTCTGTGGTTTAACCCACAGCGATACTGGCCATCAAATTGTGGACTTAATTAGAGACCCAACAAGACATTCAGCATTGCAAAGGGGCCATAGCTCAGTGGCAGAGCATGTGCCTTGCATGCAAAAGGCCCCAGGTTCAATCCCAGGGGCAGCATCCCCTGGTGGGGTTGTGAATCTTCCCTGCCTGAAACTTGAAGAGCTTCTGCCAGTCAGTTTAGACAAGGGTGGGCTAGATGGACCAGTGGTCTGACTCAGTATACGGCAGCTTCCTGTGTTCCTAACACAATCACACACTGTTGCTGTACAATCTCTATGCCTGTTAGAAATATGGTGGTGGTAATTCAATGCATTATGTCTAGGGCGGTACTTTGATTGTGGTGGTCTGAATCCCAAGTGACCTTCCTTCCTTCCCATGTTAGCCAGATCAGGGAGCAGACAGGGGATGTATTTGTACTAAAGAAGAACAATGTCCTGAACACATGTATTGTTCTCATTTTGTAAGACACAGTGATTCAGATGTCTCGAGTCTTGGTTATTTTGCTGGTTTCCATCATGAAACCATTAGCAAAAAGGAAGTCTTTTGCAAAACCACAAAAATGCAGTTTCCAACCTGATGTGTCTGGGAAAGTAATTTGCATGACTTTTGAACTTCAGAAGGAGCCAAGTGCATTCTGTTTGGCTGACTGAGATATGGTTACATTTTATTAAATGCCAGCAGTGGTCTTGATGCTGTTTGGGATGTGACAGGAACATGGAAAACTGGTGGCCCCAAATATGCCGCTTGAGAGAGACAGTGCTTCCTGGACCCAATACAAGAGCATCGTTGCCCCACCTCACACTCCCTTGCTGCATCAAAATGATGTTCCCAGTAAGCCTCTACTTATCACACACCTGCTCCTCCTAAGTGCAGGAAGCCCTTTCTCCATTCCCCTCAGTCAGAGAGAGAGGAGAGAGGCTTTGTTGGTGGCATGGGAGTCCTGGAAATGTTAGGCCCATGGGCATAGCCAAGTGGGGCAGGCAGAGGCAGCTGTCCCCCCCAACAATAAAAAAAATCAATAAAAATGCATAGCTAACTGAGGTTCTGCCCCCCCACTTGCTACACCCATGGTTAGGCCCCAAGAGTGCATGCTGTTTGTCTGGCCTCTCTATGGCACTTCTTAATTGCCACTTTGGCAGAGGACTGTAGCTCAGTGGTAGAGCCCGTTTTGCATGTAGAATGTCCAGGGTTCAATCCCTATCGTCTCCAGGTAGGGGCTGTCTGAAAACCGTAGAAAACTACTGCCAGTATGGAGCTAGCTGAACCAAGGTCAGAAGCTAGATAAAGCAGCTTCTGATGTTCCTATGATGCTTTTAATGTACCGACTTAGAGAAGCCTTCCACTACCTGGTGCCTCCATCATCCCCAGCCAACATGGCCATTGTGTTGTTGCATATGTGTTTGCCGTTTGGGCCCTGACACCCAGTTAGTTTGCTGTTAGGAAACAGTACGAGTGTTGCTGCCAGTACTGCAGCCTCCTGGTGCTCATCTTGCAAATCGTTTGGGACCCGGTTATTAGGAGGACCCTCAGTAGAGCTGGCCTGTCCATGAGGCAGGATGAGACAGTCACCTCAGAAAACAGATTTGCCTGTTGTCACACACCTCCTACTCCCTGGACTGCTTTGGGCAGTGTGTGTGCAGGCAGGTGGCGGACGGTGGCCTTTTCAGTTTGGCCTAGGGTGGTGCAACGTTCTGGGCCCAGCCCTGACCCTCAGCCAGACCTAGAGGCCTCAAGGCCTTCCCCAACCCCATAAGAACTCTTTGAGAGTTACAAAAGGCAAGAGGCAGATTCTGATCTATGCTGGGATGGGCTATGGCAGCTCCAAGCTCTTGCAGAGCATAATAATGTCAGTGGGCATATGCTAGACCTGGTTGCCTCAAAGCCATTAGGCACCCACATGCAGCCCATGACCCTCCATAGACTCCAGTAACACCTCCTATCATTATTAGTATTATTAATTATTTTCTAATCAGACTTGAGTTACAACTACTGTATATTGTTTTAATTGTGGAAATTAAAAATCTTACCTGTGTGCTGAAACCTGTACAGAACCTAAAACTGAATATTTATTCAGAAGGCTTACACCATTAGACAGACTGCATTGTCTGCATTACACAGACAAGATTATGATATGCGGAGAACATGTACAAAACAGAATTTGCACGTTGGAGTTTTTTTGCATTGATACAAAGTCTGCACTGGCATCTGCTGGCCAGAACAGAATATTGCATGCAGCAAATTCTGCACCTGTAAAATCCTCGCACCAACCACGTCATGCAATGTTGCTACCCTGATGTCACTTAATAGTAAAAATGGTATACATAGAGAGGGAGGGAGGGGGGAAATACTACACATTATGTGTGCTGCTGTGGCATGCATTATGCTTATTTTTCCAATTTTTTATTGAAGTAAAGCAAATAAAATCCTGATGTCACTTAATCACAGTAAAATTGCGGGGGGGGGGGCAGATCGGCATCTCTGCACAGTGAGTCTCATGTTTGTAAAATAAATTGGTTTTAAAAATTTTTTTACTTCTTTTTAATGGCTTGACAAATTATTGTTTTTAAAATGCCCCCCGCCCTTGTTGGTGCTAAAGCCACTTTCTTCTTCCTCCTCCTTGGTATTTTCATAAAAGAATAGCTGTGATTCCACGTATCCCATACCTGGCAATGAAGGGTTGCATTCAATTGAAATTAATGGACCTAAGTTAGTCATGCTCATTCACTTATCTACTCATGAGTAGGACTAGCACTGGCTACAGCCCAATAGGTGGAATTCAGTGTCCTGCTAATACCATCGTCCCATCATTTCTGCTTGCCAAATGGATCAATCTCTCCCCATGCAACAAACTGTTCTGGGAGTTTTCAATACACCGCACCTCTGCCACTGTGAAGCCATTGGAGGGTGCAGGGGAAGAAGGCAGAAAGCCCCATTGTGCTAGCATGACTTGTTGCCCTGGCTCCCACTAGCATAACTGTTTAGTTGAATCCTGCCCTCCAAGCAGTCTATATTCCAGACTGAAGTTACTGTTGTGAAATCATCAAATGCAAAGAGAGATATTGGGGAGGTAGCTACAATCGCTCTCTGCATACTCACACCATTTACTTATGAGGCTTATAATTCTGAATCATGTCTCAATTTTAACTCCTTAGGGCACAATATTGCCAGCACCCTTACAAGAATAAAATAAATAAGCACCTCTGTTCTACCATAATTCAAAAGTATTTGACATCTATGACCATCTATGACAATAATATTTGAATTTTCATTCATGTTGGGCCTTTAAATAAAGTTCGTTTTTGGATCAAGGGGAGTGTTTTCTTTTTACTTCTCTCTGTATAGTTAACTAGAAACAAAAAGTGCTGTTTAATAATATTCTAGTAAAAAGGGGAAAAAAGAAAAGGCTTGTTAGTAATGAACTCATTCTTATGCATTTAGCTCGGTCATATTTTTTGACATAGTCACATTTATTTAGGAAAACAAATAGGGATCCCCAAAAGAGCTGTGCAGAGGGTGCCATGGGCCATAAATCTGTTGCTGTTTTAGTGGGAATCTAAAGATTACAAGCCTTTCTTTTGCTTCATTCTGAGTCAAGCCACCACCTAGCTAAACCTGGGACCTCATTGTGGATGCTCAGGTTACCCACACATGAGATGTAGCAAACAGCAGTATTTATTGGAATAAATAAACAAAAATAACAGCACACATATACCATGATGTTCAAAACTCCCCACTTCCTCCTAATGTCTAGATGTGTAAATGCAAGTCCACATCCTCGTCTTCCCTCACGGGTAACTCCAGGAGACAATATTTTACTTGGATAAGCACACTTTGCTTTACAGTGGTACCTCGGGTTAAGTACTTAATTTGTTCCAGAGGTCCGTTCTTAACCTGAAACTGTTCTTAACCTGAAGCACCACTTTAGCTAATGGGGCCCCCTGCTGCTGCCGCACTGCCGGAGCACAATTTCTGTTCTCATCCTGAAGCAAAGTTCTTAACCCGAGGTACTATTTCTGGGTTAGCGGAGTCTGTAACCTGAAGCGTATGTAACCTGGAGTGTATGTAACCCGAGGTACCACTGGTACTTGCCAAGATACAAGAATTGAGGGTGTTGCAGTAAAGCAGATCCAGCAGGTGGCAGCAAACAGGTTTCCATGACACTTGATTTTCACAGCTTCAGTCATAAGAACTTGAGAAGAGTCCTGCTGAATGAGACCAAAGGGTCCTGTTTTCACAGTGGCCAACCAGATGCTTATGGGAAACCCACAAGCGGGACCTGAGAGCAACTCCACCAGGCCGTTGGGGTCCATGTGTGCATGTGTGTGTATTCAGCAACACAGTATCTCATTGATGCAATAATAGTGCATTAGTGATGGATTTATACCGGACTGTCCACACATTCTGTTTTATTAGTTGTCCTGCAATGCTTCCCTATGTTCCCATCTGGAGGGACACTCTTGCACTGCAGCACAAAAAAGTAAAAAATCTGGAACATTTGTGGTATTAACTTATTATTATTATTAATGTCATTTCTTTACCACTTGATATTTTTTAGGGGAAAAAATAATCTTAAGGCAGTTCACAATCTACATTAAAACATCAAATAAAACAATCCAGAATAAAACATTACTGAAGAACATTATTCAAAGCAAGGTAATTAACAGGAAACTAAAATGCTATCTTAAAGATTTCAAATTAAAACATTACAAAGGAGATCAACGGCAAAGGGGGTCAACTACAGAATACACATCTAAGCTAGTAAAGTGAACAACAAACTTATCTTAAACATTTCCAGAGAAAATATTACTAAAGGAAGTCAAATATAAAATGCACATTTAAAACAGCATAATTAGCAAGACAACAAAATATTATAATAAAAATAAAACATATATGCTGCTGTTGCTGCCAATCCTGCCAATGGTGGTTTATGGCGGCTGGCGGCTGTGGAAGCTCAGACTTGATGACCTGGGTCTGCACTAAGAGACAGCCAAGATGGTCTCTGACCTCTTCAGCAGCCTGTTGGGGCCCCACTCTACCAGGACAGGTGGAAAAGGGCCAGTAAGGCAGGGAGCATGTTTTTTGGGAGTCACAGCCTGGAAAATGCAGAATTTCAGCAGGAAATTTCAGGGCATGCACTGATTGGAAACGAAGGCGTGTGCCCACCCTAAAACCTTTGCCTAGTAGGAAGCGATCTCTAGTTACTCTTTACTTAATACCTAGGAACCTGTGTGTTTTGTTGAAGGCTGGAGCAGATTTGGCTAGGGGTGGGTGCGTAGCTGTAGAATGTGACTGTGTGTATTTTTGGAGCAACTCCTGCAGAGATGCTACCAGGCTGGTGGTCAAGCTTCCCCCTGCCCACCTGATCCAACTACCCTGAGAATCACTGTTATTTTATTTAGTATTTATATATATATATATAATTATATGCTGCTCTTCAGACAAAACATCAGAGTGGTTTACAACACTTGTACCTAAAAACCATACGTTAAAAAGTTAAAATCACAAATCAGCCACTGTGGAAGGATGTCTTCTGGACTGCCTGGCCTCGCCCCTTCCCCCGGAGGAAGGCAGGCAGGCAGGCAGGAGGAGCTGCCCGGGTGGGCACTCCATCAGAGACGCGCCCGGCAGCCTCCTCTCCCCGCGAGGGCGGGGCCTCCTCGGCCGGCTCGCCACGGGGCGGAGCCTGCTGGGCAGAGGGCCGGTCCGCCCGCCCTCCGCGCCTCCCGCTCAAAAGCGCCTGCTCCGCCCGCCTCGCCTCCTCCTGCTCCGCCTCCGCTTCCCTCTCGGCGCCCGCATCTCCCGCTCGCTAAGCCCGCCACCGCCGCGACGCGCTCCGCCACTCGGCATCATGGCTCTCTCCGCCGACGCCGCCTTCCAGAAACTGGCCGCCTGGCACAAGGCCCACGGCGCCCAGCTCGTCCTCCGACAGCTCTTCCAGGCCGACCCGGAGCGCTTCAGCAAGTTCAGGTCGGTCCCGCGAACGCGCAAGCGGCGGGGCCCGACGGGCGGGCTGCTGCTCGTCTCTGGCCGCGCCGGGACTTGTCTCTCGACGGCCATCGCGGGGCAGGGGCACCTGCGATGGCCGGGCAGCTCCGCCCGCGAAGCGGCGGCTTGCAAGCGGGCCCCGGGTCGCAGGACGCGCTGCAAAAGCAGCTCCGGGCTCGCCTGATCTTCTGTAGCCCCCAGGCAGGACGGGCGCGCCGTCGGGGCCGCTCCGGTGGCCGCCCGCCTGCTTGCCCTTGACTCCTCCTTGCAACGCGCTACGTGCGGACGGGCACAGCCGCGGCTGCCGGCAGAGCGAGAGGGGCATTGTGGGCCGTTCGCGCGGGAGGCTTCTCTTGCTGAGTCACGGCGAGCCGCCTCGCCTCTTCCTCCAACAACCCAGGGGAGGCCGGGCCTAGGGGGGCACTGCCCCACCGACCTCGGCTAGCCCCCCACCCACCTGCTTTCCCGGCTGCCTTTTTGCTTACTTAACAACCAGCCATAGGGACGGCTTTGCCTGCCCCATTCCTCCTCCTCCTCCTCAGAGGTGCCCGAATGGAGCTGAGCAAAGAGCAGGTTGGGGACAGAGTCTAGAAGCGTTAAGTATTGGCACTTGCTGCTGGTCTCCCTAACTCCTGCCCCACTGCGCCAACCCCCCTTATAAGGGGAAGTGGGGAACGGGCTATAGCTTGACTCGTGCAACAGATTCATTCAGCATCTCAAACTGCTGTGCACGTGGACCTTTCGGGTCTTTCTCACCTGCTCCAGGTTGTCGCTCAGAATTGGGCTCCTCCACTTTTTCCATACTGAGGAGCCAGGAGCTGGAGTGATGATGGCACGTTTCCCTGACATTGAAGGGGAGGGGGGCTGGGGAAGAGATGAGCATTGCCATTTAAAAAAATAAAAATAGTTCCAGGTTACAGCTATTATTTTGTCCAGCTCTCAATAATAAAAGACAGCTAAGAAATTTGGTTCTAAACAAATTGTGACAAATCACCTTAAGATTTTTTGGAGTGGCTCTGAAAGAATCCATTTTGTGATTTAGTAATTACTTGAAACTTAAGATCCTGTAGTGCCAGATTTTGCAAGTTGGTATGGAAAGAATAGAAACTGATTGGTGAACTACTTGGCTTCATTTCAAATTGTTATGTGTTTGACTTGTGGGCAGAGTAAGCCCCCCCCCCCCCCCCTTGAGCAATCAGGTCTTAGCCAGAAAAAGGCCTTCAGCCAGATAACTTCCTCTAGATCTTTTGGACTGCAACTCCCATCGGCTCCAGCAAAGACACCTATTTAATACCAGTTCTGATGTGGGTTGTAGTCCAAAACAGTTGGAAAGGGCGCCAGGTTGGGGAAGGCTGGCATACTTGCTATCTGACAATTTACTGAAAAGGGTTGGACTTGGGACCTTTTGCATAGGAAGCATGGGCTCTCCATTGCTGAGCTGTGGCTGGTGTAACAGAAGACGCCTGCAGCACACAACCAAGATTGCTTCATAATTTGTCCACATATGAAGCCCAAATTAGGAGACTGATTCTGTCGTGCAAAATAAATGCAAAGGGAAACTTAGCAATTGGGGGTTTTTGGGAGTTGCGGAGTGGGTTGAAAACCAGAGTCAGTTGCATTGCCATCGTTTCCAAGCAACTAGAATTTTTCTAGTTTCCATTTACTCTTTAAAAACAGGGAGCAAATTCTTGTCCATTGACACCTTGTTTCAGCTTCTACTCCTTTATATATAGCACAATCCTATCTAAGCAAGCCCCATTACCAGGAAATGTTTTAGGAATGTGGCATTAATAATGCTACCTGTGTATAAGTGGCAGACCATTAGATGACATTTTGCACATTGTGGAATCTGCCCTAAGTTTAGTCATATGGCTTAGGACAGTAAAATGATCTGTAAATGTTTCCTCTTGAGGTTGAATTTCTGCCTTTATATCTTGAGGACTAGGCGATGATTGTGCTTTAAAATGGAAATTAAGTGATGTGACTCCTGGTTTCCATCTGATTCTGTCTATTCCTGACATAGAGCATATATGAGTGCCTCATCTTTCTCTAATGTGGAAATTTTGCCTCCTTATTTGAGGGCACTTCCACTATTCAGGTGGGATTCAGTCGCATCCTGGCAAATATCAGGTTGTGGAAAGAAAGCTGATTTGGAGCTTCTGCACAACAAATAAGGGACTTCTTGCTATAAGAAAAATGCGGAATGACACTTGTATTAACATCGTTGTCCAGCCTCCTTCAGACAAATCCACAGATGACCCGCATTGTCTAATGCCCCTGCAAATATGGAAGGCAGCTCAATAAACAGGTCATCTGTGACCCCAGCAGCATCCATGTTCCTTATTTTATAGCATATGGGAGGGGAGCCTGGTGCTCTTTCCCGCTTTCCCTTTCAGCTCTATGTGCTTGCATGTGCTTCTGAAGGATCAGCCAAATTTTACTGGATCTGACATTTACCCAGACTGTGTGTGTGCGTGCGCACACACTATGTTTGTTTGTTTAATAATTTTTATTGCAGCTTTCAATGCAAACAACACAATAAAAGCTATAAAGAATGAAATACAAATGCAGATTAAAAAGGCAAATAAAATCTGCACATAGAGGTTCCATATTTCATAGCAATTAATTGAAGTAGGTTCCATATTTCATAGCAATTAGTAGATGACTTCTCCACTCCATAAACAAAGAGGAGCAAGGCTCAAACATCATAGTACTAAGGTACATTGAAGTATAATAGGCAAATAAGCTTTATCTCTGTCTACCTCTTGATTTATCAGTGACACTCATAGTCACAAGTACTATATTAGTAACACCAATATTGATGGCCCTCCGTATGTGCACATGCTATTTGTCTCTCTGTGGGGAGGCTGATCCAGGTGAGGAGGGTGAAAAATGACGGAAGGGTGTGGGGTCAGTGGCACTTGCTCAAAAAGCCAAATGTGCCCACAGGCCTAAGAAGGTAGGAGATCCCGGATCTAGATGAAGAGGCCTGGTTAAATGAGCCTTTTGCCTCTGAATGGCTAGCCCTATCATCACCTAAGGATGCTTCACACATGATTGCTTGCTTTTCTCCACATGTGGATGCACTGAAATACATGTGTCTGCACTGGTGTCACAGATGTACATATCATGCATGTGATAACTGGTATCGTATGCACCTCCTGCGATTGGCCTTTACCTCCCAGCCTTCATAATATAAGGTTTTTGTAACTTAAAGCATCATCACTTCGTCTCTCACACATGAAGCAGCTTTCATTTTAAACTTTTGTAAAATCTTATCAGTAAAATGACATGCAAAGCAATATCTTGGTTACCCTGAGTGTGTTCATAATAAGTTTCATAAGGCTGGCATTTGTTGCAAGAGTTACCTAACAGCTTAAAAAGAAAGACCTTTGGGTAGGTTTTACAGTTGCACCAAGACGTTTACCTCCTACTGGTCATTAGACAAGGGTAATTTTCTGATCTACACTGTTCTGTGAAACATAATTTATTACATTCGTTTCCCTCTTCTTCTAGGAAGCTTAAGGTGTACAATATAGTTCTCCCCTCCATTTGATCCTCTCAGCAACTCTGTGGAGTAGATTAGGGGCTGAGAGTCAGTGACAGGCCCAAGGTCACTCAGTGAGGTCCAGGACTCGGCAGAGCTTTGAACTCTAGCCTCCCAGGTAGTCCAGTACTCATAACCACAATCTGGGAATGTGCAATCCCAGTCAAGGAAAATTTTGGGAACCACTGAACTGGCACAGTTTCCTTAAAAATAATGGAAGGAAATAATTTCTTTCTAATGGCTGGTTGATTTTTCCCATGCTCACCTATCCAGGGTACCTTTTATTTTAGCGGCCTGACTCGATTCCATTTCATTCAGAGCACTTGAAGAGCAGATAGTGGGCAGACTGGCCATTATTCCTCCTATTGTAGAGTTCTCTGCGAAGTGAACACAACACGTCTGAGCATCAGATCAAGTTTTGATCTCTCATGTGACTGTTCTAAAGAAACAGCCCACCCACCCAGTGCCCCGCATTGTTTCCCAATGCCTGCTTAATGGTAGCTAGAAGGTTTGATTTCAGATGAGTTTCTTCATCTGTAAAATGGAAATATGGGTGATTTTATGTGCCTCAGTTTTGCTGAGAGTAAGGAACTGTGTTTGGGGTGGAGTCTTGTGGAAATTTTTTGAATCGTCATGAATTTTTTTGCTGCAATAAATTGGTAGCAATCTAATGTAACATATTATTCAGCTGACTTTTTATGTATGCCATATAACTTCTCTAGGTGCCAAAAGTAGTTAACATAAATGCTTGATCAGGGACAAAACTCAATAAAGTGGACTTGGTGTTGCCTAAATGTTACACGTCAACAAAGTCAATTATTTTTAGGGGTGGGTTACTGTATATATTTTAAGGCAGGGCAAGTCAAAAGTGTAATTTACCTTTATTTAGATCTAAAAAGGAAAAAAATACTGTAGGAAACTAGTAGCCCGTGATTCTGTGCCTTAAGAACACAAGAAGAGCCCTGGCAAGATCAGGCCAATGGTCCATCTTGTCCAGCATCCCGTTCTCACAGTGGCCACTGAGATGTTGGTGGGAAACTCTCAAGCACAAGAGCATTCTCCCCTCCTGAAGTTTCCAGCAAGCGGTGTTCAGAAGCATTACTGCCTCTGATTGTGTAGGCAGAGCATGTCCATCAGGTTTACTAGCCATTGGTAGCCTTGTAGTTGCCACTAGCTTGTTTTCTGCACGGGGTGGGGAGACTATAGCTATTTCCTGCAGACAAGCAGATGGGTGGTGAGTTGCAATGGATTTAATCAGGTAACTGTTTGGTACCTGTTGGAAGCTTGAGTGTCAATGTGTATCTGTCCATGTTGTGTGAATGCTTCATTCTGAGACACCCGTGGAGGCATTTCTCTCTTGCAAATTCTGGGGCCTTGTGTGCAATAATCCTGTTCATTGAAAGGTAGCAGGTGGGTCATGTTCTGCTTCCTGCCCATCCCAGTATTAAGATCACCTGGTTGCCTGGCTGGTTGCCCAGATTCTTGCAAAGGCTAGATGGAGCTTTGTCTGGTCTAGAAGGGATCTGTGCTCTTGGGCGAGGTGGGCATTCATGGGATCTCTTAATGCAGATTTGTTATGTTAAAGAGGCTTTGAGTATGCATTCTTCCTTTTCAACTGTCACAACGCATCGGTGCACCATGGGGATGATAGTAAAAATAGACTCTGCAAGGCTGAAATGAGCCCATCCCTGGAATTATTCTCAACTGCCTCCAGGGTGTGTGGTGTTTTTGAGGAACCAATAAAATGCTGCTGGATGTCATGCAAGAAGCTGGGCTGCTAGAGTGATATTAGTGGCTTGCTGAGCTAGAAACTTGCCTAGAAGCTGAAAAAGCTTTATAGGATGCCCTGCCTTCAAGACACCTTCTGCGCCATTTGAGGCTTATATAGAGCAGTTGATACATTCTGGAATAATTGATAAATAAACCAAAACAGTTTAATCTTCAAACCACACTGAACTGCTATCCCTTCCGCTGACCCATTAGTGCCAGTATAGGGCTTTTGTTTTAAGTCAGCTGCCTTCCCTAACCTGGTGGCCCCCAAATGTTCCACATCCCAGCCATGATGGGAATTGTAATCCAAAACATCTGGAGGGCACTAGGTTAGGGAAGGATAGTTTGAGTGATGTGCACCCTGCCTGTCAACCTGCTGGTATTTCACATAATTTGTTATATCACGTAAAGAAACCCCCAAAGCTGTTTGCAACAAGAATAAAACAATAAAATAAGTAAAAATGTAAAAACAGTTACTGTTGAAAAATAATTTAAATCCATGACAAGCTAAAAGTAGATTCAAGCACATGTTAACATTCTAAATATCTGAGTAGGCTTGTCTAAACAAAGAGTGGAACCTGCCACTAAAAGATTGATTTCCTTTTATATTTCACCTATAGTTTACTTTTCTTAGCTGTGTGGGCATGCAGAACACACACACACCCTAGGCGTCTCAGAGGCCTTGTTTGATATTCTAGCCTTTCACTGCTTGCTTAAACTCATTGAAAAGCTAAGTCCCCATGGCCTACCTTCAGGAAACAGCAACTGCTGAAATGACCTTACTCTTAATGGATGCTAGTCTACAGAGAAGGCTTTTGGAGCAGGGACTTCCCTGAGCAACCTTTGTGCAGAGAGTGTGTTATGTTCCCCTGTCCCCAAACCCCATTTGCTCAAAATCAAAAATTTGTTGTTTGTTGGGGCTTGTTTCTTTCCTATTTTGGACTTGCATTCAGTGGTTCACCAGAGGTAGGCCAGCATGATGGTGCTCTAGTTTTAGACAGAGACCATTTTCAATGCGCCTCTTCTATTTTTCAGCATAGCAAGGATGTCCTAACAAAACGAAATTAATTGCGCTTCCCTTTTCCTACCATCTATCGCAGCCATTCTAGATGGCTGTCATGAACTTATAGCTGCTGACAGATGTGACCAGCTAAGCCGCCCTTGGGATTAGATACCACTGATTGTGGCTTCTTACATGGCATGCTTTTCTCTACTTTTTAACCCTCGTTCATCATCTGTGTTGCACTCCTCAGAACAGTTGCAACACTGAAAACTTCACTATTCCACTAGGCATATGTGGGCAATTCAGAATTCATCTTTCCACAGAGTTGATTGATGTCTGATTTTAATTACTATTGTTTTTATTGTATCGTTTTATATATTATTGTAAACTGCTTGTTAAGATACAATTTTTATTGTAAATCACTTTGATATTTTTCTGTGAAATAGCAATATATTAATTTTTGACTATCACTTTAGACTGCAGGTGGAAATCACTTTTTTTTTAAAAAATGCTCTGTGATATGTAAACATTTTAATATAAAAGCTAGAAAAATATTACAGGTTCCTAAGCATCTGGCTCGAGCGTAAATTATTGCACTGGGTCAGACTTATGGTCAGTCAATCCTAGTCCTGTCAACTGATTAGCAGTAGCAGGCATGGCATTCTACCTTTTTAGATAGGGGTGGGCAGTAGGTAGATCTCTGGGTGTTTTGCTATAGGCTTTCTGACTCCCAATTGTTTAGCAGTAGCAACCACAAACCAATATTCCTTTTTTTTTTTTAAGATATTTATTAAAATTTCAAAAATAAAAAAGAAGTTACAATAGTAATAATAAGAAAAAGAAGGAAAAAAGAAAAAAGGAATAAAAAAGAAAGAAGATAATACAAAATACAAAAAAGTAAAAACAATTAAAAACAAATCAATCTTTCCATATCTTGTCTTTCATTCACTTGTTTCCCTGACCTCCTCACACCTCCCCTTTTTGTATTCCAGTTCAGTAAGTTAATTCAGCAAATCCTTTCCCTCTTTGTTTTTATCTTAGTCCTTTGTCTTAATATGTAATACCTGTATATTCTCATCTGTTAGCGGTCCATTTTTACATACTCCTTGTAACATTGCTACTAAAAACCCCTTAGCTTCATTCCAACATCATTCTAACATTCATTAATTTTACAGTATTTCTGTAGATAGTCTTTAAATTTCTTCCAATCTTCTTCCACCGACTCTTCTCCCTGGTCTCAGATTCTGCCAGTCATTTCCGCCAGTTCCATATAGTCCATCACCTTCATCTGCCATTCTTCCAGGGTGGGTAGATCTTGTGTCTTCCAGTACTTTGCAATAAGAATTCTTGCTGTTGTTATGGCATACATAAAGAAAATTCTATCCTTCTTTGGCACCAATTGGCCGACTATGCCCAGGAGAAAGGCCTCTGGTTTCTTCAGGGATGTATATTTAAATACCTTTTTCATTTCATTATAGATCATCTCCCAGAAAGCCTTAATCCTTGGGCACGTCCACCAAAGGTGAAAGAATGTACCTTCAGTTTCAGAAAGAATGTACCTTCAATTATTTCAGAAAGAATGTACCTTCAGTTTCTTTACATTTCCAACATTTATTATCGGGCAAATGATAGATTTTTGCAAGCTTGACTGGGGTCATGTACCACCTGTATATCATTTTCATAATATTCTCTCTTAAGGCATTACATGCCGTGAACTTCATACGAGGTATGAAGTTCACAAACCAATATTCCCCCACCTAGATCAGGCTGTTGACATAAATACGCCTAACCAGGATTAGACTGTTGTGTGGAGCAGCTGAACAAGTTCAGAAAAGGAATTCCTAAGTTCAGAACGTGCTTATTTAATTCTAACAGTGTGCCCTTTTGCATGTGACTCTGGTTGATAGAACTTGGGCGTTTTAATAAACTAGTAGATCCAACTAGCCTGGCATCTGGCTGTGTGTGTGTATGTGTGTGTGTCCAAATGTCCGACATACAGCCTTATTCTAGCAACCTCTGCCACTGCTGCACACAACTCTGAAATAAGTTGTGCAGCTCCATTCATTTCAGTGCAAGCTCCCATTAAAATGAGCCCCATTAAAAGTGGCATGTGGGAGAAGGGACATGATCCACTGGGAAGCTGAAATAGGGCTTGTGAAAGAGGATGAGCAGAAAGTTCTGTTCAGAGTGTGTGTCTAGGGGTGTGTGCCATTTGGAGTTTTTTAGCTTGGTGTGGCAGAATCTTTCACTTCTCCTAGGGTCGGGGTCTCTCTCTCTCTCTCTCTCTCTCTCTGTGTGTGTGTGTGTGTGTGAGAGAGAGAGAGAGAGAGTAGGAAATTCCTGCAGTGGGTTGTGGCCCGTATCCGAATGCACCGTAAAGGTGTTTCTTACTTTCCCTCAAACTGTGACAACAAGGGTTCTGGTCAGATCAGGGGAGGCAAAATATACACAAGAACTTGGCCCAACTCTATGCTTCTGTGGACTCATGGCTGCTGCCTGCGTGACTCATCTCTTTCCACCTGAGTAGCTGCTCTGTATATTCTTGGATGCTGCATTGCAGGATGGGTGCTCAAGCAGAAGGTGCTCTGTCAAGGGAGGCTTCAGAAAACGTCCTGGAGGTTCTGCAAAGCCAGCTGTGGAAATAAAACTGGGGCAGCCTCTCCCTACCTGTGTTCCTGAATGGCCAGTGTCTTGTTTCCAGCCTGCCCCACTGAGAGTCAACTTTGCATTTTCTTAATTAGCAATTCCTTCCCACCTCTGTATTGCAGCAATCCAAGGCTAGTGTTAGAATGTGGGTTGTAGCCATTGCCATTGGTGTTTTCCTGAGCTCTGGCTAGCTTTGAACACTGTAAATCTGCAAATGTGTGTACACACTGTGGGAAGGGATAGCTCTCTCATATTACTCTGAACTCTCTCCAGCCTTAGCCTATGATGCAGAACGGGCATGTTTGGGCTGGCTGGCTAGCTAAGCCCACATATTTTGGAGACAGTTGAGGATTAGATTATACAATTCCCAAATAGGATTAGTATGTAAATAAGCAGAAGGGATGAACTCTTCTTTCTCCATGAATTACCTTTGCCTTAAAAATAAAAACCCTACTATTCCACATGCTTCCTTCACAAATCATTATTTACTTTACTTTATTAATTTATATCGGCCCTTTTTCCCAGTGCAGGGCGCAAGGTAGCTCACAGCATAAATAATAAAAGATGCAGCTAAATAAATATTAAAAAATATTACACAAATATTTTACAATATTACACAAAACACAAAATAAATATTAAAAAGCAATTAAAACCATCGCCCTATTAAAAATATTCATGTGTGTTTCTCTGCTGCGATTAGCATTAGATGTGACTCTTCACCTGGGTGGGTGCATTGATAAAAATAATCTTTTGGGAGGGGCACACACTACAGTTGCAGCTCCAAAATCCAGAGTTGGACAACACTTTTATTAGGAACAACCAAAGTGTCACGAAATAGTGGCAAGCTTTTGAGTTTTTCTGAACTCTTCTTTGGGGAAGATGTTACAGAAGCAGAAAGTGGAAAGAGTAGGAGAAATGAAAAGGTGCAAAAATTATGCTGGAACAAGCAGACTCTGTTGCAAAGTAGAGACTGCAGGCTGATGCCACACTTGATCTTACCCAGAAGCCCAAGAAGTGAGCTGAGGAAGTCTCTTGGTGCTCTTTGCCTTGAATGTTTATCATTCTCTTGTGACCTGGGGTGTGTGAATACAAACAAGCAATGTTGGCTAATATCCAGTAAATCTTGTTTTTTAAAGTCGCCCATGTGGTGGTGCAGTGTTTCTGAAAATGTTCACATAACATGATGGCTTGCTTTTAATTCTTTTGGCAGCTTGACCTTGAAGAGTGACCATGGGGATATCTTGGTGGACTATTCAAAGAACTTGGTTACAGAGGAAGTGATGAAGATGCTGATAGAACTGGTAATTCACCTTGAACACGAATCCTATTTATTTAGAGCTTCTGGTTACAGAAATTCCAAAGCTGTTTACAGCAGTGAAGCTGATATAGTAATATAATGTATTGAGAAAAACAAAATCTCGTTATTGCCGTAACCGATAACATTAGAACTGGGCACGCAAATAAATATGTTTTTAATAAACAGGAAAAGCATAGTGCAGCTGGTAGTCTGCCACTTTCAATGTATATGAAGCTTTACAGCACACCTGAAGCAAACCAAGCTCCAGCTTAATACAGAACAAAGTGGATTCTTGCCCACAAATGTTGGTCAGAAAAGTTTGGGGTTGGGAGCAAAGGGGTATTTCCAGTTTCATATCATGGCCTTGGTTTCATAAAGCCCAGGATCTCCCTGCATGCTTACGCAGAGCCCAGCTGCCCTGACAACAAATGCAAGGGGCAGCCGTCTTGTCCCTGCGCTTGAAAACTGCAGTCCAGTTGGACGGGGGGCTTCACCAAATGTTATACCAAAGCTAGTGCCCTCCTAATGCTTAGAATATCTGCTCTCATTAGCCCAGGCTTAACCAGTACTGATGGAAGGTGTAGTTCAAAAACATTTGGAGGGTTCCAGGTTGAAGGTGATTTGAAGCAACCTGGGCAAGCTTCCAGGGGCCATGTGCTAGGGGTGGGCCGGGCCAGGGGTGGGGAGGAATGGCAGAGCAGCGAGTGATTTTACACTTGTATAGACTACTTTGTACACACATTCACACACCCCTTTCTAGCTTCCATTCAAGTAAGCCAGGAGGGCATCCACAGAGTTGGAAGGACACATTCCAGACTTGAACTGGGGGGTGGGAGGAGCTGGGCCAGTAAGTGGTGTGGCTGCCATAGAATTCAGGGGGCCTGGAGGGCCACATTTAGTCCTGGGGCTGAGGCTCCCCATTCCTGATTTAGAGGATCTTTTAGGAACAGGCAGAGAAAAATGACATTGTGTGTGTGTGTAAAAGGAAGCTACTGGCATACTGGAGGGGGTTAGTGAGGGAGGGGTCATCTCTTATGTGACTGGTGGATTTGGAAAGCTGATAGTCATATTTACTAAAAGGTCAACTTTTACTTTCAGGCAAAATCAAGGGGCATTGAGAAAGCAAGGGAGCAAATGTTCACTGGAGAAAAGATCAACTTCACTGAGGTATACCTACTTTTTATTTTTGTCTGTGGGTTCCTGCTCAGTAACAGGGAGGAGGTGTTTCCAGCACACAAAGCAGGGCATCAAGCAGCTGTATGGGGTTTCTGGAAAATAGTGTATGTGTGTGTGTGTGTGTGTGTGTGTGTGTGAGAGAGAGAGAGAGAGAGAGAGAGAGAGAGAGAGAGAGAGAGTATCAGAGTCAGAGAGTGTGTGCTGGGGTTTTTGTGGTGGTGGGGGTATAAAGGCAATGATCTGGCCACCATCCTCTAGATATTTTGCTATGTAGTCCAATGATTAAATATTAGACTGGTTTTCAGTTGCCAGATTCATGAATAAATTGTATAGTTTTTCCAATATATCTAGTTTGTTTTTGTGTTAAAGGTTTTTTTTTTAACTTCACATGAAGCTAAATGTGTGAATAGTCTCATTCTGTCAAAAAGTGTATTGCATTTCTATGGGGACATGCCTCTTCTATGATCTTGAACTGGCTTCATATCTTCTCTCCCCCTTTCTGGACTAATAGTAGCCTTATAGTTGTTACAGATCAAGCTGACCTGATGTGAACAGGATGTGAAATGAACCAGGAAGTCCCCTATGGACCTCTGTCTTTGCTGTTTGACCTTGGAGAAACCTCCTTTCTGACAGTCCCACCATCACCTCCATGTGGATCTAAAATCCACAATATAATGCAGAGCTTGACAGAGGGATTGCTATTAGTAATTCCTGAATCAGCTCTGTATTGTATTGGTTATAATATAATAACCCATAACATGAAGCGTGTTGCATACTGGGCACTAAGTATTATTCTCAACACACATTCTGTGCCACTGCAAAGCAGAAATGCCTCCAAGTTTTTTGTTGGAATTTTATGATTGCTTCACATTAAATGTTAAGGAACTTCTCTGAGATGTGTCAAGTGTGAAAAAGCCACTTCCTCTTCATGGCAACTGAAATCCCCTTCTGTGGTTTTGGTGTTCATTATTTTGGTGCGCAGAGCTATCTGAAGGATGGCCTCTGCTGTGTACCAAGACTACCAGATGCCCCTTCGCATGTCCATTTGCCTTGTGACACACAGAATGCAAAAATTAAGGGGCATGCTGCCATTTTCCTCAGTGGCACCCAAGTAGTGCGTGTCATCGGGTGGAAAGAAAGGAGTGTTTTGTTTGTTGCGTTTTGCAACACTGCTGGCCGTTTCTGCTTTTGTTGCTCTTCTGGAGCTGTTGCTGCAACAGAAAATTCCTGTGTTGGTAAATTGTGGCGATGTGTGTGTGCTTAATAGATTTCTTTTTCATGTATTTGTAAGCTGCTGCAGGGACTTCTGTGGTTGGGGATGCTGTATGCACATAACAAGTAAATCCTGCACCATCCACACACAGGGAACAGTGAGGGGGGCTACCCACAGGACTTGAGTGTAACTTGGTCCTCTGTGCCACTACTCTGCCAGAGTGCTTTCCAGCATCACTCTTCCTGTCTTGCCTGCCCCCAGGTGGCAGAATAAATTCCTTCCCTAGGCTGGCCCTTAAGAGCATCAGAAGAGCCTGCAGCTGGATCAGGCCAGTGGTTCATCTAGCCCAGCATCCTGTGGCTGGACCATCTAGCCAAGCAACCTTGATTTCTTGTGTGTCCCTTCTTGTGGGTAGAGGGCTGCCATCACTTCCTCCCTCTCTGTCTACTGTTGTTGAACATCAGATTGTTATAAATAAGTCTGTCATTACTGTTTAGTAATAATCCCCAGCTTTACGGCCTACCTGTGTTAGGGCAAGTTACCCATCTCATCTCACTAATTGAACATACATTCAAAGAAGCGGGTTTTGTATTCTAAAACACATACTTCCCAGACTCTCTAGATTCTTTGAAAAACAATACGAATAAAGAATTGTAGGAAGTAAACATGAAAGTCTCTCTGTCATAATTTTTGACCTTAACAATAATTTCTACAGCCTGTTTCTTGCTCCCGTCATTCGCCAAATTGGTTCTTGGCTGTTTCAAAATGTCTGTTTCCCTCACCCCCACTTCTGCCTAGTGAAGCCTTTTTGGAAACCCCAAACTACACTCTAGTCTGTGGCATCTGACCCAGTTTTGGTTGTTACTGCTTATTTTAGTTTTTATACACGCGCACGCACACACACACAATATTTAAAAAAGATCATTTATATCACCTGTATATTATTTGCATGTTTTATAGTACTTGATTTTTCATTATTTTACAATTTTCAACTCCTTACTGTGAAACCGCTTTGAGAGATATAAAACAAGTGAATGCACAAGATGTTTGAGTGGCTGAGTGAAGGACAGGAGGGTCTTCTTGGTTCCAAAGGCAATCAGCAACTAGTGGTCCCATTTCCTTCTTCCTGGCTGCTGCAATCTAAATTCCTCTGGTCCTCTTGGCCCAAGCACCTTTTGGTTTAGAAAAGAGACTCAGTGCCCAATATCCTTTGCCTGGGCGGCTTATAAGTGCCACTGAACAGTACTTGTGAAGTTTCTATAAATTGCAGGAGGGGAGAGTGTTCTTGTGCTTGGCTCTTGTTTGTGGGTTTCCCATAATGAGAATCTGGTTGGCCACTCTGAGAACAGGATGCTGGACTAGATGGGCCACTGGCCTGATCCAGTAGCCAGACTCTTATGGTCATTGCAGAGTTCCCATTCACTGTGGTCTACTGGAAGAAGCGGTTCCTAGTGGATTGTCTCCCAAACTACAGAAGAAAACCAGCAGAAAGAGAACAGAAAATAGTTTGTTTTGCTCCTTCAGATCAGTACCAATCAGTTCTGCTGAGATTCTCGGTTTTGGTAAGTAATTGTTGCTTGTCACTATCCATAACTGTCTTGTCCTCTCTTCTCATTTTAGAACCGAGCTGTGCTCCATATTGCTTTGCGGAATCGCTCAAATACTCCAATATTAGTTGACGGCAAAGATGTGGTCCCAGAAGTGAACAAAGTTTTGGAGAAAATGAAGAATTTCTGTCAGGTATCCAAGTATTTGTGGGTTGTGCTCTGTGGATAAGGCAGGTATAATGTCGGCTGTCATGCGGACTAGTAGTCCCTCAGCTGTTTACATATTTCTGTTGGAACAAATCAATGTTTATTGTATAGTAAAAATACTGTCTTCTATATAACATATATATAGTTATATATACTATATAACAGTGCTCTTCACTCTTGGTTCCCCAGCTTTTTTGGATCCTGACTCCCATGATCCCTGATCATTGGATGGCCTGTGGGAATGATGGGAGCTGTAGTGATGTCCTAAATAGCCCAGTTCTCTCTCTCTGCAAAATATTCCTTGCTGTAGACTTTTTGGCATGCTCTGTAGGGTTGAGAGAACAACTTTTTTAATATAGATTCTAGTAATGTAGCAACCCTTCGTCATATATACACAAAACTCCATAGACTTAAATAGTAAAGGTTGTATGAGATCACAGTCCATATAACTGGGCTTCGTATTCAAGAATGTGATCAGCGTTCCTGATCATCTGTTCCCCTCCAGATGTTTTGGACTGCAACTCCCATGAACCCCAGCCAACACTGCTTTGTAGTCCAAAACATCTGGAGGGGACCAAGGTTGGAAAATGCCACTTTAACTAGAATTGGATGCTCTGCTATTTTTTATTTATTACAGTTACTTATATGCTGCCTTCTAGGGTACAATTCCTTCCAAGGCAGAAAACAAGTAGTATTAAATTTAATTTTTTAACTTTAAACAAATAATATTAACTTATTAAAAAGTCACCCAGCTCCTTCCCACAGGGCAGTTGGTAGATGGCCTGGTAACTGGGAGAGGAATAACCCAGCTGACGCAGGTTGCAAGAGGGTCTTCACCTGTTCCCCTCTTTCCTGGAATCCTCCCCACTAAACTAAGCAAGTGGTCCACCAAGCAATTGAAATCTAACACCCAGTTCTTCACCATGTGTCCACACAGTAACTCTGTGTGGTAGGTTAGGCTGAGAGGCAACGATTGTCCCATCTTCATGGCTGAGTGGGGATTTAGTCTCCCAGGTCCTAGTCCTACATTCTAACCACTGGAATTACTGGAAAGCACTGTATAAAGGCCATCTTTGTACTTGCAGAAAGTTCGCAGCGGTGACTGGAAAGGCTACACGGGAAAAGCCATCACTGATGTGGTCAACGTTGGCATTGGCGGATCAGATTTGGTGAGCTGTTCTGCTTTGTGACTTCTCCTTGCAAAGGAAGCATTTGGTCTAAATGTTTAGCTGCTCTGACAGCCTTTTCTCTTTAGGGCCCCCTCATGGTAACAGAAGCCCTCAAGCCATATTCCAAGGGCGGTCCTCGTGTTTGGTTTGTCTCCAACATCGACGGTACCCACATGGCCAAAACCTTGGCTGAGCTGAACCCCGAGACTACACTCTTCATCATTGCATCCAAGGTACGTCCCAAGTCCTTTAATACATCAGCAGCTCATGCTAAGTAGAGGATTAAATATGCAAAGGTGACCTCTCTAGACCAGGCTTACCCCAGGCTGCCCTAGCATCATATGGCCTGGGGTTGATGGTAATTGTTGTCAAATTGTGGGCACCAGGTTGGGAAGGCTGCTGCACATTGCCTTTGCTCATGCCAGTTTTGGTGACTAGGCAGAGGAACAGGTTGCTCTTGGTTTATTTAAGTATTTGTTAGCCAGTAGCTTTAGTTAAGCCTGCTGGCTTTGGGCTTAGCTGAACTAGGAGAAAAATATGATAGATGATGCACTGATTTTTCAGACGCTTGGCTTTTTATGCAAGCTGTACTTTGCTAGGGCGCCTCAGTATTTTGTCTGAGAAACCATAGAGTTGGAAGGGACCCAAAGGGTCATCCAGTCCAACCCCCTGCAATGCAAGAAAAGGCAGGCAAGAGTTTAGGAAGCTTAAGTGGGAAGAGAACTTCAACCTATAGGCTTTGTTTTGTGAATTGGAACTCCCCAGTTCCTCTGAATTTTGTTGTATGTTTATGCAATGGTTTATGTTTAATTTTTTTTTTTGATGCATTTAATATTGTATTGTGGGTTTTAAGTATTTATGCACACTACCCTGAAATTGGCTTTTGGGTAAAAGTGTGGTATAAGAATTATTGAAAAAGAAAGAAATCCAGGTTTCCTGCCTGAATGCTGTTGAGAAGACTAGCATCTCATGGCTCTCATTTGCCTGGATGCCTTTAGACAATTGGTTAGGTTTGGAAAGGGATGAATAGCATTTTTTTTTAAAGCTTGCTTTATAAACTAGTCTTTTGTTATATAATGAAAGAATTTTTTGGAGATGGATGGGAGAGGAGGAGGACGTGATGTTGGTCCTTAAAGCTACATTTTAATGGTTGAATAAACTCCAATAGAGCAGGGTGATATTGACAGAACTGCATGACTGGCCATGTCAACGTGTTTCATAAAGAGGGAAATATTTTTTTTGCTGATGAGCAAATTGGGACTGTCTGGAAAATCAAGGGGAACAAAGGGCCCCATGTTTAGATCCACAGCAGATCAGTCAGAGCAATTATTGGCTTGAGTGATTTCAAATCTTCCTGCAAGTTTAAAATTAGCAATCATAAGAAGGGCCCCATCAATCTGAATGTTCTCCAGTGCATGCCCTCATTGTAATGAATGGGGCTTGCACAGGTCGTTGTCCTGATGGCTATTACTAAAAGTGTGTGAGAGTTCTAAATGACTTTTAAATTCTCAAAAGGTAGTCATTAGGATTGTGTGTGCTGTGATTTTGAGGGGAAAGTGCAGATCTGATGGAATTCAGCTTCTTGAGAACAATAAGTAAAAAAAGGCAAAAAAGTGCACAAGATGGTTTGTGTTGGTACTAGCAAGCTATGTAGCTGGCATTGCTTGGGAATTTGAAGAAACCAAAAAATCGGTGGAGTTTTTAAAGGTTCTGTCTGCCATCTTGTTTCAAAATGGCACCCAATTGGATCCAAACGTAAGATGAAAACCCACTTCTCAATCACAGGAATCGTCATGCTAGATTTGATCTTTATCTGAATGTGGATGGGCGGACAAAAAAGTTTTCAAAATACAGATCTAGAAATAATAATAATACTGTAGGTAAAGATAATACAAATAATTATATTTTATAAAGCAGTATGTAAGAACTAGAAACTGCTAAAATGTGTGAGCCAAGGCAGCTCTAGTTGTGCTGATGGGAGCACCTTGGAATTTGCCTGTAGTTTCCTCATTGTGCTTTCTGTTCCTTAAAAGTTGCCTAAGTGGCTTGTCTAAGTCTTTAACTGTTTTCCCCCTCTTCTCTTGGTGCACAGACTTTTACCACCCAAGAAACTATTACCAATGCCGAAACAGCCAAAGAGTGGTTCCTAAATGCTGCTAAAGATGTAAGTGAAAGTTCCTTGGTTATGTGCTCAGTTGTGTAAATAAATTAATCTGTAAAGTGGCAAATGACTAATGTAGATATAAAGGTAGCCCAGAAAGAGACAGGAGTCAGCTTCAGTAAACATTTCCTGCCTTGTCCCATGGAAGCAAATTTCTACTTAGGGTTAGCAAGCCTTCTCCATCTCTAAAACATTTTTGGTGCAAGAGTGTTGGATGCCGTTTCTGCTGTCTTAATTCCTGCTAGGAACTGCTACATGCTTTCGCCCAGGTGGTCACAGAACTGTAGCTGGAATCCTCTACAAAAGCTCCAGCTGAAACTGCAAACTGGGAGCCAGTCTTCAGAATGTGTTTGTCCACCCTCGTTGGCATTTAGCTATGGTCCTCTGCACTTATACTAACCACAGTTACCTCCACAGCCATGGTTTGCAAATGCATCTCAAACCATTGCCTCGTAGTCTGGTTTATGAGGGAGCCAGGTGACTGTTGGTGGACATGACTGAATGTGGGGAAGGAATGGAGGGCAGGCAGTTTCCTGTGTCATGAGAAGGGAGCACATACCCCTCAGGCAGACTCCAGGCCTGCAAATGTTGTTGCAGGGAAAGCCTGCGTTCCATCTGCGCAGGCCTGAGGTGTCTTGGCAGACTCCTCCCTAGGAACGTTTTGGAGCCAGTTGGGCTGCAAAGAAACATGAGAGTAAAGGCAAGCTAGCGAGTGCCCCTTTGATATTTGGCAACTCCTTTGCAGCCTGAAACCAGGTTGTACTTGAGACAGGACTTGGCCTTTTCAAAGGCAGATGCCTGAACTATGAATAGGTTCCCTGAAGTGGAGCCCTGCGTTCTCCAGCAACTTCTAAAAGGATGTGCTGCTTCTTCGCTATAACTATCTTTATCCTGATGGAGGGGCAGAGTTGCCTGTTTAATGGAGTCTAAAAAAGACACACTGCAGACACTGAACTGCAGATGAAGCTGGGGTTGAGAGGTTGTTAATTGCTGCATGGTATGGGGCAGTTAAACAGCCTTTTCATACTGGCACATGTTGCTCTTGCAAAATGCCTCCCCACCACCTTACAATTCTAAAAATGATGAAATTGCTAGGAAGAAACCAGGACACCCCCCCCCCCCAAAAAAGCAGCTCCAATAGGGTGGAATCTGGAGGGCCGTAATCTGGGTTGGAATCATCATCATGGCAAGTAAAGCAGAAAGTTCAGGTCTGGATCCAGCACTTCTGGGGGACTAAAGGCGAGGCAAGCTCAGTGTGCAAGCAGTGGGTACACTACAGTAGGTACACTATAATAATAATTTTATTTATACACCTCCCAGTATAAGCATACAAAACACACCAAACCATTTTGTGCTTTTAAAACAAGTGTAACTATCTTCAACCCCTAAACTTGCTTTCTAGAATGTTAGAATATTAATATTAATTGGTATGCTGTTTAATGCCCAGGAGGGGATCCTTGGCATTGCTTGATGCTCTGCCACTGTGCCCAACAAGTCTGGTGGTGTTGCTGTTAAATGCCAGGTTGGTTTGATCCAATGCTGTGCTTTTGTAACCAGTGTATGAGCTGCAGCTGGTAAAAAGTACTCCTTGTGCTTATGCCATCACTGCATGGCTGTGAGCTGTAATGTCTTGAGGAGGAAGTTGGTTGTGCTCATTCCACAGACAAATTCATTTCTGCAGCAAGAACAGTTTCCTCCAGGTATGCTGGAGTACAACTCACCCCCTCCAGCCCCCAGAGGTCAGGAGTGATGGGAGTTGTTGTCCAGAGACTTGGGGAGGGGGTACCATGTTGGGTACCCCTGCTATGTATAAACTGGAGCTCAATTCTACTCAGTTGGTCAGCTAATAATAATATTTAAAGCAAGCTTAGCTACTCTGGAGAACAGTCAGCAAATGCTGTCCCAAGGGAATACATACCTGAGTTGATGTTTTATCGCAGGATGTTTATCTTAATTGAATATTTCTTAATTGAGGGAGTGGCTTTCATGTTGTGTTCTCAGGAACATTGACTTTCCTCAGCGTATTGATGTTCCTTGATAAGAAGCTCAGTAATGACTGACATGCTCTCCCTCCCAAAAGGCAGTTTGCCCACCTCCTACCTTATTTCCCCCCTGGCTGCACCTTTGGTGTTGGGAATGCTCTGAAGTGCAAACTCAGTTCATTATTCCGGCTCTTGGTAACACTTGGCAGCCTGTCTAGCATCCCTTTGGACAAGGCCTGTCGCGTAAAGCATAGCGGGAATCCTTTTGTAGGGTACAGGACATCACTGATTCCTGTGACAATCTGTAAAATCAAACAAACAGGCATAAAACCAATTTTTGTGGTAGCAACAGTTTTTAGTATGTTAGGTTTTAACATCTTCTTTCACCTGGTGGTTTCAGTAACGTTTATTGTGGTAGTGATTTTAGGAATGAAGGACTTCTTTTTTTTTTTTGAGACTGCTGGCTTTATGATGAGTTAAATTTTGCTGGAGTTTTTAAAACGATGTATGCTTTTGCTGAATAAAAGTTCCATGAAGGTAAAAAACCCAAACCTGATAGGATATTTAGCCTTGGGGAGGTGGAGCAGCAGTGGTGGTCTCTGAACTTTAGTTATGATTTCCAGGGCTGTCGTGGCAGTTCAGAATATCTCGATTGTTTCCTTACCCAACAATCTTCCTTCCTTTCTTTTCTTTCAAGCCTGCGGCTGTGGCCAAGCACTTTGCTGCCTTGTCTACCAACGGGGTGAGTATTTCAGTTTATAAGTTTCTGTAGTTTTTTGCCCTTCTAGAACAATTTAATAGCAGTGTTGGGATCAAAGTAATGTGATGCAGGAGATCAGTGATGCTAAGTCTCCTGTTGCTTTACAAAACAGCTGTTGCCTTGAAGATGTGGGAACATTTTGATGACTTTAGGTCTTCCCCTACTGAGTTTGTAGCATATTTTAGGAAATTGCATGGCTGGAAGGAAAGGGTTAACCCCCTCCCCTCCATTGCCATTCCTAAATCTCCCATGACACTTCTTGTTCGGCCCGCAGCTGAAAATATATGATGGAAATAGAAAGCAATACTATTGGAGTCTCTTGAAATATTCTACATACTTACAGTGAATTGATCCTACATGTGCTGGTTCTTAACTTGCCAAAATGGCACTCCTTGCTAAAGTGGGTGGGGTCTCCTAACAACTCTCAGCAGCACCCTTAGCAAACCACAGCTCCCAGAATTCTTTGGGGGATGTCATTGGATGTTTAAAGTGGTATAATGCTTTTAGTGTATAGTGTGAATGTGGCCTTATTCTTCCTTCTCTCTTTAAAAAATACAGCCACAATAATATATTGGTTGCTCTGTCCCTATAGATGTAAATAGTGTTGCTCAGGCTTTCCCAAGAAAGCTCTACTTTGATAAACATTCCTACTGCGGCTTCTCAGCCACTGAATGTGTTTTGAATATGTATTTTCCCAACCCTAACTGGAGATGCTATTGAGAGTTGAACCTGGGGCTTTCTGTATGCAAAGCAGCTGCTCCACCATTGAGCCACAGCCCTAGTAATTTTTGCAGGCTTCTCTGCCTAGCACCAATCTGATCTCTAATTGTTGCTCTCTCTCTCTCTCCACCCCCCCCCCCCCGCTTTCCCCCTTTTTTAGCCTAAAGTTAAAGACTTTGGAATTGACACTCAGAACATGTTTGAGTTTTGGGACGTAAGTAAAACATGCTATGCAAGTCCATCATTGGACAATAGGACAGTGCTTCTCATTCTTCTAGAATTCAGGCTCCCCACATACACATTTTTCTCTGGATACACAGGGAATCATTGTATACAGCCTACTTCTTCACCCAGGAACCTGTTGTGAGGCAGCAATGCTTCTGAATACCAGTTGCTGGAAGCAACACGGGGTGGGGGGAGGGGTCTTGTGCTTGGCTCCTGTTTGTGGGCTTCCCAGAAGAGGCGTCCAGTTGACCACTGTGAGAATAGGAAGCTGGACTAAATGGGTTATCAGCCTGATCCAGACAGCTCTTCTTACATTTTTAGTTTTTTGTTTACTAAAACAACAAATCGTTAATGCTCAAACATACGTTAGCATGTACACAGACAGATACACACCAACAGATCAGAGTCTTCTCCTAAACATCCAGTGCCAGCGTGGTGTAGTGGTTAAGAGCGGTAGACTCATAATCTGGGGAACCAGGTTCGCGTCTCCGCTCCTCCACCTGCAGCTGCTGGGTGACCTTGGGCCAGTCACACTTCTTTGGAGTCTCTCAGCCCCACTCACCTCACAGAGTGTTTGTTGTGGGGGAGGAAGGGAAAGAAGAATGTTAGCCGCTTTGAGACTCCTTCGGGTAGTGATAAAGCAGGATATCAAATCCAAACTCTTCTTCTTGTGTTAACCAAGTGGGGGAAGGAAAGCTTCCATGATTTTGCCCAATCTTTAAAGCCATACAGGTTGGTAGGCATCAATGCCTCAGGACCTGATAATTCCTACGAACTGTATATGCCTTCCAGGTGTGACCCCCCCTCCTCAATTTGGGATAGAATAAAAGTCTGTTCAGCAGCAGCGATGTGCTGACCCTCCTCCTTTTGCTAATATTTGCAGTGCGGTGGAGCTTTGATGAAGGGCAGATTTTAGGGGTCACCACCATGAATACACTGCAGAAAGTCTGGCCTCTTTGGCTCTTTTGCTAAGGAACTTGTCAAAGGTCAGGCTAGGAGGCCTCTGAACACATTTCAGTCTAGACAGCTGCTGGGTAATAGGAGATAGTTTGCTGCTCCCAGCTTCTGGACTTCATGAGTTATTATAAGCTGTGACATTTTGCCTGATGGGAGCCTACTGTATAGAATCTAGGTCAGTAAAAAGGTCAAATGTCAGCCTTGCTTGAGATCTTGAAAGTGGTGCAGGGGCTGAACTTCGATCTTTGAGCTTATCATAAACTGCCTGGCAGTGAAGAATCCAAAGTTCATGACCGTCCAAGGATTTGGCTGCACCTTTTCCTTACCTCATCCTCCTGCCATAGAAAGGTGTCCCTTTCCCACTTCCCATGTGCCAGATTCCTCCTTAAGGTGACCAAGCTCAGGTGGCAAAGCTCTGCCCCAAATGCATATCCTGAAAGACCTGGCGCTGGGAATGCCCACTCGCTGCCTTTCGTCTGGCACCTCATTTTTCCCTAGTTTGGTGGGTCAAACTTCCCCTTATCCCTCTTTTCTAAGTCCTAAGAATCCAAAAGTTCCAGGGTTATAGCTAGTGCTCATTCTACTCATAGTATTCCTATTGAAATTTGTTTGCATGACTAATGTGGGTGCATTAATTTCAGTGATCTGCTCTGAGCAGCTACAACCCACAGTATTTTGCTTTAAACATCTGTTTTGTGATTTCTGTTGTAATGGCCACTGGTGACAAACAATAAAAGGCACTTTGGAACTCCTTGCCTCTGGATTTGAGGCAGGTGCCATCACTACAGTTTTCGGTGCCTGTTAAAACATCTTTGTTGAGGCAAACCTATGCAGACATTCAGAACTTGCATGTTTTATTTTTATTTTGCTACTTTTTGCATCTTTTGAATATTTTTGATATCTGTTTTCTACCAATAACTTTAATGTTTTATTTTATAAAACATTAATATATTACATCAAGCAGTATATATTTTTTAAAAAACACTTGACTGACTTTTCCTGTAAACTCCCCATCCCCAAGTGATATAGAGATGTTGTTACAATGCCTGCTTTTGCCATGGACTCAATCTACAGCCACCTTTGCTCTCCAGACATTTTGGGCTAGAAACTCCCCCATCAGCGACGCTGGCTGTGGGGCTAAAGGAGAGTTGTAGTTCAAAATATCTGGAGAGCACCCAGTTGAAGTGAATTGGGGGTTCTGTGCTGGAGTGCTTTGCAGAGGAGTCCCCGGTGGTTCGTGCCTAGAATACCTTGGTCTTCTCCAATGACTTTCCTCTCACCCTACCCTCTTTTCTGTTTGCAGTGGGTTGGTGGCCGTTATTCATTGTGGTCTGCCATTGGCCTCTCCATTGCTCTACATATTGGTAAGTACCCAGAGTTCTTGGCATGATATCTTCTACTGCTACTATGCTGGGCTGATACCTTTGGTTTTGGGGGCCTAAAAAAAAAAGGAAAAAAAAAAGATCAAGTATATTTTAGAAAGCCAACTACTTTTTTTTTATTAAAAAAATTGAGTGACTCATAACTTTGCAGATAGCTGTTTCTGGTTCTCAAAACTAGAATAGAAATCTAATGAAAATGGGGGCAGGGACCAACCTTCGCTTCTTTCCAAATTGAATGCTGTGTTGACTCAGTAGGGTAAAATTGTACAGGCACGTTGGGTTCGGATCACAAACTGCTTTTGAGTTTGACAAACCCAGCAAGCAAAGGAAACAATGAGGAATAGAATTTTGCAGTTGTGTGGTTTGCAAACAGGCGTTTCCACTTAATAATACTGGTGTTTGCTTTTTAAAAAAAATCTATTTAGGTTATGATAACTTCGAGAAGCTGCTTGCTGGAGCCCATTGGATGGTGAGTATTTGGTTATTCTTCACAGATGATTGTGTCTGTGTCTCCACCTATTTGGTGACTTTAAACTGGGAGTGGACAAAGTCATGGAGGAGAGGGCTATCAGTAGCTACTAGCCAATACTGATATGCTTTGCACCAGAAGCTATAATGCTTCTGAACACCAGTCACTGGGAACCTGAACCTCAGGAGGGGAAGAGTGCTGCTCTTGAACTCAGGTCCTTCAAGAGAGCTTTCCTGAAAAACATCTTCATGTACGCGACAACGGCCGCAAGAGTTCTGGTAGCACAAGGATGGAAGACTGAAGAAACCCCAACTAAAGAATCATGGCAAGAAAAATTGATGGACCATGCAGAACTGGCAAAATTGACATATAAGTTACGGGACAAGGATAACTGTGACTTTAAGGATGAATGGGAACCTTTCACAAAGTATCTGAAGACGCAACAAAGAACTGGACTCCTTGGCAGGTTTTGAATAAACATTCACAATTTTTTTACTGATAATAATCAGCTAAACAGTTTGAAGATCTATACAACTCTGTAACATGCAGAAAATAGCGTTATTGGAGAAACCAAAGACTGGAACTGAGGGAAGTCGGGGGGTAGGGTGGGCGGATGGTTTCTGGGGGGGGGAGAGCGGGGAGGAAATAAGGATATGTTTTTGGAAAATATGTTTTGTTATAACTTTGAATAAATAATAAAAAAAGAGAGAGCTTTCTATGAGGGCCTCAGAATGGCCACTATGAGAATGCTGGACTAGATGGGTCATCGGCCTGATCAGAAGGGCTCTTTGTATGATTTTAACCCGGTTGTTAGCTGGGGTTATGTAGGGCAAGCAAGAAACATCCCCCCCCCCAAAAAAAAGTCTTAATCAGTCGTCTCTGGCTTGGTAGATCACAAGCATTGGTCATACACAGTGAAAATCCATGCAACTCCCATTCACAGTTATAGGAACTGGTAGAAGCACCACTGGCTGAATGGGTTCTTATTTTTCAGTATGTTCAGAGGTTCTAGTATTATCCCCCCCCTCCCCTCTGGAGAGCCAGTGTGGTGTAGTGGTTAAGAGCGGTAGTCTCGTAATCTGGGGAACCGGGTTTGAGTCTCCGCTCCTCCACATGCAGCTGCTGGGTGACCTTGGGCCAGTCACACTTCTTTGAAGTCTCTCAGCCCCACTCACCTCACAGAGTGTTTGTTGTGGGGGAGGAAGGGAAAGGAGAATGTTAGCCGCTTTGAGACTCCTTAAAGGGAGTGAAAGGCAGGATATCAAATCCAAACTCTTCTTCTTCTTCTTCTTCTGCCCAGTGCACTGTTGGCTTTCACAAAGTAAAAACTTCTGCTTTCTACTGCTAGAAGCCAGCTCTGCATGGCTCTAAAGAAGCTGGAGTTTCATGGGTGTGTTTGACATTGGGTCCAGGATGGACCAAGTGTGCTGTAGGTTTGGTTTTTATAACATGGGTGTGTTTTACATCCATTTGCCTAACAGGACAATCACTTCCGCACCACTCCGCTGGAGAAGAACGTGCCCGTGTTGCTGGCAATGCTGGGAGTCTGGTATATCAACTGCTTTGGGACTGAGACCCATGCGCTTCTGCCCTACGACCAGTACATGCACCGCTTTGCAGCATACTTCCAGCAGGTAAGGAGTGTCATCCTTGGAGTCGTTCCCTTGTGCTCCTTATTGGTTGGTCTGCTCTCTGAATCCAGGCTTGCAATCTTAAGAGTGGAATGAGGATCCTTGAATGTACATTGGGTGCAGGGAAGCATCCACGTTAATTACAGTCTGTGGGTCGTTCCACCAAATAAGAGTTGTGGCTTGCTGGGTCACAGGCTGCCAATGCTGCACAGAGTGTAGGCCTCTGTCCAACCCTCCTGGTGGTGCACAATTAGCTGTGTGTGTCTCCTCTGTTCTGGCTGATTCTAGTACTATATATGCCTATATATGGTTCCATTGCTGCTGTTTTACTGTACAGTGGTACCTCGGGTTACATATGCTTCAGACTCCGCTAACCCAGAAATAGTGCTTCAGGTTAAGAACTTTGCTTCAGGATGAGAACAGAAATCGTGCAGCGGCAGCGCAGCGGCAGCAGGAGGCCCCATTAGCCAAAGTGGTGCTTCACGTTAAGAACAGTTTCAGGTTAAGAACAGAACTCCGGAACGAATTAAGTACTTAACCCGAGGTACCACTGTATGTCTTTTATTGAAATGAGTTTTATTTCCTGATTATTATTTTTGTTATACTTTTGCAAGTAGCTTGGAGACTTCTAAAGTGACTAATAAATTGAATTGGTGATGATTCATGTATTAAGTCTGAACTTCTGCTGTCACTTAGGGAGACATGGAATCTAATGGGAAATACATCACCAAGAAGGGCACTCGTGTGGATTACAATACTGGGCCAATTGTGTGGGGTGAGCCTGGAACCAATGGGCAGCACGCTTTCTATCAGCTGATCCATCAAGGTATGTTGAAAAGTGGATCCCATATTCTGAGCATTTTAGTAGAGCCAGTTATCCCAGAGTTGGAAGGGGCCTTGGAGGCGGTGTCTCATCCAGGAAGGACAGTATAGGATGGCCAGGCAGGAGCCTGGCCAGGCTGCACCTAATAACTTTCACCAAAGGAGGGCAACCCACATATCCAGACAGCCTATGCCACTGTCAAAAAACTTCAGTGTTGTTGATTTCTATGCCTGCTTTCCATAGTTAAACCCAGCTCAAGGTGGCTTACAACATCAAAAGATGTATATACACACACACACACACACACACACACACAGAGAGAGAGAGAGAGAGTAGATTATGTAGTCATGATCAGTAAATGAAAACATCTCAGCAAGTATACAATTAAACAATCCCCACATGAGTCGTAATAAGGTCTAACAATAAAAATACACAAGTATGAAACATCTCCAAAATTAAATCTTGACCCCCAACAAAAATCTGAGCACCAGCTTCTGTAGTAGGAGCCAGTCAGCCACCCTGTGGCCAGGTGGTAATAAACCAGTTAAAGCAGGGAGCAGGTCATGTAGGACGTCTTCTTGTGTTCACCTGAAATCTGCAAATTACACATATTTAAAATTCATCTGGTTTTTATTGCTTATATCCCACATTTCCTTCAAGAAGCTCAAGGCATCATGCACAGTTCTTCCCCCCTTCCCGGTATTACCTTCACAACAACCTTGTGAGGTAGGTTAGCCTGAGAGGGGGTTGACTGGCCCAAGGTGATGCAGTGAGCTTCACAGCTGATTTGGGGATTGGAACCCTGGTCTCCCAGGTCCTGACCAGACTTTGTAACCTCCACCAGCATACCACATTGGTTCACGTTCTGTCCTTTGGCGTAGCAGAGAGCAAGTTGATGTATCTCAGGCACTTATTAATCTGACCACTGTAATAGTGCTCCAGTTTGATGTGAAGTAAGCATCTGCATAAGCCACTGTCAGTGTGTTACAGCAGCGGAGATGTCAGGTCCCTTAAAAATAAAGCAGCAAATTAGAACTAGTTTCCTACAGTTAGCCTTGTCGAACAAGTTTTCTTAATGAAACTTAACTGCATCAAAGTGAGACTCTCATAAAATCTCTCTCTCTTTTTTTTTTGGTAGGAACTCGTATGATCCCGTGTGACTTCCTCATCCCAGTCCAGACGCAGAATCCTATCAGGAAAGGGCTGCATCACAAGGTGAATGGTCAACAACCAATAGCTTGTTTTCAAAGCAGTTTCTTGCATGTGGGAAAACTTGAATACCACAGAGAAAGCAGATCCTTGCAAGAGATTCTTATTTGGAGACGCTTTCATACAAACTCAAGTCACTCCCTTATACAGTGGAACCTCTACTCATGTACGGAATCTGTTCCAGAGGTCCGTTCGTGAGTCGATCTGGGTCGTTGGGAGAAGCACCGTTCTGCGCGTGCGCATTTGGCGGCCAGCGTCGTTCTGCGATCTGCAGACAGCCGCTTCTGCACATATGCAGACGGCGGCAGCTGCTTCTGCGCGTGCACGAATCGCGGCAAACCCAGTATTTACTTCTGGATTTGCCGCGGTCGCGAGTTAGATTGTTCGCGAATAGGGCCGGTGGTAAGTCGAGGTTCTATTGTACTGAATCAGTTTGCAGGTCTATTGAGCCCAGCCTGGACTCCAGCTCCTGCCAGCACAGGGTTTTGAAGCGTAGCTGTGTATAAAACAAGTACATTGAACAAAATTGCTATTTGGCATAATTCTATAATATGTATACATACATACATATTGTGTAGCATAGCTGGCTTGGCTCAGCTTCTTGCTTTAGTGAGCATTGTAAGAAATGAAGCCCAGTCCCTGGGTTCTGAGATTTCAGCATGTGCTATCAGAAGTGAATAGGTTCTATCTTCCTCGTGTTAAAGGGAGGCAGTGGCTAGCAAATGGACTTGGCAACAGGCCTCCAGCAAGAGATAGATGTTTTTAGCGCACTAGATGTGTCAACCAGCTGTGTGCTATCAATTACTGGTTTTGGGGAAGTGGGGGGGGTGGAGTTGGGTGAATAATCACTGTTAAAAAGGCAGTTATCCTCATTGTTGCTTTTGGGATTTCACTTCCTTCAATCATAGTATTTGCAATCCTGCCCTAACCATTTATATTTTAATAGTAACTGAAATTGGCACCTTCCAAAATCTGGCAATTGCCAACATGGGCACTATCAGTACATACCCAATTAATAGTTTAAAATGAGCATTTAAGTTGAAAAAATTCAACAGGGCTAGCTCACTTGCCTTTTTTTAGGTGTTGGCCAATAATTTTGTGGATCTCTGTAAAGCTGGAATACCAAAATGTGGCAACTTCATTGCAAGTCCTACCACATGTGCGAGAAGTGCCCCTTAATTTTGCACCCCTCCAACACCACGGGGTATGAATTGGATTGATATTTGCCAAGCACAGAAGAGTAAGATGCCATTTCTGGAATGCTTTCAGTGCAATTTCCTTAAATGAAGCTGGAATTGCTTTGTAGGGAAATTTTGTCCACGTGGTATTCCAGTCCTTGGCAACAGAAATAAAAATATTAATATGAACAGTTGTGATATGCAAATCTATTTTATTATGTGTTTTTTAACAAAAACATTTTTTAAAAAAGGATGGAGAAAATCAGCAGCATGGTATCTAAAATACGAAAGGGCAAACCACCTCTCTGTCCTAATGCTGGTCACCACAGAAAATGACACAGGCCTCTCTCTCTCCTTTCCTGCTAGATCCTTCTGGCCAATTTCCTTGCCCAGACTGAGGCCTTAATGAAAGGGAAGACCGCAGACGAAGCTCGTAAAGAGCTGCAGGCTTCTGGGCTGAGCGGGGATGCCCTGGAGAAGATTCTTCCACACAAGGTACCTCAGTTGCAGCACCGTTTCAAGCATTTGGGTGGGTCACAGGCATTGCACCATGGTTTGCAACTGGATGGATAAACTGAAGGCCAACCAGGGTGACTCCCCTATGAGGAAAGGTTGCTGTGTTAGGGTCTTCTTAGAGGAAAGGTGAGCAAGAGGTGGCATGATAGAAGTTGATGAAATTATGACTACCGTGGAGAAAATGGGTACAGAAAAGTCCTGTCCCCCAATAACCCCAGAACTCAAGGCCATCCGATGAAGCAGAATGTTGGAAGTTTCAGGACAGTAAAGAAATAATAATTATTTATTATTTATGCTCTGCCCATCTGGCTGGGTTTCCCCAGCCACTCTGGGCAGCTCCCAACAGAATATTAAAAACATGATAAAACATCAAATATTAAAAACTTCCCTAAAGAAAGGACTTCTTCACACAGCTCAGAGTTAAACTGTGGAACTTGTTCCCACAGAAGGCAGTGGTGGCCAGCAGCTTTAGATGGCTTTAAAAAACAGTTTTGAACAAATTAATAGAAAAGGCAGTCGGTGGCTATTAGCTGTCAGAGGCAGTAATGTTTCTGAATACCAGTTGCTGGAAACCATAGCAGGGGAGAACACTCTTCTTGCTTGCTGGTTTTCGACAGGCATCTGGTTGGCCACTCTGAGAACAGGATGCTGGACTAAGTGGGACATTGGTCTGATCCTGCTGGCTCTTCTAATGTTCTTACGATACTGAGCCACCTACAGGCAAAGACTCATTTGACCCTGCCTGTATAAATTAAATGAAACTTTCATATAAATGAAAGCTTTCACTAAAAAAGAAAGAAAGAAACACTGTGGCCTGAACAGTCATCTGTTTTGAAGTGGTATCAAAGTATTTATTGCCTTTAGAGTCTTACAGGGGAAGGCAGGTCCCTGCTCCTAGGACACTACAAATGTAAGCCTGTAGGTGACAGCCAGGCACGAAACAAGGGATGAGTATGGGTGCTTGAGCTTTTGATTTTATGAGCCGGAAGGACCCAAATGTTCAGACACAAGCTTGTTCAAGGGAGGATTTGAAGAAGTGGCACACCCTGTAGCTGTTATTGTTTCACAGCTAAATCATCAGTGAAAAACCGTAAGATGCATTATTGACAGGTGTCTGAAGAGTAGAGTGTAGTAATAAATGTTTATCTCTTGTGTTTCCTTTATAGGTCTTTGAAGGAAACCGCCCAACCAATTCCATTGTGTTTACTAAGCTTAACCCATTCATTCTTGGAGCCTTAATTGGTAAACGTCTTACTCTTGAGTATTTGTATTCATAGACTGCTTTGTCATCTATAAGACTCACTATTCATCCTGCCTGTCTTCCTCTCTTTTCTTTAATCTGTTACAGCGATGTATGAACATAAGATCTTTGTTCAAGGAGTTGTATGGGATATCAACAGCTATGACCAGTGGGGGTAAGTCACTTTCATGTATATGGGGGGAGGGGCTTTCCTTGCAAAATGAGTCTGCTTTCCTAGGGGTTGGACTCCCACTTAACTTGAAAGGAGCCAAGATCAGTCTAGGCCAAACCTGTTTCATAGTGGAAGAATAAGCTATTTGCACCTTGGCCTATTGCTGTAGCAACTTTGCTAAAGGATCAGCAGGTATGTTCTTGACAGGTTGGACTGATCTTCACTGCCATCAGTTGTGTGAGAAGTTTCCCCTGCAGACAACCAAGCTGCACTTAGTTACTGAAAAGCCGCCTGCTTTTTTTTGGTTATGCTTTTATAAATAGAAGCACCCAAAAAAGCAAAAGTTAAACATACATAGTTGGAAACATATACTGAAGGGAATATATTATTCCCCATTATTAAGGGGAATAATCTCGCCTTTATTAAGAAGAGCCTTGCTGGATCAGGCCAAAGGGGGTTCATCCAGTCTAACATCCTGTTCTCACAGTGGCCACCCAGGCACCTGTGGGAAATGTGCAAGCAGAAATTGAGCCCAAGAAACCCTCTTCCCCTCCTGTGGTTTCCAGCAACTGGTATTCAGGAACATTACTGCCTCCAAATTGAAGGCAGAGAAATATCCATCAAGATTAGTAACCATGAAAATACGCATTCTGGATTGCTGCTTCTCAGCCAGTAAAACTGTTCCTGCCAGTGTGGCTCAACAGCTAGCTAGCATGTATTTGGACTGGGAAGACCTCGGATCAATCCTTTGCTCAGCCACAAAGCCTGCCTTGTGCACCTCAGGTTGTCCCGCTTACCACCAGTTGTGTGGTTGCAGGCCTTGCTGATTTGCACCCATGCTGCCCTAAGCTTCTTGGAGGAAAGCCAGGTTTTAACCAGTGTCTAAGCCAGGCCTTTGGTCTCTAGCCTAAATCCATCCTTTTCCTTCCCTTTGTATGTAAAAACCAGCGTTGAGCTTGGAAAGCAGCTGGCCAAGAAAATTGAGCCAGAACTGGAATCTGATGCGCCGGTGACATCTCACGATTCCTCCACCAACGGGCTGATCAACTTCATCAAGAAACACCGGGCCTGATCCGAGGGCAGGAGGGCTGCGTGCCGACGACAATCCAACCGCCAAACACCCAGATCGATGTTGTAGTCTGTGTTTCGTTAACCACTCTTAACCGGAATAGCACTTTTTTCACCAGTTCTGTTAGCTGTTAACGGTTAGCCTTGTTGCTTTTTTGAGCGTTGTTGCAAACAAAACCTTTTTTAATCTTGTGACACCTGGAAAATGCTGTTTAGTTGCTGTTCGTAGCAGCTGAATTGTAACTGTTGGGTACTGTTACCCCCCCCCCCACTCACTTCCCGCTCCAGCTCCACTCTGTATTGCCTAGATGGAAGCTGCACAACAGGCGGCAGCAAAAAACCCCTTTGCCTGCACTGTATCTTGTGAAGCTGGTGCCATTGTGAGACACCCCACCTTGTACAAGATTATACCACAGTTAACTAAACATGGCTGCTTTGTGTTTTTCTCCTTTTATTTTAAGGTGTGAATGTGGTTATCTAAACACTTAATAGTTTTGTTGGCTCTTTCCCATGATATAGTTAACCTTTTGGTTTTATCCTGAGCTGAATATATACATGATACATATATGAAGGTTCTCATACACACAGCCATCAGGAGTCTTTAACCTTCGTGAAATTGTCTAATCCTCCTTTTAAAGCCAAGCAGATTTGTGGGAGCACACTATGCGCTGTTCTGAATCTTCCAGCATTTGGCTTCCTTGGAGGCCTGTGAGTTCTCCTGTCATGAGAGGGCGAGAAAACTTAAGTATCCACTTTTTCCTTGCCTTGCATACCTGCCATACCTCTTTTCTCTTAATTAAACCCCACGTGTCATGATTGTTCCTCATTGGGCAGTTGCTCCAGTCCCCTGGTGGTTTGGGTTCCCATTTTCTGAAGCTCTTCCTGCTCCACACTACCCTCTGCCAATTGTAACTTGAAGAGGGGGTCTCCTAACAACTCTCAGCACCCTTAACAAACTAGAACTGTTTAAAGTTGCATGGTCTTGCTTGAAGGGCCCTCATTCTGCAGCGGGGCTTGGGGCAGAATCCCTCAGGCCCATTCTGGCATTTTATCAAAGTGGTGCCATTAAGGACATGAGAAGAGTCCTGCAGCAGCTGGATCAGGCCAAAGGAGGCCCATCTTGTCCAGCAACCTGTTCTCACAGGGGCCTGCACCTCATGGGGAGCCAGCCATTTACATCTGCCTATTTTTGTGTGTATTGACTCACATGGTCTTGTAATTCCTCTCTGAAGGCAACAGAAGTGCTGAGGAGGCAAAAGCAGGTAAGATAGTCTTCTCTGCAACCCGGTGGCCTCCAGGTGTGTTGGACTAAATCTCCCATCAGCCCCAGGTAGCATGACTAACAGCTATGAATGATGGGAGCTGTAGTTCAAATCATCTCAAGGGTACCAGGTTGGAGAAAGCTGGCTTCTGGGCCCCTACTTCCTTTTTGTAGCCTCTCAAAATGACTTGAGCCACATCTAAGTTGCTTTTCTTCCAGAATATCTGCTCGAAAAGCTCTTTCTCTGTTTGACACGCTCCATTCCCCTATCATGAATTAATTGCAGAGAAGAGAGCTGGAGATTAAGGGGTGCGTTATACAAACACGGCAGCTCAAGGATGGTGAGGCAGTTTTAGTGCTCAATACAAACAGATGTACAAAGCTCATTTAAATACTTAGTTCAGTCAGACAAGTGGTTTTGCAGGCATTCAGTGTGGTGAAGCTTGAACAAAGATCCACCTGGAGGCTGTTAAATTGAGAGTCCTTCCAACCTATACAACGATAGGTTTAAAATTTCAAATACTCTTTGTGGCATATACTTTTGTGGACTAGAGCCCACTTCAGATACATGAAAGAAAAACGTAGAGGTTTTTGGTTCAAAGCCCATGGAGCCAGCACAAAACATTAACACCAAAACCTCAATGCAGGACCATTTAAAACAGCAATTAAAGTTATCGACAAAAATTGATTGGTGACATCAACTTTGTAGGGAAAAGAGCACCTAGCCCTCCATATGTTGCTGAACTAAAACTCCCAACATCTGACCATTCATGCTTGCTGGAGCTGTAGTGCTGTTCAGAAGTAAGGCCCATTGTGTTCAGTGCAACTTACTCCCAGGTAAAGGTGTATAGGGTTGTACCCCAAATCAGGACTAGAATGGTAAGCAAATAAAAGGATATTGCTTGAAGTGACTGCTAAGGAACAAAGGGCAAAACTGAACCAGCCCTTCCACTCAAAATCACATTTTCTCCTTCCTAAGCAATATTGATGTTCCCTTTCTATGAAGGATGATTTATGCCCATGACCTAGTACCTTAACAGGACTTTAAAGTGGTCAGTTTAAGTTTAACAGCCTTGGTGGTCCTCAAGGCCATCCCCAAATGAAATTAAAACATTCATCTTTGGCACCTTTCAGTCACATAACGTGTGCACAATAAAAGGTCAGAAAAATCTTTCTTGCTATCCCAGCTGTGCTGCATCTGCACCATTAAAGTCTCCCTGCCCCAAATTTTCATCTAAGATAAGCATTATAGCTGCCCATTGGCACTGTGAAAATAAAGTATGTGCGAAGGCTAGATGCAATTTCTGTGTGTGTAAGGGTTGCTTATGTGTTAGTTAATTTGGAAGCCCTTTGAAGAATTCTACAAAGGGATCAAAGACAAATGATTAGAAAGATTTCAGCGAACTGAAGAAAGATCGGACCAGATCAAAGGGAGCAGCTGACAGTTGTTGGCTTGCCATGACTGAGCCTGATTCAGCGGCTTGTTTTGTACCTCCTGACATATATTCCTGATAGTCCTAAAACAGGATGATTTATCGTACTATAGGAGTATATGCTGCTAACTTACGATAATATGTGTTCGCTCATTTGATTTTGCTATCAGTGAAACAACGATGGATATTATGAAGGAAAAGCTAATTCTGAGTTACAGATAAGAACATAAGAAATGCTTTGCTGGATCAGACCAATGGCCTTCCTTGTTTAAAAAAAAGCTCAACAACTTTGACCTGAACCCCCAAAAGGGGGGGTAGATCACTGCCAGTTTTTAATTCTGTGAGTAGATCGCAGACTCTTTGGAGTTGGCCACCCCTGGCCTATCAGGTCTAGCATCCTGGCCTCACACTGGCCAATGAGGTGGCTGTGGGAAAACAGCAAGCAGGATTCAGGTACAAGTGCCCTCTCCCCTTCCTGTGGTTTCCAGCAACTGGTATAAGCATTACTGCATTTGACCATGGAGGCAAAATATAGCCATCTTTGCTAGTAGCCATTGAAAGCCATTTGTCAGTGAAGTTATCCAGTTCCCTTTTAAAGCCATTTAAAAGTTAGTGGCCATCAGTGAATACAGAGGGCCAAGGGGAAGTAGGAGTTTTTAGTCTCAAATTAATGTCAGTTCTGGTATATATATGGAAAAGGCATAATCAGGCAACCACATTTCACTTCATTCCTATACATTATGCCCTGCTCTCAAATTTAGACATTTCCACTGAATTGGCTTATATGTAAAGTAGTAATACCCTAGAACAAAGGCCACCTTTCCCAATCTAGCACCTGGTAGCTGTTTTGGACTACAACTTCTATCAGCTTCAGCCAACATGGCCATGCTTGCTTGGGCTGATGGGAGTTGTAGTTTAAAACATCTGGAAGGCTGGGCTGCGGTTGTCTTTAGTTATTAGTTTTCCCTTACCTGTATATCAAATTGGAGCATCGTAGGATTGTTGAAATTTCCCTGAAGAATGTGAACTACAGTGGTACCTCGGGTTACATACGCTTCAGGTTACATACTCCGCTAACCCAGAAATAGTACCTTGGGTTAAGAACTTTGCTTCAGGATGAGAACAGAAATCATGCAGTAGCAGCGCAGCGGCAGCAGGAGGCCCCATTAGCTAAAGTGGTGCTTCGGGTTAAGAACAGACCTCCAGAACAAATTAAGTTCTTAACCCGAGGTACCACTGTGCAACAAATGTTTTGTACTACAAATAAATTGAATCGTCATTATTTTAATTATTAAACAAAAACTACTTGGATAATAACTTGGCTAACACACAGGCATGTTCTGGGACTTTGCAAGCAATTCTGGGGCTTAGAATTTGGGTAATTGGCTACTTTCTCTGTGGCGGCCCCTAAGCTGTGGAGCCCCCTCACCACAGAGGTGCCCACAGCACCTTCATTGTACAGCTTCTGGTACAAACCTCTTTACCCGGGCTTTTGACACTTGTTTTTAGGACCCATCTTGTTTTTATGGTTGTAAAGTGTTTTAAACCATTTTGAATATGGTGTTTTAATACTGTAAACCCCCCACCCGAGACCTTAGGGTGAAGGGAAGGCAATAAACAAACAAGCAAATGAGATGACAGTGGGCATGCATCTATAGGACATGGAGTTGTACAGTTTTTGGTCCGTTACAGAGAAGGTACTTTAACATCCCTAGTTGGCCAGCCATCCCCCCTTTCTGCTGAGAAGAAAACTATAGTCCCACAGAATCTGTAACACTGGGTGAAAGCCACATGAAGGTCCTCGATTAATTGTGGCCTGCCCTTGGTAGCATGGGTGACAGCAGGGCTGGCTTATCCTTGAGGCTAGGTGATACAATTGCCTCAGGTGGCAGATCCATGGGGCAGAAGATCCGGTCTCCAAGGAATGCATTGGCTGCTGCAAGTGTGATGGCTGCTGCACTCCTTGAAGGCCGGCTTTGCTGCCTCACCAGCTCCCCCCCCCCCCATGCCACCTCTACAGAAGCCTCTTGATGAATAGAAGGCGCTGCTGGTCTTCCACCCCCAGGGAGGAAATGAGGGCTTTCCTTTGGGTCCCCTGGGTTCTGCACCTACCTAGTTTGATTCAGAACAGGCCTGTTTCCTTCTGAGTCCCACTTCAACCGTCAGGTAAAGTTGCTTTGATTTCCTTCTCCCATTGTTCCCTGGCTGGGTGGTTCACCTCAGGCGGCAAAACGTCTTGGGCCAGCCCTGAGCAACTGTATGTGGCCAGTGTTATGTAGTCATCTCAGTGGGCTAAGAGCAGTACAGCCTAAAGCTGGGGTCAGCAACCTTTTTCAGCCATGGGCTGGTCCACCGTCCCTCAGACCATGTGGTGGGCCGGACTATATTTTGAAAAGAAAAAAAAATGAACAAATTCCTATGCCCCACAAATAACCCAGAGGTGCATTTTAAATAAAATCACACATTCTACTCATGTAAAAACACACTGATTCCCGGACCGTCCGCAGGTCAGACTGAGAAGGCGATTGGGCCGCATCTGGCCCACGGGCCTTAGGTTGCCTACCCCTGGCCTACAGGATAGACTTGCTTAATAGCTACAGAGAGCCACTGTGGTGTAGTGGTTAAGAGCGGTGGACTCGTAATCTGGCGAACCGGGTTCGCGTCCCCGCTCCTCCACATACAGCTGCTGGATGACCTTGGGCCAGTCACACTTCTTTGAAGTCTCTCAGCCCCACTCACCTCACAGAGTGTTTGTTGTGGAGGAGAAAGGGAAAAGGAGATTGTTAGCCGCTTTGAGACTCCTTAGGGTAGTGATAAAGCGGGATATCAAATCCAAACTCTTCTTCTACACAAGGCCACTGCCTGCCACAAGGAGGAGCATTCCAAGGGGAAAAGGAGCTAAGCGCAGAAGGGAGATAGAGCTGCAGGATGTATCTGCTGCATGGGAGTTAACTGATCATTCCAGTAGGGGTCACCCAGAGACAGTGAGGAAAAGGACTGGGAGACTGATGGATGCCACAAGCATAGGAAGAGGTAAGTGCGAGGCAAACTGCTGGGCTGCCTTTCGTTGGGGCAAAGCAAGCTATCAAGAAACATGAGAATATAAGACCAGTGGCCCATCTAGGCCAGCGTTCTCTTCTCACAGCAGCTGACCAGATGCCCACAAGAAGCTTGCAAGTACATGAGTGCAAGGAGCATTCGTCCTTCCTGTGGTTTTTAGAAACTGATCTTCAGAAACATTACTGCCTCCAGCTGTGCAGGCAGAGCATAGCAATCATGGTTCCTCACCATTCATATAGCCTCCACAAATTTGTCTAATCCTCTTTTAAAGCCATTCAAAGTTGGTAGCCATCACTGCCTCCTGTGGGAGAGTTCTGTAGTTTAGCTATGCCCTGCGTAAGGAAGGACTTTCTTTTATCTGTCCTGAATCCTCCAACATTCAGCTTCATCAGACAGCTGGCCAGCTAACAATGGAATCCAATGATTTTAACCCTTGCTGGATCCAGGAATTAGAAGGGACTCAGGCATACAGCCTAACCTCCCATCCCAAACTCGCAACAATACGTTGTACAAGACAGCGTTTATTATTTGGAACCAACAAGGCACCTGAAGTTATTTTCAGAGACAAAGTAATAGCTGAAGCTACCACCTGCTTCTATTTTTAAAAATATAAGTATCATTTAATTTCAAGTAATTTCTCTATTAAACCTTCATAAATATGTATATGCATAATCAATCATTTAGGAGGGTGGGATTTATTTGATTTTAATATGATGCAGCCACACAATATAGGAGGCAGATGCAAGGCTGTCCTTTCTTCGGAAGCAAGATGGAAGAAGTGCTCTAAGATGGCCCCTGTGGTCTTTGTATGTATGCTGACCTCTGTCAGGAGGACAGGGGGAACATGCCCTGCTATTTCCCCATGATTTCTCAGCAGCATTTGGTACCATTAACCATCGTATTCTACTGGAGTGGATGTTTGGGGTGGGTGGCACTGTTTGCAACAGTTCCAGTCCCACTTTGATTGTTGTTTTCAGAGGGTTGTGCTTGGGGAGTTTTGTTCAGCCACCTGGAGCCTTCAATGTGGGGCTGCCGTTGAAGACCACAAACAGCATCAGACACAGCAAGAACTCCGTGGTCAGATTGTTGATCAGGGAGGATGGTCCAAACACATAAGTCCAATTCAAAGCACTGGTATTCACTTGTAAAGCCTTATGTGGCTCAGAACCCCAATACCTCAGAAACTTGCAGAAGAGAAGAACAGAAGAAACAGGCAGCTAAAGAATGAGAAAGGGATAGTGAGAAAGAAGATGGTGGCAAAACCTCCCAGGTCTCAAGAGTAGGAGTTTGATGGAATGCGCCACACAATAAATAAGAGATCCAGCCATCTTATTCTTAATAGAAGCTTCTAGAACCATGTGCTTTACTGCTTCCTTAGGGACGCACATTTTTTTCCCTACAGGCAGGGCTTAAAGCAAAAAGGTTATTAAGAGTAAACTACCATATAATTAAGATAATTGTGAACAATAACATCATTTAAGAAGAAGGTGGGTTGGGTTACCACAGACGACTCATCATGCTGTCTGTCAATGTTGGAAAGAAAGAGAGACACGCATTCAGCAGGCAAGTCCAGGCAGCAGCTCTCAATGCTGGGCAGCATGTGAGGCATAGAAGGTTGGGCACCAGATGCTGCCAGGTAAGATCAAACAACTGGTGGCCGGGGAAGGGGGGGGGGGCCTTGCAAAAACAAATTTGTCACAGTGGGGCAGACAGTATTAGCTCCTCATGACTCTAATACAGTGGTACCTCAGGTTAAGTACTTAATTCGTTCCAGAGGTCCGTTCTTAACCTGAAACTGTTTATAACCTGAAGCACTACTTTAGCTAATGGGGCCTACTGCTGCCGCCGCGTCGCCGGAGCACAATTTCTGTTCTCATCCTGAAGCAAAGTTCTTAACCCGAGGTACTATTTCTGGGTTAGGGGAGTCTGTAACCTGAAGCGTATGTAACCTGAAGCATATGTAACCCGAGGTACCACTGTACCACCCTCCCTATCTAAGGCCCTTGGTGTGATTTGGGCTGCAACATCCATCCACTTGGCAAAGGCAGGGCTGGTGGTTTTGCTAAGAGATCCTGGTGGGGGAGATTCTGAAGGTGTTTGAGGCCAGGGATTTGAAAAGTCACCGAACAAGACCACTTGTTACTGCTCTTACCTTGCCTTTCCAGAGGGAAAGTCTCTCACAATCCTGCTAGGGTGCTCCTGTACGCTGGGTGTAGGTAACAGAAGATGCCTGCGACACTGGATTCTGCAGGAAAGAAAATGAAATCAGGATATATTATTTTGAAGTGCAAACAAAAAGAACCTGATCTAAACTTTGCTTCAAATTCTAAAAAGACAAGTGTCGCTGAAGTGAGCCAGAAGCACTCGGTTTGCCACAGCTGCTGTGCATTTCAAGACTTCTCACTGGATTCTGTCCTAAGTCTTGCAGAATATCCCAGCCGGCATTGTAAGCAGCATTTAAATGTAATCTTTAACCTTACCTGCATCCTTTTTATCGGTCCAAAAATATCTGGAGCATCTATTTGTGAACCCTGGGCTGTTAACGGATCATGTTGTTTGATTAGGAGACACTTCATTGTTCCTGAGTTTTTGCCAAAAGAAAAAGGGGAAAAAAGCACCTTTTGGGCCAATTAGTGTGAAGTCTTTGCTTGTTTAAGGCATCTCTAGGAGTTGTTTTTCCTGCTTCGCATTCCTCCTTTTGCTCCCTGGCTACTTTTAAAAGCAGCTGAGCAATTGCTGCATTTCCAAACACAAAGAACAATAGCACCTCATGCACCGCAAAGGCCATTGGAGCAAATATTGATCAGGGGGCTTGAATGCCAGAAAAGCTTTTGCAGAAGGGGCACACCCAATATTGCTAGGAGAGAAAAAAAGATGCAAAGTCTAGCTAATCACCTGCTGATCTAGAGATTCCAGTCTCTTATAAATGAGGGCGTCTTTTCTAAAGCCAGAAAAATAAATCCTCTTTCTTCACCACCTCGACATGACTGGCAATGATCTCATTTCCTCTCTCCCCCACCGATATTTGCAGAGGTGGGTCAAAATAATACCACCCACAGAGATGCATCACTTTGATAATAAAGGTAAAAGGGAGGATTTAGGGATAAGCTGCTGCTGCTTTTAGTAGATTTTAAACCATGACTACCAGATTTTATTTTTTTTAAAGTCCCAGGTTTCCACAGAAGACTTTGATGTATGCAGGAAAGTCAAAGCAGTATAACTAGCTTAGCAGTTTAAGCTCTGAATCCGTTCAGATAATGAATTCTGGATTTAACTTTTATTTTATTTTTTAAGAACACTTGATAGACTTCTGTCTTTAGGTGCATAACACCACACCTTAAAAATGGGCCTCATTACTATTTTGTCTCCTGTGGGGTGAACCTCTCTTCTTCCCAACTTTCAAAAAGCAGTTGCCAGCAGTAAAATTGCTGATTCAATCATCCCAAGGAAGGGAGCTGGAGAACTGAGATAAATAGTGGTAACAAGAGATGAAGCTGCAGATCTTTTTGACAAATTTAAAAATGAACAAATCACCAGGTCCAGGTGGCATCTACCATAAAGTTCTTAAAAGAACACAAGATGTGAAAATGCTGATCTTCTAACACAAATATAAAATTTCTCTCTAAGATCCGCTTACATACGTGAGGACTGGAAAGTGGCCACTGTAACCCTTAAAAAAACCAAACCACTGGCACATTTAAAAGTGTACAAAGGACAGCTGTTGGAGGGGTGTGTGTTGATTTGTGGGCGAGAAAAGGCTTGTACCATCTTTTCCCCATCTCTTCCACTTTAAACGCCCTGCTTCCTGATGCAGCTTTGCCATTTACTTGTTTTTCAAAAAATAAAAGTGGAAGAGCATAGCATGAAACACGCAGTTTGTTCCCATAACCAATCAATTCCTTCTAGGTAACACACTATAAAATCAGAAGTAACTACAAAATGTCTTTATTGGAAAAAAAAGCAGATTATAACATCTAAGGTTAAATGAAATTCTGACTTTTAATATTAAAATAACTTAGGACGATAGCAAGCAGCTTCTTTAGATAAATAAATCTACATTTCCCAACTTTAATTCTTCAACAATCAAGGAAACCAAATGACAAGACAAAAACCCGGCAAGTCAATCTATGTACTAACTAAAAGGCCGAAGGTTTTAGAATGATATATACAAACAAGGTTAAACTAACATATTTGCAGCATGTAAACTAGACACGATATACAAATTGGGCATTTAATATATTTCCTACAAAATAAAAATTAACATTGGTCCAAGTTCTTGGAAAAAAAACTATATTCTTTTAAAGAAAATGAAAATAATTCTCAAGAAAAAAACTTAATTTAAGTCAAATTATATACTCTAGTTATGGCATTAGTTGCATGATGAATCACAAACTTTCCTCAGGGCATGAGAAAGCAGCTTTTGTGTGCCTTCCTCGAGCTTTGGTTTAAATTCTTGGACTTCATGAAATTCTGAATTTCAGAATGTGCACCCTCTATTTTTAAGCAATTCTCTTTTCATTCAAATTCAAAACTACTTTGGTCTTTCCTTTGGAACCTTATAATTTTAAGGGATATGGTGGAACTTCCAAGTAGGCTGTTCTTTTGCATTTCCCAACAAGAGAGAAATGTGGAAGGCAAAATTCCTGCTTTTTTCATTAATGCAAAGACTAAGCAATAAAACTGAAAGTAGAAAGAATAGGAAAAATCACCAATAAATATTATGGCACAAATGAAAGAAGTGTTCCATCCCTATTAAATAAGAATTCTCTCGAAGCAAACATAAAAAGCTGCCTCAAACTCTTTGTCCCTCTAATCCAGCTTTCTGGTGCCCTCCAGATGTTGAACCATAACTCCCATGTGAAGGGCACCAGGTTGTCAAAGGCTATTCTAGTTCAGTGTTGCTTCCTGACTGGCAGGAATTCTCCAGAGACACAGGGAGACACAGGCCTTTTGCATCACTTGCTACCTGTTCCTTTCAACTGGAGAAGTCTGGGACTGCCTGCACACTGAGCTATGCGCAACCCCCCAAAAAAACAACTTGAAGGGAGTTTCTTTTTATACTTTCCAAGGAAAAGAGGTAAAACGTTTCACTCTAATTTCAGTGCACACCATTTCAGAGTCGCTGTGGGAAGCTTTCTGGATGCTTTCTTCTTAACAAAAAATAATTAAGGAAATCTAAACAAGCTCTGTTTTTCAAAACGGAAAGAAAAAAGTTGGCAAGACACAGCCCACTGAGCCGTGATCAAATTCCGCTTTCTGTGGAAAAACAGTTTATGGAAAATGACTGCATTCTGGACAGGGCAAACTTGGTCTCGCTAGAAATAAAAAGGTTCAGCATCTATACAACAATACGGAACTGCGTAAAAAAAAGAAAAGAAAAAAAGACCTGAAACATTTTTAACAAGTGAAATTAAATACTCCATTCCAACGGATGTCAGTTTAGAACAGTAAAAACAGTAGTGTATGTACATAGTGTGGATGTTGTGCTATTCACTGAAAATTAAGGCAGGAATATGAATTAAAAGGTTTGCCACTAATATGGTCAAGGCACTGGGTAATACAGACTTCCCTGACTTGGCGGCCTTCAAATGTTCTGGACTGCAACTCCCATTGTGGTTATAGGGTGGGAAGAGAGGAAGAGAGTTCAACGTAAATGATGGAAGGTTGGTTTTAGGTGGACTGGCCCCAATCCAGAGAATCACAGGAGAAAAGCATGCACAATGTTGAGCGTACACAGCAGGGATAACCAACACAAATGCTGTTGGACTACAATTCCCACCAGCTCAGGTTAGTATGGCCAATGTTCAGGGATGATGAGAGTTGCAATCCAACAGCATCTGAAGGTACTTCAATGGCTACCTCTGATGCTCCGAGAAACAAAGCATGCTGTACAAGGGATCCAAATACGATGAGCATCCATCACTCCGGGTTGTGGCATGTACTAGACTCCACAACCCACTGGGTCCCACTGGATCAAGACTGTTGTTTCCAACACCAAGAGGGCCCAAGCATTATCCTGCATCAGTTCAAAAAGGCAGCATTTCTTCCTTGCTGGAGAGAGAACAGGTATATTTTTAATCCATTATACTTTATAATATAAAAAGGGCGGGAGGGAAATCTCAAAACTGTTCCTTTGCCATTTATTTTTTCCCTGTATAATTCCAGCAAAACAGTTTGGCAACCTTCCTTGACTGATGCCTTTTAGGTTTTGTTGGACCAGAACTTCCATCAACTCCAGCCATAGCAGACGTGGTGTGTGAAGCCTGCTTTGAGGGGTTCGGTTTGGTTTGCTTTCAAAGTATAACACTGATGTTCTGTTGGCTGTTGTGGCTGACAGCTTGAAAACGAAAGGATCAGATTCTTAGTTTTGCTGAAATTACTGGAGCATACAACTGTTTACAGCAGACAGAAATCTGGCCCCCGCATGTAAAAGTTAAAACCAGTTAAAACATGCTTAAGGTCGATAAAGTCTGATGAGTCTACAGAGTTCTGGGTGTTTTGTAGGAGCTCAGGCAAAACAGGAAAATATGCACATTTCAAGGAACTCTTTGTGTTTGTTATTAAGTATCGTTTTTACTTCCGCTTGGCCTCCAAGGACATCTCCAAGTAGGTCTGCACATCATAAAACTGTCTCTGGAGAGGTGATGGGTAAAGACTTTCAAGGTGGATTTGGTGAAAATGAAAATTTCAGCATGCCACTGGCAAATCTATCAGTGACTCCCATCTTCCGCCATTGGTTCTTGTAATTGAACTATCCAAACAAGCTACTCTTGCCAGACATTCTAGGCGATTACACGATGTTTAAATGGCCTTTATTAAATGTGGCATGACCCCACTTCAGCCTGAAAAAACAGTGGGGTGGGAGGAGGGGAGAGATGGAGCAAATGCCCCTCGGGGCCTCCTTGGAAAACTGCTATGTGCTTGTCAAGGGCCACTTGTTTCCTAATAATCTGAAATCAGTTTGAAAATGCTGGGGATTCAATCATTAATAATTTGACCTCCAGAGTTGAGCTTATCAAGAGGCAAGCTGTAAAAATCCAGCATGGAGCAAACCAATTCAAAAGGACCTCTCTGGAAAAAGAATGTCCGCCACCTGCAACTGAAACCACACCATAAATCTGCTGCCCTTAAACACACACACACACACACACACACACACACACACACACACACAACAAAGGCAACATATAATCTAGGATAATTGCAAAACAAGTAGAATTTTGCATAGTCAGGAGGACTGAAGTTATTAGCTGAAATTGGTGTAAAAGCCTAAGAGACTGACCAAAACAAAAAACAAAAAAAAAACACACACACCAGAATTTGAGGACCTGGGAAGCCACCCCTAGTGGCTGTTAATCTGCCACTAGTAAGCAGGCAGTGATGTCCAGAGTGCCAGGGCCAAGTCACTGTGAGGAAAGACATATTAAAACAGGAGACTCTCATTCCTTGGTTGCCTCTTATTAGGCTTGAATGAGCAAGGGAGCATCACAAGGCAGGGCGGGAACATCTCAGCTCTTAGACAGCCTTTCAGGTTTCTGCATCCCATCACACCAGCCTTCCTCCCAGACGTTTTAGACTACAACTCCCATTAGTCCCTGCCAGCACACCAATAGTACTATTATAAGCAACTATGCCCATAACTATATAGTTGCCTGCCAGCTCAAGGAGGCTATGAGGTCTCAACCTGCCCTGCAGTCTTGGACTATGTTGTAACTGGATCCGGCCTGCATCCCTAAACTGGTAAAATAATGGGCACCAGAACTCTCACACAAGGGATCCCAAACATCTAAGAAACCCCCTGCAAAAATGCTTGTTGCATCGATGATTCCTCAGTGGGTTCAGTTCATATAATATTCTACAAAGAGCTTCTTCCACATCTCTCTTGTTGGCACTGTATGAAAGCACCATGGGCTAAGACAATGAATTTCTCCCCCACAGAACAACTTCTTTCTCTTAAGTCATGTTTAAATCTGACCATGACTAAAAAAACAAAACAAAACCCAATCCTCTCCTGCAACAACCACCCAGACCCTCATATTGTGAGGTCGTTTCTCAAAACGCCTCAAGCCAAGATGCAATGAGACCCAGCATAAAAATGTAGTATTTATCCGCTTTCTCCTGCAGCACTGCTGCAAGCGGTTAAGATTCTTGCAGGGACCCAAACTACAATGGGACAAAACTATGACGAACGGATGGCCCTGCCTAGCATAGCACAGAAAACAACACTTCTCGCTGCACTTTTACAGTTACATCCACGTGGTGCATCATTTTTCAAGTACCCAGTGTCTTGGGAGGAATTATTTAGGCACACACTCTGAGAGGCACACCTCTCTTTTCAGTCTCAGAAGCAATAAATAAACTTGGCTGCTTTGTCTCTTAAAAGAAGAACTGACAAGTCATCTGTGGAAATCTTCTCCCGCCAACAACGGCCTCCCTCCTGGTTGCAATTTGATGGGGCGCAAAACACCTCAGAGTTCAGTAATGTGCATTGGGTATCCAGGGGGAGGGTGGGGTGGCACTGTCATACTGAGGCGCCTGATGTGACAACCATGGCAAAGCAAGTGCCCCTCTAAAGGATAACAACGACGGCCTTCTTCGTCATTGAGCTGGAGTCCACAGTCCTAAGAGGAACAAGAGTATGCATATGTTAGACAGCTGGGGAAAACTCCTAATGAAAAGAATCACATTTAGGTAGCCCTCACCAACCTGGTGGCCCTCCAGGTGTTTTGGACTACAACTCCCAACAACCCTTGCCGGCTTGTGGCATGGATACTTAAGAGGATGTCTTCTCCCACATCAACCATACACCAAACTCTATCTCATAGTCCCTTCTCCAGATTCTCCTGCCACCTAAAGGGTAGAAGCAGCGCACAGAGCCTTTTCAGTGGTGGCTTCCAGCTTCTGGAACTCTCTCCAGGGAACCTCACCTGGCCCTATCTTAATGTTTAAGTGACTGGCAAAGCTGCCCATTTTGTTTCCTCAGCCTTTTATCCTTTGATGAATTTTTGCTGCTGCTTCAAGTGCTGCATTTTACTGCTGTAAAGTATTTTCCTGATAAAGATTGCTATTTAATTGTGTTTTAGGAGCTATTGTAAAGCACCCTGACATGTTTTCTAATCGAAATACTGTAAAAATAAAAATGGCGGGTGGGTAAGGCACAAGCACCAAGTTGGAGAAGGCTGGCTTAGACCAAGGCCAAAGAGCCTGCCTTATTCAGCACCGGAGAAGCTCCAAGGTTTACCTCACAATGGTAACACTCCACGTGGTAATCCCTGTCCATCGACACCACCCGGATGGTCTCCTCGGAACCCTGATTTGAGGAAGGTAACAAGTAAGGTATGGCAGCATTCTATAATTTCCCCCTCAATGGAAATAGGCCCTCAGGGAATCCCCTCCCCATTTTTATTTTTTATTTTTGCAACTTAACAAGAAAACGTCTCTCCACTTCACCCACTCTTTGCTTCATTTGGGGAGGGGGTTTCTGGAGGTTGGCTCTAGTGGAAGCAGAATTGTTCCATTTTATTCCATTCTTCTGTCAGGCAAGGATAATTCCTTGCAAAATACAGTGTACAACTTAAGGCTGAGGTGCAGATTCCGCCCCCCCCCCCGGAGAATTAGAGCTTTGTTGGGGCACTGAGGAGGGAAGAAGGGAGGGGCCCATACACCTGCAGGTTGTAAAGAAAATGGGACCTACAGCTACACACATCTGGACAGGAGCAAATACTAGAGTCTCAGGGTGAGTGGGGAGAGGAGCTCTGTGCCATGCAGATATTTTATCTGCTGGTCTAGGGAAAGGTTATCATACTGTTTCACATGTCTCACCGAAGAGAACCACCTAACAGTTTGTGTCCAGTACGTTGCTGACTCTTCGCCAATGACCCAGAAGTGGCTTTTAGAGAAAAATGTAACGGATGTTGATGTGGTTGACTGCTAGCCAGGTGCACTTATTTAGGCTGCACACATTTACTGGTAGCCAGGAAAGCATGTCAGGACCTTGTAGTCAACACATTCGACATCACCAGCAATAAGCAATTCTGTTCAGCACATTGTATTCGTTTGCACAACCATGTAATAAACAAAAAGAAACTCAATGAATACTCTCTAGCTGTCAGTTGTAGCTGGGGGCTTTTTGCTTCAGACAATATGATATGCTTATGGAGGTGAGTAGCTAAATCTCATGGAGGAAGAGGGCGCATTTTTTGTTTAAAGAACAGACCCCTGCCAAACAGTTCCAAAGTCATCCTGAGTTGAGATGAGGTTAGAACATCAGGTCTGTAGACAACGTATTTTCTTTGCAGTCCAGAAGGGAGCAGATCCACCTTAAAAGGCTGTATAATCTCTGCCGTGAACAGGCAGGTGGATCTTACTAGAAACCTTGCTAACCCACCTTTGAGTGAGTCAGAGAAGGGGATGTGGAAGAACCTGCATTTGAGACAACCACATATTGCTTGCTTCAAAGTAGCCCTAGAATGATCTCATCATCTTCATTGTATGTGTGCGAGCATCTTAATTCTATGTCAGCAAAGTTCAAACAACACTTTTAAAGTGTCGCCTTCTTGGTAAATTTAAGGAGGCATTGGGAAGGCTACAAAGTATAAGCAAATGGAATACCATACCTGTGCTGGTAAAATGGGCTGGTTACAGGAAGCACATTTTGGTGCAAAAACCCTAGTATGAAAAGAGAAAGTATGTCACACTCTTGTTTAATAAAGAAAGCAAAATAAATATAAGAGAAGGGTGGGAGAATATGACAGCATTTTAACTACCGCTAAAGTTTGGGGTCCCTATAGCAGAAGTCTTGCTCAAGCAGTCTTCTCTTTTGGCTCAAGTCCCAAATACCCGGTTGAGGAGGCACCCTTTACCTTATTAGTAAATTCACAATGTATCATCACTAAGAGCAAGCAGAATTTCTCAGCCTGTAAGCAGGTGTTGAGCCCGCCAGATGTTGTTGAAGTACAACTCCCATCAGCCCCTGCAAGCATGGCCAATGGGCAAGGAAGATGGAGGTTGTAGTTCAGTAACACCTGGAGGGTCAGAGGTTCCCCACACCTGTTTCAGGGGCTGGCATTCTAAACTTTTATGAGGCACTGGGTTCAATAGTTTAAACCGGCCTCCCCCAACCAAGATTCTTTTGGCTACAACACCCATCAGCCCCGGCACTGTACGGCCATACTAGCTGGGGCTGATGTGAGTTACACTCTAAAACATCTGGAGGACCCCAACTTAGAGCAGGCTGGCTAGGAACGTAACAGACTGCTGGATCAGGCTGTTTTTGGAATGGTCAACCAGTACCCAGCCACTAGTAGCCTTAACCTCCATTAATTGGCCAGTCCTCTTTAAAAAGCTATTCAAGTTGATGGCCATCACTGCATCTTGAGGGAATAGGGGTGGAATTTCATAATTTAACTATGTATTATGGGAGGCAATGTTTCATTTTATGTGTCCTGAGTCTTCCAAAACTCTGCTTCATTGGGCGTTTCCAAAAGTTCTAGTGTTGTGAGAGAGGGAGAAAAACTTTTCTCTAACCACTTTCTCTACACCACACATAATATTATACACCTCTAGCATGCCTTCTCTTACGTGCCTTTTCTCTAAACTAAAAAGCCCCAAATATTTTAATTAACGCACAAACATTGGAAGAGGTGGGGAAACCTCTGGTTTGGAAGGGGTAAACTTGGCTCACCTGGTGTTTGGCAGTTTCCCCCAAACCACACAAAACCTGCCCCGCAACTGACATTGCATGTGTTCTTTCTGAGCAGAGACTGAAAGGAGATTGTACAGAGCCCCCCAGGGAGCCCCAACTTTGGAGGTCTGATACATCAAGCCCTTCAAAGACCACTGATGATTTGCCTCCTCTTTGGCACTGTAAAAAAGCCCTTTAAAACTGGAGCAGCCAGATGCTATTGAACTTCAACTCCCATCATCCCTGACCACTGGGCCATGGTGTCTGTGGTGGATGGGCATTGTAGTCCAATAACATCTGGAGGATATCATGTTGGCTCTCCCTAATTTAAAAGGGTGCATTCAAGGCTCAGGACACCTCCTTGTTTAATGCCAGCCTGGCATTCAAGAGCATCTGCTGGAATGTGCAAAATTATTGCAAGGCCTTCTTTCCCTTCGCCCCATTTACTCCCTGGTATTTGAATTTGATTTAACACTGGATGATGCTTTCTTCTCGGTGCCGTTTTGCAATACCTGAAAGCAACAACCAGCCCTTCCTCATCTCATGCACAGTCCGTCCCCCCTCTTCCTTGTCCCCCCCAACATACAAGGTTCTGCGTTCTCACGTGTGATAGTCTTTCACACAGTAAATATTGTTCTCCACATCTACAGTGAATGGGACGCCATCTAGACATTCATTGCAGACCACACAGCGGAAACAGCCAGGATGGTAGGACTTCCCCAAGGCCTGCAAAATCTGGAAAAGAAACCAAGACAGCCCCAAAATCAATTCTCATCCCCTTGGAGGCATATTACCTACTCAACAACTACTACAAAATGGGTTGGCATTTGGGGGAAGAGCAGCAACACAGTGGTGAAACATCTGCTTAGCATGGAGAAGATCCTAGATTCAGTCCCTGACATTACCAGGCAGAGCTGGTGGTGTTCCCTGTCTAACTAAGTCACTGCCAGCCAGTGTTGGCAATACTGAGTTAGACCAATGGTCTGATTCAGTATAAAGGCAGCTTGCTGTGTTGTTCCCCTGCTTTCATTGAGCTCTTCAGTGACCCCAAGGTCTCTGTTCTAGTCAGTTATTGCAAGCTAAGACTCCATCACTTAATATGTGAAGTCTCTCCTCTCACCGCCTCCGCCAAAATCCCAACAACATGAAGGCACCTTACTCTATCTTGAAGTATTGTTGGCATTTCAGAAAGGAAAGGAAACTTCTTAAGGTGTGTGTACATGTTTGGGTGGAGGGGAAGTAAAAGAGGGGAATAGAAACCACACACCCCGACTAATATATTGCACATTTTAGAAGCCTCTCCTCTTACCATTTCCATTATGAGGTGTCCACAAATGAAGCACTTGTCTGCAGTTTGCTGAAAACCTGAATACTGTTCAAGAAAGAAAGGGAGGGAAAAGGAAAGATGGTTACTTGCTTCCTTCCTCTCTCTTGCTTGTTTTGTTTTACCTCCCAAAGCTCCCCACTCCAACAATAAGGTAAGCCGGCCAAATCTTGAAGGGCAACTGCCAATCTGGAAACATGGATGCAAAAGAAGAAGAGGAGGAGTTTGGATTTGATATCCCGCTTTATCAGTACCTGAAGGAGTCTCAAAGCGGCTAACATTCTCCATTCCCTTCCTTCCCCACAACAAACACTCTGTGATGTGAGTGAGGCTGAGAGACTTCCAAGAAGTGTGACTAGCCCAAGGTCACCCAGCAGCTGCATGTGGAGGAGTGGAGACACGAACCTGGTTCCCCAGATTACGAGTCTACTGCTCTTAACCACTACACCACACTGGCTCTAAACACTCTAAAGTCCTCTAAACACTCATCTTCAGAGGGAGAATAATTATTCTGAGATTCTGCAAGCAGAAATTGACCCTTAATGCAGTATTATGATATTGAAAAAGCAAGTTTTTGGTACTTTTGCTTAAGGGGTTTCTTTGAAAACACACAGGAGGTAACTCCAAAGGTAGCTGACATAGCTTGGAAATGAAGAAGAGATGGGCAGCAACACTTTTACATTAATAGATTATACATAATAAATACATTGCACACACATAAAAAAGGACAGACTGACAGTAACATATAATGAACTAATAAAACTGAGCATCCTTGAGTTAAATTCAGCAGAGTAAAATGGTGGTGGTGAAACAAAAACAGTGGCTGGTCAAACTGTACGTAATAAGTGTTTATGGTTGCATCCTTGCCATGGCCGTTGTTCCAGGGCAGATTTTACAATCAGATTATCATTTGATAGATAAATAGATAGATAGACAGACAGACAGACAGACAGACAGACAATAGTTGTAACTGTATTTTCTCAAAACTTTTTGGGAAAAAGGAATGAGAAATATTTTTAAAAGAGACAAACAGCCCGACAAGAAGCTTGCAGGAGATACAGAATGTTGACATTTGGCCAAGGAATTAGCTTGCTGATGTCTCTGACAACTTACAGTAAGCATCTTGGAGGAGGAAGAGTATCAGGTCCCTGGTATTTTTCTTGTTATTAAAAAAATCTCCCCTCCCTATGTCACTTGATAATGTTTCCAGCTAACGGAAAGAGGGTGGGATTAACCATTTTTGCTTTTGCACTCATATCCCACAATTTTACAATAGCAAGTACCAGGTATGTTGAGTGGCAGGTAGCAAAGCCTGATCCCTCTTGCCACACAGCGCAGGAAGGCCTTGAGGTGGAGAAGAAAACAGGGGCCCCTTCCCTTCCCTTGAACACTCTCCCTCTCTTTGGAAGGCTTGTCCGACATCATCAGGCTCCTTTCCAGGCTGCCTGGAACCCCAAACAGGAGTACTTCCCATATGGGGTGAGGATATGTTTTGTTGCAATTGAAATGGTAGAGTTTAGTTGCAGAAAATGAGAGAGGCTAGTTAAAGACAAGAGATTACGTTTTCTCAGCCTCCTTCAAAATGTAAACATACATTTGTAAGCAGAGTGTGCCAGACAAGTGCTTTGAACACCAAAATGACCGACCCACCACAACCTCTGTGAAATTCCAGCCAGCTAATCTTTAAACACTTATTTGCTAGGGGATGGACTTTACCTCACCTTCCTTCAGTCCAATGTAAATATGATGCCACACGACTGCCCTCTTCTCCCATGCAAAAGGGGTGCTCCACTATTGGCACAGCACTACCCTTTCAATAATGCACTGGTCTGACTTAAGCCACCGCTTAGTTCGGCATTTGATTATTTGAACCAATTTGGGGCTATTGCAGAGATCACTTCTGTGGGGTGTGGGTGTTGAAGTGTATCCTGTAGATAAGACATGGAACACAGTACAAGGGCAGGAAAAGAGGTGAACTTGTCTAGACCACGTCAAATGGCCTTGAAAGCATGGTGGAGGCAGGGGTGTGAGGCCATGCGTCTAGTCAGTGTGCATACAGAGGTGTGTGGGTCTAGGTGCTTGCATGCACACACTAACACATACAAAAATGCAGGAGGTGAATGCAAAAGAAGAGCAGCTACTTTAAAATAAACTACAACAAGCTGGATTTCAACAAACAAATTCACTTAAAGCCCCCACAAATCTTTTAAAAATTGCATCAAATCAAAATTGCTTTTGACCTAAAGCTGATTTTGGATCCAAGATTCTACATAGGTGTGCATGCACCTGTGTTTTTAAGGGAATAATTATTCCTTAGTATTCATTTTTATTCTTTATTACTCTGTTGCTTCTCTGCACTGTATTCGGTGCCATTTTGGTTTTTTTGCACATGCTGCACCAGGCTAAACATGCCCAACTCCCTTAACTATTCCTGAAACCAAGACTTATGAGGAATGGTTGAGGGAGTTGGATATGTTCAGCCTGGAAAAGAGGAATCTGAGAGGAGATATTCCAGCCATCTTCAAATATCTAAAGGGCTGTCACATGGAAGATCAAGCAAGGTTGTTTTCTCCTGCTCTGGAGGCTAGAACCCAAACCAATGACAAGAAAGGAGATCCTGAATAAACATCAGGAAGAACTTTATGACAATAAGAACTATTCAACAGTGAAGCAGACTCTATTGGGAGGTGGTCGACTCTCCTTCCTTGGAGGTTTTTAAGCAGAGGCTGGATGACCATCTGTCATGGATGCTTTAGCTGAGATTCCTGCATTACAGGGGGCTGGATTCTACAATTCCATGAACTAATTCCAAATTATGTTATCAAAAGTAAATTAAGCAAGTAGTTTTGAATGCCTACTTGCTTATTCTAGATACATAACTGTGGCTGTAACTCTTATATATGTGGCCTTGTTATGGAGAATAGATTTAAAAACAAAGACAGATCTAGACCAGATCTAGTTAGTCCATAGCTGTCAAGTGTCCCTTATTTGAAGGGACAGTCCCTTATTCCAGGGCCATGTCCCGCTGCTGTCCCTTATTGCTGGATGTCCCTTAAATGATGTCCCTTAAATTTCAAAGGAAGCAGCTCCTCTCCCCCCCGCCCGGCCGGCCAGGGAGGAGGGAGGCTCCAACTGTGTTGCTTGGCTGTGTTGCTCACCCAATAAGAAGTCTAAGAACGACTGGGGGGTGGAGCTTGCATGCCTTGTGTGTGGCTAGTTAATGCAAGCTGAGGGTTTCTTTGAATGCTGGGCGCCATTTTGTTGCACGTGCTGCTGCAAACTTTGCAGTGCAAAGCCAGGCCAGGGAGCCATCTTAAGTTGAGGCTGCATAGGCCTTGTGGTGCATGTGATTCAGATTCTATTCAGTTGAACCTCTGGTTACAAAGTTGGTTGGACAGTGTTCTCAGAGCTACCAGCATGGGTTTGACCAGACTGCAGGAAGACTGGAGTGCCTGGAACAGGTGAGGCTGCAGGTCCCTTATTTTGGCTGCTGGTCCCTTATTTTCAAGGCTGCTGGTCCCTTATTTTCAAATCTGTAAGTTGACAGCTATGATTTAGTCTTACATGCTAAAATGGATGTAGTCTTCTTCCTACCAAGGAACTTGGGAGTGTTTGGCCTCATGACATCTTTGCAAGTTAGCCAGGGAAGCTGTTCTTTTTGAAAAGTGCGCCAGAATTCAAGACTGCAGTGCGCAGGGATTTAACTCAAATCCAATATCTGGGGGTGGGGAGAGCATGCTTGGCAGCTGTGGGGTGCCTATCGGCAGGTGAGGCCCAACAAACTTTTCCATAGCCCAGCATGAACTGAGTAACCAGGGTGCTCTGGGGGCCCTCAGCAGATGAGTCCATTGAAAAGGTTTCCCTGAAAAATTGAAAGCAATAATGCACAACTGTCCTACACTTTTAAGGAATCATCAAGATCTTCTCTGCTGTCTTCCCTTCTTGCTTTGCTCTCCTCCTTTTTATCCCACCAGGAAAATGAAGCACTAGCCTCCAGAAGGCATGGGCTTCTGGCTATAGCGGTGACCATCTGGCCAGCATGTTTCATGAGGCCATGACCTCAGGGCTGAAGAGGAACAGGTGGGAAGGGCAGACGGCAAAGGATTATCAATGGTGTAAGCCTAGCTAATTCTCCAAGCCTGTCACTGTGAATTTAACTGAACCATCTGGCTGTCATTTGATAAGAAAGGCAAAGGACCATTTATTGATTAATAGGGGACAGAACTCCTGAAGAATCAAATGGCCTTGGAGGCAGGTTGAAATCATTTATGGTCCCTGGATGGCCATAAATTATGCTATTTAGTGGAGAAAAGAGGGAAGCTGATACAAAATCTATTTTCTATGTGACTAAACCAATTGCATTAAGCCCATATTTTGTGTTTAATGGAATAATTGAGTTTGTAAAAGGAGGGGGAAGGGGGGGAAGTTGTTTGTAAGAGATGATTTTCCCACTTAAGAAAATAGCCACAAATTCAACAACTGTTTTGGGATTTTCTGCCGTGTTCTGGATTTAACACCCATCTCCCTGCTGTGTACCCATTTGGTGGCTAGAGGAAGGCTCAGCTGTCAGAGCTGACTGGAAGGACACCTCCAATCAAACAAACTCTGAATAGCCTATCATGGGGGGGGGGGGGTGCCTTTGGATTGGTGTGTTAGGCTGTAAGCCACTCAGGCAACAATGTTACTAAGCAACATTATACAAATCTGATGGATGGATGGATGGATGGATTTCCTATCACTGTTTTGAAATTTAGCCTTGACTATATACGTACTAATTTTGAACACACAGTATTTTAAACAGACTAAGAAGAGAAGAAGAAGAAGAGTTTGGATTTGATATCCCGCCTTTCACTCCCTTTAAGGAGTCTCAAAGCGGCTAACATTCTCCTTTCCCTTCCTCCCCCAAAACAAACACTCTGTGGGGTGAGTGGGGCTGAGAGACTTCAAAGAAGTGTGACTGGCCCAAGGCCACCCAGCAGCTGCATGTGGAGGAGCGGAGACGCGAACCCGGTTCCCCAGATTAGGAGTCTACCGCTCTTAACCACTACACCACACTGGCTCTAAAAAGAATCTGATAAGAGTTTATACGTGAAATGAACACAGGGCATCTAATCGTCTAATATTAAAGCAGACTCAATGTAAAATACACAGAAGACATACTCCTTCCCTCTACATTTTGTGAATGAATTGTTTATGGGTGTTTTGTTTTTGTTTTTTAAATTGAATTATTCATCTATTAAATGTTGCTTCAAAGGGGAGAACACAACCTCTTCTTTTTCTTGTTCTTTCTGTAAAGCATACATAGGAAAATTTGTGATTAGTGATGCATCCTTGTGTATTGTTGTATATTGTATATTGGAGTGGGTTGTTGTGTAAGTTAATGTTGATTGTTGAATAAAGTTTATTTTAAAAGCAAAACAAAGGAGAGAACACAATCATGGATTTTCATACATTTAGTAAAGAACAGAAAAGGCAGAGGCTAGAAAGAGAAGTATCTTAACCTCAGGATTTCCTCTGAGAAGATGCTCTAGAACACCCTTTCAGTTCATTATCATGCAACCTTTGTACCTCCTTGCCTGGGGTTCTAGATCAGCCCCCACCCCAACCGGGTGCCCTGTAGATATTCTGAACTGCAACTCCCTAGGCCAGAACTACCAATTTGGACTACAACTGCCTACAGCTCCAGCTGGAATAGCTGTGATGCTGGAGTTGATGGGAGGGGTAGTTCAAAAGAGCTGGAGGGCACCAGGCTGGGGAAGATGATCTAGACCAGGGGTCAGCAAACTTTTTCAGCAGGGGGCCGGTCCACTGTCCCTCAGACCTTGTGGGGGGCCGGACTATATTTGGACAACGACGAATTCCTATGCCCCACAAATAACCCAGAGATGCATTTTAAATAAAAGCACACATTCTACTCATGTAAAAACACGCAGATTCCCAGACCGCCCGCAGTCCGGATTTAGAAGGCGATTGGGCCGGATCCGGTCCCCGGGCCTTTGTTTGCCTACCCATGATCTAGAGACCTAAGCCTAAAATGCTCTCCCTCGCTCTCTGTGTGTGATGGCTTGTATAAACCCCCCAACCCCAAACATATCCCACATCTAAGAATTGTGAAGTGAAATTTAGAGTGCAAACAATAAACCCTTCTGAGGCTCCTGACGCAGCATAACCACTATTTATTTGAATGGATTTGTCAGCATTTAAAAGACCTTTGACAAAACCCATAATGACACCACCACACACCTAGCCTAGGATAATGATTCAGATAATGCAGGCTTGCACATGCAAAGTGCTTTCCAATTCAGAACTTCTCACAAGAAAACCCCATGACTGTCTCACTGTTGAGCAGAAATCTCCAATGAGACTTTGCTCCAAAGAATATAGAGAGGCAGCGTCCCCTCAGTCAGCTTACATTTATCAGCATTTCACCCTGTGTTTGGACCTCAATTTTATAAAGGACTGCTTGGTCCAATGTGCAAAAAGCTCTGCTAAAATAATCACAGCTTTGAGTATAAATCCTTCATCATAAAGAGAAACAACTCTCATCTTTTTCAGGCCAGTCTACCTTTTCCTTCATGTGTTTTCTGCATTCTTACAACCAGTGCCCTCCATCATTACTTTTTCCCACTTGGACTTTTTGTTTTGTTTTTGCAGTATAGAAAAAAAAATATTATGTTGATTTAACACTGCACAAGTCATCGGCAAGCTCCTCTGTGACTGGAAGGAAATTCCCCCTTTATGCTTTTTTTAAAAAAACTCTTTGATAGGCAGACCTCCCAGTTTTGCCCAGAGGCTAAAGGAACTGAAAATCTAAAAACTGACTACATGGTTGGCTGCTCTCCTGTTATCTACTCCAGCCACAGGGTGCCTCCCCATCTGATCTCTTGCAGTTCCATTTCTTTTGCTTTTCTTTTTGCAGATGAGCTCACTTCTCTTTCTCCTTAGCACTGTTTTACACCCTATGAGGCATTCTTGTTAAATGGGACATAGCAATGTAAAAATAAAATAAAAATTAAGTAGTCCCAAAGAAGGGGAAAGAATACGTAGAAACTTATGAGTTGGAAGAGATCCCAAGGGTTATCTAGTCCAATCCCAATGCAATGCAGGAATCTCAGCTAAAGCATTCATGGCAGATGGCCATCCAACCTCTGTTTAAAAACCTCCAAGGAAGGAGAGTCTACCACCTCTTGTGGGAGTCTGTTCCACTGCCAAACAGCTCTTACTGTCAGAAAGTTTTTCCAAATGTTGTGTCGGAATCTCTTTTCTTGCGGCTTAAAGTTCAAGTCCTACCCTCCAGAGCAGGAGAAAATAAGCATGCTCCCTCCTCCATGTGACAGCCCATAAGTTATTTGAAGATGGCTATCATATCTCCTCCCAGTCTCCCCTCTTCCAAGCTAAACATACCCAGCTCCTTCAAGCGCTCCTCAGAAGGCTTAGTTTCCAGGCCCTTGATCATCTTGGTTGCCCTACTCTGCACACGTTCCAGCTTGTCAACATCCTACTTGGTGGTGCCCAGAACTGGACATAGTATTCCAGGTGTGGTCTGACCAAGGTAGAAGAGAGTGCTACTATTACTTCCCTTGATCTGGACACTAAGCTTCTGTTGATGCAGCCTAGAATAGCATTAGCTTTTTTTGCTGCTGCATCACACTGTTGACTCATGTTAAGCTTGTGGCCCATCAAGACCCCTAGATCCTTTTCACATGTACTGCTAGTAAGCCAGGTGTCCCCCATGCTAATTTGTGCATCTGGTTCTTCCTGCCTAAGTGCAGAACCTTACATTTGTCCCTATCGAAATTCATCTTGTTAGCTTGCACCCAGTTCTTCAATCTGTTACGGTCATTTTGAATTCTGATTCTGCCTTCTGTGGCATTAGCTACCCTCACAGTTTGGTGTCATCTGTAAATTTGATAAGCATCCCATCAATTCCTTCACCCAAGTCATTTATAAAGACGTTAAACAACAACGGGCCCAGGACAGAATCCTGCAGCACCCCACTTGTCACTTTTTTCCAGGATGACGAGGAACCATTAATGAGTTCTCTTTGGGTTTCGTCAGTCAACCAGCTACAAATCCACTTGACATTTACCTCGTTCAACCCACATTTTACCAGCATCCTTGTGAGAATATCATGGGGGACTTTGTCAAAAGCCTTACTGAAATCAAGATTCACTATGTCCACAGCATTTCCCTGAACCACCAAGTTTGTAATTCCATCAAAAAAAGAAATCAGATTGGTCTGGAATGACTTATTTTTGAGAAACCTATGCTGGGTTTTAGTAATCACAGCATCATTTGCTAAATCCTCACAGACAGACAGTTGAATTATCTGTTCTAGATCCTTCCCTGGTATCAATGTCAAGCTCACTGGTCAGTAGCTACCTGGGTCTTCCTTTCCCCCCTTTTTGAAGATGGGGACAACATTTGCATGCCTCCAGTATGTAAGGACCTCACCTGTTCTCCAAGAATTCTCAAAGATAATAGGCAAAGGCTCTGAAATTACATCCACAAGCTCCTTTAGTACCCTTGGATGCAGCTCATCAGGCCCTGGAGATTTGAATCCGTTTAAAGTAGCTAGGTGTTCCCTTACTACCTCTTTTCCTATCTTGGGCTGCAGCTCCCTCCTTAAATCATTTATTCTGTTATCACCAGGTTGGACAGGCTTCCTCAAACTTGGCCCTCCAGATGTTTTGAGACTACAATTCCCATCATCCCTGACCACTGGTCCTGCTAGCTAGGGATCATGGGAGTAGTAGGCCAAAAACATCTGGAGGGCTGAGTTTGAGGATGCCTGAGATTGGGCATCGCTTTCCTTTTGGGTGAAGACAGAGGCAAAGAAGGTGTTGAGTAGTTCCACCTTTTCTCTGTCACCCAATAGCATTTAACATAATGTTGAATTATGTATATCTGTGGCCAACAGGCAAAGTTGGACCTGATCTGTGCACTGTATATTCAGAAAGCCGCAACCTTTTTTCCTGCATCCACTAGAACTTTAAAAGGAATGTTGACGTATGTAAGGATGAAGAGTAGAGGTTTTTGCATGAGTTTGTGTTTTGTATTGTTTTAAATGCATCAGCTACTTTTCTGGATTTTAATTGCTTTTGATATATTTATTGCCTTGAAACAATTGATTAATGATGATGATGTTAAGAGGGGTGTGGCTGCTATTTGCCTGTAGCTCCTTACCATAACTCCTAATATAACTATAAGAGAATTGACATCACACGGAGGAGCCAGGAAAGTAGTGAACGGCTGGTGTGGAATTTAGCTATAGGTGTGCTTGCGATGAAGACTGACACTGAGCTGGATGGATGGCATGAATTGTTGAGTTGCTTATGAAGCTAAGTGTTTTGCAGTCCGACTTCTGTGAGGGAAGGGAAAGTTGCCAGTTTGACTGCGGCTAAAACCTCACACAAGGGCAGGCTAAGACCAGGAATTGCTCCCATGATGTAGAGATGCCAAGACGCAGCAGGCCCCTGAGACAAGGGGGCAGGCCTGTGGGGTGCGGGTGGGGTGAGAATCCAAATACACTTGCCCAGAGCCTCAGAAAGCTAAGATGGCTGGGAGAAGGTGGCCCAAAGGGGCCAGCTGCTTTTTTGTTTTGAAAGACTTCCACCCCAGGCCTCAGACAAGCTCTGCACGGGCCTGCAAGGAGGACACGGAGCAAGGAGTGGACTTGTGTTGAGGAAAAGGGCAGGAGGCCAAAGGGTACTTAGGCAAGAAGTGGCATAAGAAAGAGTAGGCTCTAAAGAAACCACACAGCACTTAAGGTTTAAAAAGGGCTGTTTCTTGTGGAGGTTGGGAGAAAGAGACAGGTGTGCTATGGAGGCTCATCCAAAACAGGATGATGCAAGGAAGAAGTGGCTAAGTTTAGATTTGAGCCTTTTATTTAGGACGGGGGGGCTGTCTATTCTCTGGTCCATTTCAAAAAAGTTGTCTGGTGGTCAGGTGTGTATTTTGTCATCAAAGGACAGCTCTATGAACAAGTGGACAATGTGGGCTGCACAGCTACCAAGCACACTGAATCCAGCACAGCTGGGATGTGACTTACAAAAAGCCAAAGAGGTATGTTAGCATACTAGCATACTTCCTCCAAGAGCTGGAGTGGATGCTGCTTGTTGAATTTTGCTGCACTTCTTATACTTCCTGGACAGGGATATATTTACTTTATTTATTATTGCACCCGTATCCCATCTTTTCTCCAAAGATCTCTAGGCAGCAAACACACTTCTCCCTCTCTCCATTTTATCCTAACAACAACCCTGTGAGGCAGTTAGGTTAAGAGACAGTGGCTGGCCCAAAGTGACCTTCACAGTGGGCTTCACAGCTGGAGGGGAATTTGAACCCTGGTTTCCCAGGTCCTACTCACGAGCTACTTAACACTACTTGAAGCCATGCCAAAAAAACATTATTTCGTTTTTGAGACTTCAACCAATGTGGCCCCAGGTATTTCCTGACTCTTCTCTAGAACCCTGAAGAAAACTGTTAAGAAAGCTGCTTAAAAACAAAGTACTGTAATATATGAGACTCCGAGGATACCAAAGCATACTACAGAACAATCTACATAGTAACAGAGAACTCAATTCACCAAATGCTGATCCACAGGCAGCCAAAATATACAGAAGAAGGAATGTATCAATAGGCTTTGGGGAACTCCAACGTTGCCAGACATACAACTTTAGGAGAGGGGAAAAACAATGGGACACCCACCATTGGGTGGGGAATGGGAGTGGATTGGAAAGGGACGCGGCTGGCACCCTGAAGTCCACGCTGCAACATTCTGTTGCAGGTCCCACTTGTGATGGACCAATGGCAAGAGGGTTTATTGAAGCTCCAATTCTGCAGATATTTCCAATCTCACAGCTTCCAAGTGGAACTTATAACTGGCTGACTACATCTCTCAGACTGTACTGATAACTTAAAATGCAAATGAGATGCAGCTTTTATTCCTAGCATCATGAAAACCTGGTAATGAGCTCTAGTCCTCCAGCTCCTGCCATGGACCTCACTGCCAGACACTCTGTCTGCTTCAGTACAGTGTGGAAAACATCTCCTCAATCTTTTGCCAGTATCAACAGTGAGTTATTTGGCTTTTCTTTAACCTGGTATTTAAAGGCAAGTGGGTGGAGAGCACCCAAGTTGTTCCTGATTAAAAATAGCAAGCCATATTTCCTTTGCCTCTAATTACGCTGCAATTTATCGACAAAATGGAGGAAGAATGTCTAGTTGGGATTATTTATGAGAGCAGAAGGCAGATGGGATTCTTTTCCCTCTCTAATGAAAGAATAGTTCCCCTGCTGAATGCCAGGCCTGGTCCAACTGCCTAAGCAGCCACAACAGGCAATAGCAGCCACGTTCATATGTAACACTAAGCTAATGAGTTGTTCCACATTCAACGAAACAGCAGTTTCTTTTAGCAAAGCATGGCTTGTTTTCCATTGGCCTGTTCTTCACTGCCCACCTGATATCTCAAACACCTTTGCAGCACCCTAATACAGCCATCACCCGTTCCCATCCCAAAGCTGGAAGCAGGATGAGGGCGACATGCAGTCAGTCATAGACTGTTTGCAGACGCCAAAGCCAAGAAGCAAGACAAACAATCTTTGTGCTCCAAGTTATCTGTTTGTTTCTGCATTAATAATCCACCAGAAGGCCGAGAGTTACAAGGGACACAAGCACAATTCAGTCCAAAAGAGCAGCAGCAATAATTATAAACACAAAATCTATTAATGGTTGTACAACACACATCTCCTAAAAGGTGATTGGTCTTATTTACCATGCAGTTGATTCAGCCCATGCTCTGTGACAGGAGAAAGATAATATTCACTAATCATGTGGTCTACAAAGAGAGTAGGGGTGGTGCTGGAGGGTGGCAAGGCTAGGCATTTCCCACTTGGGGGGCCGACTGCTCTCCCATTCCCACTTTGCAAAATAGTATTCAAGAAGATGAGGTGCAGCCTTGCACTGACGGTATAGTGCCCGAGGGCCCCCAATATGCAGAAACCCAGAATGAAACGGAGGGAGAAGACATTCCAAGGGAGAGGTTGTTGGACTAGCCCAAGGTCAGGATGGCAGATGTGGGGATGTTGCATCATCGCTGAGAGCAGCATACTCGCCAGATTCTGGAATTCTTGTCATTATTGTTTGCTTTTCTGTATACACCATAATTGCTGCTTAAATAAAACGGTTACTCATCTGTCAATCTGCAAATTTTCCTTTGCTTGTGCTAAGCTCCCCACCGTTGGGGCTCACAGTGATGACAGACAAACGGAAGTTTCACAGGCCTCCCCTTTTGTTATGACTGGCATCCACCCTCCTAACCACAGATGTCTGAGCTGAGGGCTGCCATATTTTGTCATTTCCCTCCCCTGCTCCCCCACTGCCAAAAAAGACACAGAAAGCCCTAAAATCTTACTTACTAGGAAGTCTTCTTCACAGTAGACTTTTCCATTGACGTTGTAGAAGGCTTTCCCTCGTAATCTTCTTCCTGTTAAAAAGATTGCACAGTCAGAGCCATAATACCCCAACTTAGAAGTTGTTAGAAATAAGGAACAGAAATGGAGATGAGTGACAATTTTATGGATGACATTCTCTAGAATATCTTAGGGGGAAAGCCCCAATTAGTGCAACTGCAGAGATAATTTATTCAATGTCGTTGCTTCAGTGGTACCCATGGGGCACTTCCATTTATCTAGGGCAGGGCTCCCCAAACTTTTAGGGCCCAGGAGCACATTTTGACATCAAAGAAACTTTTGTGAGCACAACAAAGTACCAATTTCACAGAAAAGAAATGGGAAATGCTCAGACCTCCCACCACCACCACCAAAGAAAAAGAAAAACCAGGCAAAACCATTCATATACATATTACAAGTAAATCACGGGGGGGGGGGGGAGCAGGCCCCTCCCCACCTCCAAAACAACATTTCCAATCTAACATGCAAAACACTCACTCAGTTTTAGAAATAAAAATTGGGATGCAGCAGGGGCCCTTGGCAGGTAACAAGCTCTTGAAGGCATTGGGATGACCACGGGGGTCACATTAGGAACCACAGATCTAGGAAATGATGAAGTCCATTTATTTGGGTTTAAATCACTGCATATTTGGGGATTAATGCATTAGTGAATGATCCTGTTCATTCACCCCCTTATTGCAGAGTCACACAGAGATATCGCTCAGTGTGAACACATCCTTGAAAGTTATTGGTGTTATTAGTAGTGATGATGCGGGGCTTTTGCATTTTTCCACAGAAATGTTTTGTATTTCTCAAAAAAATGTGTTGCTTTGCAAAACTACTTAAGAGCATAATGAATACAATCCCAGCCAAACTCTGCTTTTTTCAAAGATTTAAAACAAGACACTTTCAAAATGACTGCCCCTACCAAGGGTTGGTAAAGATTTTGCACACCTGAAAAATTCCAGATGAATACAACTGTGATATCAAAATATACAGAAAGGGTCAACATACAGGGGACCTTGGTCTCCATCTATGCTTTCTTTTCATCTTTCTCAGGTATTGGGAGAGACACTTCAGTAATCTGCAATGGCTAATGATCAATACAACATAACACGAAAGTAAGATCTTCCAAGGACACTTCTGTTCACATGCCTCGGAGAAAGGCTTGTTTTTTTATTAGTTGTTTTGTAAATTTTTGTTGCTGGATTAAAAAAATAATAATCTCAAGACAAACAACAGAAGCAGTGGATGTGTAAACGAAAACCCAAAATACACGTAATCTAAAACATTATAATCTATGCAACTGCTCCTGAGCCTGAACTTTAGAAAGACACAGAAAAGCTTCTGGGCCCACAACTGCCCCCTTTCTCCAACACCCACCACAAGCAAGGGAGGCAGGAAAGGAGGGCTCCCCACCCCCTTTCTTGAGATGACACAGAAGCCCTAATTTTGCATCCAAGTGCAACAGCTTCCAAAAGCCTTTTGTTGTCATCTTGTACTCTGCAATCCTCTGCCAACTATCACAGAAGCCGCTGGAATTTGGGCTACATCAAAGACTATTTTCAGGGGCAGGGGGGGAGAAGGGAGATGGAAGGGCTGGCTTTGGCATCCCTCTCACTCACTTAAAAATGGCTCCTTTTCCCAGGCTCTGCCATGCCCTTCAGCATGAACAGCTTGTACTAGCTTGTTCAGAATCTACACCCAGATGGAGGCCAGCAGCGAGCAAGAGCTAACCTGCAAGTCAATGGTAAAAGAAAGAAATTTTGGGGTAGGATGGGGGAGCAACCTGTTTTGTTTTGTTCTTTTTAATGCACAAAGGTGACATGCTTGCATCAGGCATTAATTAACTTGGAAGAACCACGGACACCCCAGGTTTCACAATCAAGAGATAATTCAGACATTTGTCAGATGCATGGGCTTTGACACAGGAAGTAAATTAAACTTCTGATGAGAAATCTCAGTGTTTGCATCCTCTCCCACCGTTGACATTAGGGTTCAAACAGCTCCTTGGAGCCAGGCACCCATCCTTGTACACTTATGCCAGCCTTCCCCAACCTGATGCCCTCCAGATGTTTTGGACTACAACTGCCTAGCTAGGGGTGGTTGCCAGGAGCCCCATGGAGACATCCTGGTGGGATTGGTCAGAAGGGGAGGAAGAATGGGGCAAGGATGTAGAAGGAGATTCTCCCTTCTTTCTACAGCTTCAATTTACTGAAACTCACGCTCATACATTCTGGATGAAAAAAAGAACAACCCAGTCAGAATCTCTGAATGAACATTCTCCCTTGATGAGAAAGTGAAGGAAGTGGAATCAACCCAGCCCTTGCCAACCTGCCACCGTCCAGATGTTCCAAAACATCTGGAGGGCACCAGGTTGGCAAATTCTGTCTCAGCCAATCCTTTTGCTAAAAGGAATTCATGCAGTTGACTAAAATTAAGGCATCTAATAAACAAGACAGAACAGGTATTTCTGCCAGGGGATTTTTACTTTAAAACTTTAGGAATTGAAGCTGAAGACACCTATTCCATTCACTGTACAGTTGGCTACATGCTGGCAATAAAAAGAATTTTAATCCATAACAGAACATGTAAAGAGGGGAGGCAGAGTTTGCTGCTCACTCTCCTGATGCAAAATAGGTATTTGCTGGTGTCCATGATTAAGGGGTCTGGAAATCTCCAAGGCCATATCAGTATAATGGAGCAGGAAGTATGCAGTCTTTTAAGGAAACTGGCAGGTTCTTTATGCTCTCAGCCTACAAAGCAAGTTTCTAACCCACATGGGATTCAGAGAAAAATCTGAGAATGTAAGTTGTTGTTTTTTTGCTGATAAAAAACCATGCACAACTGAAAACAGAGAATTTTTGTGGTCTGGCTTTCTAAATACATGCCCTGGGTTCCTAGACCATCCTGCCCTGATTCCATTCCCCTCACTTTTCCATAACCTTCAATACTTTTCTGAGTGTCTTCCAGGAAATCCCCACTAAACTCCTACACCTGGGGGGAAAAGTAAAATGGCCCTCCATAGAAGGCTGCTAGAGCAATTCATCTGCAAATTGCATGAAGCACACATATATGAAGTACGTTAATGCAGATTTTCTCAATTTGCATGAGACGGTTTGCCCTAGATGGTAGGATGGTGGGTACTTCGTACTGTCCTAAAGCCTCCAGGTGTCAAATTCAGTTTTGGAAGTTCAAATTCAGAAGTTTAGAAGAAGTTCAGCAGCTTGGTCTCAATACTTGAAGTAGCCCTGGAAACAAGTCCACAAAAGAGTCCACAAGAGTCTTATCATAGGTGAGCAAGTATTTATAAGTGTATCTTCAAAGATCTCAAAACAATTCCTTGTCACAATACACTGTCTGCCGGTATCAGAGCCTAAATCTGTCAGGAATTCTGTGAAAGTGATAATTTTCACCAGGAATTTCTACAACTGCAGAATTGCTTCTTTATAAGGCAGATGCCACAAACCTGCAGCAGTCTCCTGGCAAGGGATATAGTGTCACAACATGAAATACCGTATTTTTTGCTCTATAAGACTCACTTTTTCCCTCCTAAAAAGTAAGAGGAAATGTGTGTGCGTCTTATGGAGCGAATGCAGGCTGCGCAGCTATCCCAGAAGCCAGAACAGCAAGAGGGATTGCTGCTTTCACTGCGCAGTGATCCCTCTTGCTGTTCTGGCTTCTGAGATTCAGAATATTTTTTTTCTTGTTTTCCTCCTCCCAAAACTAGGTGCGTCTTTTGGTCTGGTGCGTCTTATAGAGCGAAAAATACGGTACATTTTCCCTTACTCTTTGCAGCAGGATTTTCTTGGGACCTTCACCTCAGGAGTATTTCCCTAACACAAGGCTTCCTTCCTTCCTCCTCTTGTGGTTTTACCTGGATAGAACCCTCTGGCACAGCAACCTGGTTGGACTAGTTTTCAGAAATGCCCAGGATGTGGCTCTCCATTTCACACCTGCCCATGCACTTGGAGAACAATAGCTCATTTTGCAATGCCAGGCTGCAAAATTCCATTCAAAACTGGCACAGGCAAAGAGGGATCCTTATAGGACTATTAAGAAGTGCTTTAAAAATGCATTCAGTGTGCTGTTAAATCATGAGTTGCTCATCACATACAACAGCTTATTAAGAGGCAAAAATGTGTAATTATCAGGCATGAGACTAAGGTTATAGCTGCCCCGTTGGGGGCTCAAGAGTTTATCATATGGAAGGTTAGAAGCATTCATCAGTTGCTGAACAACCGAGGGACCCACATTCCAAATCACATCTGCAGCAACAAAGCAGTTCCACTCTCCTTTCACCAAGATGCAGTGCAGTAGTAAATGCAAAAACATCTGGAGGGGCCCAGTTTTAGGATGACTGAGGGTACCCCTAGTGTGGTGTAGTGGTTAAAGTGTCAAACTAGGACCTGGGAGCCCAGGGTTAAATCCCCACTCAGCTATGAATCTCACTGGTAGTCTGGTAGCAACACCTCAACACCTTCCACATGCATCAGGAGGATTTTGGGAATCACATGGCAGGGCAGAATTTCCAAAAAAGATATGCTCTCCCAAGCCCACATTCCCAACATGTTCACACTCTTTTGTTTCAGCGACGTCTACACTGGCTTGGTAATGTTCACAGAATGGAAGATGGCAGGATCCCCAAAGGAAATGCTCCACAGGGAACACCAGGTCCATTGGTAGAACAACTCCGTGATGCAAAGATGCCTGCAAATATGACATGAAGGCTGGCAATATCAACCTCGCCATGTGAGAATCCCTTGCAGATGACCACAGGGCTTGAAAACAAACAGTCAAGCTGTGTATCTATAGAGTGAGCAGTTATAGAGGAATGACCGCTGGGAGGAACACAGATGGAAGAATTTCCATGGAGCATCTGCAGCAGCACAACTGGTCACCTTCATTTGCCCCAGCTGCAACAATACATGTCTCTCCCACATCAGTCTCCAGGCACAGCAACCTTTGACTTCATCTCCAAAGGCGTAATCCTCCATTGTCTCCCAAGACAGATGGATGCCAGCCAAGAATTTTAGTTTCTGCTGACTCTTCCTCTCCTCCTCCCAACTTTCTAGATTCAAACATGGAAGTAGTGGGAGGAGGGAATCAAACTCCATTCTCCTTCCAAAATAAGTGTATTTGCTTTCAATCCCATGGATTTTAAGGGTGTCTGAGTAAGCCTTTTAGGATGCAGACAGAATTCAAAGTATTTCAGTAATGGTTCATATAGGGAGGATATTCCCAGCATTCCTTGCTCCTTTAACCTCAGGAATAACATTTTTTGAGTGTGGGAAAGAAAAGTAAAAGGATTCTCGTGTTGCCTCTGGTCCTCCAGGGTGAGCCCAGACAGGAAACTGCAGCCCTAACAGGCTTCATAAGATGACTAAGGAAATTCCATGCCCTACACAAAGAATCAAACCAACTTCATTCCACACTTGAGACTTCTGTTGGGAACCTTTCAAGCATCTCTCCAGATCTGGAAGGCTGAAGAGACCTCCTTTGGGTGGCTTCACAGGGCAGGAAGATAAATCAGGAGTTGCTACTCCCTAGCATATTTACACAACCACCACATGTTGATCAAGGTTCCCTCTACCTTGTGGCACTTCCAGAATAAATTAGACCTTTTAAAAATAAATTTTCACTAATTTGCTGGGTGTCAAATACACCAGTACATCATCTTTTGTAGGTTTTCCTTAATAAGATAACAGGCAGAGAAATTCATGATTTCCCCCCATAATTTTTCCAATGAGGACAATTCTATGTTGTAATCAATATCTATGGCCCATTTTGTCATTGTCACCTTTATCATCTCATCTTTGGTCTCCCACTCCAGTAGCAGTTTATAAATTTTCAAGATTAATTTATCACCCTTTCCTATTGCAATTTTTTTGAATTCTGAACTCATTTCCGCAAATACCTTTTCTTTATTGTCTCTTTTATATATCTCGTTCACCTGAAAGTGCAGAAATCAATCTACAGTATGATCCAAAATCTCTTCTCTCTCCTCCTTCTCTAAACTCTATAAGGTGGCCCACTTCTCATCCATGTTCAATCTTGTCACTCAGACTACCTCAGTTGGTGATATCCATCTTGGGGGTTTTCTCTCTAAAAGATCTTTGTGTCTCTGCCAAACCATGTATGTACTTCACTAATGACATGGTTTTGGAAACCTTTGGGCACCCTTGATTTGTCATAATGCAGATATGCATGCCATCCAAAGCATAGATCAAAACGTTCTAAGTCTAAAATGTTGGTATCTCTTAGCTCCATCCATTCTTTCATCCAGTAGATGCACGCTGCCTCATAATAAAGTTGGAGGTCTGGACTCTTATGTCTGTGAGATTTTTATACTTAATTCGGGGTTTGCTTTTTTGTTTGTTTGTTTGTTTGTTTGTTTAAAAAACTGTTAGCCCTGGCTTAGGTGGTGGTTAGAGAACTGGGGTTTCACTGCAGGAAGCAAAATACCTCAGACCATCACTGTGTATCATTACAGCCCACAAGGATTAGAAACTTGCTTATTAGAATGAAAGCAGAGATTCTCCAGAAGCTGAATTCTGCACCTATAATTACACTGTATTGCTGGGCTCCTGTGGAATGGCAGCACACACAATGCCCTGTTGAGATGCCTTGCCTATAGCACCTCATGTGAGCTGAGCAGATTCTTAGAACAGATGGAAGTGGCAGTTCAAAACATCTGAAGCAGGGGTCGGCAAGGTTTACCTCGCCTGGGCCAGTTCACTCCAGCAGAGATCTCTCCAAGGGCCGGATTGTGTGCGCGCCCATGATTTCTGGCATCTGTGCCTGCGCAGATGCGATTTCCGGCGCTGCGGAAGCGAGTCCCTGCGCTGCGATGGTTTAGCGCAGCGTGTGGGAACTTGTTGAGCAGGCAGCTCGGTTCGGGGGTGGCTCGTGGGCCAGTTAAACGACCCCTGTGGGCCACTTGTGGCCCATGGGCCTTAGGTTGCCTACCCATGATCTGAAGGGCAACAGGTTGGCAGAGGCTGCTCTAGAATATGCAGGGATTCCAGGGAAAGGTGGAAAAGCTCCAAAAGGTAAGGAAGTTTGAAAGCTAAGCTCTAGCTGAAGGAACCAGTCAACAGGGAGGTCTGCCCTACAACCAAGATATCTGCAGGAAGCAAGTCTCCTAGTACATATTGAACTCCCCACCCCCACCAGCCCTTAAAAAAAACAAAAAACCTTCCCAGTACCAGAAACAAAGGTTGAGAGAGAATTAATTCTGTGCCAAAATTCCTCTCAAAATGAGATACTGCACCTTGGCAGGAGTTGCTATTCACAGGTTGCATCAGTGTTGGAAACCAAAATCACTAAGTGGATACCACAGGTCTGGCTGCACCAATTTATATTCTCCGTAGTGGGTTCCCAAACACAGAATCCCTTTTGCACCTGCACTCCCTTTTGACTTGGAGGAATGCAAGATCAGATCCCCAAACATACATTTTCTGTTATGCTAAGGTTCCTGTGGCACCACTCCAGAGAGAACAAACATACCTTTATTTATTTTTTTCTAAAAAAGGAATTGTAGTTCCAACTAACAGGCCAGAAAAAGCTGAAAAGACCTTTTGTTATAGAGGGCAAAAATGTCTGGAGTATAAGTTGTACAAACACTCTCACATTTTCTGGACTAAAACTGATTGCATTCTAGTCCGTCCGTCCCGCTCCCCCCCCCCCAATGCATCAAAAGACACTGAAGTATTTTAGAATTCTTTGCTGCTGCCTAATAAAGATGGAACTGGAGGCAAAGTCGCTATTTAAAAACAAAATGAAATAAAGCTCCAAGAGCAGCTGAATCCCAGGAATAATTTTGCAAAGACTGGGAACAATCCACCAACAGTTTTTCCCTCATAAGCCCCACAAATGGAGGGGCGTAACACACGTAATTCTCTTTCCTTTCAAACAGACCCTATTGCAGTAGAAGGAGTGTCTCCAATATTTGCACGAGATCCTTTAAAGAAAGACTAACACAGAAAATGGGGCAATACAAAACAAAAATCTCACAGCGCTATTTTTCAGGGAGCTTGCATATATTTAGTTACTAAAACTATTAGGATGCAAATCTCAAAATGTGCAAGCCTTCACTTAGCCAATAAATACAGAAACTGGCATACATTGTCCTTGCATAATAAAAGGCTCGCTGGTAAAATAGCAGGAGCTCTACGTAAATAAGCAACATTCTTCTTGGCTGAGGTCACTGACTCACTCTATTCTACTTCACCCCAGTCTGGAATCTGACAATTTAAGTATGGGAGAGGGAGGCACTGCCACTCTTCAGCCCCCTCCCCGTACACACACACACACACTCTCACACACACAGATTTCATTTTAAATGCACAGTTTTAAATTTTAAAGAGAGGCATCCTATGACAGTAGCAAGACACACATATTTTATTTAAGGATATGAAAGGCTTGTGAAATTATCCTAAAAGGACAAAGGAAATGCCACTCACAATTCAAAGTTTAGGAAAATGTGTCCATGTTGTGTATGTGTAGATAGGTACCTCAAATGTACTATACGTACTGTATATTTTATCTATATTCATGAGACAAAGTACGACCAGTTAGAATTTCTTTTAGAAATCCGTTGGCTGCATTGCACACTATCAACAAGCACAGGGGCTGTATGTCAGCAACAGAATATGGCCTTGGGCCCAAATTTAGTATCTTGAGAAACTCAGCTATTATTTATTTTTATTGTTATTTTAAGAAAAGCATGTTTTTAGATCTTGGACCTCTGAAAATGCACTTGAAAGTATATGAGCAGGACAAGGAGGCTGAATATGTGTGCTTTGAATAGGAAACATTTTCTGAGCACATACAGGGCAGGATTCTGCCCAAAATGTATTTACGGTGGTACCTTGGTTTACAACCATAATCCGTTCCGGAGGTCTGTTTGTAAACCAAAACAGGTTGAACCCAAGGCAAGCTTCCGCCAATGGGGCATCCCCCCCAAAATTGTTCGTAATCCCAAAAAAAATGGGTTGTAATCCAAAAGAAGTTTGCAAACTGGGACACGCACTTCCAGGTTTGACGTGTTTGTAATCCAAAATGTATGCAAACCAGACTGTTCGCAAACCAAGGTACCACTGTATTAATTTGAAAATGTACAGAATATTCCAAGGTGACTTTCCAGATACAATAAAATCAGTTAATGAATATCTATAAAACATAACTAAAAGCATCAGTAAAGCATCAGTAGATATTGGTTGGTTTAAATAAAAGTTCATGATGAGAAGTCCTGCCTAAGTGGTAAAGGTAAAGATAAAGATAAAGGGACCCCTGACCATTAGGTCCAGTTGCGGACGACTCTGGGGTTGTGGCACTCATCTCGCTTTACTGGCCGAGGAAGCCAGCGTACAGCTTCTGGGTCATGTGGCCAGAATGACTAAGCCACTTCTGGCGAACCAGAGCAGCGCACGGAAATGCCGTTTACCTTCCAAAAAGAAGGGAGGGATGGTTCCTGACAAATCTCTACAGGCAGCGAGTTCCACAGGGCAGCAGGGACTGTTACCCTAAAGACTCAGTCCGTAGCGAAGGCCAACTGAACCCCAAGGGCCAAAGTGCCCCATCAGAGGATCTCCGGGATTGAGGTGGAGGATCGAATGCAACAGAATAAAGAGCAATTGCACTGAGAGGCTGTCATGTCCAACAGACCTCAAACAACAGTTGCATCCCTCCCACTTCTAGGATGGCAACTCTCAAACTGCACTTTCAGCAAACACTAGAAACTACAGTGGTACCTCTGGTTGCGAATGGGATCCATTCCGGAGGACCGCTTCTGCGCATGCGCACCGAAACCCAGAAAAATACTTCCGGGTTTGCTGCGTTCATATCCCGAAGTTTACGTATCCAGAGGGATATGTAAGCAGAGGTACGACTGTAGTGCTAATCCTACTATTGGAGCATAGTGGAGCTACTTGTTCAGTTCATATGGAGTGCCAGTGATGCTCCAAAGGCCTAGCTAGGCCCCACATGAACTGAGTGGGCATCCGGAAGCCTCGAAAACATGCAGGGATGGCATGACAGAAACTTGGGGTCCCTCAGCCCAAATATATACGGAAAACAGCCCTTAGAAAGTTGAAGGGGGGCAAGGCGAAATCACTGCTTTAAGATATTATCTCTCTTATTAAAATTCTTTTTTTACTGAATTTCTACCCCACCCTTCCTCCCCAAGGAGTCCAGGGTAGCAAACAGATACACAGTTTAAAAACAAAAGGAAAGTGGTGGTGCTTTTACAATCATGTCTCTGCTAACTAGCTTTCTGTTGCAATTTTCTTTCTTTCTCTCTTTCTTTCTTTCTCTTTCTTTCTTTCTTTCTTATTGATTGAATTTATATATCGCCCTATACCCGGAGGTCTCATGGCGGCTCACAGAAAAGATCACAATATATAAAATAAAAATAACCCAATAACACCTCCCTAAAAGAGCCACGTTTTAAAAGAGTATAGGATGTCAATCAGATCAACCAAAGGCCTGGTTTAAAAAGTTAATGTTTTTGCCTGGCGCCTAAAGGTGTATAATGAATGTTCTTAAGGAGACTGTGGCCCTCTGAAACATTAAGCCAGAAATAGCCATTTGTTCCATTTTGTGATTTCAAGAATGAACAGAAGTAAAAACACTGCTATGCAGAGCTCAGGCCAAAAGCCAGGGTCAAGGAGTGCTCTTTCAGAGGTCCCCATGGGCAAGTCTCTGCAGCTAACTTTGGGCTAACTCATGGAGAAGGCGGAAGGGTGGCTGTTTGAGCAGGCCTTGCGCCAAGCCAGCCTCTCAGATCAGCCACTCAGCTGCAGCCACGTCCCGACATCGGTTCTAGTTCCCACAACCGCTTGACATAATGTGGGATTATTTTTTTAAAGCATCCTAAGAATGTTAAAAATATATGATCAAGGCAGTGGGAAGTGGGAGGTCATGCTAGGGGGGAGGGGGCAAGAACCCAATCCCTTGGGTAATTTTTGTATTTTCCATCTACCCTTTCATTAATAGTTAACACAGCATTGTTGGATGTGGAGAGAGAAGGGCCACAAACCACACCCAAGCAGACCCTATGCCAGGGCATTATAAACAAAAAGTTCTGTAGCCATCCAGTAACAAATAAATATAGTAGTAAGTTTCATATGACTGCCCATCGACAAACATTCCTTGGGGGGCTCGCAAATATTATGGTATCAAAAATGCAACACAATAGTTAAAAACAATAAAAGACAGCAAAATATTTCCTTGTAACAGAGACAGCATAAACTGATTACAGCTTCTGTTAAAACGCAGTCATAACAGTTCAAGGTTAATTTTTACTACAAAACCCTGCAGCAAGAAAAAAGAGAATTCAGCCACCTGGTTGCTCAGGACCTTTATAAATGTAGTAATTTATGTCCTCTCCTTCCACCATGGAGCTTAGGGTGGTGTTCATGGCTCTCCCTATGCCCTCTCATTTTATCCTCCTAACAACCCTGTGAGGCAGGCTAGGCTGAAAGGGTGGCTGGCCCAAGATCACCTAGCGGGCTTCATGACAGACCAGGAGGATTTGAACTCAAGTCTCCCCAGTCCAAATCCCATACTCTAATCAAAACACAACACTAGCACAAACGTCTTAGGCAAACCGTTGGTCTACTATTGACTTCTGCCAACCGTTCAGGTATCTGAAAACTCACCCCTCTCCTTATTTTTCTTTCCTCTAGGAGGACTGTGTGTCATTCTTTTGGCTTTTCCACATACTATATATAGGACTTCCAATAACATTTTGATTAAGTCCCTTACCAAATACACACGAGTAAGCCCAGTGCTCATGGAATGTGCAGATGTCCTACAACTCCCATCAGCCTCAGCATCATATGGTCATGGTGACTGGGGCTAATGGAAGTTCTAGTTCAAAACAGCTGGAGCGCACCAGGTTCACAAAGCCACACTGATCAAAACTAGGGAGATGTGTATGGTGGAAGCAATGTGCACAGGTGGCCTCAATTTAATAATTCGTTTATTTGTCCACTCACTCACTCATTGGGCATTTATCCATGCACAGTGACAACTGCTCTCTGGCTAATGAAAAAACATGCTTTAAAAAGTTAAAAATCACAAAATCCATGTACAGTGGTACCTCGGTTTAAGAACAGCCCTGTTTACATACTATTCAGTATACAAACTCCGCAAAACCGGAAGCAGTGTTCCAGTTAGCGAACTTTACCTCGGTCTATGAATGGAAGCTGAACGGTAGAAGGGCACCGGCGGTGGGAGGCCTCATTAGTGAAAGCGCGCCTCAGTTTAAGAACGGCTTTGGTTTAAGAACGGACTTCCGGAATGGATTAAGTTTGTAAATCGAGGTACCACTGTAAAACTGTATCAACAAGACGAGGGAGAGGATGGATTTTTAATTGTAAAAAACTTCTTTAAATCTTTGTACCAAACAACCCCCCTCCCAACAAATCCTCATAAATAAAATTCTTTTTTAGAAGCACTAACACTAAAACATCTGCTTTATTTTATGCCATTTGATTTTGATTTTGTTGCTTATATGCTGTTTTATTGCATGCCACTCTGAAATTGTTTTTCCCATAAAAAGGGATAGAAATATAATAAATAAATAAATACATACATACATACAGTCATTTTAAATCAGAGAAGTCTACAAACCATGACAAGCAGCCATGCAAGTCCTCCAAAGTTATACAACCATATCAGCAACCACCCAGCAAAATGCAACAGATTTAAAAAACAGAGTTTAAAAGGCCCGTGAAAATAATAATAAAAAAAATTTCCTTGTGTCAAAGAGTCATTAAAATAGGTGCTGGGACAACCCCTCTGCAGAAGGTACTCCAAAACTGAGAGGCTGCTCCTGAGAAGGCCCTTATCACCTTAAATATTCTCCAGTATCTGTGCAGGTAGATCTCATCTTAGGTTGATTTTATATGCGTGATCACAGCTTTATGCTGATAACAGGAAAATAAATATATGGGATAGAAGAACAGGGAAACCCCCTGGAAGGGTCATCTGAGATCTCACAAAATCTCACAAGACCTCGTTGGAGCCTTACAGGACCTTCCAGAGTCCTCATGCAACTCAGAGGTGGTTTTAGGGTAGCATGATTGGTTCAGCCGCACTGAATGCTGCACTGTAGGGGGTGCTACAACAATGTTGTAGCATGGAGCAGGAGAAAGGGTCGGGAGCAGGGAGAGAGCCAAATTTTAAGGCGTCTCAGAGCACTGCTGAAATTTGAGAGCCCAAAGTCTGCTACTGCACACCATTCCCAGTTCCTGGTAAGCAAGGAGGGCAGTTTAAAAAAGCTCCCCGTCTTGCATGGGGGGCAAGGCCTGCTCAATGCAGGCTTTAGACACATAGAGTTCCAGGAGTCATTCTGGCTTTGCACAATTTTGCTTATATACAGAATAGCCAGGAATGTAACCCCTGCATGTAATGAGACCTGCCCAGACACTTTTGAAACATAGCAATAAAAATGAAGCATCACTTTCCAGCTGAAATTTGACCGCCACAGGTATTCTGCTCTACAATGGGTTAAGTAGAGCACCAGTCGCCTCACTTCTAGTGAGTCACAACATCACTACTTTTGCAGTCCATTATAACCTGCGGATTCCCCAAGTATTCCAAATTTTCGCCTTCATTTTACACATTTAGACCTTCAATTCATCAAAATGCCATGCACGCAGTGAAGGCACCCCAAGGGGCAGGCCTCAAAATCCAACAGGGACACAAGTTAAGGCATTTTTTTGCAAGAGGCCATAAAAGCACGCGACTTACCACAAGAGCAGCATGTAAAGCAGTTGGTGTGGTAGAGGTTCCCCATGGCCTGGCAAGCCTGGCTGGCCCCGTATACCCCCTTTCCGCACTTGATACAAATGCCTATGGAGAAGAGAGAGAAGGAAAATTAGAACCCAGTAGAAATCCAGCTAACAGCTGCAAACGCCTAACCAGCAGGCACTACCAACCCATGAAGCCAGTTGTTCTTATTGCTCAATAGGTGCCAGGAGTTATATATTTAATTGCATTTTGATCCCACCTTTTTTTTCAAGGAGCTCAAGGTGGTCAACATGGTTCTCCCCCTCCTCATTTAATCCCCACAACAACCCTTTGAGGTAGGTTAAGCTAAGAGGCAGTGACCCAAGGCCCAAGGTCACCTAGGGTGCTTCATGGCCAAGTAGGGATTTGAAACCCCGTTTCTCCCAGGTCCTAGTCCGACACTAACCACTACATGAGTGCTCTCCAACCTTAGGTCCCCACAAGCTGTTGGACTACAACTCCTATCATTCCCAGCCAGTTTAGCCAGTGGTCAGAGATTACGGGAGTTGTAGTCCAACAACATATGGGGACCCAACACTGCACTATCCCACACAGGCTCTCAGTCATGTATTTCAGCATGGCAAGTTGCAACTATTAAGTGCTAGAAACTGCTCCCCCCCTTTGTTCCTTAAGAAGAAAAGAAAAGTCAACACAACACACACAAAAGCTAAATTTCCAAAAATTGAATTCTGAGAGGGGTAGCCAATGCCGCTAAAGACAGAATCAAGATTCTAGATGATCTTAAGAGATTGGAGAATTGGGCCCCAACTAACAAAATGAATTGCAATACGGACGAATGTAAGAATAAGATGGGGGACACCTCGCATGCCAGCAGTAAATGTGAAAAGGATCCAGAGGTTTAGTAGACCACAAGCTTAACGTTAGTCAACCATGTGATGCAGCAGCAAAAAAAGGCCAATGCTATTTTAGGCTACATCAACAGAAGTATAGTGTCCAGATCAAGAAATAATTGTACCACTCTCTTCTACCTTGGTCAGACCACACCTGGAATACTGTGTCCAATTCTGGGTGCCACAATTTAAGAAGGATGCTGACAATGGCTTCAAGTTACACAATAGGAGATTCTGACATCAGGAAGACCTTTCTGCTGGGAAGAGATGTTCTGACAGTGGACCCATGAGAGGTGGTGGACCCTACTTTCTTGGAGTTTTTAAAGCAAAGGTTGGATGGCCATCTGGCATATATAATCTAGTTGCAGGGGGCTGGAGTCCCTTACAATTCTATGATTCATGGCTCAGCCTATCTGCTCAAAACAGAACTTGCACACCACAGACATAGGGGAGTAGGGCTGAGGCAGAGCTGTGTCATTTTGCAACATCATCTATCTATGTATAGAGCGTTTCAGGCTAACATAAACAAAGACATACTGGCCCTATCTTGAGATTCCAACTGTAGGAGAGGCCACTGGCGGAATTAGCAGATGCAGCAAAGAGGGCTTGGTCTTCATTTCAGCTGAGGCGGAGGGGCAAAGGTGTAGTCAGCCAAAAGAAGGATGGAAGAGGTGGCTTTGAAGAAAGGCTGAAAGAACATGGATGTCCTGGGAGAAGTTCTAGGCGTAAGGGACACCAAGGGAGAGTCAGAATATTGAAGGAGAGGAGGGCTTTTGTAGGAGTATAAGGTAGAAATATTGGGGAAAGCATGACTGGGAAAAGCTACCAAGACACTGGTTGGTTCTGTTCCTTTCTGTAGGGGTGGTGGGCTTATTAGAAACAACCCATCCCAAGAAGCCAATTGAATCCAACAGATTCCCAAGAGCCCTTAGGGAGTTTCCATCAGGTATGGCGTCAACAGCCCTAGCCATTCTGTGGGAGGTGAAAGACTTGTGCAGTTGACACCATTGCTCCTAAGTGGACTCTTGTTATAAAGAGAGTAATTGACAGTTGACTGCAATACAAGTTGAATGTTCATAAACTCAGTAAACTGCAGTTGAAACCCACTTTACAGCTTGGCACATGCAACTGGCACATATACTGATACATACAGGAGCTTTCGCTGTTGTGTTTCTCTGCATTGTGGAGTGTCCTTCCCCAACCTTGGAAGGACGGATGGTGATGAGTCTAAAGGGATTCCACCATCAAGTCAAAATAATCTTCTTGTTCCATGAAGTTGGGAGTAAAATAGTAAAAGCACCCTGTGGTTTTAGTATTCCTATGTTGCTGTTGTTGGTAGTTTATCTGGCTGGTTACACCATTGTGGTGTATTTGAAGTACAGTGGTACCTCTGGTTACGTACTTAATTCATTCCGGAGGTCCGTTCTTAACCTGAAACACCACTTTAGCTAATGGGGCCTCCCACTGCTGCCGCGTCACTGTGCGATTTCTGTTCTCATCCTGAAGCAAAGTTCTTAACCCGAGGTACTATTTCTGGGTTAGCAGAGTCTGTAACCTGAAGTGTCTGTAACCTGAAGTGTCTGTAACCCGAGGTACCACTGTATTGCTAGAAACTGCCCCACTCTACAATTTTAGAAAATAATAATACTACATTACACATGTCTACCATCATGTCTAAAGACCCAGGTAGCAATGGAAGCAATGGAAATGAGATCTTCCAAAAGGAGGTGTTTATAATTCCCAAAGAGGAATATGCAATACATACTGTGTAGAACAGCCCAGGAAATGTCACCATACAATTACACTGGAGCACAGTAGTGTACAAGCAGCACTGCTCAATGCTGCCTCAGCTGAAGTTTTTGCCCTATTAACTAAGTTTATTTTTGGCCATGCAAACAGCTCTTTTAGAGTCCTCTGGCACCTCGCTGCCGCCATCTGCACTCTTTCAGAATCTGAGCACATCAGTGACTGACTGACTGCTGCTGCTGACATTTCAAGCCAGGAGAAACAACCCCTTTGATTCTGCTGTTCTCATTCCAAAGATGGCAGAAGTCCATTTCCTTGCCTTTTGAGAGCTCATTCACAAACACAGCTAGATGCTGCCCATCCTTTTGCAAATTCATTGACAGTGCTCTCTCTCCTGGGAAACACTGTGGCATGAGGATCTGTTGCCCATTACCCCTGCTTCCAAAGCCATTAGTCCAACGGGAGCAGATCACTGGCAATTTCAATTCATTTCACCAAAAAACACAGCACTGAACAGCTGCCAAGTTGAAAATTATGTAGCTTAAGCAAGGTGTATTATAAATAATATAACAGGCATGTACTGCCCACCCTGCTGCACACCCTCCCTAAGTGATCAGGTGGAGGTAATCTCAAATGTGGTATTAGAAAACCCTCTCATGGTGGTTATTGTAGAACTTGTATATTCACACTGATTCATGTTATAGGCTTTAACAACAGCAGCAGCAGTTTTCCAGCTTTTTAGTTCTGGGCAGCATTTCATACTGTAAACAGAGGCAGTCTTTGGAATAAGGCACAACCATAGACCAAACATTATTTGTGTCAGTTCAACTACTATACAGAAGGATCTTTTACTACTAAATCAATTAAGGGTGCATTCAGATGTGGGGAATATTGCATTAGTTTTTCTGATGATAATGCTCTGCACTTCTGTCGTCCTGTTTACAAATGTTCCTCTCACACTGCAGTACCTATTGTGATATGAAACTGGGACTGTTCAACTAGTATGCCAGCATGTCACACTGAATTTCACCACACCAGTGGGTGTGGTATGAAACAATAATGAACATCACTGGAAAACGTCACCCACCCTCATCCCTTCCACACATGCACGCTTCTTCTGTTCACCCATGAAAACAGCAGGAAAAAACTGTATGCTGGTATACCACCTCAAATTTCACTATTTTACTCCCATGATTTTCAGGGTTAAGAGGACTGCAAATGGATATTTTCTGGAATCAAATAACATGGAAATGAACATGTGCAACATCCTGTTAGTTCAAATATAATGTGGAAACCTAAGAGTTAGGGAAACTTTGGGGAAATTGAACAACAGTCTATCAGAGGAATAAAACAAGGTTGCCTAATGGCAATTACCCTGTTTAATAATTATATAAATGACATAGTCCATATACTGGAAACAGAGGATGTGGGCTCACCTGTTACATACGGCAGAAAGGTTTAGAATTTAATGTATGCAGATAAACTAGTGTTAATATCTCTTACCTGGTTAGGTGTGAAGAAACTACTTAAGAAAGATTATAGTATATTACAAAGAAGATAATTATATTGAATCCAAAATAATGTTATTTGGACATTGCTCACCAAAACATAGATGGGCACACAATAGAACAAGTTTATATGTGCAAGAATTTGGGTATTCCCTTTGAAGAGAATTTATACAGTACTGGAAAGCACACTGGGAGTCTAGCCAAGCAAGTGAGTGGAGCAATACAAAGGTTTCCCTCCACCCCCACCCCTCCAACACAAAAGAGTAAGAGAAGTCAACCCCTGCTTTGAAAACATTTCAAGCCAAGGTGATTTCCCAACTGCTGTAGGGCTCAGAGATGGGGCGGGGGAATAAAATGTGGATTAAACTACTAGAAATAGAACAGATTTTTTTTTTTAAACGAAGACTGTTAGGTCCCTCACCTCCCAGAATGCCAGCCTCTGTCCCTTGGCCATAGATGGACTGGGCCACCACTGAATTAAGGACAGAAGTGGCACTATTGAAATCTCATAAGCATATATACCTCTCATCAGAAGAATGGGACATCATCTTTCAAGCAATATGGGAAGTCAATGTGAAATTATTCTAAATCTATTACAAAAGCATAATCTGCCAGAATCATTTAGGCTCACTTAGACAAAAAAAGAACCAGGGAACAGGTTTTTACAGCTTAGAATTAATGCAGAAACCGTCTGGCCCTGTTAAGAGCTTTTGAACTTAAACACAGAAAGGTCTTAACTTATTTTGCATAACCCTTATAGAAAATTGGTTATTTTGTCTCTCCTCCTCTGCCTCCCCACTCCCCAACCCACGTCCCACACTGTCAAGATAAAGAAAGTAAAATCCTTGTGGCTGGGACCTGCCCTTTTTAAAAAGTCTACAATATACTGTATAACATCACATACAGTTATATAAATAAAACGTTTATTGATAATTTAAATAGGACTCTGAGTCTTAACATACTTAACAGAAATAAAATGCAGAGCATGCATACATATTAAGCCGGCACTAACTTTGCTTCAGGAGCAATCTAAGTTTCTTCTTCTGAATAACACAACACTGCATTCCTGACAGAGATAAAGGGATGGTGAGCAGATAAAACACTGAAAGACTTGGGGACCCAGTAGCTTCTCATGGGTGACCCAGATTTGGGGAAACTGGGAATTTCTGGGGATGAGCTATTAAAATTCTTCCTTAAACCTCAGAACTATAGGCCACAATCCTCCATTCCACTGAGCACTGCGGCAGTTAAAGGAAAGGATGGTACTTCATAGTGCAGTACAGTTCAAACTGAGGCAGAAGCCGATGTTCTCAGGCTGTATGTGATTGATCATACTACTCAAGAACAAGTACATCTTTGCTTGTAACTGGGTTGTAAGGTAAAGAAGGTAAAGCACCCCTGGACTGTTAAGTCCAGTCAAAGACAACTATGGGGTGCAGCGCTCATCTCGCTTCAGGCTGAGGGAGCCGGAGTTTGTCCACGGACAGATTTCCAGGTCATGTGGCCAGCATGACTAAACCGGTTCTGGCGCAACAAAACACTGTGACGGAAGACAAAGCACAAGGAAACGCCATTTGCCTTCCCACCACAGCAGTACCTATTTATCTACTTGCACTGGTATGCTTTCGAACTGCTAGATTGGCAAAAGGGAGGACAGAGCAATGGGAGCTCACCCCGTTGTGTAGATTCAAACTGCCGACTTTCTGATCAGCAAGCCAAAGAGGATCAGTGGTTTAGACTGCAGTGCCACCCAGTCCCAATAACTGGGTTGTAGCTTATGCTAACTGAAGTTAGAGAATACTCAGTTAAATTAACAGACTCGAGTTAGTAATGTCCATTAATTTCCATGAGTCACAGGCTAGAAAAGGCCCTAAGAATGTCCACCATTCCATCAGCACAAGCACCACACAAAACCATTACTCAAGGGAGTCTAAAGAGGCCAGATCTAAAACAGGTCTAAAGAAATAGAGAGAGGACACTAACCAGATAATGAACCTCCCCACCCAATTCATATTTCCTCATTGATGCCTCCTGCTCTTCCCCATAGGAATGAAATAAAATCATCCACGCACTGGCTCAGGGACTGGAGGCAACATATCTCTCCACTAACTTTATATGCATGAATGGGCAAAATGTCTAGAAGTTGTGGGTGCCAAGGGCACATTCCAGCAAAGGAAAAGGCACTCGAGGGAGTTGCACAGCAAGGCCTTTGGGGGGTGTAGCCTAGGGAGTGTCCCAAGGGCCAGATGGAGAGATTGGAGGGCCTCATTTAGCCTGCAGGCTATGGGCCCCATTCTCATGACATAAGAGGTATCCTGCTGAATCAGGCCAAAAGGTCTGTCTAGCACAGCACATCCTTTCTCCAGCAGTGGCCATTGAGATGCCTGTGAAAAGCCCACAAGTTGGGCATGACTAAGGCAGCTGCCATCTTGTTTGAGCCCATCATATGGTAAGCAGGGACAGGGCCTCTGGCTGAATGCAAGGGCCTGATTGAGCCATCATAGCAAATAGCCACTAACACACACCCCCTGCATAAATTCACAGAAAAACCACCCATGTTGCTAGTCATAAGAAGAGCCTTCTGGATCAGGCCAGCATCCTATTCCTACAGTGTCCAACAAGATGCCTGTTGAAAACCTGCAAGCAGGACCTGACTTTGAGAGCCCTCTCCTCTCCTGTGACTTCCAGCAACTTGTACTCTCTCTGAAGTGTTACTACTGCCTCTGATTACCATGGAGGCAGAGCATAGCCGTCCTGGCTAGTAGCAGCTATTGATGGTGGCCTTACATTGCATGAATTTGTCCAATTTTGTTTTACAACCATCCAAGTTGGTAGTACATTTCACATACAGTGGTACTCAATTCTGTAACTGCAAGAATGTCACTTCATCCCACATTGCTTGGCTCGGTAGTGAAGGCATGAACAGCCTCCGCTGGTTTTGTGTTAGGGGCAATGTCAAAGCTCCTTCTGTGCTACTTGCCCCGGACAAGACTAGACACTTGATAATGCAGTTGGAAAGTCATAAACATGAATGGAACAAATCCAGCAACTCATAGGATTTCTGAAAGTCACAGCTGATGGGGATGGAACAGCTGCCTGGCAGAGAATCACACCATGCTGGTGCTCTTACCAAACTTACACTCACTCACCCACCCAGGTTGGTCAACTTTACCCTCATCAACCCCCACAAAAGCTCAAAGCAGATAATCATGCTCCACCAAACTGCAAAGAAGTTATAGTTAGAACAGCACACCAGGGATCACGATCTAAACCAGCTTTGGAGCCTCTAATTCTGGCACAAGCTACTTCCCTTCCCAACTCCATTCTCAATGTGTAATTTGAGATTATGACACCCTGAGTGGACACAGAACCCTCCCTCATTCATGAGAGCACAGACAGCTTGGGGAAACTCTGAGCAGAGCTGCATAGATGCTGGCCCAAGTCTGGTTTCTGTATTTTGGGACTACAACATCCCATGGTCTCAATATCGAACTATTTCAGCAAATGAAAGTTCCTACTTCTTTAACCCTCAATGAGTTATCATAAAACACTTGCTTGCTCTGTGATGGTGGCGGCGGGGGGGGGGGGGCTGTATCAACTTTGTAGTAGTGAAATATTTGGTATTTGCAGATGTTTGTGTACTTTTAAGCTATGTTCCTATGGTATGGGGATTAACAGCAGGACAGCAAAAGTGGACACTGTGAGCCCTTACGGTTGCCAAGAGACTTGTGCTTCAAGCCTGGAAGGATAAATATCCACCACCAATGGTTTGAGCACCTCACCAACCTTGCTACATTTCAGCATATAAACACTAATTTCATGTGCATATACTGTTTGGACATCCAGAGTGCTTGTACCTTAACATGTATCATTTCAGGTGGCTATTGCATTATCAGTGTTAACTGACACTGTGTAGGATGTTTTTCCTGTCTTTTTAAAAATCTTTGTTTGTCCCCCTCCTTTGTTAAATTTGACACTACAGATATGTAAGCAAGCTACTCACTCACACAAGGCATGCCCAATGCGCAGAGACCACAATTAGTTTACAGCTGCCCATCATCATATATTCTATGGGGAGGCTGTATGTTACCATCTACTGATGACAAACATGCCCCACGGCTCCTTTGCTAGGGTGGGGGTCTGAGCCCAGATTCCTAGGGCAGACTCCTCATATTAGATCAGCTCCCACATAAATTTAACCATTCTAAATCCTTTGACAGCTGTTCTGCTTCCTGGAATAGGGTTCCAACTGGGTTACACCCCATGTATTTTCCTCTGCTTCACACTGTTCCCAGGAGACAGAGATGTTTCCTGGCTCCAGCAAGTCAAGGAAAGCAAACCACTTAGGTTTTTTATTTTTCAAAAATAAAATAAAAAAACCTCAACAACAACCCTGACACAGTCAGATGATCTTCTTGGGAGATGCCCTCCTCCTGTTTCCTTGTAGACAGTCCAAATGTTTGAAACATCCCAAGTTATGTTATTCTTCAGATAAAGGATATTTCAAGACACAAAGAAAACACAGTAGCTTTGGCTGATTGCTAAATGAAACCACATGACTGTTGGGATAGGGCTGGGCTTAGCGGTTTGGTGTTTTTAAAAAAAATGTCCTGATGGGTTAGAGCATCTTTTCCCAGTGTTTGCTGGCTCTCACTACCAATTCCATTACTGGATGCATTCTAACAGAATTCATTTTATTATTATTATTAAAAAAGATGGAATGAGATATCAGCAGGAAAAAAGCACTCCAGTAGGAGAAGCCAGATCTGCCACACCACATGCACACTGTAGGTTTGAGCCAGTCCACCACAGACATGGCACTTGCACACAGAGGAATCCCATAGGGCACAGCAGGCCTGCATTCAGCACACCAGGCCATGACTAAGCCTGCATGCCTGCCATTCCTTGTAACAGGAGCAGCCTGGTGTTCTAAGTACTCATACCCAGGGGAGTGGTAGGGCTGTACTATTGCTTATGGCACCCTTCCCCAACCTGGTGCCCTTCGGATGCTGAAATCAACAACTCTCTCCATCCCTGCCCATTGGCCATGATGGGGGCTAATGGGAGTTGAAGTCCAAAACCTCAGGACAGGTGGCTGGAAGGCTGCTTTATGAAGATCCTCTCATGTGCAAGGACAGCATGGAGAGTGGGACCAGATCCAAGTCTTGTATCTTGAAAGGTCTGGGATATTACCTCCCCTATGTAGGCCAACACCCAGTATTTAACATAGCATATTGAATTAATTCAACCAAAGTACTGACAGCAGCTCAGGATCAATGGGAATGCCTTCTCCAGACCAGACCAGTCTCTGCTCTGCATAAGAGGCCTTGTTAACATGGCCTGAAGATACCCACCTCATAGTGGAGCAGAGTAGGGCATTCTCCATAGTGACACCTACCTTCAGTATAGCCCCCTAAAACAGGTTTGCAGACCACATTATGAAAACGTGATGAAAGACTGTAGCTCCACAGCAGAGCACACACTTTGCACACAGATAATCCAGTTTAATCCCCAGCATCTCCATTTTAAATTCTCAAGCAGGCAGAGCATGAGAAAGCCCCCAAGGCTTTAGAGAGGTGCTGCCAGTCAGAGTGGGTGAGTCTGATCTAGATGGATTATTAGACTAATTCCCCATAAGACAACTTTTGGATGTTTATACAGGTACGGGATAGTGTAAGATGTGATAAGTTAACTCTGCCTTAAACCTTTAAACTCAATGTGCAGCAGCTGTGAAAAAGGCAAACTCCAAGCTAGAGATCATTAGGAAAGGAATTGGGGGGGGCCTGCCAATGTCAAATTTATGGTTCAATAGCATTTGGATTATTGTGTGGAGTTCTGGATACCAAACCTCAACATGGATATTGCAGAGTTGGAAAAGGTTAAGAAATGAGCAAGTAGAATGATTAAGGGGATGCAGTGATTTTCTTCATAGGGAAGAAAGGTTGCAGCATTTGGGGACTTCTTAATTTAGAAAAAAGGAGAGTAACAGGTGAGGTTATAAGTCGTTTATAAAATTAGGCATGGCACGAAGAAAGTGGACAGAGAAATGTTTTTCTCCCTAAGCATTTGTGGATACCCAATGAAGCTGAATATTGGAAGATTCAGGACAGACAAAAGGAAGCACCTCTTCACACAGTGCATAGTTAAACTTTGGAATTTGCTTCCACAGGATTAGATAAATTCAGGGAGGTGTGCTATCAATGGCTGCTAGCCATGATGGCTATGCTGGGTATCCAGAGGCAGAGGCAGTAATGGCTCTGAATCCATTGCTGGAAGAAAGCCACAGGAGGAGTGAGCGTTCATGTGCTCAGGTCCTGCTTGCCTGCTTCCTACAGGCATTTGGGTCACCACTGTGAGAACAGGATACTTGGATCAGATGGGCCTAGAGGGCAGATTCTCATTTTCCTACGAACAGACAAGTCAACCAAGGTCAGATCCCCACAAAAATACTTTCTTCAACAAAAGCAGCCTTTGCTTTAAAAAGTAACCAAAATCTTGTGTTAGCAGATATGAAACTGGAACAATTAGACCAGTGAGGCTGACTGAGGGTACTGGCTGGCAGATGGGAGCAGCAGGTTGGTCAAGACAGGTTTACTTTCACCCCTGGGTCTGCAGTTTTACGATTGCACTGATATATGTAAGCTGCTTCAAGGTTACCTGTGATATAAGGCTGTATTCAAAAAGCCCTAAATAAATAAATGAAAATAATTAAGTAAATGCTTCCATGGATCTGCACTTAAATTTATTTGCTCTAGTACACACAACTGTCGAGCGTTCTCTCCAGTACTACGATTTGTTTTGGAAGATCACAACGACAGCATCATTTGCACCATCAGGTCAACATTTTCCTCCACAAAACTGGCACGCGAAGCAGCAAGATGAAAACCATCCCAGCAATTTCCTCCCTTGGGAAAGGAAAGGATAGCTGGTGCCAAGATACTCTTCCAGACACAGAATGAATACCAGCAGCATCCCACAAAACTCAGAATGCTACCAGAATGCTTTTATAATTCTTATTTAACAGTGTTTGTATATTGCTTGATTGCAGAATTAGCTGCATGGCTTCCACAAAACACAGTAATTGGAAACACTGAAATCTCTGGAGATGGACCTACAGGGAGGATGAGTCAACATGCCAAGGCTGGCAAGATATATTCTTGTGATACATGCAGCCAGCCGAGACACAGCCAGTAACAGACAGTTAGCAAAGCCCAGCCCACAGATTGACAAGCTCTGCTCTGAGTTACCAGCCATGAAACCAAAAGCCTGCCAGAGTCATTGTTTTCTAGCCAGCTAAGCAAGATCTACCTGGGGCAAGGAGTGTGGCTGCCAGTCTCTCTCCCATTGCCGATTTTGCACCAGTCATTCTTCAGAGTTAACCAAGAGTTCACACTTTGCAAGCCACAGAACCACTCTGTGACCCATCACTGCAGCCAATAACATTTAATTTCCAAGTTCACGAAGGCAGTAAGCCAGAGTTTGGGCTGTACCACTTCTGATTGCAAGTGGAGACTTACATAGTGGAATGTTCCCCCAAATACCTATTTAAAGCCCTTTCATCTGGAAGACTAGCATGCCAGGAGAACCCATTATCCTATACATGCTATCTTTACATGTGCAAGAGTTTCTCCTCTCCATCATGAAAGGCCACACTTACAAGACACAGACTGAGCCCTACTGTAAACATTAGGAACACTAGACCCCTCACCCATTTTCTTACCTCCTGCCTTCTCAGAACTAGGCAGGAAGAAGGGAGGAAGTACAGTTGCTTATTGCTGACATATACATCCAAGGAAATATTTGACTATTTTACTTAGAGACACCTAGGGCAAATGGGTATAGAAAGCCTACATGTGTCCTTCATGCAACTGATGAAAAGCCAAAACCCAAGCAGGTTTATACTGCAGCTTTAAAGCTATAGCAGTCTGATTAAGGTGGAGGCAATTATGAGAACAGGTTCTCCCTGCCCTGGGACAATGGCATTCAATCTACTTAGCTCCAGGGCATACTTTCCACAGATACTTGTTTGCCATGAAGTCCTGCACTCTCTAAAGATCAGCCACCATCAAACCTGGTGCTCTGGTTTTAGACTACAACTCCCATCAGCATGGCTGTGCTGCCATCAACCCCAGCTGTTGCTTCTTCACACTTGTTTATTAATGTTTATTATTTCATTTATTGCCTTCTAAACCACCATCTCAAGGCAATTTACATATAAAACAATTAAGAATAGGTAGTAACACAAAAACAAGGAATGCATGCTCTTGAATGCCCTCACTGCCCCCATGTGAACTTGGGTTACAGCCTAAACTAGAATACCAAGCAATCTCCTTTAACTGCAGCAATATAGGGGAAGATGTGATGGGCACGCAGGGGGGCTTGGCATTTGGCCAATTATAAAGGATTTGGTCAACTGACCAGTCATAGGGTCATAGAATCACACAATCTAGTCCGACCCCCTGCAATGCAGGAATATGCAGCTGTCCCAAACGGGGATTCAACCTGCAACCCTGGCATTATCAGCACTATGCTCTAACCAACTGAGTTATTCAGCTGATCATATATTTTTTAAACTATTACCCATATGTGTGGCGGGGGAGGAGTATTTTAATCATCAACAAAGCTTGGCACCCATGTTCACCACAAAAGCAACCAATCTTGTGAAACAATGAAAATTAAAGTTGCTTCTAATAGTCCCATTACATTTTATAACATTGTTAAAAGATTACGTGAAGGAACATTTGATTTCCTAATTCTCGTGAAGGTGGTAAAACCTGTGTCTGTTCTGTACCACCTCAGGCAGCAAGTGGGGTGGGGGGGGAGAACCACAAGATGGAATGCTCCTCCAAACAGTATTTAAAATCCTTTCATATGGAAGACTAGCATGTCAGGGAGGAAAATTCTCTTTGACCTGCTAATTTGGGTGTGTGTGTGTATGTGTGTGTGTGTGTGTGTGTGTGTGTAGGTAGGTAGGTAGGTAGGTAGGTAGGTGTTTTCCTTTCCTGCAGGGCAGCCCTCCCAACACACAAGCCCCTACCTACATTCTGAAGTGGTACACAGCCAAAACAACAGATGGAGGCCCTTGGTGAGCCCTAGGCTTCCATCCACCTCCCTATAGTCTGCCTCCTCAGAAATGATGTGGGGAAAGGGTAGGGAGAGCAGCTTACCTCACAAATGGTACCACTGTGAAGCACAAGAGACACACGCTACCACCTACGAGGTGGCATTCTAGGTTTCATGGGCCATTTAGTCAAATAATTAAGGGGCCAATTGATGCTGTCATTCAGGGAATTCAGTCTGCTCTCAACTGATATTCACACTGAGGAATCCCTGACAGAGTGAAGGGCCATCTTGACTTCCCAGAAAGGAGGATTCCATATATGAGTCCTGTCATCAGGGGCCACAGCAGAAAAGCACCCCCGGCTTTCCAATCAGTTCCTCAGAAACCAACCCATCAGGTGACCTCAAAGAACAATATTCTAAGGGCAGCCCCACACAGAAGTACAGCCAAAACAAATTTAATAACGTTTAGAAAGCAACGCAAATAGCATACCAACTAGAGCTAAAACTTGAGAGACCCACATTCAATTTCCTAGTCAGTCACAAAGTTCACTGGGTGACCTTAGCTCTCAGCCTATCCTACCTCACAGGATTGTTGCGAGGATATACTTGGGAGGGATAACTTTTGAGTTCCTTGGAGAGAAGGGAAGGCATTTGCTATGAGCAAATCAATGTACCATATTTTTCGCTCTATAGGACGCACTTTTTCCCCTTCAGAAATGAAGGGGAAATATGTGTGCGTCCTATGGAGCGAAGACGCCATAGCCCCGCGACCCTCTCCCGGCTGGAGAGGTGACACGCGGCTATGGCAGGAGCCTCTATAGCCGCGCGTCACCTCTCCAGCCGGGAGAGCACTCACAGGGCTAAAGCAGCCCCCCGCGACCCTCTCCCGGCTGGAGAGGTGACGCGCGGCTATAGAGGCTCCTGCCACAGCCGAGCGTCACTTCTCCAGCCGGGAGAGCGCGCGCGGGGCGAAAGAAGCCATAGCCCCGCGACCCTCTCCCGGCTGGAGAGGTGACGCACGGCTATGGCAGGAGCCTCTCCGCTGCGCCTTTCCGCTGCTCCCTGACCTGCTCTTTGGGGCTGGTGGTGGGCTTCCCCCCGTCAGCCCCAAAGAGCAGGTCGACAGGAACCTGAAGCCTGGAGAGCGAGAGGGGTCAGTGCACACCGACCCCTCTCGCTCTCCAGGCTTCCAAGGTAGCCGCCTGAACGCACCTTAAACGGCACCATGTTTTAGAGCGGGAAAACAAGAGGGGGAAAGTTCTCCCTCTCTCTGCACAGCGCCTCCTGCCACTTCGCTGAAGGGGCGCTGGGCAGAGAGGGGGAGAATTTTTTTTTCTTGTTCTCCCCCCTCTAAAACAAAGTGCGTCCTATTGTCCGGTGCGTCCTATGGTGCGAAAAATACGGTAATACAGTTCCCCTTAGCCTGGCAGGACAATTCAGAAAAAGTTACAGCAGATTGCCTCAGCAGAGTCTGACAAGATTTGCAGTTCAGATCCTCAGGCTGGCATCAAATTGGCAAAAGGTGGTCTACAATTCTGAAAGCTGCTGAGTGGTTCAGTGCTCCAGCCTCTGAGCCATTCCTGGCATCAAGGTAACTAAAGCCATTTCAGTCCCAAAACTGGATTGGATATCAGACTGAAATGGGTCGACAGAAGTGGCATCACCCCAAAAATCCCGAACTTGAGTCAACAGTCCATACACATTGCCCCAAAATGGATAATGGTTGATCTTTTACTGCCCATTTGAAAGGAAGGGAGGGAGATCTGAGATTTCACCCCTCCCATATCCAAGAATCTCCTGAGGAGTCTGCTGATTCTCCAGAGAGGAGGAGGCGTGTTCTGCTCTCTACTTATTCTGCTCCAGCACCAAGTCAGTCAGTCAGTCAGTCAGTCAGTCAGTGTCAGAGAGAGAGAGAGAGACTGAGTGTTAGAGATCGTGTGTACAGATAAGGTTGCTGCTAAGAGCAGCTGCAGACACTCAGTGCAGAGCAGCATTCATTTATGCTTAGACCTATTAAGCTCTGTATATAGTTGTATAATAGTTGTAGATAGAATAAAGAAGATATTCTACAGAGCTGCTCTCCGAGTTGTTTATATGCTCTGCTAGACTCTGCTGTACGACGACTGTCTTATTGTGGAAGTGAATCCGGTGCTCACATCTCTAAGCTGTGAGTCCACAGCACTTTGACCTGTTCCTGTGCAGAAGGTGGTCTCTGGAAGTGCTACCCAGCTCGCCTAGCCCAGTCGGGGCTGAAGGGGATGAGTCCAGTTGGTGGCACTGGCTCAAGGGCGATGCTGACAAGATCAGCTGAATGAATGAATGAATAAAATTAAGATTTTTTTTTCCCAATGGAGTGGGAACTAGAAAGGAGTTGTTTTTTTTAAAGCAGAGGATGAACTTCAGCTTTCAAACTAGATGGCGGAACTTCCTTGCTTATGGAGGCATTTGTCACCCTCTCTGCCAGTTTTTGTTTGTTTGTTTTGTTCTTAAAATATTTTTTATTAAAGAACATGTCTTGTCTCTTTTTCAGGTTGTAGAATCTTTTTGACATTTGCAGTGAGACATTAATAATGTTGTATACAGAATAAAGTTGGGGCAGAAGGAGAAGGGGGAGGGGTGGCAATACTTGGTGTATATGTGGTTTTTATGTCAGCTTCACGTAGGTTCTTTTTCTATTTATTATATTTCCTTGGTGGTGAGAGAGGTTGGAGGAGGCCCAGGGCATTGTCTTTAGTTGGCTGCACTAAGATCTGCTTGTGGGCGGAGGGGATTGTTGGGTCAAATTAGCCATACTGATTTCAGTGTTCAAAACTCCCGTTGTTCTAGGCGCATTTTGTGACAGGGAATTTCATTAGCATGAGCAGTTTCTGAGCTCTGGATGCAGTACTGCACCTAAGATTTCAGATTAAAACTGCAGAGTGGAAGGAAAGGAGGACCTTTTTCTGCCTCCCCGCCTACATCTACTCTCTGAAGACTGGAGAAAAGACCCCCTTAAGAATATTAGGGGGGTGGGCAGGGGAAGGACTAGACCATGTGAAAAATGAACATAACATTTTAGCTGCAGTTCATTCATTTTCAGCTTTGTGTTCTTGTTATAAAAAAAGTGTGCCTAGACATTCCGTTATTGCGCCAATAACCTAGGTTTAAGGTGTCATTTAGCTCCTGGCTTTCATATCTCAGTTTCTAACACTGATTGATTTGTATGCTGTTGGTGGGTTCTTGCTGTTGTCCTGTTGGGCTACGTATGTAATAAAGGGGAGCCATACCAGGGTGAAGGCATCCTCTTCTCTGCCAGTTCTGACCTGGCCAGCCTAACAAGCTGGAACTGGCAAGGACTGCGTTTGTACATATGGATCAGCCATGCACTTCCCCCCAAGAACCTTAGGCTTGCACAAGTTGAAAAGAATCTGTAAGAGCCAGCAGGAAGCTGCAGGAAGCAGCACGTCAACTGGATTGATCTCTCAGCACAGAATCCAGCAACGCAGGATGAAAATATTTCCACTCCTATATTTTTCCATGAGAAACAAAATCCATTTTTTAAGAACACCTGTTTCATACAATTAGTAACATAGTGACTACATCACAGTAATCCTTGGTAGTCTTGCTTTACCAGGACCACAAAAGCATGCCATACTCCCAGAGAGCTGCTCCCAGCCAAGAACAAACTTTGACTACAGCTCGTGGTTAAGGAGGAAAGAGCTTAAGCATGATCCCGGGTTTGGACAACACACTAAGCCAAATTTTGGCTTAGCTGCTCCCTGCATCTAAACTATACAACAAGATGCCCTCCACAGCTGGTATTCAGAGGGAGACTCTTCCACAGAAGATGCAACATCTCAATTCACCGCATGAACCACGTTAAGAGATGCAGGCAGGCCTATACTTCCAGATGTTAAGCAATCTATGTGCAAATACTTCTCTTTCTACAGTGAAAAAACCTTCCAACCCAAGCCCCGATCTACCCAATTCCTGGCTGAAAGACCTTGCATGACTTCTCATGTTGCACAAGTCTAGGCAGCCCCATCACTTGCCGTGGAGTAGCTAATCTAGCCTCTGGCCCCCCAGGCCACGACAGTCTTCTCTGGCTTGGTTGCTTTCCTCATTGAAAGAGGGAGAGAGGGAGAGCTCTACAGATTTTGCAGCCATACCTTAGGCTAACCTTCCTCATTCTGGTGCCCTCCAGATATTAAAAGACTACCAGTTCCCCTCAGAAATGCCTTAATGGCTGGGAATGACGGGAGTTTGTAGTCCAAAGCTATCATTCCATCAGGCTACCTCAGTGGTGGAGATGGGAAGCTGTTTCATCAGGCACCTCCTACCCTTGAACTGTGCCAGCCGGTCGCTGTAAGAGCAACTGCTTTAGAACTGTTGCTTGAGTTTGATTCCCTCCCCTCTTCCTCCTTGTTCCTTTCCCCTTGTGTTTTGTTTTCTTTTTCAATTGTAAGCTTCAAGGCAAGGACTGTCTTGCTTTAACTGACTGTATTACAAGCCACTCCAGAAGCCTCTTTTTTTGCGGAAAAGAGGGAGACAAATGGTCTAAATCAATGAATCATAAAACACCTGGAGGGCACTAGGTTGGGGAAGCTTGCATTACGCCCCTTTAGCACTGTGAACAGCAGGACATGAAATCTTCATTCAAGAGCTGCAGGACATGGAGAAACACTGCTTCAAATCTCTTCTGCTCCAGCGCTTGGGAGGTGGAGGGACTGCCAGCAATTGCACCAGGACCCAAGCCAGCAGGGGGGCAGACTCTGAGGTTATATGAAAAAGAGAGAGAGAGGTAGGTCTCTAAGCCCTCCTAGAAGGAGTTAGGAAGCAAAGTGGATGCGTACCCTTCTAAACAATTTCTGTGAGTTGAGTTCAGTTGAGCTAGGCTGACTTCTCCCACCTGCCAGTGAGCGACATCAGAGCTGTAACTGACAGAGGAGTTGTTTGGACACCACACACTGGTATCCCTAGGGTTCCAAAGATGTGCTTTTCTCTCCTGTAGTGTGCAGGCAACTCTCAGTTTGTAGCATTCAATGCACACATCACCGTGCATGCCATGTCTGGCACCTGAAGAGGGCAGAACAGGGTGGGCTTACATGCACTCTCCAGATGTGCACAATGACCCGGGACGTAACCCCCCTGTAAATGGTGTGTGTGTTGCCTGTACTTTTCTATTCTGCTAATGTCACATTTTCTAATCCTTAGATTCTCTCTTTATTTGCCCTCCTTTTCTTCCTAGGAACCAGGATGCCTCTTTCCTGTGGTGGGTTTATCTGAGATCAGGTACACCCTCTAAATCTGTTTCTGCAAATAATAATCCACAGTACATGCAGGTGAATATTAAAGAATCTCCCTGCCCCCCCCCCCTTTAAAGCAAAATGTAAAAACTTCACACAGAGGCTTAGACCCGCCTCTTTCAGTATAGGACCTAAGCTCCAGGGACTCATGAAGAATTCACTGTGTAGTTAGCTTACAGTACAAAATCCACCTCAAATGCCCCAAGCCTCACCTTGCTTCAGGTTAGGGACCCTTCACTTAGCAGAGCAGCAGTGGCACAGGCAACCAGGCCAGGCAGGCATGAAGCCCTGCAACTTTTCAGCCTGCATGCCTCTTATAGCAGAGGCCAAAAGTGGCTCCTGCACAGCTCACACAGCAGTGCAGCAGGTTAGGGACAAAGCACTGCCACCAATTTCACAGCAGGGGCAGCAATATCATTGCCTAGATCACCATTTGCCAATCCCCTGCCCGGCACATAAGCTTTTTGCACGTGAGAAAGAAAACCACCAACTAAGCTAAGCAAAAGAAGAGGCATGCACGGCCAAAGGCCCAACCATCACTTTTACAGTGGTACCTCGGGTTAAGTACTTAATTCGTTCCGGAGGTCCGTTCTTAACATGAAACTATTCTTAACCTGAAGCACCACTTTAGCTAATGGGGCCTCCTGCTGCCGCCGCGCCACCGGAGCACAATTTCTGTTCTCATCCTGAAGCAAAGTTCTTAACCTGAGGTACTATTTCTGGGTTAGCGGAGTCTGTAACCTGAAGCATATGTAACCTGAAGCGTATGTAACCCAAGGTACCACTGTACTTTGAAAAGTTTCAATATGACCAACCAGAACATTATAATAGTGAGCAAGCTTCTGAGCCCACCAGAGTTCTTCGGCAGAGTTGTGAAAGTTAAGCAGCGGGCAGAGGGGAGATTTTGTTTGGTGTTGAATCCAGAATGCCTCACTGCGTTGGTTACAAGTTCATTTCTTCCATCTTGCTCAAAAAATTGTGGGTGGCCCAGGAGAGGGCATTCTTTGAAGCAACCCCTAGATTGTGGAATTCCCTCCCCGCAGAGGTCACCTGGCACCTTTACTATATTTGTTGTTTAGTCGTGTCCAACTCTTCATGACCCCATGGACCAGAGAACGCCAGGCACTCCTGTCTTCCACTGCCTCCCGCAGTTTGGTCAAACTCATGTTGGTAGCTTTGAGAACACTGTCTAACCATCTCGTCCTCTGTCGTCCCCTTCTCCTTGTGCCCTCCATCTTTCCCAACATCAGGGTCTTTTCCAGGGAGTCTTCTCTTCTCATGAGGTGGCCAAAGTATTGGAATCTGTCCGCTTCAGAATCTGTCCTTCCAATGAGCACTCAGGGCTGATTTCCTTAAGAATGGAGAGGTTTGATCTTCTTGCAGTCCATGGGACTCTCAAGAGTATCCTCCAGCACCATAATTCAAAAACATCAATTCTTCGGCGATCAGCCTTCTTGATGGTCCAGCTCTCACTTCCATACATCATTACTGGGAAAACCATAACTTTAACTATACAGACCTTTGTCGGCAAGGTGATGTCTCTGCTTTTTAAGATGCTGTCTAGGTTTGTCATTGCTTTTCTCCCATGAAGCAGGCGTCTTTTAATTTTGTGACTGCTGTCACCATCTGCAGTGATTATGGAGCCCAAGAAAGTAAAATCTCTCACTCCATTTCTTCCCCTTCTATTTGCCAGGAGGTGATGGCAAATAGCTTTATATAGCTATTTATATTATTATATAAAGGTAAAGGTAAAGGGACCCCTGACCATTAGGCCCAGTTGTGACAGACTCTGGGGTTGCGGCGCTCATCTCACTTTACTGGCCGAGGGAGCCGGTGTTTGTCCGCAGACAGCTTCCGGGTAATGTGGCCAGCATGAGTAAGCCGCTTCTGGCGAACCAGAGCAGCACACGGAAACACCGTTTACCTTCCCGCTGGAGCAGTACCTATTTATCTACTTGCACTTTGACGTGCTTTCAAACTGCTAGGTTGGCAGGAGCAGGGACCGAACAACGGGAGATCACCCCGTCGCGGGGATTCGAACTGCCAACCTTCTGATCGGCAAGTCCTAGGCTCTGTGGTTTAACCCACAGCGCCACCCACGTCCCTTTTATATTATTATATAGCTTTCAGCAAATGCTGAAGATGCACTTCTTTACCCCTGACCTTTGACACCTGAAATGTCTGCTTCCAAGAGTTGGACCCACCCTATTCTGGAGAATGTAGCATGTTTTATGTGCTTTTAATTCTGAATTTTAAATTGTTGCAACCAGGACTCTGGTGAAGGGCAGGTAATAAATTTAATGATACTACTACTACCCCTACCATTACCACCAATAATAATTTATGCTGTGGCTATGGGGGTTGTCATGCAGAGTTCCCACTCCTTGGAAATGACCACTACACCCCTGAATGCACTAAATGTGGTTTTACACAAATCCCTTCTCCATCTGGCCACAGAAGGACTTGAAGCCTGGTGACCTTTGGAGATGACAGGAGCACCTCTTTTGATCAGTCCCTTATCACACATCCTTGCAAATAAATCATGGGTGCTCCTAGCCCTCAGCTTATTTACTTGAAGCCGGCTGTTAGCCTTTGCAGACCTGCTCTTGTATGTTTATGCCTCAACAGCTCCAAAAAGGGGGGGGGGACAACAAATTCTCATCCAGCTAACAAAAGATCTGCTTGCTGGTTGCCGAAAGACAAGCATGCAAGTAGATATTTGCACCCAACTGTAGCTTCAGTCTCTGTTCAGCAAAACACAAACGTGAAACATTTCAAATAAGTAAATAAAGTCAGCAACCCTGAAGAAAGTCAGTGGAATGCAACAGTCATTTCTTCCGGCACCTAAGAATTAAGGAAGAGGAATTTCTGCAGCCTTTGCAAGATTTGCCTGGGCAAGAACAAGGCACACAAGGATGCGGGTAGTCAGAAATGGGAGCAACATGTTCCAAACATTTTCTAAGCACTAAGCTTGCATTTGCTTACTCTCACCTTCTGCTATCCTCCTCTCTTCTCCCCCCCCCCCCAGCTGCATCAAAGCCTAGACTGTAAGCACCATGGGGCAGGGAACAAACACAGCTGATGATACTATGACCCCAAACTGATTCATTTGACTTAATGTGAAATTAAGAAACATGCTTGCAGCCACACGCTCTCAATGAGAATTACCATGACTAGACATGGCTGGGATTGCGCGACAGAAGCCGCCCTCAGGAGGCACCCACTTATTATTTTAATTGAAGAGGATTTGAGTGAATTGCAAATGAGTCTAGCAAGACCCTATGCTGGATTTACACCCCCACGCACAAAAGCAAATTTAAAAAATGAGCACACTTTAGAGCACCAGCTTTGTATGCAGAAGGTTCAGGGTTCAAGTCCTGGGATCTCCAGCTGTGGTTGGTAGAAATTCCTTGCCTGGAAAACCCTGGAGGGTCAATACTGAATTTGATGGACCAAAGACAGAAAGCATCAAGGCCTACCGGTGTGGTGTAGTGGTTAATGTGTTGGAATACTAAGCCCTGGGAGACCAGGGTTCAAATCCCCACTCAGCCATGAAGCTCCCTGAGTGACTTTGGGCCAGTCACTGCCTCTCAGTCTAACATACCTCACAGGACCGTTGTGGGAATTAAACGTTAAGAAATAAGCAGAAGGCACCAGGTTCAGTCCCCAGGTAGGGCTCGGAGAGACTTCCTGCCTGAACCCCTGAAGAGATGCTGCCAGTCTGTGTAGGCAACACAGGCTCCGTATAGGAACATGCCCTATACGGAGAGCCTCTTGCCTGCTTCCTCTTGAATGCCACCGTCTCAAGAAGAGCCCCCCCCCCGCAGTCCTGTCCCGCAAAGGCACTCACCGAAGTACTCCTTTTTCATGTGCATCTCCAGCTCCTTCTCCAGCTCCAACGTGAGCGCCTCCAGCCTCCGCTCCACCTGGCTGGGCCCGCTCTCCCTCGACGGCGTCACCTGGTAGGGGAGCCGGAACTTAGAGACGGCCGCCGCGCCTTTGGCGGCCGGCGAGCCGTAGGACAGCGAGGAGACGGCGGCGTCGGGGCCCCCGAGGGCAACCGGCGGCGCCTGGGCGTGCAGCCTCGGGTAGGCATCCGCCGCCGCCTGCTCAGCCAGCAACAGAAGGCCCTCCTCGGGCAGTAGCGAGGCCCGCGGCGACGGCAGCTGGAACTCCGGGTAGGCGCCCATCGAGCCCCGGGAGCTGCGCGAGCTGTGGCTGGAGATGCTGGAGCGCGGGCTGGCCAGAGCCGCCGCGATGGCCCCCGACGCCATGGCCGCCGCTGTAGCCGGCCCGGTTCCGTGGCGCCCAGCCGCTGAGGCTGCCACCTCCAGCTCGACGGCGCCGGCCAAGGAGGAGCGCGGGCTGATGTGCCGCTGGTCGTAGCCCATGCTGATGCCGCTGGTGCGGTTGCTGCTCGGCTTGCTCCCGCTGCCACCCCCGCCGCCGTCGGAAGAGCTGGTCAGGCTGGCGCGCGGGCTGGAGTGCTTGCTCGTGTCGCTGGCCGTGCTGGCGTAGCTGGAGCGCGGGCTCAGCGCCGAAGACGCCTCGACGGCCCCGGCTACCAAGCTGCCCCGCGGGCTGGCCAACGGGCCGCCGCCACCGTAGCACGTCGAGGCCCGCGGGCTGGCTCCCCCGCCGCCGCCGCCGCCTCCTTTGCAGCGCGGGTAGCCTTCGGCCGAGTAGCGCTTGTAGCAAGGCAGCGCCACCTCGGAGCGCGGACACGAGCCGTCCTCGGCGCCGCCGTTGAGGGAGCGCAGCGGGAGGCACGACGACTGAGGAGCCTCTGCCGACGGGTACGGCGGCGGCGGGCCCAGCGTGGTGCAGCCGCCGCCGCCGCCGTTCAGCTGCTTCTTGGCCCGCCCGTCCAGCTCCGACGGCGGCTGGTGGTCTCTCCTGCGGCGGCCGAGCCCCTCGTCGTAGAGCGCCAGCTCCGCCATCAACTTGCTGGCTTTCCCCAAGCCCTCCTCGTACCTCTCCATGCCGGCGGGAGGAGGAGGAGGAGGAGAGGCGGCGCCGCCGCCGCCCTCGCGCGCTCCAGAGGGCAAAGTTTAGCAGAAGCCGCCGCGGCCCGACGCCCGGTGCCGCCTCGCAAGCGCTGCCTCCGGCTACAAGAGAATCACCTCCCAGGCATCCCGCCCCGAGGCTCTCACCATGAACCGAAGCTCGCCAGGCAGGCAGAGCGGCCGGCGGGCCGGCGGGTGGGGGGCGGGAGGGAGAGGCGGCGTTGTCGGGGAAGCGTCCCCGCCCGCCTGCGCGAAGTTTGCTGGGGCCAGTCAATGGCGCGCTCGGCGGAGGAATTTGCACTTCGAGGCTGCCCGGCTGGCTGACTGGCCGGCCTCCTCCTCCTCCTCCTCAGCTCGGCTCTCCCCCGCCCGGCTGGGCTCCAAGATCCGGGGCGGGAGGGCCCGAGGCAGCGCCGGGCTGCTCCTTTGTGCGGCGAGGGAGGGAGGGACTTCTTTGTGTGGGGCAGGAATGCGAGGAGGAGGAGAAGGAAGGAGACGGGGCGCTGCGTCCCTCTGGAATGTAGTTAATGCCGAAGCCAAACAATGACTTTAACCAAGTCAGCCCCCGAGGGGGGGGGGGACGCCGGGCGGGAGGAGCCGCCGCTGGAGGAGCTGCCCCCCCCCCCGCATTCCCTTCATGTGACTGCGCTCCTCTAGCAGGGAGGGAGGACGCTTAAAAGCAGGGGGGATTCTTTGTGCTGCACGCTCACACCTTGGGAAAGGCCCTACTACTCACTCTTCCATGCTCCCGGATGCTGCCTCGCCAGAGCCCATTGAATGCCGCCCCCCCCCCCACGGCATGGGACAAGGCCTTTCCCACCCACCCCTGACTGTGCGCCGAGTGCCAAGAGGACCCATGGAAAAGCCAGAGAGGGAATGGTGAGGGGGCTTCCAAGCCCACTGGCCCGCTTCTGCCAGCCATTCCCTCCATCACTTGTGCTGACCTGCAAGGCCACGCCTGGCCTACCAAAGCCCCCTTCCCCATACAGGTCTCCAGAAGGTGTGTCTCATGGTTTCCTTTTTTACTGCTTTGAGCATCTGCCAGGAATCCCTCTCTCCACAGTCCTAGATGGCAGCAAGTTATCCCCACACAAGTTAGGGCCCATGAGGAGGCTCCGTTTGTGAGAACTGCAACCTTCCCAGTTCACACAGGCACACATACATCCTTTTCTTTATCTATGCTGAGTTGTATGTCCTTGATCAGTAGCAGCTGAATGCGTGAACTAGGTCCGCAGAAAAGCATTGAGTGTACACAGTGCTGTTTTTCTAGAAAAAGGTGCCGAAACTTACCATGAGCGCCTCCCTTGTTGTCTTATCATGGCAATGGTGCCCACCTGAGAGGGGCCGGAACTGAGTTCTGGCTGGAAAAAAAGCCTTGAGTATGGGAGGCAGAATGTAAGTTCCATTTCTGGTGCTCAATCTGGTAGGACACATTCCTCCACAAGACTGTGCTGCGTCCTGTAGGCACATGAACCACCCTACACGTGGAGCTAGCAGTTCTTATGAGCAGCACCTCATAAGAACAAAACAAAAAACAAAAGTCTGCTAGGTCAGGCCAATATTCTGTTCTCACAGGGGCCAACTGGATGCCCCAGTAGGAAACCAGCAAGCAGGGTTCAAGCACAAGAGCCCTCTCCCATCCCGTGGCCTCCAGCAACTGGCATTCAGAAGAAGAGGAGGAGTTTGGATTTGATATCTCGCTTTATCACTACCCTAAGGAATCTCAAAGCGGCTAACATTCTCCTTTCCCTTCCTCCCTCACAACAAGCACTCTGTGATGTGAGTGGGGCTGAGAGACTTCAAAGAAGTGTGACTAGCCCAAGGTCACCCAGCAGATGCATGTGGAGGAGCGGAGACGCGAACCCGGTTCCCCGGATTACGAGACTACCGCTCTTAACCACTACACCACACTGGCTCTCTGCTACCTCTGACAGAGCACAGCTATTGCAGCTAGTAATCAATAGTTCTCTCCTTCATGAATTGGTCTGCTCCTCTTTTAAAACCATGCAGGTTGGTGGCCATCACTGTCTCCTGTGGGAGTAAGTTCCATTGTTTAACTATGTGCTACACGAAGAAGCAGCTGTTGCGAGTTGCAGGTGTAAGAGGAGCCCAGCAGGTGGATGGGTCTGCCTGGTCCAGCAGCTTGGTCTCACAGTGGCCAACCAGATGTTCGCAAAGGGAAACCCACAGCCCTGTCACACTCCCACACCAGCCCCTCGGAGCCCCAGGATTGTGTGAACTGAGCCAGAGGGGCTGCAACCCATAGGGATGCCTCTTCTAGAACCCGGCCATGCTCACGAGCCCCTGGACCCAGTCCAGGTCCCTGTTGCAGCATGTTCCTGCTGGGCTGATCCGTGTCTTAGTCATGCGTACAATACTTCAGTGGGTCTACTCTAAGCATGACTAGGCAGGGCCCATCCCTCCGAATTTAAAAGGTTTCATTCCCAGATAAATGTGGGCCTGGTTTCTTTCTACTGAGCTTTTTTGTTTTTTCACTAGGCCTAGGATAAAGAGGTGCCAGAACTCACCACAAACACTTCCATTGTTCTCTTAGAATGGCAATGGCACCTACCTGAAAGGAGAACCTATTTGCAGCCCCTTCTACCCAGATAGATGTCCTTTTGCCAGTTGAGTCCAATGTTCTCCCATCATATGCATATTTACTTGGCAATAAGCACTTGCCTGAAACCTCTTGAACTGATGGGCAGAATGTGGAGGGTAGCGGTTGGGGGATCTGGTTAAAGAGAGTACTTGCAACCTCTTGTTGAAGAAAAATAACAAAACTGTTTATTATAGGAAGTACATAACTTAGATAGGAAAGTTTCTGGTTCCAAGCCAGCTAACAAAGCTGAACAAAGGCAGCCAACCACGCTGGCCTGTTTGTTGTCAGGAGGATAGATTCAGGTTCAAGGTCAGATAAGTGAGAGAGGGGGGACACTGGAGAGGACGCAACTTTAGAATGTCAGTCTTAAGATCAAAGAACTAAGGTCAAATATACAGAGACAGTTTAGGAATCTGGAGGTCTACCACTCTGTTTCAGCCCCATGTGAACCCCTTTTTTGCTAACTGAGTTACAAAAGACTTCCAGCATAAATCCCCAAATGTTGCTGAAATTGATACAGATATTATATCGTTTTTAGGTTGGAATCCTAAGAACTGAGCTCGGTGGGGCTTTGTTCTGAATGGATGTACCTAAGATAGTGCTGTTACAGTACAAGCCTATACATGTCTATTCAGAAGTAAGTCCTGTGGAGCTAATTGAGACTTATTCCCAGCCTACTTGGCTATAAGATTGCAGCCTAAGGATTGCAACCGCTTTGTTATTTTGAGAGCTTTAAAAGAATGTTATTGTTTTATAATTTCATGGTTTAAGTCCTCTCAGAGTATTAGTTTCAGGCAGTGAAAGGCATTTAATTATATTACTTTTTAAATTTGTATGTTATTGCTGTTAGTTCCCTTGAGTTCCGTTTGCTGGAAAGACAAGATAAGAATATAACAAAAAAAATGTGCTATATATTAGTAATTCATTTGCCTGCTCTTAATGCAAATAATAAACTATGTTTGCAAGTTCCAATTCTCTTGGAAATAATACATTATTTTGAAGCAATAAATGCCAAAAGGTAAGCACAGATTGTTGAAAAGTCTGGTCCCAAGTCCAGACTGAAGCACCTGGATTCCTCTTCTGAACCTAAACTGCAGGGGGTTTTCTTATGGAATTGCTGATGCAGTGACTGCACCCTTTCCCCCCACCTGCGCTCAGAGCAAGATATCGCACAAATGGTGCCATTTGGTTGCTGGCTGCTCAGCTGCCTGCACTCTGTGTAGCCAGACCAGCCCCTGTACCAGGCCAATAACATTTTATCCTGTTATCATTCTTAATTAAACATTGAATGTGAGTTTGCTCTTGAAGAGCTCAGCTTAAAACCTCCCAGAGGTCACATACAAATGCCAAGGACCCAGTGGAGAAAGATGTTGGATGAAGAGTCCTGCTCTTTTACCCTCATACCCTCAGGAAGTGTGAGACTACAGAGCCCAAAATATTATAGCGCCCAGTGGATCTTTCCCATCCTGCCATGTATAAGAACACATTTTCTTTCCTGCAGGACTCATAGGCAAGGGTTGTTGTTAATGCAATGGAAGCCTTGGTCTCTTACTGAAACTATAGAAGACTAGTGGAGTTCTGAAAATTATGCTTGCTGCAGTAAGTACAGATTTTTTTTATAATTTTAAAAGTCTGGACAAAGTGGGTCATTTTAAGAAGCAGGTTCCAGAAACAACAAAGTTCAGAAAGGCCAGTCCCATGTGGAAAGAAGGTGGTGTTGAACGGTTTAGTCTGCAGCCTTCACCAACCTGGTGCCCTCCAAGATGTGCTGGACCACAACACCCACCTACCCCCAGCCAGTGCTGGGGACAGCCTTGAAGGGATTGTGGCCCTTGAGCTAAAGAAGATTGCCCAGTGCTGCTCTGGAGGTACAGCTGGCTCCCTTGTTTAATTTTTGGGCCTGGCGTGAAGACATTCCTTCTTCAAAGATATACTCAACAGCATTTTTATTCCTTCAGGCTACTTTAAACCACACCAGCTGTAGCAGCCTTGTTTTTCAGCTCCTGGCACTTGATGCTAATATAGAATTATATTGATCTATTTTTGCTTTGGAATAAACTTTGGAACTCAGATATCAGCAGCGGACCAAGAGGAACTTCAATATTTAGTAAAAGAAATGTGACTTCACACGTTCAGGCAGATCCAATAAAGCCCTCTTCTGGAAGACAAGGGTATAGTTCATCTTCTAAAAGACATTTAATTTGCTTGATCCTAGTCCATTCACGTTCCAAGATAGAATTTTAAGAGTCATTATCGTATATGTTGTTACTTTTTAATTCGTATTGCACTCGTTCTCAAGCTTACGATCTAGTTTTCCTGTTCCTTGTAGTTTCTTCCTCCTTTTCTTCCTCTTCTCCTAACTCTTCTTCTTCCTCCTCCTCTTCTTCTCCACCTACTGCTCCTTCCTCTTCCACTTCCTCTTCTTCCTCTTTTCTCTCTCTCTTTTGCTTCTCTGTGTTTTTTACCTTCTTTTCCTTCCTCCTTTCTGTATATCTCCCTCCTCCTCCATACCATTCTTCCCCTTTTCCAAGCTCCTTCTCATATCTTCTCAAAAAAATTTCTGCTTCTTGTGTATCTATCAATCTGAATCTTTTATCTTTATAATAGAAGGTAATTCCTTCGGGGAACTCCCATCTATATTGTATATTGTTTCTCTGTAAGACACTTACTATTTGTCGGTATCCTTGTCTTTTACCCAAAAGTCTGATTGGTATTTCTTTGTATATAATAATTGTTCTGTTTTCAATTATTAATTTTTTCCGGTAACTTGTTCTTAATATCATATTTTTCATCTCAATTGAGTTGAAAATCATCAAACAATCGCCAGGAGATTTTTTTAGTTTGAGCTGCTGGGGTTTCACCCTTATTCTAAATGCGCTTTCTACAGTACAGGCTACTTCTTCCTCTTTTATTTCCAACCATTTTGCTAATTCTCTTATCATTTTTCCTTTTATATTCTCATTGATTTCTTCTTCTACTCCTCTAAATTTTAAATTGAGTTGTTTCTGATGCATTTCTGATAAATCTAAAAGGAATAGAATCTTTAAGGTTTTGATGAAAAAGAATGTTGATGTGATATGTTGTCAGGAAACACATGTGGCTAAAAAGCATAAACACATCCTGATAAATAAAAGGTTGGGGGTCGAATTTATTAATTCTGATACAAACAAAAAAGAGGAGTGGTCATATACGCTAAAGAAAAAGAGGACCCCAAGTTAATATGCAAAGATGAGGAAGGGAGAATTTTGGGGATACAAATTAACCATCAGGGAGAAAATTTAACGTAGTAACTGTTTATGCCCCAAATACGAATAAAGCAGAATTTTTCAAAAAACTGGAACAAATATTATTGGACTTAGAGACTCATAAACTGATTTTACTCGGTGACTTAAATGGAGTGCCAATTCCAGAACATGACAGAAGTGTAAAAAGGGGAAAACTGAGCCAAGGGAAATTACCTAAATCGTTTAAAAACCTTGAAGAAAATTTAGACCTGACAGATATCTGGAGACACAAAAACCCATTGACAAAACAATTTACATTTTTCTCAGAGCCGCACCAGAGCTGGGGCAGAATAGACCAGATGTGGGTATCAAGAGAACTAGTAACAAGAGCTGCAAAATGTGAAATACAACCCAGAACTCTGTCTGACCATAATTCAATATCCCTGGAAATTAAGTGTGGAATTCAGGGTATGTATCGATGGAGAATGAGTGAATACTTATTTGAAAACGAAGATGTAACTGAAAAGGCCAAAAACACTTTAAAAGACTTCTTTGAGTTAAACCTTAATAAAGAGACAAATATTGATATGGTTTGGGATGCTAGTAAGGCGGTGCTAAGAGGCTTTCTAATCCAGCAAAATAGTCACAGGAAAAAAAATAAAAGAACAAAAGAAAGATGAAATCCAGACCCAATTAAGAGAATATGAGAAAAAATTAATAACAAAAAAAGAGGATCGTATAATGTTTCAATACGCAACCGTAGCTGCCAGGATCTTGTTAGCAAAAAATTGGAAAACCCCAAATATCCCGACTGTTAAAGATTGGCAAATTAAATTATTTGAATATATGGATTTGGCAAGAATGACACAGAATATTAGACAGCAAAAAGGTACAAAGTTTATTGATGACTGGAATAAATTCATAATGTACATGGAATAAAATTCTAGAGATATAAAAATCACAGTAGGTTTGATATAATCCTTGCGATGTTTAGATGATATAAAATGAAAACTGCAGAACAGAATTACTACTTTACATAATCCAAAATCGAGATGGAGGGAAGTCAACTTTTATTTGTGTTAACTGATGTTTGTCTTCTGGTTTGTTTATATTTTCTGTTTTGGTTGATGTCTTTCTTTTTTCTTCTCATTGGTGTGTTCGGTTTGTTTTTCTTTTTCTTTTTTCTGTTGTTGTTTGGCTTAGAAAATTAATAAAAAGAAATTTAAAAATAAATAAATAATAATTTGCTTGATCCTATACAGCTAAAATTCTGCCTGCCTTCTTAACTGCCGTGGAGCATGTGCCACCAGAAGAGAGAGAGGGAAGGGGCTATGTTTATGGGACTGGCAGAGCCCGCTCCTCAAAGGTCACTACTGCACAGCAGAAACTTTCTGCTTTCGGAAGCCATTGAGACTTTTGTGACACCAATTCCACTCTCATGGCTTCTCTTTTACATCTCTAGCAACTGGCAACTTGGCTCATTCTGAGCTCACCAACCCACTCAACCATAGTTCACTGTTATTTCCACGCAATGACTGAAGATGACATTTTATATAGGTGTTGCTTCATCACCTATTAGTTCTCAAACCACACCAGAAGGAGGCATTCAGAAAGCCTTGGGTTTCTCTGTGATGACTAAAGCTCAGAAAAGATAGGCAAGGATATTTGGATGGACCCATTTAAACTAACAGGCAGAGGCGATCAGGAATACCTTCCACATAAGCCCAGCAGTGAAATGGATGACAGTTGTGCAGGCCACGTGACCCACCAAACACAACCCACCCTTCATGTGTCCTCCTTGTTTTGCACTGCCTAGGTAATACAACAAAACCGAAGTTTAATCTTTCTGTAGATGAGCTGCATTCAAACTTGGTGGTTACAATGTTTGTTGGCCTGATATAATACAATCACCATTCTCCCCATTCGCTAACACCACAAGCCAAAAAAACCCTTTGTCTAAGCCTCTTTTTAAGCCATCCAAGTTGGTCCTGTGGGAGTGAGTTCCATAGTTCAACTATGTACTGTGTGAAGAGGTACTTAAAAAACCAAAAACTGTCCTGAATGTGGAATGCATCTTGGGAATGAGTTACTTATGCACTCAGCTTTCATCTGGCACTCACAATCTAAGGCAACACAGCCTGGATTCACTGTTCGTTCATTCTCTCTCTCTCTCTCTCTCTCTCTCTGTGTGTGTGTGTATGTGTGAACTGACCTATTATACAAAGGTAGCATTTCTATTCTTTGCTCCACACTCTCTTGTCTCTTGTCTTGCCCACCACTTGCATGTGATCCGCTGGAAAGTTGCTCAAAAGAAACTGTAGCCCTTGTGGGACTGAATGGGTCCTAAGCCTTCCCTGCCCCAAAGCTTCAAACCAAGATCCCAGGAAACTGATGAGAGTCTTCTCGAGTCCCTTATCCTCTTGGACAATCTCCACAGAGCAGATGCAAAACTGACATAGGTCTAAAAAATATACAAGCCATTTTGTTTTGCTGACCCCGCAGCGATAACTGGCATACCATTTTTCACTTCCCACCAGCCATCAATGCAATTTAAATTCTTACCATTCCTTCAATATTTGAATACTGATACAGCTAAGCGCCAACCACACAAAGAGGCAAAAGATACAGCTATGATTGATGCTTCATAAATACCTCTGATTAGATAAGAGAAAGACAAAAAGCATCCCTTGGGATTTAGGGCGCTCTTAGTGCTGTTTATGTAGGAAAACAAATACAGAAAAGCAGCTTCACATTCCAGCATCCCAAAATAAAGAAAATCACTCCAGACAGTTGTTTTTAAGCATCTGACAGATCTTCGATCGGATCACGTTTTAAAATAATTGATTCTGACAAGAATAGTAGGTGCTGCTGTCCAGCTGACGTCTTCTGGTTCACTACAAAAGCTCTGCTTTTGCTTAGATGAAGTGCAGATAATTGATCACTCCACCCAAATAAACTAGTCTCTTGTCCATCATTGAGTGTGAATCTGTTCCTGCACCAAGTGGCTGACAGTTACTAAAGTCCAGAGAACTCCATGGGAGACACTTAGGCAACCTGTCTGACCTTGTGTTTTAGGAAGACAGAGTGGAGTCGGCTTTTTATACATCAAAATAATAATATCTGTGCCAGGGGTCAGCAAACCTTTTCAGCAGGGGGCTGGTCCACTGTCCCTCAGACCATGTGGGGAGCTGGACTATATTTTGGAAAGAAAAAAAACAACGAATTCCTATGCCCCACAAATAACTCAGAGATGCATTTTAAATAAAAGCACACTCTGTACTCATGTAAAAACACCAGGCAGGCCCCACAAATAACCCAGAGATGCATTTTAAATAAAAGGACACATTCTACTCATGTAAAAACACACTGATTCCCAGACCGTCCTTGGGCCGGTTTAGAAGGCAATTGGGCCGGATCCGGCCCCCGGGCCTTAGTTTGCCTACCCGTGATCTATGCTTATGAAAGACCTCATCTGCTGCAAGGATTACCTTGGGAAAGTTTTGGTGCAATAAGAAGAGCTACATTACTTATTATTTTTATTACATTTGTATTCCACCTTTTTTGTAAAGCTCGACATACACAGTCCTCCCCTCCCCATTTTATTCTCACCACCCTGTAAAGTAGGTTAGGCTGAGAAACAGTGACTGGACCCAAGCCACCCAGTGAATTTTGATGGCTGAGTGGGGATGTGATCCCAGGTCTCCCAGGTCCTTGTCTGACACCCTGACCACTAACCCACACTGGCTCACATTGCACTTGCACTTTGTGGGACCCCTCTGAGCAGAGACTAGGGTGCCTGTTGTTAGGAGAGGTGGGCATTTTCAGCTTCAACACAGTTCTGGTCCAAGTGTTGTGCTTTACTTCTTGGAAGTGGCAGCCACTCACTTATAGAAGCAAAAGGGGCCACTTTGCAATGCTACTGGGGACACACACACACACACACACACACACCTGGTGGCAAGGTCTCAAACTACAGTCTTTTTTTTTTGCCCCACTTGATATTTGCATTGGAAGGTAAACTTCCATTAGTGGGTTGAGACTTCCATTGCCAATATGCGCTGAGACTGCAGCAGGCCAGTGGCTAGCAGATCCTACCCCACCAGGGTTCTGTGCTGCATCAGACTCCCAACACCTACTGTGTTGCACTCAGTGCACTTTGCCAAAATTATCTACATACTGGAAAGGAGGGGTTGTAGATGCAGAATGATCACTTACCAATGGCAATGCAGTGAACTCACGGCTGCAGTGAACACTTGGCAACTTCCATTCTCACAGCTCCAGCAGGCCAGCTGTTCCACTAGATTAGCTCTCCGACTAATCATAAGCAGCCCAAAAGCAGGGAGGGTGCAGGGTCCAACACCTGCTGTCCCTTAACAAAACAAAACCACTACCAATAATAAAAGCATCCTGTGGACCACCCATTGGGCCACTGCTAATAAATGCATCAATAACCTCATCTCTGAGAAGCCATCTGTTAGGCCAGCAGTCAGGAAGGGGGCTGCAATAGCACACCCTGCACTGAAGGGACAATCTGTGGCACAGAGCAAGATGATTCTGACCAACAATAGAAACAACACTATTCGTCAGTTTCCCCATAGCCAAAAGGTGTCTTGGAGATCGACCAAGTTATAGGGTATCAGTTATGCAAAACAGTAAAAAGACAGTTATGCAGATAGGAATCATTGCTATTTGCATGATTAATATAGGTCACTTAATGCAGCTTTTCAGTGTGTAGAATCTGGATGGCTCAGCCACCAAGGGCACACGCGGGCCCTGGAGGTGACTTGCCAATTCTAACAGAATCAAAAGAAGTCAAACTAAAGAGTTAGAACACCAACATCAGGGGGCGATCTTTTTAGTTTCAATAAGCAAAGATTATGCAATAGGTGCAGAGGACAGAATCTGAAGCATCAGCACTTGCGAAAAATGTGTAAGCTATGAGACTGCTTTGAAGTACTTCCAGAAAATAGTATCCTTCCCAACTCTTCCATTTGATTATGGATACTTGAGCTAACTTTGTGTTTAAAGTCGATGCTGAAAGAGAATTATCCAGGTTTAAGGTGAAAACTATTTTTACACCATCTAACATCTTTGCAAGGACAACCACAAGCCTGGTCCAGAGTAGGCAGGGTGGGTGCCAGGGTAGTAGTGAGCACTAAACTGAACACCCTGCCATTCTGCGTTGGTTTATTTCTGCTACAAATCTACTTCTGAGCAAGGGCTCAGGCAGCAGTGGTGGTGGAGAGAACAGCAAAGACCAGTCACAGTCAACTTCTTAAGTGTTCCTGACTCAGTCCAGGAGAACCACAGACCTCTGTAGCAGTTGGTCACTTGTAACATAGCCAGGCAAACTTTACACAGCTATGAAACTGTCACCTAGGAATTTGCATCCAACCCCTGGGTAGTGGAAGAACAAAGACTGTAAAAAAACTGCAGTGACAAAATGTTTTATTAAAAAAACCCTCCCTTTTCAATTCCAACAAAGGATGTTTTCAGAAGCCCTGTAGGATGCTTAAAACTATTATTAGTACAGCTTTAAGTATGAAGACTGTATCCACTTTACAAATCCTCAACTTTCCATATAGGTGGGCTTTCAAACAAATGTAGCAAATAGTTTGTCTGTTGTTTTGGTCCATCAGATGAATGGTAGAGTAGCATTAAAGTTTTACAAAACATCCCATATAAATAACCTGAAGCTGTAACAGTACACCAAGATCCGTTTCTGACACTGACACATCAGGCAGTACTAGCTGACAAATCAACATTGTTTTACAGTAATGTACATTGTGCCGGCTGACTGTTTGAAACGTGACACATCTTTGCTTTCAAGGTTTTGGTTTGAGGGTGTGAAAAATGGCGAGAACTAGGCTAGGCTAACAAACAGTAAGAATTAAAAACCTCTCAGAAGTCACCAAGTGATAAAACCACTTCAGCAAACAGGAGTTGTCTTATTTTCCCATAACAATCCGTCTTTCAGGCATTATATAATTAGACATGCTTCGTTTTCATGCCCACAGTGCTTATAAACTAGATGTCTACTAAATCTTACTAGAGAAGTTCTAAGTCCTACCAAACGAAAATGGGAAGATACTGCAAGCCAGAGTCCTAGTTGTGGACATTTTGCACACCCTAGCAATCATCCTATTGGCACGTCCTACTGGTTGGAGCATTCTAGCACTCAGTCTAGTGCTATCACATCATCCTGCTCTTCAGCCAATTGTTCTGAGCGCAGCCGTTTGGTGCCAGTGTATTCCTTCTCATCCAGCTTCCTTTTCCGGCTCTTGCTTTCTGTGTCATCAGCATTGCTTGAAGAACCTTCCTCAGTCTCAACTATCAGTACATCATCATCTTCCTCTTGAGCTGGAAAAGAAGAGAGTCACTGCATTGCAGCCTAGCGCTGTTGTTTTAAATATAGGCTTAACATAAATAGGCTAAATGTTCCACACTTGTACCTAAAATGAGGCACATGACTGTTTTCAAATATTCAAGACAATAAATGATACTGAGAGTGATGGCAAATTGCCATCTTAGAAAATAATGGACCAGCTCAATCCATAAAATGCATGGTCCCTCAGTGAGTTAAGATATATTGATTGGATGTGCAAAAGCTAAAGCAAAAATTGTGAACAAACAGGCCCTTCTGGGGGCTTAAGTGAATTTTCAAGATCCAGGAAAATTTGGAAGGCTTTATAAAGGTTTATCTTGCGTCCTAGAATTTCAAGGGGCTGCTAATTTCTCCAAGCAGTTGTAGGTATGTCGATACAGTTCCCTCCCACTGCCAGTCTTTACCTGTGGATGTTGAGGGCTGTGCCCCATCATCACTTCCATTGGTGATATTCTTAGTGACTGGCTGTTCCGATGGCTTGGGACCAACAACTTCATCACCAACAACTTCAAACTCCACATCTTTCCCAAGCTCCTCGCTGATTAAAAAAAAAAAATGCAGAAAAAAACACTCAGATGATGGTCAAATGAGCCAAAACACTATGATGGTCAAATAAGAGGCAGTTTGTGAAATGGCTTATTCAACCCGAGGTGTTGGCTTTTTCAACCCTTGCTTGCCTAAGCACCACAGTACACTCAAAGGCAGTTATGGATGCTGTGCCAATGGGGAGGGCCTGGGAGTTATTCTTGCATATTAGAGAACGCTACTGGCTCTCAATTTTGTGTTTTTCACAAATGCAGAGCTGGTCTCTGTATTAGCAAGACTTATATCACTTATTTAATCTGAAGGTTCTTTTGGCAGAGTTGCAGTTTCTGGTTCTGATAGCTCTAGGAAATCAATGGCCTTCACCTGTGCAGTACGTTGATCAGCAGGGTATAGTCCTGCAGAAAGTCATCTGCTTGCAGCCGACTACCATTTCGGATCCCAAAGTCTGACAACTTCCTGTGGTTATTTGCTGAGGGGGACATGGGGAAAACCGGAGAAAAGCAGCATCAGGTACTCTGGAGAAACATCAGTCGCCTCCAAGGCTTTTCTTAACTCAAAACACTCAAAAGCAAAGGAAAAGTAAGCAAAGTAAGGCTGCTAATACCTATTGATCTATGTTAAAATTTTATACATCACGTATACTCTTTTCTTTGCCAGAAATATGGAAGGCTGCACACTTCAAAGCCAGAAGCTACACTTAAGAAAACCTGCAACGGACTTGGGAGGCTGGGCTATGGGATCATTTCCAGTGGCTTGATGATATCTCCGTTCCTGGTTTGATTGCTAGTACCTGTTGCCGGACCCCTAATAGTACATGACTGCAGCCAGGATTGCATTGTATAACCCAAACAAAATCCTCCAAATCTGAGAACTGTAGTAATGAGGGTCCAACTACAGCTTGGATAATATCCACATCTATGGGTCACCTGGCTCAGAGCACCCAGAGGCAGACACAAGGCTACACAGTGTTGCACATTGTGTGTTTGCTGCAGTGCAAAGGACATACAGTGTGGAGCTTCCTTAAATGTCAGGCTGACTTTTGACCACACCAGTTTCACTTTCATTTCATACCTTCAGTTTCTCCTTCTTCGGAGGATATCAGAATAGTCCCCTTTCCATCTTCTATCTGGACATCAGGTGCTACCATATTGAATTTTTCTTTCACTATCTGAAAGAATGCAAGGGAGGGAAAAATCTATAAGCAAGACTCTGAAACAATAATCCTTTTCCAAGACTTACACCCAACCCCCTTCTTATACATGATCAAAACAACACTTTCTACTAGGGATGCGCACCAGCCACAAAATTCGCCTTGCATCTGTAATGTTGGTATGCAACCCAACCTATTTTCAGTCCGTGTCTTTCTGGTCTGGCTTACCATTTCTGGCCAGTTGATATCTGTTAAATCTCAAGCCCCATCTCTGTGTGTGTTGACTAGGGTGTGGGAACCTCCCGCTTTCTTCAGCCTTAGGGTCACAAACCCTTTCTGGACATGTGCCAGTGGTGAGTGGGGCCAGAGAAAAAAAGGGGGTGGAGCAAGGAATGTAAATGTGACCTTTGTACAGGACACACCCACACTTACCTCTCTATCCTCCATTTAGTCAAACAAAAAGCAGCATCAGAGTGCAGGGGGAAAATCCAGCTACGAAGAAACCCTGAGGGTGGGTGTGAAACAGGATGAGTGAGAGGCAATGCTTGAGGAGAGTTCCAAGGGCCAGGCAGAGAGGTTTGGAGGGCCGCATGTGGCCCCTGGGCCTGGGGTTCCCTACCTGTGTTTTAAGGCCTAAGGTGCAGAACAGATTCTGCAGATTAGCGATTTAGGAACAGTGCTTAAACTGAAAAACCTAAGAGGTGGATGAAGGGAGAGGCTCATTCACCTTATCTTGTAGCGTCAAAACTGTGACTTTGTTGACATCAAGTTTCACTGTCACCTCTGGCTTACTTGCACACACATAGCAATTGGGATTAGGAGGGTCCAAAGCGCAGGGGACAAGTAGCTTCTTCCTTGGGTTTGGTTGTTTATTAAGGAAGATCTTCAGAAGATAAGAAAAAAGGGAATCAATTATCCAGCATGAACAATCAAAAGAGAAGAGAGAGGAAATCAACACCACACTTACTGCTCTGCACTGCTCTATTTTTCCTGAGAGAATCTTTAAACCCTCCAGCACAATCAGACCAGCTATTATGGCATTAGTGGTAGCTATTGCAGGAATGATGTTTCCTGCCATTGCTGTGGAAGAAGCAGAAATAAGGAGTTTATGTAGCATATTAAAACAAGGACAGAGAAAATCCTTCAAGAAAATAAATATAAGCTTTTCACTTACATTTGATATCAAATCTGCTCTTCATGTTCATACTAAAGATATGCATTCTGAGGTTCGCAGCAGAAGTAACAAAGTCCATTGCAGAAGGATCATCCTGTTAAATAGTCATTTTGAAGTAAAATAGAAAATACTGATCATTTTAGAGTGAACAGAGGCATTTCTGGAACTTGAAAAAAATAACTGTATAAAATAAGCTTGAACTCAAACTCTTTTAACACATTACTCATAAAACATACCCTTCTAATTGTTAAAATTGCTATAAGTACCAAGTAACAGTTCTGTAATGCAACTTAATATGACTAACTTTTATTTTGTGGCCACACTGACAGCTGAGCCATGAGTCCAGCATTTCCATCCCTTGAAGTGGTGAGATACTAATCCCCCAAGAATGTAAAAATCAAGTAGTTCAATCACAGCAATGAGCCTTTGAGATATAGTTTGATTATACTGCTTTTCCAATAAGAACCATGGGAACAGATAAGTTTCTAAAGATAGTTCATTATTATATATATATAAAAACATCTTTAAACAGAATCTCTCTTCATCTATGAAGTATCACTTATACTCCCCATTTTTTATTGTGCCCTACACCACTCATTGTTAAAATAAAGTTTTGGAGAGAGGTACATTCATCCATAAGGTACATAGTTTCTAGGTCCAATTCAAAGTGAAAGTCTTCTCCTTTAAAGCCCTTCACAGTATCCCATATAAACTGCCTGCTCCCAAATGAATCTCAGCACAAAGATCATTTTTCAGAAGGATTTTTGGAAACAAGGCAAGTGTTAACAGGGGAGAGGGTCTTGTCATCCTTAGAGAGGTCCACCTGGCATCTTCTCTATTAAGGTTTAGGTGCTATGTTAAGAGCTTTTTATTTGCCCAAGTTTTCTAAATAAACAGACTAATTTTAGTTATCCGATTTCTGATTTTAACTTTTGTATACAATATTATTGTTTGGTTTTATGTAGTTGTTGTGAACTGTTTTGATTTTTAAAAACGAATTAGTGGTATATAAACAAACAAATTTTATCTGCTGACATTTTCCCTTAGGCAGCTTTATCACTTTTAGTGTAGCTTTTTATTCTGTTCTGCTTCTAATAGTTTGGAAAGGAAATTGGAAAGTTCTCTCGCTTGAGCTGCACTGAATTCAAGGGGACCCTCCTCCGTGCTCCAGATGTCACTTCCCATGAGGCCACTTTTTTCATCAAACAAGAATGGAGAACTGCAGTTTGTTTCTATAGGGCTTCTGCTTGAGACCTGCTCAGTGGATTGTTCCCTCTGCATTTATAGCCAACAGAGGCCGCATCTAAAATTGACAATTTGCAAAGCCCAACAGAGGGTACATATCTGTTCAACAGTCTAATGTCATTTACAAGGCTCAAAGACAGCCATTTTTTTGTAGAGAAGATATTGTGAGAACGCTAACCCCTAGTGTGCTAGGCATATCTACTATTAGTGCTGTGCTAGAATCCAAACATTTTTACTCGTCTGCATGCAACACATCCCCAAACGTTTGCTGAACTAACCTTGTCCCATATAAGTTCAGCTCCATCACCTTTTTCCGCTAGTTGAGCTCTCAGAGTCTCTATGCTCTTAGAAAACAGACGTGCGTAGCTCTTGACATCCAGAACCTGTTGGTCTTTCAAGCCCAAGGAAGGTTCATTCTGTTGATCAGATGCACTGTTTTCTTTAAAGGAAAGGAAGCGAGAAACTTGCTTGTTAAAACCTTCTTCAAATTCAACTTGTTTTGTTTTCCCATCTATACACACGTCTTTAAGGAGTCAGCAAATGCTTCCACTGCTACCAATATAAGTCTGAAGCTAATTCAATAGCACAAATGGCTGATTTACTGGATTTTTCATCACAAGGATTTGTAGTGAATATGTGAAAAGCATAATGTCTGAGGAAATTTGGAAGTGCAGCTGCAGTACCTCAGAGGTAGCCATATGGTCCCCTCCAGATGCTGTTGAACTACAACTCCCATCATCCCTGACCACTAGCCATGCTAAGAGTCTAGCAGAATCTGGAGAGCACCCCATTGGCGAGCTTTGATGCACACTATAAACTCAGATGTCTTCATTGATCAATATCTTATCCCAGCTGCTATCACACTCCAAACTATTCTTTAAATAGGGCGGATTCAGGAACCACATCCCAACACCAAAACTAAGCACCTGCAACAGCTCTGCAGCAGTTCAGTAATAAAATTGATAGTTTACCTTAAAAGTAGACAGTCCAACTGTTAAGTATCAAAGAAAGGCAAATAATAATATGCTTACCCTGATTTTGTATTTCATTCCAGTCTAGAGGAACTGGAGGTTTCCTTTTCCTCCAGAGCTTATCCATTGTTAGCAGATATCTGATGTCATCTTTGAAAAGCTAGAAAATAAGATTTAAAAGAGAAGCCTACTATCAACTGATGTGCTTTCAAGAGTACATTTCAGATCTACTAACATTTAATATTGAACACCAGTGCATATTCATCTAGGCACCAAGAGCCCGTATTTGTATGAGAGGATATTTGTTTTATACAAATATCAATAGTCTTGTGATCAATATGTTCTCACTACAGGATTCATTCTAGGGGCTCTGCTTACTGAAGTGCAACACAATTAGACTGTGAGGAAAATGCAGGTTGGGGAAACATGGCCAGTACGATATCTGGGTTTATTGAAACATGCTTAATTCTGGCAACCAAACTCTTGGAAACATATTTGAAGCTGCAGAGTGAAATCTTGCACATGTTTGCCCAGAAGTAAACTTAGCAAAGTAACATTCACACTTTTCAGAACAAAGTTGCAGACGTACTCTGCTCTGTTTGTAAATTCGAAAGATTTAATTAATCCAGCCTTGTATATCAGTACCAGAGAAGGAATTGCATGCCAGTGTCCCTCTCCTTCCAGTCTGCAGCAAGCTTTTGTTACTCAACTCCTTTTATTAGCTGGTATCTCATGATGATACAGAACAGGAGTAGCTAACCTGGCACCCTTCAAATGTTGCAGACCAGAACTCTTATCACTGCTGACCAATGGCCAGTCTAAAACATCTGGAGGGCACAAAGTTTGCTATTATATAGACCCTTGACCAATTACTTGTGTCCTTTTTATTTTCTGACAACCTTCCCATTCCTTATACAGCCCATCACTAATTTAGCCATTATCTCTAACCCAAATGAAAGACAACAGGGACAAGAGGAGGATAGGTGTGTTGCTGGTCACGACTGACCCTACAGTGTCCTGAGTTTTAGCGCTCTGCCATTTGCACAGGAAGAGGATTCGGGCTGAAAAATCCAAATGCACCTTGCTGTATTTATTTTATTTTTTAGTCAAGTTTATATACCACTTCAAATAAAAATATCCAAGCCATGTACACCATTAAAAGCATACAACCGGACTATGATCCTTCATTGCAGGGGGTTGGACTAGATGGCCCTTTGGGTCCCTTCCAACTCTACAATTCTATGAAAACCAGCAAGTTGAAATCCCGAGTAAACAAATAGCCAGGCACTGAAATATCCACACAGTCAATGCTTGCCTAATGTGAACAGTTGATGAAAAGCAGATGCAAGTGTAAAGCAGATCTTACAACATGTCTGCCCCCGCTTAACAGTGGCATAAAAAGAAATGTCTGCAAATGCCACTGACTTAAGACAAATACCTTAGTGAAGAGTTTAACCGAATCATATCCTGTTGATTTAGCCCATTCCTTGGTTGAAACACGTTTAATATCACCATCTTCATTAGATGCTCTTGCTCTGGCCTCAGCTTCTGCTGGCTCCCCTGTCGATAAGATGACATTTTCTATTTGCTATCAAGATCACTCACCTGGCACAGATACAATTTTACCAAAAGAGGGAAACCTAGTCAGGAGGTTTCTTCTACTTTTTCAACAAACTAGTCTATTAAAGAACCAGAATGTTACCTGAAATATTCAGAAAGTTATGGCTCAATTAATGAACCAGGATTCAAAGCTATACTAATGTTGGTTATTTAAGAGTAAATATTAACCAACTACTGATGGTTCTCCTATACGCAGCATATACACAGAACTATGCAACTCTGCAGCTGAGGATCAAGGAAAATATTATTCTGTGGCAACTGATACCCAAACAGAAGTTGCACAGCTGATAGAAGGACTCCCCAAAAGAAGCACAAAATTGTCTTTTTAAAAAAAACAACTTACAAGCAGCTTCAGGATCAGCTCTGTCAGGAGACACTTCTTGATCAGCATCTTCTTCTCCAAACAGCTGACTACATTTTAAAACACAAATGGTGGTTAGAGACTGAAATGTCTTTGCTTGAATAATCTTGAAAGCAAGTTATTTATGGTAGTGCTATGTCCAGCTGTTAACATAAAGGTTTGGTTTTAGCCATTAAGTTGCTCCTCCAAATAGCATGCTTTATTTTTTTTCTTTGCAAACTGCTTTAAGACACAAGGAAAGGGGGGTGTAATTTTAAAAAACCAACACTAAGGAAAAAGTCAATTTATACTGCAACAGAGCTCAGAGATGTTTCACATCCAAACCATTCACACAAAATTGAGAAGGTAACTAGCCCTGACAAATAGGAACTGCAATAAAACTCTGTACTCAAACTCTCTTCAAAGGAGAGCATGCCACTCCCTCCTGCATTTCATATTTCTTTTTCAACTGCTACTATTCTAAAGCTACTGAGCATGCTCAGTACTCGCTGGGCTGCTTTTCCCAAGTTTTTACATTTCAGTTTTCTTTTTCAAAGTTATATTGTACTTCTGCATAATGCTGAGGTTCCCTCTAAACATGCTGACAACTCCCATCTTGTTTCTTAAGGAATCCATTTTTGCTACAATCCTGTTGGCACTTGTATAGGAAGGAGTGATCTCTATGGATTATCAAAACATATTAGATATCTTTTTATAGGAACAAGCACTCAAGGCAACCTACACACAACAGACCAGCCCAGCCTGATGTTCTAGATTTCCCGTAGCTGCATCGTAGCACCTAAGTAATCTGCCAGACACACAAGGCCATCAAATTCATGACTCTTCTACACTTTGCAAAACAACCACGACAGTGTATCAGGTACAGAAAAGCTGGATCTAGCCAGTTTCCCCTGGTGCTCACAAATCAGATCACTGAAGAACTTTATGGTTTAAAAAATTAGCTTACTTGAACAAATACTTTGCCCACACAATGCAGTGGATTGGTTCAGAAGGAGTGTTGCGAATAGTACAACCTGGAAAGGTCTTCTGGGTTGGTTTGGGCTGACATTCATAACATTCCGTCACTCCCTACAGAGGGGGAAAGGTAGAAAATAATTTTTCAATCATGTTTCCATTGTTAGTTGAAAACCACACTTAAGGGATCATAATACTACAGCATACGAAAACACAGTATCATTGCCACACCTTTTTGATAACTGTTACTTGTCCAAGGTAGCCTGCAGTTCCACTCTCTATGAGGGGGACATCAGCTGCCAGACACATCCTGTTCACATGGTTACGGGCAGCTGTAAACAGAAGAAGAGTCACTGATTTTCAAATGCAAACTTTCTTATCCCCTCCTCCTCCTCAGGTAACCCAAATAAGATATGTTCAATACTGCAACCTCACTGTACAGCAGGGAGAACATACGTAGCATTTTTGATAGGACTTCTCAGATTGCATTAAAAAGTACAGTTTGTAAAGATACCACTTGTCCCAATACTCCCAATAGACAATTAGGAATCCAGCCTTGCACAGTCTCTCAGTTTTCAAGCACATTCATGTCAGAACAAAGACATTTCAAAACTCCAGGTCTCAGTTGTCTCACATTATAGCAAAGATAAACCATACCTCTATTATCCAAGGCATTCATAACTAGGGTAAACTGACGAAAAAATTCCACATTATAGTCAGGGCTGCAGAAAAAGAAGACAAGATCCAGTTTAGGGGGTCAGTAAATAAATGCCTGTTGATATTGACGTGACAGGTGTATATGACCACATGAATACAACATCTGCCAAACAGCACATCACAATATTTTCTGGTTGCACTAGTTACACCAACCATCACACAGCACAAATAAAACAAGTAAAACTTTTAAAACAGCCATTTTCTGCGTCCATGGAGAAAAAAATAGTTTGGGGCAAAATAAAAGTAATTGTTTTATTACTGCATTGATGGCTCATTGACAGGGTATTGTGTCATTTCTGTAAACTTTTGATGTATGCAAGATCTGCCTAGGACCCAAATGGAAATAGTTTGCTTTTTTCTTATCTATTCCCCACCCAAAACAAAATTGCCTGTGACATTTCCACTAATGACTAACAGTGTGGACACCCATAGCTAATAATTGTTTGGGGTATATGTCACTTTTTATGGGCTTTTTTTCACAAAGCAGATACAAATTCCAAATGTAAGAAGAATCAGACATACTTCATTACGCTGTCATGATAAGCTATAATGTTAGCTCCAGGATGAAACCTTAACACACTTTCCTTGGCAACCTGCAAGACAACAAGAACACATACAGATAATTTTTACTAATCTAGTCATCTTAAACCTCCTCCTATGAGTTAGAAATAGCCTTATTAATTTTTTACAAAAATGTTCAAGCACCCAATTATCTTCTGAGCTTTGAAGATAATTCTGTTTCATGGCCTATTATGATACAAACATATTAAATATATAAAGGAACATATCATAAAGTAAACATTATAGTCAAGGTGAACTTCTTGAAGTTATCACATGAAATTTAATTCTAGCAGATGCCTAAAAGGTATTCTTCTAAAGTTGTATCAAAAACAATACTGAATTAAATTGTGAAAGCTGCACTTTGAAATTCTTCTTACCTGAGCTTTTGATCTTCCAACATGCTTCTTCTGAAACAAGAATTGCCTGTTGAGATTGCTGACATCAATAGTATCCAGATCAATCTAGAAATAGATTAATTACAAACACTTCATATTTGTTCCGATTAACAAAACTGTACCTTGCCTTTATCAGAAATCAGTGTCTTTAAAAAATGTGCTGCCCCCATTTGATCTACAGCTATAGGCTAATTAAAACCAGTAGAAATAGAATTTTATCAAGTTTTTTTTCTAGGACTATAACACTTCAAACTACAAATGGAGGATGGGCAGTACATCTACAGGTTTTTCCAGCATATAATTCATTGACAAATACTGAGCTTACAGCACATCACAGAAAACAGAACTAGCCTAGCCATACTACCCCATTCTTGAATTCCAAAGTGGTGTACTGTATTCTAAAATAGAGTTCCACTGTCTGTTTTACGGTAGTCAAGAGGATGTAAAAAAGTTAAAAGAAACATGGCAGCAATGATTTTGAAACCAGAAGCAACATTTCTGCCATACTTCTTGTCCTCAGTTCTGAAAAAATGCAGTGTGGCTTAATAGTGCATTTGATTTCCTAGACTTTACCATGGAATAATCAACTAGCAACCTAACTGGTTCTATTTGCATCATAAAATGAAATTAGTCAAGTTCTGACATGACAATCTGATCTAGTGGGCAATGCTGATCCACGTACTCTGGTCTATTCTGACTACAGAAGAGTGATAACTCTATTGAAAATGTGACTGGAAAATTCAACCATGAAATTACAAAAGCAGAGATCCCCAACCTTTTTGGATCTTAAGTGTGTATGTGTACAATTGGATTTTCTGAATGAATGCCACAGGCACCACCTTCTCCAGTTGCTTCTCTCCCAATTCCTTTCCTCTCACCCTACCAGTGGCTAGTCTCCTCCCACTCCTCTCTCCCTCTCTTTGCTTTTCCAAGGGGCATGACTAATGTGTGATCCAGCAGAATTAAAATGGAACTTGTTGAATTTGAATGGTTTTACCTCCCCTCAAACATCCCTAGTATTAAAGCTGTTATCAGTAGACTGCACACTAAAAATGACAAAACGACTGCTTGCCAGCACCACCGACATGGATTCAAGGCACAGATCCTAATGCATTTTCATATTTTATGATGGGATGAGCTATGTGCTGGGGGCAGGGACATTAAGCGCTCACGCTCCAGCAGCTGATAGGCTGGACTTAAAATACACACAACAAATACCTTGCTGGACAGACTCTTAAATCCATCAACTTTTTAGCAGCACCCAGACAAAGGCCTCTGGGAAGATGACAATAATAACTGAAGGTTACCCCCCATTTGTTTGAACCTGACATCTGCTAGAAGGTATATTGACTCTACTGAATTCATTCTTCACTATCAGTCAATAGCTGCAAAAAGACTTCCCCACCGTGTTTATCACCATGAATCTTTACAAACCTTTATAACTACCAATTCAGTAGAATGGTGAGTGTTGGATAAGGACTAAGTTCAAATCTAAGTGATTCAAATCTCCACTTAGCCATGAATGGCTGAGTGTGGGCCAGTTGCCATCTCTCAGCTTAGCCTACCTCACAGGGCTGGTGGGAGAATAAGATAGGAACACAGAGCCATACATGCCACACTGAAGGAAGGAGGAGATACAAATGTAACAGATAAATTGGGTTTGATATTCGTGGATCAAACCAAGAGCCCATCTAAGTCTAGCATCCTGTTCCTAGAAGCAGCCAGCCAGATTGTGTAAACTGCCCTGTGATCTATGGTTGAAGGGTGGTATACAAATTTAATAAATATTAATAATTACTATCATTATTATTAATGATGATGGTTCTGGAGCTCACAAAGACGGCATTATTTTATCTAACAATCTGGTACTCTGTGTCAGCACAAGAACAGCATCTGCCAAGCCTGAACATCTATAAAGACTGCTTGATCAAAGGCTCATTCTGGCAAACATTATGTCTACAAAAAATAGCCCATCAGGTGCCCCTCAAAAACCCACAAGCAGAACATAAACAACCACATACACTCTGCACTGTGTCTGTAGCAACTGATCACTCAGCAATAGACTGCTCCTAGGAAGCTAGCTTATTCCAAGTCACAACCATTGGTGGATCTGGAACTACAGCACATCAACAAAGCCTCACTCATCACAGAGGAAGCTATTAGAATCCCTAATCTGTAGCAACATGCAGTGGTCAGAGCAGTGTTTCTTAAACTTGGGTCCTCGGGTTTTGTTGAGCTACAACTCCCAACATCCCTGACCAGTGGTCCTGCTAGCTAGAGATGATGGGAGTTGTAGTCCCAACAATAGCTGGAGACCCAAATTTGAGAAACACTGGGTTAGTGTCGGACCAGGGCCTGATTGGCCATCATGAAGCTCCCTTGGTGACCTTGGGCCAGCCAGTACCACTCTAAGCTTAGCCTACCTCGCAGGGTTGCTGTGGGGGTTAAATGAGGAGGGGGATAACCATGGAAGCCACATTGAGCTGCCTGGAGAAAAACGTGGGCTATAAATGCAACGAACGAAGGAATCTGCCCTGCCTTCCGCTACCCAAGAGGCTGAAGCAGCGGCACTTCGCGGGGGGTCCCGCCTTGGAAATGAAAACAACAACGAAACCCCAATCCAAACAAGCGCGATGGCGTCACATCCCGAAGCCCCTCCCCCTCTCGGGTGGGGGAGGGGGACGCTGAGGCGACCCAATAAGAGCCGGCCGCGGGAGATAACGGCCAGGGAGGGCTCCGCTTTGCTTTTGGTTCCCTTCCCCGGAGGGCCTTCCCCGCCGCCGCCGCCTCCTCACCACGTCGATGTTGGCGAACCCTGTGAGCACCAGGTCCTTGAGGAGCTCGCAGCCGATGCCTCCGGCGCCCACCACCAGCAGCCGCGCCCCGGCCACGGCCTGGGCCAGCTCTCCGGGCAGCGCGGCCGCCGCCACCGCCATCGCCGCTGCCTCAGAGGCCGACGGAGGGACGCGGGCGGGAAAAAGAAGGCACCGAGTGAAGCGGAGTCAGCGCCTTCGCGCATGCGCGGCCCTTCCCCTCATGTCCTCTCGTCGGGCGCAGCCGCGCTCTCGCCGTCATGGAGCGGGAAGCCCCAGAGCGGCGCCTGCAGCGGCGGCGCGACGACTCCTAGCGGCTGGGAGGACGTATAGCCCATACGCAGCACCGAACCAAGGCACCGAGCGAGAGACAGCGTGGTCTTGTGGTTAGAATGTCGGCCTAAGGATGGAGAGATCAGGGTTCGAATCTCCACGCTGCAGTGGAGCTCACCTGTCTCACCATCTCTCAGCCTCACCTACCAGGCAGGGTGGTTGTGGGGATAAAAAGTGTGTGTGTGTGTGTGTGAGTGAGAGAGAGAGTGAGAGAGAGAGAGAGAGAGAACCAGCGTGGTGCAACAGTTAGGAACCTAGGAGACCAGGTTCCTACTCAGCCATGAAGCCCCCTAGGTGACCTTGGGCCAGTCCCTCCCATCTCAGCCTAACCCACCTCACAGCATTGTAGTGGGGATTAAATGAAGATGGGGGAAAAAGGAAGGTGGGAGTTGAATGCAATAAATCAAATAAATCGTGCCTGTGGACTTAAGGTCCTTGCAGCAATAAATAGGCCATCAGTTGGCAACGTTAAATGCTGGAGAGAGGGTGAAGCCTTCGCAGAAAAAACTTGCACATGGGAACGTCATGGCATGGAAAGGAGGAGGCAAAGGGAGATGTAGGCAACCCCACCATCCCACTCAGGTGCTACAATCCACATCGGTCTTGCCACTTAATCCTGGTGCACAAGACATTTTGTTGCCTGTGGCAGAGTAGTTGCTGCCCCAGCTCTGCACATCAGAGTGCAGAATACCCCAGAACATGTACAGAGTTGATTCTGAAGAAACATTTTATTCTGAAACTGCACAAATGGGCCCTGAAAAACCAAAAGGTTAAAGTTATAGTCTGCATACACCCTGCCTGCATGCTCTAACTAGACACCCTTCCTCATTTTACTTTCAGCCTTCATCTTGCCTTTCTTGCTGGTGGTCCACTATGCCTGAGCTTCTAAGATGCTCTCCAGTTTCCATATACTATTTTTATTTCCCTCCTATCTTAAACATTTGCATCAAGGAAGAAGAGTTTGGATTTGATATCTTGCTTTATCACTCCCTTTAAGGAGTCTCAAAGCGGCTAACATTCTCCTTTCCCTTCCTCCCCGACAACAAACACTCTGTGAGGTGAGTGGGGCTGAGAGACTTCAAAGAAATGTGACTAGCCCAAGGTCACCCAGCAGCTGCATGTGGAGGAGTGGAGACACGAACCCGGTTCCCCACATTACGAGACTACCGCTCTTAACCACTACACCACACTGGCTCTCAATAGTTTAGGAGTAGCTAAACTATTGGGATTTCAATTTACAGCAGAACTGGGTCACATGTGAGCAAGATCTGAGCATTACTGCCTCCTGTGGGAGTGAGTTGCATAGTTTGACTGTGTGCTGCATGAAGGACTTTATTTTATCCATCTAGAATCTTCCACCGTTCAGCTTCCTTAAATGTCCATGAGTTCTGAATGATGGGATTTCCTCTCTCTTATATTTCTCCACAGTGGGAAACCATTGTCAATTATTGCCCAGAATTTGGAAAGCAGAGGTGCATTCCTCCCCACTGAGTTAAAATATGTCACTCAGAGTCAAAAGGAATCATGCTATGTAAATGCAGACATCACCAACATGGGGCCTTTCAGACACTTCAAACTACAACTCCCATCAGCTCCAGTCAGTCCAGAATGTCTGGAGAGCACCAGGTTGATGAAGGCTTGTAGAAGAGAGCAAGAATTGCCAGAGCAGTACAGACCTCTCTGTCTCTGTGTGAGTTATAGTTCTGGGCATGCTACTCATCAATTCACTGATCATAGACTGACTAAACAGAAAGCTGGCATCTCAACCAAGTTGTTACTGCATTTATTTTATTTTTTTAAAAACCACAGCTACAAGGAAATAAATAAAATCTATTTAAATAATTTCTGATCTGGATCTTCTTGTACAAAAATAAATTCTTCCAAGGCTGTTGGTTGATTGGCCGGCCAGCAGCTCTTCTCACAAGTATACACCAATGCTGTTCCAAATTCCACTGACACATCTGGTGACGGGGAAAGAAAAGCATTAATATTATTATACTCACCCATGCATGGGGAAAGGCTGTAGTTCAGTAGAGCATCTGCTTTGCATATGGAAGGTCCCTGGTTCATTCCCAAGCGGTTCCAGGTAGGCCTGGGAAAACATCTCTGCCTGAAACCTCTGAGAGTTGATGCCAGTCAGCGTAGACCAGGGTGGCTCAACATATGGCCCTGAAGGCCTTTTTTGGTGGCCCTCGGCAACACATGACCGCTCCCCCAGCCCTCACACTGCCTCCCCAAAGTTCAGTAAGTGAACTAGGCTTTGGAAAGGAGCTGTGAGAGGTCTGACAGGGTCTTAGAGTCCTTTATCCTCCTTTCCAATGCCTAGTTAGCGCTTTCCCAGCTTTGAGGAAAAGATGGCAGGGCTTTAGCACCCTGCCAGAGCCACACACCTCCTTCCCAAAGCCCAGTTCCTTGGGGAGGGATTCAAATTTTGGCTCCCCTGTCCCACTTGCGACCATGGGTGTAGACAGGCCTTTTGTTGGGGGGGGGGGGGAAGAACCTCAGTTTGCTTTTTATTGATTTAGGGGAGCAGCTACCCCAAGCGTGCACCAAGGCAGTGTACAGCCCATAGGTTCTTGCAGCCCACTTGGTACGAAAAGTTGGGCCACCCTGGTGTAAACAATATAAAGCAAGCTGGACCAACAGCCCAACTCAGTAGAAGACAGCTTCCTTTGTTCCTATGGAGATGTTTCTGAAAGTTCATTTAAAGCACAGAAATGAATATCTCCTTTGGATACCTCTGTTGTTTTCTCACAATTTAATCGGTTTTCCTCAAAAAAAGAGAAGAAAAGTGTTTCTTAGATCTTCTTTTTGTTTCTGCGAACATACATTTCAAGGTATTTTAAAATAATTTAAGATACGCCATGCGCAAGTTCATAAAATGAACGGGAGATGAAGAAAAGGAACATTGGAGGAACCCTGAAGCTGGATCAGACCAAAGGGGGCTAATCTAGCCCAGCATCCTCTTCTCCACTAACCAGATGTCCAAGGGAATAATTGCAAACTGAATTCTTTAATGAAAGGGCTTCATACCGTCAACTCTTGTCTTGAGCATGCTGACCAAGGTGGGCATAAGCTGAAATTCAAAGATTCTCTTGCTTTTGCAGATATTACAAGGTGGGGCTGCTGACCCAATGTCTGTTGAAGGGCAGGTGATAAATAAAGGCTGGCCACCCCAGGAATACCTAATGGTTAAAAAAGGATAGTAGAAAGTGTCTATAAAGACAGGCTAATTTCATTCCTGCTAAAGACCTATTCTCCATCACAGAGAAATGGAAATGGTCAGCCTACCTTAAGATCTGTTCCGGGCAGAGAGAGATCCTTTTCATGAACTTAAGGAACACCTGGTGTCTCTTTTCGGCTTCACTTTTCTCATACTTCTCACCATCGGATGCGTAGCTAAGCATGGGGGGGGGGGGGAGAGAAATTGCAAATATTACAGTAACTGTGAAATTACCAGAAGGACAGCACAAACTGTGGAATCTTTTCTACTTAACAGAAAATGAATAAATCAAGTGGGTATTAGTTGAGCAGCCGTGTCAGTAACCAGACACAACAATCTAGGAAGATGGCTTGATGCATCAAGCTCAGTACTGTCTAAATTGGCAGTGGCTCTCAGGGTTTCAGGTGTGGAAACTATCTCAGCCTTACCAGGAGATGTTGGGTTTTGAATCCTGGCAACTCCCACCTGCAAAGCAGACCCTCCACCATGGAGGCCCTTTCCCAAAATGTCCCATCCAACTTTAATTTCCATGCATCCATCCAGCACAAACCAACCATTATACTGAAAAAAATACTAAGGGTTTACCTGTACTAGTGGATGGGATATTGTTCTGGGATTGGGCTGCATAAGCCAAATAATGTTATTTAGAAGCTATCTAATACTGACCACTGGGTTGCCTTTTTTCAAAACATGAGCACTGGCCAGCAGGGGCAGTAAAACAGCATTTCCCAACCTGTTGCCCTCCAGATGTTTTGGACTACAACTCCAATCAGCCCCAACATCATACATCCGTGATGGCTGGAGCTGATGGGAATTGCAGTTCAAAACATCTGGAGAGCACCAGGCTGGGAAAGGCTACTCCATTATCAGCAGAGCCTCTCAGTGGCTGAAGTGCAGTACAAGACACATTTTCAAGAAGATAAAAATAAAATTCTATCCAATGACCATTTCTATTCCAGGTAGGTAGAAAGAGAGTTATCTAAAGGCCCTTGACGACATCTGAAATGCACTCTGGGTAACAAAAACAGAATTGCGACTAAAAACTGATAGAATTTCAGTCCTGCAACACAATGATTAGTGTTACAAAAGGAATAAGAGATGGAAGACATGGTCTTATCTAGTAGTCACGGTGGCTGTTTGGTGTGTGTGTGTGGAGAAACTGCAGAGGAGCAACAAAGCATCTGAAAGATGCTAAATCTACAGATAACTGCTTTAAATCCACATTTCTGTGGTGCCAGGCACTATTAAATCAGAAGAAAACCAGCCACATTTAGATGGATTTTGTCTGTAAATTCCTTCACAATCAACACATTGTTCTTTGTATATTGGCTATAAAATTCAGAATCAAGAATATGACCAATGCGCCTGGATCAGGTCAAAGGGGGTCCATCTAGTCTAGCATCCTGTTCTCACAGTGGCCAACTGTGTGTCTGTAGAAAGGGCACAAGCAGGACATGAGTGCAGTAGCAGCAGCACTTTGCCCACACATAATCCCTTGCATACTGCCACTGACCATGGAGGTCTGGAGATGTGTCAAGGGACTGGTCTGCCCCCTTTTGGTTTTACTGACCTTGGAGCTCCGATACTTGTTGGGTAAGAGTCATGGAAGATACTGCTGCAGCAGAGAATGGGAATCTGAAATGGGCTTTCCGGTTTGGGAGCTCCCCAAACCAGAGATTTCTAGCGGTTTCCTGCTGTAACACTTGCACACTAGCCCCAACTCCATGGCTCACCTTTCCAACATCAATTGTTCCAAATCAAGGCCCTCCCTCTGCTGATACTCCTTCAAGAGTCTTTGGGCATGGCCTGTATCTTCATAGCAGAGGAAGTCGTCTTCTTCCACAACACTGATGTAGTAAGGTTGGAACTCAGGGACACAGCTGGGAATGATTTGCTCTTCCCCAGGTGGATTATGGGAGTGCAAAGGGTGGGAGGCACTGGGGGGTGCTTCCAGGCTGAGACCCTGAAACTGTGCGGCACAATCTCCTTCTCTGAGCAAAGAGTCCGACACTGCAAGCAAGTCACGGCTGTGGCCTGTAGTGTATTCAGAAGCAGCTGCTTCACTGCCTTCTCCCCAGTCATCTGCTTCCTCACACCAGTCCTTGGCTGCAAGCAGACATTCTTGCTTCTGTGAATACAAGGACACAACCTTAGACAGGTTTCAAATCAAAGGTCCTGGAAAGAAGCTGACATTTGACATTTTATAAGTAGTACAGCCCCACAAAAATAAAGCAAGAATTTCCAGAGGGGTAGCTGCTGCATGAGTCTGTCGCAGAAAAACAACAACAAAAAGCTTTGTTGCACCTTAAAGACTCACTTTTTCATGGGTGCCAGTGGTGGGCTCCAGTCCTCAAAAAGTGATGTCATCAGAAACTCGTTACATTTTTTTAATGATAGCTTTATTGATTTTTTGAAAATAATGCCCCCCCCCTTAACAAAATATCTCGAGGTATACAGTGAAAATGCAGTGTAAAAATAGACCGTCAGTAGTCTAAAGCGTAGAATATTATTTAACCAAGAGCAACCAAAAAGGTCTGGATGATTTTGAGAGTTCAGGGTTGTTTTTCTTCTCCATGTAATCCATAAAACTACAACATCAGTTGTAAACAAGTCTCTGTCCTTTAGTCATATTTTGTTTGCCAATTTCTCTATTAGGGCCACTTGTCAAACTCTTCTAAGCCGATTCAATGATAAGCTATAATATACTTACAAAACTGGGCTACAAGAAACTTGTTCGTTTTAAGGTACAACAAAACTCTTTGCAGATTTTGCTACAAATATATAAGCAGGGTTAAACAGCACACTCTCCCTGAACACATGCACAGAGAGTCCCCTTGATCTCTACAGATCAACATAAGCAGAGCATGTATTCTCATCCTCATGCTGGCATGCTGAGCAGGAAGGTTTAAACCTCCTCCCCTCCCACACATGCCATGATGCCAAGGGCAGTGAGAGGGAAATCATCCATGCCTGTTTAGGAGCAGCAGCTAACATTGTGCAGCTGCTATGTTTGTAAGAGGGAAGAGATGCTAAAAGTCTCAGGTACTACAAGGCCAAATGTCAGTTACCTTTGGCCACATGCTCTTATTACCTAAAGCAGGGGTTGTCAACCTGGTCCCTACTGCCCACTAGTGGGCATTTCAGGATTCTAGGTGGGCAGTAGGGGGTTCTACGGCACAAGCTGAATCCTCCTTCCATGGAGCACTGGTGGGCGGTAAGGAAATTTTACCATCAGGAAAGATGCGCTAATGGGCGGTAGGTATAAAAAGGTTGACTACCCCTGACCTAAAGAAAATGTCCCTGATGGTACATAATACCTGCTTCCATTTGCAGTCTTGCATTTCTTTTCCTTGCACTTGCAGATACTGGGACCGCAACACCTTCCAGCTTTAGATGTGCAGCAAGCCAAGCAGGATGAAAGAAACGGAAGTCATGTTGGTGGGTCAAAGTTTTCAAGTTTCATAGTATTACTACTAGCATAGTGTAGGGGGCTAAAATATAAATCAGGCAGTCCATGGTTTGATTCCCTTCTCCATCATTAGGTGGTTTTGGAAACACAAAAAGCTACCTTACCTAATACAGTGGTACCTCGGGTTATGTACTTAATTCGTTCCGGAGGTCCGTTCTTAACCTGAAACTGTTCTTAACCTGAAGCACCACTTGAGCTAAGGGGCCCTCCTGCTGCTGCTGTGCCGCTGGAGCACGATTTCTGTTCTCATCCTGAAGCAAAGTTCTTAACCTGAGGTAATATTTCTGGGTTAGCGGAGTCTGTAACCTGAAGCGTATGCAACCTGAAGTGTCTGTAACCCGAGGTACCACTGTACTAGGGTCAGACCATCTTTCTCAGTATTGTTTACAATGACTGGCAGTGGCAATCCAGCATTTCAGAAAAGAGTCATTTACTTTGCTACATGGAGGTGCCAGGGATTGAAACAGGAACTTTCATGATACAAGGCATGAACTCTACCCATGGGCAGATGCCACTCTCACTAATCTGCAACAAGGGATAGAACTGACTTACCTTGCAAGGCTGGAAGGATTGCTGAGAGAGCTTCGAACATGCTATAAAGTATTTATTTTTTTACTTAAGTATATGACTAGCATCCAAGAGCCACTTTCAGCACTGCCGCAATCATAGAGCAAAGGCAAATAAACTGCCACACACCTTTTGGAGTTCCCCCAGCAGCTTTTCATTGTGCAAGCAAACACGTTAATGATGCGGTGGAACGGTGAGCCTTCAAGGGGGCAATAGATCTGAACAATGTGTGCCAAGCCAGCCTTGCAAACCTCACAGGCAGGATGAACCAGAGTGACTGAAGGGACACAGTCCTAGGGTAAAAAAGGAAAAAGAAGTAGATTATTTTAAAATTGTGTTTTCAACAAAAAGACCCTCCCAAAAGTGGCGCAGATTTGGCATTGGCATTGCAGCACTTGTCCCTTAAAACTACTTTCTGATCTGCAGCACTCCCTTGTTCTACTCATCACAACAACCCATTAATAAAAATGAGTATGGTGGTGGTTCAGCAATTATGCCACATATGTCTTTTTCAGATATCATAATAAGCCACAGTTTGTCTCAAAACAAGCCACTTGGATCACCATTATGACGTGACATGTAACCTGAAGCTTATGCTTCATTTCAGAGTGAAGTTTTGTTTTCAGTTTTATTTCTGGCTAACCCGTTATGGTTTAACAAACAAACTATACCGTATTTTTCGCCCTATAGGACGCACTTTTTCCCCTCCAAAAATGAAGGGGAAATGTGTGTGCGTCCTATGGGGCAAATGCAGGCTTTTGCTGAAGCCTGGAGAGCGAGAGGGGTCGGTGCGCACCGACGCCTCTCGCTCTCCAGGCTTCAGGAAGCTATCCGCAAGCCTTGGGAGCCCGGTGGGAGTGCCCGCTGGGCTCCCAAGGCTTGCGGGCAGCAGCCTGCAGCCCAAAGCACGGGGTGCGCTGCGGAGCACGCCCCGTGCTTCGGGCAGATGTCCGCAAGCCTTGCGCGCCCGGCGGGAGGCTTGCGGGCAGCAGCCTGTTCTGGGGGGGGGGGGGAATAATTTTTTTCCCTTTATCCCCCCCCCAATCTAGGTGTGTCCTATGGGCCGGTGCGTCCTATAGGGCGAAAAATACGGTAGTTTAGGTTCAGACAACATGACAAGTTGCACTGTGGTTTGCTTGAGCTGCACAGTACATGTGGGGTTGGCCAGCAGGGAGACAAGAACTGTGTGGTGACCTGTGTAGCAGTGAGGAGGCACATTTATGATTAAATCATGGTCTAAGATTAAATCAGGATTTAAAACGGTCTAATATGAACTGTGTCCTATTGTAGCATACAAACCAGTCCATCAGGTGGCAGTGGCCACCGGTTTAGATGGCTTTTAAAGGGAGAATAGGCAGCTTCATGAGGAATGAGACATCTACCAATGGCTACCAGTCATTCTACAGAGTCTTTAACCAAAATGCTCAAGGGGGTGCAAAGACTTATGAAAAAGGATGCAGAGACTGGAACTTTTCAGTTTAGAGCAAAGGCAACTAAGAGGTGACATGATACAAGTTTATAAAATTATACTTGGCATAGAGAAAGTGGATAGAGAAAAGTTTTTCTCCCTGTCTAATCACACTAGAACTTACGGACATCCAATGAAGCTGGATGTTGGAAGATTCAGGACAGATAAAAGTATGCACTTCTTCATACAGCACAGAGTTCAAACTATAGAACTTGCTCTTACAGGAGGCAATGATGGCCACCAAGTTGGATGACTTTAAAAGAGGATTAGACAAATTCATGGAGGAAGGGGCTATCGATGGGTACTACTTGTGATGGCTATGCTCTGCCTCTACGCTTAAGAGGTAACAATGCTTCTGAAAAACAAATGCTGGCATCTACTGGAGGGGAGAGTGCTTTTGTGCTCAAGTATAAATAGCAGTTAGCAAGGGAACAACAGGAGCAAACGGCCATCGCCTTCATGCTCTGCTTGGAGGATTCATGGGGGAGTAGGAGTCAGAAGGCCTCTTTGGCACAACCCAGCTTTGGGTTCTTATCCCATTACTCTATTCAAGGAAGTGAAACACAGAAAGCTGCTTTGCAGAGCCCGCCCAGGAACACAGGTGTTACTTTCCAGGGAGACTCAGCGTAAGAGATGCCGGGGACTGAAGGTGGGACCATATTTAGGGTACGAAGAGCATAAGCTATATAGAGCCCTTCCCTTCAGAAATCTGACTTTCGGACTGCGGTTTAAAGCCCAAGCAACGTCGTCCACAGCTGGTTGCACAGCCACTGAATGGCTTTGCAGCAGACGCTTCCGTGCCACCTCCGAGTCTTTTTTCAGCAGCGATTCCGTTTTTTTGCCACAGCTACCCTACCTGCGGGTTCCTGGACTCACACCGGGCTTTACTTCCGAGTAAACCCGCATAAACTCGGGCTGAGAACCGAGGTGAAGGGACGATTTTTGGGACTTTTTTTGGAAAGAGGTGGGGGGAGGCGGTTTCTCTCCCCCCCCCTCCGCCAAAGGCACCAAGGAGGCTCAGAAAGGGCCCTACGCCCAGTCCCTGCCACGCAGCCCGCCGCCGCCTCCTCACCGCAGAGCCGCCCACTTTGCTCGCCGCCCCGTGGAGCTGAAGGAGGCCGCCCTGGCAGGAGCCCGTCGGCGGCACAGCGGCATCGCGCAGGCCCAGGAGCACCGGAGGAGCAGGCGGAGAAGCAGCGCCAGCCGCCATGGGCAGAGCGACGGGGCAGCCCGGTCCTCGGCGTGACAAACACGTGGGGCCCGGGGGAAGCCCGGAAGCCGCGGCGGACGACGTCAGAGTTTACGTGCATAAGGCAGCCGACGTGCGCCAAAGCTCTTCAGTTCGCGAAAGCCTCCTGCGCAAGGAGGATGGGAGGGGGTTGAGCAGGGGGAGAGGAAAGTAGGTCGAGCTCCGGGCAGACCAGGATGGACGGGTGGGGGAATGGGCATCGCCTGTGGGGCTTCCTGCCTCCACTGGACTCTCATTCCCAGCACCCCTTGCCATAGAGCTTCAGTCCAGCTGTCTTGGGAAGGCCACATAGCTAGTTCGCCAACCCGTCGCTAGGAGCAAAACACCGGGGGACGCTATATCCTTTTTTTACTGCATGCATTTACAGTATACATATCCTATTTATCCAAGCGTTCAGGGTGGCGCACACGGTCCCCACTCCCATTTAACTCTTGGGTGGCACAAGCTTTTAAATAGCTAAAAGATAAGACACTGAAGGGCACCAGGTTACAGAAGGCTGACGAAATCACTAGTTAGGATAAGCTGTATTCTTTAATAGCGCAAGATCTTAGCTATTCTTAACAAAACTAAAAACCGCGTGCACACGTGGAATTTATGAGTGCTGTTAAAATGTGCTTTCATTCCCCTTTTCTTCTTAATTAGTGATCTTTAGTGACTTCTGGGGCAGTCCTTCCATTCTGAGAGGAACGAAGGTTGCTAGACAAAAAGCAGCCCACGCTGAGTGTTCTGGTACTAGCTTAGTGCCATTTTCATATTTATTTAAACCAAGTTTACCGTTTTCAAATGTATGAATTTGCTGGACAATCATATATTCCAATTCGCTTCTCCAATGACTAAAAGGTACTGAATGACAGTTACACAGGGCTCTTTCTGAAACCTACTCCCTTTTGCCTCCTCCCCCATTCTTTACCCTTTGCCATCTAAATGAAATTAAATCAATGACCACCAGTTATTCACCCCAGCCTTAATGCATCATTAAAAACCTGTGACCAGGCACCCACAGATCTTATTCTACTATAGAATATGTGTGCTGATAGAGAAGGCATATACATAAGCAGAGATACTAAGCAATACCACTTAAATGAAGGTCAGAGGCTTCCACCCCAGGCCTCATTTGGAAATAAGCCCCGATGAAGAACATGTAACATAATTCTGAATAAATATGTGTAAGGTTGGATTGTCATTACTGTCTGGAGATTTTCAGAAGGAAGGGATGCTAATTACTAGGCAAAACTGTGTTTTTCCATGAGATAGAAAATAAATGTCCAGGCTCTTTCCATAAATATTAATAATTTCAAAGTGAACAAGCTGCAGAATTCAGGTTCATGCTGGGCATTAAAAGGACTGTGGATCATCCCAGTGAAATAAAAGATGGCAAAACTTTTCTAGTTTGTGATGACCCTGAGTTCCTGCCCCTCTGTACCAAGCTTTAATTAAAAACACGTACTATCTCCCCCCATTCTTTCCTTACAAAAAGTGCATTTAGTAAGTTTGCAAGAGGTTGCAAATTCAAATTTAAATCATGTATGTATTCAGATGTCATTTAAAACCATATTAATTTTATGAGAAAAATATATAGCTAAAATCTTTTAAAATTCCAATTTGCTAAAAAATATATATTTTTATCTATCGCAATTATAAGCCCTGCCAATTTATTTCCAGAGTTGAAAGGTTACAGTATGATGAAAGAGAACACTTAAAGGAAATTACAGGGTTTATCCCATACACTGGCACAATACTAAACAATGGACTCAAAATCAGCGCCATTAAATTGTATCCCCCCCAATAACCCTATTCAGGGCAGGTTTACAAAACAAGGATAAAGCTAGAAAAAACTTTCACAAAGACAGTTTTTATTGAACTGTTTTATTCTGGCTCAAAATAAAAGCCCCATTTTTCTGTAGCAAGGTACACTGAAGGTATGTCATGCTGCCGTTCACTGGGGTAAAAACACACCCCAACTAGTAAACCCAAAGGATTGGTAGATAAGACAAATTCATACCTTCACAGAATGTCTCATTGGTATTTACAATGTATCTGGTTTAAATAAACTTGGGACACCTCATACAGTATACATACTTATTGCGACATTACAGCACTTGCCTTTTGTCTAAAAAAAAAATCAAAACTGCTCAGTATCATGATTTGTGGATCCCAAAAAGGCATTGTTGTTAACATGCAAAATAGTACTAAACAATAGTATCTAACTTCTACTGCTTCCAAATACTTGACCTCATAAGTAAACCAATTACAAAATACTTCCTTATAGTGCTATACAAAAAGATATAAAATTATGATTCTATCACTTAAATATTCCCATTTTCTGACAGTGCAGTTATCCACATTTTATCACTACTGAACATAAAGGAGAAACAAAAGAAGATCAGCAAATTAGGTAAAAATTGTTTAATCTTTGGATCCCTTTATTCCTGTGGCTTTCATACACACATACAAAATACAAGTTACCAAATTACTGTTTCTAATTATAACTTAATGTCAAAAAAGTCATAACTAGTATTTCAGAATTGGCAAAAGTTTACTCCATACCAAATCACTGTTGGGATAAGAATAAGCAGTCAATGTCTCCAAGCTACAGTTCATCAAAACTCAAGCAATTGCAAACACTAAATAGTCACTTTTAAATTGAGTATGTCAACATTAAAACAGAGTCAACATTTCAAGAATCAACACATGGAGACATGTCATTTTTATTCCGGGCACATCAAAGGAAACATAAGAACTTGTGTGTGCCTGGGTCATTTTTACTTCAAGAGTTATCACTAATATGAACTGTGAATTGTGACATGAGTGTTGAGGTTTGTCTTCATTTGAAAAAAGCCCATTAATCTGGTCAAATCCTGCAATATGCCAAAACCTACAAAATGAATTTCTTGCAAGAGAATTATTTTATCCAGTTTTTATATAATGGAAGAACATCTAAAATGTTTATTTTTAGTCAAAATATAAAAATCAAACAAGTTTAAAGCTGAACAGCTATGAGGAACTGCCCCTGCAAAACAACTAATGTGTGTGGTGTGTTTGTGTTTTAGCATTTCAACCCAGCAGGTTTGTAGACTTAAAAATGTTTATTCTTAAAAAATTAGTTGCTTTTATACAGCTATACAAAGTCTTTAGTGTTTCTTTGGCAATGGGATAATCATGGAATTTTACAACTATAAAAAGTTTTCCTTTGCCTAAGAAACAGGATTTACTGTGTTTACATTGTTTTTGACTGACAAAAATCAAGTTTTCTATTGCCCAGCACCCTATTTGACAAAGAGCACAACCATCTCAAAAGGGAGATTAAAGGATTTCCAAAAACAACCTTCACTGGCTCAACACACTCACAGTACTGACGGCCTTCTGCATACAATTGTCTTTGCAGCCTGCAGTAGTAATCAAATACAATTTGATAAATTCTTTTTGTGATGAAAAAAATACTTAAAAACTCCACTGAAGTACTGCTTTATATTTTAACTCTATGTAAGAAATTACTTAAGTCTTCTATCTCAAATATATTTAATGCTCATTGTTTTTGAAGATGGCCATTTTTTCTCCAAAAAGAGTTCTGCTCCATACCCCTTTGAAATTAAAAACAAACCCCAGTGCTGGTGACGAGTTTTACAGCAAATTAACAATTCTTTGCAAAGACTGACACATTCTCTGGATCATGAAGATCTACAGGTCCACCTGCGTTCAACTTCAGCTATGCAGCAACTTTGTTGTCTTTCTAAAAAAAGAAAAAAGAAAAAAATTACTTCCCAACCAATGCCAGTTTAGTCAAATTAATCAAGAACAGTAACAGATAAAAGGCTCAAACTAGAGAAGACAATGTTAACAATATTCAAAATGGGGCCCAAATCTCTCTAGATTGCATCAGTCATAATTCCAGTTAGCAAAGTCAATTCCAAAATGCCTTCTAAAGCTAGAAATCACTGCAAGAATGGCTTACTCTTGTGTGAAGAATCCTCTGTAGCCCAACTCAGCTATAGGGTGCCTCAGGGACCACAGGATCTCAGCTCAATCACAGAGCTCACCTGCAGGAGTGCCACTGGTTGTTCCCCAAGTTGGCAAGGCTCATTTGACAAGAAGAAATCAAGCCTTTAGGGTCATTGGCCCAGAGTTGTGGAATACTCTGCTAATAGAGATTCAGAAGGTGCCTTTTAAACACCTGTTGAAAACTTTTCTGCTTTTCTGTTCTGTCAGGCTTATGCAGGCAGGCAATCAAGAATACATCTTTCCACAATAATAAGTTGATTTCAGAGTTCAACTTTCTTATATGGTTTTTACTGCATATGGGTTTTGCGTACAATTGTTGCACACCACTCTGATATTTTCTTTGAACAGCTGTACATAGTATTTTTTATACATAATTTTTTAAAAAATCCTTCCTCACAAATAACGATAATATGATTGTCCAAAGAAATAAAAATATTGCATTGGAAAGAGAATATACAAGAAAACATTTTATTTTAATGCCTTCAAATATGCTATGCTCGAGAGAACAATTGTTAAAACGTTTCATACTGACAGAAATCTTTGACATGTTAGAACAAGAAACTACGTCTACAGATGTGGCTGCAACTTTTTCTCCCACAACCAAACAAATTAACCAAGGGTGGTTCAATGGCTAGCATGCAGTGTAGAAATTCATACTAAGAATAAAAAAAGGAGGCAAAAAGATATACAAGAAAGTTTTGCCTCATATATACTTTTGTGTAGACTATATAAAAGTGTATTGAGGCATAAAAAGAACTACACTTTAGGTTAACTAAATCTGAATGGCTGCAAAGAAAACTCATGCCCAGTATTTAAGAGATTTTATGAGATGATTTGTTTTTTTGATTCTCTCATCCAGTATTTAACATATGTACTATTATTGCAGTTTTTTCAAGGTTTTTGTCATACTTTTTGTATTTTTAATGAAATAATGAGTGGCTATATCTTGTTCTGATTGTGTGACATTGTAGCTATTTTTATTTCTGGAATTATTGAATGCAGTGCCTATGGCTATAAGCAACAGATATAGGGTGGGAAACTTGTGGCCTTCTTAGGCAGTTATGAACTACAGCTCCCATCATATTGCTGGCTGGGCCTGGAGTTGAAGTACCTCAAGTGAGAAGGCCACCAGTTCCCCATCCCTGCAGCAGAGTTCGTAAGCAATTACCCTATATTCAAAATCCGCAAATTCTCTGCCGCCACGTCCACCTCTGAATCCACCACGAAATCCTCGAGGGGCGCCATAATTTCCTCTTGTGCCTCCACGTCCTCTTCCACCCCGGAAGCCACCAACTCCTCCTCCACCTCCTCTACCTCTGTAGCCCCCCCGGCCACGGTTTGAACGCAATGGAATTCCAAATGTCTCTGCATTTAGTCTTCTTTCTTCAGCCCAGGTTGGTCTTCGGTCTCTGAAACATGCAAGTGACAAGAACACTAACTCCAGATCACTATCATTTTCATCAGAAGGAGTATTGATGCCAAAGACAGTTTGACGTTTTCAAGCTGCTTAGTACGTTAATATGCACACAGTGAAACCGCACAGAAGCATCCCTGTGCAGGAGTGGAATTCCAAACTCCACTTTTGGAACATTTACATTGAGAGCATGGCAAGAGTGAAAAAACAGTTTCTCAAATCAGAACCGAGTTATATCATCCCAATTACCCATTGGCTGCCTGAGTGAAGAATTTCCTGGTTAATGTTACTAGCAGCTGTCAGATTAGTTATCACTTGCCTCATGAGGTCTCCTGATGTTTTACCATGTGCAGCATGGTTCACCACTATCTGGAACATAGCTTTATCAGAATGCTTGACCAGACACAGATGGGTGGCCCGGGGAGCTGCTAAATCTGCTAATTACAATGCCAATTGGTTTCCCTTACATCAGGCACATTCAACCGGTCGATCATGATCTACTGGTAGATCACAGGATAAAATAAATTTGCCAAGGTCTCCCCACCCCAAAATAAAATAAAATAAAATAAGCTCAACTCTTGGCAACGACAATGGGTAGATCAGTGCCAGTTTTTTTATACGGGGAGTAGATTGCAGTCTCTTGGGAGTTGGACGTGCCTGCCTTACATGAACAGGGAGATATCTTCCCATATCCTTCCAGCTTCTCATTTTTTGTTATGGCAGGGGTATTGAAATACAATTTGCTTTCAGTGGAGCAAGAGTGTAATTTGGTACACTTCTTTGCTGTTATTATTTCATTCCGCAACTCTGTATTTCTTTTTCTCTGTTACATGTGGATCCACTGAAGTGGCTCCTACTAAATTAGCTTAGGGAACACCATGTAAAACAGAATCTTTCATGCTTTGGGAGTAATACCAACTCCTCTGCATCCAGTTTAAGTGAAATTAATTACAGGCGATTCCTCTTTATCAAATTACTGATATAGATGCAAATAAAAATGCTGCCTGTTTGATACTTAAGAAGAAATCAAATAGACAAAGTGCGAGACTGGCTCCATTATTTCCAGATAATGGAGGCATTTAAATTGGACAAGAAAATTGGCTTCCAGGTGGAAAGATCAAAATTAGAAACTGAACTGTTAGAACCCAAAACTAAGAATTTGTCAAGAATGTATAACTTGCTGCTGAAATGGAACACTCAGGATGAAACGGTAAAATCGGCTATGATTAAATGGGCACAGGACGTTGGACATAACATTATGTTTGCTGACTGGGAACAGTTGTGGACCACAGGTATGAAGTTCACGGCATGTAATGCCTTAAAAGAGAATATTATGAAAATGATATACAGGTGGTACATAACCCCAGTCAAGCTTGCAAAAATCTATCACTTGCCCGATAATAAATGTTGGAAATGTAAAGAAACTGAAGGTACATTTTTTCACCTTTGGTGGACGTGCCCAAAGATTAAGGCTTTCTGGGAAATGATATATAATGAATTAAAAAGGTATTTAAATATACCTTCCCTAAGAAACCAGAGGCCTTTCTCCTGGGCATAGTCGGCCAAATGGTGTTAAAAAGGATAGAACTTTCTTTATGTATGCAACAACAGCAGCAAGAATACTTATCGCAAAGTATTGGAAGACACAAGAACTTCCCACGCTGGAGGAATGGCAGATGAAACTGATGGACTATATGGAACTGGCGCAAATGACTGGCAGAATCCGTGACCAGGGAGAAGAGGCGATGGAAGAAGATTGGAAGAAATTCAAAGACTACTTACAGAAATATTGCAAAATTAAGGAATGTTAGAGTGATGTTGGATTGAAAATAAGTGGTTTCCAGCTGTACAGGATAAAATTATAAGACAGACTAAGATTAAAGATCAGGATTAAAGAAGTTTAAGGAAACGGAAATTTGGTACTTAAGAGGTAAAATTTTAATGCTATATTACATCAAGATTAAAGATTAGGAGTAAATAAGTTAAAGGAAAGGGAAATTTGGTACTTAGGAGGTAAATTTTTAATGCTATATTACACTAAGAATAAAGATTGGGGTTAAAAAAGTGGAAAAGAAATTGCTGGAGGAACAATTCGGACTGGAATACAAAAGAGGGAGGTATGAGGAAGTCCAGAAAATAAGTAAATTTAAAAAAGGGAAATGAAAAAGTGATATTGTTTTTAATTGTTCTGTTTCTTTTTTTGTTGTTTTTTGTTTTTGTTTTCTTTTTTTGGAATTTGTATTGTGTATTTGTTTTTTATGTTTTTTCTGTTCAACTTTTTATTGAAACTTTAATAAAAATTATTTTAAAAAAAAAGAAGAAGAAATCAAATAGAAAAGTAACAAAAGGTTTACAGCATATCCCCTTTCCTCTATCAATCCAAGGCCAAAATAATCAATTCTTACGGAAGGTTCAACCTTTGCCAAGAGCTTAGATACACCAGAAATGGAAGGGGATATATGATTCCGCAATGTTTTCACTTTTGAACATCCACTGCAAATTTAAAAACACATCTTTACCAACAAATCTGGTCCTTGCAAGATCATGGATTATGGTTTGCTACTTCCTAACAAGCCATCATCAGGAAGCCAATAAACCATGATCCCTGGTTTGAACATACAGTAATGGGAAGTCAAGGCTTCCTGGCTATATGGAAGAAGTGAAGTAGGAGCAACTGGGAGAGTATAATAATATACAATAATAATTTATTATTTATACCCCGCCCACCTGGCTGAGTTTCCCCAGCCACTCTGGGCGGCTCCCAATCGAGTGTTAAAAACAATACAGCACACTTCTCATTCACAGAAGGCCTGGTATATCATTATGCACAAATGCAGCCAGTCTCGACCTCTCTGAACTACAGTGTATCCAACCCTCTTTGAATTACAAAGCTGTTACTTCGTTTCGTTAACAAAGCCAAATATTTTGCATGCAGCAGTAGCAGCATTACATAGGTATAAGGTATAGCGTTTCATTCTGCATTTTAGCATCCATGGATCTTGCCATTTGGAAATTATATTTTCTGCTTGCCCAGTGGATTGCCAAAAAACAAATCAGGTACCTATTGTCATCACAGGAAATGTTATCAAAGAAAGACTTGGTTTTGTCATAATAGCAGTTGGGTCCAAGTGGATCCTCTTCATCTGCATTGCCTTCACTGTTCTGGGTATCAACACCTGAGTCACCTTTATCTTCCCCATTTACAGGCTTCTCTGGTTTATCTTCTAACGAATCCAGGGGGCAGGGGGTGAGAAGAAAGGAAAAGGATAACCTCAGTGAACAATAAATGAAAATGCATCTTCAAAGAAAAGCAGAAAGTGACTTGTGTATAATGCTACCCTAGAAGGATGTTATAGATTAGCACACACAAAAATAGCTTGCCATGAGTTAAGACAACAGCTGTCCCCTCTCTCCCTCTTGGCTATTTTCCTTCCTACTGGTCCTCTCCAACAAACAAGACATTGCTGTAAAAATAGGGAAAAACTGCACTCCCTGTCTGACTTTGGATGACTCAAGTTGTCTTCAAGATGAGAGCAGCACAATTACAGCAACTAAAGAAGTCACAGAAGAGAATGTGGCAAATCACAAAGGGAGTATACTTTTTAAAAGCACTCCTTTAATATCTGTTGCAAAGCCTTCCTTGTAAGACTTTAATGCTGCCAGGAACATCCATACATTAACTTTAAAGAGCGCTGCAAATTTGTCCAAGCAACACTTGATTACATGAATTGTAGGGCTAGCAGCAGAACACACTGCAAAGGGCAGGATTACAGCCCACTGCAGATTGTGCTTTTTTATAATGTCCAGGTAATTTGATGGGGAGCTCAGTACTTCCTATTAAAAATGCAAGATTCTACTCCTTAAAACTGTGAACATATATTAATAATTAATATTGTTATAGTTCTAGACCATCCATCATCCAGAGATAGTGGGGCATCATGCAACATAATATAAAACCATACAATAAAACCACAAAACAAATATTAAAAATAAAAATTGATGTTAAAATAAACTCATAGCTCTAGCAAAGTATGTACAACCTCAGTTTCTTCCAACGGTCTGAGTAAATAAATGCTTCTTTGAAAGGCACCTTAAAAGCAGCACTTATGCTGGAAAGCATAAAGCATCACCAGCTGACTCTCTCCAAGGTCAGAGTGATAACTGTGGACAACTTTCTGTGGCTGAGGTACAGTGACCTATGTAGCATTTTGCCTCTAACCATAGCTAGTAAAATTAGGGCCACAGAAAATAATAAAAATGCAAGGAAAGGCGAAGTTAATCTACAGAATCTATACAAACTGCAGAATTCAGAATTTCCTAGGTTGGGAACAAAAGTTTAATTTCCTAAATATGGAATATACACAGCACTGCTTATCATTCCCTTGCATAACGTTTCTGATCACCTCAGGGAGGAGGAAAAGCAACAGGGAAAAAGGAGGCAACGAATTATACCCATAAACTTTGAATGCATCTAAGTGAAATCTCTCTTTCCATCTGAACCTATACAACTTAACTTCAAAACACTGCAGGATTAGCCTAATTTAACTCTCAACCCCTACAGGAATAAGAACCCTACTCACAACTCCACATAAAATGAAGTATAAGATAGCACAAGTATGAAGGGTTTTTCTTTCCTTTTTTAAGAACTTTGATTAAAGTGTTTGAAACAGAAGTCAGATTTCCAAATTACATCTAGTTTCCATTAACTACCAGTCATTTAGATCCCGTGTCTATAGAAGGCTCAGGTTTACCTGTAGTTGACAAGACAGTCATTATTCCCTTGAAACAGCATTTCAGCTTACCTTTCAGTTTTAGTTTGTTGTGAAATTCGCGATCTATTTCCTCTTTATTGAATTGTGCATTAGCACTTTCAAAGTCAAAGTCCTTCTCAAACTTCATTGGAACATCCCGTCTAATACCAAATCTTCCTCTGCCTCCCCGGTGACCCCCACGGCCCCTTCGTGCTGAAGGTGCACCTGGAACTGGGGAAAAATAGGTTTTGAAGGGACCTATAAACAAAAGACCTGCAGTTTCAGATTTGTTCTTGTAAGCAGCAACATAAAACTACTATACATAGGATGGATGGAGAGTTTTCTGTCTGCCAAGCAGATATGATTACTAGACATCCAGCTGATCAAGATATATCATCTTCCATTGTTACACTTTCCGCCACTATATAGCTTGAAGCCCCATCATATACTTCTCCTAATAACCTAAGAGCAGCTCTGCTGAATCAGGCCAAAGGCTTATCTAGGCCAGCATTCAGTTCCCACACTGTTCAACCATATGCCTCTAAGAAGTCCACAAAACAGGACACAAGTGCAACAGTCCCTTCCTGCTTGTGTCCCCCAGCAACTGCAATTCAAAGGCAGGCTGCCACTAGTACTAAAGCTGCCAATAGCTTTACTCTCCAGGAATTTGTCTAATCCACTTTTAAAGTTGGCAGCTATCACTACATCTTGTGATATAATTCTAGAGTTTGTTTATTTATTAAGCTTATACCCTGCCTTTCTTCCCAAAGGAACCCAGGGCAACATAGTTTTTAACTATACAGTGGTACCTTAGTTTTCGAATGTCTCCGTTTTTTAACATTTCGGTTTTCGAACACGCCTTGGAAGTCGAACATGCCACGTGGCTTCCGTATTGAGGCTTTCATTTTGAGTTTTTGGTTTTTGAACGTTTCAGAACTCAAACAGTCTTCTGAAAAAGATTACGTTCGAAAACCGAGGTACCACTGTACACTGTGTAAAACTAACCCTTTAAAAGGCTCTGACGTCCTGCAACAATCAATCCCACAAGACCAAATCCTTTCTTTTTTTTATTTTAAACCCATTGCTTATCTATTTCGCCAGAGGGTCATAAACATTTGTCACAGTGACTCAGTTCAGAAGTAAATGAAATAATGGTTTCCCATTATGAGAACACATAGCCACAGGTGCTGGGCTTGTGAATGCTGTACCTCACTTATCCCCTGTGCATGAGAAAGGAGGTACTTCTTTTTGCTGTTTGAAACAAATTGCATTATCCTTTTAAGCTCAAGCACAGGAACTGTGGTTTGTTTAGGCCAGTTAATTAGAACATCATTTGATTTTTGTTTTTTTCCCAACTAACTGCAGTTTGAACTAGTTTCCTATATTTGCGTCTGGTTCAACAAAAGTGACTTTTAAAAAGCACTAGAGTTTTTATCCTTTCCAAAAATGAATTCAGTTTACCCATTTGACGTTTGTTTTCATTTCTCAGATGCTCTGCTTCAGATCTTGAAATCTTATGTGCTTCAGCTAAGAACAAAGAATGCAAAGAACATTTTGTTATTTTTCATTTTCTGTATACTAACTGCAAGGAAAAAATCTCTAAGGGCTGCATCAGGGCAGTACTGCCCTCTGAGAAGAGTGTGTGTGTGGGGGGGGAACCCCACAAGTTAACCCTGCTTGCCAAGCAAGCGGAGACTCCTATGCTGACAGAAATATCTCCCCAACCCACAACAGAAGCATTCAGGCATAAGCCTCACCTTACTGCAAGCCATGCCATTTTACTGCAGGGTATTCTCGGTAGTGGCGCCCACCCTGTGGAACGCCCTCCCACCAGATGTCAAAGAGAACAACAACTACCAAACTTTTAGAAGACATCTGAAGGTAGCCCTGTTTAGGGAAGCTTTTAATGTTTGATGTATTATTGTATTTTAATATTTGGTTGGAAGCCGCCCAGAGTGGCTGGGGAAGCCCAGCCAGATGGGCAGGGTATAAATAATAAATTATTATTATTATTATTATTATTATTATTATTATTATTATGCTTCATGACTCACAAATTTGTCCAAACTCAAGACACTGAACTTTTAAAATAGACATATGGGTTTCAAACTTTGAATCCAAACTTTGACAAAAGCAATTGCTAAGCCACTTGCAAAGAACAGCTTTTTCACTTTGGCAACAAGTATCAACACAGCTTAAAATAATCAAGGTCCAAAGGCCAAGTTCTACCTCTTCTGTGCTCCTGATTTTCCAATGATTTTTGACTAGCAGACCCTTGAGGTCTGGCTGAAACAGGACTCCTTCTCCCAACTGGTGCTGAAGCAGATAAGTGGGTTCCTGCTGTTTGTACTGCCTGCTCCAGGGTTGGGCTCTTTCTCAAATGGTCTAACGAAGGACTTGAGCGACCTGAAACAGAAATGACAACATCTTATGCCCAACCTTAGCGTAAGTATTACTTTGAAGTCAATTATCTGCTTTCCCTAGTCAAGACAACTATGTCCAAACAGGAAATGTTTTTGCAACTTTAGCTCCACTAACCCAAGACTTAGGTCACATATATACATTGATTCTCCCTCAATTTTCAAAGGAAAAACAGGGTGAGATAGCTCATCTTTACCAATGCAGTTATTAGCAAATGTCTGTCACCTAGAACTGCAGCTACTCCCTTAGATGCCATGATTTCTTAAAATAAAATAAGCACTAACAGTGAGTAGTATGGATGCAGAAAAAATAGACACTGAAATAGTATCTAATTTAGCTGTTTAGGTGAGGTAGATCTTTTTATTTATCGGCTTCAGTCCAAGAGTCAGTGGCCCAGTTTGGATGCCACTACAAACCATGTTTAACGGCTTGTTATTAATGCAGACAATGTTCCTCCCTAGCCAAGGCAAGCCATAATCTCTGGCTCTGCTCTAGGTTCATAGCTTGCAAACCAAAAAACAAACACTGGCTTCACATAGTCTGTTTGGAAGAAAAATCACAATGATCCCCAGGGGTTGAGATTTGTTGTCCCCACTAGCAGAATACACCTAAAAGATTATTCAAGCAACTTCGAACACAAGCTCACTTTCAGTTATAGGAGACAAGGCTAACTCTGCACAAAGAAGCAGAAGAGTGGTTCACATGCCATGCTAAATCATGGCTTAGCAATACATCCATGAGCAGGAAGGTGTTGCCATGAGTCTTTGGCTAGTGCATTCCTCCTGTGCCATGTTTGCATATCACACTAACAAGGGTTCATCACAACAGGCTCAACAAACTGAAGTATCGCATGTGGTCTCCTTATCCTTCATGCTACAGGGAGGACTTTGTAAGCTCCCCTCCCCACGCTTTTCTTGAATCTCATGGTTTCAGAAGTTGGCTTGCTCCAACCAATTAGTTTTTTTATAAATCACAATACCTGGTTTGGGAAACACAATAAAGCAGTGATTCAAGGAAAGCTGAATTAAAAGCTACCAAGTCTTCCTTCTTGCAACATGGTAGGAAAGGTGAAGAGGCAGCACAAGAAACTGGGGTTCATTACAGCTAATGCATGTTGTGGTAAACCAGAAAAAAAGAATATATTTCACAATTGAACAACACACTATGGCAATGCATTCACCTTCTTAATCAAAAAGATCAAGAATCTGACTGACACCACCAGCCTTTACCTTGTGAGAGCTGTGTTTTTAATGACCTTGCATCAGTTGTAAAAGTGGAACCAACTGCGCTGCTTTGGGACAAGTTAGCATTGGCTGAAGTTTCAGTTCCAAAAGATGTCAGTGAACTTCCTGCATGAAGTCAGAAAATAGATGTCAAGCCCCTGTGGTGCAAGGCTACGCTTGCAGCACTGTCAATGAACTTCAATGTACCAAAATGTGCAGCTACCCTGTTTTGCCTCAAGCAGCTCTAACCATTATACAAGGATTCTGAGAGTTCTCCATTAGTGACCCGTAGCCACTACTACCAAGTACTCCTCAGGAAAAGCTGCATGGTTCTAAAAATGTCGAGTCTTTGTAAGGCTAAGGGGGCTAACCATTTAAATTGCCACTCTTAGACTAAAGCTAACTGACCCAAATGTTAACCACCTCATGTGACAAATAAAAGATGAAAAATTTTATTAAAGCAGCTAAGAAATACCAAAACCACTTCTCAAAAGCTACAAACAATTATGTGATCATGTCTGTGCTAATTTTCTGAATAAACAAAAGTGTTTTATTAACAACAGAAATCTGCAGAGATGTCAAAGTATATGCAGAGTAAGTGGTTGAGTATAAGTACAAATACACCTCACTCAGCTGAACCACATGTGAAACATATGGTAACTATTTCAGCTCAGCTGACAAGAAGGCTGCTGTTGGTGAAAGAGACTTGGGATAGATCTCCAAATTCACTTGTGGCCAAAATTTGAGAAGCATGAACTGAAATTAGTTTACTAGTTGCCATCTCCAAAACTGCATTTATAGTTGGCAAAAAGTTCTCAATGGAAGTACAATATTAAATAAATTATATTCACAAACTAGCTATGGCAGTCTGTCTCAAGATATTTTTACTGTTTTTAAACAATCCATTTATCTTGCTATTAGGCCCTTGTTTTATTCTTCTCCTTTATGTTATTACTGCAATCAGACAGCAAAGTGAGCCAGTGTACCTATTCACGTATTCCCTACAGATAACATCAAGCTAATAAGACTGTTAAACTTGGGCTGCTCTTCTCCCTCAAAGCTATTTGAAAGTAATCTTTGATCTATTTATTCTAATGTGGTATCTCTCTAAACATATACACTGCACATAAAGTTGTTTCAAGAAAGATTAGAGGAGACCATCATCAGCAATATGCTATGATTAACTATAAAATTTTAACTTCCTAAAGCTATAACCCAGATAACCTCTCCCATAGTCATGGAGCACACTTTAAAGTCTTACTAGGTTCACACCACAGCTTAGCAACTTCTGAACAAAACCACTTTACAAACTGGAACCTGATGGTGAGATGTCCAGTGACATGCCTGGTCCCACAGGACAATGCTTACTAGACAAAACTAGTAAAGAGAAAGCAGAATGTTCACAATACTCAGATGTTTACAATTTATTGGATTTGGCCAGAGTCCAATATTTATAAATGTGGAAAAGTGAACCTGACAGTGTAGTTTTACTTTTGCTTACAGCTATATCCCCACTTAGACGGGGGTTAAGTTCGCAGGGACCGTGCATATACGTGAAATTGTGTACAGTGGGTAACACCATCTAAAAAGCTTGTAATCACCTCTCTGCTAAAAATGCTCTCTCCAAACCTCCCTCTCAAACGCCAACTCCCCACAAGCCTCAAAGTTCAGTGCAAAGGCTACTGGGATTACTAGCCGTTTTCCTGCTCTTCTTGTGACATTTTTGCAGTTTTCTCATTCTTTTTGTGATGTTTTTGCTCTTTTCATACTCTTTTGCAGTTTAAATCAATGTATTTAATTATTTCCTGGCGCCACACATATATGCCAATGTGCATGAGTCGAACACACATAAGTGGGGAGACACCTATACTATTTTCACACTGGGCATCTAGAAAATTTCAGTCCATCCAAGAATGAAGCAGATATGCTCTTGCCTCCCACCATCTTTCCACCAAAGATGCTTTAAACACAGTAAACCAAGAATCTCAGCACACAGTCCCCCATCCAATTTGAAACTAAACTAGATCCTGCTTAGCTTTGCAAATGTGCTAGCAGTTTAGTACGCTTTAAGGATTGCAGTTTTTGCTCCTGAGCATCAGCTGCCACTGGTTTGAACTACATCAAGCTGCACAACGGAGATGAACTCACATATGTCCCAATGTTGCTCCTACAGGTAACCCCTTTTATCTTCATTGTAAACAAGATTCCAAGTACCCCAAAGAACTGCCATCAACTATGACAGTCTTATAAAGCAGATCTTCCAAAATGAAAACATTTACCAAAATGGATTTAACATGGACTACTGTGTGCCTACTTGGCCACAAATGTGTCCTGCACAAGAGGAAAGAAAATAGCAGCAGCCAAAGAACACACTGTCCACATTAGTGAAGCTTGCAAAGGAGAAATTATTGAGGGGTAGGTAGGAGGGTGGCCTGGGGAATGTGGCCTTCTTGGGTGAACATGCTTTCATTAGATCAACTCAGTAAATGTGAATTTTACCCTATGGGGTGGGAACAGTATATACTTGAAAATATTTTAACATTTATATGCTTGCCAAGAAAAGAAGTTTAAAATGCAAACATACCAACACCAACAGCACCAAATTGCTGGCCCACTAATGGACTTGGACTAAACTGGCTGTAGGCTGGCATTCTGCCAAAAGGACCGTAGGAACCAACAGATTGGAATGAAGAAGTAGAAGACGATCCTAGAGAGGACTAAAGAAAACCACATTCATGGAAGACTATCAAAGCAGAAAAAAACAATTATCATGCTGCATAAAGTTAGCAATAAAATCAGAGTACAAGACCCTTTCTTGAACTGGGTTGCATTAGGAAGTGAGAAATACAACACATTCCAACTGGTGTAAGCAAATGAATTTATTTACCAAATGTGTGCTTATTTTCCAGATAACATAGCCATTTAAATACTCAGAATGGCATGGATCATCCAAAATGAAATAACTAGTTCTGCTGGTCACTTCACTGCGAGAAGTGAAGTTACAGGGAACCAGGCAGAGGGCCTTCTCAGTAGTGGCACCCTCCCTGTGGAACACCCTCCCATCAGATGTCAAGGAAATAAACAACTACCTGACTTTTAGAAGACATCTGAAGGCAACCCTGTTTAGGGAAGTTTTTAAGGATTGATGTTTTAATTATGTTTTTAGTTATGTTGTAAGCTGCCCAGAGTGGCTGGGGAAACCCAGCCAGATGGGCAGGGTATAAGTAATAATAATAATAATAATAATAATAATAATACCTCTGTAGTGTATGCTTGATGCAATGGCAAAAATCAAAGACAGACTGCTGCTTATTATTAATAAGTAATATTTATACCCCACCCATCTGGCTGGTGTTTTTACTGAAAACACGATTGGAACCTATCCTATTAGAAATATGGGCTAAAAGTTCTAGGTAGTGTAAATGATTGTGCTGTACAACAGTTTGTCATGGAAACAATCAGAAAGGTAGCAAACTCTGGACTTAAGTGGCACCCGGGACATGTTGCAAAATGAAACTGTTGTTGAACTGACTGCTATAAAATTCAACAGGTGAACAATTGCCAATAAATTCAAACACAGTCGCATTTGACTTTAAAAGAGGAAGCTTCCCCAAAATGAGGGGGCTGGTAAAAAGGAAGTAGAAAGGGAAAATGAAGAGGCTTAATAGAAGCTGAGATAAAATGTATACTGCAGACCAGGGAAGATACAACCAGGGCCAAAAGGATGGCAGCGTGTTTAACAGAGTCAAGGAACCTATTGGAGACAAGAAAGCTTCCTTCAGAAAATGAAGGGTCTTGTTCAAATTTGGAGAACAACAAAAATAATACAAAGGCTGGCAAAAGAGAAGAAAAAAAAACTTGAGCCTGTCTCTTTAAAAACTTACAGGCAATGACAATGTTTTGTGTGCGTCCAATTGTTGTGTGACCACTGATGCACAGCTCCTTTAGCACCCAGAAGAGGGCTCAACAGGGATGGGCCAGAATGGGCTTATGTGCACTCCGCTGATGCACACGGGGGCTAGGAACAGAACCCCCATGCAAAATGGTTGTCATCTGTACAATCACCAACAACACATCATTTACATACATTAGAAGAGACCAGCTGGGAGGCAGCTGGACAGCTGGATAACAAGCAAGTCAAATATGTGCTCAAGGAGTTTGGCAGAGAAACTCAACAAATTCTTTGCATCTGTATTCATAGCAGAAGATGTAGGCCAATCCCTGTGCCTGAACGAAACTTTCTCAAAAAAGGAGTCTAAGGAACTGAGGAAAAGAGTAGTGAAAAGAGATAAAATTATAGGGCTTGAAAAATTAAAACTGAGAAAATACCAGATCAGGACAGGATCTTCCCAAGAGCTACAAGTTTCATATTTTGGTTAGAAGATCATCAGTTTCAATCTTGAGTTATTTATTACCTTGAGGACTGGAAAGTGAGCAATATAACAAATTTTAAAACGGGATTCAGAAGGGATCTAGGAAATTATAGACTGGTTAGCATGTCTGTTCTAGGAAAATTGTTGGAAAGCATTATAAAAGATAGAATTACCAAGAATATCAAAGAACAGGTCTTGCTGAAGAACCAGCATGGCTTCTGCAAGAGTAGGTTCTGTCTCATTAACCTATTAAGATTTCATTCAGGGAGTCAACAAGCATATAGGGGTGATCCAATTAATGTTTTGTATTTAGACTTTCAAAAAGCTTTTGATTAAGTCCTTCACCAAAGGCTCCTGAGTAAGCTTAGCAATCATAAAATTGGAGGCGAGGTCCTCTTATGGATGAGTAACTAGCAAGAATAAATGGACAGTTCTGTCAATGGACAGATGTAGAAAGTAGAATCCCCCAAGGACTGGTATTGGGATCTGTGCATTTTAACTTGTCCCTAAATGATCTGGAGTAGGGGTAAGCAGTGGCATAGCTAAGTTTGCAGATGGTACCAAATTGGGGGTTAAAACAAAACGGGATCAGGAATTGCTTCAAAAGGAATTCACTCCAAATTGGGTGAATAGGCAGTAAAATGGCAAATGCAATTCAATGTAAGCAGTGTAAAGTGATGCATATTGGGGCAAAAAAACAACAACAAAAAACAACATCCCCAATTTCCCCCTAATTTAACATATATTCTAATGGTGGTTGAACCATCAGCAACTGACCAGGAATGAGTCCTTGGAGTCATAGTGGATAGTGATGAAGATGTTGACCCAGTGTGCAGCTGTGATAAAGGTGAATTTTTATGCTAGGGATCATTAGGAATTGAAAATAGAACTGTCAAGATCATAATGCTGCTATACAAATCTATTGTGAGATTGCACTTGGAATACTGCATATGGTTCTAGTTGCCATACCTCAAAAAGGGTAGTGTAGAGCTGGAAAAGTTTCAGAAAAGGGCAATCAAAATGATTAAGAGGCCAAAGCAACTTTCCTGATGAAAGATTGCAACATTTGGGTCTTTTGAGCACAGAAAAAAGGTAAGAGGGGACATGACAGAAATGTGTAAGATCATGTATAATTTGGACATAGTATGACTGTGCAAGTTATGGAGAAAGTATGAGAAGCTTTTATCCCGCTTTCATAATACTAGAACCTGGAACCATTCAAAGAAACTGAAGGCTGGAAGTTTCAGGAGAGACAGAAGAAAGTACTTGTTCACATAGGGGCTAGTTAAACAATGGAATTCACTCCCACAAGAAATAGTGATGGCCATCAATTTATATGGCTTTAAGAGAGGATTAGGGAAATTCATAGTGAATAAGGCAATCAATAGCTGCTAGAGATGCCAGCGATGGAGGTAATAAGCTACTAAATTCCAGCTGCTGGGAATCACAACTGGGAGAGTGCTGTTGCGCTCAGGTGCTGTTTGCAGGCCTCTAAGTGGGAAATCTGGTTTGCCACTGTGGGAAAAGGATGCTGGACTAGATGGGCCTTTGGTTGGATCCAGCATGGCTCTTCTTATGTTAATATACATTTTGTCATTAATAACTTTGTGGAAAATCTCTTGAACACATATAAATAACTTTTTTCCCTAAACAATATAAGATGATCCAGATCATACAGTTTCAGGTATATACACACCAAAACTGATCACAGTGTATAACTAGACATAGCTAAAGCTACAACTGCTACATGGTGACTATACCTGAACGATAGCGGGATCCTGGGGCAGAGAACACTGTGGTTTGGGTGGTTCACAAACGGTTAAATCCTTGATATCACTGCCACGGAATATAATGTATTCAAATACTTCGTCACGAGGTGGTATAGGCCGATCAGTCGGTCTATCTTCTGTACCAAAAGAACGAACTGCAGGAAAAAACAAACAAATTTTATCATGTATCATCCAATACTTTCTCATAATATTTACACATAGACAAACAAAAAAACTTGCATCAGTTTGGTCTAACGCATCATGTGACAAAGTGCAGCTGAATATTCATTAGGTTCACTACACTGACACTTTCAAAAGAGCACTCCCCCCCCCCCCAGTCAGCTGAATTCATTCAGATCAAGTCTATTTGCATTAAAAGGTCAGCAAGTCATTTTTCTTGATTTACTTAATACAAGCTTACACAAAAGCAGGCAATCTGTAAATTCCCTGGGTGATCGTCTGAAGGCACTGTTTTGCATGGTAGCCTAAATAATGCAGAATGGGCAGCGGCTTGGCCAGAAAAGGAGGGGGCAGAGAAAGGGGCATCTGGCGAAGTTAGTTACTAAAGTTACTATGGCAAGGTGTGTTGAGGAGAAGCAGAGCCTGAATTAGGAAGGAGTCATAGTTCAGTGGTAGGCACACACACACAAGCAAAGGAAGTCATCTTGGCCCATAAGAAAAATGGAAAGCTTTGCAGGTTTAATTTCAATGAGTTCTATGCTGAGGTAGGGCTGGATGGAATAATGCATAAAGGACGGAGGCATACATAAGGTTAAGCATAATGAGGTGAAAAGGATCATAATGAACGAGGGACAATCTTAAGAATTTCTAGTTCATGTGCCTTGTAAGCAGTACTGAAGTGCAGAAGCAAGAAAATAGACAAGGAAAATAGAAATAAAACACTTTGTTCACAAATGAGATGAAAATGTATGAGGCTCAGTTTGATTTGTTTGAAATGAAGATACAAAAAAAAGGACTTCTATGCATTTTTACCTTTTGGCTAAGATTATGTGCAGTGTCTAAGAAAAATGTTAAGGTGTATTAGATACTGCATAACAATCTTAACTTAACAAAAGTAGACCACATTTCTCATTTCTGCCAAATACTTCTTTGAATACACAGGTAACTTACAAGTAATGTGGATGGAACTTGTGCACATTCAGCTTTACATGCTTGGCATTTTTTTTAATTAAAAAGAAAGCAGACTTCTGTGAAAAAAGTCTTTGGTAATCCCACCCACCACTGAATCCAGTGTGTTTTGACTCTATGCAATTTTGGCTTTACATCAGGCTCCCTCAACTTCGGCCCTCCAGATGTTTTGAGACTAAAATTCCCAGCATCCCTGACCACTGGTCCTGCTAGCTAGGGATCATGGGAGTTGTAGGCCAAAAAATTGGTTTTGGTTTCCTTCTTTTTGTCAAACTATGTGAAACCTATGGTGTTTGAATTTAAATAGCTGGCACCAAGGGACCCTCCCCCCCACTTCTCTCCTGGAAGATGTCTGCACATTCTTAGTTGAAAACAATATGCATAAAATTATACAGTCTTCTTAGGGCAGGGCGCTAACCTGTGGCCCTCCAGATGTTGCATTCAGAGTCTCATCAGCCTCAGCCAGCAGGGTTAGTGGTTGGGAATGATGTGAGTTGTAGAAATATCTGGGTGCACATGTGCATCACCTTGTATTGCAGTAAAAATAGTCAACAAGAATGCTCCAAGCACGTTTATGGAAACACATGTAGCAGAACAAGGTGGAACCAAAGTGGTAAGAGTTCTGAGGTGGCATAATGGGCAGTAAGACTTCAGCATGGCAGTGTAAGATAAATGACACTTTTAAAAAATGCTCCCTGATGTACTGTTAATGAGGCAGTTTTAAAAGTATAAGGGAGAGGCAAAGGGAGTTTTAGCACACAGTACGTATTCTTTTCACTGGGATGATTTCACTTGGATGAATATATATACAGTATATTCCCTGAGGTGTACTCCTGTAGCAGAACTTAAACTCAGTTTACTGCCTCATCCAGCTGTATGTGTAACTGAGGTATGTGCCTCAGCAACTTCTGTGGGACTTACTCCCAAAGTATGCCTTGCAATGCAGCTGCTTTTGCCTCATTTGTTTTATTTAGGGCACCCTTCCACAACCTGCTACCCTCTCATTGTTTTGAACTACAGCTCCTGTCAGCCCCAGCCAGTGCAGCTGTGATGAGTCCTACTACCAAAACATCTGGAGATTATACTTGACAAACAGATTAGAGTGGGCGCTGCAATAACATCCAGCAACCCTAACCCTCCTAGGGGATCTTCAACTGAACCTCGCACAACACATCTCTTTATTAAGATAATTCTATAGGCATCTTTGCTTGAATCCTGGTTTGCTTTCCCCCCAACTCTACCCCGCCCTTGTAGAAGTGGTGTGCCTTTACATCTCAACTTACCTTCTCATGACAAACCACCCATCTCTTGTGCGGGAAACCAGTAACCCTCCCTCCCCTGGGTAGTCGATTGAAGCTCGAACAACGAATCTCCAAAGGGAATCTTTATTTAATTCCGTGTTTGCTTGCCTCCAGCTCCGCCTCCACCCCCCGCCTACCTTGCTGGCTTGGCGTGCCTTTTGTATTTCAACTGGGGTCCCCGAAACCGACCACCCACTTCCACTGGGGAGAAGTGGGGGCTGAGGCCTCTCCGTGCCCCGCCCCCAACCAACCGCCAAGCAGGCCGAGACCCCCCGCCCCGGCCGCCACCTCCTTTCCGGGCCGCCTTACCCTTCGCGAGAGCCACCGTGGAGTTCTCGGTGTCGATGGTGTAGAGGATGCCCTCATATCGGATCTCGGCCTTGGAGATCAGGCTGATCTTGCTGCCGATATACGGCGTCCCCCCGCTCATGGCGGCGGCTGAAGCAGAGGCCCGGCTCGAGGCTTCCTCACGCCCCCCTCTAGCACCCCAGTCGGGTCCGGCTTCGGACGGAGCCTCCGCCGCCTCGCAGCCGCCGCCGCTCCCTCCTTTTCCCTCACGCCACAGGCCAGGCCGCTTCCCTCTCGCTCTTCCCCTCGCTTGGGCCCGGAAGGCCACTCAGCGCCCTGCCACACAGGCCTCCACTGCTACAGCTGCCCCGACGCTCCCAACATGGCCGCCGCCCGCTCCGTCAAAGCGCCCGACTCGCCTTTCCTCCTCCTCCACCTCCACCAGCTCAGCCGCGAAATGCATGTTGGGAACAAGACGCCAAATCTCGCGATGAAAGCGAAAGCGCGCGAGGCGGCCGGGAGGCTAGAAATGACGCGGGCGGGAGCGAAGGAAGCCTGACTAGGCCGCGCCACAGCAGGACAAGGAGGCTCTGGACGGGGGGGGGGGGGCTTCTTCGCGGTTAACTGAATGGGACAGGGACACTCCTTTGCAGAGGCTCCGCGCTATATTGGAACCTTTCATAGCAGGCCTGTAGGCCTCTCTGAGGATTCTGGACTACAACTCCTATAATCCCTGAGTACGGCTGGGGCGGAGGGGGCTGCTGGGAGTTGGAGTCCAACGCTTAACGATGGCCGATTGGCCTCCGCCCGCCGGGCTGTCATCCCATGAATTCCATCATGCTCAAGTTCCTTCAGAGAGGGGTGACTACAATACCGCACATCGCGGGTGGGGGAACATCTGTGGCCCTCCACTTGTTTAGCAGCTCCCATCAGCCCCTGCAGCCAGCATAGTGAATGGTCAGGGATGATGGGAGCTCAGTCCAGCAACGCCATGAGAGCCATAGTTTCCCCTGCCTTATAGAAACGGAAGAAGAGGCTGCTGCATTAAGACAATGGTCCAACTAGTGCCTGAATGAAAAGCCTGGAAGGAAGATCCAAGTGCAGCAACACCCTCCCTTCCAGCAACTGGTTTTCAGAAGCATTGCTGCCTCACAGCCACCAAGGGTAGTAGCTTTAACCTAAGAACATAAGAAGAGCCTGCGCTATCAGGCCAAAGAAGGCCTATCTAGTCCAGCATCCTGTTCTCACAGTGGCCAGCCAGCTCTCCACAATCAGGACCTGAGTAGAAGAGCAGCACTCTTCCCTCCTGCAGTTTCCAGCAATGGGTGTTCAGAACTTTCACTGCCTCTAACCGTGTAAGCAGAGCAGACCCATCATGCCATATAGACAATACTTGTGAAAGTAAATCTGCCTCTTGTTTGCAACAAATATTTCTTTGTGGGGTGGGGAATGGTTAATATCTCACATTTGATGAAACCCACATGATTCTGCATCTTTAGTGTATTTAGAGCTCACAGCACTGCTGGAGAGTAACAGCTGGGGAAGAAGGTTTTTGCCTTTGAGCTCTGTGGGCTTCCTGTAGCATCTTGTTGTCCAAGTGCTATGGGGAATAGAATGTTGAACTAGATGGATGCTCATTCTGGCTCTGCTTATGTGCACTTGTAATTATATTAACTCAGGAGTAAGCCCTAAGGTTGCTTGTACTTGGGGACAAGTAAACATGCTCAGGACAGGGCTCTTAAAAATTCCCCTTCAGCAAATTTTGCACTGAGCTATTGAAATAAGTGGAATCAACCTCTATAACTTCTTAAAATTTATCTGGATGGCCCCTGAAACCATGTCATGGGCAGAGGTGATGACCTGTTAATATTTCTGCAGCAGGGTCACTGACTCTAGTATCCAAGAGCTGCCCAATTAGCATAAAATAAGAGTCTCATTAGTCTTCTCACTGTTTATACTGATTGGAACCAATCAGAGTAAAACTATTATTGTTGTATAATTATAAGATTATTGTAGAAGTGGATGCGGGTGTGGCTTTCATAAAGGGATCCTGCACTTTGTTACCATGCTATTGCCCACAGGTTCTTGCTTTTAGTTCCTACTTAACAGTGAGTGCGGTCCTATCCTTAAGTTATGCTGGTTGAATTTCTGCTAGATGTCAGTGGAACACCACTGAAGAAGAAGAAGAGGAGTTTGGATTTGATATCCCACTTTATCACTACCCTAAGTAGTGTCTCAAAGCAGCTAACATTATCTTTTCCCTTCCTCCCCCACAACAAGCACTCTGTGAGGTGAGTGGGGCTGAGAGACTTCAAAGAAGTGTGACTAGCCCAAGGTCACCCAGCAGCTGCATGTGGAGGAGCGGAGTCGCAAACCCTGTTCACGAGATTAGGAGACTACCTCTCTTAACCACTACACCACATTGGCACCAGGGGCAAAACCAGTGGGGGATACAGTGAAGAAAGAGCTGATCTGTATTCACAGATGAGTACTTCCCTTCTCCCACTAATAGTGTATCATAAAGAGGTGGTGTAAAATGACACAGTTCCAGTTATCAGAGAGCCCCCAAACTACGACCCCACTGCTCTGCTGGCTGTGGCTGATGGAATTTGTAGTCTAAAACATTTGAAGGACACCATGGCAAAGCTGCTTCACGTGTTGTAAATGTTTAAGAATTTTTAAAGTTTTTGTTTGTAAAAAAACCCTAGAAGAAACATCTTAAATTTGGCTTGTATAACAAAACTTTCATTGTCTGATATCTGTCAAGTGTTGCATGTGGCAAAAAATGACTAATAAATTTAATAATAGACATAAAAATGCTACATATGACTTGCTGTATTTTTTATGAAAGTGCAGTGAATAGAAAATTCAGTCAAGCAACCTATCAATTTTCTTTGCTGAAATTTGCTCCCCCACCCCTAAACCTTTCAGTTGTTTGAGGTCAGATGAAACTGAAAACAGTTCAGTGCCTTTAAAGAAAGGACTTAGCATTAGAACAAGTCTGTGAAAGTTAATGCAAAAGGTGAGCTTTTGAAAGGAAACAATAAAGCAATAAAACGGGAATGAGATGAGTTTATCTCTACCACAGGCAGGGAGGAGAGGAAGGAGCCGAAAGCCTTTTGTGTGTGTCATAGGATCAAAGAAGGTAAAAGATGTAGGAAAGCCATTGAAAAAGTGTGAAAATGTATGCGTTATAAGTACAAGTAATCGGCACAGCATTTTCCTTGCTTATTCTGTAAGGTCAGTCTGCGTAGCATTGGAATTCGTAATAAACACTCTTTTGTTTGAACACCGAACCTGGATCATTAATTGGCCTCCCAGGTTGCCCGCAGGAAAGGATTTTTCCTTATCACTGTCACCATATACCACAAAACAGCCTCAACTAGGCATATGTATTTCTTTCTATTTTGAAAGAGCAAGCCTATGCAGCTTATCTGTAGTATGACAGAGGCTACTGCTTTTCAGTACTCAGTAAGGAAAGCATGCAAAATATCTGGAGCTGAGTGATAATACTGTTGTAGAAGATGTTTGATATTTACTGAGGCCCTTTACAGTCTATGTGGGCTGAGTTGCTTGGATGAGTCATGCAGTATATTACATTAACAAAAGAGATGGTACTCACAATCCAAATTTGATGGTGTGCATGTGTGTGTGATAGAAAGGTAAAGGCAATGTATAACCTTTTGCCTAAAAATAATGAAAAGCTTAGAGTATAACGAAATATAAATTTCAGATCAAGTTAGTCATACTTATTTTTATGTGTGCGCTTAGGTTTTATTTATTTATTATTATTGACATAACTATAGAAACAAAAACCTTTTCCATCTCCTATTTCCTTAACATGCATTCCATAACTCAAAAAAACCAAATTCCATCTTTTGGCAAAATCAGCACTACCTGGCCTTCCTTACCTTCTTCTGACTAGCTCCATCAACTTGTCTGTTACAGCCAATTCCATACATGTCATCAGCCATTCATTCCCATTCTGTCGGGCCTGTTGGCACTTCTATTTTCTTGCCCATTCAAGAGGGTGAATCCAAAGAAAGACTTCAGATGATGTTCACATGAGGGCCATAAGGTCCTGGTACATTTTGGTTGGCAGAGGCAGTGAGTCAGGTATTGCAGTCCCGTGTCATATAGGGTTTTATAGCTTAAAAACAACACTTTGAATTGGGCCCAGAAACATAGACAGCCAGTGCATGCATATGGGATTATATTGCAAGACATCATAATTAAGTGACTAGCATAAATAAGGAGGACGTTAGATAGCTCAGGAGTGGGTTGAGTTCACCAAGCTCTTCCTTCAATCATTAGCAGTTATTAAGATGCCCTCCCATTTGGCATTATTAATGGCCCATTACCTTCCCTTTGTCTTTCTTAATGGCTCTTCTCCCAGGTGATTACCAGGCTGTCATTGCTATTCCAGCAATTGAATCTGCTGGATCCAGGAATTAGAAGGGGCACAGGTATTAGGCATTCAGCTTAACCACTCAAAACTCATAACAGTATTCATGACTTACATCAGGGGTCGGCAACCTAAAGCCCATGGGCCTGTAGCCCACAAGGCTTGTCTAACCGGCCCATGGCGACCCCTGCCCCCCCTGTTGCCCCTCACTGCCTGCTCTGACCGGCGCAGCATGGGGACCGACTTCCAGGTTGATGGTGCCAGTGCGCATGCGCATGGGCACTCCTCTGACCTGGATGTGTGCCAGAAATAGCGTGTGTGCACGTGTGCGGGGTGGAGAAGTGCCCTTCCGAACGCGCACATGCTATTTCTGCGCACTTCTGGGTCAGAGGAGTGCCGGAAATAGTGTGTGCACGGGTGCCCCTCCAACCCGGAAGAGCGCGCGTGCGCACATGCTCCAGCCCATCTGACGGACGGAGCGTCGACTGGCCCATCCTGGGATAAGGTTGCCGACCTCTGACTTACATCATGTTGAATGAATCAAACCAAGGACTTGAAAATGGGAAGACATTCATACAACTATATAACAAATCATACTAAATCATATGATATACTATCCAGCATTTTAGCACTGCTGGTTTATTGAAATAGCTGCCATTTCTAACACTGCATTTAAAATATAAGAAAGCCCATTTATAGGAAAGCACCCTCAGAGTCATTTGCCTCCTAAGAAAAAATAACTGCCCCCAACAGACTTAAAGTGCAATATTATCATCTTCAAATAGGGTTTTACTACAGGGTAAGTGTACCAGGTAGAATTATAGCCTTATCGTGACTTTTTTATTTTAAAAAAGTTATATCAATTATAAAGTCCAACTGAAATCTACTGGATTTGCCCACATATGTTTGACACCAGGTTGGCATTAAAAATAATTTAAATTATTGCATTAAAAAAAAAAGTTTCACAGGAATTTCTACCACTTTCATTTGGCAATTTTTAGCTTTTTCCATAAGTACTGAAGAATGCAACAGTGGAATTTGCTCAGATTAAATTTTTCATATGCAGGTAGGTGCTGCCATCTAGTTTTTAGTGTGAACTCTGCTCCATATTCTGAGAGCCTTCTTTCATGTGAGATCAGCAACTCTAAGAGAATGTACAGCAGTCTTTATTTCAGAAGACCTTTTCTTTCCTGAATTGTGTGAAACACCTAGATCGGTCCAAAAGTCAGAAGAAGAAGAAGAAGAAGAAGAAGAAGAGGAGTAGTTTGGACTTGATATCCCACCTTTCACTCCCCTTAAGGAGTCTCAAAGCAGCTAACAATCTCCTTTCCCTTCCTCCCCCACAACAAACACTGTGTGAGGTGAGTGAGGCCGAGAGACTTCAAAGAAGTGTGACTAGCCCAAGGTCACCCAGCAGCTGCATGTGGAGGAGCGGGGAAGCAAACCCGGTTCACCAGATTACGAGTCCACTGCTCTTAACCACTACACCATGCTGGCTAGCAGCACAACCTTCACCATATATTTCTTATAAGTAGATCCTCTTAAGTTCAAATGGGACACAGGTGGCGCTGTGGTCTAAACCACTGAGCCTTGGGCTTGCTGATCAAAAGGTTGGCAGTTTGAATCCCTGTGATGGGGTGAGCTCCCGTTGCTCGGTCCCAGCTCTTGCCAACCTGGCAGGTCGAAAGCACCCCAAAAAAGTGCAAGTAGATTAATAGGTACTGCTCTGGCGGGAAGGTAAATGGCATTTATGTGCGCTGCTCTGGTGTCGGTGTTCCGTTGCGCCAGAAGCGGCTTAGTTATGCTGGCCACATGACCAGGAAAAACTGTCTGCGGAGCGGACAAACGCCAGCTCCCTCAGCCTGTAAAGCGAGATGAGCGCCACAACCCCAGAGTCATTCGCGACTGGACTTAACTGTCACGGGTCCCTTTACCTTTACCTTATTAAGTTCAACAGGGCTTACACCCAAGTAAGTTCAGCTACATATTTACTGGGTAGTAAGGCCTACTAAAAAGGTAAAAAAGTAAGGCCTACTGACCTCAGTGGGACTTACTTTCAAGTATGTTTGTATAGGATTGCATTGTTAGCCCTCTTATGGAAAAACTGGGGGGCTGTTGCTGCTATTTATTTATATATATATAGCACCAGGAATCTACATAAACAAAAATGACAGATCCCTGCCTAGAGGGCTTTGCAACCTAAATGTCAAAAACATGAGCGGCAGCTGAGGGATTGGAGAGGCAAAGAAATTTCCAGTGTTTGGAAACCTCTTTTTTAAAAGGAGCTAGATCCTGATCATTCTTTTAGCAAACAAATTAGTTCAGTTCAAGTTCATCAAAATGAATGTTTTAGTTCAGTTCAAACTCATCAAAATTATCTCTTTTGTTCAAAGAAAATTCATCACCAGCAAAAACATTTCAGCATGCAAAATGTTACAAGCTGCTTTGGTTATGTATGGGGCCCTAAAGTAAATCAGGGGTCTTACACAAGTAATAAGATATCTGACAGACAGAATGTCAACAGGTAAAGCTTTTCCTATAATTGTATTTCCATACTAGAAAGTGCATACCCTGTTTAATCTGTGCCAGTCACACAGCTGTTAAAGGCACGTGACATCATTTTCTTAGTTCTTGTATCTTACTTCTCACTGCAAGCTGCTCCTGTTGGAACAGAGCAAATCTCTTTGGCAGGGAAGATACAGGAAATAACTCGTGTAACTTCTTTTTAATTGCTTAGCAACAATGTTTAAATGTTTTAATAACATAAGGAGAACCTGCTGGATCAGACCAATGGCCCTTCTAATCCAGCATCCTGTTCTCACAGTGCCCAGTGCTCACAGCAAGCAGGATTCGAGCATAATAGCAATCTCCCCTCTTGTGGTTTCCAGCACCTGGTATTCAGGAGCATTGCTGCCTCCAACTGTTGAGGCAGAGCATAGTCATCATGGCTAGTAGCTACTTAGTCACTTAAGTGATCCCAGCCATAGCAGCAGATAGGTCTTAGAACATTGCCTCCACAATTTGCTTTCTAACTTTCTTTGTCAGACTGACGTCATTATTTTAATGAAGGGAATGAATATAAAGACCTAAGAATCAGACAAAATATACCAAAATGAACTTAATTCACCTTTAGTTCACCTATCAATTATGGGACTACTTTTAGGCATAGTTCAGAGATTTTAGAACTAGTTCAATTGAACTAGTTCCTCCCAAGCACTGGATGAATCTGTGGAAATGTGAGTTTTGTGTCAATTGGGGAAGTAAGTCTTCCCCTATTGTAGCAGCATGCATGAGTACATGTCGCATTAAAACATAGTTTAATGAGGTTCCCTACCCCTGCATTAAACTATAGTTAACATGAACAGTGGTTTAATGTGAAATAGTATGTGTTTTCCTCTTCCTCACTTGTGCCACACTGCTGGGAAACAAGCCAATATCTGGCTTGTTGGGTCATTTGAACTTGAGTTCATAGCTTGTTCCTCCCAAATCATGAGTGGTAAGCCAATCTCAGCAAACACTCATGTTTTGTTTGGAGTAAAACAAATTATAAGCCAAGGTTCAGAGGACGCAAGAAACTAGACTATGGTGCGTTTCCTGGCAGTGCAGCAGTAGCACCAAGTGGCGGAACAACAAAGTGTGCATGATTTCAGTTGCATGAACCAGCACACTGTTCATTCACATGAAACCATTCTTCATTTTATCATTCACTCTCAACGGTAGTAGGAAATTATGCAAGTCTATTCTCAGGGGTCCTGTAAGCTTTTACCACTTAGCCCTAAAGTTTCCCATTTTGTTTTGATTCTAATTTACTTGGCCTCTCTCAGGCCTCATGTCAGGACAAGGAGATGGTTGGGGGAGGACTCAGTCTCAGTCTCATGCCTTTGCTTTAGTGTTGATATAGACGGATCCCATTCATTTGTAAGAAATTGATCTTTTAATGTGGCAGCACTGTGTAGAACCAAACGGTGACACCACCCCAGAAGATTTGTGAACACCATCTTGGTAGTTGATATAACCCTGGGACAAATTGGTGCAAGGTGTAAATGAGATCATATATGCTTATCTGCTAGCTTTGAAGCCTTGGCTGCTGGCTTAGCTTGTTGGGAGAGGGGAGGCTTCTAGCCAAGCATTCTGCCTGCCTATCAGCTACTCCCTTATCTGAGAGATGGATGGGAGTTCGGGATGGGCCCCTAAGCCAGGTGTGATTAATTGGACTATTGCTGCTAGCTCATGTAGCTTGTTTTCTGTATAAAGTAAAGGTAAAGGTACCCCTGCCCGTACGGGTCAGTCGTGTCCGACTCTAGGGTTGTGCGCCCATCTCACTTAAGAGGCCGGGGGCCAGCGCTGTCCAAAGACACTTCTGGGTCACGTGGCCAGCGTGACGAAGCTGCTCTGGCGAGCCAGCACCAGTGCAGCACACGGAAACGCCGTTTACCTTCCCACTATAAAGCGGTACCTATTTATCTACTTGCACTTAAGGGTGCTTTTGAACTGCTAGGTGGGCAGGAGCTGGGACCGAAAGACGGGAGCTCACCCCGCCGCGGGAATTCGAACCGCCGACCATGTGATCGGCAAGCCCTAGGCACTGAGGTTTTACCCACAGCGCCACCCGCTTTCTGTATAAGTAATGCATAAACTGTTAGTCCATCATGGACAAAGTCGTGGTGCTTGCTGCTTCAGTGTCTGTCCTGGGTTGCAGCGGCAAGGAATTCTGTATCACACATTGTAAGTCTCTTTGTACAAGGTGTGACCGGAAAGTTTGGTGAATGGTCACAGAAATTGGACAGCGAGAAATATTCGAACATACAATCGGCATCGGAAACCCACGAAATGCTCACAATTGTGTACAGAGATGAAGCTGTATCTCGAAAGACGGTGTATGAGTGGTTCAAGCGTTTCCGTGAAGAGCAGCAAACCATTGAAGATGACTCTCAGTCTGGCAGACCGTTGATGAGCAGAACGGTGGCAAATGTCAACAGAGTTTGTGAGTTATTGATGCAGGATTGGCGTTTGACCGTCTGAATGATGGCGGAATTATTGCATATTCTGCGTGAAATCGTTACTGAGGTTACTGAGTTGTCCCACCCTCCATATTCTCCTGATCTGGCCCCACCTGTTTTCTTTCTTTTTCCAAAACTGAAATCTGCACTGAAAGGGCGCAGATTTTCCAACATTTCATACATCCAAGCTGCTGTGACGAGGGAACTGAAAGCAGTCCAAAAAGAGGACTTTTCCAGACGTTTCCAGCAGTTCTACGAACGTTGTCAACAGTGCATTGTCTCAGAGGGGGCCTACTTTGAAGGCCTGTAAGGTATGTATGTTCAAATATTACTCGCTGTCCGATTTCTGTGACCCTTTACCAAACTTTCCAGTCACACCTTGTATATCCTTATAATAAAGCACTAGAACTGATCACTCATGCGTTTTGTGCATCTCTTTTTGGAATCCCTGCAACTGGTTCCCGTTGAGGCATCAGTCAATCCTTTGCCTAGGTCTGTATTTGGACCCGTAGGGCAGAACAAGCACCCATACTTTGGAACTCCCTGCCTTTTGACATGAGGTTGGTACCTTCATTGTACGCCTTTTGGCACCTGCTAAAAACATGATTGTTCAAGTAAGCCTATCCAGACATGTAGAATGCTGACTTGTTTTAATATTATTGTTTTATTTTATTCTTTAAATGTTTTAAATACAGTGGTACCTCAGGTTAAGTACTTAATTCGTTCCGGAGGTCCGTTCTTAATCTGAAACTGTTCTTAACCTGAAGCACCACTTTAGGTAATGTGGCCTCCTGCTGTTGCCGCGCCACCAGAGCACGATTTCTGTTCTCATCCTGAAACAAAGTTCTTAACCCGAGGTAATATTTCTGGGTTAGCAGAGTCTGTAACCTGAAGCATATGTAACCTGAAGCGTATGTAACCCGGTGTACCACTGTAATTGTTTTAAACTATTTTTACTGATAAGTTCATTGTTTTATTCCTTTTGCAAACCACTCTGAGAGTTTATTCTACAATCAAGAGGTATATAGATTTTAATATATAAACAAAACTGACACTGCAGTTTATCATGCAAAGAACTGCTGCAAAACACCCACAACCCTGTCATTTTTTGGTTATATAAGTCAAAACACATGGAACTAACACACATGTGTGTATTTTTAGTCGTAGGTTTCCTTAATAAAACCTTCATTATTTCACTGAATTTTGAGACTGAATGGAAGGGAAATGTGTAGGAGTGTTTATTTGATCATAAGGCAGGCAAGGCAAGGCTGTGTTTTCTTGATCGTGAAGCTGATAGCCTTTAGGCTCCCCCAGTATTGAAGGCATCCTAACTCAGGGGCTTTTAATGTTTTTGGTGTGCCTTTTTTTGAACATGAAAGCCTGCAAAACAGAAAACAGCCAAAAAAAGGAGGGGGAGGGAGAAAGAAAGAGCGAGAGCAAGAGAAGGTTTTGTTCAGATGTCAGGTACAAGTTTTTATTCCTCGTTACTATGAAGAAAATATTGATATCTGGCTGAAGGTGCTACTGTAGAGATCGGTGAAGGATCCTGGGGGTGTTGAATGCATCCCTGGGCTCATCTTCTTGAGAGGGCTTTAATACATGGTCAAGTCTTTGAAGAAATATTTTGTGTGGGTTTATACCAGTCAAGGCAGAAGAAACTCCGGGCAAGTCAGTCTGATGAAAATATTGGTGCTTTTTTTCTTCTTCTGTGAGGTATGGAGCTCATTAAGGAAGCCGTTTGCCTTGCGCTTCGTATTATCCAGCTTGCTTTGACCTCACACAGTGCTGGTATAATTGAACATAAGGCAGGAAATCTCCAGCTTTATATGTGCCTGTTTATTTATTTTGAAGTATTTAGAAATCACTTAATATTTCTAAAATCTTTCAGCAGTGTATGATATAAAAACAAAATATCATTAGAACAAATAATAAACATAGCAGCATAAAAGCAGGCAAGTTCCACTTAGCAAACACAATGCGTTCCCTGGAAACTGTTCATTAGGTGAGCATTCACATAATGAGTCAATGATTTCCATTTATTCCAATAGGGAAATTTCTAGTACGTTCCCAACCATGGAATTTTGCCCCCCCCCACAAATGCTCTATGACAATGTTGCTACACCCCTACCTTTTCTGCACATGTGTTCTTCTATTCCTCCATGATTTCCCCACAAAAACAGCAGGAAAGAACTGTATGCTGCTATATCACCCCATAATTTGTCAGTTTACTCCCTTGATTTTCCAGGGCAAAGGAGCTATTGATGGACTTTTCTGGAATCAACATGGAAATGAGTGTTAATCAGGCACTATAATGCATTTGTTTCTGGCACCCCAAATATAATGCAGAAATTAACAGGGAAACATCAGAGAAATGGAATAAACTGCAGTGTGAATGGAACCTAAGTGAGTAAACTCAAGTTTCATGATGGAAGTGGGGGGGTATTCTCCCAAAGCTGACAAATGCAGCCCAGGTACATTTAAAGCAACAAGAGCAATGTATTCTGCAGATCAAGTCCATTAGGAATATTGCAGACAGATGTTGGTAACTCAGCTTGAAAGTAGGACTTTGATATGAGCTCGAAAGCAACAGGTTTTGCCACTGCTATTAAAAACATTTTATATCTCAATGCCTTTTAATAAGGCCAATTGTATGAGCATTCTCAATAAGACTGTAAGTCCTGAAAAAGATGTCTGCATTTATACCATCCAGTTATGTATTAAAATGTGCATCCCTGAGGGAGCTGCAGAGATAAAGGTCACTGATTCTTGAGTTCTGAAAGACAGACACGGCACATCTCCAAATTAGTATTTGATGGAAGGCTGGCATTGCTGTAAATGAACTGAATAATTCTGAACCTGCAAACCTCCCGCAATATCGCTCCCCACAAGAGCATTATAAACCATACACTTAAAAAACCTACACAGCTTCATTGTGCGGCCGACATTGGTGGCTGGTCAGAGACAACTGAAATGCAGTTCTGGCAGGACGAGAAACAAAGTCAACTGCAAGTCCACACCTGGAACTGATGAAGCAGTCTGATTAGGATGAGAAGCACTAAAAAGAGCATAAAGCAAGGCCAGGAATTAGGAGTTGTGACTGGGCAAACACACAGATACAGCAGGGAAAACCAGGGCCAGAGGCAAGGGCAAGCAGCAGCAGCAGAAGAGTTTTGATTTGATATCCCGCTTTATCCCTATTCAAAGTTGTCTCAAAGCAGCTAACATTCTCCTTTCCCTTCCTCCCCCACATCAAACACTCTGTGAGGTGAGTGGGGCTGAGAGACTTCAGAGAAGTGTGACTGGCCCAAGGTCACCCAGCAGCTGCATGTGGAGGAGCGGAGAAGCGAACCTGGTTCACCAGATTACGAGTCTACCGCTCTTAACCACTACACCAAGGCTAGGAGCTAGGTTGCCTGTCAACGGAGCAGGAATCAGAGAACAAGGAGCACAGTGAGAAGGAACCAGTGGACTTCAGGCGAAGCATAGACCCAGGCCTGACCCGGAAGTATTCATAGCAAGGTCTGGTTGAGGGCTGCCTGGAGGGTGGAGCCATTCTGGAGCCCAGAAGAGCAACACTTAGTCTCCTTCCAGTCTGCAAGCCTTGGGTGGCACAGTGGGTCAGTGCATCTGGCTGTCAACCAGAAAGTTGGGGGGTTGAGCCCACCCAGGGATGGCCCTGGGCAGGATTGGTTGGAACAGATGACCCTTGGAATCCCTTTCAGTGCTACCATTTTAAGATTCCGTTCTAATTGATTCCATCTATGGGGAGCATTAAACAGAACCTAGGATGTTTCCAGCCAATTGAGACGCAGAAGTTGGAACACACTTGACATTGCTGTGCCCCCAGCTTGTTTGGAAAGGAAATGTAGGGACTCAATGGTACCATGGGGGGGGGTCTCTGTGGATGCTGTCATGATAGACCCTTTTGTGGGGCAGGAGCTCAGGAGAAGAGATAAAAGAAATTGCTGGGTACAATATTCAGCACATTCCCCAAAACTATTCTACTTGGTTGCTTAAAAGGTGAAGTAGTTGACTGTCTTGCATTGCTGACCAATTTGTTAACTTGAGTGACACAAACCACCCCAGCTCACAGGATATCAGGAGAAACTCCACCTATTCCAAGCTTGCATCGAAGGTGTCTTCTTAATCCTGCACATGTGCTGCAGTAGGACTGAGGATCTACAACAGGGCTCAGCAACCTTTTTCAGCCGTGGGCTGGTCCACCGTCCCTCAGACCATGTGGTGGTACGGACTACATTTTGAAAATAATAATAATGAACAAATTCCTATGCCCCACAAATAACCCAGAGATGCATTTTAAATAAAAGGACACATTCTACTCATGTAAAAACATGCTGATTCCTGGACTGTATGTGGGCTGGGTTGAGAAAGCGATTGGGCCACATCCGGCCCCTGGGCCTTAGGTTGCCTACCCCTGACCTACAACATACAATTTCATTGAGAAATTGAGCTTATTACAAATCACTGGAGTAACAAATGCCATGACAATGCCTCTTATTTAATATTAACTTTATATATCCTGTTTTTCTTGATCAAGGCTGTGGTCATACACATGCTTACCTGGGTATAAATGCCATTGAACTCTGTGAGGCTTACTTTTGGGTGGTCATACATAGGATTGCACCGTTAATTCCTTTAAAAATGTGCTACTTTTTCATTATTTTACTAATGAAAAGCCTTAGTCAAAAACACAAGGAGGCATGTGGGTGCAAGTGTGAATAAACCTCCAGGACAGAATTATAATAATCAAAAAGCAAAATGGAATTTTAGGGAATTTCAGTTTACATGGCATTTAAGGGGGAGGGAGGTTCAAAAAGCTATTATGCAAGCTTCTTATTACTTAGCTCCTGTTATTTGGCCAGGAGGTTCTCATGTCCTTGGTTGCAGAAATAAATTATAATCCTTTGCTTAAACCATCTCAAAAAATGGCTGCAAGTACATCTGTCTCAAAGGGCCGAACAGTAGAAAATCAACCTATGACAACCTCCTCCGGCACTCTAAGCCAAGTGAGGTCAGACTGAGATATTTTGCTCACTGAAAATAGAGGTCAGACACAAATTTCTGCCTTCACCTGTCTGCCCGGGTTCATGGTGCCACCTGAAGCAGGTCACTTCATGAGGACAACATAGTAAAGCCATCCCTGAACCTGGCCTCCAGAGGAAGCTATTCCTCTTTGAAGCTGAAATAACTAATTTCCTTTGAAATTGCCAGCCTGTGCCTTTTTAAATTGATAAAACCAGTTTAACCTTGAGAGAGAGGGTGAAGAACACACACAAAGTAGATGTGCTGGAGTGTGTGTGTGTGTGTGTGTGTGTGTGTGTAGAAGACTGGTTGCCAAAAGCTGCTGGGCATTAAATTTTGATGTTTTTGAAGAAGTGTCAACATTTTTAATGCCCCATTCAGGCCTCTCTGCAACTTGCCCTTTTGAACATGATCAAGCAGCAAATTCTTAATCTAAGGAATATCTTACATGGATTCTGGCTGCAGCAAGAAGTTCTTTGACCTAGAAGTGGAAGACACTATGGGACTTAAACCTCTCATTGCGGTACAAGAATATGTGGACCGTGGCTGCTGCATGGAAAATAACTCACAAATTATGCATGGAAGATGCAGAGCATTTCTATGTCATTTGGTGGGATTCCATTCCTTACGTGTCAAATTCAGATATACAAAACTGTCCTCCCCCACTAAATCATGAGATTTGACTTTCAATATGTGTTTAGCTGCTTTTATTTTTCAGCATTATCTGCTCTCTGTTTATTTGGAAAATACAAACTCTGGTCTGCTCTTCTGTTTTGTAATCTTGATTTTTTTTTTTTAATGTTGCTTTGTACCTTTGACTTTACATTAATAAGTTTTTTGTTTTAGTTTTTTTTAAAGTTGATTTTCTGTGACCAGTGTCACAGACTCTTCTCTGGGCTTCAGGCTGACTAAATTTGGAGAAGAGTTATATGATGCTCACAACTTGACCGGCAAAGGAGAATTCCAGCTGGCTTTGCCTAAGGCTGGCCTGTGTTTGGGGGGCAGGGAGACGAGCTGAGTGCCATGTCCTCTTAGCCTGAAGCTCACTGAGCAGAAGGCCAGCTGGCTTTTACAGCCTTTGCTTTTTCAAAGGAGAATTTCTACTGCCACTTTAGACCTTTTAGATATTGTCTATTAGTGATATTTTCATTTCAGAGCGTTTCTGCCATAGTTGTTCTCCATTTTGACAACTTTATTTAAGGGTGACCTTCGGGGATCAGGAAGCACTTGCACCCGTCCTTTCTCTAATTTCAGTATTTCCAGATAACTTTGATTCATAATCTGCCTTGTTCAGGCCAAGGTTTAGATTTGCATTTTCACACATAGAGGCTCTGGCAGCCAGCAACTCACAACCTCTGCTGCTTTTTAGCTTCCCCATATCCTGCCTCTAGGAAAACCCCTATCACAGCTCAGTACTCAGAATGGAATCTGGTGGCAGTAGTAGCAAATCCACTTGCTAGGGCAGAGCCACTCATGATAGATAGACACATTTAATTAATTACAGTCACAGACCAATAAAAGTTGACACACACAGGAACATTATCCCATATATATTGTTAGGAGAATCTGCATTCGCAGACTATATGAAGTATGTGTCAAGAACGTTTGTGCAGGAAAAAACTCAGCCCTATACCCCTTTGATAGAAAGTAGACATCAAATCCTTTCAGCTGAATTGGGTTTCCAGCTCTCATAATGCAGGCATGTTTTCCCTCTGAGAATGTGATTTGATTTCTACATATGAGTAAAGCTAAGGCGAGGGAATGCCTCTCTATAAACCTAGGTAACTTAAAGGCCTATGGGTAACTCTACATTTGTGGGTTCCTCAGTGGCCATCGTTGTTCTGACCAAATAAAATCTGTATTAAAAGATCACAGCTGGAGTGGTTAATTGAAGATAGTCCACTACAGAAGCGTTATGGACACAGCAACGGCTGCTAGGACCTTGGGCAGAGCACTGTGGAAGGTGAAGGCCAGAACACAGAGGGATGAGCTGTTGCTTCAGCAAGATGTAGAGGGCTTCTGATCTGATACCGCTATTGTTCTTGCTCCTTGAGAGTAGTGAGCTGTGCCATGGCTGAGTTCTGTGGCTGTTGACCCCTCCAGCATGGGAGTGATTGAGACTGCACTGGAAGTATGCCTTGTAAGGCTCCATCTGTACTATACATTCAAAGCAGTATCATACCACTTTAAACAGTCATGGCTTCTTCCCCCCAAGAATCCTGGGAGGTGTAGTTTGTTAAGGGTGCTGAGAGTTGTTTGGAGACCACTGTTCCCCTTACAGAGCGGTTTAATGATCAATCCCTTCCTCCCAGGAACTCTGGGGATTGTTTTGAGTTTTGTTTTGTGAGTACTCATGACATTCGTCAGAATTCATTGGCATCCTGTAGTTTTGTGAGTATTGCTGCTGTTTTTATTTATTGAATGAATGAATGAATGAATGAATGAATGAATTAATGAATTTATATACCGCCCTATACCCGGAGGTCTCAGGGCGGTTCACAGAAAAGATCACAATATATAAAATCAAAATAAGAACAATAACCCAATAACACCCCCCCAAAAAAGAGCCACATTTTGAAAGGGAATAGGATGTCCATCAGGTCAACCAAAGGCCTGCTTAAAAAGGAATGTTTTTGCCTGGCGCCTAAAGCAACCTTGCTGCGTATCAACCCATTAATGTCATAGTTCACCTCAGATGGAGGCTGAAAAGGAAGTGTAGCTTAGTAGGCAGCTCTGCCTTCTCAGAGGGAAGTATCTTAATTTAAAAGGGGCAGGCCTGCTTTAGTCATCATCAGCTAAGTGAGGGAGACAGTGGTTGTTTTCGGACTTCTGAGCTGGAATCAGAAGAAGGCAAGTGGTTTTTGTGTGAGAGCTTTTGAGTCATCTAGATACATACACTAGATATATGTTTTTATATATTTTAAAGTGTTTTAAGGGGTTTTTACTTTTTACTTTG